CTCGTCTTTCATCTCACAACATGAAGGGATGTCTGAATCCCCTGTGGAGACCTTAGAGAAAGCCCTAGGTCCCTGCCTCATTTTGACGGAATGCCTCACATCCCGCTGACACCTCGAGAGGCACGCGGAGTTCATTGCTTCAAAAGGTGACGATGCCTGACTCCTCTTGAATACTGATAGGAATCCCAAAATCCCTGTGGCTACTGGAAAGGGTCCTTGGGTGCCCTGCCTCACCTCGAGAAGCGTCCCTTTGGCCCTGCCAAGCCTCGAAGAGATTCCTGAGGTGTCCCTCGTTACTAGACAGGAGTCCTGACGTCACTGAAGAAACTCGTGTTTTGAAGGGCCATCCCCGCCGTAAGTCGAGAACATACCCCAGGTCCCCGCCGCAACTCGAGAAAAACCATGAGACTTCCCCCTAGAGGCGAGATGAGGCCCCATTCCCCTGCAGTGCATGCAGAGCTATTCCGTGATCCCATTCAAACAAGTCAGGAGCTTCGGCTTGCTTAATGGATCTCGAGACAGTCCCCAAGAACACTGTCACCAGTCTAGACGGACCCTGAGGTCACCCCAGCAACGCAAAGCAGCTCCATGTGCCCCAAATCAACTCGAGATGAGGCCCGATTCCCCTGCATTGACTCCAGAGCCATTCCCCCTTCCACATTCAACACGACCGGTGGCTCGACTTCCTTCAGGCAACTCCAGAGATGCCCTGAGAACACTGTCCCAAGTCTAGAGGAACACCAACTTCAGCACAGCAACTCGAGGAATGCTCCGTGTACCCCAAATCGTCTCGAGATGCGAGCTGATTCCCTGGCTTAGGCTCAAGACGTATGCCAACTTCCCAGAAGCACCTCAGGAGGAGGCTTCTCTCAGCAATAGGTATGTGGGAGGGACCCCGAGTTTGCTGCCTCAAGGGGAATATACAGCGAGAAGCCCTAACTTGAAAGGAGGCCGGATTTCCTTGCAGTGGCTTGAATACAGGCTCGTCTTTCATCTCACAACATGAAGGGATGTCTGAATCCCCTGTGGAGACCTTAGAGAAAGCCCTAGGTCCCTGCCTCATTTTGACGGAATGCCTCACATCCCGCTGACACCTCGAGAGGCACGCGGAGTTCATTGCTTCAAAAGGTGACGATGCCTGACTCCTCTTGAATACTGATAGGAATCCCAAAATCCCTGTGGCTACTGGAAAGGGTCCTTGGGTGCCCTGCCTCACCTCGAGAAGCGTCCCTTTGGCCCTGCCAAGCCTCGAAGAGATTCCTGAGGTGTCCCTCGTTACTAGACAGGAGTCCTGACGTCACTGAAGAAACTCGTGTTTTGAAGGGCCATCCCCGCCGTAAGTCGAGAACATACCCCAGGTCCCCGCCGCAACTCGAGAAAAACCATGAGACTTCCCCCTAGAGGCGAGATGAGGCCCCATTCCCCTGCAGTGCATGCAGAGCTATTCCGTGATCCCATTCAAACAAGTCAGGAGCTTCGACTTGCTTAATGGATCTCGAGACAGTCCCCAAGAACACTGTCACCAGTCTAGACGGACCCTTTGGTCACCCCAGCAACGCAAAGCAGCTCCATGTGCCCCAAATCAACTCGAGATGAGGCCCGGTTCCCCTGCATTGACTCCAGAGCCATTCCCCGTTCCCCATTCAACACGACCGGTGGCTCGACTTCCTTCAGGCAACTCCAGAGATGCCCCGAGAACACTGTCCCAAGTCTAGAGGAACACCAACTTCAGCACAGCAACTCGAGGAATGCTCCGTGTACCCCAAATCGTCTCGAGATGCGAGCTGATTCCCTGGCTTAGGCTCAAGACGTATGCCAACTTCCCAGAAGCACCTCAGGAGGAGGCTTCTCTCAGCAATAGGTATGTGGGAGGGACCCCGAGTTTGCTGCCTCAAGGGGAATATACAGCGAGAAGCCCTAACTTGAAAGGAGGCCGGATTTCCTTGCAGTGGCTTGAATACAGGCTCGTCTTTCATCTCACAACATGAAGGGATGTCTGAATCCCCTGTGGAGACCTTAGAGAAAGCCCTAGGTCCCTGCCTCATTTTGACGGAATGCCTCACATCGCGCTGACACCTCGAGAGGCACGCGGAGTTCATTGCTTCAAAAGGTGACGATGCCTGACTCCTCTTGAATACTGATAGGAATCCCAAAATCCCTGTGGCTACTGGAAAGGGTCCTTGGGTGCCCTGCCTCACCTCGAGAAGCGTCCCTTTGGCCCTGCCAAGCCTCGAAGAGATTCCTGAGGTGTCCCTCGTTACTAGACAGGAGTCCTGACGTCACTGAAGAAACTCGTGTTTTGAAGGGCCATCCCCGCCGTAAGTCGAGAACATACCCCAGGTCCCCGCCGCAACTCGAGAAAAACCATGAGACTTCCCCCTAGAGGCGAGATGAGGCCCCATTCCCCTGCAGTGCATGCAGAGCTATTCCGTGATCCCATTCAAACAAGTCAGGAGCTTCGGCTTGCTTAATGGATCTCGAGACAGTCCCCAAGAACACTGTCACCAGTCTAGACGGACCCTGAGGTCACCCCAGCAACGCAAAGCAGCTCCATGTGCCCCAAATCAACTCGAGATGAGGCCCGATTCCCCTGCATTGACTCCAGGGCCATTCCCCGTTCCCCATTCAACACGACCGGTGGCTCGACTTCCTTCAGGCAACTCCAGAGATGCCCCGAGAACACTGTCCCAAGTCTAGAGGAACACCAACTTCAGCACAGCAACTCGAGGAATGCTCCGTGTACCCCAAATCGTCTCGAGATGCGAGCTGATTCCCTGGCTTAGGCTCAAGACGTATGCCAACTTCCCAGAAGCACCTCAGGAGGAGGCTTCTCTCAGCAATAGGTATGTGGGAGGGACCCCGAGTTTGCTGCCTCAAGGGGAATATACAGCGAGAAGCCCTAACTTGAAAGGAGGCCGGATTTCCTTGCAGTGGCTTGAATACAGGCTCGTCTTTCATCTCACAACATGAAGGGATGTCTGAATCCCCTGTGGAGACCTTAGAGAAAGCCCTAGGTTCCTGCCTCATTTTGACGGAATGCCTCACATCCCGCTGACACCTCGAGAGGCACGCGGAGTTCATTGCTTCAAAAGGTGACGATGCCTGACTCCTCTTGAATACTGATAGGAATCCCAAAATCCCTGTGGCTACTGGACAGGGTCCTTGGGTGCCCTGCCTCACCTCGAGAAGCGTCCCTTTGGCCCTGCCAAGCCTCGAAGAGATTCCTGAGGTGTCCCTCGTTACTAGACAGGAGTCCTGACGTCACTGAAGAAACTCGTGTTTTGAAGGGCCATCCCCGCCGTAAGTCGAGAACATACCCCAGGTCCCCGCCGCAACTCGAGAAAAACCATGAGACTTCCCCCTAGAGGCGAGATGAGGCCCCATTCCCCTGCAGTGCATGCAGAGCTATTCCGTGATAACATTCAAACAAGTCAGGAGCTTCGCCTTGCTTAATGGATCTCGAGACAGTCCCCAAGAACACTGTCACCAGTCTAGACGGACCCTGAGGTCACCCCAGCAACGCAAAGCAGCTCCATGTGCCCCAAATCAACTCGAGATGAGGCCCGATTCCCCTGCATTGACTGCAGAGCCATTCCCCGTTCCCCATTCAACACGACCGGTGGCTCGACTTCCTTCAGGCAACTCCAGAGATGCCCCGAGAACACTTTCCCAAGTCTAGAGGAACACCAACTTTAGCACAGCAACTCGAGGAATGCTCCGTGTACCCCAAATCGTCTCGAGATGCGAGCTGATTCCCTGGCTTAGGCTCAAGACGTATGCCAACTTCCCAGAAGCACCTCAGGAGGAGGCTTCTCTCAGCAATAGGTATGTGGGAGGGACCCCGAGTTTGCTGCCTCAAGGGGAATATACAGCGAGAAGCCCTAACTTGAAAGGAGGCCGGATTTCCTTGCAGTGGCTTGAATACAGGCTCGTCTTTCATCTCACAACATGAAGGGATGTCTGAATCCCCTGTGGAGACCTTAGAGAAAGCCCTAGGTCCCTGCCTCATTTTGACGGAATGCCTCACATCCCGCTGACACCTCGAGAGGCACGCGGAGTTCATTGCTTCAAAAGGTGACGATGCCTGACTCCTCTTGAATACTGATAGGAATCCCAAAATCCCTGTGGCTACTGGAAAGGGTCCTTGGGTGCCCTGCCTCACCTCGAGAAGCGTCCCTTTTGCCCTGCCAAGCCTCGAAGTCATTCCTGAGGTGTCCCTCGTTACTAGACAGGAGTCCTGACGTCACTGAAGAAACTCGTGTTTTGAAGGGCCATCCCCGCCGTAAGTCGAGAACATACCCCAGGTCCCCGCCGCAACTCGAGAAAAACCATGAGACTTCCCCCTAGAGGCGAGATGAGGCCCCATTCCCCTGCAGTGCATGCAGAGCTATTCCGTGATCCCATTCAAACAAGTCAGGAGCTTCGGCTTGCTTAATGGATCTCGAGACAGTCCCCAAGAACACTGTCACCCGTCTAGACGGACCCTGAGGTCACCCCAGCAACGCAAAGCAGCTCCATGTGCCCCAAATCAACTCGAGATGAGGCCCGATTCCCCTGCATTGACTCCAGAGCCATTCCCCGTTCCCCATTCAACACGACCGGTGGCTCGACTTCCTTCAGGCAACTCCAGAGATGCCCCGAGAACACTGTCCCAAGTCTAGAGGAACACCAACTTCAGCACAGCAACTCGAGGAATGCTCCGTCTACCCCAAATCGTCTCGAGATGCGAGCTGATTCCCTGGCTTAGGCTCAAGACGTATGCCAACCTCCCAGAAGCACCTCAGGAGGAGGCTTCTCTCAGCAATAGGTATGTGGGAGGGACCCCGAGTTTGCTGCCTCAAGGGGAATATACAGCGAGAAGCCCTAACTTGAAAGGAGGCCGGATTTCCTTGCAGTGGCTTGAATACAGGCTCGTCTTTCATCTCACAACATGAAGGGATGTCTGAATCCCCTGTGGAGACCTTAGAGAAAGCCCTAGGTCCCTGCCTCATTTTGACGGAATGCCTCACATCCCGCTGACACCTCGAGAGGCACGCGGAGTTCATTGCTTCAAAAGGTGACGATGCCTGACTCCTCTTGAATACTGATAGGAATCCCAAAATCGCTGTGGCTACTGGAAAGGGTCCTTGGGTGCCCTGCCTCACCTCGAGAAGCGTCCCTTTGGCCCTGCCAAGCCTCGAAGAGATTCCTGAGGTGTCCCTCGTTACTAGACAGGAGTCCTGACGTCACTGAAGAAACTCGTGTTTTGAAGGGCCATCCCCGCCGTAAGTCGAGAACATACCCCAGGTCCCCGCCGCAACTCGAGAAAAACCATGAGACTTCCCCCTAGAGGCGAGATGAGGCCCCATTCCCCTGCAGTGCATGCAGAGCTATTCCGTGATCCCATTCAAACAAGTCAGGAGCTTCGACTTGCTTAATGGATCTCGAGACAGTCCCCAAGAACACTGTCACCAGTCTAGACGGACCCTGAGGTCACCCCAGCAACGCAAAGCAGCTCCATGTGCCCCAAATCAACTCAAGATGAGGCCCGATTCCCCTGCATTGACTCCAGAGCCATTCCCCGTTCCCCATTCAACACGACCGGTGGCTCGACTTCCTTCAGGCAACTCCAGAGATGCCCCGAGAACACTGTCCCAAGTCTAGAGGAACACCATCTTCAGCACAGCAACTCGAGGAATGCTCCGTGTACCCCAAATCGTCTCGAGATGCGAGCTGATTCCCTGGCTTAGGCTCAAGACGTATGCCAACTTCCCAGAAGCACCTCAGGAGGAGGCTTCTCTCAGCAATAGGTATGTGGGAGGGACCCCGAGTTTGCTGCCTCAAGGGGAATATACAGCGAGAAGCCCTAACTTGAAAGGAGGCCGGATTTCCTTGCAGTGGCTTGAATACAGGCTCGTCTTTCATCTCACAACATGAAGGGATGTCTGAATCCCCTGTGGAGACCTTAGAGAAAGCCCTAGGTCCCTGCCTCATTTTGACGGAATGCCTCTCATCCCGCTGACACCTCGAGAGGCACGCGGAGTTCATTGCTTCAAAAGGTGACGATGCCTGACTCCTCTTGAATACTGATAGGAATCCCAAAATCCCTGTGGCCTACTGGAAAGGGTCCTTGGGTGCCCTGCCTCACCTCGAGAAGTGTCCCGTTTGCCCTGCCAAGCCTCGAAGAGATTCCTGAGGTGTCCCTCGTTACTAGACAGGAGTCCTGACGTCACTGAAGAAACTCGTGTTTTCAAGGGCCATCCCCGCCGTAAGTCGAGAACATACCCCAGGTCCCCGCCGCAACTCGAGAAAAACCATGAGACTTCCCCCTAGAGGCGAGATGAGGCCCCATTCCCCTGCAGTGCATGCAGAGCTATTCCGTGATCCCATTCAAACAAGTCAGGAGCTTCGGCTTGCTTAATGGATCTCGAGACAGTCCCCAAGAACACTGTCACCAGTCTAGACGGACCCTGAGGTCACCCCAGCAACGCAAAGCAGCTCCATGTGCCCCAAATCAACTCGAGATGAGGCCCGATTCCCCTGCATTGACTCCAGTGCCATTCCCCGTTCCCCATTCAACACGACCGGTGGCTCGACTTCCTTCAGGCAACTCCAGAGATGCCCCGAGAACACTGTCCCAAGTCTAGAGGAACACCAACTTCAGCACAGCAACTCGAGGAATGTTCCGTGTACCCCAAATCGTCTCGAGATGCGAGCTGATTCCCTGGCTTAGGCTCAAGACGTATGCCAACTTCCCAGAAGCACCTCAGGAGGAGGCTTCTCTCAGCAATAGGTATGTGGGAGGGACCCCGAGTTTGCTGCCTCAAGGGGAATATACAGCGAGAAGCCCTAACTTGAAAGGAGGCCGGATTTCCTTGCAGTGGCTTGAATACAGGCTCGTCTTTCATCTCACAACATGAAGGGATGTCTGAATCCCCTGTGGAGACCTTAGAGAAAGCCCTAGGTTCCTGCCTCATTTTGACGGAATGCCTCACATCCCGCTGACACCTCGAGAGGCACGCGGAGTTCATTGCTTCAAAAGGTGACGATGCCTGACTCCTCTTGAATACAGATAGGAATCCCAAAATCCCTGTGGCTACTGGACAGGGTCCTTGGGTGCCCTGCCTCACCTCGAGAAGCGTCCCTTTGGCCCTGCCAAGCCTCGAAGAGATTCCTGAGGTGTCCCTCGTTACTAGACAGGAGTCCTGACGTCACTGAAGAAACTCGTGTTTTGAAGGGCCATCCCCGCCGTAAGTCGAGAACATACCCCAGGTCCCCGCCGCAACTCGAGAAAAACCATGAGACTTCCCCCTAGAGGCGAGATGAGGCCCCATTCCCCTGCAGTGCATGCAGAGCTATTCCGTGATCCCATTCAAACAAGTCAGGAGCTTCGCCTTGCTTAATGGATCTCGAGACAGTCCCCAAGAACACTGTCACCAGTCTAGACGGACCCTGAGGTCACCCCAGCAACGCAAAGCAGCTCCATGTGCCCCAAATCAACTCGAGATGAGGCCCGATTCCCCTGCATTGACTGCAGAGCCATTCCCCGTTCCCCATTCAACACGACCGGTGGCTCGACTTCCTTCAGGCAACTCCAGAGATGCCCCGAGAACACTGTCCCAAGTCTAGAGGAACACCAACTTTAGCACAGCAACTCGAGGAATGCTCCGTGTACCCCAAATCGTCTCGAGATGCGAGCTGATTCCCTGGCTTAGGCTCAAGACGTATGCCAACTTCCCAGAAGCACCTCAGGAGGAGGCTTCTCTCAGCAATAGGTATGTGGGAGGGACCCCGAGTTTGCTGCCTCAAGGGGAATATACAGCGAGAAGCCCTAACTTGAAAGGAGGCCGGATTTCCTTGCAGTGGCTTGAATACAGGCTCGTCTTTCATCTCACAACATGAAGGGATGTCTGAATCCCCTGTGGAGACCTTAGAGAAAGCCCTAGGTCCCTGCCTCATTTTGACGGAATGCCTCTCATCCCGCTGACACCTCGAGAGGCACGCGGAGTTCATTGCTTCAAAAGGTGACGATGCCTGACTCCTCTTGAATACTGATAGGAATCCCAAAATCCCTGTGGCCTACTGGAAAGGGTCCTTGGGTGCCCTGCCTCACCTCGAGAAGTGTCCCGTTTGCCCTGCCAAGCCTCGAAGAGATTCCTGAGGTGTCCCTCGTTACTAGACAGGAGTCCTGACGTCACTGAAGAAACTCGTGTTTTCAAGGGCCATCCCCGCCGTAAGTCGAGAACATACCCCAGGGCCCCGCCGCAACTCGAGAAAAACCATGAGACTTCCCCCTAGAGGCGAGATGAGGCCCCATTCCCCTGCAGTGCATGCAGAGCTATTCCGTGATCCCATTCAAACAAGTCAGGAGCTTCGGCTTGCTTAATGGATCTCGAGACAGTCCCCAAGAACACTGTCACCAGTCTAGACGGACCCTGAGGTCACCCCAGCAACGCAAAGCAGCTCCATGTGCCCCAAATCAACTCGAGATGAGGCCCGATTCCCCTGCATTGACTCCAGTGCCATTCCCCGTTCCCCATTCAACACGACCGGTGGCTCGACTTCCTTCAGGCAACTCCAGAGATGCCCCGAGAACACTGTCCCAAGTCTAGAGGAACACCAACTTCAGCACAGCAACTCGAGGAATGCTCCGTGTACCCCAAATCGTCTCGAGATGCGAGCTGATTCCCTGGCTTAGGCTCAAGACGTATGCCAACTTCCCAGAAGCACCTCAGGAGGAGGCTTCTCTCAGCAATAGGTATGTGGGAGGGACCCCGAGTTTGCTGCCTCAAGGGGAATATACAGCGAGAAGCCCTAACTTGAAAGGAGGCCGGATTTCCTTGCAGTGGCTTGAATACAGGCTCGTCTTTCATCTCACAACATGAAGGGATGTCTGAATCCCCTGTGGAGACCTTAGAGAAAGCCCTAGGTTCCTGCCTCATTTTGACGGAATGCCTCACATCCCGCTGACACCTCGAGAGGCACGCGGAGTTCATTGCTTCAAAAGGTGACGATGCCTGACTCCTCTTGAATACTGATAGGAATCCCAAAATCCCTGTGGCTACTGGACAGGGTCCTTGGGTGCCCTGCCTCACCTCGAGAAGCGTCCCTTTGGCCCTGCCAAGCCTCGAAGAGATTCCTGAGGTGTCCCTCGTTACTAGACAGGAGTCCTGACGTCACTGAAGAAACTCGTGTTTTGAAGGGCCATCCCCGCCGTAAGTCGAGAACATACCCCAGGTCCCCGCCGCAACTCGAGAAAAACCATGAGACTTCCCCCTAGAGGCGAGATGAGGCCCCATTCCCCTGCAGTGCATGCAGAGCTATTCCGTGATCCCATTCAAACAAGTCAGGAGCTTCGCCTTGCTTAATGGATCTCGAGACAGTCCCCAAGAACACTGTCACCAGTCTAGACGGACCCTGAGGTCACCCCAGCAACGCAAAGCAGCTCCATGTGCCCCAAATCAACTCGAGATGAGGCCCGATTCCCCTGCATTGACTCCAGTGCCATTCCCCGTTCCCCATTCAACACGACCGGTGGCTCGACTTCCTTCAGGCAACTCCAGAGATGCCCCGAGAACACTGTCCCAAGTCTAGAGGAACACCAACTTCAGCACAGCAACTCGAGGAATGCTCCGTGTACCCCAAATCGTCTCGAGATGCGAGCTGATTCCCTGGCTTAGGCTCAAGACGTATGCCAACTTCCCAGAAGCACCTCAGGAGGAGGCTTCTCTCAGCAATAGGTATGTGGGAGGGACCCCGAGTTTGCTGCCTCAAGGGGAATATACAGCGAGAAGCCCTAACTTGAAAGGAGGCCGGATTTCCTTGCAGTGGCTTGAATACAGGCTCGTCTTTCATCTCACAACATGAAGGGATGTCTGAATCCCCTGTGGAGACCTTAGAGAAAGCCCTAGGTTCCTGCCTCATTTTGACGGAATGCCTCACATCCCGCTGACACCTCGAGAGGCACGCGGAGTTCATTGCTTCAAAAGGTGACGATGCCTGACTCCTCTTGAATACTGATAGGAATCCCAAAATCCCTGTGGCTACTGGACAGGGTCCTTGGGTGCCCTGCCTCACCTCGAGAAGCGTCCCTTTGGCCCTGCCAAGCCTCGAAGAGATTCCTGAGGTGTCCCTCGTTACTAGACAGGAGTCCTGACGTCACTGAAGAAACTCGTGTTTTGAAGGGCCATCCCCGCCGTAAGTCGAGAACATACCCCAGGTCCCCGCCGCAACTCGAGAAAAACCATGAGACTTCCCCCTAGAGGCGAGATGAGGCCCCATTCCCCTGCAGTGCATGCAGAGCTATTCCGTGATCCCATTCAAACAAGTCAGGAGCTTCGCCTTGCTTAATGGATCTCGAGACAGTCCCCAAGAACACTGTCACCAGTCTAGACGGACCCTGAGGTCACCCCAGCAACGCAAAGCAGCTCCATGTGCCCCAAATCAACTCGAGATGAGGCCCGATTCCCCTGCATTGACTGCAGAGCCATTCCCCGTTCCCCATTCAACACGACCGGTGGCTCGACTTCCTTCAGGCAACTCCAGAGATGCCCCGAGAACACTGTCCCAAGTCTAGAGGAACACCAACTTTAGCACAGCAACTCGAGGAATGCTCCGTGTACCCCAAATCGTCTCGAGATGCGAGCTGATTCCCTGGCTTAGGCTCAAGACGTATGCCAACTTCCCAGAAGCACCTCAGGAGGAGGCTTCTCTCAGCAATAGGTATGTGGGAGGGACCCCGAGTTTGCTGCCTCAAGGGGAATATACAGCGAGAAGCCCTAACTTGAAAGGAGGCCGGATTTCCTTGCAGTGGCTTGAATACAGGCTCGTCTTTCATCTCACAACATGAAGGGATGTCTGAATCCCCTGTGGAGACCTTAGAGAAAGCCCTAGGTCCCTGCCTCATTTTGACGGAATGCCTCTCATCCCGCTGACACCTCGAGAGGCACGCGGAGTTCATTGCTTCAAAAGGTGACGATGCCTGACTCCTCTTGAATACTGATAGGAATCCCAAAATCCCTGTGGCCTACTGGAAAGGGTCCTTGGGTGCCCTGCCTCACCTCGAGAAGTGTCCCGTTTGCCCTGCCAAGCCTCGAAGAGATTCCTGAGGTGTCCCTCGTTACTAGACAGGAGTCCTGACGTCACTGAAGAAACTCGTGTTTTCAAGGGCCATCCCCGCCGTAAGTCGAGAACATACCCCAGGTCCCCGCCGCAACTCGAGAAAAACCATGAGACTTCCCCCTAGAGGCGAGATGAGGCCCCATTCCCCTGCAGTGCATGCAGAGCTATTCCGTGATCCCATTCAAACAAGTCAGGAGCTTCGGCTTGCTTAATGGATCTCGAGACAGTCCCCAAGAACACTGTCACCAGTCTAGACGGACCCTGAGGTCACCCCAGCAACGCAAAGCAGCTCCATGTGCCCCAAATCAACTCGAGATGAGGCCCGATTCCCCTGCATTGACTCCAGTGCCATTCCCCGTTCCCCATTCAACACGACCGGTGGCTCGACTTCCTTCAGGCAACTCCAGAGATGCCCCGAGAACACTGTCCCAAGTCTAGAGGAACACCAACTTCAGCACAGCAACTCGAGGAATGCTCCGTGTACCCCAAATCGTCTCGAGATGCGAGCTGATTCCCTGGCTTAGGCTCAAGACGTATGCCAACTTCCCAGAAGCACCTCAGGAGGAGGCTTCTCTCAGCAATAGGTATGTGGGAGGGACCCCGAGTTTGCTGCCTCAAGGGGAATATACAGCGAGAAGCCCTAACTTGAAAGGAGGCCGGATTTCCTTGCAGTGGCTTGAATACAGGCTCGTCTTTCATCTCACAACATGAAGGGATGTCTGAATCCCCTGTGGAGACCTTAGAGAAAGCCCTAGGTTCCTGCCTCATTTTGACGGAATGCCTCACATCCCGCTGACACCTCGAGAGGCACGCGGAGTTCATTGCTTCAAAAGGTGACGATGCCTGACTCCTCTTGAATACTGATAGGAATCCCAAAATCACTGTGGCTACTGGACAGGGTCCTTGGGTGCCCTGCCTCACCTCGAGAAGCGTCCCTTTGGCCCTGCCAAGCCTCGAAGAGATTCCTGAGGTGTCCCTCGTTACTAGACAGGAGTCCTGACGTCACTGAAGAAACTCGTGTTTTGAAGGGCCATCCCCGCCGTAAGTCGAGAACATACCCCAGGTCCCCGCCGCAACTCGAGAAAAACCATGAGACTTCCCCCTAGAGGCGAGATGAGGCCCCATTCCCCTGCAGTGCATGCAGAGCTATTCCGTGATCCCATTCAAACAAGTCAGGAGCTTCGCCTTGCTTAATGGATCTCGAGACAGTCCCCAAGAACACTGTCACCAGTCTAGACGGACCCTGAGGTCACCCCAGCAACGCAAAGCAGCTCCATGTGCCCCAAATCAACTCGAGATGAGGCCCGATTCCCCTGCATTGACTGCAGAGCCATTCCCCGTTCCCCATTCAACACGACCGGTGGCTCGACTTCCTTCAGGCAACTCCAGAGATGCCCCGAGAACACTGTCCCAAGTCTAGAGGAACACCAACTTTAGCACAGCAACTCGAGGAATGCTCCGTGTACCCCAAATCGTCTCGAGATGCGAGCTGATTCCCTGGCTTAGGCTCAAGACGTATGCCAACTTCCAAGAAGCACCTCAGGAGGAGGCTTCTCTCAGCAATAGGTATGTGGGAGGGACCCCGAGTTTGCTGCCTCAAGGGGAATATACAGCGAGAAGCCCTAACTTGAAAGGAGGCCGGATTTCCTTGCAGTGGCTTGAATACAGGCTCGTCTTTCATCTCACAACATGAAGGGATGTCTGAATCCCCTGTGGAGACCTTAGAGAAAGCCCTAGGTCCCTGCCTCATTTTGACGGAATGCCTCACATCCCGCTGACACCTCGAGAGGCACGCGGAGTTCATTGCTTCAAAAGGTGACGATGCCTGACTCCTCTTGAATACTGATAGGAATCCCAAAATCCCTGTGGCTACTGGAAAGGGTCCTTGGGTGCCCTGCCTCACCTCGAGAAGCGTCCCTTTTGCCCTGCCAAGCCTCGAAGTCATTCCTGAGGTGTCCCTCGTTACTAGACAGGAGTCCTGACGTCACTGAAGAAACTCGTGTTTTGAAGGGCCATCCCCGCCGTAAGTCGAGAACATACCCCAGGTCCCCGCCGCAACTCGAGAAAAACCATGAGACTTCCCCCTAGAGGCGAGATGAGGCCCCATTCCCCTGCAGTGCATGCAGAGCTATTCCGTGATCCCATTCAAACAAGTCAGGAGCTTCGGCTTGCTTAATGGATCTCGAGACAGTCCCCAAGAACACTGTCACCCGTCTAGACGGACCCTGAGGTCACCCCAGCAAAGCAAAGCAGCTCCATGTGCCCCAAATCAACTCGAGATGAGGCCCGATTCCCCTGCATTGACTCCAGAGCCATTCCCCGTTCCCCATTCAACACGACCGGTGGCTCGACTTCCTTCAGGCAACTCCAGAGATGCCCCGAGAACACTGTCCCAAGTCTAGAGGAACACCAACTTCAGCACAGCAACTCGAGGAATGCTCCGTCTACCCCAAATCGTCTCGAGATGCGAGCTGATTCCCTGGCTTAGGCTCAAGACGTATGCCAACCTCCCAGAAGCACCTCAGGAGGAGGCTTCTCTCAGCAATAGGTATGTGGGAGGGACCCCGAGTTTGCTGCCTCAAGGGGAATATACAGCGAGAAGCCCTAACTTGAAAGGAGGCCGGATTTCCTTGCAGTGGCTTGAATACAGGCTCGTCTTTCATCTCACAACATGAAGGGATGTCTGAATCCCCTGTGGAGACCTTAGAGAAAGCCCTAGGTCCCTGCCTCATTTTGACGGAATGCCTCACATCCCGCTGACACCTCGAGAGGCACGCGGAGTTCATTGCTTCAAAAGGTGACGATGCCTGACTCCTCTTGAATACTGATAGGAATCCCAAAATCCCTGTGGCTACTGGAAAGGGTCCTTGGGTGCCCTGCCTCACCTCGAGAAGCGTCCCTTTGGCCCTGCCAAGCCTCGAAGAGATTCCTGAGGTGTCCCTCGTTACTAGACAGGAGTCCTGACGTCACTGAAGAAACTCGTGTTTTGAAGGGCCATCCCCGCCGTAAGTCGAGAACATACCCCAGGTCCCCGCCGCAACTCGAGAAAAACCATGAGACTTCCCCCTAGAGGCGAGATGAGGCCCCATTCCCCTGCAGTGCATGCAGAGCTATTCCGTGATCCCATTCAAACAAGTCAGGAGCTTCGGCTTGCTTAATGGATCTCGAGACAGTCCCCAAGAACACTGTCACCAGTCTAGACGGACCCTGAGGTCACCCCAGCAACGCAAAGCAGCTCCATGTGCCCCAAATCAACTCGAGATGAGGCCCGGTTCCCCTGCATTGACTCCAGAGCCATTCCCCGTTCCCCATTCAACACGACCGTTGGCTCGACTTCCTTCAGGCAACTCCAGAGATGCCCCGAGAACACTGTCCCAAGTCTAGAGGAACACCAACTTCAGCACAGCAACTCGAGGAATGCTCCGTGTACCCCAAATCGTCTCGAGATGCGAGCTGATTCCCTGGCTTAGGCTCAAGACATATGCCAACTTCCCAGAAGCACCTCAGGAGGAGGCTTCTCTCAGCAATAGGTATGTGGGAGGGACCCCGAGTTTGCTGCCTCAAGGGGAATATACAGCGAGAAGCCCTAACTTGAAAGGAGGCCGGATTTCCTTGCAGTGGCTTGAATACAGGCTCGTCTTTCATCTCACAACATGAAGGGATGTCTGAATCCCCTGTGGAGACCTTAGAGAAAGCCCTAGGTACCTGCCTCATTTTGACGGAATGCCTCACATCCCGCTGACACCTCGAGAGGCACGCGGAGTTCATTGCTTCAAAAGGTGACGATGCCTGACTCCTCTTGAATACTGATAGGAATCCCAAAATCCCTGTGGCTACTGGAAAGGGTCCTTGGGTGCCCTGCCTCACCTCGAGTAGCGTCCCTTTGGCCCTGCCAAGCCTCGAAGAGATTCCTGAGGTGTCCCTCGTTACTAGACAGGAGTCCTGACGTCAATGAAGAAACTCGTGTTTTGAAGGGCCATCCCCGCCGTAAGTCGAGAACATACCCCAGGTCCCCGCCGCAACTCGAGAAAAACCATGAGACTTCCCCCTAGAGGCGAGATGAGGCCCCATTCCCCTGCAGTGCATGCAGAGCTATTCCGTGATCCCATTCAAACAAGTCAGGAGCTTCGGCTTGCTTAATGGATCTCGAGACAGTCCCCAAGAACACTGTCACCAGTCTAGACGGACCCTGAGGTCACCCCAGCAACGCAAAGCAGCTCCATGTGCCCCAAATCAACTCGAGATGAGGCCCGATTCCCCTGCATTGACTCCAGAGCCATTCCCCCTTCCACATTCAACACGACCGGTGGCTCGACTTCCTTCAGGCAACTCCAGAGATGCCCTGAGAACACTGTCCCAAGTCTAGAGGAACACCAACTTCAGCACAGCAACTCGAGGAATGCTCCGTGTACCCCAAATCGTCTCGAGATGCGAGCTGATTCCCTGGCTTAGGCTCAAGACGTATGCCAACTTCCCAGAAGCACCTCAGGAGGAGGCTTCTCTCAGCAATAGGTATGTGGGAGGGACCCCGAGTTTGCTGCCTCAAGGGGAATATACAGCGAGAAGCCCTAACTTGAAAGGAGGCCGGATTTCCTTGCAGTGGCTTGAATACAGGCTCGTCTTTCATCTCACAACATGAAGGGATGTCTGAATCCCCTGTGGAGACCTTAGAGAAAGCCCTAGGTCCCTGCCTCATTTTGACGGAATGCCTCACATCCCGCTGACACCTCGAGAGGCACGCGGAGTTCATTGCTTCAAAAGGTGACGATGCCTGACTCCTCTTGAATACTGATAGGAATCCCAAAATCCCTGTGGCTACTGGAAAGGGTCCTTGGGTGCCCTGCCTCACCTCGAGAAGCGTCCCTTTGGCCCTGCCAAGCCTCGAAGAGATTCCTGAGGTGTCCCTCGTTACTAGACAGGAGTCCTGACGTCACTGAAGAAACTCGTGTTTTGAAGGGCCATCCCCGCCGTAAGTCGAGAACATACCCCAGGTCCCCGCCGCAACTCGAGAAAAACCATGAGACTTCCCCCTAGAGGCGAGATGAGGCCCCATTCCCCTGCAGTGCATGCAGAGCTATTCCGTGATCCCATTCAAACAAGTCAGGAGCTTCGACTTGCTTAATGGATCTCGAGACAGTCCCCAAGAACACTGTCACCAGTCTAGACGGACCCTGAGGTCACCCCAGCAACGCAAAGCAGCTCCATGTGCCCCAAATCAACTCGAGATGAGGCCCGGTTCCCCTGCATTGACTCCAGAGCCATTCCCCGTTCCCCATTCAACACGACCGGTGGCTCGACTTCCTTCAGGCAACTCCAGAGATGCCCCGAGAACACTGTCCCAAGTCTAGAGGAACACCAACTTCAGCACAGCAACTCGAGGAATGCTCCGTGTACCCCAAATCGTCTCGAGATGCGAGCTGATTCCCTGGCTTAGGCTCAAGACGTATGCCAACTTCCCAGAAGCACCTCAGGAGGAGGCTTCTCTCAGCAATAGGTATGTGGGAGGGACCCCGAGTTTGCTGCCTCAAGGGGAATATACAGCGAGAAGCCCTAACTTGAAAGGAGGCCGGATTTCCTTGCAGTGGCTTGAATACAGGCTCGTCTTTCATCTCACAACATGAAGGGATGTCTGAATCCCCTGTGGAGACCTTAGAGAAAGCCCTAGGTCCCTGCCTCATTTTGACGGAATGCCTCACATCGCGCTGACACCTCGAGAGGCACGCGGAGTTCATTGCTTCAAAAGGTGACGATGCCTGACTCCTCTTGAATACTGATAGGAATCCCAAAATCCCTGTGGCTACTGGAAAGGGTCCTTGGGTGCCCTGCCTCACCTCGAGAAGCGTCCCTTTGGCCCTGCCAAGCCTCGAAGAGATTCCTGAGGTGTCCCTCGTTACTAGACAGGAGTCCTGACGTCACTGAAGAAACTCGTGTTTTGAAGGGCCATCCCCGCCGTAAGTCGAGAACATACCCCAGGTCCCCGCCGCAACTCGAGAAAAACCATGAGACTTCCCCCTAGAGGCGAGATGAGGCCCCATTCCCCTGCAGTGCATGCAGAGCTATTCCGTGATCCCATTCAAACAAGTCAGGAGCTTCAACTTGCTTAATGGATCTCGAGACAGTCCCCAAGAACACTGTCACCAGTCTAGACGGACCCTGAGGTCACCCCAGCAACGCAAAGCAGCTCCATGTGCCCCAAATCAACTCGAGATGAGGCCCGATTCCCGTGCATTGACTTCAGAGCCGTTCCCCGTTCCCCATTCAACAGGACCGGTGGCTCGACTTCCTTCAGGCAACTCCAGAGATGCCCCGAGAACACTGTCCCAAGTCTAGAGGAACACCAACTTCAGCACAGCAACTCGAGGAATGCTCCGTGTACCCCAAATCGTCTCGAGATGCGAGCTGATTCCCTGGCTTAGGCTCAAGACGTATGCCAACTTCCCAGAAGCACCTCAGGAGGAGGCTTCTCTCAGCAATAGGTATGTGGGAGGGACCCCGAGTTTGCTGCCTCAAGGGGAATATACAGCGAGAAGCCCTAACTTGAAAGGAGGCCGGATTTCCTTGCAGTGGCTTGAATACAGGCTCGTCTTTCATCTCACAACATGAAGGGATGTCTGAATCCCCTGTGGAGACCTTAGAGAAAGCCCTAGGTTCCTGCCTCATTTTGACGGAATGCCTCACATCCCGCTGACACCTCGAGAGGCACGCGGAGTTCATTGCTTCAAAAGGTGACGATGCCTGACTCCTCTTGAATACTGATAGGAATCCCAAAATCCCTGTGGCTACTGGACAGGGTCCTTGGGTGCCCTGCCTCACCTCGAGAAGCGTCCCTTTGGCCCTGCCAAGCCTCGAAGAGATTCCTGAGGTGTCCCTCGTTACTAGACAGGAGTCCTGACGTCACTGAAGAAACTCGTGTTTTGAAGGGCCATCCCCGCCGTAAGTCGAGAACATACCCCAGGTCCCCGCCGCAACTCGAGAAAAACCATGAGACTTCCCCCTAGAGGCGAGATGAGGCCCCATTCCCCTGCAGTGCATGCAGAGCTATTCCGTGATCCCATTCAAACAAGTCAGGAGCTTCGCCTTGCTTAATGGATCTCGAGACAGTCCCCAAGAACACTGTCACCAGTCTAGACGGACCCTGAGGTCACCCCAGCAACGCAAAGCAGCTCCATGTGCCCCAAATCAACTCGAGATGAGGCCCGATTCCCCTGCATTGACTGCAGAGCCATTCCCCGTTCCCCATTCAACACGACCGGTGGCTCGACTTCCTTCAGGCAACTCCAGAGATGCCCCGAGAACACTGTCCCAAGTCTAGAGGAACACCAACTTTAGCACAGCAACTCGAGGAATGCTCCGTGTACCCCAAATCGTCTCGAGATGCGAGCTGATTCCCTGGCTTAGGCTCAAGACGTATGCCAACTTCCCAGAAGCACCTCAGGAGGAGGCTTCTCTCAGCAATAGGTATGTGGGAGGGACCCCGAGTTTGCTGCCTCAAGGGGAATATACAGCGAGAAGCCCTAACTTGAAAGGAGGCCGGATTTCCTTGCAGTGGCTTGAATACAGGCTCGTCTTTCATCTCACAACATGAAGGGATGTCTGAATCCCCTGTGGAGACCTTAGAGAAAGCCCTAGGTCCCTGCCTCATTTTGACGGAATGCCTCTCATCCCGCTGACACCTCGAGAGGCACGCGGAGTTCATTGCTTCAAAAGGTGACGATGCCTGACTCCTCTTGAATACTGATAGGAATCCCAAAATCCCTGTGGCCTACTGGAAAGGGTCCTTGGGTGCCCTGCCTCACCTCGAGAAGTGTCCCGTTTGCCCTGCCAAGCCTCGAAGAGATTCCTGAGGTGTCCCTCGTTACTAGACAGGAGTCCTGACGTCACTGAAGAAACTCGTGTTTTCAAGGGCCATCCCCGCCGTAAGTCGAGAACATACCCCAGGTCCCCGCCGCAACTCGAGAAAAACCATGAGACTTCCCCCTAGAGGCGAGATGAGGCCCCATTCCCCTGCAGTGCATGCAGAGCTATTCCGTGATCCCATTCAAACAAGTCAGGAGCTTCGGCTTGCTTAATGGATCTCGAGACAGTCCCCAAGAACACTGTCACCAGTCTAGACGGACCCTGAGGTCACCCCAGCAACGCAAAGCAGCTCCATGTGCCCCAAATCAACTCGAGATGAGGCCCGATTCCCCTGCATTGACTCCAGTGCCATTCCCCGTTCCCCATTCAACACGACCGGTGGCTCGACTTCCTTCAGGCAACTCCAGAGATGCCCCGAGAACACTGTCCCAAGTCTAGAGGAACACCAACTTCAGCACAGCAACTCGAGGAATGCTCCGTGTACCCCAAATCGTCTCGAGATGCGAGCTGATTCCCTGGCTTAGGCTCAAGACGTATGCCAACTTCCCAGAAGCACCTCAGGAGGAGGCTTCTCTCAGCAATAGGTATGTGGGAGGGACCCCGAGTTTGCTGCCTCAAGGGGAATATACAGCGAGAAGCCCTAACTTGAAAGGAGGCCGGATTTCCTTGCAGTGGCTTGAATACAGGCTCGTCTTTCATCTCACAACATGAAGGGATGTCTGAATCCCCTGTGGAGACCTTAGAGAAAGCCCTAGGTTCCTGCCTCATTTTGACGGAATGCCTCACATCCCGCTGACACCTCGAGAGGCACGCGGAGTTCATTGCTTCAAAAGGTGACGATGCCTGACTCCTCTTGAATACTGATAGGAATCCCAAAATCCCTGTGGCTACTGGACAGGGTCCTTGGGTGCCCTGCCTCACCTCGAGAAGCGTCCCTTTGGCCCTGCCAAGCCTCGAAGAGATTCCTGAGGTGTCCCTCGTTACTAGACAGGAGTCCTGACGTCACTGAAGAAACTCGTGTTTTGAAGGGCCATCCCCGCCGTAAGTCGAGAACATACCCCAGGTCCCCGCCGCAACTCGAGAAAAACCATGAGACTTCCCCCTAGAGGCGAGATGAGGCCCCATTCCCCTGCAGTGCATGCAGAGCTATTCCGTGATCCCATTCAAACAAGTCAGGAGCTTCGCCTTGCTTAATGGATCTCGAGACAGTCCCCAAGAACACTGTCACCAGTCTAGACGGACCCTGAGGTCACCCCAGCAACGCAAAGCAGCTCCATGTGCCCCAAATCAACTCGAGATGAGGCCCGATTCCCCTGCATTGACTGCAGAGCCATTCCCCGTTCCCCATTCAACACGACCGGTGGCTCGACTTCCTTCAGGCAACTCCAGAGATGCCCCGAGAACACTGTCCCAAGTCTAGAGGAACACCAACTTTAGCACAGCAACTCGAGGAATGCTCCGTGTACCCCAAATCGTCTCGAGATGCGAGCTGATTCCCTGGCTTAGGCTCAAGACGTATGCCAACTTCCCAGAAGCACCTCAGGAGGAGGCTTCTCTCAGCAATAGGTATGTGGGAGGGACCCCGAGTTTGCTGCCTCAAGGGGAATATACAGCGAGAAGCCCTAACTTGAAAGGAGGCCGGATTTCCTTGCAGTGGCTTGAATACAGGCTCGTCTTTCATCTCACAACATGAAGGGATGTCTGAATCCCCTGTGGAGACCTTAGAGAAAGCCCTAGGTCCCTGCCTCATTTTGACGGAATGCCTCTCATCCCGCTGACACCTCGAGAGGCACGCGGAGTTCATTGCTTCAAAAGGTGACGATGCCTGACTCCTCTTGAATACTGATAGGAATCCCAAAATCCCTGTGGCCTACTGGAAAGGGTCCTTGGGTGCCCTGCCTCACCTCGAGAAGTGTCCCGTTTGCCCTGCCAAGCCTCGAAGAGATTCCTGAGGTGTCCCTCGTTACTAGACAGGAGTCCTGACGTCACTGAAGAAACTCGTGTTTTCAAGGGCCATCCCCGCCGTAAGTCGAGAACATACCCCAGGTCCCCGCCGCAACTCGAGAAAAACCATGAGACTTCCCCCTAGAGGCGAGATGAGGCCCCATTCCCCTGCAGTGCATGCAGAGCTATTCCGTGATCCCATTCAAACAAGTCAGGAGCTTCGGCTTGCTTAATGGATCTCGAGACAGTCCCCAAGAACACTGTCACCAGTCTAGACGGACCCTGAGGTCACCCCAGCAACGCAAAGCAGCTCCATGTGCCCCAAATCAACTCGAGATGAGGCCCGATTCCCCTGCATTGACTCCAGTGCCATTCCCCGTTCCCCATTCAACACGACCGGTGGCTCGACTTCCTTCAGGCAACTCCAGAGATGCCCCGAGAACACTGTCCCAAGTCTAGAGGAACACCAACTTCAGCACAGCAACTCGAGGAATGCTCCGTGTACCCCAAATCGTCTCGAGATGCGAGCTGATTCCCTGGCTTAGGCTCAAGACGTATGCCAACTTCCCAGAAGCACCTCAGGAGGAGGCTTCTCTCAGCAATAGGTATGTGGGAGGGACCCCGAGTTTGCTGCCTCAAGGGGAATATACAGCGAGAAGCCCTAACTTGAAAGGAGGCCGGATTTCCTTGCAGTGGCTTGAATACAGGCTCGTCTTTCATCTCACAACATGAAGGGATGTCTGAATCCCCTGTGGAGACCTTAGAGAAAGCCCTAGGTTCCTGCCTCATTTTGACGGAATGCCTCACATCCCGCTGACACCTCGAGAGGCACGCGGAGTTCATTGCTTCAAAAGGTGACGATGCCTGACTCCTCTTGAATACTGATAGGAATCCCAAAATCCCTGTGGCTACTGGACAGGGTCCTTGGGTGCCCTGCCTCACCTCGAGAAGCGTCCCTTTGGCCCTGCCAAGCCTCGAAGAGATTCCTGAGGTGTCCCTCGTTACTAGACAGGAGTCCTGACGTCACTGAAGAAACTCGTGTTTTGAAGGGCCATCCCCGCCGTAAGTCGAGAACATACCCCAGGTCCCCGCCGCAACTCGAGAAAAACCATGAGACTTCCCCCTAGAGGCGAGATGAGGCCCCATTCCCCTGCAGTGCATGCAGAGCTATTCCGTGATCCCATTCAAACAAGTCAGGAGCTTCGCCTTGCTTAATGGATCTCGAGACAGTCCCCAAGAACACTGTCACCAGTCTAGACGGACCCTGAGGTCACCCCAGCAACGCAAAGCAGCTCCATGTGCCCCAAATCAACTCGAGATGAGGCCCGATTCCCCTGCATTGACTGCAGAGCCATTCCCCGTTCCCCATTCAACACGACCGGTGGCTCGACTTCCTTCAGGCAACTCCAGAGATGCCCCGAGAACACTGTCCCAAGTCTAGAGGAACACCAACTTTAGCACAGCAACTCGAGGAATGCTCCGTGTACCCCAAATCGTCTCGAGATGCGAGCTGATTCCCTGGCTTAGGCTCAAGACGTATGCCAACTTCCCAGAAGCACCTCAGGAGGAGGCTTCTCTCAGCAATAGGTATGTGGGAGGGACCCCGAGTTTGCTGCCTCAAGGGGAATATACAGCGAGAAGCCCTAACTTGAAAGGAGGCCGGATTTCCTTGCAGTGGCTTGAATACAGGCTCGTCTTTCATCTCACAACATGAAGGGATGTCTGAATCCCCTGTGGAGACCTTAGAGAAAGCCCTAGGTCCCTGCCTCATTTTGACGGAATGCCTCACATCCCGCTGACACCTCGAGAGGCACGCGGAGTTCATTGCTTCAAAAGGTGACGATGCCTGACTCCTCTTGAATACTGATAGGAATCCCAAAATCCCTGTGGCTACTGGAAAGGGTCCTTGGGTGCCCTGCCTCACCTCGAGAAGCGTCCCTTTTGCCCTGCCAAGCCTCGAAGTCATTCCTGAGGTGTCCCTCGTTACTAGACAGGAGTCCTGACGTCACTGAAGAAACTCGTGTTTTGAAGGGCCATCCCCGCCGTAAGTCGAGAACATACCCCAGGTCCCCGCCGCAACTCGAGAAAAACCATGAGACTTCCCCCTAGAGGCGAGATGAGGCCCCATTCCCCTGCAGTGCATGCAGAGCTATTCCGTGATCCCATTCAAACAAGTCAGGAGCTTCGGCTTGCTTAATGGATCTCGAGACAGTCCCCAAGAACACTGTCACCCGTCTAGACGGACCCTGAGGTCACCCCAGCAACGCAAAGCAGCTCCATGTGCCCCAAATCAACTCGAGATGAGGCCCGATTCCCCTGCATTGACTCCAGAGCCATTCCCCGTTCCCCATTCAACACGACCGGTGGCTCGACTTCCTTCAGGCAACTCCAGAGATGCCCCGAGAACACTGTCCCAAGTCTAGAGGAACACCAACTTCAGCACAGCAACTCGAGGAATGCTCCGTCTACCCCAAATCGTCTCGAGATGCGAGCTGATTCCCTGGCTTAGGCTCAAGACGTATGCCAACCTCCCAGAAGCACCTCAGGAGGAGGCTTCTCTCAGCAATAGGTATGTGGGAGGGACCCCGAGTTTGCTGCCTCAAGGGGAATATACAGCGAGAAGCCCTAACTTGAAAGGAGGCCGGATTTCCTTGCAGTGGCTTGAATACAGGCTCGTCTTTCATCTCACAACATGAAGGGATGTCTGAATCCCCTGTGGAGACCTTAGAGAAAGCCCTAGGTCCCTGCCTCATTTTGACGGAATGCCTCACATCCCGCTGACACCTCGAGAGGCACGCGGAGTTCATTGCTTCAAAAGGTGACGATGCCTGACTCCTCTTGAATACTGATAGGAATCCCAAAATCCCTGTGGCTACTGGAAAGGGTCCTTGGGTGCCCTGCCTCACCTCGAGAAGCGTCCCTTTGGCCCTGCCAAGCCTCGAAGAGATTCCTGAGGTGTCCCTCGTTACTAGACAGGAGTCCTGACGTCACTGAAGAAACTCGTGTTTTGAAGGGCCATCCCCGCCGTAAGTCGAGAACATACCCCAGGTCCCCGCCGCAACTCGAGAAAAACCATGAGACTTCCCCCTAGAGGCGAGATGAGGCCCCATTCCCCTGCAGTGCATGCAGAGCTATTCCGTGATCCCATTCAAACAAGTCAGGAGCTTCGGCTTGCTTAATGGATCTCGAGACAGTCCCCAAGAACACTGTCACCAGTCTAGACGGACCCTGAGGTCACCCCAGCAACGCAAAGCAGCTCCATGTGCCCCAAATCAACTCGAGATGAGGCCCGGTTCCCCTGCATTGACTCCAGAGCCATTCCCCGTTCCCCATTCAACACGACCGTTGGCTCGACTTCCTTCAGGCAACTCCAGAGATGCCCCGAGAACACTGTCCCAAGTCTAGAGGAACACCAACTTCAGCACAGCAACTCGAGGAATGCTCCGTGTACCCCAAATCGTCTCGAGATGCGAGCTGATTCCCTGGCTTAGGCTCAAGACATATGCCAACTTCCCAGAAGCACCTCAGGAGGAGGCTTCTCTCAGCAATAGGTATGTGGGAGGGACCCCGAGTTTGCTGCCTCAAGGGGAATATACAGCGAGAAGCCCTAACTTGAAAGGAGGCCGGATTTCCTTGCAGTGGCTTGAATACAGGCTCGTCTTTCATCTCACAACATGAAGGGATGTCTGAATCCCCTGTGGAGACCTTAGAGAAAGCCCTAGGTACCTGCCTCATTTTGACGGAATGCCTCACATCCCGCTGACACCTCGAGAGGCACGCGGAGTTCATTGCTTCAAAAGGTGACGATGCCTGACTCCTCTTGAATACTGATAGGAATCCCAAAATCCCTGTGGCTACTGGAAAGGGTCCTTGGGTGCCCTGCCTCACCTCGAGAAGCGTCCCTTTTGCCCTGCCAAGCCTCGAAGTCATTCCTGAGGTGTCCCTCGTTACTAGACAGGAGTCCTGACGTCACTGAAGAAACTCGTGTTTTGAAGGGCCATCCCCGCCGTAAGTCGAGAACATACCCCAGGTCCCCGCCGCAACTCGAGAAAAACCATGAGACTTCCCCCTAGAGGCGAGATGAGGCCCCATTCCCCTGCAGTGCATGCAGAGCTATTCCGTGATCCCATTCAAACAAGTCAGGAGCTTCGGCTTGCTTAATGGATCTCGAGACAGTCCCCAAGAACACTGTCACCCGTCTAGACGGACCCTGAGGTCACCCCAGCAACGCAAAGCAGCTCCATGTGCCCCAAATCAACTCGAGATGAGGCCCGATTCCCCTGCATTGACTCCAGAGCCATTCCCCGTTCCCCATTCAACACGACCGGTGGCTCGACTTCCTTCAGGCAACTCCAGAGATGCCCCGAGAACACTGTCCCAAGTCTAGAGGAACACCAACTTCAGCACAGCAACTCGAGGAATGCTCCGTCTACCCCAAATCGTCTCGAGATGCGAGCTGATTCCCTGGCTTAGGCTCAAGACGTATGCCAACCTCCCAGAAGCACCTCAGGAGGAGGCTTCTCTCAGCAATAGGTATGTGGGAGGGACCCCGAGTTTGCTGCCTCAAGGGGAATATACAGCGAGAAGCCCTAACTTGAAAGGAGGCCGGATTTCCTTGCAGTGGCTTGAATACAGGCTCGTCTTTCATCTCACAACATGAAGGGATGTCTGAATCCCCTGTGGAGACCTTAGAGAAAGCCCTAGGTCCCTGCCTCATTTTGACGGAATGCCTCACATCCCGCTGACACCTCGAGAGGCACGCGGAGTTCATTGCTTCAAAAGGTGACGATGCCTGACTCCTCTTGAATACTGATAGGAATCCCAAAATCCCTGTGGCTACTGGAAAGGGTCCTTGGGTGCCCTGCCTCACCTCGAGAAGCGTCCCTTTGGCCCTGCCAAGCCTCGAAGAGATTCCTGAGGTGTCCCTCGTTACTAGACAGGAGTCCTGACGTCACTGAAGAAACTCGTGTTTTGAAGGGCCATCCCCGCCGTAAGTCGAGAACATACCCCAGGTCCCCGCCGCAACTCGAGAAAAACCATGAGACTTCCCCCTAGAGGCGAGATGAGGCCCCATTCCCCTGCAGTGCATGCAGAGCTATTCCGTGATCCCATTCAAACAAGTCAGGAGCTTCGGCTTGCTTAATGGATCTCGAGACAGTCCCCAAGAACACTGTCACCAGTCTAGACGGACCCTGAGGTCACCCCAGCAACGCAAAGCAGCTCCATGTGCCCCAAATCAACTCGAGATGAGGCCCGGTTCCCCTGCATTGACTCCAGAGCCATTCCCCGTTCCCCATTCAACACGACCGTTGGCTCGACTTCCTTCAGGCAACTCCAGAGATGCCCCGAGAACACTGTCCCAAGTCTAGAGGAACACCAACTTCAGCACAGCAACTCGAGGAATGCTCCGTGTACCCCAAATCGTCTCGAGATGCGAGCTGATTCCCTGGCTTAGGCTCAAGACATATGCCAACTTCCCAGAAGCACCTCAGGAGGAGGCTTCTCTCAGCAATAGGTATGTGGGAGGGACCCCGAGTTTGCTGCCTCAAGGGGAATATACAGCGAGAAGCCCTAACTTGAAAGGAGGCCGGATTTCCTTGCAGTGGCTTGAATACAGGCTCGTCTTTCATCTCACAACATGAAGGGATGTCTGAATCCCCTGTGGAGACCTTAGAGAAAGCCCTAGGTACCTGCCTCATTTTGACGGAATGCCTCACATCCCGCTGACACCTCGAGAGGCACGCGGAGTTCATTGCTTCAAAAGGTGACGATGCCTGACTCCTCTTGAATACTGATAGGAATCCCAAAATCCCTGTGGCTACTGGAAAGGGTCCTTGGGTGCCCTGCCTCACCTCGAGTAGCGTCCCTTTGGCCCTGCCAAGCCTCGAAGAGATTCCTGAGGTGTCCCTCGTTACTAGACAGGAGTCCTGACGTCAATGAAGAAACTCGTGTTTTGAAGGGCCATCCCCGCCGTAAGTCGAGAACATACCCCAGGTCCCCGCCGCAACTCGAGAAAAACCATGAGACTTCCCCCTAGAGGCGAGATGAGGCCCCATTCCCCTGCAGTGCATGCAGAGCTATTCCGTGATCCCATTCAAACAAGTCAGGAGCTTCGGCTTGCTTAATGGATCTCGAGACAGTCCCCAAGAACACTGTCACCAGTCTAGACGGACCCTGAGGTCACCCCAGCAACGCAAAGCAGCTCCATGTGCCCCAAATCAACTCGAGATGAGGCCCGATTCCCCTGCATTGACTCCAGAGCCATTCCCCCTTCCACATTCAACACGACCGGTGGCTCGACTTCCTTCAGGCAACTCCAGAGATGCCCTGAGAACACTGTCCCAAGTCTAGAGGAACACCAACTTCAGCACAGCAACTCGAGGAATGCTCCGTGTACCCCAAATCGTCTCGAGATGCGAGCTGATTCCCTGGCTTAGGCTCAAGACGTATGCCAACTTCCCAGAAGCACCTCAGGAGGAGGCTTCTCTCAGCAATAGGTATGTGGGAGGGACCCCGAGTTTGCTGCCTCAAGGGGAATATACAGCGAGAAGCCCTAACTTGAAAGGAGGCCGGATTTCCTTGCAGTGGCTTGAATACAGGCTCGTCTTTCATCTCACAACATGAAGGGATGTCTGAATCCCCTGTGGAGACCTTAGAGAAAGCCCTAGGTCCCTGCCTCATTTTGACGGAATGCCTCACATCCCGCTGACACCTCGAGAGGCACGCGGAGTTCATTGCTTCAAAAGGTGACGATGCCTGACTCCTCTTGAATACTGATAGGAATCCCAAAATCCCTGTGGCTACTGGAAAGGGTCCTTGGGTGCCCTGCCTCACCTCGAGAAGCGTCCCTTTGGCCCTGCCAAGCCTCGAAGAGATTCCTGAGGTGTCCCTCGTTACTAGACAGGAGTCCTGACGTCACTGAAGAAACTCGTGTTTTGAAGGGCCATCCCCGCCGTAAGTCGAGAACATACCCCAGGTCCCCGCCGCAACTCGAGAAAAACCATGAGACTTCCCCCTAGAGGCGAGATGAGGCCCCATTCCCCTGCAGTGCATGCAGAGCTATTCCGTGATCCCATTCAAACAAGTCAGGAGCTTCGACTTGCTTAATGGATCTCGAGACAGTCCCCAAGAACACTGTCACCAGTCTAGACGGACCCTGAGGTCACCCCAGCAACGCAAAGCAGCTCCATGTGCCCCAAATCAACTCGAGATGAGGCCCGGTTCCCCTGCATTGACTCCAGAGCCATTCCCCGTTCCCCATTCAACACGACCGGTGGCTCGACTTCCTTCAGGCAACTCCAGAGATGCCCCGAGAACACTGTCCCAAGTCTAGAGGAACACCAACTTCAGCACAGCAACTCGAGGAATGCTCCGTGTACCCCAAATCGTCTCGAGATGCGAGCTGATTCCCTGGCTTAGGCTCAAGACGTATGCCAACTTCCCAGAAGCACCTCAGGAGGAGGCTTCTCTCAGCAATAGGTATGTGGGAGGGACCCCGAGTTTGCTGCCTCAAGGGGAATATACAGCGAGAAGCCCTAACTTGAAAGGAGGCCGGATTTCCTTGCAGTGGCTTGAATACAGGCTCGTCTTTCATCTCACAACATGAAGGGATGTCTGAATCCCCTGTGGAGACCTTAGAGAAATTCCTAGGTCCCTGCCTCATTTTGACGGAATGCCTCACATCCCGCTGACACCTCGAGAGGCACGCGGAGTTCATTGCTTCAAAAGGTGACGATGCCTGACTCCTCTTGAATACTGATAGGAATCCCAAAATCCCTGTGGCTACTGGAAAGGGTCCTTGGGTGCCCTGCCTCACCTCGAGAAGCGTCCCTTTGGCCCTGCCAAGCCTCGAAGAGATTCCTGATGTGTCCCTCGTTACTAGACAGGAGTCCTGACGTCACTGAAGAAACTCGTGTTTTGAAGGGCCATCCCCGCCGTCAGTCGAGAACATACCCCAGGTCCCCGCCGCAACTCGAGAAAAACCATGAGACTTCCCCCTAGAGGCGAAATGAGGCCCCATTCCCCTGCAGTGCATGCAGAGCTATTCCGTGATCCCATTCAAACAAGTCAGGAGCTTCGGCTTGCTTAATGGATCTCGAGACAGTCCCCAAGAACACTGTCACCAGTCTAGACGGACCCTGAGGTCACCCCAGCAACGCAAAGCAGCTCCATGTGCCCCAAATCAACTCGAGATGAGGCCCGATTCCCCTGCATTGACTGCAGAGCCATTCCCCGTTCCCCATTCAACACGACCGGTGGCTCGACTTCCTTCAGGCAACTCCAGAGATGCCCCGAGAACACTGTCCCAAGTCTAGAGGAACACCAACTTCAGCACAGCAACTCGAGGAATGCTCCGTGTACCCCAAATCGTCTCGAGATGCGAGCTGATTCCCTGGCTTAGGCTCAAGACGTATGCCAACTTCCCAGAAGCACCTCAGGAGGAGGCTTCTCTCAGCAATAGGTATGTGGGAGGGACCCCGAGTTTGCTGCCTCAAGGGGAATATACAGCGAGAAGCCCTAACTTGAAAGGAGGCCGGATTTCCTTGCAGTGGCTTGAATACAGGCTCGTCTTTCATCTCACAACATGAAGGGATGTCTGAATCCCCTGTGGAAACCTTAGAGAAAGCCCTAGGTCCCTGCCTCATTTTGACGGAATGCCTCACATCGCGCTGACACCTCGAGAGGCACGCGGAGTTCATTGCTTCAAAAGGTGACGATGCCTGACTCCTCTTGAATACTGATAGGAATCCCAAAATCCCTGTGGCTACTGGAAAGGGTCCTTGGGTGCCCTGCCTCACCTCGAGAAGCGTCCCTTTTGCCCTGCCAAGCCTCGAAGTCATTCCTGAGGTGTCCCTCGTTACTAGACAGGAGTCCTGACGTCACTGAAGAAACTCGTGTTTTGAAGGGCCATCCCCGCTGTAAGTCGAGAACATACCCCAGGTCCCCGCCGCAACTCGAGAAAAACCATGAGACTTCCCCCTAGAGGCGAGATTAGGCCCCATTCCCCTGCAGTGCATGCAGAGCTATTCCGTGATCCCATTCAAACAAGTCAGGAGCTTCGGCTTGCTTAATGGATCTCGAGACAGTCCCCAAGAACACTGTCACCCGTCTAGACGGACCCTGAGGTCACCCCAGCAACGCAAAGCAGCTCCATGTGCCCCAAATCAACTCGAGATGAGGCCTGATTCCCCTGCATTGACTCCAGAGCCATTCCCCGTTCCCCATTCAACACGACCGGTGGCTCGACTTCCTTCAGGCAACTCCAGAGATGCCCCGAGAACACTGTCCCAAGTCTAGAGGAACACCAACTTCAGCACAGCAACTCGAGGAATGCTCCGTCTACCCCAAATCGTCTCGAGATGCGAGCTGATTCCCTGGCTTAGGCTCAAGACGTATGCCAACCTCCCAGAAGCACCTCAGGAGGAGGCTTCTCTCAGCAATAGGTATGTGGGAGGGACCCCGAGTTTGCTGCCTCAAGGGGAATATACAGCGAGAAGCCCTAACTTGAAAGGAGGCCGGATTTCCTTGCAGTGGCTTGAATACAGGCTCGTCTTTCATCTCACAACATGAAGGGATGTCTGAATCCCCTGTGGAGACCTTAGAGAAAGCCCTAGGTCCCTGCCTCATTTTGACGGAATGCCTCACATCCCGCTGACACCTCGAGAGGCACGCGGAGTTCATTGCTTCAAAAGGTGACGATGCCTGACTCCTCTTGAATACTGATAGGAATCCCAAAATCCCTGTGGCTACTGGAAAGGGTCCTTGGGTGCCCTGCCTCACCTCGAGAAGCGTCCCTTTGGCCCTGCCAAGCCTCGAAGAGATTCCTGAGGTGTCCCTCGTTACTAGACAGGAGTCCTGACGTCACTGAAGAAACTCGTGTTTTGAAGGGCCATCCCCGCCGTAAGTCGAGAACATACCCCAGGTCCCCGCCGCAACTCGAGAAAAACCATGAGACTTCCCCCTAGAGGCGAGATGAGGCCCCATTCCCCTGCAGTGCATGCAGAGCTATTCCGTGATCCCATTCAAACAAGTCAGGAGCTTCGGCTTGCTTAATGGATCTCGAGACAGTCCCCAAGAACACTGTCACCAGTCTAGACGGACCCTGAGGTCACCCCAGCAACGCAAAGCAGCTCCATGTGCCCCAAATCAACTCGAGATGAGGCCCGGTTCCCCTGCATTGACTCCAGAGCCATTCCCCGTTCCCCATTCAACACGACCGGTGGCTCGACTTCCTTCAGGCAACTCCAGAGATGCCCCGAGAACACTGTCCCAAGTCTAGAGGAACACCAACTTCAGCACAGCAACTCGAGGAATGCTCCGTGTACCCCAAATCGTCTCGAGATGCGAGCTGATTCCCTGGCTTAGGCTCAAGACGTATGCCAACTTCCCAGAAGCACCTCAGGAGGAGGCTTCTCTCAGCAATAGGTATGTGGGAGGGACCCCGAGTTTGCTGCCTCAAGGGGAATATACAGCGAGAAGCCCTAACTTGAAAGGAGGCCGGATTTCCTTGCAGTGGCTTGAATACAGGCTCGTCTTTCATCTCACAACATGAAGGGATGTCTGAATCCCCTGTGGAGACCTTAGAGAAAGCCCTAGGTGCCTGCCTCATTTTGACGGAATGCCTCACATCCCGCTGACACCTCGAGAGGCACGCGGAGTTCATTGCTTCAAAAGGTGACGATGCCTGACTCCTCTTGAATACTGATAGGAATCCCAAAATCACTGTGGCTACTGGAAAGGGTCCTTGGTTGCCCTGCCTCACCTCGAGAAGCGTCCCTTTGCCCCTGCCAAGCCTCGAAGAGATTCCTGAGGTGTCCCTCGTTACTAGACAGGAGTCCTGACGTCACTGAAGAAACTCGTGTTTTGAAGGGCCATCCCCGCCGTAAGTCGAGAACATACCCCAGGTCCCCGCCGCAACTCGAGAAAAACCATGAGACTTCCCCCTAGAGGCGAGATGAGGCCCCATTCCCCTGCAGTGCATGCAGAGCTATTCCGTGATCCCATTCAAACACGTCAGGAGCTTCGGCTTGCTTAATGGATCTCGAGACCGTCCCCAATAACACTGTCACCAGTCTAGACGGACCCTGAGGTCACCCCAGCAACGCAAAGCAGCTCCATGTGCCCCAAATCAACTCGAGATGAGGCCCGATTCCCCTGCATTGACTCCAGAGCCATTCCCCGTTCCCCATTCAACACGACCGGTGGCTCGACTTCCTTCAGGCAACTGCAGAGATGCCCCGAGAACACTGTCCCAAGTCTAGAGGAACACCAACTTCAGCACAGCAACTCGAGGAATGCTCCGTGTACCCCAAATCGTCTCGAGATGCGAGCTGATTCCCTGGCTTAGGCTCAAGACGTATGCCAACTTCCCAGAAGCACCTCAGGAGGAGGCTTCTCTCAGCAATAGGTATGTGGGAGGGACCCCGAGTTTGCTGCCTCAAGGGGAATATACAGCGAGAAGCCCTAACTTGAAAGGAGGCCGGATTTCCTTGCAGTGGCTTGAATACAGGCTCGTCTTTCATCTCACAACATGAAGGGATGTCTGAATCCCCTGTGGAGACCTTAGAGAAAGCCCTAGTTCCCTGCCTCATTTTGACGGAATGCCTCACATCCCGCTGACACCTCGAGAGGCACGCGGAGTTCATTGCTTCAAAAGGTGACGATGCCTGACTCCTCTTGAATACTGATAGGAATCCCAAAATCCCTGTGGCTACTGGAAAGGGTCCTTGGGTGCCCTGCCTCACCTCGAGAAGCGTCCCTTTGGCCCTGCCAAGCCTCGAAGAGATTCCTGAGGTGTCCCTCGTTACTAGACAGGAGTCCTGACGTCACTGAAGAAACTCGTGTTTTGAAGGGCCATCCCCGCCGTAAGTCGAGAACATACCCCAGGTCCCCGCCGCAACTCGAGAAAAACCATGAGACTTCCCCCTAGAGGCGAGATGAGGCCCCATTCCCCTGCAGTGCATGCAGAGCTATTCCGTGATCCCATTCAAACAAGTCAGGAGCTTCGGCTTGCTTAATGGATCTCGAGACAGTCCCCAAGAACACTGTCACCCGTCTAGACAGACCCTGAGGTCACCCCAGCAACGCAAAGCAGCTCCATGTGCCCCAAATCAACTCGAGATGAGGCCCGATTCCCCTGCATTGACTCCAGAGCCATTCCCCGTTCCCCATTCAACACGACCGGTGGCTCGACTTCCTTCAGGCAACTCCAGAGATGCCCCGAGAACACTGTCCCAAGTCTAGAGGAACACCAACTTCAGCACAGCAACTCGAGGAATGCTCCGTCTACCCCAAATCGTCTCGAGATGCGAGCTGATTCCCTGGCTTAGGCTCAAGACGTATGCCAACCTCCCAGAAGCACCTCAGGAGGAGGCTTCTCTCAGCAATAGGTATGTGGGAGGGACCCCGAGTTTGCTGCCTCAAGGGGAATATACAGCGAGAAGCCCTAACTTGAAAGGAGGCCGGATTTCCTTGCAGTGGCTTGAATACAGGCTCGTCTTTCATCTCACAACATGAAGGGATGTCTGAATCCCCTGTGGAGACCTTAGAGAAATTCCTAGGTCCCTGCCTCATTTTGACGGAATGCCTCACATCCCGCTGACACCTCGAGAGGCACGCGGAGTTCATTGCTTCAAAAGGTGACGATGCCTGACTCCTCTTGAATACTGATAGGAATCCCAAAATCCCTGTGGCTACTGGAAAGGGTCCTTGGGTGCCCTGCCTCACCTCGAGAAGCGTCCCTTTGGCCCTGCCAAGCCTCGAAGAGATTCCTGATGTGTCCCTCGTTACTAGACAGGAGTCCTGACGTCACTGAAGAAACTCGTGTTTTGAAGGGCCATCCCCGCCGTCAGTCGAGAACATACCCCAGGTCCCCGCCGCAACTCGAGAAAAACCATGAGACTTCCCCCTAGAGGCGAAATGAGGCCCCATTCCCCTGCAGTGCATGCAGAGCTATTCCGTGATCCCATTCAAACAAGTCAGGAGCTTCGGCTTGCTTAATGGATCTCGAGACAGTCCCCAAGAACACTGTCACCAGTCTAGACGGACCCTGAGGTCACCCCAGCAACGCAAAGCAGCTCCATGTGCCCCAAATCAACTCGAGATGAGGCCCGATTCCCCTGCATTGACTGCAGAGCCATTCCCCGTTCCCCATTCAACACGACCGGTGGCTCGACTTCCTTCAGGCAACTCCAGAGATGCCCCGAGAACACTGTCCCAAGTCTAGAGGAACACCAACTTCAGCACAGCAACTCGAGGAATGCTCCGTGTACCCCAAATCGTCTCGAGATGCGAGCTGATTCCCTGGCTTAGGCTCAAGACGTATGCCAACTTCCAAGAAGCACCTCAGGAGGAGGCTTCTCTCAGCAATAGGTATGTGGGAGGGACCCCGAGTTTGCTGCCTCAAGGGGAATATACAGCGAGAAGCCCTAACTTGAAAGGAGGCCGGATTTCCTTGCAGTGGCTTGAATACAGGCTCGTCTTTCATCTCACAACATGAAGGGATGTCTGAATCCCCTGTGGAAACCTTAGAGAAAGCCCTAGGTCCCTGCCTCATTTTGACGGAATGCCTCACATCCCGCTGACACCTCGAGAGGCACGCGGAGTTCATTGCTTCAAAAGGTGACGATGCCTGACTCCTCTTGAATACTGATAGGAATCCCAAAATCCCTGTGGCTACTGGAAAGGGTCCTTGGGTGCCCTGCCTCACCTCGAGAAGCGTCCCTTTTGCCCTGCCAAGCCTCGAAGTCATTCCTGAGGTGTCCCTCGTTACTAGACAGGAGTCCTGACGTCACTGAAGAAACTCGTGTTTTGAAGGGCCATCCCCGCCGTAAGTCGAGAACATACCCCAGGTCCCCGCCGCAACTCGAGAAAAACCATGAGACTTCCCCCTAGAGGCGAGATGAGGCCCCATTCCCCTGCAGTGCATGCAGAGCTATTCCGTGATCCCATTCAAACAAGTCAGGAGCTTCGGCTTGCTTAATGGATCTCGAGACAGTCCCCAAGAACACTGTCACCCGTCTAGACGGACCCTGAGGTCACCCCAGCAACGCAAAGCAGCTCCATGTGCCCCAAATCAACTCGAGATGAGGCCCGATTCCCCTGCATTGACTCCAGAGCCATTCCCCGTTCCCCATTCAACACGACCGGTGGCTCGACTTCCTTCAGGCAACTCCAGAGATGCCCTGAGAACACTGTCCCAAGTCTAGAGGAACACCAACTTCAGCACAGCAACTCGAGGAATGCTCCGTCTACCCCAAATCGTCTCGAGATGCGAGCTGATTCCCTGGCTTAGGCTCAAGACGTATGCCAACCTCCCAGAAGCACCTCAGGAGGAGGCTTCTCTCAGCAATAGGTATGTGGGAGGGACCCCGAGTTCGCTGCCTCAAGGGGAATATACAGCGAGAAGCCCTAACTTGAAAGGAGGCCGGATTTCCTTGCAGTGGCTTGAATACAGGCTCGTCTTTCATCTCACAACATGAAGGGATGTCTGAATCCCCTGTGGAGACCTTAGAGAAAGCCCTAGGTCCCTGCCTCATTTTGACGGAATGCCTCACATCCCGCTGACACCTCGAGAGGCACGCGGAGTTCATTGCTTCAAAAGGTGACGATGCCTGACTCCTCTTGAATACTGATAGGAATCCCAAAATCCCTGTGGCTACTGGAAAGGGTCCTTGGGTGCCCTGCCTCACCTCGAGAAGCGTCCCTTTGGCCCTGCCAAGCCTCGAAGAGATTCCTGAGGTGTCCCTCGTTACTAGACAGGAGTCCTGACGTCACTGAAGAAACTCGTGTTTTGAAGGGCCATCCCCGCCGTAAGTCGAGAACATACCCCAGGTCCCCGCCGCAACTCGAGAAAAACCATGAGACTTCCCCCTAGAGGCGAGATGAGGCCCCATTCCCCTGCAGTGCATGCAGAGCTATTCCGTGATCCCATTCAAACAAGTCAGGAGCTTCGGCTTGCTTAATGGATCTCGAGACAGTCCCCAAGAACACTGTCACCAGTCTAGACGGACCCTGAGGTCACCCCATCAATGCAAAGCAGCTCCATGTGCCCCAAATCAACTCGAGATGAGGCCCGGTTCCCCTGCATTGACTCCAGAGCCATTCCCCGTTCCCCATTCAACACGACCGGTGGCTCGACTTCCTTCAGGCAACTCCAGAGATGCCCCGAGAACACTGTCCCAAGTCTAGATTAACACCAACTTCAGCACAGCAACTCGAGGAATGCTCCGTGTACCCCAAATCGTCTCGAGATGCGAGCTGATTCCCTGGCTTAGGCTCAAGACGTATGCCAACTTCCCAGAAGCACCTCAGGAGGAGGCTTCTCTCAGCAATAGGTATGTGGGAGGGACCCCGAGTTTGCTGCCTCAAGGGGAATATACAGCGAGAAGCCCTAACTTGAAAGGAGGCCGGATTTCCTTGCAGTGGCTTGAATACAGGCTCGTCTTTCATCTCACAACATGAAGGGATGTCTGAATCCCCTGTGGAGACCTTAGAGAAAGCCCTAGGTCCCTGCCTCATTTTGACGGAATGCCTCACATCCCGCTGACACCTCGAGAGGCACGCGGAGTTCATTGCTTCAAAAGGTGACGATGCCTGACTCCTCTTGAATACTGATAGGAATCCCAAAATCCCTGTGGCTACTGGAAAGGGTCCTTGGTTGCCCTGCCTCACCTCGAGAAGCGTCCCTTTGCCCCTGCCAAGCCTCGAAGAGATTCCTGAGGTGTCCCTAGTTACTAGACAGGAGTCCTGACGTCACTGAAGAAACTCGTGTTTTGAAGGGCCATCCCCGCCGTAAGTCGAGAACATACCCCAGGTCCCCGCCGCAACTCGAGAAAAACCATGAGACTTCCCCCTAGAGGCGAGATGAGGCCCCATTCCCCTGCAGTGCATGCAGAGCTATTCCGTGATCCCATTCAAACACGTCAGGAGCTTCGGCTTGCTTAATGGATCTCGAGACAGTCCCCAAGAACACTGTCACCCGTCTAGACGGACCCTGAGGTCACCCCAGCAACGCAAAGCAGCTCCATGTGCCCCAAATCAACTCGAGATGAGGCCCGATTCCCCTGCATTGACTCCAGAGCCATTCCCCGTTCCCCATTCAACACGACCGGTGGCTCGACTTCCTTCAGGCAACTCCAGAGATGCCCCGAGAACACTGTCCCAAGTCTAGAGGAACACCAACTTCAGCACAGCAACTCGAGGAATGCTCCGTCTACCCCAAATCGTCTCGAGATGCGAGCTGATCCCCTGGCTTAGGCTCAAGACGGATGCCAACTTCCCAGAAGCACCTCAGGAGGAGGCTTCTCTCAGCAATAGGTATGTGGGAGGGACCCCGAGTTTGCTGCCTCAAGGGGAATATACAGCGAGAAGCCCTAACTTGAAAGGAGGCCGGATTTCCTTGCAGTGGCTTGAATACAGGCTCGTCTTTCATCTCACAACATGAAGGGATGTCTGAATCCCCTGTGGAGACCTTAGAGAAAGCCCTAGGTCCCTGCCTCATTTTGACGGAATGCCTCACATCCCGCTGACACCTCGAGAGGCACGCGGAGTTCATTGCTTCAAAAGGTGACGATGCCTGACTCCTCTTGAATACTGATAGGAATCCCAAAATCCCTGTGGCTACTGGAAAGGGTCCTTGGGTGCCCTGCCTCACCTCGAGAAGCGTCCCTTTTGCCCTGCCAAGCCTCGAAGAGATTCCTGAGGTGTCCCTCGTTACTAGACAGGAGTCCTGACGTCACTGAAGAAACTCGTGTTTTGAAGGGCCATCCCCGCCGTAAGTCGAGAACATACCCCAGGTCCCCGCCGCAACTCGAGAAAAACCATGAGACTTCCCCCTAGAGGCGAGATGAGGCCCCATTCCCCTGCAGTGCATGCAGAGCTATTCCGTGATCCCATTCAAACAAGTCAGGAGCTTCGGCTTGCTTAATGGATCTCGAGACAGTCCCCAAGAACACTGTCACCCGTCTAGACGGACCCTGAGGTCACCCCAGCAACGCAAAGCAGCTCCATGTGCCCCAAATCAACTCGAGATGAGGCCCGATTCCCCTGCATTGACTCCAGAGCCATTCCCCGTTCCCCATTCAACACGACCGGTGGCTCGACTTCCTTCAGGCAACTCCAGAGATGCCCCGAGAACACTGTCCCAAGTCTAGAGGAACACCAACCTCAGCACAGCAACTCGAGGAATGCTCCATCTACCCCAAATCGTCTCGAGATGCGAGCTGATTCCCTGGCTTAGGCTCAAGACGTATGCCAACCTCCCAGAAGCACCTCAGGAGGAGGCTTCTCTCAGCAATATATATGTGGGAGGGACCCCGAGTTTGCTGCCTCAAGGGGAATATACAGCGAGAAGCCCTAACTTGAAAGGAGGCCGGATTTCCTTGCAGTGGCTTGAATACAGGCTCGTCTTTCATCTCACAACATGAAGGGATGTCTGAATCCCCTGTGGAGACCTTAGAGAAAGCCCTAGGTCCCTGCCTCATTTTGACGGAATGCCTCACATCCCGCTGACACCTCGAGAGGCACGCGGAGTTCATTGCTTCAAAAGGTGACGATGCCTGACTCCTCTTGAATACTGATAGGAATCCCAAAATCCCTGTGGCTACTGGAAAGGGTCCTTGGGTGCCATGCCTCACCTCGAGAAGCGTCCCTTTGGCCCTGCCAAGCCTCGAAGAGATTCCTGAGGTGTCCCTCGTTACTAGACAGGAGTCCTGACGTCACTGAAGAAACTCGTGTTTTGAAGGGCCATCCCCGCTGTAAGTCGAGAACATACCCCAGGTCCCCGCCGCAACTCGAGAAAAACCATGAGACTTCCCCCTAGAGGCGAGATGAGGCCCCATTCCCCTGCAGTGCATGCAGAGCTATTCCGTGATCCCATTCAAACAAGTCAGGAGCTTCGGCTTGCTTAATGGATCTCGAGACAGTCCCCAAGAACACTGTCACCAGTCTAGACGGACCCTGAGGTCACCCCAGCAACGCAAAGCAGCTCCATGTGCCCCAAATCAACTCGAGATGAGGCCCGATTCCCCTGCATTGACTGCAGAGCCATTCCCCGTTCCCCATTCAACACGACCGGTGGCTTGACTTCCTTCAGGCAACTCCAGAGATGCCCCGAGAACACTGTCCCAAGTCTAGAGGAACACCAACTTCAGCACAGCAACTCGAGGAATGCTCCGTGTACCCCAAATCGTCTCGAGATGCGAGCTGATTCCCTGGCTTAGGCTCAAGACGTATGCCAACTTCCAAGAAGCACCTCAGGAGGAGGCTTCTCTCAGCAATAGGTATGTGGGAGGGACCCCGAGTTTGCTGCCTCAAGGGGAATATACAGCGAGAAGCCCTAACTTGAAAGGAGGCCGGATTTCCTTGCAGTGGCTTGAATACAGGCTCGTCTTTCATCTCACAACATGAAGGGATGTCTGAATCCCCTGTGGAAACCTTAGAGAAAGCCCTAGGTCCCTGCCTCATTTTGACGGAATGCCTCACATCCCGCTGACACCTCGAGAGGCACGCGGAGTTCATTGCTTCAAAAGGTGACGATGCCTGACTCCTCTTGAATACTGATAGGAATCCCAAAATCCCTGTGGCTACTGGAAAGGGTCCTTGGGTGCCCTGCCTCACCTCGAGAAGCGTCCCTTTTGCCCTGCCAAGCCTCGAAGTCATTCCTGAGGTGTCCCTCGTTACTAGACAGGAGTCCTGACGTCACTGAAGAAACTCGTGTTTTGAAGGGCCATCCCCGCCGTAAGTCGAGAACATACCCCAGGTCCCCGCCGCAACTCGAGAAAAACCATGAGACTTCCCCCTAGAGGCGAGATGAGGCCCCATTCCCCTGCAGTGCATGCAGAGCTATTCCGTGATCCCATTCAAACAAGTCAGGAGCTTCGGCTTGCTTAATGGATCTCGAGACAGTCCCCAAGAACACTGTCACCCGTCTAGACGGACCCTGAGGTCACCCCAGCAACGCAAAGCAGCTCCATGTGCCCCAAATCAACTCGAGATGAGGCCCGATTCCCCTGCATTGACTCCAGAGCCATTCCCCGTTCCCCATTCAACACGACCGGTGGCTCGACTTCCTTCAGGCAACTCCAGAGATGCCCCGAGAACACTGTCCCAAGTCTAGAGGAACACCAACTTCAGCACAGCAACTCGAGGAATGCTCCGTCTACCCCAAATCGTCTCGAGATGCGAGCTGATTCCCTGGCTTAGGCTCAAGACGTATGCCAACCTCCCAGAAGCACCTCAGGAGGAGGCTTCTCTCAGCAATAGGTATGTGGGAGGGACCCCGAGTTTGCTGCCTCAAGGGGAATATACAGCGAGAAGCCCTAACTTGAAAGGAGGCCGGATTTCCTTGCAGTGGCTTGAATACAGGCTCGTCTTTCATCTCACAACATGAAGGGATGTCTGAATCCCCTGTGGAGACCTTAGAGAAAGCCCTAGGTCCCTGCCTCATTTTGACGGAATGCCTCACATCCCGCTGACACCTCGAGAGGCACGCGGAGTTCATTGCTTCAAAAGGTGACGATGCCTGACTCCTCTTGAATACTGATAGGAATCCCAAAATCCCTGTGGCTACTGGAAAGGGTCCTTGGGTGCCCTGCCTCACCTCGAGAAGCGTCCCTTTGGCCCTGCCAAGCCTCGAAGAGATTCCTGAGGTGTCCCTCGTTACTAGACAGGAGTCCTGACGTCACTGAAGAAACTCGTGTTTTGAAGGGCCATCCCCGCCGTAAGTCGAGAACATACCCCAGGTCCCCGCCGCAACTCGAGAAAAACCATGAGACTTCCCCCTAGAGGCGAGATGAGGCCCCATTCCCCTGCAGTGCATGCAGAGCTATTCCGTGATCCCATTCAAACAAGTCAGGAGCTTCGGCTTGCTTAATGGATCTCGAGACAGTCCCCAAGAACACTGTCACCAGTCTAGACGGACCCTGAGGTCACCCCAGCAACGCAAAGCAGCTCCATGTGCCCCAAATCAACTCGAGATGAGGCCCGGTTCCCCTGCATTGACTCCAGAGCCATTCCCCGTTCCCCATTCAACACGACCGGTGGCTCGACTTCCTTCAGGCAACTCCAGAGATGCCCCGAGAACACTGTCCCAAGTCTAGAGGAACACCAACTTCAGCACAGCAACTCGAGGAATGCTCCGTGTACCCCAAATCGTCTCGAGATGCGAGCTGATTCCCTGGCTTAGGCTCAAGACGTATGCCAACTTCCCAGAAGCACCTCAGGAGGAGGCTTCTCTCAGCAATAGGTATGTGGGAGGGACCCCGAGTTTGCTGCCTCAAGGGGAATATACAGCGAGAAGCCCTAACTTGAAAGGAGGCCGGATTTCCTTGCAGTGGCTTGAATACAGGCTCGTCTTTCATCTCACAACATGAAGGGATGTCTGAATCCCCTGTGGAGACCTTAGAGAAAGCCCTAGGTCCCTGCCTCATTTTGACGGAATGCCTCACATCCCGCTGACACCTCGAGAGGCACGCGGAGTTCATTGCTTCAAAAGGTGACGGTGCCTGACTCCTCTTGAATACTGATAGGAATCCCAAAATCCCTGTGGCTACTGGAAAGGGTCCTTGGTTGCCCTGCCTCACCTCGAGAAGCGTCCCTTTGCCCCTGCCAAGCCTCGAAGAGATTCCTGAGGTGTCCCTCGTTACTAGACAGGAGTCCTGACGTCACTGAAGAAACTCGTGTTTTGAAGGGCCATCCCCGCCGTAAGTCGAGAACATACCCCAGGTCCCCGCCGCAACTCGAGAAAAACCATGAGACTTCCCCCTAGAGGCGAGATGAGGCCCCATTCCCCTGCAGTGCATGCAGAGCTATTCCGTGATCCCATTCAAACACGTCAGGAGCTTCGGCTTGCTTAATGGATCTCGAGACAGTCCCCAAGAACACTGTCACCCGTCTAGACGGACCCTGAGGTCACCCCAGCAACGCAAAGCAGCTCCATGTGCCCCAAATCAACTCGAGATGAGGCCCGATTCCCCTGCATTGACTCCAGAGCCATTCCCCGTTCCCCATTCAACACGACCGGTGGCTCGACTTCCTTCAGGCAACTCCAGAGATGCCCCGAGAACACTGTCCCAAGTCTAGAGGAACACCAACTTCAGCACAGCAACTCGAGGAATGCTCCGTCTACCCCAAATCGTCTCGAGATGCGAGCTGATCCCCTGGCTTAGGCTCAAGACGGATGCCAACTTCCCAGAAGCACCTCAGGAGGAGGCTTCTCTCAGCAATAGGTATGTGGGAGGGACCCCGAGTTTGCTGCCTCAAGGGGAATATACAGCGAGAAGCCCTAACTTGAAAGGAGGCCGGATTTCCTTGCAGTGGCTTGAATACAGGCTCGTCTTTCATCTCACAACATGAAGGGATGTCTGAATCCCCTGTGGAGACCTTAGAGAAAGCCCTAGGTCCCTGCCTCATTTTGACGGAATGCCTCACATCCCGCTGACACCTCGAGAGGCACGCGGAGTTCATTGCTTCAAAAGGTGACGATGCCTGACTCCTCTTGAATACTGATAGGAATCCCAAAATCCCTGTGGCTACTGGAAAGGGTCCTTGGGTGCCCTGCCTCACCTCGAGAAGCGTCCCTTTGGCCCTGCCAAGCCTCGAAGAGATTCCTGAGGTGTCCCTCGTTACTAGACAGGAGTCCTGACGTCACTGAAGAAACTCGTGTTTTGAAGGGCCATCCCCGCTGTAAGTCGAGAACATACCCCAGGTCCCCGCCGCAACTCGAGAAAAACCATGAGACTTCCCCCTAGAGGCGAGATGAGGCCCCATTCCCCTGCAGTGCATGCAGAGCTATTCCGTGATCCCATTCAAACAAGTCAGGAGCTTCGACTTGCTTAATGGATCTCGAGACAGTCCCCAAGAACACTGTCACCAGTCTAGACGGACCCTGAGGTCACCCCAGCAACGCAAAGCAGCTCCATGTGCCCCAAATCAACTCGAGATGAGGCCCGGTTCCCCTGCATTGACTCCAGAGCCATTCCCCGTTCCCCATTCAACACGACCGGTGGCTCGACTTCCTTCAGGCAACTCCAGAGATGCCCCGAGAACACTGTCCCAAGTCTAGAGGAACACCAACTTCAGCACAGCAACTCGAGGAATGCTCCGTGTACCCCAAATCGTCTCGAGATGCGAGCTGATTCCCTGGCTTAGGCTCAAGACGTATGCCAACTTCCCAGAAGCACCTCAGGAGGAGGCTTCTCTCAGCAATAGGTATGTGGGAGGGACCCCGAGTTTGCTGCCTCAAGGGGAATATACAGCGAGAAGCCCTAACTTGAAAGGAGGCCGGATTTCCTTGCAGTGGCTTGAATACAGGCTCGTCTTTCATCTCACAACATGAAGGGATGTCTGAATCCCCTGTGGAGACCTTAGAGAAAGCCCTAGGTCCCTGCCTCATTTTGACGGAATGCCTCACATCCCGCTGACACCTCGAGAGGCACGCGGAGTTCATTGCTTCAAAAGGTGACGAAGCCTGACTCCTCTTGAATACTGATAGGAATCCCAAAATCCCTGTGGCTACTGGAAAGGGTCCTTGGGTGCCCTGCCTCACCTCGAGAAGCGTCCCTTTGGCCCTGCCAAGCCTCGAAGAGATTCCTGAGGTGTCCCTCGTTACTAGACAGGAGTCCTGACGTCACTGAAGAAACTCGTGTTTTCAAGGGCCATCCCCGCCGTAAGTCGAGAACATACCCCAGGTCCCCGCCGCAACTCGAGAAAAACCATGAGACTTCCCCCTAGAGGCGAGATGAGGCCCCATTCCCCTGCAATGCATGCAGAGCTATTCCGTGATCCCATTCAAACAAGTCAGGAGCTTCGGCTTGCTTAATGGATCTCGAGACAGTCCCCAAGAACACTGTCACCAGTCTAGACGGACCCTGAGGTCACCCCAGCAACGCAAAGCAGCTCCATGTGCCCCAAATCAACTCGAGATGAGGCCCGATTCCCCTGCATTGACTCCAGAGCCATTCCCCGTTCCCCATTCAACACGACCGGTGGCTCGACTTCCTTCAAGCAACTCCAGAGATGCCCCGAGAACACTGTCCCAAGTCTAGAGGAACACCAACTTCAGCACAGCAACTCGAGGAATGCTCCGTGTACCCCAAATCGTCTCGAGATGAGAGCTGATTCCCTGGCTTAGGCTCAAGACGTATGCCAACTTCCCAGAAGCACCTCAGGAGGAGGCTTCTCTCAGCAATAGGTATGTGGGAGGGACCCCGAGTTTGCTGCCTCAAATGGAATATACAGCGAGAAGCCCTAACTTGAAAGGAGGCCGGATTTCCTTGCAGTGGCTTGAATACAGGCTCGTCTTTCCTCTCACAACATGAAGGGATGTCTGAATCCCCTGTGGAGACCTTAGAGAAAGCCCTAGGTCCCTGCCTCATTTTGACGGAATGCCTCACATCCCGCTGACACCTCGAGAGGCACTCGGAGTTCATTGCTTCAAAAGGTGACGATGCCTGACTCCTCTTGAATACTGATAGGAATCCCAAAATCCCTGTGGCTACTGGAAAGGGTCCTTGGGTGCCCTGCCTCACCTCGAGAAGCGTCCCTTTGGCCCTGCCAAGCCTCGAAGAGATTCCTGAGGTGTCCCTCGTTACTAGACAGGAGTCCTGACGTCACTGAAGAAACTCGTGTTTTGAAGGGCCATCCCCGCTGTAAGTCGAGAACATACCCCAGGTCCCCGCCGGAACTCGAGAAAAACCATGAGACTTCCCCCTAGAGGCGAGATGAGGCCCCATTCCCCTGCAGTGCATGCAGAGCTATTCCGTGATCCCATTCAAACAAGTCAGGAGCTTCGGCTTGCTTCATGGATCTCGAGACAGTCCCCAAGAACACTGTCACCAGTCTAGACGGACCCTGAGGTCACCCCAGCAACGCAAAGCAGCTCCATGTGCCCCAAATCAACTCGAGATGAGGCCCGATTCCCCTGCATTGACTCCAGAGCCATTCCCCGTTCCCCATTCAACACGACCGGTGGCTCGACTTCCTTCAGGCAACTCCAGAGATGCCCCGAGAACACTGTCCCAAGTCTAGAGGAACACCAACTTCAGCACAGCAACTCGAGGAATGCTCCGTGTACCCCAAATCGTCTCGAGATGCGAGCTGATTCCCTGGCTTAGGCTCAAGACGTATGCCAACTTCCCAGAAGCACCTCAGGAGGAGGCTTCTCTCAGCAATAGGTATGTGGGAGGGACCCCGAGTTTGCTGCCTCAAGGGGAATATACAGCGAGAAGCCCAAACTTGAAAGGAGGCCGGATTTCCTTGCACTGGCTTGAATACAGGCTCGTCTTTCATCTCACAACATGAAGGGATGTCTGAATCCCCTGTGGAGACCTTAGAGAAAGCCCTAGGTCCCTGCCTCATTTTGACGCAATGCCTCACATCCCGCTGACACCTCGAGAGGCACGCGGAGTTCATTGCTTCAAAAGGTGACGATGCCTGACTCCTCTTGAATACTGATAGGAATCCCAAAATCCCTGTGGCTACTGGAAAGGGTCCTTGGGTGCCCTGCCTCACCTCGAGAAGCGTCCCTTTGGCCCTGCCAATCCTCGAAGAGATTCCTGAGGTGTCCCTGGTTACTAGACAGGAGTCCTGACGTCACTGAAGAAACTCGTGTTTTGAAGGGCCATCCCCGCCGTAAGTCGAGAACATACCCCAGGTCCCCGCCGCAACTCGAGAAAAACCATGAGACTTCCCCCTAGAGGCGAGATGAGGCCCCATTCCCCTGCAGTGCATGCAGAGCTATTCCGTGATCCCATTCAAACAAGTCAGGAGCTTCGACTTGCTTAATGGATCTCGAGACAGTCCCCAAGAACACTGTCACCAGTCTAGACGGACCCTGAGGTCACCCCAGCAACGCAAAGCAGCTCCATTTGCCCCAAATCAACTCGAGATGAGGCCCGATTCCCCTGCATTGACTCCAGAGCCATTCCCCGTTCCCCATTCAACACGACCGGTGGCTCGACTTCCTTCAGGCAACTCCAGAGATGCCCCGAGAACACTGTCCCAAGTCTAGAGGAACACCAACTTCAGCACAGCAACTCGAGGAATGCTCCGTGTACCCCAAATCGTCTCGAGATGCGAGCTGATTCCCTGGCTTAGGCTCAAGACGTATGCCAACTTCCCAGAAGCACCTCAGGAGGAGGCTTCTCTCAGCAATAGGTATGTGGGAGGGACCCCGAGTTTGCTGCCTCAAGGGGAATATACAGCGAGAAGCCCTAACTTGAAAGGAGGCCGGATTTCCTTGCAGTGGCTTGAATACAGGCTCGTCTTTCCTCTCACAACATGAAGGGATGACTGAATCCCCTGTGGAGACGTTAAAGAAAGCCCTAGGTCCCTGCCTCATTTTGACGGAATGCCTCACATCCCGCTGACACCTCGAGAGGCACGCGGAGTTCATTGCTTCAAACGGTGACGATGCCTGACTCCTCTTGAATACTGATAGGAATCCCAAAATCCCTGTGGCTACTGGAAAGGGTCCTTGGGTGCCCTGCCTCACCTCGAGAAGCGTCCCTTTGGCCCTGCCAAGCCTCGAAGAGATCCCTGAGGTGTCCCTCGTTACTAGACAGGAGTCCTGACGTCACTGAAGAAACTCGTGTTTTCAAGGGCCATCCCCGCCGTAAGTCGAGAACATACCCCAGGTCCCCGCCGCAACTCGAGAAAAACCATGAGACTTCCCCCTAGAGGCGAGATGAGGCCCCATTCCCCTGCAGTCCATGCAGAGCTATTCCGTGATCCCATTCAAAAAAGTCAGGAGCTTCGGCTTGCTTAATGGATCTCGAGACAGTCCCCAAGAACACTGTCACCAGTCTAGACGGACCCTGAGGTCACCCCAGCAACGCAAAGCAGCTCCATGTGCTCCAAATCAACTCGAGATGAGGCCCGATTCCCCTGCATTGACTCCAGAGCCATTCCCCGTTCCCCATTCAACACGACCGGTGGCTCGACTTCCTTCAGGCAACTCCAGAGATGCCCCGAGAACACTGTCCCAAGTCTAGAGGAACACCAACTTCAGCACAGCAACTCGAGGAATGCTCCGTGTACCCCAAATCGTCTCGAGATGCGAGCTGATTCCCTGGCTTAGGCTCAAGACGTATGCCAACTTCCCAGAAGCACCTCAGGAGGAGGCTTCTCTCAGCAATAGGTATGTGGGAGGGACCCCGAGTTTGCTGCCTCAAGGGGAATATACAGCGAGAAGCCCTAACTTGAAAGGAGGCCGGATTTCCTTGCAGTGGCTTGAATACAGGCTCGTCTTTCATCTCACAACATGAAGGGATGTCTGAATCCCCTGTGGAGACCTTAGAGAAAGCCCTAGGTCCCTGCCTCATTTTGACGGAATGCCTCACATCCCGCTGACACCTCGAGAGGCACTCGGAGTTCATTACTTCAAAAGGTGACGATGCCTGACTCCTCTTGAATACTGATAGGAATCCCAAAATCCCTGTGGCTACTGGAAAGGGTCCTTGGGTGCCCTGCCTCACCTCGAGAAGCGTCCCTTTGGCCCTGCCAAGCCTCGAAGAGATTCCTGAGGTGTCCCTCGTTACTAGACAGGAGTCCTGACGTCACTGAAGAAACTCGTGTTTTGAAGGGCCATCCCCGCCGTAAGTCGAGAACATATCCCAGGTCCCCGCCGCAACTCGAGAAAAACCATGAGACTTCCCCCTAGAGGCGAGATGAGGCCCCATTCCCCTGCAGTGCATGCAGAGCTATTCCGTGATCCCATTCAAACAAGTCAGGAGCTTCGGCTTGCTTAATGGATCTCGAGACAGTCCCCAAGAACACTGTCACCAGTCTAGACGGAACCTGAGGTCACCCCAGCAACGCAAAGCAGCTCCATGTGCCCCAAATCAACTCGAGATGAGGCCCGATTCCCCTGCATTGACTCCAGAGCCATTCCCCGTTCCCCATTCAACACGACCGGTGGCTCGACTTCCTTCAGGCAACTCCAGACATGCCCCGAGAACACTGTCCCAAGTCTAGAGGAACACCAACTTCAGCACAGCAACTCGAGGAATGCTCCGTGTACCCCAAAACGTCTCGAGATGCGAGCTGATTCCCTGGCTTAGGCTCAAGACGTATGCCAACTTCCCAGAAGCACCTCAGGAGGAGGCTTCTCTCAGCAATAGGTATGTGGGAGGGACCCCGAGTTTGCTGCCTCAAGGGGAATATACAGCGAGAAGCCCTAACTTGAAAGGAGGCCGGATTTCCTTGCAGTGGCTTGAATACAGGCTCGTCTTTCCTCTCACAACATGAAGGGATGTCTGAATCCCCTGTGGAGACCTTAAAGAAAGCCCTAGGTCCCTGCCTCATTTTGACGGAATGCCTCACATCCCGCTGACACCTCGAGAGGCACGCGGAGTTCATTGCTTCAAAAGGTGACGAAGCCTGACTCCTCTTGAATACTGATAGGAATCCCAAAATCCCTGTGGCTACTGGAAAGGGTCCTTGGGTGCCCTGCCTCACCTCGAGAAGCGTCCCTTTGGCCCTGCCAAGCCTCGAAGAGATTCCTGAGGTGTCCCTCGTTACTAGACAGGAGTCCTGACGTCACTGAAGAAACTCGTGTTTTCAAGGGCCATCCCCGCCGTAAGTCGAGAACATACCCCAGGTCCCCGCCGCAACTCGAGAAAAACCATGAGACTTCCCCCTAGAGGCGAGATGAGGCCCCATTCCCCTGCAATGCATGCAGAGCTATTCCGTGATCCCATTCAAACAAGTCAGGAGCTTCGGCTTGCTTAATGGATCTCGAGACAGTCCCCAAGAACACTGTCACCAGTCTAGACGGACCCTGAGGTCACCCCAGCAACGCAAAGCAGCTCCATGTGCCCCAAATCAACTCGAGATGAGGCCCGATTCCCCTGCATTGACTCCAGAGCCATTCCCCGTTCCCCATTCAACACGACCGGTGGCTCGACTTCCTTCAAGCAAATCCAGAGATGCCCCGAGAACACTGTCCCAAGTCTAGAGGAACACCAACTTCAGCACAGCAACTCGAGGAATGCTCCGTGTACCCCAAATCGTCTCGAGATGCGAGCTGATTCCCTGGCTTAGGCTCAAGACGTATGCCAACTTCCCAGAAGCACCTCAGGAGGAGGCTTCTCTCAGCAATAGGTATGTGGGAGGGACCCCGAGTTTGCTGCCTCAAGGGGAATATACAGCGAGAAGCCCTAACTTGAAAGGAGGCCGGATTTCCTTGCAGTGGCTTGAATACAGGCTCGTCTTTCCTCTCACAACATGAAGGGATGTCTGAATCCCCTGTGGAGACCTTAGAGAAAGCCCTAGGTCCCTGCCTCATTTTGACGGAATGCCTCACATCCCGCTGACACCTCGAGAGGCACGCGGAGTTCATTGCTTCAAAAGGTGACGATGCCTGACTCCTCTTGAATACTGATAGGAATCCCAAAATCCCTGTGGCTACTGGAAAGGGTCCTTGGGTGCCCTGCCTCACCTCGAGAAGCGTCCCTTTGGCCCTGCCAAGCCTCGAAGAGATTCCTGAGGTGTCCCTCGTTACTAGACAGGAGTCCTGACGTCACTGAAGAAACTCGTGTTTTGAAGGGCCATCCCCGCTGTAAGTCGAGAACATACCCCAGGTCCCCGCCGGAACTCGAGAAAAACCATGAGACTTCCCCCTAGAGGGGAGATGAGGCCCCATTCCCCTGCAGTGCATGCAGAGCTATTCCGTGATCCCATTCAAACAAGTCAGGAGCTTCGGCTTGCTTAATGGATCTCGAGACAGTCCCCAAGAACACTGTCACCAGTCTAGACGGACCCTGAGGTCACCCCAGCAACGCAAAGCAGCTCCATGTGCCCCAAATCAACTCGAGATGAGGCCCGATTCCCCTGCATTGACTCCAGAGCCATTCCCCGTTCCCCATTCAACACGACCGGTGGCTCGACTTCCTTCAGGCAACTCCAGAGATGCCCCGAGAACACTGTCCCAAGTCTAGAGGAACACCAACTTCAGCACAGCAACTCGAGGAATGCTCCGTGTACCCCAAATCGTCTCGAGATGCGAGCTGATTCCCTGGCTTAGGCTCAAGACGTATGCCAACTTCCCAGAAGCACCTCAGGAGGAGGCTTCTCTCAGCAATAGGTATGTGGGAGGGACCCCGAGTTTGCTGCCTCAAGGGGAATATACAGCGAGAAGCCCAAACTTGAAAGGAGGCCGGATTTCCTTGCACTGGCTTGAATACAGGCTCGTCTTTCATCTCACAACATGAAGGGATGTCTGAATCCCCTGTGGAGACCTTAGAGAAAGCCCTAGGTCCCTGCCTCATTTTGACGGAATGCCTCACATCCCGCTGACACCTCGAGAGGCACGCGGAGTTCATTGCTTCAAAAGGTGACGATGCCTGACTCCTCTTGAATACTGATAGGAATCCCAAAATCCCTGTGGCTACTGGAAAGGGTCCTTGGGTGCCCTGCCTCACCTCGAGAAGCGTCCCTTTGGCCCTGCCAAGCCTCGAAGAGATTCCTGAGGTGTCCCTGGTTACTAGACAGGAGTCCTGACGTCACTGAAGAAACTCGTGTTTTGAAGGGCCATCCCCGCCGTAAGTCGAGAACATACCCCAGGTCCCCGCCGCAACTCGAGAAAAACCATGAGACTTCCCCCTAGAGGCGAGATGAGGCCCCATTCCCCTGCAGTGCATGCAGAGCTATTCCGTGATCCCATTCAAACAAGTCAGGAGCTTCGGCTTGCTTAATGGATCTCGAGACAGTCCCCAAGAACACTGTCACCAGTCTAGACGGACCCTGAGGTCACCCCAGCAACGCAAAGCAGCTCCATGTGCTCCAAATCAACTCGAGATGAGGCCCGATTCCCCTGCATTGACTCCAGAGCCATTCCCCGTTCCCCATTCAACACGACCGGTGGCTCGACTACCTTCAGGCAACTCCAGAGATGCCCCGAGAACACTGTCCCAAGTCTAGAGGAACACCAACTTCAGCACAGCAACTCGAGGAATGCTCCGTGTACCCCAAATCGTCTCGAGATGCGAGCTGATTCCCTGGCTTAGGCTCAAGACGTATGCCAACTTCCCAGAAGCACCTCAGGAGGAGGCTTCTCTCAGCAATAGGTATGTGGGAGGGACCCCGAGTTTGCTGCCTCAAGGGGAATATACAGCGAGAAGCCCAAACTTGAAAGGAGGCCGGATTTCCTTGCACTGGCTTGAATACAGGCTCGTCTTTCATCTCACAACATGAAGGGATGTCTGAATCCCCTGTGGAGACCTTAGAGAAAGCCCTAGGTCCCTGCCTCATTTTGACGCAATGCCTCACATCCCGCTGACACCTCGAGAGGCACGCGGAGTTCATTGCTTCAAAAGGTGACGATGCCTGACTCCTCTTGAATACTGATAGGAATCCCAAAATCCCTGTGGCTACTGGAAAGGGTCCTTGGGTGCCCTGCCTCACCTCGAGAAGCGTCCCTTTGGCCCTGCCAAGCCTCGAAGAGATTCCTGAGGTGTCCCTGGTTACTAGACAGGAGTCCTGACGTCACTGAAGAAACTCGTGTTTTGAAGGGCCATCCCCGCCGTAAGTCGAGAACATACCCCAGGTCCCCGCCGCAACTCGAGAAAAACCATGAGACTTCCCCCTAGAGGCGAGATGAGGCCCCATTCCCCTGCAGTGCATGCAGAGCTATTCCGTGATCCCATTCAAACAAGTCAGGAGCTTCGGCTTGCTTAATGGATCTCGAGACAGTCCCCAAGAACACTGTCACCAGTCTAGACGGACCCTGAGGTCACCCCAGCAACGCAAAGCAGCTCCATGTGCTCCAAATCAACTCGAGATGAGGCCCGATTCCCCTGCATTGACTCCAGAGCCATTCCCCGTTCCCCATTCAACACGACCGGTGGCTCGACTTCCTTCAGGCAACTCCAGAGATGCCCCGAGAACACTGTCCCAAGTCTAGAGGAACACCAACTTCAGCACAGCAACTCGAGGAATGCTCCGTGTACCCCAAATCGTCTCGAGATGCGAGCTGATTCCCTGGCTTAGGCTCAAGACGTATGCCAACTTCCCAGAAGCACCTCAGGAGGAGGCTTCTCTCAGCAATAGGTATGTGGGAGGGACCCCGAGTTTGCTGCCTCAAGGGGAATATACAGCGAGAAGCCCTAACTTGAAAGGAGGCCGGATTTCCTTGCAGTGGCTTGAATACAGGCTCGTCTTTCATCTCACAACATGAAGGGATGTCTGAATCCCCTGTGGAGACCTTAGAGAAAGCCCTAGGTCCCTGCCTCATTTTGACGGAATGCCTCACATCCCGCTGACACCTCGAGAGGCACTCGGAGTTCATTGCTTCAAAAGGTGACGATGCCTGACTCCTCTTGAATACTGATAGGAATCCCAAAATCCCTGTGGCTACTGGAAAGGGTCCTTGGGTGCCCTGCCTCACCTCGAGAAGCGTCCCTTTGGCCCTGCCAAGCCTCGAAGAGATTCCTGAGGTGTCCCTCGTTACTAGACAGGAGTCCTGACGTCACTGAAGAAACTCGTGTTTTCAAGGGCCATCCCCGCCGTAAGTCGAGAACATACCCCAGGTCCCCGCCGCAACTCGAGAAAAACCATGAGACTTCCCCCTAGAGGCGAGATGAGGCCCTATTCCCCTGCAGTGCATGCAGAGCTATTCCGTGATCCCATTCAAACAAGTCAGGAGCTTCGGCTTGCTTAATGGATCTCGAGACAGTCCCCAAGAACACTGTCACCAGTCTAGACGGACCCTGAGGTCACCCCAGCAACGCAAAGCTGCTCCATGTGCCCCAAATCAACTCGAGATGAGGCCCGATTCCCCTGCATTGACTCCAGAGCCATTCCCCGTTCCCCATTCAACACGACCGGTGGCTCGACTTCCTTCAGGCAACTCCAGAGATGCCCCGAGAACACTGTCCCAAGTCTAGAGGAACACCAACTTCAGCACAGCAACTCGAGGAATGCTCCGTGTACCCCAAATCGTCTCGAGATGCGAGCTGATTCCCTGGCTTAGGCTCAAGACGTATGCCAACTTCCCAGAAGCACCTCAGGAGGAGGCTTCTCTCAGCAATAGGTATGTGGGAGGGACCCCGAGTTTGCTGCCTCAAGGGGAATATACAGCGAGAAGCCCTAACTTGAAAGGAGGCCGGATTTCCTTGCAGTGGCTTGAATACAGGCTCGTCTTTCATCTCACAACATGAAGGGATGTCTGAATCCCCTGTGGAGACGTTAAAGAAAGCCCTAGGTCCCTGCCTCATTTTGACGGAATGAATCACATCCCGCTGACACCTCGAGAGGCACGCGGAGTTCATTGCTTCAAAAGGTGACAATGCCTGACTCCTCTTGAATACTGATAGGAATCCCAAAATCCCTGTGGCTACTGGAAAGGGTCCTTGGGTGCCCTGCCTCACCTCGAGAAGCGTCCCTTTGGCCCTGCCAAGCCTCGAAGAGATTCCTGAGGTGTCCCTCGTTACTAGACAGGAGTCCTGACGTCACTGAAGAAACTCGTGTTTTGAAGGGCCATCCCCGCCGTAAGTCGAGAACATACCCCAGGTCCCCGCCGCAACTCGAGAAAAACCATGAGACTTCCCCCTAGAGGCGAGATGAGGCCCCATTCCCCTGCAGTGCATGCAGAGCTATTCCGTGATCCCATTCAAACAAGTCAGGAGCTTCGACTTGCTTAATGGATCTCGAGACAGTCCCCAAGGACACTGTCACCAGTCTAGACGGACCCTGAGGTCACCCCAGCAACGCAAAGCAGCTCCATGTGCCCCAAATCAACTCGAGATGAGGCCCGATTCCCCTGCATTGACTCCAGAGCCATTCCCCGTTCCCCATTCAACACGACCGGTGGCTCGACTTCCTTCAGGCAACTCCAGAGATGCCCCGAGAACACTGTCCCAAGTCTAGAGGAACACCAACTTCAGCACAGCAACTCGAGGAATGCTCCGTGTACCCCAAATCGTCTCGAGATGCGAGCTGATTCCCTGGCTTAGGCTCAAGACGTATGCCAACTTCCCAGAAGCACCTCAGGAGGAGGCTTCTCTCAGCAATAGGTATGTGGGAGGGACCCCGAGTTTGCTGCCTCAAGGGGAATATACAGCGAGAAGCCCTAACTTGAAAGGAGGCCGGATTTCCTTGCAGTGGCTTGAATACAGGCTCGTCTTTCCTCTCACAACATGAAGGGATGTCTGAATCCCCTGTGGAGACCTTAAAGAAAGCCCTAGGTCCCTGCCTCATTTTGACGGAATGCCTCACATCCCGCTGACACCTCGAGAGGCACGCGGAGTTCATTGCTTCAAAAGGTGACGATGCCTGACTCCTCTTGAATACTGATAGGAATCCCAAAATCCCTGTGGCTACTGGAAAGGGTCCTTGGGTGCCCTGCCTCACCTCGAGAAGCGTCCCTTTGGCCCTGCCAAGCCTCGAAGAGATTCCTGAGGTGTCCCTCGTTACTAGACAGGAGTCCTGACGTCACTGAAGAAACTCGTGTTTTGAAGGGCCATCCCCGCCGTAAGTCGAGAACATACCCCAGGTCCCCGCCGCAACTCGAGAAAAACCATGAGACTTCCCCCTAGAGGCGAGATGAGGCCCCATTCCCCTGCAGTGCATGCAGAGCTATTCCGTGATCCCATTCAAACAAGTCAGGAGCTTCGGCTTGCTTAATGGATCTCGAGACAGTCCCCAAGAACACTGTCACCAGTCTAGACGGACCCTGAGGTCACCCCAGCAACGCAAAGCAGCACCATGTGCCCCAAATCAACTCGAGATGAGGCCCGATTCCCCTGCATTGACTGCAGAGCCATTCCCCGTTCCCCATTCAACACGACCGGTGGCTCGACTTCCTTCAGGCAACTCCAGAGATGCCCCGAGAACACTGTCCCAAGTCTAGAGGAACACCAACTTCAGCACAGCAACTCGAGGAATGCTCCGTGTACCCCAAATCGTCTCGAGATGCGAGCTGATTCCCTGGCTTAGGCTCAAGACGTATGCCAACTTCCCAGAAGCACCTCAGGAGGAGGCTTCTCTCAGCAATAGGTATGTGGGAGGGACCCCGAGTTTGCTGCCTCAAGGGGAATATACAGCGAGAAGCCCTAACTTGAAAGGAGGCCGGATTTCCTTGCAGTGGCTTGAATACAGGCTCGTCTTTCCTCTCACAACATGAAGGGATGTCTGAATCCCCTGTGGAGACCTTAGAGAAAGCCCTAGGTCCCTGCCTCATTTTGACGGAATGCCTCACATCCCGCTGACACCTCGAGAGGCACGCGGAGTTCATTGCTTCAAAAGGTGACGATGCCTGACTCCTCTTGAATACTGATAGGAATCCCAAAATCCCTGTGGCTACTGGAAAGGGTCCTTGGGTGACCTGCCTCACCTCGAGAAGCGTCCCTTTGGCCCTGCCAAGCCTCGAAGAGATTCCTGAGGTGTCCCTCGTTACTAGACAGAAGTCCTGACGTCACTGAAGAAACTCGTGTTTTCAAGGGCCATCCCCGCCGTAAGTCGAGAACATACCCCAGGTCCCCGCCGCAACTCGAGAAAAACCATGAGACTTCCCCCTAGAGGCGAGATGAGGCCCCATTCCCCTGCAGTGCATGCAGAGCTATTCCGTGATCCCATTCAAACAAGTCAGGAGCTTCGGCTTGCTTAATGGATCTCGAGACAGTCCCCAAGAACACTGTCACCAGTCTAGACGGACCCTGAGGTCACCCCAGCAACGCAAAGCAGCTCCATGTGCCCCAAATCAACTCGAGATGAGGCCCGATTCCCCTGCGTTGACTCCAGAGCCATTCCCCGTTCCCCATTCAACACGACCGGTGGCTCGACTTCCTTCAGGCAACTCCAGAGATGCCCCGAGAACACTGTCCCAAGTCTAGAGGAACACCAACTTCAGCACAGCAACTCGAGGAATGCTCCGTGTACCCCAAATCGTCTCGAGATGCGAGCTGATTCCCTGGCTTAGGCTCAAGACGTATGCCAACTTCCCAGAAGCACCTCAGGAGGAGGCTTCTCTCAGCAATAGGTATGTGGGAGGGACCCCGAGTTTGCTGCCTCAAGGGGAATATACAGCGAGAAGCCCTAACTTGAAAGGAGGCCGGATTTCCTTGCAGTGGCTTGAATACAGGCTCGTCTTTCCTCTCACAACATGAAGGGATGTCTGAATCCCCTGTGGAGATCTTAGAGAAAGCCCTAGGTCCCTGCCTCATTTTGACGGAATGCCTCACATCCCGCTGACACCTCGAGAGGCACTCGGAGTTCATTGCTTCAAAAGGTGACGATGCCTGACTCCTCTTGAATACTGATAGGAATCCCAAAATCCCTGTGGCTACTGGAAAGGGTCCTTGGGTGCCCTGCCTCACCTCGAGAAGCGTCCCTTTGGCCCTGCCAAGCCTCGAAGAGATTCCTGAGGTGTCCCTCATTACTAGACAGGAGTCCTGACGTCACTGAAGAAACTCGTGTTTTGAAGGGCCATCCCCGCCGTAAGTCGAGAACATACCCCAGGTCCCCGCCGCAACTCGAGAAAAACCATGAGACTTCCCCCTAGAGGCGAGATGAGGCCCCATTCCCCTGCAGTGCATGCAGAGCTATTCCGTGATCCCATTCAAACAAGTCAGGAGCTTCGACTTGCTTAATGGATCTCGAGACAGTCCCCAAGGACACTGTCACCAGTCTAGACGGACCCTGAGGTCACCCCAGCAACGCAAAGCAGCTCCATGTGCCCCAAATCAACTCGAGATGAGGCCCGATTCCCCTGCATTGACTCCAGAGCCATTCCCCGTTCCCCATTCAACACGACCGGTGGCTCGACTTCCTTCAGGCAACTCCAGAGATGCCCCGAGAACACTGTCCCAAGTCTAGAGGAACACCAACTTCAGCACAGCAACTCGAGGAATGCTCCGTGTACCCCAAATCGTCTCGAGATGCGAGCTGATTCCCTGGCTTAGGCTCAAGACGTATGCCAACTTCCCAGAAGCACCTCAGGAGGAGGCTTCTCTCAGCAATAGGTATGTGGGAGGGACCCCGAGTTTGCTGCCTCAAGGGGAATATACAGCGAGAAGCCCTAACTTGAAAGGAGGCCGGATTTCCTTGCAGTGGCTTGAATACAGGCTCGTCTTTCCTCTCACAACATGAAGGGATGTCTGAATCCCCTGTGGAGACCTTAAAGAAAGCCCTAGGTCCCTGCCTCATTTTGACGGAATGCCTCACATCCCGCTGACACCTCGAGAGGCACGCGGAGTTCATTGCTTCAAAAGGTGACGATGCCTGACTCCTCTTGAATACTGATAGGAATCCCAAAATCCCTGTGGCTACTGGAAAGGGTCCTTGGGTGCCCTGCCTCACCTCGAGAAGCGTCCCTTTGGCCCTGCCAAGCCTCGAAGAGATTCCTGAGGTGTCCCTCGTTACTAGACAGGAGTCCTGACGTCACTGAAGAAACTCGTGTTTTCAAGGGCCATCCCCGCCGTAAGTCGAGAACATACCCCAGGTCCCCGCCGCAACTCGAGAAAAACCATGAGACTTCCCCCTAGAGGCGAGATGAGGCCCCATTCCCCTGCAGTGCATGCAGAGCTATTCCGTGATCCCATTCAAACAAGTCAGGAGCTTCGGCTTGCTTAATGGATCTCGAGACAGTCCCCAAGAACACTGTCACCAGTCTAGACGGAACCTGAGGTCACCCCAGCAACGCAAAGCAGCTCCATGTGCCCCAAATCAACTCGAGATGAGGCCCGATTCCCCTGCGTTGACTCCAGAGCCATTCCCCGTTCCCCATTCAACACGACCGGTGGCTCGACTTCCTTCAGGCAACTCCAGAGATGCCCCGAGAACACTGTCCCAAGTCTAGAGGAACACCAACTTCAGCACAGCAACTCGAGGAATGCTCCGTGTACCCCAAATCGTCTCGAGATGCGAGCTGATTCCCTGGCTTAGGCTCAAGACGTATGCCAACTTCCCAGAAGCACCTCAGGAGGAGGCTTCTCTCAGCAATAGGTATGTGGGAGGGACCCCGAGTTTGCTGCCTCAAGGGGAATATACAGCGAGAAGCCCTAACTTGAAAGGAGGCCGGATTTCCTTGCAGTGGCTTGAATACAGGCTCGTCTTTCCTCTCACAACATGAAGGGATGTCTGAATCCCCTGTGGAGACCTTAGAGAAAGCCCTAGGTCCCTGCCTCATTTTGACGGAATGCCTCACATCCCGCTGACACCTCGAGAGGCACTCGGAGTTCATTGCTTCAAAAGGTGACGATGCCTGACTCCTCTTGAATACTGATAGGAATCCCAAAATCCCTGTGGCTACTGGAAAGGGTCCTTGGGTGCCCTGCCTCACCTCGAGAAGCGTCCCTTTGGCCCTGCCAAGCCTCGAAGAGATTCCTGAGGTGTCCCTCATTACTAGACAGGAGTCCTGACGTCACTGAAGAAACTCGTGTTTTGAAGGGCCATCCCCGCCGTAAGTCGAGAACATACCCCAGGTCCCCGCCGCAACTCGAGAAAAACCATGAGACTTCCCCCTAGAGGCGAGATGAGGCCCCATTCCCCTGCAGTGCATGCAGAGCTATTCCGTGATCCCATTCAAACAAGTCAGGAGCTTCGACTTGCTTAATGGATCTCGAGACAGTCCCCAAGGACACTGTCACCAGTCTAGACGGACCCTGAGGTCACCCCAGCAACGCAAAGCAGCTCCATGTGCCCCAAATCAACTCGAGATGAGGCCCGATTCCCCTGCATTGACTCCAGAGCCATTCCCCGTTCCCCATTCAACACGACCGGTGGCTCGACTTCCTTCAGGCAACTCCAGAGATGCCCCGAGAACACTGTCCCAAGTCTAGAGGAACACCAACTTCAGCACAGCAACTCGAGGAATGCTCCGTGTACCCCAAATCGTCTCGAGATGCGAGCTGATTCCCTGGCTTAGGCTCAAGACGTATGCCAACTTCCCAGAAGCACCTCAGGAGGAGGCTTCTCTCAGCAATAGGTATGTGGGAGGGACCCCGAGTTTGCTGCCTCAAGGGGAATATACAGCGAGAAGCCCTAACTTGTAAGGAGGCCGGATTTCCTTGCAGTGGCTTGAATACAGGCTCGTCTTTCCTCTCACAACATGAAGGGATGTCTGAATCCCCTGTGGAGACCTTAAAGAAAGCCCTAGGTCCCTGCCTCATTTTGACGGAATGCCTCACATCCCGCTGACACCTCGAGAGGCACGCGGAGTTCATTGCTTCAAAAGGTGACGATGCCTGACTCCTCTTGAATACTGATAGGAATCCCAAAATCCCTGTATCTACTGGAAAGGGTCCTTGGGTGCCCTGCCTCACCTCGAGAAGCGTCCCTTTGGCCCTGCCAAGCCTCGAAGAGATTCCTGAGGTGTCCCTCGTTACTAGACAGGAGTCCTGACGTCACTGAAGAAACTCGTGTTTTCAAGGGCCATCCCCGCCGTAAGTCGAGAACATACCCCAGGTCCCCGCCGCAACTCGAGAAAAACCATGAGACTTCCCCCTAGAGGCGAGATGAGGCCCCATTCCCCTGCAGTGCATGCAGAGCTATTCCGTGATCCCATTCAAACAAGTCAGGAGCTTCGGCTTGCTTAATGGATCTCGAGACAGTCCCCAAGAACACTGTCACCAGTCTAGACGGACCCTGAGGTCACCCCAGCAACGCAAAGCAGCTCCATGTGCCCCAAATCAACTCGAGATGAGGCCCGATTCCCCTGCGTTGACTCCAGAGCCATTCCCCGTTCCCCATTCAACACGACCGGTGGCTCGACTTCCTTCAGGCAACTCCAGAGATGCCCCGAGAACACTGTCCCAAGTCTAGAGGAACACCAACTTCAGCACAGCAACTCGAGGAATGCTCCGTGTACCCCAAATCGTCTCGAGATGCGAGCTGATTCCCTGGCTTAGGCTCAAGACGTATGCCAACTTCCCAGAAGCACCTCAGGAGGAGGCTTCTCTCAGCAATAGGTATGTGGGAGGGACCCCGAGTTTGCTGCCTCAAGGGGAATATACAGCGAGAAGCCCTAACTTGAAAGGAGGCCGGATTTCCTTGCAGTGGCTTGAATACAGGCTCGTCTTTCCTCTCACAACATGAAGGGATGTCTGAATCCCCTGTGGAGACCTTAGAGAAAGCCCTAGGTCCCTGCCTCATTTTGACGGAATGCCTCACATCCCGCTGACACCTCGAGAGGCACTCGGAGTTCATTGCTTCAAAAGGTGACGATGCCTGACTCCTCTTGAATACTGATAGGAATCCCAAAATCCCTGTGGCTACTGGAAAGGGTCCTTGGGTGCCCTGCCTCACCTCGAGAAGCGTCCCTTTGGCCCTGCCAAGCCTCGAAGAGATTCCTGAGGTGTCCCTCATTACTAGACAGGAGTCCTGACGTCACTGAAGAAACTCGTGTTTTGAAGGGCCATCCCCGCCGTAAGTCGAGAACATACCCCAGGTCCCCGCCGCAACTCGAGAAAAACCATGAGACTTCCCCCTAGAGGCGAGATGAGGCCCCATTCCCCTGCAGTGCATGCAGAGCTATTCCGTGATCCCATTCAAACAAGTCAGGAGCTTCGACTTGCTTAATGGATCTCGAGACAGTCCCCAAGGACACTGTCACCAGTCTAGACGGACCCTGAGGTCACCCCAGCAACGCAAAGCAGCTCCATGTGCCCCAAATCAACTCGAGATGAGGCCCGATTCCCCTGCATTGACTCCAGAGCCATTCCCCGTTCCCCATTCAACACGACCGGTGGCTCGACTTCCTTCAGGCAACTCCAGAGATGCCCCGAGAACACTGTCCCAAGTCTAGAGGAACACCAACTTCAGCACAGCAACTCGAGGAATGCTCCGTGTACCCCAAATCGTCTCGAGATGCGAGCTGATTCCCTGGCTTAGGCTCAAGACGTATGCCAACTTCCCAGAAGCACCTCAGGAGGAGGCTTCTCTCAGCAATAGGTATGTGGGAGGGACCCCGAGTTTGCTGCCTCAAGGGGAATATACAGCGAGAAGCCCTAACTTGAAAGGAGGCCGGATTTCCTTGCAGTGGCTTGAATACAGGCTCGTCTTTCCTCTCACAACATGAAGGGATGTCTGAATCCCCTGTGGAGACCTTAAAGAAAGCCCTAGGTCCCTGCCTCATTTTGACGGAATGCCTCACATCCCGCTGACACCTCGAGAGGCACGCGGAGTTCATTGCTTCAAAAGGTGACGATGCCTGACTCCTCTTGAATACTGATAGGAATCCCAAAATCCCTGTGGCTACTGGAAAGGGTCCTTGGGTGCCCTGCCTCACCTCGAGAAGCGTCCCTTTGGCCCTGCCAAGCCTCGAAGAGATTCCTGAGGTGTCCCTCGTTACTAGACAGGAGTCCTGACGTCACTGAAGAAACTCGTGTTTTCAAGGGCCATCCCCGCCGTAAGTCGAGAACATACCCCAGGTCCCCGCCGCAACTCGAGAAAAACCATGAGACTTCCCCCTAGAGGCGAGATGAGGCCCCATTCCCCTGCAGTGCATGCAGAGCTATTCCGTGATCCCATTCAAACAAGTCAGGAGCTTCGGCTTGCTTAATGGATCTCGAGACAGTCCCCAAGAACACTGTCACCAGTCTAGACGGACCCTGAGGTCACCCCAGCAACGCAAAGCAGCTCCATGTGCCCCAAATCAACTCGAGATGAGGCCCGATTCCCCTGCATTGACTCCAGAGCCATTCCCCGTTCCCCATTCAACACGACCGGTGGCTCGACTTCCTTCAGACAACTCCAGAGATGCCCCGAGAACACTGTCCCAAGTCTAGAGGAACACCAACTTCAGCACAGCAACTCGAGGAATGCTCCGTGTACCCCAAATCGTCTCGAGATGCGAGCTGATTCCCTGGCTTAGGCTCAAGACCTATGCCAACTTCCCAGAAGCACCTCAGGAGGAGGCTTCTCTCAGCAATAGGTATGTGGGAGGGACCCCGAGTTTGCTGCCTCAAGGGGAATATACAGCGAGAAGCCCTAACTTGAAAGGAGGCCGGATTTCCTTGCAGTGGCTTGAATACAGGCTCGTCTTTCCTCTCACAACATGAAGGGATGTCTGAATCCCCTGTGGAGACCTTAGAGAAAGCCCTAGGTCCCTGCCTCATTTTGACGGAATGCCTCACATCCCGCTGACACCTCGAGAGGCACGCGGAGTTCATTGCTTCAAAAGGTGACGATGCCTGACTCCTCTTGAATACTGATAGGAATCCCAAAATCCCTGTGGCTACTGGAAAGGGTCCTTGGGTGCCCTGCCTCACCTCGAGAAGCGTCCCTTTGGCCCTGCCAAGCCTCGAAGAGATTCCTGAGGTGTCCCTCGTTACTAGACAGGAGTCCTGACGTCACTGAAGAAACTCGTGTTTTCAAGGGCCATCCCCGCCGTAAGTCGAGAACATACCCCAGGTCCCCGCCGCAACTCGAGAAAAACCATGAGACTTCCCCCTAGAGGCGAGATGAGGCCCCATTCCCCTGCAGTGCATGCAGAGCTATTCCGTGATCCCATTCAAACAAGTCAGGAGCTTCGGCTTGCTTAATGGATCTCGAGACAGTCCCCAAGAACACTGTCACCAGTCTAGACGGACCCTGAGGTCACCCCAGCAACGCAAAGCAGCTCCATGTGCCCCAAATCAACTCGAGATGAGGCCCGATTCCCCTGCGTTGACTCCAGAGCCATTCCCCGTTCCCCATTCAACACGACCGGTGGCTCGACTTCCTTCAGGCAACTCCAGAGATGCCCCGAGAACACTGTCCCAAGTCTAGAGGAACACCAACTTCAGCACAGCAACTCGAGGAATGCTCCGTGTACCCCAAATCGTCTCGAGATGCGAGCTGATTCCCTGGCTTAGGCTCAAGACGTATGCCAACTTCCCAGAAGCACCTCAGGAGGAGGCTTCTCTCAGCAATAGGTATGTGGGAGGGACCCCGAGTTTGCTGCCTCAAGGGGAATATACAGCGAGAAGCCCTAACTTGAAAGGAGGCCGGATTTCCTTGCAGTGGCTTGAATACAGGCTCGTCTTTCCTCTCACAACATGAAGGGATGTCTGAATCCCCTGTGGAGACCTTAGAGAAAGCCCTAGGTCCCTGCCTCATTTTGACGGAATGCCTCACATCCCGCTGACACCTCGAGAGGCACGCGGAGTTCATTGCTTCAAAAGGTGACGATGCCTGACTCCTCTTGAATACTGATAGGAATCCCAAAATCCCTGTGGCTACTGGAAAGGGTCCTTGGGTGCCCTGCCTCACCTCGAGAAGCGTCCCTTTGGCCCTGCCAAGCCTCGAAGAGATTCCTGAGGTGTCCCTCATTACTAGACAGGAGTCCTGACGTCACTGAAGAAACTCGTGTTTTGAAGGGCCATCCCCGCCGTAAGTCGAGAACATACCCCAGGTCCCCGCCGCAACTCGAGAAAAACCATGAGACTTCCCCCTAGAGGCGAGATGAGGCCCCATTCCCCTGCAGTGCATGCAGAGCTATTCCGTGATCCCATTCAAACAAGTCAGGAGCTTCGACTTGCTTAATGGATCTCGAGACAGTCCCCAAGGACACTGTCACCAGTCTAGACGGACCCTGAGGTCACCCCAGCAACGCAAAGCAGCTCCATGTGCCCCAAATCAACTCGAGATGAGGCCCGATTCCCCTGCATTGACTCCAGAGCCATTCCCCGTTCCCCATTCAACACGACCGGTGGCTCGACTTCCTTCAGGCAACTCCAGAGATGCCCCGAGAACACTGTCCCAAGTCTAGAGGAACACCAACTTCAGCACAGCAACTCGAGGAATGCTCCGTCTACCCCAAATCGTCTCGAGATGCGAGCTGATTCCCTGGCTTAGGCTCAAGACGTATGCCAACTTCCCAGAAGCACCACAGGAGGAGGCTTCTCTCAGCAATAGGTATGTGGGAGGGACCCCGAGTTTGCTGCCTCAAGGGGAATATACAGCGAGAAGCCCTAACTTGAAAGGAGGCCGGATTTCCTTGCAGTGGCTTGAATACAGGCTCGTCTTTCCTCTCACAACATGAAGGGATGTCTGAATCCCCTGTGGAGACCTTAGAGAAAGCCCTAGGTCCCTGCCTCATTTTGACGGAATGCCTCACATCCCGCTGACACCTAGAGAGGCACGCGGAGTTCATTGCTTCAAAAGGTGACGATGCCTGACTCCTCTTGAATACTGATAGGAATCCCAAAATCCCTGTGGCTACTGGAAAGGGTCCTTGGGTGCCCTGCCTCACCTCGAGAAGCGTCCCTTTGGCCCTGCCAAGCCTCGAAGAGATTCCTGAGGTGTCCCTCGTTACTAGACAGGAGTCCTGACGTCACTGAAGAAACTCGTGTTTTCAAGGGCCATCCCCGCCGTAAGTCGAGAACATACCCCAGGTCCCCGCCGCAACTCGAGAAAAACCATGAGACTTCCCCCTAGAGGCGAGATGAGGCCCCATTCCCCTGCAGTGCATGCAGAGCTATTCCGTGATCCCATTCAAACAAGTCAGGAGCTTCGGCTTGCTTAATGGATCTCGAGACAGTCCCCAAGAACACTGTCACCAGTCTAGACGGACCCTGAGGTCACCCCAGCAACGCAAAGCAGCTCCATGTGCCCCAAATCAACTCGAGATGAGGCCCGATTCCCCTGCATTGACTGCAGAGCCATTCCCCGTTCCCCATTCAACACGACCGGTGGCTCGACTTCCTTCAGGCAACTCCAGAGATGCCCCGAGAACACTGTCCCAAGTCTAGAGGAACACCAACTTCAGCACAGCAACTCGAGGAATGCTCCGTGTACCCCAAATCGTCTCGAGATGCGAGCTGATTCCCTGGCTTAGGCTCAAGACGTATGCCAACTTCCCAGAAGCACCTCAGGAGGAGGCTTCTCTCAGCAATAGGTATGTGGGAGGGACCCCGAGTTTGCTGCCTCAAGGGGAATATACAGCGAGAAGCCCTAACTTGAAAGGAGGCCGGATTTCCTTGCAGTGGCTTGAATACAGGCTCGTCTTTCATCTCACAACATGAAGGGATGTCTGAATCCCCTGTGGAGACCTTAGAGAAAGCCCTAGGTCCCTGCCTCATTTTGACGGAATGCCTCACATCCCGCTGACACCTCGAGAGGCACGCGGAGTTCATTGCTTCAAAAGGTGACGATGCCTGACTCCTCTTGAATACTGATAGGAATCCCAAAATCCCTGTGGCTACTGGAAAGGGTCCTTGGGTGCCCTGCCTCACCTCGAGAAGCGTCCCTTTGGCCCTGCCAAGCCTCGAAGAGATTCCTGAGGTGTCCCTCGTTACTAGACAGGAGTCCTAACGTCACTGAAGAAACTCGTGTTTTCAAGGGCCATCCCCGCCGTAAGTCGAGAACATACCCCAGGTCCCCGCCGCAACTCGAGAAAAACCATGAGACTTCCCCCTAGAGGCGAGATGAGGCCCCATTCCCCTGCAGTGCATGCAGAGCTATTCCGTGATCCCATTCAAACAAGTCAGGAGCTTCGGCTTGCTTAATGGATCTCGAGACAGTCCCCAAGAACACTGTCACCAGTCTAGACGGACCCTGAGGTCACCCCAGCAACGCAAAGCAGCTCCATGTGCCCCAAATCAACTCGAGTTGAGGCCCGATTCCCCTGCATTGACTCCAGAGCCATTCCCCGTTCCCCATTCAACACGACCGGTGGCTCGACTTCCTTCAGGCAACTCCAGAGATGCCCCGAGAACACTGTCCCAAGTCTAGAGGAACACCAACTTCAGCACAGCAACTCGAGGAATGCTCCGTGTACCCTAAATCGTCTCGAGATGCGAGCTGATTCCCTGGCTTAGGCTCAAGACCTATGCCAACTTCCCAGAAGCACCTCAGGAGGAGGCTTCTCTCAGCAATAGGTATGTGGGAGGGACCCCGAGTTTGCTGCCTCAAGGGGAATATACAGCGAGAAGCCCTAACTTGAAAGGAGGCCGGATTTCCTTGCAGTGGCTTGAATACAGGCTCGTCTTTCCTCTCACAACATGAAGGGATGTCTGAATCCCCTGTGGAGACCTTAGAGAAAGCCCTAGGTCCCTGCCTCATTTTGACGGAATGCCTCACATCCCGCTGACACCTCGAGAGGCACGCGGAGTTCATTGCTTCAAAAGGTGACGATGCCTGACTCCTCTTGAATACTGATAGGAATCCCAAAATCCCTGTGGCTACTGGAAAGGGTCCTTGGGTGCCCTGCCTCACCTCGAGAAGCGTCCCTTTGGCCCTGCCAAGCCTCGAAGAGATTCCTGAGGTGTCCCTCGTTACTAGACAGGAGTCCTGACGTCACTGAAGAAACTCGTGTTTTCAAGGGCCATCCCCGCCGTAAGTCGAGAACATACCCCAGGTCCCCGCCGCAACTCGAGAAAAACCATGAGACTTCCCCCTAGAGGCGAGATGAGACCCCATTCCCCTGCAGTGCATGCAGAGCTATTCCGTGATCCCATTCAAACAAGTCAGGAGCTTCGACTTGCTTAATGGATCTCGAGACAGTCCCCAAGAACACTGTCACCAGTCTAGACGGACCCTGAGGTCACCCCAGCAACGCAAAGCAGCTCCATGTGCCCCAAATCAACTCGAGATGAGGCCCGATTCCCCTGCATTGACTCCAGAGCCATTCCCCGTTCCCCATTCAACACGACCGGTGGCTCGACTTCCTTCAGGCAACTCCAGAGATGCCCCGAGAACACTGTCCCAAGTCTAGAGGAACACCAACTTCAGCACAGCAACTCGAGGAATGCTCCGTGTACCCCAAATCGTCTCGAGATGCGAGCTGATTCCCTGGCTTAGGCTCAAGACGTATGCCAACTTCCCAGAAGCACCTCAGGAGGAGGCTTCTCTCAGCAATAGGTATGTGGGAGGGACCCCGAGTTTGCTGCCTCAAGGGGAATATACAGCGAGAAGCCCTAACTTGAAAGGAGGCCGGATTTCCTTGCAGTGGCTTGAATACAGGCTCGTCTTTCCTCTCAGAACATGAAGGGATGTCTGAATCCCCTGTGGAGACCTTAGAGAAAGCCCTAGGTCCCTGCCTCATTTTCACGGAATGCCTCACATCCCGCTGACACCTCGAGAGGCACGCGGAGTTCATTGCTTCAAAAGGTGGCGATGCCTGACTCATCTTGAATACTGATAGGAATCCCAAAATCCCTGTGGCTACTGGAAAGGGTCCTTGGGTGCCCTGCCTCACCTCGAGAAGCGTCCCTTTTGCCCTGCCAAGCCTCGAAGAGATTCCTGAGGTGTCCCTCGTTACTAGACAGGAGTCCTGACGTCACTGAAGAAACTCGTGTTTTCAAGGGCCATCCCCGCCGTAAGTCGAGAACATACCCCAGGTCCCCGCCGCAACTCGAGAAAAACCATGAGACTTCCCCCTAGAGGCGAGATGAGGCCCCATTCCCCTGCAGTGCATGCAGAGCTATTCCGTGATCCCATTCAAACAAGTCAGGAGCTTCGGCTTGCTTAATGGATCTCGAGACAGTCCCCAAGAACACTGTCACCAGTCTAGACGGACCCTGAGGTCACCCCAGCAACGCAAAGCAGCTCCATGTGCCCCAAATCAACTCGAGATGAGGCCCGTTTCCCCTGCATTGACTGCAGAGCCATTCCCCGTTCCCCATTCAACACGACCGGTGGCTCGACTTCCTTGAGGCAACTCCAGAGATGCCCCGAGAACACTGTCCCAAGTCTAGAGGAACACCAACTTCAGCACAGCAACTCGAGGAATGCTCCGTGTACCCCAAATCGTCTCGAGATGCGAGCTGATTCCCTGGCTTAGGCTCAAGACGTATGCCAACTTCCCAGAAGCACCTCAGGAGGAGGCTTCTCTCAGCAATAGGTATGTGGGAGGGACCCCGAGTTTGCTGCCTCAAGGGGAATATACAGCGAGAAGCCCTAACTTGAAAGGAGGCCGGATTTCCTTGCAGTGGCTTGAATACAGGCTCGTCTTTCCTCTCAGAACATGAAGGGATGTCTGAATCCCCTGTGGAGACCTTAGAGAAAGCCCTAGGTCCCTGCCTCATTTTCACGGAATGCCTCACATCCCGCTGACACCTCGAGAGGCACGCGGAGTTCATTGCTTCAAAAGGTGGCGATGCCTGACTCATCTTGAATACTGATAGGAATCCCAAAATCCCTGTGGCTACTGGAAAGGGTCCTTGGGTGCCCTGCCTCACCTCGAGAAGCGTCCCTTTTGCCCTGCCAAGCCTCGAAGAGATTCCTGAGGTGTCCCTCGTTACTAGACAGGAGTCCTGACGTCACTGAAGAAACTCGTGTTTTCAAGGGCCATCCCCGCCGTAAGTCGAGAACATACCCCAGGTCCCCGCCGCAACTCGAGAAAAACCATGAGACTTCCCCCTAGAGGCGAGATGAGGCCCCATTCCCCTGCAGTGCATGCAGAGCTATTCCGTGATCCCATTCAAACAAGTCAGGAGCTTCGGCTTGCTTAATGGATCTCGAGACAGTCCCCAAGAACACTGTCACCAGTCTAGACGGACCCTGAGGTCACCCCAGCAACGCAAAGCAGCTCCATGTGCCCCAAATCAACTCGAGATGAGGCCCGATTCCCCTGCATTGACTGCAGAGCCATTCCCCATTCCCCATTCAACAAGACCGGTGGCTCGACTTCCTTCAGGCAACTCCAGAGATGCCCCGAGAACACTGTCCCAAGTCTAGAGGAACACCAACTTCAGCACAGCAACTCGAGGAATGCTCCGTGTACCCCAAATCGTCTCGAGATGCGAGCTGATTCTCTGGCTTAGGCTCAAGACCTATGCCAACTTCCCAGAAGCACCTCAGGAGGAGGCTTCTCTCAGCAATAGGTATGTGGGAGGGACCCCGAATTTGCTGCCTCAAGGGGAATATACAGCGAGAAGCCCTAACTTGAAAGGAGGCCGGATTTCCTTGCAGTGGCTTGAATACAGGCTCGTCTTTCCTCTCACAACATGAAGGGATGTCTGAATCCCCTGTGGAGACCTTAGAGAAAGCCCTAGGTCCCTGCCTCATTTTGACGGAATGCCTCACATCCCGCTGACACCTCGAGAGGCACGCGGAGTTCATTGCTTCAAAAGGTGGCGATGCCTGACTCCTCTTGAATACTGATAGGAATCCCAAAATCCCTGTGGCTACTGGAAAGGGTCCTTGGGTGCCCTGCCTCACCTCGAGAAGCGTCCCTTTGGCCCTGCCAAGCCTCGAAGAGATTCCTGAGGTGTCCCTCGTTACTAGACAGGAGTCCTGACGTCACTGAAGAAACTCGTGTTTTCAAGGGCCATCCCCGCCGTAAGTCGAGAACATACCCCAGGTCCCCGCCGCAACTCGAGAAAAACCATGAGACTTCCCCCTAGAGGCGAGATGAGGCCCCATTCCCCTGCAGTGCATGCAGAGCTATTCCGTGATCCCATTCAAACAAGTCAGGAGCTTCGGCTTGCTTAATGGATCTCGAGACAGTCCCCAAGAACACTGTCACCAGTCTAGACGGACCCTGAGGTCACCCCAGCAACGCAAAGCAGCTCCATGTGCCCCAAATCAACTCGAGATGAGGCCCGATTCCCCTGCATTGACTGCAGAGCCATTCCCCGTTCCCCATTCAACACGACCGGTGGCTCGACTTCCTTCAGGCAACTCCAGAGATGCCCCGAGAACACTGTCCCAAGTCTAGAGGAACACCAACTTCAGCACAGCAACTCGAGGAATGCTCCGTGTACCCCAAATCGTCTCGAGATGCGAGCTGATTCCCTGGCTTAGGCTCAAGACCTATGCCAACTTCCCAGAAGCACCTCAAGAGGAGGCTTCTCTCAGCAATAGGTATGTGGGAGGGACCCCGAGTTTGCTGCCTCAAGGGGAATATACAGCGAGAAGCCCTAACTTGAAAGGAGGCCGGATTTCCTTGCAGTGGCTTGAGTACAGGCTCGTCTTTCCTCTCACAACATGAAGGGATGTCTGAATCCCCTGTGGAGACCTTAGAGAAAGCCCTAGGTCCCTGCCTCATTTTGACGGAATGCCTCACATCCCGCTGACACCTCGAGAGGCACGCGGAGTTCATTGCTTCAAAAGGTGACGATGCCTGACTCCTCTTGAATACTGATAGGAATCCCAAAATCCCTGTGGCTACTGGAAAGGGTCCTTGGGTGCCCTGCCTCACCTCGAGAAGCGTCCCTTTGGCCCTGCCAAGCCTCGAAGAGATTCCTGAGGTGTCCCTCGTTACTAGACAGGAGTCCTGACGTCACTGAAGAAACTCGTGTTTTCAAGGGCCATCCCCGCCGTAAGTCGAGAACATACCCCAGGTCCCCGCCGCAACTCGAGAAAAACCATGAGACTTCCCCCTAGAGGCGAGATGAGACCCCATTCCCCTGCAGTGCTTGCAGAGCTATTCCGTGATCCCATTCAAACAAGTCAGGAGCTTCGACTTGCTTAATGGATCTCGAGACAGTCCCCAAGAACACTGTCACCAGTCTAGACGGACCCTGAGGTCACCCCAGCAACGCAAAGCAGCTCCATGTGCCCCAAATCAACTCGAGATGAGGCCCGATTCCCCTGCATTGACTCCAGAGCCATTCCCCGTTCCCCATTCAACACGACCGGTGGCTCGACTTCCTTCAGGCAACTCCAGAGATGCCCCGAGAACACTGTCCCAAGTCTAGAGGAACACCAACTTCAGCACAGCAACTCGAGGAATGCTCCGTGTACCCCAAATCGTCTCGAGATGCGAGCTGATTCCCTGGCTTAGGCTCAAGACGTATGCCAACTTCCCAGAAGCACCTCAGGAGGAGGCTTCTCTCAGCAATAGGTATGTGGGAGGGACCCCGAGTTTGCTGCCTCAAGGGGAATATACAGCGAGAAGCCCTAACTTGAAAGGAGGCCGGATTTCCTTGCAGTGGCTTGAATACAGGCTCGTCTTTCATCTCACAACATGAAGGGATGTCTGAATCCCCTGTGGAGACCTTAGAGAAAGCCCTAGGTCCCTGCCTCATTTTGACGGAATGCCTCACATCCCGCTGACACCTCGAGAGGCACGCGGAGTTCATTGCTTCAAAAGGTGACGATGCCTGACTCCTCTTGAATACTGATAGGAATCCCAAAATCCCTGTGGCTACTGGAAAGGGTCCTTGGGTGCCCTGCCTCACCTCGAGAAGCGTCCCTTTGGCCCTGCCAAGCCTCGAAGAGATTCCTGAGGTGTCCCTCGTTACTAGACAGGAGTCCTGACGTCACTGAAGAAACTCGTGTTTTCAAGGGCCATCCCCGCCGTAAGTCGAGAACATACCCCAGGTCCCCGCCGCAACTCGAGAAAAACCATGAGACTTCCCCCTAGAGGCGAGATGAGGCCCCATTCCCCTGCAGTGCATGCAGAGCTCTTCCGTGATCCCATTCAAACAAGTCAGGAGCTTCGACTTGCTTAATGGATCTCGAGACAGTCCCCAAGAACACTGTCACCAGTCTAGACGGACCCTGAGGTCACCCCAGCAACGCAAAGCAGCTCCATGTGCCCCAAATCAACTCGAGATGAGGCCCGATTCCCCTGCATTGACTCCAGAGCCATTCCCCGTTCCCCATTCAACACGACCGGTGGCTCGACTTCCTTCAGGCAACTCCAGAGATGCCCCGAGAACACTGTCCCAAGTCTAGAGGAACACCAACTTCAGCACAGCAACTCGAGGAATGCTCCGTGTACCCCAAATCGTCCCGAGATGCGAGCTGATTCCCTGGCTTAGGCTCAAGACCTATGCCAACTTCCCAGAAGCACCTCAGGAGGAGGCTTCTCTCAGCAATAGGTATGTGGGAGGGACCCCGAGTTTGCTGCCTCAAGGGGAATATACAGCGAGAAGCCCTAACTTGAAAGGAGGCCGGATTTCCTTGCAGTGGCTTGAATACAGGCTCGTCTTTCATCTCACAACATGAAGGGATGTCTGAATCCCCTGTGGAGACCTTAGAGAAAGCCCTAGGTCCCTGCCTCATTTTGACGGAATGCCTCACATCCCGCTGACACCTCGAGAGGCACGCGGAGTTCATTGCTTCAAAATGTGACGATGCCTGACTCCTCTTGAATACTGATAGGAATCCCAAAATCCCTGTGGCTACTGGAAAGGGTCCTTGGGTGCCCTGCCTCACCTCGAGAAGCGTCCCTTTGGCCCTGCCAACCCTCGAAGAGATTCCTGAGGTGTCCCTCGTTACTAGACAGGAGTCCTGACGTCACTGAAGAAACTCGTGTTTTGAAGGGCCATCCCCGCCGTAAGTCGAGAACATACCCCAGGTCCCCGCCTCAACTCGAGAAAAACCATGAGACTTCCCCCTAGAGGCGAGATGAGGCCCCATTCCCCTGCAGTGCATGCAGAGCTATTCCGTGATCCCATTCAAACAAGTCAGGAGCTTCGGCTTGCTTAATGGATCTCGAGACAGTCCCCAAGAACACTGTCACCAGTCTAGACGGACCCTGAGGTCACCCCAGCAACGCAAAGCAGCTCCATGTGCCCCAAATCAACTCGAGATGAGGCCCGATTCCCCTGCATTGACTGCAGAGCCATTCCCCGTTCCCCATTCAACACGACCGGTGGCTCGACTTCCTTCAGGCAACTCCAGAGATGCCCCGAGAACACTGTCCCAAGTCTAGAGGAACACCAACTTCAGCACAGCAACTCGAGGAATGCTCCGTGTACCCTAAATCGTCTCGAGATGCGAGCTGATTCCCTGGCTTAGGCTCAAGACCTATGCCAACTTCCCAGAAGCACCTCAGGAGGAGGCTTCTCTCAGCAATAGTTATGTGGGAGGGACCCCGAGTTTGCTGCCTCAAGGGGAATATACAGCGAGAAGCCCTAACTTGAAAGGAGGCCGGATTTCCTTGCAGTGGCTTGAATACAGGCTCGTCTTTCCTCTCACAACATGAAGGGATGTCTGAATCCCCTGTGGAGACCTTAGAGAAAGCCCTAGGTCCCTGCCTCATTTTGACGGAATGCCTCACATCCCGCTGACACCTCGAGAGGCACGCGGAGTTCATTGCTTCAAAAGGTGACGAAGCCTGACTCCTCTTGAATACTGATAGGAATCCCAAAATCCCTGTGGCTACTGGAAAGGGTCCTTGGGTGCCCTGCCTCACCTCGAGAAGCGTCCCTTTGGCCCTGCCAAGCCTCGAAGAGATTCCTGAGGTGTCCCTCGTTACTAGACAGGAGTCCTGACGTCACTGAAGAAACTCGTGTTTTCAAGGGCCATCCCCGCCGTAAGTCGAGAACATACCCCAGGTCCCCGCCGCAACTCGAGAAAAACCATGAGACTTCCCCCTAGAGGCGAGATGCGACCCCATTCCCCTGCAGTGCATGCAGAGCTATTCCGTGATCCCATTCAAACAAGTCAGGAGCTTCGACTTGCTTAATGGATCTCGAGACAGTCCCCAAGAACACTGTCACCAGTCTAGACGGACCCTGAGGTCACCCCAGCAACGCAAAGCAGCTCTATGTGCCCCAAATCAACTCGAGATGAGGCCCGATTCCCCTGCATTGACTCCAGAGCCATTCCCCGTTCCCCATTCAACACGACCGGTGGCTCGACTTCCTTCAGGCAACTCCAGAGATGCCCCGAGAACACTGTCCCAAGTCTAGAGGAACACCAACTTCAGCACAGCAACTCGAGGAATGCTCCGTGTACCCCAAATCGTCTCGAGATGCGAGCTGATTCCCTGGCTTAGGCTCAAGACGTATGCCAACTTCCCAGAAGCACCTCAGGAGGAGGCTTCTCTCAGCAATAGGTATGTGGGAGGGACCCCGAGTTTGCTGCCTCAAGGGGAATATACAGCGAGAAGCCCTAACTTGAAAGGAGGCCGGATTTCCTTGCAGTGGCTTGAATACAGGCTCGTCTTTCCTCTCACAACATGAAGGGATGTCTGAATCCCCTGTGGAGACCTTAGAGAAAGCCCTAGGTCCCTGCCTCATTTTGACGGAATGCCTCACATCCCGCTGACACCTCGAGAGGCACGCGGAGTTCATTGCTTCAAAAGGTGGCGATGCCTGACTCATCTTGAATACTGATAGGAATCCCAAAATCCCTGTGGCTACTGGAAAGGGTCCTTGGGTGCCCTGCCTCACCTCGAGAAGCGTCCCTTTGGCCCTGCCAAGCCTCGAAGAGATTCCTGAGGTGTCCCTCGTTACTAGACAGGAGTCCTGACGTCACTGAAGAAACTCGTGTTTTCAAGGGCCATCCCCGCCGTAAGTCGAGAACATACCCCAGGTCCCCGCCGCAACTCGAGAAAAACCATGAGACTTCCCCCTAGAGGCGAGATGAGGCCCCATTCCCCTGCAGTGCATGCAGAGCTATTCCGTGATCCCATTCAAACAATCAGGAGCTTCGGCTTGCTTAATGGATCTCGAGACAGTCCCCAAGAACACTGTCACCAGTCTAGACGGACCCTGAGGTCACCCCAGCAACGCAAAGCAGCTCCATGTGCCCCAAATCAACTCGAGATGAGGCCCGATTCCCCTGCATTGACTGCAGAGCCATTCCCCGTTCCCCATTCAACACGACCGGTGGCTCGACCTCCTTCAGGCAACTCCAGAGATGCCCCGAGAACACTGTCCCAAGTCTAGAGGAACACCAACTTCAGCACAGCAACTCGAGGAATGCTCCGTGTACCCCAAATCGTCTCGAGATGCGAGCTGATTCTCTGGCTTAGGCTCAAGACCTATGCCAACTTCCCAGAAGCACCTCAGGAGGAGGCTTCTCTCAGCAATAGGTATGTGGGAGGGACCCCGAGTTTGCTGCCTCAAGGGGAATATACAGCGAGAAGCCCTAACTTGAAAGGAGGCCGGATTTCCTTGCAGTGGCTTGAATACAGGCTCGTCTTTCCTCTCACAACATGAAGGGATGTCTCAATCCCCTGTGGAGACCTTAGAGAAAGCCCTAGGTCCCTGCCTCATTTTGACGGAATGCCTCACATCCCGCTGACACCTCGAGAGGCACGCGGAGTTCATTGCTTCAAAAGGTGGCGATGCCTGACTCCTCTTGAATACTGATAGGAATCCCAAAATCCCTGTGGCTACTGGAAAGGGTCCTTGGGTGCCCTGCCTCACCTCGAGAAGCGTCCCTTTGGCCCTGCCAAGCCTCGAAGAGATTCCTGAGGTGTCCCTCGTTACTAGACAGGAGTCCTGACGTCACTGAAGAAACTCGTGTTTTCAAGGGCCATCCCCGCCGTAAGTCGAGAACATACCCCAGGTCCCCGCCGCAACTCGAGAAAAACCATGAGACTTCCCCCTAGAGGCGAGATGAGGCCCCATTCCCCTGCAGTGCATGCAGAGCTATTCCGTGATCCCATTCAAACAAGTCAGGAGCTTCGGCTTGCTTAATGGATCTCGAGACAGTCCCCAAGAACACTGTCACCAGTCTAGACGGACCCTGAGGTCACCCCAGCAACGCAAAGCAGCTCCATGTGCCCCAAATCAACTCGAGATGAGGCCCGATTCCCCTGCATTGACTGCAGAGCCATTCCCCGTTCCCCATTCAACACGACCGGTGGCTCGACTTCCTTCAGGCAACTCCAGAGATGCCCCGAGAACACTGTCCCAAGTCTAGAGGAACACCAACTTCAGCACAGCAACTCGAGGAATGCTCCGTGTACCCCAAATCGTCTCGAGATGCGAGCTGATTCCCTGGCTTAGGCTCAAGACCTATGCCAACTTCCCAGAAGCACCTCAAGAGGAGGCTTCTCTCAGCAATAGGTATGTGGGAGGGACCCCGAGTTTGCTGCCTCAAGGGGAATATACAGCGAGAAGCCCTAACTTGAAAGGAGGCCGGATTTCCTTGCAGTGGCTTGAGTACAGGCTCGTCTTTCCTCTCACAACATGAAGGGATGTCTGAATCCCCTGTGGAGACCTTAGAGAAAGCCCTAGGTCCCTGCCTCATTTTGACGGAATGCCTCACATCCCGCTGACACCTCGAGAGGCACGCGGAGTTCATTGCTTCAAAAGGTGACGATGCCTGACTCCTCTTGAATACTGATAGGAATCCCAAAATCCCTGTGGCTACTGGAAAGGGTCCTTGGGTGCCCTGCCTCACCTCGAGAAGCGTCCCTTTGGCCCTGCCAAGCCTCGAAGAGATTCCTGAGGTGTCCCTCGTTACTAGACAGGAGTCCTGACGTCACTGAAGAAACTCGTGTTTTCAAGGGCCATCCCCGCCGTAAGTCGAGAACATACCCCAGGTCCCCGCCGCAACTCGAGAAAAACCATGAGACTTCCCCCTAGAGGCGAGATGAGACCCCATTCCCCTGCAGTGCTTGCAGAGCTATTCCGTGATCCCATTCAAACAAGTCAGGAGCTTCGACTTGCTTAATGGATCTCGAGACAGTCCCCAAGAACACTGTCACCAGTCTAGACGGACCCTGAGGTCACCCCAGCAACGCAAAGCAGCTCCATGTGCCCCAAATCAACTCGAGATGAGGCCCGATTCCCCTGCATTGACTCCAGAGCCATTCCCCGTTCCCCATTCAACACGACCGGTGGCTCGACTTCCTTCAGGCAACTCCAGAGATGCCCCGAGAACACTGTCCCAAGTCTAGAGGAACACCAACTTCAGCACAGCAACTCGAGGAATGCTCCGTGTACCCCAAATCGTCTCGAGATGCGAGCTGATTCCCTGGCTTAGGCTCAAGACGTATGCCAACTTCCCAGAAGCACCTCAGGAGGAGGCTTCTCTCAGCAATAGGTATGTGGGAGGGACCCCGAGTTTGCTGCCTCAAGGGGAATATACAGCGAGAAGCCCTAACTTGAAAGGAGGCCGGATTTCCTTGCAGTGGCTTGAATACAGGCTCGTCTTTCATCTCACAACATGAAGGGATGTCTGAATCCCCTGTGGAGACCTTAGAGAAAGCCCTAGGTCCCTGCCTCATTTTGACGGAATGCCTCACATCCCGCTGACACCTAGAGAGGCACGCGGAGTTCATTGCTTCAAAAGGTGACGATGCCTGACTCCTCTTGAATACTGATAGGAATCCCAAAATCCCTGTGGCTACTGGAAAGGGTCCTTGGGTGCCCTGCCTCACCTCGAGAAGCGTCCCTTTGGCCCTGCCAAGCCTCGAAGAGATTCCTGAGGTGTCCCTCGTTACTAGACAGGAGTCCTGACGTCACTGAAGAAACTCGTGTTTTGAAGGGCCATCCCCGCCGTAAGTCGAGAACATACCCCAGGTCCCCGCCGCAACTCGAGAAAAACCATGAGACTTCCCCCTAGAGGCGAGATGAGGCCCCATTCCCCTGCAGTGCATGCAGAGCTCTTCCGTGATCCCATTCAAACAAGTCAGGAGCTTCGACTTGCTTAATGGATCTCGAGACAGTCCCCAAGAACACTGTCACCAGTCTAGACGGACCCTGAGGTCACCCCAGCAACGCAAAGCAGCTCCATGTGCCCCAAATCAACTCGAGATGAGGCCCGATTCCCCTGCATTGACTCCAGAGCCATTCCCCGTTCCCCATTCAACACGACCGGTGGCTCGACTTCCTTCAGGCAACTCCAGAGATGCCCCGAGAACACTGTCCCAAGTCTAGAGGAACACCAACTTCAGCACAGCAACTCGAGGAATGCTCCGTGTACCCCAAATCGTCCCGAGATGCGAGCTGATTCCCTGGCTTAGGCTCAAGACCTATGCCAACTTCCCAGAAGCACCTCAGGAGGAGGCTTCTCTCAGCAATAGGTATGTGGGAGGGACCCCGAGTTTGCTGCCTCAAGGGGAATATACAGCGAGAAGCCCTAACTTGAAAGGAGGCCGGATTTCCTTGCAGTGGCTTGAATACAGGCTCGTCTTTCATCTCACAACATGAAGGGATGTCTGAATCCCCTGTGGAGACCTTAGAGAAAGCCCTAGGTCCCTGCCTCATTTTGACGGAATGCCTCACATCTCGCTGACACCTCGAGAGGCACGCGGAGTTCATTGCTTCAAAAGGTGGCGATGCCTGACTCATCTTGAATACTGATAGGAATCCCAAAATCCCTGTGGCTACTGGAAAGGGTCCTTGGGTGCCCTGCCTCACCTCGAGAAGCGTCCCTTTGGCCCTGCCAAGCCTCGAAGAGATTCCTGAGGTGTCCCTCGTTACTAGACAGGAGTCCTGACGTCACTGAAGAAACTCGTGTTTTCAAGGGCCATCCCCGCCGTAAGTCGAGAACATACCCCAGGTCCCCGCCGCAACTCGAGAAAAACCATGAGACTTCCCCCTAGAGGCGAGATGAGGCCCCAATCCCCTGCAGTGCATGCAGAGCTATTCCGTGATCCCATTCAAACAAGTCAGGAGCTTCGGCTTGCTTAATGGATCTCGAGACAGTCCCCAAGAACACTGTCACCAGTCTAGACGGACCCTGAGGTCACCCCAGCAACGCAAAGCAGCTCCATGTGCCCCAAATCAACTCGAGATGAGGCCCGATTCCCCTGCATTGACTGCAGAGCCATTCCCCGTTCCCCATTCAACACGACCGGTGGCTCGACTTCCTTCAGGCAACTCCAGAGATGCCCCGAGAACACTGTCCCAAGTCTAGAGGAACACCAACTTCAGCACAGCAACTCGAGGAATGCTCCGTGTACCCCAAATCGTCTCGAGATGCGAGCTGATTCTCTGGCTTAGGCTCAAGACCTATGCCAACTTCCCAGAAGCACCTCAGGAGGAGGCTTCTCTCAGCAATAGGTATGTGGGAGGGACCCCGAGTTTGCTGCCTCAAGGGGAATATACAGCGAGAAGCCCTAACTTGAAAGGAGGCCGGATTTCCTTGCAGTGGCTTGAATACAGGCTCGTCTTTCCTCTCACAACATGAAGGGATGTCTGAATCCCCTGTGGAGACCTTAGAGAAAGCCCTAGGTCCCTGCCTCATTTTGACGGAATGCCTCACATCCCGCTGACACCTCGAGAGGCACGCGGAGTTCATTGCTTCAAAAGGTGGCGATGCCTGACTCCTCTTGAATACTGATAGGAATCCCAAAATCCCTGTGGCTACTGGAAAGGGTCCTTGGGTGCCCTGCCTCACCTCGAGAAGCGTCCCTTTGGCCCTGCCAAGCCTCGAAGAGATTCCTGAGGTGTCCCTCGTTACTAGACAGGAGTCCTGACGTCACTGAAGAAACTCGTGTTTTCAAGGGCCATCCCCGCCGTAAGTCGAGAACATACCCCAGGTCCCCGCCGCAACTCGAGAAAAACCATGAGACTTCCCCCTAGAGGCGAGATGAGGCCCCATTCCCCTGCAGTGCATGCAGAGCTATTCCGTGATCCCATTCAAACAAGTCAGGAGCTTCGGCTTGCTTAATGGATCTCGAGACAGTCCCCAAGAACACTGTCACCAGTCTAGACGGACCCTGAGGTCACCCCAGCAACGCAAAGCAGCTCCATGTGCCCCAAATCAACTCGAGATGAGGCCCGATTCCCCTGCATTGACTGCAGAGCCATTCCCCGTTCCCCATTCAACACGACCGGTGGCTCGACTTCCTTCAGGCAACTCCAGAGATGCCCCGAGAACACTGTCCCAAGTCTAGAGGAACACCAACTTCAGCACAGCAACTCGAGGAATGCTCCGTGTACCCCAAATCGTCTCGAGATGCGAGCTGATTCCCTGGCTTAGGCTCAAGACCTATGCCAACTTCCCAGAAGCACCTCAAGAGGAGGCTTCTCTCAGCAATAGGTATGTGGGAGGGACCCCGAGTTTGCTGCCTCAAGGGGAATATACAGCGAGAAGCCCGAACTTGAAAGGAGGCCGGATTTCCTTGCAGTGGCTTGAGTACAGGCTCGTCTTTCCTCTCACAACATGAAGGGATGTCTGAATCCCCTGTGGAGACCTTAGAGAAAGCCCTAGGTCCCTGCCTGATTTTGACGGAATGCCTCACATCCCGCTGACACCTCGAGAGGCACGCGGAGTTCATTGCTTCAAAAGGTGACGATGCCTGACTCCTCTTGAATACTGATAGGAATCCCAAAATCCCTGTGGCTACTGGAAAGGGTCCTTGGGTGCCCTGCCTCACCTCGAGAAGCGTCCCTTTGGCCCTGCCAAGCCTCGAAGAGATTCCTGAGGTGTCCCTCGTTACTAGACAGGAGTCCTGACGTCACTGAAGAAACTCGTGTTTTCAAGGGCCATCCCCGCCGTAAGTCGAGAACATACCCCAGGTCCCCGCCGCAACTCGAGAAAAACCATGAGACTTCCCCCTAGAGGCGAGATGAGACCCCATTCCCCTGCAGTGCTTGCAGAGCTATTCCGTGATCCCATTCAAACAAGTCAGGAGCTTCGACTTGCTTAATGGATCTCGAGACAGTCCCCAAGAACACTGTCACCAGTCTAGACGGACCCTGAGGTCACCCCAGCAACGCAAAGCAGCTCCATGTGCCCCAAATCAACTCGAGATGAGGCCCGATTCCCCTGCATTGACTCCAGAGCCATTCCCCGTTCCCCATTCAACACGACCGGTGGCTCGACTTCCTTCAGGCAACTCCAGAGATGCCCCGAGAACACTGTCCCAAGTCTAGAGGAACACCAACTTCAGCACAGCAACTCGAGGAATGCTCCGTGTACCCCAAATCGTCTCGAGATGCGAGCTGATTCCCTGGCTTAGGCTCAAGACGTATGCCAACTTCCCAGAAGCACCTCAGGAGGAGGCTTCTCTCAGCAATAGGTATGTGGGAGGGACCCCGAGTTTGCTGCCTCAAGGGGAATATACAGCGAGAAGCCCTAACTTGAAAGGAGGCCGGATTTCCTTGCAGTGGCTTGAATACAGGCTCGTCTTTCATCTCACAACATGAAGGGATGTCTGAATCCCCTGTGGAGACCTTAGAGAAAGCCCTAGGTCCCTGCCTCATTTTGACGGAATGCCTCACATCCCGCTGACACCTCGAGAGGCACGCGGAGTTCATTGCTTCAAAAGGTGACGATGCCTGACTCCTCTTGAATACTGATAGGAATCCCAAAATCCCTGTGGCTACTGGAAAGGGTCCTTGGGTGCCCTGCCTCACCTCGAGAAGCGTCCCTTTGGCCCTGCCAAGCCTCGAAGAGATTCCTGAGGTGTCCCTGGTTACTAGACAGGAGTCCTGACGTCACTGAAGAAACTCGTGTTTTGAAGGGCCATCCCCGCCGTAAGTCGAGAACATAACCCAGGTCCCCGCCGCAACTCGAGAAAAACCATGAGACTTCCCCCTAGAGGCGAGATGAGGCCCCATTCCCCTGCAGTGCATGCAGAGCTCTTCCGTGATCCCATTCAAACAAGTCAGGAGCTTCGACTTGCTTAATGGATCTCGAGACAGTCCCCAAGAACACTGTCACCAGTCTAGACGGACCCTGAGGTCACCCCAGCAACGCAAAGCAGCTCCATGTGCCCCAAATCAACTCGAGATGAGGCCCTATTCCCCTGCATTGACTCCAGAGCCATTCCCCGTTCCCCATTCAACACGACCGGTGGCTCGACTTCCTTCAGGCAACTCCAGAGATGCCCCGAGAACACTGTCCCAAGTCTAGAGGAACACCAACTTCAGCACAGCAACTCGAGGAATGCTCCGTGTACCCCAAATCGTCCCGAGATGCGAGCTGATTCCCTGGCTTAGGCTCAAGACGTATGCCAACTTCCCAGAAGCACCTCAGGAGGAGGCTTCTCTCAGCAATAGGTATGTGGGAGGGACCCCGAGTTTGCTGCCTCAAGGGGAATATACAGCGAGAAGCCCTAACTTGAAAGGAGGCCGGATTTCCTTGCAGTGGCTTGAATACAGGCTCGTCTTTCATCTCACAACATGAAGGGATGTCTGAATCCCCTGTGGAGACCTTAGAGAAAGCCCTAGGTCCCTGCCTCATTTTGACGGAATGCCTCACATCCCGCTGACACCTCGAGAGGCACGCGGAGTTCATTGCTTCAAAATGTGACGATGCCTGACTCCTCTTGAATACTGATAGGAATCCCAAAATCCCTGTGGCTACTGGAAAGGGTCCTTGGGTGCCCTGCCTCACCTCGAGAAGCGTCCCTTTGGCCCTGCCAAGCCTCGAAGAGATTCCTGAGGTGTCCCTCATTACTAGACAGGAGTCCTGACGTCACTGAAGAAACTCGTGTTTTCAAGGGCCATCCCCGCCGTAAGTCGAGAACATACCCCAGGTCCCCGCCGCAACTCGAGAAAAACCATGAGACTTCCCCCTAGAGGCGAGATGAAGCCTCATTCCCCTGCAATGCATGCAGAGCTCTTCCGTGATCCCATTCAAACAAGTCAGGAGCTTCGACTTGCTTAATGGATCTCGAGACAGTCCCCAAGAACACTGTCACCAGTCTAGACGGACCCTGAGGTCACCCCAGCAACGCAAAGCAGCTCCATGTGCCCCAAATCAACTCGAGATGAGGCCCGATTCCCCTGCATTGACTCCAGAGCCATTCCCCGTTCCCCATTCAACACGACCGGTGGCTCGACTTCCTTCAGGCAACTCCAGAGATGCCCCGAGAACACTGTCCCAAGTCTAGAGGAACACCAACTTCAGCACAGCAACTCGAGGAATGCTCCGTGTACCCCAAATCGGCTCGAGATGAGAGCTGATTCCCTGGCTTAGGCTCAAGACGTATGCCAACTTCCCAGAAGCACCTCAGTAGGAGGCTTCTCTCAGCAATAGGTATGTGGGAGGGACCCCGAGTTTGCTGCCTCAAGGGGAATATACAGCGAGAAGCCCTAACTTGAAAGGAGGCCGGATTTCCTTGCAGTGGCTTGAATACAGGCTCGTCTTTCCTCTCACAACATGAAGGGATGTCTGAATCCCCTGTGGAGACCTTAGAGAAAGCCCTAGGTCCCTGCCTCATTTTGACGGAATGCCTAACATCCCGCTGACACCTCGAGAGGCACGCGGAGTTCATTGCTTCAAAAGGTGACGATGCCTGACTCCTCTTGAATACTGATAGGAATCCCAAAATCCCTGTGGCTACTGGAAAGGGTCCTTGGGTGCCCTGCCTCACCTCGAGAAGCGTCCCTTTGGCCCTGCCAAGCCTCGAAGAGATTCCTGAGGTGTCCCTCATTACTAGACAGGAGTCCTGACGTCACTGAAGAAACTCGTGTTTTCAAGGGCCATCCCCGCCGTAAGTCGAGAACATACCCCAGGTCCCCGCCGCAACTCGAGAAAAACCATGAGACTTCCCCCTAGAGGCGAGATGAAGCCCCATTCCCCTGCAGTGCATGCAGAGCTCTTCCGTGATCCCATTCAAACAAGTCAGGAGCTTCGACTTGCTTAATGGATCTCGAGACAGTCCCCAAGAACACTGTCACCAGTCTAGACGGACCCTGAGGTCACCCCAGCAACGCAAAGCAGCTCCATGTGCCCCAAATCAACTCGAGATGAGGCCCGATTCCCCTGCATTGACTCCAGAGCCATTCCCCTTTCCACATTCAACACGACCGGTGGCTCGACTTCCTTCAGGCAACTCCAGAGATGCCCCGAGAACACTGTCCCAAGTCTAGAGGAACACCAACTTCAGCACAGCAACTCGAGGAATGCTCCGTGTACCCCAAATCGTCTCGAGATGCGAGCTGATTCCCTGGCTTAGGCTCAAGACGTATGCCAACTTCCCAGAAGCACCTCAGGAGGAGGCTTCTCTCAGCAATAGGTATGTGGGAGGGACCCCGAGTTTGCTGCCTCAAGGGGAATATACAGCGAGAAGCCCTAACTTGAAAGGAGGCCGGATTTCCTTGCATTGGCTTGAATACAGGCTCGTCTTTCCTCTCACAACATGAAGGGATGTCTGAATCCCCTGTGGAGACCTTAGAGAAAGCCCTAGGTCCCTGCCTCATTTTGACGGAATGCCTCATATCCCGCTGACACCTCGAGAGGCACGCGGAGTTCATTGCTTCAAAAGGTGACGATGCCTGACTCCTCTTGAATACTGATAGGAATCCCAAAATCCCTGTGGCTACTGGAAAGGGTCCTTGGGTGCCCTGCCTCACCTCGAGAAGCGTCCCTTTGGCCCTGCCAAGCCTCGAAGAGATTCCTGAGGTGTCCCTCGTTACTAGACAGGAGTCATGACGTCACTGAAGAAACTCGTGTTTTCAAGGGCCATCCCCGCCGTAAGTCGAGAACATACCCCAGGTCCCCGCCGCAACTCGAGAAAAACCATGAGACTTCCCCCTAGAGGCGAGATGAGGCCCCATTCCCCTGCAGTGCATGCAGAGCTATTCCGTGATCCCATTCAAACAAGTCAGGAGCTTCGACTTGCTTAATGGATCTCGAGACAGTCCCCAAGAACACTGTCACCAGTCTAGACGGACCCTGAGGTCACCCCAGCAACGCAAAGCAGCTCCATGTGCCCCAAATCAACTCGAGATGAGGCCCGATTCCCCTGCATTGACTCCAGAGCCATTCCCCGTTCCACATTCAACACGACCGGTGGCTCGACTTCCTTCAGGCAACTCCAGAGATGCCCCGAGAACACCGTCCCAAGTCTAGAGGAACACCAACTTCAGCACAGCAACTCGAGGAATGCTCCCTGTACCCCAAATCGTCTCGAGATGCTAGCTGATTCCCTGGCTTAGGCTCAAGACGTATGCCAACTTCCCAGAAGCACCTCAGGAGGAGGCTTCTCTCAGCAATAGGTATGTGGGAGGGACCCCGAGTTTGCTGCCTCAAGAGGAATATACAGCGAGAAGCCCTAACTTGAAAGGAGGCCGGATTTCCTTGCAGTGGCTTGAATACAGGCTCGTCTTTCATCTCACAACATGAAGGGATGTCTGAATCCCCTGTGGAGACCTTAGAGAAAGCCCTAGGTCCCTGCCTCATTTTGACGGAATGCCTCACATCCCGCTGACACCTCGAGAGGCACGCGGAGTTCATTGCTTCAAAAGGTGACGATGCCTGACTCCTCTTGAATACTGATAGGAATCCCAAAATCCCTGTGGCTCCTGGAAAGGGTCCTTGGGTGCCCTGCCTCACCTCGAGAAGCGTCCCTTTGGCCCTGCCAAGCCTCGAAGAGATTCCTGAGGTGTCCCTCGTTACTAGACAGGAGTCCTGACGTCACTGAAGAAACTCGTGTTTTCAAGGGCCATCCCCGCCGTAAGTCGAGAACATACCCCAGGTCCCCGCCGCAACTCGAGAAAAACCATGAGACTTCCCCCTAGAGGCGAGATGGGGCCCCATTCCCCTGCAGTGCATGCAGAGCTCTTCCGTGATCCCATTCAAACAAGTCAGGAGCTTCGACTTGCTTAATGGATCTCGAGACAGTCCCCAAGAACACTGTCACCAGTCTAGATGGACCCTGAGGTCACACCAGCAACGCAAAGCAGCTCCATGTGCCCCAAATCAACTCGAGATGAGGCCCGATTCCCCTGCATTGACTCCAGAGCCATTCCCCGTTCCCCATTCAACACGACCGGTGGCTCGACTTCCTTCAGGCAACTCCAGAGATGCCCCGAGAACACTGTCCCAAGTCTAGAGGAACACCAACTTCAGCACAGACACTCGAGGAATGCTCCGTGTACCCCAAATCGGCTCGAGATGAGAGCTGATTCCCTGGGTTAGGCTCAAGACGTATGCCAACTTCCCAGAAGCACCTCAGGAGGAGGCTTCTCTCAGCAATAGGTATGTGGGAGGGACCCCGAGTTTGCTGCCTCAAGGGGAATATACAGCGAGAAGCCCTAACTTGAAAGGAGGCCGGATTTCCTTGCAGTGGCTTGAATACAGGCTCGTCTTTCCTCTCACAACATGAAGGGATGTCTGAATCCCCTGTGGAGACCTTAGAGAAAGCCCTAGGTCCCTGCCTCATTTTGACGGAATGCCTCACATCCCGCTGACACCTCGAGAGGCACGCGGAGTTCATTGCTTCAAAAGGTGGCGATGCCTGACTCCTCTTGAATACTGATAGGAATCCCAAAATCCCTGTGGCTACTGGAAAGGGTCATTGGGTGCCCTGCCTCACCTCGAGAAGCGTCCCTTTGGCCCTGCCAAGCCTCGAAGAGATTCCTGAGGTGTCCCTCGTTACTAGACAGGAGTCCTGACGTCACTGAAGAAACTCCTGTTTTCAAGGGCCATCCCCGCCGTAAGTCGAGAACATACCCCAGGTCCCCGCCGCAACTCGAGAAAAACCATGAGACTTCCCCCTAGAGGCGAGATGAGGCCCCATTCCCCTGCAGTGCATGCAGAGCTATTCCGTGATCCCATTCAAACAAGTCAGGAGCTTCGACTTGCTTAATGGATCTCGAGACAGTCCCCAAGAACACTGTCACCAGTCTAGACGGACCCTGAGGTCACCCCAGCAACGCAAAGCAGCTCCATGTGCCCCAAATCAACTCGAGATGAGGCCCGATTCCCCTGCATTGACTCCAGAGCCATTCCCCATTCCCCATTCAACACGACCGGTGGCTCGACTTCCTTCAGGCAACTCCAGAGATGCCCCGAGAACACTGTCCCAAGTCTAGAGGAACACCAACTTCAGCACAGCAACTCGAGGAATGCTCCGTGTACCCCAAATCTGCTCGAGATGAGAGCTGATTCCCTGGCTTAGGCTCAAGACGTATGCCAACTTCCCAGAAGCACCTCAGGAGGAGGCTTCTCTCAGCAATAGGTATGTGGGAGGGACCCCGAGTTTGCTGCCTCAAGGGGAATATACAGCGAGAAGCCCTAACTTGAAAGGAGGCCGGATTTCCTTGCAGTGGCTTGAATACAGGCTCGTCTTTCCTCTCACAACATGAAGGGATGTCTGAATCCCCTGTGGAGACCTTAGAGAAAGCCCTAGGTCCCTGCCTCATTTTGACGGAATGCCTCACATCCCGCTGACACCTCGAGAGGCACGCGGAGTTCATTGCTTCAAAAGGTGACGATGCCTGACTCCTCTTGAATACTGATAGGAATCCCAAAATCCCTGTGGCTACTGGAAAGGGTCCTTGGGTGCCCTGCCTCACCTCGAGAAGCGTCCCTTTGGCCCTGCCAAGCCTCGAAGAGATTCCTGAGGTGTCCCTCGTTACAAGACAGGAGTCCTGACGTCACTGAAGAAACTCGTGTTTTGAAGGGCCATCCCCGCCGTAAGTCGAGAACATACCCCAGGTCCCCGCCGCAACTCGAGAAAAACCATGAGACTTCCCCCTAGAGGCGAGATGAGGCCCCATTCCCCTGCAGTGCATGCAGAGCTATTCCGTGATCCCATTCAAACAAGTCAGGAGCTTCGACTTGCTTAATGGATCTCGAGACAGTCCCCAAGAACACTGTCACCAGTCTAGACGGACCCTGAGGTCACCCCAGCAACGCAAAGCAGCTCCATGTGCCCCAAATCAACTCGAGATGAGGCCCGATTCCCCTGCATTGACTCCAGAGCCATTCCCCGTTCCCCATTCAACACGACCGGTGGCTCGACTTCCTTCAGGCAACTCCAGAGATGCCCCGAGCACACTGTCCCAAGTCTAGAGGAACACCAACTTCAGCACAGCAACTCGAGGAATGCTCCGTGTACCCCAAATCGGCTCGAGATGAGAGCTGATTCCCTGGCTTAGGCTCAAGACGTATGCCAACTTCCCAGAAGCACCTCAGGAGGAGGCTTCTCTCAGCAATAGGTATGTGGGAGGGACCCCGAGTTTGCTGCCTCAAGGGGAATATACAGCGAGAAGCCCTAACTTGAAAGGAGGCCGGATTTCCTTGCAGTGGCTTGAATACAGGCTCGTCTTTCCTCTCACAACATGAAGGGATGTCTGAATCCCCTGTGGAGACCTTAGAGAAAGCCCTAGGTCCCTGCCTCATTTTGACGGAATGCCTCACATCCCGCTGACACCTCGAGAGGCACGCGGAGTTCATTGCTTCAAAAGGTGACGATGCCTGACTCCTCTTGAATACTGATAGGAATCCCAAAATCCCTGTGGCTACTGGAAAGGGTCCTTGGGTGCCCTGCCTCACCTCGAGAAGCGTCCCTTTGGCCCTGCCAAGCCTCGAAGAGATTCCTGAGGTGTCCCTCGTTACTAGACAGGAGTCCTGACGTCACTGAAGAAACTCGTGTTTTGAAGGGCCATCCCCGCCGTAAGTCGAGAACATACCCCAGGTCCCCGCCGCAACTCGAGAAAAACCATGAGACTTCCCCCTAGAGGCGAGATGAGGCCCCATTCCCCTGCAGTGCATGCAGAGCTATTCCGTGATCCCATTCAAACAAGTCAGGAGCTTCGACTTGCTTAATGGATCTCGAGACAGTCCCCAAGAACACTGTCACCAGTCTAGACGGACCCTGAGGTCACCCCAGCAACGCAAAGCAGCTCCATGTGCCCCAAATCAACTCGAGATGAGGCCCGATTCCCCTGCATTGACTCCAGAGCCATTCCCCGTTCCCCATTCAACACGACCGGTGGCTCGACTTCCTTCAGGCAACTCCAGAGATGCCCCGAGAACACTGTCCCAAGTCTAGAGGAACACCAACTTCAGCACAGCAACTCGAGGAATGCTCCGTGTACCCCAAATCGTCTCGAGATGCGAGCTGATTCCCTGGCTTAGGCTCAAGGCGTATGCCAACTTCCCAGAAGCACCTCAGGAGGAGGCTTCTCTCAGCAATAGGTATGTGGGAGGGACCCCGAGTTTGCTGCCTCAAGGGAAATATACAGCGAGAAGCCCTAACTTGAAAGGAGGCCGGATTTCCTTGCAGTGGCTTGAATACAGGCTCGTCTTTCATCTCACAACATGAAGGGATGTCTGAATCCCCTGTGGAGACCTTAGAGAAAGCCCTAGGTCCCTGCCTCATTTTGACGGAATGCCTCACATCCCGCTGACACCTCGAGAGGCACGCGGAGTTCATTGCTTCAAAAGGTGACGATGCCTGACTCCTCTTGAATACTGATAGGAATCCCAAAATCCCTGTGGCTACTGGAAAGGTTCCTTGGGTGCCCTGCCTCACCTCGAGAAGCGTCCCTTTGGCCCTGCCAAGCCTCGAAGAGATTCCTGAGGTGTCCCTCGTTACTAGACAGGAGTCCTGACGTCACTGAAGAAACTCGTGTTTTGAAGGGCCATCCCCGCCGTAAGTCGAGAACATACCCCAGGTCCCCGCCGCAACTCGAGAAAAACCATGAGACTTCCCCCTAGAGGCGAGATGAGGCCCCATTCCCCTGCAGTGCATGCAGAGCTATTCCGTGATCCCATTCAAACAAGTCAGGAGCTTCGACTTGCTTAATGGATCTCGAGACAGTCCCCAAGAACACTGTCACCAGTCTAGACGGACCCTGAGGTCACCCCAGCAACGCAAAGCAGCTCCATGTGCCCCAAATCAACTCGAGATGAGGCCCGATTCCCCTGCATTGACTCCAGAGCCATTCCCCGTTCCCCATTCAACACGACCGGTGGCTCGACTTCCTTCAGGCAACTCCAGAGATGCCCCGAGAACACTGTCCCAAGTCTAGAGGAACACCAACTTCAGCACAGCAACTCGAGGAATGCTCCGTGTACCCCAAATCGGCTCGAGATGCGAGCTGATCCCCTGGCTTAGGCTCAAGACGTATGCCAACTTCCCAGAAGCACCTCAGGAGGAGGCTTCTCTCAGCAATAGGTATGTGGGAGGGACCCCGAGTTTGCTGCCTCAAGGGGAATATACAGCGAGAAGCCCTAACTTGAAAGGAGGCCGGATTTCCTTGCAGTGGCTTGAATACAGGCTCGTCTTTCCTCTCACAACATGAAGGGATGTCTGAATCCCCTGTGGAGACCTTAGAGAAAGCCCTAGGTCCCTGCCTCATTTTGACGGAATGCCTCACATCCCGCTGACACCTCGAGAGGCACGCGGAGTTCATTGCTTCAAAAGGTGACGATGCCTGACTCCTCTTGAATACTGATAGGAAACCCAAAATCCCTGTGGCTACTGGAAAGGGTCCTTGGGTGCCCTGCCTCACCTCGAGAAGCGTCCCTTTGGCCCTGCCAAGCCTCGAAGAGATTCCTGAGGTGTCCCTCATTACTAGACAGGAGTCCTGACGTCACTGAAGAAACTCGTGTTTTGAAGGGCCATCCCCGCCGTAAGTCGAGAACATACCCCAGGTCCCCGCCGCAACTCGAGAAAAACCATGAGACTTCCCCCTAGAGGCGAGATGAGGCCCCATTCCCCTGCAGTGCATGCAGAGCTATTCCGTGATCCCATTCAAACAAGTCAGGAGCTTCGACTTGCTTAATGGATCTCGAGACAGTCCCCAAGAACACTGTCACCAGTCTAGACGGACCCTGAGGTCACCCCAGCAACGCAAAGCAGCTCCATGTGCCCCAAATCAACTCGAGATGAGGCCCGATTCCCCTGCATTGACTCCAGAGCCATTCCCCGTTCCCCATTCAACACGACCGGTGGCTCGACTTCCTTCAGGCAACTCCAGAGATGCCCCGAGAACACTGTCCCAAGTCTAGAGGAACACCAACTTCAGCACAGCAACTCGAGGAATGCTCCGTGTACCCCAAATCGTCTCGAGATGCGAGCTGATCCCCTGGCTTAGGCTCAAGACGTATGCCAACTTCCCAGAAGCACCTCAGGAGGAGGCTTCTCTCAGCAATAGGTATGTGGGAGGGACCCCGAGTTTGCTGCCTCAAGGGGAATATACAGCGAGAAGCCCTAACTTGAAAGGAGGCCGGATTTCCTTGCAGTGGCTTGAATACAGGCTCGTCTTTCCTCTCACAACATGAAGGGATGTCTGAATCCCCTGTGGAGACCTTAGAGAAAGCCCTAGGTCCCTGCCTCATTTTGACGGAATGCCTCACATCCCGCTGACACCTCGAGAGGCACGCGGAGTTCATTGCTTCAAAAGGTGACGATGCCTGACTCCTCTTGAATACTGATAGGAAACCCAAAATCCCTGTGGCTACTGGAAAGGGTCCTTGGGTGCCCTGCCTCACCTCGAGAAGCGTCCCTTTGGCCCTGCCAAGCCTCGAAGAGATTCCTGAGGTGTCCCTCATTACTAGACAGGAGTCCTGACGTCACTGAAGAAACTCGTGTTTTGAAGGGCCATCCCCGCCGTAAGTCGAGAACATACCCCAGGTCCCCGCCGCAACTCGAGAAAAACCATGAGACTTCCCCCTAGAGGCGAGATGAGGCCCCATTCCCCTGCAGTGCATGCAGAGCTATTCCGTGATCCCATTCAAACAAGTCAGGAGCTTCGACTTGCTTAATGGATCTCGAGACAGTCCCCAAGAACACTGTCACCAGTCTAGACGGACCCTGAGGTCACCCCAGCAACGCAAAGCAGCTCCATGTGCCCCAAATCAACTCGAGATGAGGCCCGATTCCCCTGCATTGACTCCAGAGCCATTCCCCGTTCCCCATTCAACACGACCGGTGGCTCGACTTCCTTCAGGCAACTCCAGAGATGCCCCGAGAACACTGTCCCAAGTCTAGAGGAACACCAACTTCAGCACAGCAACTCGAGGAATGCTCCGTGTACCCCAAATCGTCTCGAGATGCGAGCTGATTCCCTGGCTTAGGCTCAAGGCGTATGCCAACTTCCCAGAAGCACCTCAGGAGGAGGCTTCTCTCAGCAATAGGTATGTGGGAGGGACCCCGAGTTTGCTGCCTCAAGGGAAATATACAGCGAGAAGCCCTAACTTGAAAGGAGGCCGGATTTCCTTGCAGTGGCTTGAATACAGGCTCGTCTTTCATCTCACAACATGAAGGGATGTCTGAATCCCCTGTGGAGACCTTAGAGAAAGCCCTAGGTCCCTGCCTCATTTTGACGGAATGCCTCACATCCCGCTGACACCTCGAGAGGCACGCGGAGTTCATTGCTTCAAAAGGTGACGATGCCTGACTCCTCTTGAATACTGATAGGAATCCCAAAATCCCTGTGGCTACTGGAAAGGTTCCTTGGGTGCCCTGCCTCACCTCGAGAAGCGTCCCTTTGGCCCTGCCAAGCCTCGAAGAGATTCCTGAGGTGTCCCTCGTTACTAGACAGGAGTCCTGACGTCACTGAAGAAACTCGTGTTTTGAAGGGCCATCCCCGCCGTAAGTCGAGAACATACCCCAGGTCCCCGCCGCAACTCGAGAAAAACCATGAGACTTCCCCCTAGAGGCGAGATGAGGCCCCATTCCCCTGCAGTGCATGCAGAGCTATTCCGTGATCCCATTCAAACAAGTCAGGAGCTTCGACTTGCTTAATGGATCTCGAGACAGTCCCCAAGAACACTGTCACCAGTCTAGACGGACCCTGAGGTCACCCCAGCAACGCAAAGCAGCTCCATGTGCCCCAAATCAACTCGAGATGAGGCCCGATTCCCCTGCATTGACTCCAGAGCCATTCCCCGTTCCCCATTCAACACGACCGGTGGCTCGACTTCCTTCAGGCAACTCCAGAGATGCCCCGAGAACACTGTCCCAAGTCTAGAGGAACACCAACTTCAGCACAGCAACTCGAGGAATGCTCCGTGTACCCCAAATCGGCTCGAGATGCGAGCTGATCCCCTGGCTTAGGCTCAAGACGTATGCCAACTTCCCAGAAGCACCTCAGGAGGAGGCTTCTCTCAGCAATAGGTATGTGGGAGGGACCCCGAGTTTGCTGCCTCAAGGGGAATATACAGCGAGAAGCCCTAACTTGAAAGGAGGCCGGATTTCCTTGCAGTGGCTTGAATACAGGCTCGTCTTTCCTCTCACAACATGAAGGGATGTCTGAATCCCCTGTGGAGACCTTAGAGAAAGCCCTAGGTCCCTGCCTCATTTTGACGGAATGCCTCACATCCCGCTGACACCTCGAGAGGCACGCGGAGTTCATTGCTTCAAAAGGTGACGATGCCTGACTCCTCTTGAATACTGATAGGAAACCCAAAATCCCTGTGGCTACTGGAAAGGGTCCTTGGGTGCCCTGCCTCACCTCGAGAAGCGTCCCTTTGGCCCTGCCAAGCCTCGAAGAGATTCCTGAGGTGTCCCTCATTACTAGACAGGAGTCCTGACGTCACTGAAGAAACTCGTGTTTTGAAGGGCCATCCCCGCCGTAAGTCGAGAACATACCCCAGGTCCCCGCCGCAACTCGAGAAAAACCATGAGACTTCCCCCTAGAGGCGAGATGAGGCCCCATTCCCCTGCAGTGCATGCAGAGCTATTCCGTGATCCCATTCAAACAAGTCAGGAGCTTCGACTTGCTTAATGGATCTCGAGACAGTCCCCAAGAACACTGTCACCAGTCTAGACGGACCCTGAGGTCACCCCAGCAACGCAAAGCAGCTCCATGTGCCCCAAATCAACTCGAGATGAGGCCCGATTCCCCTGCATTGACTCCAGAGCCATTCCCCGTTCCCCATTCAACACGACCGGTGGCTCGACTTCCTTCAGGCAACTCCAGAGATGCCCCGAGAACACTGTCCCAAGTCTAGAGGAACACCAACTTCAGCACAGCAACTCGAGGAATGCTCCGTGTACCCCAAATCGTCTCGAGATGCGAGCTGATCCCCTGGCTTAGGCTCAAGACGTATGCCAACTTCCCAGAAGCACCTCAGGAGGAGGCTTCTCTCAGCAATAGGTATGTGGGAGGGACCCCGAGTTTGCTGCCTCAAGGGGAATATACAGCGAGAAGCCCTAACTTGAAAGGAGGCCGGATTTCCTTGCAGTGGCTTGAATACAGGCTCGTCTTTCCTCTCACAACATGAAGGGATGTCTGAATCCCCTGTGGAGACCTTAGAGAAAGCCCTAGGTCCCTGCCTCATTTTGACGGAATGCCTCACATCCCGCTGACACCTCGAGAGGCACGCGGAGTTCATTGCTTCAAAAGGTGACGATGCCTGACTCCTCTTGAATACTGATAGGAATCCCAAAATCCCTGTGGCTACTGGAAAGGGTCCTTGGGTGCCCTGCCTCACCTCGAGAAGCGTCCCTTTGGCCCTGCCAAGCCTCGAAGAGATTCCTGAGGTGTCCCTCGTTACTAGACAGGAGTCCTGACGTCACTGAAGAAACTCGTGTTTTGAAGGGCCATCCCCGCCGTAAGTCGAGAACATACCCCAGGTCCCCGCCGCAACTCGAGAAAAACCATGAGACTTCCCCCTAGAGGCGAGATGAGGCCCCATTCCCCTGCAGTGCATGCAGAGCTATTCCGTGATCCCATTCAAACAAGTCAGGAGCTTCGACTTGCTTAATGGATCTCGAGACAGTCCCCAAGAACACTGTCACCAGTCTAGACGGACCCTGAGGTCACCCCAGCAACGCAAAGCAGCTCCATGTGCCCCAAATCAACTCGAGATGAGGCCCGATTCCCCTGCATTGACTCCAGAGCCATTCCCCGTTCCCCATTCAACACGACCGGTGGCTCGACTTCCTTCAGGCAACTCCAGAGATGCCCCGAGAACACTGTCCCAAGTCTAGAGGAACACCAACTGTAGCACAGCAACTCGAGGAATGCTCCGTGTACCCCAAATCGTCTCGAGATGCGAGCTGATCCCCTGGCTTAGGCTCAAGACGTATGCCAACTTCCCAGAAGCACCTCAGGAGGAGGCTTCTCTCAGCAATAGGTATGTGGGAGGGACCCCGAGTTTGCTGCCTCAAGGGGAATATACAGCGAGAAGCCCTAACTTGAAAGGAGGCCGGATTTCCTTGCAGTGGCTTGAATACAGGCTCGTCTTTCCTCTCACAACATGAAGGGATGTCTGAATCCCCTGTGGAGACCTTAGAGAAAGCCCTAGGTCCCTGCCTCATTTTGACGGAATGCCTCACATCCCGCTGACACCTCGAGAGGCACGCGGAGTTCATTGCTTCAAAAGGTGACGATGCCTGACTCCTCTTGAATACTGATAGGAATCCCAAAATCCCTGTGGCTACTGGAAAGGGTCCTTGGGTGCCCTGCCTCACCTCGAGAAGCGTCCCTTTGGCCCTGCCAAGCCTCGAAGAGATTCCTGAGGTGTCCCTCGTTACTAGACAGGAGTCCTGACGTCACTGAAGAAACTCGTGTTTTGAAGGGCCATCCCCGCCGTAAGTCGAGAACATACCCCAGGTCCCCGCCGCAACTCGAGAAAAACCATGAGACTTCCCCCTAGAGGCGAGATGAGGCCCCATTCCCCTGCAGTGCATGCAGAGCTATTCCGTGATCCCATTCAAACAAGTCAGGAGCTTCGACTTGCTTAATGGATCTCGAGACAGTCCCCAAGAACACTGTCACCAGTCTAGACGGACCCTGAGGTCACCCCAGCAACGCAAAGCAGCTCCATGTGCCCCAAATCAACTCGAGATGAGGCCCGATTCCCCTGCATTGACTCCAGAGCCATTCCCCGTTCCCCATTCAACACGACCGGTGGCTCGACTTCCTTCAGGCAACTCCAGAGATGCCCCGAGAACACTGTCCCAAGTCTAGAGGAACACCAACTGTAGCACAGCAACTCGAGGAATGCTCCGTGTACCCCAAATCGTCTCGAGATGCGAGCTGATCCCCTGGCTTAGGCTCAAGACGTATGCCAACTTCCCAGAAGCACCTCAGGAGGAGGCTTCTCTCAGCAATAGGTATGTGGGAGGGACCCCGAGTTTGCTGCCTCAAGGGGAATATACAGCGAGAAGCCCTAACTTGAAAGGAGGCCGGATTTCCTTGCAGTGGCTTGAATACAGGCTCGTCTTTCCTCTCACAACATGAAGGGATGTCTGAATCCCCTGTGGAGACCTTAGAGAAAGCCCTAGGTCCCTGCCTCATTTTGACGGAATGCCTCACATCCCGCTGACACCTCGAGAGGCACGCGGAGTTCATTGCTTCAAAAGGTGACGATGCCTGACTCCTCTTGAATACTGATAGGAATCCCAAAATACCTGTGGCTACTGGAAAGGGTACTTGGGTGCCCTGCCTCACCTCGAGAAGCGTCCCTTTGGCCCTGCCAAGCCTCGAAGAGATTCCTGAGGTGTCCCTCGTTACTAGACAGGAGTCCTGACGTCACTGAAGAAACTCGTGTTTTGAAGGGCCATCCCCGCCGTAAGTCGAGAACATACCCCAGGTCCCCGCCGCAACTCGAGAAAAACCATGAGACTTCCCCCTAGAGGCGAGATGAGGCCCCATTCCCCTGAAGTGCATGCAGAGCTATTCCGTGATCCCATTCAAACAAGTCAGGAGCTTCGACTTGCTTAATGGATCTCGAGACAGTCCCCAAGAACACTGTCACCAGTCTAGACGGACCCTGAGGTCACCCCAGCAACGCAAAGCAGCTCCATGTGCCCCAAATCAACTCGAGATGAGGCCCGATTCCCCTGCATTGACTCCAGAGCCATTCCCCGTTCCCCATTCAACACGACCGGTGGCTCGACTTCCTTCAGGCAACTCCAGAGATGCCCCGAGAACACTGTCCCAAGTCTAGAGGAACACCAACTTCAGCACAGCAACTCGAGGAATGCTCCGTGTACCCCAAATCGTCTCGAGATGCGAGCTGATCCCCTGGCTTAGGCTCAAGACGTATGCCAACTTCCCAGAAGCACCTCAGGAGGAGGCTTCTCTCAGCAATAGGTATGTGGGAGGGACCCCGAGTATGCTGCCTCAAGGGGAATATACAGCGAGAAGCCCTAACTTGAAAGGAGGCCGGATTTCCTTGCAGTGGCTTGAATACAGGCTCGTCTTTCCTCTCACAACATGAAGGGATGTCTGAATCCCCTGTGGAGACCTTAGAGAAAGCCCTAGGTCCCTGCCTCATTTTGACGGAATGCCTCACATCCCGCTGACACCTCGAGAGGCACGCGGAGTTCATTGCTTCAAAAGGTGACGATGCCTGACTCCTCTTGAATACTGATAGGAATCCCAAAATCCCTGTGGCTACTGGAAAGGTTCCTTGGGTGCCCTGCCTCACCTCGAGAAGCGTCCCTTTGGCCCTGCCAAGCCTCGAAGAGATTCCTGAGGTGTCCCTCGTTACTAGACAGGAGTCCTGACGTCACTGAAGAAACTCGTGTTTTGAAGGGCCATCCCCGCCGTAAGTCGAGAACATACCCCAGGTCCCCGCCGCAACTCGAGAAAAACCATGAGACTTCCCCCTAGAGGCGAGATGAGGCCCCATTCCCCTGCAGTGCATGCAGAGCTATTCCGTGATCCCATTCAAACAAGTCAGGAGCTTCGACTTGCTTAATGGATCTCGAGACAGTCCCCAAGAACACTGTCACCAGTCTAGACGGACCCTGAGGTCACCCCAGCAACGCAAAGCAGCTCCATGTGCCCCAAATCAACTCGAGATGAGGCCCGATTCCCCTGCATTGACTCCAGAGCCATTCCCCGTTCCCCATTCAACACGACCGGTGGCTCGACTTCCTTCAGGCAACTCCAGAGATGCCCCGAGAACACTGTCCCAAGTCTAGAGGAACACCAACTTCAGCACAGCAACTCGAGGAATGCTCCGTGTACCCCAAATCGTCTCGAGATGCGAGCTGATCCCCTGGCTTAGGCTCAAGACGTATGCCAACTTCCCAGAAGCACCTCAGGAGGAGGCTTCTCTCAGCAATAGGTATGTGGGAGGGACCCCGAGTTTGCTGCCTCAAGGGGAATATACAGCGAGAAGCCCTAACTTGAAAGGAGGCCGGATTTCCTTGCAGTGGCTTGAATACAGGCTCGTATTTCCTCTCACAACATGAAGGGATGTCTGAATCCCCTGTGGAGACCTTAGAGAAAGCCCTAGGTCCCTGCCTCATTTTGACGGAATGCCTCACATCCCGCTGACACCTCGAGAGGCACGCGGAGTTCATTGCTTCAAAAGGTGACGATGCCTGACTCCTCTTGAATACTGATAGGAATCCCAAAATACCTGTGGCTACTGGAAAGGGTACTTGGGTGCCCTGCCTCACCTCGAGAAGCGTCCCTTTGGCCCTGCCAAGCCTCGAAGAGATTCCTGAGGTGTCCCTCGTTACTAGACAGGAGTCCTGACGTCACTGAAGAAACTCGTGTTTTGAAGGGCCATCCCCGCCGTAAGTCGAGAACATACCCCAGGTCCCCGCCGCAACTCGAGAAAAACCATGAGACTTCCCCCTAGAGGCGAGATGAGGCCCCATTCCCCTGAAGTGCATGCAGAGCTATTCCGTGATCCCATTCAAACAAGTCAGGAGCTTCGACTTGCTTAATGGATCTCGAGACAGTCCCCAAGAACACTGTCACCAGTCTAGACGGACCCTGAGGTCACCCCAGCAACGCAAAGCAGCTCCATGTGCCCCAAATCAACTCGAGATGAGGCCCGATTCCCCTGCATTGACTCCAGAGCCATTCCCCGTTCCCCATTCAACACGACCGGTGGCTCGACTTCCTTCAGGCAACTCCAGAGATGCCCCGAGAACACTGTCCCAAGTCTAGAGGAACACCAACTTCAGCACAGCAACTCGAGGAATGCTCCGTGTACCCCAAATCGTCTCGAGATGCGAGCTGATCCCCTGGCTTAGGCTCAAGACGTATGCCAACTTCCCAGAAGCACCTCAGGAGGAGGCTTCTCTCAGCAATAGGTATGTGGGAGGGACCCCGAGTATGCTGCCTCAAGGGGAATATACAGCGAGAAGCCCTAACTTGAAAGGAGGCCGGATTTCCTTGCAGTGGCTTGAATACAGGCTCGTCTTTCCTCTCACAACATGAAGGGATGTCTGAATCCCCTGTGGAGACCTTAGAGAAAGCCCTAGGTCCCTGCCTCATTTTGACGGAATGCCTCACATCCCGCTGACACCTCGAGAGGCACGCGGAGTTCATTGCTTCAAAAGGTGACGATGCCTGACTCCTCTTGAATACTGATAGGAATCCCAAAATCCCTGTGGCTACTGGAAAGGTTCCTTGGGTGCCCTGCCTCACCTCGAGAAGCGTCCCTTTGGCCCTGCCAAGCCTCGAAGAGATTCCTGAGGTGTCCCTCGTTACTAGACAGGAGTCCTGACGTCACTGAAGAAACTCGTGTTTTGAAGGGCCATCCCCGCCGTAAGTCGAGAACATACCCCAGGTCCCCGCCGCAACTCGAGAAAAACCATGAGACTTCCCCCTAGAGGCGAGATGAGGCCCCATTCCCCTGCAGTGCATGCAGAGCTATTCCGTGATCCCATTCAAACAAGTCAGGAGCTTCGACTTGCTTAATGGATCTCGAGACAGTCCCCAAGAACACTGTCACCAGTCTAGACGGACCCTGAGGTCACCCCAGCAACGCAAAGCAGCTCCATGTGCCCCAAATCAACTCGAGATGAGGCCCGATTCCCCTGCATTGACTCCAGAGCCATTCCCCGTTCCCCATTCAACACGACCGGTGGCTCGACTTCCTTCAGGCAACTCCAGAGATGCCCCGAGAACACTGTCCCAAGTCTAGAGGAACACCAACTTCAGCACAGCAACTCGAGGAATGCTCCGTGTACCCCAAATCGTCTCGAGATGCGAGCTGATCCCCTGGCTTAGGCTCAAGACGTATGCCAACTTCCCAGAAGCACCTCAGGAGGAGGCTTCTCTCAGCAATAGGTATGTGGGAGGGACCCCGAGTTTGCTGCCTCAAGGGGAATATACAGCGAGAAGCCCTAACTTGAAAGGAGGCCGGATTTCCTTGCAGTGGCTTGAATACAGGCTCGTATTTCCTCTCACAACATGAAGAGATGTCTGAATCCCCTGTGGAGACCTTAGAGAAAGCCCTAGGTCCCTGCCTCATTTTGACGGAATGCCTCACATCCCGCTGACACCTCGAGAGGCACGCGGAGTTCATTGCTTCAAAAGGTGACGATGCCTGACTCCTCTTGAATACTGATAGGAATCCCAAAATACCTGTGGCTACTGGAAAGGGTACTTGGGTGCCCTGCCTCACCTCGAGAAGCGTCCCTTTGGCCCTGCCAAGCCTCGAAGAGATTCCTGAGGTGTCCCTCGTTACTAGACAGGAGTCCTGACGTCACTGAAGAAACTCGTGTTTTGAAGGGCCATCCCCGCCGTAAGTCGAGAACATACCCCAGGTCCCCGCCGCAACTCGAGAAAAACCATGAGACTTCCCCCTAGAGGCGAGATGAGGCCCCATTCCCCTGAAGTGCATGCAGAGCTATTCCGTGATCCCATTCAAACAAGTCAGGAGCTTCGACTTGCTTAATGGATCTCGAGACAGTCCCCAAGAACACTGTCACCAGTCTAGACGGACCCTGAGGTCACCCCAGCAACGCAAAGCAGCTCCATGTGCCCCAAATCAACTCGAGATGAGGCCCGATTCCCCTGCATTGACTCCAGAGCCATTCCCCGTTCCCCATTCAACACGACCGGTGGCTCGACTTCCTTCAGGCAACTCCAGAGATGCCCCGAGAACACTGTCAAAAGTCTAGAGGAACACCAACTTCAGCACAGCAACTCGAGGAATGCTCCGTGTACCCCAAATCGTCTCGAGATGCGAGCTGATCCCCTGGCTTAGGCTCAAGACGTATGCCAACTTCCCAGAAGCACCTCAGGAGGAGGCTTCTCTCAGCAATAGGTATGTGGGAGGGACCCCGAGTATGCTGCCTCAAGGGGAATATACAGCGAGAAGCCCTAACTTGAAAGGAGGCCGGATTTCCTTGCAGTGGCTTGAATACAGGCTCGTCTTTCCTCTCACAACATGAAGGGATGTCTGAATCCCCTGTGGAGACCTTAGAGAAAGCCCTAGGTCCCTGCCTCATTTTGACGGAATGCCTCACATCCCGCTGACACCTCGAGAGGCACGCGGAGTTCATTGCTTCAAAAGGTGACGATGCCTGACTCCTCTTGAATACTGATAGGAATCCCAAAATCCCTGTGGCTACTGGAAAGGTTCCTTGGGTGCCCTGCCTCACCTCGAGAAGCGTCCCTTTGGCCCTGCCAAGCCTCGAAGAGATTCCTGAGGTGTCCCTCGTTACTAGACAGGAGTCCTGACGTCACTGAAGAAACTCGTGTTTTCAAGGGCCATCCCCGCCGTAAGTCGAGAACATACCCCAGGTCCCCGCCGCAACTCGAGAAAAACCATGAGACTTCCCCCTAGAGGCGAGATGAGGCCCCATTCCCCTGCAGTGCATGCAGAGCTATTCCGTGATCCCATTCAAACAAGTCAGGAGCTTCGACTTGCTTAATGGATCTCGAGACAGTCCCCAAGAACACTGTCACCAGTCTAGACGGACCCTGAGGTCACCCCAGCAACGCAAAGCAGCTCCATGTGCCCCAAATCAACTCGAGATGAGGCCCGATTCCCCTGCATTGACTCCAGAGCCATTCCCCGTTCCCCATTCAACACGACCGGTGGCTCGACTTCCTTCAGGCAACTCCAGAGATGCCCCGAGAACACTGTCCCAAGTCTAGAGGAACACCAACTTCAGCACAGCAACTCGAGGAATGCTCCGTGTACCCCAAATCGTCTCGAGATGCGAGCTGATCCCCTGGCTTAGGCTCAAGACGTATGCCAACTTCCCAGAAGCACCTCAGGAGGAGGCTTCTCTCAGCAATAGGTATGTGGGAGGGACCCCGAGTTTGCTGCCTCAAGGGGAATATACAGCGAGAAGCCCTAACTTGAAAGGAGGCCGGATTTCCTTGCAGTGGCTTGAATACAGGCTCGTCTTTCATCTCACAACATGAAGGGATGTCTGAATCCCCTGTGGAGACCTTAGAGAAAGCCCTAGGTCCCTGCCTCATTTTGACGGAATGCCTCACATCCCGCTGACACCTCGAGAGGCACGCGGAGTTCATTGCTTCAAAAGGTGACGATGCCTGACTCCTCTTGAATACTGATAGGAATCCCAAAATCCCTGTGGCTACTGGAAAGGGTCCTTGGGTGCACTGCCTCACCTCGAGAAGCGTCCCTTTGGCCCTGCCAAGCCTCGAAGAGATTCCTGAGGTGTCCCTCGTTACTAGACAGGAGTCCTGACGTCACTGAAGAAACTCGTGTTTTGAAGGACCATCCCCGCCGTAAGTCGAGAACATAACCCAGGTCCCCGCCGCAACTCGAGAAAAACCATGAGACTTCCCCCTAGAGGCGAGATGAGACCCCATTCCCCTGCAGTGCATGCAGAGCTATTCCGTGATCCCATTCAAACAAGTCAGGAGCTTCGACTTGCTTAATGGATCTCGAGACAGTCCCCAAGAACACTGTCACCAGTCTAGACGGACCCTGAGGTCACCCCAGCAACGCAAAGCAGCTCCATGTGCCCCAAATCAACTCGAGATGAGGCCCGATTCCCCTGCATTGACTCCAGAGCCATTCCCCGTTCCCCATTCAACACGACCGGTGGCTCGACTTCCTTCAGGCAACTCCAGAGATGCCCCGAGAACACTGTCCCAAGTCTAGAGGAACACCAACTTCAGCACAGCAACTCGAGGAATGCTCCGTGTACCCCAAATCGGCTCGAGATGCGAGCTGATTCCCTGGCTTAGGCTCAAGACGTATGCCAACTTCCCAGAAGCACCTCAGGAGGAGGCTTCTCTCAGCAATAGGTATGTGGGAGGGACCCCGAGTTTGCTGCCTCAAGGGGAATATACAGCGAGAAGCCCTAACTTGAAAGGAGGCCGGATTTCCTTGCAGTGGCTTGAATACAGGCTCGTCTTTCCTCTCACAACATGAAGGGATGTCTGAATCCCCTGTGGAGACCTTAGAGAAAGCCCTAGGTCCCTGCCTCATTTTGACGGAATGCCTCACATCCCGCTGACACCTCGAGAGGCACGCGGAGTTCATTGCTTCAAAAGGTGACGATGCCTGACTCCTCTTGAATACTGATAGGAATCCCAAAATCCCTGTGGCTACTGGAAAGGGTCCTTGGGTGCCCTGCCTCACCTCGAGAAGCGTCCCTTTGGCCCTGCCAAGCCTCGAAGAGATTCCTGAGGTGTCCCTCGTTACTAGACAGGAGTCCTGACGTCACTGAAGAAACTCGTGTTTTCAAGGGCCATCCCCGCCGTAAGTCGAGAACATACCCCAGGTCCCCGCCGCAACTCGAGAAAAACCATGAGACTTCCCCCTAGAGGCGAGATGAGGCCCCATTCCCCTGCAGTGCATGCAGAGCTATTCCGTGATCCCATTCAAACAAGTCAGGAGCTTCGACTTGCTTAATGGATCTCGAGACAGTCCCCAAGAACACTGTCACCAGTCTAGACGGACCCTGAGGTCACCCCAGCAACGCAAAGCAGCTCCATGTGCCCCAAATCAACTCGAGATGAGGCCCGATTCCCCTGCATTGACTCCAGAGCCATTCCCCGTTCCCCATTCAACACGACCGGTGGCTCGACTTCCTTCAGGCAACTCCAGAGATGCCCCGAGAACACTGTCCCAAGTCTAGAGGAACACCAACTTCAGCACAGCAACTCGAGGAATGCTCCGTGTACCCCAAATCGTCTCGAGATGAGAGCTGATTCCCTGGCTTAGGCTCAAGACGTATGCCAACTTCCCAGAAGCACCTCAGGAGGAGGCTTCTCTCAGCAATAGGTATGTGGGAGGGACCCCGAGTTTGCTGCCTCAAGGGGAATATACAGCGAGAAGCCCTAACTTGAAAGGAGGCCGGATTTCCTTGCAGTGGCTTGAATACAGGCTCGTCTTTCCTCTCACAACATGAAGGGATGTCTGAATCCCCTGTGGAGACCTTAGAGAAAGCCCTAGGTCCCTGCCTCATTTTGACGGAATGCCTCACATCCCGCTGACACCTCGAGAGGCACGCGGAGTTCATTGCTTCAAAAGGTGACGATGCCTGACTCCTCTTGAATACTGATAGGAATCCCAAAATCCCTGTGGCTACTGGAAAGGTTCCTTGGGTGCACTGCCTCACCTCGAGAAGCGTCCCTTTGGCCCTGCCAAGCCTCGAAGAGATTCCTGAGGTGTCCCTCGTTACTAGACAGGAGTCCTGACGTCACTGAAGAAACTCGTGTTTTCAAGGGCCATCCCCGCCGTAAGTCGAGAACATACCCCAGGTCCCCGCCGCAACTCGAGAAAAACCATGAGACTTCCCCCTAGAGGCGAGATGAGGCCCCATTCCCCTGCAGTGCATGCAGAGCTATTCCGTGATCCCATTCAAACAAGTCAGGAGCTTCGACTTGCTTAATGGATCTCGAGACAGTCCCCAAGAACACTGTCACCAGTCTAGACGGACCCTGAGGTCACCCCAGCAACGCAAAGCAGCTCCATGTGCCCCAAATCAACTCGAGATGAGGCCCAATTCCCCTGCATTGACTCCAGAGCCATTCCCCGTTCCCCATTCAACACGACCGGTGGCTCGACTTCCTTCAGGCAACTCCAGAGATGCCCCGAGAACACTGTCCCAAGTCTAGAGGAACACCAACTTCAGCACAGCAACTCGAGGAATGCTCCGTGTACCCCAAATCGTCTCGAGATGCGAGCTGATTCCCTGGCTTAGGCTCAAGACGTATGCCAACTTCCCAGAAGCACCTCAGGAGGAGGCTTCTCTCAGCAATAGGTATGTGGGAGGGACCCCGAGTTTGCTGCCTCAAGGGGAATATACAGCGAGAAGCCCTAACTTGAAAGGAGGCCGGATTTCCTTGCAGTGGCTTGAATACAGGCTCGTCTTTCATCTCACAACATGAAGGGATGTCTGAATCCCCTGTGGAGACCTTAGAGAAAGCCCTAGGTCCCTGCCTCATTTTGACGGAATGCCTCACATCCCGCTGACACCTCGAGAGGCACGCGGAGTTCATTGCTTCAAAAGGTGACGATGCCTGACTCCTCTTGAATACTGATAGGAATCCCAAAATCCCTGTGGCTACTGGAAAGGGTCCTTGGGTGCCCTGCCTCACCTCGAGAAGCGTCCCTTTGGCCCTGCCAAGCCTCGAAGAGATTCCTGAGGTGTCCCTCGTTACTAGACAGGAGTCCTGACGTCACTGAAGAAACTCGTGTTTTGAAGGGCCATCCCCGCCGTAAGTCGAGAACATACCCCAGGTCCCCGCCGCAACTCGAGAAAAACCATGAGACTTCCCCCTAGAGGCGAGATGAGGCCCCATTCCCCTGCAGTGCATGCAGAGCTATTCCGTGATCCCATTCAAACAAGTCAGGAGCTTGGGCTTGCTTAATGGATCTCGAGACAGTCCCCAAGAACACTGTCACCAGTCTAGACGGACCCTGAGGTCACCCCAGCAACGCAAAGCAGCTCCATGTGCCCCAAATCAACTCGAGATGAGGCCCGATTCCCCTGCATTGACTCCAGAGCCATTCCCCGTTCCCCATTCAACACGACCGGTGGCTCGACTTCCTTCAGGCAACTCCAGAGATGCCCCGAGAACACTGTCCCAAGTCTAGAGGAACACCAACTTCAGCACAGCAACTCGAGGAATGCTCCGTGTACCCCAAATCGTCTCGAGATGCGAGCTGATTCCCTGGCTTAGGCTCAAGACGTATGCCAACTTCCCAGAAGCACCTCAGGAGGAGGCTTCTCTCAGCAATAGGTATGTGGGAGGGACCCCGAGTTTGCTGCCTCAAGGGGAATATACAGCGAGAAGCCCTAACTTGAAAGGAGGCCGGATTTCCTTGCAGTGGCTTGAATACAGGCTCGTCTTTCATCTCACAACATGAAGGGATGTCTGAATCCCCTGTGGAGACCTTAGAGAAAGCCCTAGGTCCCTGCCTCATTTTGACGGAATGCCTCACATCCCGCTGACACATCGAGAGGCACGCGGAGTTCATTGCTTCAAAAGGTGACGATGCCTGACTCCTCTTGAATACTGATAGGAATCCCAAAATCCCTGTGGCTACTGGAAAGGGTCCTTGGTTGCCCTGCCTCACCTCGAGAAGCGTCCCTTTGGCCCTGCCAAGCCTCGAAGAGATTCCTGAGGTGTCCCTCGTTACTAGACAGGAGTCCTGACGTCACTGAAGAAACTCGTGTTTTGAAGGGCCATCCCCGCCGTAAGTCGAGAACATACCCCAGGTCCCCGCCGCAACTCGAGAAAAACCATGAGACTTCCCCCTAGAGGCGAGATGAGGCCCCATTCCCCTGCAGTGCATGCAGAGCTATTCCGTGATCCCATTCAAACAAGTCAGGAGCTTCGACTTGCTTAATGGATCTCGAGACAGTCCCCAAGAACACTGTCACCAGTCTAGACGGACACTGAGGTCACCCCAGCAACGCAAAGCAGCTCCATGTGCCCCAAATCAACTCGAGATGAGGCCCGATTCCCCTGCATTGACTCCAGAGCCATTCCCCGTTCCCCATTCAACACGACCGGTGGCTCGACTTCCTTCAGGCAACTCCAGAGATGCCCCGAGAACACTGTCCCAAGTCTAGAGGAACACCAACTTCAGCACAGCAACTCGAGGAATGCTCCGTGTACCCCAAATCGTCTCGAGATGCGAGCTGATCCCCTGGCTTAGGCTCAAGACGTATGCCAACTTCCCAGAAGCACCTCAGGAGGAGGCTTCTCTCAGCAATAGGTATGTGGGAGGGACCCCGAGTTTGCTGCCTCAAGGGGAATATACAGCGAGGAGCCCTAACTTGAAAGGAGGCCGGATTTCCTTGCAGTGGCTTGAATACAGGCTCGTCTTTCCTCTCACAACATGAAGGGATGTCTGAATCCCCTGTGGAGACCTTAGAGAAAGCCCTAGGTCCCTGCCTCATTTTGACGGAATGCCTCACATCCCGCTGACACCTCGAGAGGCACGCGGAGTTCATTGCTTCAAAAGGTGACGATGCCTGACTCCTCTTGAATACTGATAGGAATCCCAAAATCCCTGTGGCTACTGGAAAGGGTCCTTGGGTGCCCTGCCTCACCTCGAGAAGCGTCCCTTTGGCCCTGCCAAGCCTCGAAGAGATTCCTGAGGTGTCCCTCGTTACTAGACAGGAGTCCTGACGTCACTGAAGAAACTCGTGTTTTCAAGGGCCATCCCCGCCGTAAGTCGAGAACATACCCCAGGTCCCCGCCGCAACTCGAGAAAAACCATGAGACTTCCCCCTAGAGGCGAGATGAGGCCCCATTCCCCTGCAGTGCATGCAGAGCTATTCCGTGATCCCATTCAAACAAGTCAGGAGCTTCGACTTGCTTAATGGATCTCGAGACAGTCCCCAAGAACACTGTCACCAGTCTAGACGGACCCTGAGGTCATCCCAGCAACGCAAAGCAGCTCCATGTGCCCCAAATCAACTCGAGATGAGGCCCGATTCCCCTGCATTGACTCCAGAGCCATTCCCCGTTCCCCATTCAACACGACCGGTGGCTCGACTTCCTTCAGGCAACTCCAGAGATGCCCCAAGAACACTGTCCCAAGTCTAGAGGAACACCAACTTCAGCACAGCAACTCGAGGAATGCTCCGTGTACCCCAAATCGTCTTGAGATGCGAGCTGATTCCCTGGCTTAGGCTCAAGACGTATGCCAACTTCCCAGAAGCACCTCAGGAGGAGGCTTCTCTCAGCAATAGGTATGTGGGAGGGACCCCGAGTTTGCTGCCTCAAGGGGAATATACAGCGAGAAGCCCTAACTTGAAAGGAGGCCGGATTTCCTTGCAGTGGCTTGAATACAGGCTCGTCTTTCCTCTCACAACATGAAGGGATGTCTGAATCCCCTGTGGAGACCTTAGAGAAAGCCCTAGGTCCCTGCCTCATTTTGACGGAATGCCTCACATCCCGCTGACACCTCAAGAGGCACGCGGAGTTCATTGCTTCAAAAGGTGACGATGCCTGACTCCTCTTGAATACTGATAGGAATCCCAAAATCCCTGTGGCTACTGGAAAGGGTCCTTGGTTGCCCTGCCTCACCTCGAGAAGCGTCCCTTTGGCCCTGCCAAGCCTCGAAGAGATTCCTGAGGTGTCCCTCGTTACTAGACAGGAGTCCTGACGTCACTGAAGAAACTCGTGTTTTGAAGGGCCATCCCCGCCGTAAGTCGAGAACATACCCCAGGTCCCTGCCGCAACTCGAGAAAAACCATGAGACTTCCCCCTAGAGGCGAGATGAGGCCCCATTCCCCTGCAGTGCATGCAGAGCTATTCCGTGATCCCATTCAAACAAGTCAGGAGCTTCGACTTGCTTAATGGATCTCGAGACAGTCCCCAAGAACACTGTCACCAGTCTAGACGGACCCTGAGGTCACCCCAGCAACGCAAAGCAGCTCCATGTGCCCCAAATCAACTCGAGATGAGGCCCGATTCCCCTGCATTGACTCCAGAGCCATTCCCCGTTCCCCATTCAACACGACCGGTGGCTCGACTTCCTTCAGGCAACTCCAGAGATGCCCCGAGAACACTGTCCCAAGTCTAGAGGAACACCAACTTCAGCACAGCAACTCGAGGAATGCTCCGTGTACCCCAAATCGTCTCGAGATGCGAGCTGATCCCCTGGCTTAGGCTCAAGACGTATGCCAACTTCCCAGAAGCACCTCAGGAGGAGGCTTCTCTCAGCAATAGGTATGTGGGAGGGACCCCGAGTTTGCTGCCTCAAGGGGAATATACAGCGAGGAGCCCTAACTTGAAAGGAGGCCGGATTTCCTTGCAGTGGCTTGAATACAGGCTCGTCTTTCATCTCACAACATGAAGGGATGTCTGAATCCCCTGTGGAGACCTTAGAGAAAGCCCTAGGTCCCTGCCTCATTTTGACGGAATGCCTCACATCCCGCTGACACCTCGAGAGGCACGCGGAGTTCATTGCTTCAAAAGGTGACGATGCCTGACTCCTCTTGAATACTGATAGGAATCCCAAAATCCCTGTGGCTACTGGAAAGGGTCCTTGGGTGCCCTGCCTCACCTCGAGAAGCGTCCCTTTGGCCCTGCCAAGCCTCGAAGAGATTCCTGAGGTGTCCCTCGTTACTAGACAGGAGTCCTGACGTCACTGAAGAAACTCGTGTTTTCAAGGGCCATCCCCGCCGTAAGTCGAGAACATACCCCAGGTCCCCGCCGCAACTCGAGAAAAACCATGAGACTTCCCCCTAGAGGCGAGATGAGGCCCCATTCCCCTGCAGTGCATGCAGAGCTATTCCGTGATCCCATTCAAACAAGTCAGGAGCTTCGACTTGCTTAATGGATCTCGAGACAGTCCCCAAGAACACTGTCACCAGTCTAGACGGACCCTGAGGTCATCCCAGCAACGCAAAGCAGCTCCATGTGCCCCAAATCAAATCGAGATGAGGCCCAATTCCCCTGCATTGACTCCAGAGCCATTCCCCGTTCCCCATTCAACACGACCGGTGGCTCGACTTCCTTCAGGCAACTCCAGAGATGCCCCAAGAACACTGTCCCAAGTCTAGAGGAACACCAACTTCAGCACAGCAACTCGAGGAATGCTCCGTGTACCCCAAATCGTCTTGAGATGCGAGCTGATTCCCTGGCTTAGGCTCAAGACGTATGCCAACTTCCCAGAAGCACCTCAGGAGGAGGCTTCTCTCAGCAATAGGTATGTGGGAGGGACCCCGAGTTTGCTGCCTCAAGGGGAATATACAGCGAGAAGCCCTAACTTGAAAGGAGGCCGGATTTCCTTGCAGTGGCTTGAATACAGGCTCGTCTTTCCTCTCACAACATGAAGGGATGTCTGAATCCCCTGTGGAGACCTTAGAGAAAGCCCTAGGTCCCTGCCTCATTTTGACGGAATGCCTCACATCCCGCTGACACCTCAAGAGGCACGCGGAGTTCATTGCTTCAAAAGGTGACGATGCCTGACTCCTCTTGAATACTGATAGGAATCCCAAAATCCCTGTGGCTACTGGAAAGGGTCCTTGGTTGCCCTGCCTCACCTCGAGAAGCGTCCCTTTGGCCCTGCCAAGCCTCGAAGAGATTCCTGAGGTGTCCCTCGTTACTAGACAGGAGTCCTGACGTCACTGAAGAAACTCGTGTTTTGAAGGGCCATCCCCGCCGTAAGTCGAGAACATACCCCAGGTCCCCGCCGCAACTCGAGAAAAACCATGAGACTTCCCCCTAGAGGCGAGATGAGGCCCCATTCCCCTGCAGTGCATGCAGAGCTATTCCGTGATCCCATTCAAACAAGTCAGGAGCTTCGACTTGCTTAATGGATCTCGAGACAGTCCCCAAGAACACTGTCACCAGTCTAGACGGACCCTGAGGTCACCCCAGCAACGCAAAGCAGCTCCATGTGCCCCAAATCAACTCGAGATGAGGCCCGATTCCCCTGCATTGACTCCAGAGCCATTCCCCGTTCCCCATTCAACACGACCGGTGGCTCGACTTCCTTCAGGCAACTCCAGAGATGCCCCGAGAACACTGTCCCAAGTCTAGAGGAACACCAACTTCAGCACAGCAACTCGAGGAATGCTCCGTGTACCCCAAATCGTCTCGAGATGCGAGCTGATCCCCTGGCTTAGGCTCAAGACGTATGCCAACTTCCCAGAAGCACCTCAGGAGGAGGCTTCTCTCAGCAATAGGTATGTGGGAGGGACCCCGAGTTTGCTGCCTCAAGGGGAATATACAGCGAGGAGCCCTAACTTGAAAGGAGGCCGGATTTCCTTGCAGTGGCTTGAATACAGGCTCGTCTTTCCTCTCACAACATGAAGGGATGTCTGAATCCCCTGTGGAGACCTTAGAGAAAGCCCTAGGTCCCTGCCTCATTTTGACGGAATGCCTCACATCCCGCTGACACCTCGAGAGGCACGCGGAGTTCATTGCTTCAAAAGGTGACGATGCCTGACTCCTCTTGAATACTGATAGGAATCCCAAAATCCCTGTGGCTACTGGAAAGGGTCCTTGGGTGCCCTGCCTCACCTCGAGAAGCGTCCCTTTGGCCCTGCCAAGCCTCGAAGAGATTCCTGAGGTGTCCCTCGTTACTAGACAGGAGTCCTGACGTCACTGAAGAAACTCGTGTTTTCAAGGGCCATCCCCGCCGTAAGTCGAGAACATACCCCAGGTCCCCGCCGCAACTCGAGAAAAACCATGAGACTTCCCCCTAGAGGCGAGATGAGGCCCCATTCCCCTGCAGTGCATGCAGAGCTATTCCGTGATCCCATTCAAACAAGTCAGGAGCTTCGACTTGCTTAATGGATCTCGAGACAGTCCCCAAGAACACTGTCACCAGTCTAGACGGACCCTGAAGTCACCCCAGCAACGCAAAGCAGCTCCATGTGCCCCAAATCAACTCGAGATGAGGCCCGATTCCCCTGCATTGACTCCAGAGCCATTCCCCGTTCCCCATTCAACACGACCGGTGGCTCGACTTCCTTCAGGCAACTCCAGAGATGCCCCGAGAACACTGTCCCAAGTCTAGAGGAACACCAACTTCAGCACAGCAACTCGAGGAATGCTCCGTGTACCCCAAATCGTCTCGAGATGCGAGCTGATTCCCTGGCTTAGGCTCAAGACGTATGCCAACTTCCCAGAAGCACCTCAGGAGGAGGATTCTCTCAGCAATAGGTATGTGGGAGGGACCCCGAGTATGCTGCCTCAAGGGGAATATACAGCGAGAAGCCCTAACTTGAAAGGAGGCCGGATTTCCTTGCAGTGGCTTGAATACAGGCTCGTCTTTCCTCTCACAACATGAAGGGATGTCTGAATCCCCTGTGGAGACCTTAGAGAAAGCCCTAGGTCCCTGCCTCATTTTGACGGAATGCCTCACATCCCGCTGACACCTCGAGAGGCACGCGGAGTTCATTGCTTCAAAAGGTGACGATGCCTGACTCCTCTTGAATACTGATAGGAATCCCAAAATCCCTGTGGCTACTGGAAAGGGTCCTTGGGTGCCCTGCCTCACCTCGAGAAGCGTCCCTTTGGCCCTGCCAAGCCTCGAAGAGATTCCTGAGGTGTCCCTCGTTACTAGACAGGAGTCCTGACGTCACTGAAGAAACTCGTGTTTTGAAGGGCCATCCCCGCCGTAAGTCGAGAACATACCCCAGGTCCCCGCCGCAACTCGAGAAAAACCATGAGACTTCCCCCTAGAGGCGAGATGAGGCCCCATTCCCCTGCAGTGCATGCAGAGCTATTCCGTGATCCCATTCAAACAAGTCAGGAGCTTCGACTTGCTTAATGGATCTCGAGACAGTCCCCAAGAACACTGTCACCAGTCTAGACGGACCCTGAGGTCACCCCAGCAACGCAAAGCAGCTCCATGTGCCCCAAATCAACTCGAGATGAGGCCCGATTCCCCTGCATTGACTCCAGAGCCATTCCCCGTTCCCCATTCAACACGACCGGTGGCTCGACTTCCTTCAGGCAACTCCAGAGATGCCCCGAGAACACTGTCCCAAGTCTAGAGGAACACCAACTTCAGCACAGCAACTCGAGGAATGCTCCGTGTACCCCAAATCGTCTCGAGATGCGAGCTGATCCCCTGGCTTAGGCTCAAGACGTATGCCAACTTCCCAGAAGCACCTCAGGAGGAGGCTTCTCTCAGCAATAGGTATGTGGGAGGGACCCCGAGTTTGCTGCCTCAAGGGGAATATACAGCGAGAAGCCCTAACTTGAAAGGAGGCCGGATTTCCTTGCAGTGGCTTGAATACAGGCTCGTCTTTTATCTCACAACATGAAGGGATGTCTGAATCCCCTGTGGAGACCTTAGAGAAAGCCCTAGGTCCCTGCCTCATTTTGACGGAATGCCTCACATCCCGCTGACACCTCGAGAGGCACGTGGAGTTCATTGCTTCAAAAGGTGACGATGCCTGACTCCTCTTGAATACTGATAGGAATCCCAAAATCCCTGTGGCTACTGGAAAGGGTCCTTGGGTGCCCTGCCTCACCTCGAGAAGCGTCCCTTTGGCCCTGCCAAGCCTCGAAGAGATTCCTGAGGTGTCCCTCGTTACTAGACAGGAGTCCTGACGTCACTGAAGAAACTCGTGTTTTGAAGGGCCATCCCCGCCGTAAGTGGAGAACATACCCCAGGGCCCCGTCGCAACTCGAGAAAAACCATGAGACTTCCCCCTAGAGGCGAGATGAGGCCCCATTCCCCTGCAGTGCATGCAGAGCTATTCCGTGATCCCATTCAAACAAGTCAGGAGCTTCGACTTTCTTAATGGATCTCGAGACAGTCCCCAAGAACACTGTCACCAGTCTAGACGGAACCTGAGGTCACCCCAGCAACGCAAAGCAGCTCCATGTGCCCCAAATCAACTCGAGATGAGGCCCGATTCCCCTGCATTGACTCCAGAGCCATTCCCCGTTCCCCATTCAACACGACCGGTGGCTCGACTTCCTTCAGGCAACTCCAGAGATGCCCCGAGAACACTGTCCCAAGTCTAGAGGAACACCAACTTCAGCACAGCAACTCGAGGAATGCTCCGTGTACCCCAAATCGTCTCGAGATGCGAGCTGATTCCCTGGCTTAGGCTCAAGACGTATGCCAACTTCCCAGAAGCACCTCAGGAGGAGGCTTCACTCAGCAATAGGTATGTGGGAGGGACCCCGAGTTTGCTGCCTCAAGGGGAATATACAGCGAGAAGCCCTAACTTGAAAGGAGGCCGGATTTCCTTGCAGTGGCTTGAATACAGGCTCGTCTTTCCTCTCACAACATGAAGGGATGTCTGAATCCCCTGTGGAGACCTTAGAGAAAGCCCTAGGTCCCTGCCTCATTTTGACGGAATGCCTCACATCCCGCTGACACCTCGAGAGGCACGCGGAGTTCATTGCTTCAAAAGGTGACGATGCCTGACTCCTCTTGAATACTGATAGGAATCCCAAAATCCCTGTGGCTACTGGAAAGGGTCCTTGGGTGCCCTGCCTCACCTCGAGAAGCGTCCCTTTGGCCCTGCCAAGCCTCGAAGAGATTCCTGAGGTGTCCCTCGTTACTAGACAGGAGTCCTGACGTCACTGAAGAAACTCGTGTTTTCAAGGGCCATCCCCGCCGTAAGTCGAGAACATACCCCAGGTCCCCGCCGCAACTCGAGAAAAACCATGAGACTTCCCCCTAGAGGCGAGATGAGGCCCCATTCCCCTGCAGTGCATGCAGAGCTATTCCGTGATCCCATTCAAACAAGTCAGGAGCTTCGACTTGCTTAATGGATCTCGAGACAGTCCCCAAGAACACTGTCACCAGTCTAGACGGACCCTGAGGTCACCCCAGCAACGCAAAGCAGCTCCATGTGCCCCAAATCAACTCGAGATGAGGCCCGATTCCCCTGCATTGACTCCAGAGCCATTCCCCGTTCCCCATTCAACACGACCGGTGGCTCGACTTCCTTCAGGCAACTCCAGAGATGCCCCGAGAACACTGTCCCAAGTCTAGAGGAACACCAACTTCAGCACAGCAACTCGAGGAATGCTCCGTGTACCCCAAATCGTCTCGAGATGCGAGCTGATTCCCTGGCTTAGGCTCAAGACGTATGCCAACTTCCCAGAAGCACCACAGGAGGAGGCTTCTCTCAGCAATAGGTATGTGGGAGGGACCCCGAGTTTGCTGCCTCAAGGGGAATATACAGCGAGAAGCCCTAACTTGAAAGGAGGCCGGATTTCCTTGCAGTGGCTTGAATACAGGCTCGTCTTTTATCTCACAACATGAAGGGATGTCTGAATCCCCTGTGGAGACCTTAGAGAAAGCCCTAGGTCCCTGCCTCATTTTGACGGAATGCCACACATCCCGCTGACACCTCGAGAGGCACGCGGAGTTCTTTGCTTCAAAAGGTGACGATGCCTGACTCCTCTTGAATACTGATAGGAATCCCAAAATCCCTGTGGCTACTGGAAAGGGTCCTTGGGTGCCCTGCCTCACCTCGAGAAGCGTCCCTTTGGCCCTGCCAAGCCTCGAAGAGATTCCTGAGGTGTCCCTCGTTACTAGACAGGAGTCCTGACGTCACTGAAGAAACTCGTGTTTTGAAGGGCCATCCCCGCCGTAAGTCGAGAACATACCCCAGGTCCCCGCCGCAACTCGAGAAAAAGCATGAGACTTCCCCCTAGAGGCGAGATGAGGCCCCATTCCCCTGCAGTGCATGCAGAGCTATTCCGTGATCCCATTCAAACAAGTCAGGAGCTTCGACTTGCTTAATGGATCTCGAGACAGTCCCCAAGAACACTGTCACCAGTCTAGACGGACCCTGAGGTCACCCCAGCAACGCAAAGCAGCTCCATGTGCCCCAAATCAACTCGAGATGAGGCCCGATTCCCCTGCATTGACTCCAGAGCCATTCCCCGTTCCCCATTCAACACGACCGGTGGCTCGACTTCCTTCAGGCAACTCCAGAGATGCCCCGAGAACACTGTCCCAAGTCTAGAGGAACACCAACTTCAGCACAGCAACTCGAGGAATGCTCCGTGTACCCCAAATCGTCTCGAGATGCGAGCTGATTCCCTGGCTTAGGCTCAAGACGTATGCCAACTTCCCAGAAGCACCTCAGGAGGAGGCTTCTCTCAGCAATAGGTATGTGGGAGGGACCCCGAGTTTGCTGCCTCAAGGGGAATATACAGCGAGAAGCCCTAACTTGAAAGGAGGCCGGATTTCCTTGCAGTGGCTTGAATACAGGCTCGTCTTTCATCTCACAACATGAAAGGATGTCTGAATCCCCTGTGGAGACCTTAGAGAAAGCCCTAGGTCCCTGCCTCATTTTGACGGAATGCCTCACATCCCGCTGACACCTCGAGAGGCACGCGGAGTTCATTGCTTCAAAAGGTGACGATGCCTGACTCCTCTTGAATACTGATAGGAATCCCAAAATCCCTGTGGCTACTGGAAAGGGTCCTTGGTTGCCCTGCCTCACCTCGAGAAGCGTCCCTTTGGCCCTGCCAAGCCTCGAAGAGATTCCTGAGGTGTCCCTCGTTACTAGACAGGAGTCCTGACGTCACTGAAGAAACTCGTGTTTTGAAGGGCCATCCCCGCCGTAAGTCGAGAACATACCCCAGGTCCCCGCCGCAACTCGAGAAAAACCATGAGACTTCCCCCTAGAGGCGAGATGAGGCCCCATTCCCCTGCAGTGCATGCAGAGCTATTCCGTGATCCCATTCAAACAAGTCAGGAGCTTCGACTTGCTTAATGGATCTCGAGACAGTCCCCAAGAACACTGTCACCAGTCTAGACGGACCCTGAGGTCACCCCAGCAACGCAAAGCAGCTCCATGTGCCCCAAACCAACTCGAGATGAGGCCCGATTCCCCTGCATTGACTCCAGAGCCATTCCCCGTTCCCCATTCAACACGACCGGTGGCTCGACTTCCTTCAGGCAACTCCAGAGATGCCCCGAGAACACTGTCCCAAGTCTAGAGGAACACCAAATTCAGCACAGCAACTCGAGGAATGCTCCGTGTACCACAAATCGTCTCGAGATGCGAGCTGATCCCCTGGCTTAGGCTCAAGACGTATGCCAACTTCCCAGAAGCACCTCAGGAGGAGGCTTCTCTCAGCAATAGGTATGTGGGAGGGACCCCGAGTTTGCTGCCTCAAGGGGAATATACAGCGTGGAGCCCTAACTTGAAAGGAGGCCGGATTTCCTTGCAGTGGCTTGAATACAGGCTCGTCTTTCCTCTCACAACATGAAGGGATGTCTGAATCCCCTGTGGAGACCTTAGAGAAAGCCCTAGGTCCCTGCCTCATTTTGACGGAATGCCTCACATCGCGCTGACACCTCGAGAGGCACACGGAGTTCATTGCTTCAAAAGGTGACGATGCCTGACTCCTCTTGAATACTGATAGGAATCCCAAAATCCCTGTGGCTACTGGAAAGGGTCCTTGGGTGCCCTGCCTCACCTCGAGAAGCGTCCCTTTGGCCCTGCCAAGCCTCGAAGAGATTCCTGAGGTGTCCCTCGTTACTAGACAGGAGTCCTGACGTCACTGAAGAAACTCGTGTTTTGAAGGGCCATCCCCGCCGTAAGTCGAGAACATACCCCAGGTCCCCGCCGCAACTCGAGAAAAACCATGAGACTTCCCCCTAGAGGCGAGATGAGGCCCCATTCCCCTGCAGTGCATGCAGAGCTATTCCGTGATCCCATTCAAACAAGTCAGGAGCTTCGACTTGCTTAATGGATCTCGAGACAGTCCCCAAGAACACTGTCACCAGTCTAGACGGACCCTGAGGTCACCCCAGCAACGCAAAGCAGCTCCATGTGCCCCAAATCAACTCGAGATGAGGCCCGATTCCCCTGCATTGACTCCAGAGCCATTCCCCGTTCCCCATTCAACACGACCGGTGGCTCGACTTCCTTCAGGCAACTCCAGAGATGCCCCGAGAACACTGTCCCAAGTCTAGAGGAACACCAACTTCAGCACAGCAACTCGAGGAATGCTCCGTGTACCCCAAATCGTCTCGAGATGCGAGCTGATCCCCTGGCTTAGGCTCAAGACGTATGCCAACTTCCCAGAAGCACCTCAGGAGGAGGCTTCTCTCAGCAATAGGTATGTGGGAGGGACCCCGAGTTTGCTGCCTCAAGGGGAATATACAGCGAGAAGCCCTAACTTGAAAGGAGGCCGGATTTCCTTGCAGTGGCTTGAATACAGGCTCGTCTTTCCTCTCACAACATGAAGGGATGTCTGAATCCCCTGTGGAGACCTTAGAGAAAGCCCTAGGTCCCTGCCTCATTTTGACGGAATGCCTCACATCCCGCTGACACCTCGAGAGGCACGCGGAGTTCATTGCTTCAAAAGGTGACGATGCCTGACTCCTCTTGAATACTGATAGGAATCCCAAAATCCCTGTGGCTACTGGAAAGGGTCCTTGGGTGCCCTGCCTCACCTCGAGAAGCGTCCCTTTGGCCCTGCCAAGCCTCGAAGAGATTCCTGAGGTGTCCCTCGTTACTAGACAGGAGTCCTGACGTCACTGAAGAAACTCGTGTTTTGAAGGGCCATCCCCGCCGTAAGTCGAGAACATACCCCAGGTCCCCGCCGCAACTCGAGAAAAACCATGAGACTTCCCCCTAGAGGCGAGATGAGGCCCCATTCCCCTGCAGTGCATGCAGAGCTATTCCGTGATCCCATTCAAACAAGTCAGGAGCTTCGACTTGCTTAATGGATCTCGAGACAGTCCCCAAGAACACTGTCACCAGTCTAGACGGACCCTGAGGTCACCCCAGCAACGCAAAGCAGCTCCATGTGCCCCAAATCAACTCGAGATGAGGCCCGATTCCCCTGCATTGACTCCAGAGCCATTCCCCGTTCCCCATTCAACACGACAGGTGGCTCGACTTCCTTCAGGCAACTCCAGAGATGCCCCGAGAACACTGTCCCAAGTCTAGAGGAACACCAACTTCAGCACAGCAACTCGAGGAATGCTCCGTGTACCCCAAATCGTCTCGAGATGCGAGCTGATTCCCTGGCTTAGGCTCAAGACGTATGCCAACTTCCCAGAAGCACCTCAGGAGGAGACTTCTCTCAGCAATAGGTATGTGGGAGGGACCCCGAGTTTGCTGCCTCAAGGGGAATATACAGCGAGAAGCCCTAACTTGAAAGGAGGCCGGATTTCCTTGCAGTGGCTTGAATACAGGCTCGTCTTTTATCTCACAACATGAAGGGATGTCTGAATCCCCTGTGGAGACCTTAGAGAAAGCCCTAGGTCCCTGCCTCATTTTGACGGAATGCCTCACATCCCGCTGACACCTCGAGAGGCACGCGGAGTTCATTGCTTCAAAAGGTGACGATGCCTGACTCCTCTTGAATACTGATAGGAATCCCAAAATCCCTGTGGCTACTGGAAAGGGTCCTTGGGTGCCCTGCCTCACCTCGAGAAGCGTCCCTTTGGCCCTGCCAAGCCTCGAAGAGATTCCTGAGGTGTCCCTCGTTACTAGACAGGAGTCCTGACGTCACTGAAGAAACTCCTGTTTTCAAGGGCCATCCCCGCCGTAAGTCGAGAACATACCCCAGGTCCCCGCCGCAACTCGAGAAAAACCATGAGACTTCCCCCTAGAGGCGAGATGAGGCCCCATTCCCCTGCAGTGCATGCAGAGCTATTCCGTGATCCCATTCAAACAAGTCAGGAGCTTCGACTTGCTTAATGGATCTCGAGACAGTCCCCAAGAACACTGTCACCAGTCTAGACGGACCCTGAGGTCACCCCAGCAACGCAAAGCAGCTCCATGTGCCCCAAATCAACTCGAGATGAGGCCCGGTTCCCCTGCATTGACTCCAGAGCCATTCCCCGTTCCCCATTCAACACGACCGGTGGCTCGACTTCCTTCAGGCAACTCCAGAGATGCCCCGAGAACACTGTCCCAAGTCTAGAGGAACACCAACTTCAGCACAGCAACTCGAGGAATGCTCCGTGTACCCCAAATCGTCTCGAGATGCGAGCTGATTCCCTGGCTTAGGCTCAAGACGTATGCCAACTTCCCAGAAGCACCTCAGGAGGAGGCTTCTCTCAGCAATAGGTATGTGGGAGGGACCCCGAGTTTGCTGCCTCAAGGGGAATATACAGCGAGAAGCCCTAACTTGAAAGGAGGCCGGATTTCCTTGCAGTGGCTTGAATACAGGCTCGTCTTTCCTCTCACAACATGAAGGGATGTCTGAATCCCCTGTGGAGACCTTAGAGAAAGCCCTAGGTCCCTGGCTCATTTTGACAGAATGCCTCACATCCCGCTGACACCTCGAGAGGCACGCGGAGTTCATTGCTTCAAAAGGTGAGGATGCCTGACTCCTCTTGAATACTGATAGGAATCCCAAAATCCCTGTGGCTACTGGAAAGGGTCCTTGGGTGCCCTGCCTCACCTCGAGAAGCGTCCCTTTGGCCCTGCCAAGCCTCGAAGAGATTCCTGAGGTGTCCCTCGTTACTAGACAGGAGTCCTGACGTCACTATAGAAACTCGTGTTTTCAAGGGCCATCCCCGCCGTAAGTCGAGAACATACCCCAGGTCCCCGCCGCAACTCGAGAAAAACCATGAGACTTCCCCCTAGAGGCGAGATGAGGCCCCATTCCCCTGCAGTGCATGCAGAGCTATTCCGTGATCCCATTCAAACAAGTCAGGAGCTTCGACTTGCTTAATGGATCTCGAGACAGTCCCCAAGAACACTATCACCAGTCTAGACGGACCCTGAGGTCACCCCAGCAACGCAAAGCAGCTCCATGTGCCCCAAATCAACTCGAGATGAGGCCCGATTCCCCTGCATTGACTCCAGAGCCATTCCCCGTTCCCCATTCAACACGACCGGTGGCTCGACTTCCTTCAGGCAACTCCAGAGATGCCCCGAGAACACTGTCCCAAGTCTAGAGGAACACCAACTTCAGCACAGCAACTCGAGGAATGCTCCGTGTACCCCAAATCGGCTCGAGATGAGAGCTGATTCCCTGGCTTAGGCTCAAGACGTATGCCAACTTCCCAGAAGCACCTCAGGAGGAGGCTTCTCTCAGCAATAGGTATGTGGGAGGGACCCCGAGTTTGCTGCCTCAAGGGGAATATACAGCGAGAAGCCCTAACTTGAAAGGAGGCCGGATTTCCTTGCAGTGGCTTGAATACAGGCTCCTCTTTCCTCTCACAACATGAAGGGATGTCTGAATCCCCTGTGGAGACCTTAGAGAAAGCCCTAGGTCCCTGCCTCATTTTGACGGAATGCCTCACATCCCGCTGACACCTCGAGAGGCACGCGGAGTTCATTGCTTCAAAAGGTGACGATGCCTGACTCCTCTTGAATACTGATAGGAATCCCAAAATCCCTGTGGCTACTGGAAAGGGTCCTTGGGTGCCCTGCCTCACCTCGAGAAGCGTCCCTTTGGCCCTGCCAAGCCTCGAAGAGATTCCTGAGGTGTCCCTCGTTACTAGACAGGAGTCCTGACGTCACTGAAGAAACTCGTGTTTTCAAGGGCCATCCCCGCCGTAAGTCGAGAACATACCCCAGGTCCCCGCCGCAACTCGAGAAAAACCATGAGACTTCCCCCTAGAGGCGAGATGAGGCCCCATTCCCCTGCAGTGCATGCAGAGCTATTCCGTGATCCCATTCAAACAAGTCAGGAGCTTCGGCTTGCTTAATGGATCTCGAGACAGTCCCCAAGAACACTGTCACCAGTCTAGACGGACCCTGAGGTCACCCCATCAATGCAAAGCAGCTCCATGTGCCCCAAATCAACTCGAGATGAGGCCCGATTCCCCTGCATTGACTCCAGAGCCATTCCCCATTCCCCATTCAACACGACCGGTGGCTCGACTTCCTTCAGGCAACTCCAGAGATGCCCCGAGAACACTGTCCCAAGTCTAGAGGAACACCAACTTCAGCACAGCAACTCGAGGAATGCTCCGTGTACCCCAAATCGTCTCGAGATGCGAGCTGATCCCCTGGCTTAGGCTCAAGACGTATGCCAACTTCCCAGAAGCACCTCAGGAGGAGGCTTCTCTCAGCAATAGGTATGTGGGAGGGACCCCGAGTTTGCTGCCTCAAGGGGAATATACAGCGAGAAGCCCTAACTTGAAAGGAGGCCGGATTTCCTTGCAGTGGCTTGAATACAGGCTCGTCTTTCATCTCACAACATGAAGGGATGTCTGAATCCCCTGTGGAGACCTTAGAGAAAGCCCTAGGTCCCTGCCTCATTTTGACGGAATGCCTCACATCCCGCTGACACCTCGAGAGGCACGCGGAGTTCATTGCTTCAAAAGGTGACGATGCCTGACTCCTCTTGAATACTGATAGGAATCCCAAAATCCCTGTGGCTACTGGAAAGGGTCCTTGGGTGCCCTGCCTCACCTCGAGAAGCGTCCCTTTGGCCCTGCCAAGCCTCGAAGAGATTCCTGAGGTGTCCCTCGTTACTAGACAGGAGTCCTGACGTCACTATAGAAACTCGTGTTTTGAAGGGCCATCCCCGCCGTAAGTCGAGAACATACCCCAGGTCCCCGCCGCAACTCGAGAAAAACCATGAGACTTCCCCCTAGAGGCGAGATGAGGCCCCATTCCCCTGCAGTGCATGCAGAGCTATTCCGTGATCCCATTCAAACAAGTCAGGAGCTTCGACTTGCTTAATGGATCTCGAGACAGTCCCCAAGAACACTGTCACCAGTCTAGACGGACCCTGAGGTCACCCCAGCAACGCAAAGCAGCTCCATGTGCCCCAAATCAACTCGAGATGAGGCCCGATTCCCCTGCATTGACTCCAGAGCCATTCCCCGTTCCCCATTCAACACGACCGGTGGCTCGACTTCCTTCAGGCAACTCCAGAGATGCCCCGAGAACACTGTCCCAAGTCTAGAGGAACACCAACTTCAGCACAGCAACTCGAGGAATGCTCCGTGTACCCCAAATCGTCTCGAGATGCGAGCTGATTCCCTGGCTTAGGCTCAAGACGTATGCCAACTTCCCAGAAGCACCACAGGAGGAGGCTTCTCTCAGCAATAGGTATGTGGGAGGGACCCCGAGTTTGCTGCCTCAAGGGGAATATACAGCGAGAAGCCCTAACTTGAAAGGAGGCCGGATTTCCTTGCAGTGGCTTGAATACAGGCTCGTCTTTCCTCTTACAACATGAAGGGATGTCTGAATCCCCTGTGGAGACCTTAGAGAAAGTCCTAGGTCCCTGCCTCATTTTGACGGAATGCCTCACATCCCGCTGACACCTCGAGAGGCACGCGGAGTTCATTGCTTCAAAAGGTGACGATGCCTGACTCCTCTTGAATACTGATAGGAATCCCAAAATCCCTGTGGCTACTGGAAAGGGTCCTTGGGTGCCCTGCCTCACCTCGAGAAGCGTCCCTTTGGCCCTGCCAAGCCTCGAAGAGATTCCTGAGGTGTCCCTCGTTACTAGACAGGAGTCCTGACGTCACTGAAGAAACTCGTGTTTTCAAGGGCCATCCCCGCCGTAAGTCGAGAACATACCCCAGGTCCCCGCCGCAACTCGAGAAAAACCATGAGACTTCCCCCTAGAGGCGAGATGAGGCCCCATTCCCCTGCAGTGCATGCAGAGCTATTCCGTGATCCCATTCAAACAAGTCAGGAGCTTCGGCTTGCTTAATGGATCTCGAGACAGTCCCCAAGAACACTGTCACCAGTCTAGACGGACCCTGAGGTCACCCCAGCAACGCAAAGCAGCTCCATGTGCCCCAAATCAACTCGAGATGAGGCCCGATTCCCCTGCATTGACTCCAGAGCCATTCCCCGTTCCCCATTCAACACGACCGGTGGCTCGACTTCCTTCAGGCAACTCCAGAGATGCCACGAGAACACTGTCCCAAGTCTAGAGGAACACCAACTTCAGCACAGCAACTCGAGGAATGCTCCGTGCACCCCAAATCGTCTCGAGATGCGAGCTGATTCACTGGCTTAGGCTCAAGACGTATGCCAACTTCCCAGAAGCACCTCAGGAGGAGGCTTCTCTCAGCAATAGGTATGTGGGAGGGACCCCGTGTTTGCTGCCTCAAGGGGAATATACAGCGAGAAGCCCTAACATGAAAGGAGGCCGGATTCCTTGCAGTGGCTTGAATACAGGCTCGTCTTTCATCTCACAACATGAAGGGATGTCTGAATCCCCTGTGGAGACCTTAGAGAAAGCCCTAGGTCCCTGCCTGATTTTGACGCAATGCCTCACATCCCGCTGACACCTCGAGAGGCACGCGGAGTTCATTGCTTCAAAAGGTGACGATGCCTGTCTCCTCTTGAATACTGATAGGAATCCCAAAATCCCTGTGGCTACTGGAAAGTGTCCTTGGGTGCCCTGCCTCACCTCGAGAAGCGTCCCTTTGGCCCTGCCAAGCCTCGAAGAGATTCCTGAGGTGTCCCTCGTTACTAGACAGGAGTCCTGACGTCACTGAAGAAACTCGTGTTTTGAAGGGCCATCCCCGCCGTAAGTCGAGAACATACCCCAGGTCCCCGCCGCAACTCGAGAAAAACCATGAGACTTCCCCCTAGAGGCGAGATGAGGCCCCATTCCCCTGCAGTGCATGCAGAGCTATTCCGTGATCCCATTCAAACAAGTCAGGAGCTTCGGCTTGCTTAATGGATCTCGAGACAGTCCCCAACAACACTGTCACCAGTCTAGACGGACCCTGAGGTCACCCCAGCAACGCAAAGCAGCTCCATGTGCCCCAAATCAACTCGAGATGAGGCCCGATTCCCCTGCATTGACTCCAGAGCCATTCCCCGTTCCCCATTCAACACGACCGGTGGCTCGACTTCCTTCAGGCAACTCCAGAGATGCCCCGAGAACACTGTCCCAAGTCTAGAGGAACACCAACTTCAGCACAGCAACTCGAGGAATGCTCCGTGTACCCCAAATCGTCTCGAGATGCGAGCTGATGCCCTGGCTTAGGCTCAAGACGTATGCCAACTTCCCAGAAGCACCTCAGGAGGAGGCTTCTCTCAGCAATAGGTATGTGGGAGGGACCCCGAGTTTGCTGCCTCAAGGGGAATATACAGCGAGAAGCCCTAACTTGAAAGGAGGCCGGATTTCCTTGCAGTGGCTTGAATACAGGCTCGTCTTTCATCTCACAACATGAAGGGATGTCTGAATCCCCTGTGGAGACCTTAGAGAAAGCCCTAGGTCCCTGCCTGATTTTGACGGAATGCCTCACATCCCGCTGACACCTCGAGAGGCACGCGGAGTTCATTGCTTCAAAAGGTGACGATGCCTGACTCCTCTTGAATACTGATAGGAATCCCAAAATCCCTGTGGCTACTGGAAAGGGTCCTTGGGTGCCCTGCCTCACCTCGAGAAGCGTCCCTATGGCCCTGCCAAGCCTCGAAGAGATTCCTGAGGTGTCCCTCGTTACTAGACAGGAGTCCTGACGTCACTGAAGAAACTCGTGTTTTGAAGGGCCATCCCCGCCGTAAGTCGAGAACATACCCCAGGTCCCCGCCGCAACTCGAGAAAAACCATGAGACTTCCCCCTAGAGGCGAGATGAGGCCCCATTCCCCTGCAGTGCATGCAGAGCTATTCCGTGATCCCATTCAAACAAGTCAGGAGCTTCGGCTTGCTTAATGGATCTCGAGACAGTCCCCAAGAACACTGTCACCAGTCTAGATGGACCCTGAGGTCACCCCAGCAACGCAAAGCAGCTCCATGTGCCCCAAATCAACTCGAGATGAGGCCCGATTCCCCTGCATTGACTCCAGAGCCATTCCCCGTTCCCCATTCAACACGACCGGTGGCTCGACTTCCTTCAGGCAACTCCAGAGATGCCCCGAGAACACTGTCCCAAGTCTAGAGGAACACCAACTTCAGCACAGCAACTCGAGGAATGCTCCGTGTACCCCAAATCGTCTCGAGATGCGAGCTGATGCCCTGGCTTAGGCTCAAGACGTATGCCAACTTCCCAGAAGCACCTCAGGAGGAGGCTTCTCTCAGCAATAGGTATGTGGGAGGGACCCCGAGTTTGCTGCCTCAAGGGGAATATACAGCGAGAAGCCCTAACTTGAAAGGAGGCCGGATTTCCTTGCAGTGGCTTGAATACAGGCTCGTCTTTCATCTCACAACATGAAGGGATGTCTGAATCCCCTGTGGAGACCTTAGAGAAAGCCCTAGGTCCCTGCCTCATTTTGACGGAATGCCTCACATCCCGCTGACACCTCGAGAGGCACGCGGAGTTCATTGCTTCAAAAGGTGACGATGCCTGACTCCTCTTGAATACTGATAGGAATCCCAAAATCCCTGTGGCTACTGGAAAGGGTCCTTGGGTGCCCTGCCTCACCTCGAGAAGCGTCCCTATGGCCCTGCCAAGCCTCGAAGAGATTCCTGAGGTGTCCCTCGTTACTAGACAGGAGTCCTGACGTCACTGAAGAAACTCGTGTTTTGAAGGGCCATCCCCGCCGTAAGTCGAGAACATACCCCAGGTCCCCGCCGCAACTCGAGAAAAACCATGAGACTTCCCCCTAGAGGCGAGATGAGGCCCCATTCCCCTGCAGTGCATGCAGAGCTATTCCGTGATCCCATTCAAACAAGTCAGGAGCTTCGGCTTGCTTAATGGATCTCGAGACAGTCCCCAAGAACACTGTCACCAGTCTAGATGGACCCTGAGGTCACCCCAGCAACGCAAAGCAGCTCCATGTGCCCCAAATCAACTCGAGATGAGGCCCGATTCCCCTGCATTGACTCCAGAGCCATTCCCCGTTCCCCATTCAACACGACCGGTGGCTCGACTTCCTTCAGGCAACTCCAGAGATGCCCCGAGAACACTGTCCCAAGTCTAGAGGAACACCAACTTCAGCACAGCAACTCGAGGAATGCTCCGTGTACCCCAAATCGGCTCGAGATGAGAGCTGATTCCCTGGCTTAGGCTCAAGACGTATGCCAACTTCCCAGAAGCACCTCAGGAGGAGGCTTCTCTCAGCAATAGGTATGTGGGAGGGACCCCGAGTTTGCTGCCTCAAGGGGAATATACAGCGAGAAGCCCTAATTTGAAAGGAGGCCGGATTTCCTTGCAGTGGCTTGAATACAGGCTCGTCTTTCCTCTCACAACATGAAGGGATGTCTGAATCGCCTGTGGAGACCTTAGAGAAAGCCCTAGGTCCCTGCCTCATTTTGACGGAATGCCTCACATCCCGCTGACACCTCGAGAGGCACGCGGAGTTCATTGCTTCAAAAGGTGACGATGCCTGACTCCTCTTGAATACTGATAGGAATCCCAAAATCCCTGTGGCTACTGGAAAGGGTCCTTGGGTGCCCTGCCTCACCTCGAGAAGCGTCCCTTTGGCCCTGCCAAGCCTCGAAGAGATTCCTGAGGTGTCCCTCGTTACTAGACAGGAGTCCTGACGTCACTGAAGAAACTCGTGTTTTGAAGGGCCATCCCCGCCGTAAGTCGAGAACATACCCCAGGTCCCCGCCGCAACTCGAGAAAAACCATGAGACTTCCCCCTAGAGGCGAGATGAGGCCCCATTCCCCTGCAGTGCATGCAGAGCTATTCCGTGATCCCATTCAAACAAGTCAGGAGCTTCGGCTTGCTTAATGGATCTCGAGACAGTCCCCAAGAACACTGTCACCAGTCTAGACGGACCCTGAGGTCACCCCAGCAACGCAAAGCAGCTCCATGTGCCCCAAATCAACTCGAGATGAGGCCCGATTCCCCTGCATTGACTCCAGTGCCATTCCCCGTTCCCCATTCAACACGACCGGTGGCTCGACTTCCTTCAGGCAACTCCAGAGATGCCCCGAGAACACTGTCCCAAGTCTAGAGGAACACCAACTTCAGCACAGCAACTCGAGGAATGCTCCGTGTACCCCAAATCGTCTCGAGATGCGAGCTGATTCCCTGGCTTAGGCTCAAGACGTATGCCAACTTCCCAGAAGCACCTCAGGAGGAGGCTTCTCTCAGCAATAGGTATGTGGGAGGGACCCCGAGTTTGCTGCCTCAAGGGGAATATACAGCGAGAAGCCCTAACTTGAAAGGAGGCCGGATTTCCTTGCAGTGGCTTGAATACAGGCTCGTCTTTCATCTCACAACATGAAGGGATGTCTGAATCCCCTGTGGAGACCTTAGAGAAAGCCCTAGGTTCCTGCCTCATTTTGACGGAATGCCTCACATCCCGCTGACACCTCGAGAGGCACGCGGAGTTCATTGCTTCAAAAGGTGACGATGCCTGACTCCTCTTGAATACTGATAGGAATCCCAAAATCCCTGTGGCTACTGGACAGGGTCCTTGGGTGCCCTGCCTCACCTCGAGAAGCGTCCCTTTGGCCCTGCCAAGCCTCGAAGAGATTCCTGAGGTGTCCCTCGTTACTAGACAGGAGTCCTGACGTCACTGAAGAAACTCGTGTTTTGAAGGGCCATCCCCGCCGTAAGTCGAGAACATACCCCAGGTCCCCGCCGCAACTCGAGAAAAACCATGAGACTTCCCCCTAGAGGCGAGATGAGGCCCCATTCCCCTGCAGTGCATGCAGAGCTATTCCGTGATAACATTCAAACAAGTCAGGAGCTTCGCCTTGCTTAATGGATCTCGAGACAGTCCCCAAGAACACTGTCACCAGTCTAGACGGACCCTGAGGTCACCCCAGCAACGCAAAGCAGCTCCATGTGCCCCAAATCAACTCGAGATGAGGCCCGATTCCCCTGCATTGACTGCAGAGCCATTCCCCGTTCCCCATTCAACACGACCGGTGGCTCGACTTCCTTCAGGCAACTCCAGAGATGCCCCGAGAACACTTTCCCAAGTCTAGAGGAACACCAACTTTAGCACAGCAACTCGAGGAATGCTCCGTGTACCCCAAATCGTCTCGAGATGCGAGCTGATTCCCTGGCTTAGGCTCAAGACGTATGCCAACTTCCCAGAAGCACCTCAGGAGGAGGCTTCTCTCAGCAATAGGTATGTGGGAGGGACCCCGAGTTTGCTGCCTCAAGGGGAATATACAGCGAGAAGCCCTAACTTGAAAGGAGGCCGGATTTCCTTGCAGTGGCTTGAATACAGGCTCGTCTTTCCTCTCACAACATGAAGGGATGTCTGAATCCCCTGTGAAGACCTTAGAGAAAGCCCTAGGTCCCTGCCTCATTTTGACGGAATGCCTCACATCCCGCTGACACCTCGAGAGGCACGCGGAGTTCATTGCTTCAAAAGGTGACGATGCCTGACTCCTCTTGAATACTGATAGGAATCCCAAAATCCCTGTGGCTACTGGAAAGGGTCCTTGGGTGCCCTGCCTCACCTCGAGAAGCGTCCCTTTTGCCCTGCCAAGCCTCGAAGTCATTCCTGAGGTGTCCCTCGTTACTAGACAGGAGTCCTGACGTCACTGAAGAAACTCGTGTTTTGAAGGGCCATCCCCGCCGTAAGTCGAGAACATACCCCAGGTCCCCGCCGCAACTCGAGAAAAACCATGAGACTTCCCCCTAGAGGCGAGATGAGGCCCCATTCCCCTGCAGTGCATGCAGAGCTATTCCGTGATCCCATTCAAACAAGTCAGGAGCTTCGGCTTGCTTAATGGATCTCGAGACAGTCCCCAAGAACACTGTCACCCGTCTAGACGGACCCTGAGGTCACCCCAGCAACGCAAAGCAGCTCCATGTGCCCCAAATCAACTCGAGATGAGGCCCGATTCCCCTGCATTGACTCCAGAGCCATTCCCCGTTCCCCATTCAACACGACCGGTGGCTCGACTTCCTTCAGGCAACTCCAGAGATGCCCCGAGAACACTGTCCCAAGTCTAGAGGAACACCAACTTCAGCACAGCAACTCGAGGAATGCTCCGTCTACCCCAAATCGTCTCGAGATGCGAGCTGATTCCCTGGCTTAGGCTCAAGACGTATGCCAACCTCCCAGAAGCACCTCAGGAGGAGGCTTCTCTCAGCAATAGGTATGTGGGAGGGACCCCGAGTTTGCTGCCTCAAGGGGAATATACAGCGAGAAGCCCTAACTTGAAAGGAGGCCGGATTTCCTTGCAGTGGCTTGAATACAGGCTCGTCTTTCATCTCACAACATGAAGGGATGTCTGAATCCCCTGTGGAGACCTTAGAGAAAGCCCTAGGTCCCTGCCTCATTTTGACGGAATGCCTCACATCCCGCTGACACCTCGAGAGGCACGCGGAGTTCATTGCTTCAAAAGGTGACGATGCCTGACTCCTCTTGAATACTGATAGGAATCCCAAAATCGCTGTGGCTACTGGAAAGGGTCCTTGGGTGCCCTGCCTCACCTCGAGAAGCGTCCCTTTGGCCCTGCCAAGCCTCGAAGAGATTCCTGAGGTGTCCCTCGTTACTAGACAGGAGTCCTGACGTCACTGAAGAAACTCGTGTTTTGAAGGGCCATCCCCGCCGTAAGTCGAGAACATACCCCAGGTCCCCGCCGCAACTCGAGAAAAACCATGAGACTTCCCCCTAGAGGCGAGATGAGGCCCCATTCCCCTGCAGTGCATGCAGAGCTATTCCGTGATCCCATTCAAACAAGTCAGGAGCTTCGACTTGCTTAATGGATCTCGAGACAGTCCCCAAGAGCACTGTCACCAGTCTAGACGGACCCTGAGGTCACCCCAGCAACGCAAAGCAGCTCCATGTGCCCCAAATCAACTCAAGATGAGGCCCGATTCCCCTGCATTGACTCCAGAGCCATTCCCCGTTCCCCATTCAACACGACCGGTGGCTCGACTTCCTTCAGGCAACTCCAGAGATGCCCCGAGAACACTGTCCCAAGTCTAGAGGAACACCATCTTCAGCACAGCAACTCGAGGAATGCTCCGTGTACCCCAAATCGTCTCGAGATGCGAGCTGATTCCCTGGCTTAGGCTCAAGACGTATGCCAACTTCCCAGAAGCACCTCAGGAGGAGGCTTCTCTCAGCAATAGGTATGTGGGAGGGACCCCGAGTTTGCTGCCTCAAGGGGAATATACAGCGAGAAGCCCTAACTTGAAAGGAGGCCGGATTTCCTTGCAGTGGCTTGAATACAGGCTCGTCTTTCATCTCACAACATGAAGGGATGTCTGAATCCCCTGTGGAGACCTTAGAGAAAGCCCTAGGTCCCTGCCTCATTTTGACGGAATGCCTCTCATCCCGCTGACACCTCGAGAGGCACGCGGAGTTCATTGCTTCAAAAGGTGACGATGCCTGACTCCTCTTGAATACTGATAGGAATCCCAAAATCCCTGTGGCCTACTGGAAAGGGTCCTTGGGTGCCCTGCCTCACCTCGAGAAGTGTCCCGTTTGCCCTGCCAAGCCTCGAAGAGATTCCTGAGGTGTCCCTCGTTACTAGACAGGAGTCCTGACGTCACTGAAGAAACTCGTGTTTTCAAGGGCCATCCCCGCCGTAAGTCGAGAACATACCCCAGGTCCCCGCCGCAACTCGAGAAAAACCATGAGACTTCCCCCTAGAGGCGAGATGAGGCCCCATTCCCCTGCAGTGCATGCAGAGCTATTCCGTGATCCCATTCAAACAAGTCAGGAGCTTCGGCTTGCTTAATGGATCTCGAGACAGTCCCCAAGAACACTGTCACCAGTCTAGACGGACCCTGAGGTCACCCCAGCAACGCAAAGCAGCTCCATGTGCCCCAAATCAACTCGAGATGAGGCCCGATTCCCCTGCATTGACTCCAGTGCCATTCCCCGTTCCCCATTCAACACGACCGGTGGCTCGACTTCCTTCAGGCAACTCCAGAGATGCCCCGAGAACACTGTCCCAAGTCTAGAGGAACACCAACTTCAGCACAGCAACTCGAGGAATGCTCCGTGTACCCCAAATCGTCTCGAGATGCGAGCTGATTCCCTGGCTTAGGCTCAAGACGTATGCCAACTTCCCAGAAGCACCTCAGGAGGAGGCTTCTCTCAGCAATAGGTATGTGGGAGGGACCCCGAGTTTGCTGCCTCAAGGGGAATATACAGCGAGAAGCCCTAACTTGAAAGGAGGCCGGATTTCCTTGCAGTGGCTTGAATACAGGCTCGTCTTTCATCTCACAACATGAAGGGATGTCTGAATCCCCTGTGGAGACCTTAGAGAAAGCCCTAGGTTCCTGCCTCATTTTGACGGAATGCCTCACATCCCGCTGACACCTCGAGAGGCACGCGGAGTTCATTGCTTCAAAAGGTGACGATGCCTGACTCCTCTTGAATACTGATAGGAATCCCAAAATCCCTGTGGCTACTGGACAGGGTCCTTGGGTGCCCTGCCTCACCTCGAGAAGCGTCCCTTTGGCCCTGCCAAGCCTCGAAGAGATTCCTGAGGTGTCCCTCGTTACTAGACAGGAGTCCTGACGTCACTGAAGAAACTCGTGTTTTGAAGGGCCATCCCCGCCGTAAGTCGAGAACATACCCCAGGTCCCCGCCGCAACTCGAGAAAAACCATGAGACTTCCCCCTAGAGGCGAGATGAGGCCCCATTCCCCTGCAGTGCATGCAGAGCTATTCCGTGATCCCATTCAAACAAGTCAGGAGCTTCGCCTTGCTTAATGGATCTCGAGACAGTCCCCAAGAACACTGTCACCAGTCTAGACGGACCCTGAGGTCACCCCAGCAACGCAAAGCAGCTCCATGTGCCCCAAATCAACTCGAGATGAGGCCCGATTCCCCTGCATTGACTGCAGAGCCATTCCCCGTTCCCCATTCAACACGACCGGTGGCTCGACTTCCTTCAGGCAACTCCAGAGATGCCCCGAGAACACTGTCCCAAGTCTAGAGGAACACCAACTTTAGCACAGCAACTCGAGGAATGCTCCGTGTACCCCAAATCGTCTCGAGATGCGAGCTGATTCCCTGGCTTAGGCTCAAGACGTATGCCAACTTCCCAGAAGCACCTCAGGAGGAGGCTTCTCTCAGCAATAGGTATGTGGGAGGGACCCCGAGTTTGCTGCCTCAAGGGGAATATACAGCGAGAAGCCCTAACTTGAAAGGAGGCCGGATTTCCTTGCAGTGGCTTGAATACAGGCTCGTCTTTCATCTCACAACATGAAGGGATGTCTGAATCCCCTGTGGAGACCTTAGAGAAAGCCCTAGGTCCCTGCCTCATTTTGACGGAATGCCTCTCATCCCGCTGACACCTCGAGAGGCACGCGGAGTTCATTGCTTCAAAAGGTGACGATGCCTGACTCCTCTTGAATACTGATAGGAATCCCAAAATCCCTGTGGCCTACTGGAAAGGGTCCTTGGGTGCCCTGCCTCACCTCGAGAAGTGTCCCGTTTGCCCTGCCAAGCCTCGAAGAGATTCCTGAGGTGTCCCTCGTTACTAGACAGGAGTCCTGACGTCACTGAAGAAACTCGTGTTTTCAAGGGCCATCCCCGCCGTAAGTCGAGAACATACCCCAGGTCCCCGCCGCAACTCGAGAAAAACCATGAGACTTCCCCCTAGAGGCGAGATGAGGCCCCATTCCCCTGCAGTGCATGCAGAGCTATTCCGTGATCCCATTCAAACAAGTCAGGAGCTTCGGCTTGCTTAATGGATCTCGAGACAGTCCCCAAGAACACTGTCACCAGTCTAGACGGACCCTGAGGTCACCCCAGCAACGCAAAGCAGCTCCATGTGCCCCAAATCAACTCGAGATGAGGCCCGATTCCCCTGCATTGACTCCAGAGCCATTCCCCGTTCCCCATTCAACACGACCGGTGGCTCGACTTCCTTCAGGCAACTCCAGAGATGCCCCGAGAACACTGTCCCAAGTCTAGAGGAACACCAACTTCAGCACAGCAACTCGAGGAATGCTCCGTGTACCCCAAATCGTCTCGAGATGCGAGCTGATTCCCTGGCTTAGGCTCAAGACGTATGCCAACTTCCCAGAAGCACCTCAGGAGGAGGCTTCTCTCAGCAATAGGTATGTGGGAGGGACCCCGAGTTTGCTGCCTCAAGGGGAATATACAGCGAGAAGCCCTAACTTGAAAGGAGGCCGGATTTCCTTGCAGTGGCTTGAATACAGGCTCGTCTTTCATCTCACAACATGAAGGGATGTCTGAATCCCCTGTGGAGACCTTAGAGAAAGCCCTAGGTTCCTGCCTCATTTTGACGGAATACCTCACATCCCGCTGACACCTCGAGAGGCACGCGGAGTTCATTGCTTCAAAAGGTGACGATGCCTGACTCCTCTTGAATACTGATAGGAATCCCAAAATCCCTGTGGCTACTGGACAGGGTCCTTGGGTGCCCTGCCTCACCTCGAGAAGCGTCCCTTTGGCCCTGCCAAGCCTCGAAGAGATTCCTGAGGTGTCCCTCGTTACTAGACAGGAGTCCTGACGTCACTGAAGAAACTCGTGTTTTGAAGGGCCATCCCCGCCGTAAGTCGAGAACATACCCCAGGTCCCCGCCGCAACTCGAGAAAAACCATGAGACTTCCCCCTAGAGGCGAGATGAGGCCCCATTCCCCTGCAGTGCATGCAGAGCTATTCCGTGATCCCATTCAAACAAGTCAGGAGCTTCGCCTTGCTTAATGGATCTCGAGACAGTCCCCAAGAACACTGTCACCAGTCTAGACGGACCCTGAGGTCACCCCAGCAACGCAAAGCAGCTCCATGTGCCCCAAATCAACTCGAGATGAGGCCCGATTCCCCTGCATTGACTCCAGTGCCATTCCCCGTTCCCCATTCAACACGACCGGTGGCTCGACTTCCTTCAGGCAACTCCAGAGATGCCCCGAGAACACTGTCCCAAGTCTAGAGGAACACCAACTTCAGCACAGCAACTCGAGGAATGCTCCGTGTACCCCAAATCGTCTCGAGATGCGAGCTGATTCCCTGGCTTAGGCTCAAGACGTATGCCAACTTCCCAGAAGCACCTCAGGAGGAGGCTTCTCTCAGCAATAGGTATGTGGGAGGGACCCCGAGTTTGCTGCCTCAAGGGGAATATACAGCGAGAAGCCCTAACTTGAAAGGAGGCCGGATTTCCTTGCAGTGGCTTGAATACAGGCTCGTCTTTCATCTCACAACATGAAGGGATGTCTGAATCCCCTGTGGAGACCTTAGAGAAAGCCCTAGGTTCCTGCCTCATTTTGACGGAATGCCTCACATCCCGCTGACACCTCGAGAGGCACGCGGAGTTCATTGCTTCAAAAGGTGACGATGCCTGACTCCTCTTGAATACTGATAGGAATCCCAAAATCCCTGTGGCTACTGGACAGGGTCCTTGGGTGCCCTGCCTCACCTCGAGAAGCGTCCCTTTGGCCCTGCCAAGCCTCGAAGAGATTCCTGAGGTGTCCCTCGTTACTAGACAGGAGTCCTGACGTCACTGAAGAAACTCGTGTTTTGAAGGGCCATCCCCGCCGTAAGTCGAGAACATACCCCAGGTCCCCGCCGCAACTCGAGAAAAACCATGAGACTTCCCCCTAGAGGCGAGATGAGGCCCCATTCCCCTGCAGTGCATGCAGAGCTATTCCGTGATCCCATTCAAACAAGTCAGGAGCTTCGCCTTGCTTAATGGATCTCGAGACAGTCCCCAAGAACACTGTCACCAGTCTAGACGGACCCTGAGGTCACCCCAGCAACGCAAAGCAGCTCCATGTGCCCCAAATCAACTCGAGATGAGGCCCGATTCCCCTGCATTGACTGCAGAGCCATTCCCCGTTCCCCATTCAACACGACCGGTGGCTCGACTTCCTTCAGGCAACTCCAGAGATGCCCCGAGAACACTGTCCCAAGTCTAGAGGAACACCAACTTTAGCACAGCAACTCGAGGAATGCTCCGTGTACCCCAAATCGTCTCGAGATGCGAGCTGATTCCCTGGCTTAGGCTCAAGACGTATGCCAACTTCCCAGAAGCACCTCAGGAGGAGGCTTCTCTCAGCAATAGGTATGTGGGAGGGACCCCGAGTTTGCTGCCTCAAGGGGAATATACAGCGAGAAGCCCTAACTTGAAAGGAGGCCGGATTTCCTTGCAGTGGCTTGAATACAGGCTCGTCTTTCATCTCACAACATGAAGGGATGTCTGAATCCCCTGTGGAGACCTTAGAGAAAGCCCTAGGTCCCTGCCTCATTTTGACGGAATGCCTCTCATCCCGCTGACACCTCGAGAGGCACGCGGAGTTCATTGCTTCAAAAGGTGACGATGCCTGACTCCTCTTGAATACTGATAGGAATCCCAAAATCCCTGTGGCCTACTGGAAAGGGTCCTTGGGTGCCCTGCCTCACCTCGAGAAGTGTCCCGTTTGCCCTGCCAAGCCTCGAAGAGATTCCTGAGGTGTCCCTCGTTACTAGACAGGAGTCCTGACGTCACTGAAGAAACTCGTGTTTTCAAGGGCCATCCCCGCCGTAAGTCGAGAACATACCCCAGGTCCCCGCCGCAACTCGAGAAAAACCATGAGACTTCCCCCTAGAGGCGAGATGAGGCCCCATTCCCCTGCAGTGCATGCAGAGCTATTCCGTGATCCCATTCAAACAAGTCAGGAGCTTCGGCTTGCTTAATGGATCTCGAGACAGTCCCCAAGAACACTGTCACCAGTCTAGACGGACCCTGAGGTCACCCCAGCAACGCAAAGCAGCTCCATGTGCCCCAAATCAACTCGAGATGAGGCCCGATTCCCCTGCATTGACTCCAGTGCCATTCCCCGTTCCCCATTCAACACGACCGGTGGCTCGACTTCCTTCAGGCAACTCCAGAGATGCCCCGAGAACACTGTCCCAAGTCTAGAGGAACACCAACTTCAGCACAGCAACTCGAGGAATGCTCCGTGTACCCCAAATCGTCTCGAGATGCGAGCTGATTCCCTGGCTTAGGCTCAAGACGTATGCCAACTTCCCAGAAGCACCTCAGGAGGAGGCTTCTCTCAGCAATAGGTATGTGGGAGGGACCCCGAGTTTGCTGCCTCAAGGGGAATATACAGCGAGAAGCCCTAACTTGAAAGGAGGCCGGATTTCCTTGCAGTGGCTTGAATACAGGCTCGTCTTTCATCTCACAACATGAAGGGATGTCTGAATCCCCTGTGGAGACCTTAGAGAAAGCCCTAGGTTCCTGCCTCATTTTGACGGAATGCCTCACATCCCGCTGACACCTCGAGAGGCACGCGGAGTTCATTGCTTCAAAAGGTGACGATGCCTGACTCCTCTTGAATACTGATAGGAATCCCAAAATCCCTGTGGCTACTGGACAGGGTCCTTGGGTGCCCTGCCTCACCTCGAGAAGCGTCCCTTTGGCCCTGCCAAGCCTCGAAGAGATTCCTGAGGTGTCCCTCGTTACTAGACAGGAGTCCTGACGTCACTGAAGAAACTCGTGTTTTGAAGGGCCATCCCCGCCGTAAGTCGAGAACATACCCCAGGTCCCCGCCGCAACTCGAGAAAAACCATGAGACTTCCCCCTAGAGGCGAGATGAGGCCCCATTCCCCTGCAGTGCATGCAGAGCTATTCCGTGATCCCATTCAAACAAGTCAGGAGCTTCGCCTTGCTTAATGGATCTCGAGACAGTCCCCAAGAACACTGTCACCAGTCTAGACGGACCCTGAGGTCACCCCAGCAACGCAAAGCAGCTCCATGTGCCCCAAATCAACTCGAGATGAGGCCCGATTCCCCTGCATTGACTGCAGAGCCATTCCCCGTTCCCCATTCAACACGACCGGTGGCTCGACTTCCTTCAGGCAACTCCAGAGATGCCCCGAGAACACTGTCCCAAGTCTAGAGGAACACCAACTTTAGCACAGCAACTCGAGGAATGCTCCGTGTACCCCAAATCGTCTCGAGATGCGAGCTGATTCCCTGGCTTAGGCTCAAGACGTATGCCAACTTCCCAGAAGCACCTCAGGAGGAGGCTTCTCTCAGCAATAGGTATGTGGGAGGGACCCCGAGTTTGCTGCCTCAAGGGGAATATACAGCGAGAAGCCCTAACTTGAAAGGAGGCCGGATTTCCTTGCAGTGGCTTGAATACAGGCTCGTCTTTCATCTCACAACATGAAGGGATGTCTGAATCCCCTGTGGAGACCTTAGAGAAAGCCCTAGGTCCCTGCCTCATTTTGACGGAATGCCTCACATCCCGCTGACACCTCGAGAGGCACGCGGAGTTCATTGCTTCAAAAGGTGACGATGCCTGACTCCTCTTGAATACTGATAGGAATCCCAAAATCCCTGTGGCTACTGGAAAGGGTCCTTGGGTGCCCTGCCTCACCTCGAGAAGCGTCCCTTTTGCCCTGCCAAGCCTCGAAGTCATTCCTGAGGTGTCCCTCGTTACTAGACAGGAGTCCTGACGTCACTGAAGAAACTCGTGTTTTGAAGGGCCATCCCCGCCGTAAGTCGAGAACATACCCCAGGTCCCCGCCGCAACTCGAGAAAAACCATGAGACTTCCCCCTAGAGGCGAGATGAGGCCCCATTCCCCTGCAGTGCATGCAGAGCTATTCCGTGATCCCATTCAAACAAGTCAGGAGCTTCGGCTTGCTTAATGGATCTCGAGACAGTCCCCAAGAACACTGTCACCCGTCTAGACGGACCCTGAGGTCACCCCAGCAACGCAAAGCAGCTCCATGTGCCCCAAATCAACTCGAGATGAGGCCCGATTCCCCTGCATTGACTCCAGAGCCATTCCCCGTTCCCCATTCAACACGACCGGTGGCTCGACTTCCTTCAGGCAACTCCAGAGATGCCCCGAGAACACTGTCCCAAGTCTAGAGGAACACCAACTTCAGCACAGCAACTCGAGGAATGCTCCGTCTACCCCAAATCGTCTCGAGATGCGAGCTGATTCCCTGGCTTAGGCTCAAGACGTATGCCAACCTCCCAGAAGCACCTCAGGAGGAGGCTTCTCTCAGCAATAGGTATGTGGGAGGGACCCCGAGTTTGCTGCCTCAAGGGGAATATACAGCGAGAAGCCCTAACTTGAAAGGAGGCCGGATTTCCTTGCAGTGGCTTGAATACAGGCTCGTCTTTCATCTCACAACATGAAGGGATGTCTGAATCCCCTGTGGAGACCTTAGAGAAAGCCCTAGGTCCCTGCCTCATTTTGACGGAATGCCTCACATCCCGCTGACACCTCGAGAGGCACGCGGAGTTCATTGCTTCAAAAGGTGACGATGCCTGACTCCTCTTGAATACTGATAGGAATCCCAAAATCCCTGTGGCTACTGGAAAGGGTCCTTGGGTGCCCTGCCTCACCTCGAGAAGCGTCCCTTTGGCCCTGCCAAGCCTCGAAGAGATTCCTGAGGTGTCCCTCGTTACTAGACAGGAGTCCTGACGTCACTGAAGAAACTCGTGTTTTGAAGGGCCATCCCCGCCGTAAGTCGAGAACATACCCCAGGTCCCCGCCGCAACTCGAGAAAAACCATGAGACTTCCCCCTAGAGGCGAGATGAGGCCCCATTCCCCTGCAGTGCATGCAGAGCTATTCCGTGATCCCATTCAAACAAGTCAGGAGCTTCGGCTTGCTTAATGGATCTCGAGACAGTCCCCAAGAACACTGTCACCAGTCTAGACGGACCCTGAGGTCACCCCAGCAACGCAAAGCAGCTCCATGTGCCCCAAATCAACTCGAGATGAGGCCCGGTTCCCCTGCATTGACTCCAGAGCCATTCCCCGTTCCCCATTCAACACGACCGTTGGCTCGACTTCCTTCAGGCAACTCCAGAGATGCCCCGAGAACACTGTCCCAAGTCTAGAGGAACACCAACTTCAGCACAGCAACTCGAGGAATGCTCCGTGTACCCCAAATCGTCTCGAGATGCGAGCTGATTCCCTGGCTTAGGCTCAAGACATATGCCAACTTCCCAGAAGCACCTCAGGAGGAGGCTTCTCTCAGCAATAGGTATGTGGGAGGGACCCCGAGTTTGCTGCCTCAAGGGGAATATACAGCGAGAAGCCCTAACTTGAAAGGAGGCCGGATTTCCTTGCAGTGGCTTGAATACAGGCTCGTCTTTCATCTCACAACATGAAGGGATGTCTGAATCCCCTGTGGAGACCTTAGAGAAAGCCCTAGGTACCTGCCTCATTTTGACGGAATGCCTCACATCCCGCTGACACCTCGAGAGGCACGCGGAGTTCATTGCTTCAAAAGGTGACGATGCCTGACTCCTCTTGAATACTGATAGGAATCCCAAAATCCCTGTGGCTACTGGAAAGGGTCCTTGGGTGCCCTGCCTCACCTCGAGTAGCGTCCCTTTGGCCCTGCCAAGCCTCGAAGAGATTCCTGAGGTGTCCCTCGTTACTAGACAGGAGTCCTGACGTCAATGAAGAAACTCGTGTTTTGAAGGGCCATCCCCGCCGTAAGTCGAGAACATACCCCAGGTCCCCGCCGCAACTCGAGAAAAACCATGAGACTTCCCCCTAGAGGCGAGATGAGGCCCCATTCCCCTGCAGTGCATGCAGAGCTATTCCGTGATCCCATTCAAACAAGTCAGGAGCTTCGGCTTGCTTAATGGATCTCGAGACAGTCCCCAAGAACACTGTCACCAGTCTAGACGGACCCTGAGGTCACCCCAGCAACGCAAAGCAGCTCCATGTGCCCCAAATCAACTCGAGATGAGGCCCGATTCCCCTGCATTGACTCCAGAGCCATTCCCCCTTCCACATTCAACACGACCGGTGGCTCGACTTCCTTCAGGCAACTCCAGAGATGCCCTGAGAACACTGTCCCAAGTCTAGAGGAACACCAACTTCAGCACAGCAACTCGAGGAATGCTCCGTGTACCCCAAATCGTCTCGAGATGCGAGCTGATTCCCTGGCTTAGGCTCAAGACGTATGCCAACTTCCCAGAAGCACCTCAGGAGGAGGCTTCTCTCAGCAATAGGTATGTGGGAGGGACCCCGAGTTTGCTGCCTCAAGGGGAATATACAGCGAGAAGCCCTAACTTGAAAGGAGGCCGGATTTCCTTGCAGTGGCTTGAATACAGGCTCGTCTTTCATCTCACAACATGAAGGGATGTCTGAATCCCCTGTGGAGACCTTAGAGAAAGCCCTAGGTCCCTGCCTCATTTTGACGGAATGCCTCACATCCCGCTGACACCTCGAGAGGCACGCGGAGTTCATTGCTTCAAAAGGTGACGATGCCTGACTCCTCTTGAATACTGATAGGAATCCCAAAATCCCTGTGGCTACTGGAAAGGGTCCTTGGGTGCCCTGCCTCACCTCGAGAAGCGTCCCTTTGGCCCTGCCAAGCCTCGAAGAGATTCCTGAGGTGTCCCTCGTTACTAGACAGGAGTCCTGACGTCACTGAAGAAACTCGTGTTTTGAAGGGCCATCCCCGCCGTAAGTCGAGAACATACCCCAGGTCCCCGCCGCAACTCGAGAAAAACCATGAGACTTCCCCCTAGAGGCGAGATGAGGCCCCATTCCCCTGCAGTGCATGCAGAGCTATTCCGTGATCCCATTCAAACAAGTCAGGAGCTTCGACTTGCTTAATGGATCTCGAGACAGTCCCCAAGAACACTGTCACCAGTCTAGACGGACCCTTTGGTCACCCCAGCAACGCAAAGCAGCTCCATGTGCCCCAAATCAACTCGAGATGAGGCCCGGTTCCCCTGCATTGACTCCAGAGCCATTCCCCGTTCCCCATTCAACACGACCGGTGGCTCGACTTCCTTCAGGCAACTCCAGAGATGCCCCGAGAACACTGTCCCAAGTCTAGAGGAACACCAACTTCAGCACAGCAACTCGAGGAATGCTCCGTGTACCCCAAATCGTCTCGAGATGCGAGCTGATTCCCTGGCTTAGGCTCAAGACGTATGCCAACTTCCCAGAAGCACCTCAGGAGGAGGCTTCTCTCAGCAATAGGTATGTGGGAGGGACCCCGAGTTTGCTGCCTCAAGGGGAATATACAGCGAGAAGCCCTAACTTGAAAGGAGGCCGGATTTCCTTGCAGTGGCTTGAATACAGGCTCGTCTTTCATCTCACAACATGAAGGGATGTCTGAATCCCCTGTGGAGACCTTAGAGAAAGCCCTAGGTCCCTGCCTCATTTTGACGGAATGCCTCACATCGCGCTGACACCTCGAGAGGCACGCGGAGTTCATTGCTTCAAAAGGTGACGATGCCTGACTCCTCTTGAATACTGATAGGAATCCCAAAATCCCTGTGGCTACTGGAAAGGGTCCTTGGGTGCCCTGCCTCACCTCGAGAAGCGTCCCTTTGGCCCTGCCAAGCCTCGAAGAGATTCCTGAGGTGTCCCTCGTTACTAGACAGGAGTCCTGACGTCACTGAAGAAACTCGTGTTTTGAAGGGCCATCCCCGCCGTAAGTCGAGAACATACCCCAGGTCCCCGCCGCAACTCGAGAAAAACCATGAGACTTCCCCCTAGAGGCGAGATGAGGCCCCATTCCCCTGCAGTGCATGCAGAGCTATTCCGTGATCCCATTCAAACAAGTCAGGAGCTTCGGCTTGCTTAATGGATCTCGAGACAGTCCCCAAGAACACTGTCACCAGTCTAGACGGACCCTGAGGTCACCCCAGCAACGCAAAGCAGCTCCATGTGCCCCAAATCAACTCGAGATGAGGCCCGATTCCCCTGCATTGACTCCAGTGCCATTCCCCGTTCCCCATTCAACACGACCGGTGGCTCGACTTCCTTCAGGCAACTCCAGAGATGCCCCGAGAACACTGTCCCAAGTCTAGAGGAACACCAACTTCAGCACAGCAACTCGAGGAATGCTCCGTGTACCCCAAATCGTCTCGAGATGCGAGCTGATTCCCTGGCTTAGGCTCAAGACGTATGCCAACTTCCCAGAAGCACCTCAGGAGGAGGCTTCTCTCAGCAATAGGTATGTGGGAGGGACCCCGAGTTTGCTGCCTCAAGGGGAATATACAGCGAGAAGCCCTAACTTGAAAGGAGGCCGGATTTCCTTGCAGTGGCTTGAATACAGGCTCGTCTTTCATCTCACAACATGAAGGGATGTCTGAATCCCCTGTGGAGACCTTAGAGAAAGCCCTAGGTTCCTGCCTCATTTTGACGGAATGCCTCACATCCCGCTGACACCTCGAGAGGCACGCGGAGTTCATTGCTTCAAAAGGTGACGATGCCTGACTCCTCTTGAATACTGATAGGAATCCCAAAATCCCTGTGGCTACTGGACAGGGTCCTTGGGTGCCCTGCCTCACCTCGAGAAGCGTCCCTTTGGCCCTGCCAAGCCTCGAAGAGATTCCTGAGGTGTCCCTCGTTACTAGACAGGAGTCCTGACGTCACTGAAGAAACTCGTGTTTTGAAGGGCCATCCCCGCCGTAAGTCGAGAACATACCCCAGGTCCCCGCCGCAACTCGAGAAAAACCATGAGACTTCCCCCTAGAGGCGAGATGAGGCCCCATTCCCCTGCAGTGCATGCAGAGCTATTCCGTGATAACATTCAAACAAGTCAGGAGCTTCGCCTTGCTTAATGGATCTCGAGACAGTCCCCAAGAACACTGTCACCAGTCTAGACGGACCCTGAGGTCACCCCAGCAACGCAAAGCAGCTCCATGTGCCCCAAATCAACTCGAGATGAGGCCCGATTCCCCTGCATTGACTGCAGAGCCATTCCCCGTTCCCCATTCAACACGACCGGTGGCTCGACTTCCTTCAGGCAACTCCAGAGATGCCCCGAGAACACTTTCCCAAGTCTAGAGGAACACCAACTTTAGCACAGCAACTCGAGGAATGCTCCGTGTACCCCAAATCGTCTCGAGATGCGAGCTGATTCCCTGGCTTAGGCTCAAGACGTATGCCAACTTCCCAGAAGCACCTCAGGAGGAGGCTTCTCTCAGCAATAGGTATGTGGGAGGGACCCCGAGTTTGCTGCCTCAAGGGGAATATACAGCGAGAAGCCCTAACTTGAAAGGAGGCCGGATTTCCTTGCAGTGGCTTGAATACAGGCTCGTCTTTCATCTCACAACATGAAGGGATGTCTGAATCCCCTGTGGAGACCTTAGAGAAAGCCCTAGGTCCCTGCCTCATTTTGACGGAATGCCTCACATCCCGCTGACACCTCGAGAGGCACGCGGAGTTCATTGCTTCAAAAGGTGACGATGCCTGACTCCTCTTGAATACTGATAGGAATCCCAAAATCCCTGTGGCTACTGGAAAGGGTCCTTGGGTGCCCTGCCTCACCTCGAGAAGCGTCCCTTTTGCCCTGCCAAGCCTCGAAGTCATTCCTGAGGTGTCCCTCGTTACTAGACAGGAGTCCTGACGTCACTGAAGAAACTCGTGTTTTGAAGGGCCATCCCCGCCGTAAGTCGAGAACATACCCCAGGTCCCCGCCGCAACTCGAGAAAAACCATGAGACTTCCCCCTAGAGGCGAGATGAGGCCCCATTCCCCTGCAGTGCATGCAGAGCTATTCCGTGATCCCATTCAAACAAGTCAGGAGCTTCGGCTTGCTTAATGGATCTCGAGACAGTCCCCAAGAACACTGTCACCCGTCTAGACGGACCCTGAGGTCACCCCAGCAACGCAAAGCAGCTCCATGTGCCCCAAATCAACTCGAGATGAGGCCCGATTCCCCTGCATTGACTCCAGAGCCATTCCCCGTTCCCCATTCAACACGACCGGTGGCTCGACTTCCTTCAGGCAACTCCAGAGATGCCCCGAGAACACTGTCCCAAGTCTAGAGGAACACCAACTTCAGCACAGCAACTCGAGGAATGCTCCGTCTACCCCAAATCGTCTCGAGATGCGAGCTGATTCCCTGGCTTAGGCTCAAGACGTATGCCAACCTCCCAGAAGCACCTCAGGAGGAGGCTTCTCTCAGCAATAGGTATGTGGGAGGGACCCCGAGTTTGCTGCCTCAAGGGGAATATACAGCGAGAAGCCCTAACTTGAAAGGAGGCCGGATTTCCTTGCAGTGGCTTGAATACAGGCTCGTCTTTCATCTCACAACATGAAGGGATGTCTGAATCCCCTGTGGAGACCTTAGAGAAAGCCCTAGGTCCCTGCCTCATTTTGACGGAATGCCTCACATCCCGCTGACACCTCGAGAGGCACGCGGAGTTCATTGCTTCAAAAGGTGACGATGCCTGACTCCTCTTGAATACTGATAGGAATCCCAAAATCGCTGTGGCTACTGGAAAGGGTCCTTGGGTGCCCTGCCTCACCTCGAGAAGCGTCCCTTTGGCCCTGCCAAGCCTCGAAGAGATTCCTGAGGTGTCCCTCGTTACTAGACAGGAGTCCTGACGTCACTGAAGAAACTCGTGTTTTGAAGGGCCATCCCCGCCGTAAGTCGAGAACATACCCCAGGTCCCCGCCGCAACTCGAGAAAAACCATGAGACTTCCCCCTAGAGGCGAGATGAGGCCCCATTCCCCTGCAGTGCATGCAGAGCTATTCCGTGATCCCATTCAAACAAGTCAGGAGCTTCGACTTGCTTAATGGATCTCGAGACAGTCCCCAAGAACACTGTCACCAGTCTAGACGGACCCTGAGGTCACCCCAGCAACGCAAAGCAGCTCCATGTGCCCCAAATCAACTCAAGATGAGGCCCGATTCCCCTGCATTGACTCCAGAGCCATTCCCCGTTCCCCATTCAACACGACCGGTGGCTCGACTTCCTTCAGGCAACTCCAGAGATGCCCCGAGAACACTGTCCCAAGTCTAGAGGAACACCATCTTCAGCACAGCAACTCGAGGAATGCTCCGTGTACCCCAAATCGTCTCGAGATGCGAGCTGATTCCCTGGCTTAGGCTCAAGACGTATGCCAACTTCCCAGAAGCACCTCAGGAGGAGGCTTCTCTCAGCAATAGGTATGTGGGAGGGACCCCGAGTTTGCTGCCTCAAGGGGAATATACAGCGAGAAGCCCTAACTTGAAAGGAGGCCGGATTTCCTTGCAGTGGCTTGAATACAGGCTCGTCTTTCATCTCACAACAGGAAGGGATGTCTGAATCCCCTGTGGAGACCTTAGAGAAAGCCCTAGGTCCCTGCCTCATTTTGACGGAATGCCTCTCATCCCGCTGACACCTCGAGAGGCACGCGGAGTTCATTGCTTCAAAAGGTGACGATGCCTGACTCCTCTTGAATACTGATAGGAATCCCAAAATCCCTGTGGCCTACTGGAAAGGGTCCTTGGGTGCCCTGCCTCACCTCGAGAAGTGTCCCGTTTGCCCTGCCAAGCCTCGAAGAGATTCCTGAGGTGTCCCTCGTTACTAGACAGGAGTCCTGACGTCACTGAAGAAACTCGTGTTTTCAAGGGCCATCCCCGCCGTAAGTCGAGAACATACCCCAGGTCCCCGCCGCAACTCGAGAAAAACCATGAGACTTCCCCCTAGAGGCGAGATGAGGCCCCATTCCCCTGCAGTGCATGCAGAGCTATTCCGTGATCCCATTCAAACAAGTCAGGAGCTTCGGCTTGCTTAATGGATCTCGAGACAGTCCCCAAGAACACTGTCACCAGTCTAGACGGACCCTGAGGTCACCCCAGCAACGCAAAGCAGCTCCATGTGCCCCAAATCAACTCGAGATGAGGCCCGATTCCCCTGCATTGACTCCAGTGCCATTCCCCGTTCCCCATTCAACACGACCGGTGGCTCGACTTCCTTCAGGCAACTCCAGAGATGCCCCGAGAACACTGTCCCAAGTCTAGAGGAACACCAACTTCAGCACAGCAACTCGAGGAATGCTCCGTGTACCCCAAATCGTCTCGAGATGCGAGCTGATTCCCTGGCTTAGGCTCAAGACGTATGCCAACTTCCCAGAAGCACCTCAGGAGGAGGCTTCTCTCAGCAATAGGTATGTGGGAGGGACCCCGAGTTTGCTGCCTCAAGGGGAATATACAGCGAGAAGCCCTAACTTGAAAGGAGGCCGGATTTCCTTGCAGTGGCTTGAATACAGGCTCGTCTTTCATCTCACAACATGAAGGGATGTCTGAATCCCCTGTGGAGACCTTAGAGAAAGCCCTAGGTTCCTGCCTCATTTTGACGGAATGCCTCACATCCCGCTGACACCTCGAGAGGCACGCGGAGTTCATTGCTTCAAAAGGTGACGATGCCTGACTCCTCTTGAATACAGATAGGAATCCCAAAATCCCTGTGGCTACTGGACAGGGTCCTTGGGTGCCCTGCCTCACCTCGAGAAGCGTCCCTTTGGCCCTGCCAAGCCTCGAAGAGATTCCTGAGGTGTCCCTCGTTACTAGACAGGAGTCCTGACGTCACTGAAGAAACTCGTGTTTTGAAGGGCCATCCCCGCCGTAAGTCGAGAACATACCCCAGGTCCCCGCCGCAACTCGAGAAAAACCATGAGACTTCCCCCTAGAGGCGAGATGAGGCCCCATTCCCCTGCAGTGCATGCAGAGCTATTCCGTGATCCCATTCAAACAAGTCAGGAGCTTCGCCTTGCTTAATGGATCTCGAGACAGTCCCCAAGAACACTGTCACCAGTCTAGACGGACCCTGAGGTCACCCCAGCAACGCAAAGCAGCTCCATGTGCCCCAAATCAACTCGAGATGAGGCCCGATTCCCCTGCATTGACTGCAGAGCCATTCCCCGTTCCCCATTCAACACGACCGGTGGCTCGACTTCCTTCAGGCAACTCCAGAGATGCCCCGAGAACACTGTCCCAAGTCTAGAGGAACACCAACTTTAGCACAGCAACTCGAGGAATGCTCCGTGTACCCCAAATCGTCTCGAGATGCGAGCTGATTCCCTGGCTTAGGCTCAAGACGTATGCCAACTTCCCAGAAGCACCTCAGGAGGAGGCTTCTCTCAGCAATAGGTATGTGGGAGGGACCCCGAGTTTGCTGCCTCAAGGGGAATATACAGCGAGAAGCCCTAACTTGAAAGGAGGCCGGATTTCCTTGCAGTGGCTTGAATACAGGCTCGTCTTTCATCTCACAACATGAAGGGATGTCTGAATACCCTGTGGAGACCTTAGAGAAAGCCCTAGGTCCCTGCCTCATTTTGACGGAATGCCTCTCATCCCGCTGACACCTCGAGAGGCACGCGGAGTTCATTGCTTCAAAAGGTGACGATGCCTGACTCCTCTTGAATACTGATAGGAATCCCAAAATCCCTGTGGCCTACTGGAAAGGGTCCTTGGGTGCCCTGCCTCACCTCGAGAAGTGTCCCGTTTGCCCTGCCAAGCCTCGAAGAGATTCCTGAGGTGTCCCTCGTTACTAGACAGGAGTCCTGACGTCACTGAAGAAACTCGTGTTTTCAAGGGCCATCCCCGCCGTAAGTCGAGAACATACCCCAGGTCCCCGCCGCAACTCGAGAAAAACCATGAGACTTCCCCCTAGAGGCGAGATGAGGCCCCATTCCCCTGCAGTGCATGCAGAGCTATTCCGTGATCCCATTCAAACAAGTCAGGAGCTTCGGCTTGCTTAATGGATCTCGAGACAGTCCCCAAGAACACTGTCACCAGTCTAGACGGACCCTGAGGTCACCCCAGCAACGCAAAGCAGCTCCATGTGCCCCAAATCAACTCGAGATGAGGCCCGATTCCCCTGCATTGACTCCAGTGCCATTCCCCGTTCCCCATTCAACACGACCGGTGGCTCGACTTCCTTCAGGCAACTCCAGAGATGCCCCGAGAACACTGTCCCAAGTCTAGAGGAACACCAACTTCAGCACAGCAACTCGAGGAATGCTCCGTGTACCCCAAATCGTCTCGAGATGCGAGCTGATTCCCTGGCTTAGGCTCAAGACGTATGCCAACTTCCCAGAAGCACCTCAGGAGGAGGCTTCTCTCAGCAATAGGTATGTGGGAGGGACCCCGAGTTTGCTGCCTCAAGGGGAATATACAGCGAGAAGCCCTAACTTGAAAGGAGGCCGGATTTCCTTGCAGTGGCTTGAATACAGGCTCGTCTTTCATCTCACAACATGAAGGGATGTCTGAATCCCCTGTGGAGACCTTAGAGAAAGCCCTAGGTTCCTGCCTCATTTTGACGGAATGCCTCACATCCCGCTGACACCTCGAGAGGCACGCGGAGTTCATTGCTTCAAAAGGTGACGATGCCTGACTCCTCTTGAATACTGATAGGAATCCCAAAATCCCTGTGGCTACTGGACAGGGTCCTTGGGTGCCCTGCCTCACCTCGAGAAGCGTCCCTTTGGCCCTGCCAAGCCTCGAAGAGATTCCTGAGGTGTCCCTCGTTACTAGACAGGAGTCCTGACGTCACTGAAGAAACTCGTGTTTTGAAGGGCCATCCCCGCCGTAAGTCGAGAACATACCCCAGGTCCCCGCCGCAACTCGAGAAAAACCATGAGACTTCCCCCTAGAGGCGAGATGAGGCCCCATTCCCCTGCAGTGCATGCAGAGCTATTCCGTGATCCCATTCAAACAAGTCAGGAGCTTCGCCTTGCTTAATGGATCTCGAGACAGTCCCCAAGAACACTGTCACCAGTCTAGACGGACCCTGAGGTCACCCCAGCAACGCAAAGCAGCTCCATGTGCCCCAAATCAACTCGAGATGAGGCCCGATTCCCCTGCATTGACTCCAGTGCCATTCCCCGTTCCCCATTCAACACGACCGGTGGCTCGACTTCCTTCAGGCAACTCCAGAGATGCCCCGAGAACACTGTCCCAAGTCTAGAGGAACACCAACTTCAGCACAGCAACTCGAGGAATGCTCCGTGTACCCCAAATCGTCTCGAGATGCGAGCTGATTCCCTGGCTTAGGCTCAAGACGTATGCCAACTTCCCAGAAGCACCTCAGGAGGAGGCTTCTCTCAGCAATAGGTATGTGGGAGGGACCCCGAGTTTGCTGCCTCAAGGGGAATATACAGCGAGAAGCCCTAACTTGAAAGGAGGCCGGATTTCCTTGCAGTGGCTTGAATACAGGCTCGTCTTTCATCTCACAACATGAAGGGATGTCTGAATCCCCTGTGGAGACCTTAGAGAAAGCCCTAGGTTCCTGCCTCATTTTGACGGAATGCCTCACATCCCGCTGACACCTCGAGAGGCACGCGGAGTTCATTGCTTCAAAAGGTGACGATGCCTGACTCCTCTTGAATACTGATAGGAATCCCAAAATCCCTGTGGCTACTGGACAGGGTCCTTGGGTGCCCTGCCTCACCTCGAGAAGCGTCCCTTTGGCCCTGCCAAGCCTCGAAGAGATTCCTGAGGTGTCCCTCGTTACTAGACAGGAGTCCTGACGTCACTGAAGAAACTCGTGTTTTGAAGGGCCATCCCCGCCGTAAGTCGAGAACATACCCCAGGTCCCCGCCGCAACTCGAGAAAAACCATGAGACTTCCCCCTAGAGGCGAGATGAGGCCCCATTCCCCTGCAGTGCATGCAGAGCTATTCCGTGATCCCATTCAAACAAGTCAGGAGCTTCGCCTTGCTTAATGGATCTCGAGACAGTCCCCAAGAACACTGTCACCAGTCTAGACGGACCCTGAGGTCACCCCAGCAACGCAAAGCAGCTCCATGTGCCCCAAATCAACTCGAGATGAGGCCCGATTCCCCTGCATTGACTGCAGAGCCATTCCCCGTTCCCCATTCAACACGACCGGTGGCTCGACTTCCTTCAGGCAACTCCAGAGATGCCCCGAGAACACTGTCCCAAGTCTAGAGGAACACCAACTTTAGCACAGCAACTCGAGGAATGCTCCGTGTACCCCAAATCGTCTCGAGATGCGAGCTGATTCCCTGGCTTAGGCTCAAGACGTATGCCAACTTCCCAGAAGCACCTCAGGAGGAGGCTTCTCTCAGCAATAGGTATGTGGGAGGGACCCCGAGTTTGCTGCCTCAAGGGGAATATACAGCGAGAAGCCCTAACTTGAAAGGAGGCCGGATTTCCTTGCAGTGGCTTGAATACAGGCTCGTCTTTCATCTCACAACATGAAGGGATGTCTGAATCCCCTGTGGAGACCTTAGAGAAAGCCCTAGGTCCCTGCCTCATTTTGACGGAATGCCTCTCATCCCGCTGACACCTCGAGAGGCACGCGGAGTTCATTGCTTCAAAAGGTGACGATGCCTGACTCCTCTTGAATACTGATAGGAATCCCAAAATCCCTGTGGCCTACTGGAAAGGGTCCTTGGGTGCCCTGCCTCACCTCGAGAAGTGTCCCGTTTGCCCTGCCAAGCCTCGAAGAGATTCCTGAGGTGTCCCTCGTTACTAGACAGGAGTCCTGACGTCACTGAAGAAACTCGTGTTTTCAAGGGCCATCCCCGCCGTAAGTCGAGAACATACCCCAGGTCCCCGCCGCAACTCGAGAAAAACCATGAGACTTCCCCCTAGAGGCGAGATGAGGCCCCATTCCCCTGCAGTGCATGCAGAGCTATTCCGTGATCCCATTCAAACAAGTCAGGAGCTTCGGCTTGCTTAATGGATCTCGAGACAGTCCCCAAGAACACTGTCACCAGTCTAGACGGACCCTGAGGTCACCCCAGCAACGCAAAGCAGCTCCATGTGCCCCAAATCAACTCGAGATGAGGCCCGATTCCCCTGCATTGACTCCAGTGCCATTCCCCGTTCCCCATTCAACACGACCGGTGGCTCGACTTCCTTCAGGCAACTCCAGAGATGCCCCGAGAACACTGTCCCAAGTCTAGAGGAACACCAACTTCAGCACAGCAACTCGAGGAATGCTCCGTGTACCCCAAATCGTCTCGAGATGCGAGCTGATTCCCTGGCTTAGGCTCAAGACGTATGCCAACTTCCCAGAAGCACCTCAGGAGGAGGCTTCTCTCAGCAATAGGTATGTGGGAGGGACCCCGAGTTTGCTGCCTCAAGGGGAATATACAGCGAGAAGCCCTAACTTGAAAGGAGGCCGGATTTCCTTGCAGTGGCTTGAATACAGGCTCGTCTTTCATCTCACAACATGAAGGGATGTCTGAATCCCCTGTGGAGACCTTAGAGAAAGCCCTAGGTTCCTGCCTCATTTTGACGGAATGCCTCACATCCCGCTGACACCTCGAGAGGCACGCGGAGTTCATTGCTTCAAAAGGTGACGATGCCTGACTCCTCTTGAATACTGATAGGAATCCCAAAATCACTGTGGCTACTGGACAGGGTCCTTGGGTGCCCTGCCTCACCTCGAGAAGCGTCCCTTTGGCCCTGCCAAGCCTCGAAGAGATTCCTGAGGTGTCCCTCGTTACTAGACAGGAGTCCTGACGTCACTGAAGAAACTCGTGTTTTCAAGGGCCATCCCCGCCGTAAGTCGAGAACATACCCCAGGTCCCCGCCGCAACTCGAGAAAAACCATGAGACTTCCCCCTAGAGGCGAGATGAGGCCCCATTCCCCTGCAGTGCATGCAGAGCTATTCCGTGATCCCATTCAAACAAGTCAGGAGCTTCGCCTTGCTTAATGGATCTCGAGACAGTCCCCAAGAACACTGTCACCAGTCTAGACGGACCCTGAGGTCACCCCAGCAACGCAAAGCAGCTCCATGTGCCCCAAATCAACTCGAGATGAGGCCCGATTCCCCTGCATTGACTGCAGAGCCATTCCCCGTTCCCCATTCAACACGACCGGTGGCTCGACTTCCTTCAGGCAACTCCAGAGATGCCCCGAGAACACTGTCCCAAGTCTAGAGGAACACCAACTTTAGCACAGCAACTCGAGGAATGCTCCGTGTACCCCAAATCGTCTCGAGATGCGAGCTGATTCCCTGGCTTAGGCTCAAGACGTATGCCAACTTCCCAGAAGCACCTCAGGAGGAGGCTTCTCTCAGCAATAGGTATGTGGGAGGGACCCCGAGTTTGCTGCCTCAAGGGGAATATACAGCGAGAAGCCCTAACTTGAAAGGAGGCCGGATTTCCTTGCAGTGGCTTGAATACAGGCTCGTCTTTCATCTCACAACATGAAGGGATGTCTGAATCCCCTGTGGAGACCTTAGAGAAAGCCCTAGGTCCCTGCGTCATTTTGACGGAATGCCTCACATCCCGCTGACACCTCGAGAGGCACGCGGAGTTCATTGCTTCAAAAGGTGACGATGCCTGACTCCTCTTGAATACTGATAGGAATCCCAAAATCCCTGTGGCTACTGGAAAGGGTCCTTGGGTGCCCTGCCTCACCTCGAGAAGCGTCCCTTTTGCCCTGCCAAGCCTCGAAGTCATTCCTGAGGTGTCCCTCGTTACTAGACAGGAGTCCTGACGTCACTGAAGAAACTCGTGTTTTGAAGGGCCATCCCCGCCGTAAGTCGAGAACATACCCCAGGTCCCCGCCGCAACTCGAGAAAAACCATGAGACTTCCCCCTAGAGGCGAGATGAGGCCCCATTCCCCTGCAGTGCATGCAGAGCTATTCCGTGATCCCATTCAAACAAGTCAGGAGCTTCGGCTTGCTTAATGGATCTCGAGACAGTCCCCAAGAACACTGTCACCCGTCTAGACGGACCCTGAGGTCACCCCAGCAACGCAAAGCAGCTCCATGTGCCCCAAATCAACTCGAGATGAGGCCCGATTCCCCTGCATTGACTCCAGAGCCATTCCCCGTTCCCCATTCAACACGACCGGTGGCTCGACTTCCTTCAGGCAACTCCAGAGATGCCCCGAGAACACTGTCCCAAGTCTAGAGGAACACCAACTTCAGCACAGCAACTCGAGGAATGCTCCGTCTACCCCAAATCGTCTCGAGATGCGAGCTGATTCCCTGGCTTAGGCTCAAGACGTATGCCAACCTCCCAGAAGCACCTCAGGAGGAGGCTTCTCTCAGCAATAGGTATGTGGGAGGGACCCCGAGTTTGCTGCCTCAAGGGGAATATACAGCGAGAAGCCCTAACTTGAAAGGAGGCCGGATTTCCTTGCAGTGGCTTGAATACAGGCTCGTCTTTCATCTCACAACATGAAGGGATGTCTGAATCCCCTGTGGAGACCTTAGAGAAAGCCCTAGGTCCCTGCCTCATTTTGACGGAATGCCTCACATCCCGCTGACACCTCGAGAGGCACGCGGAGTTCATTGCTTCAAAAGGTGACGATGCCTGACTCCTCTTGAATACTGATAGGAATCCCAAAATCCCTGTGGCTACTGGAAAGGGTCCTTGGGTGCCCTGCCTCACCTCGAGAAGCGTCCCTTTGGCCCTGCCAAGCCTCGAAGAGATTCCTGAGGTGTCCCTCGTTACTAGACAGGAGTCCTGACGTCACTGAAGAAACTCGTGTTTTGAAGGGCCATCCCCGCCGTAAGTCGAGAACATACCCCAGGTCCCCGCCGCAACTCGAGAAAAACCATGAGACTTCCCCCTAGAGGCGAGATGAGGCCCCATTCCCCTGCAGTGCATGCAGAGCTATTCCGTGATCCCATTCAAACAAGTCAGGAGCTTCGGCTTGCTTAATGGATCTCGAGACAGTCCCCAAGAACACTGTCACCAGTCTAGACGGACCCTGAGGTCACCCCAGCAACGCAAAGCAGCTCCATGTGCCCCAAATCAACTCGAGATGAGGCCCGGTTCCCCTGCATTGACTCCAGAGCCATTCCCCGTTCCCCATTCAACACGACCGTTGGCTCGACTTCCTTCAGGCAACTCCAGAGATGCCCCGAGAACACTGTCCCAAGTCTAGAGGAACACCAACTTCAGCACAGCAACTCGAGGAATGCTCCGTGTACCCCAAATCGTCTCGAGATGCGAGCTGATTCCCTGGCTTAGGCTCAAGACATATGCCAACTTCCCAGAAGCACCTCAGGAGGAGGCTTCTCTCAGCAATAGGTATGTGGGAGGGACCCCGAGTTTGCTGCCTCAAGGGGAATATACAGCGAGAAGCCCTAACTTGAAAGGAGGCCGGATTTCCTTGCAGTGGCTTGAATACAGGCTCGTCTTTCATCTCACAACATGAAGGGATGTCTGAATCCCCTGTGGAGACCTTAGAGAAAGCCCTAGGTACCTGCCTCATTTTGACGGAATGCCTCACATCCCGCTGACACCTCGAGAGGCACGCGGAGTTCATTGCTTCAAAAGGTGACGATGCCTGACTCCTCTTGAATACTGATAGGAATCCCAAAATCCCTGTGGCTACTGGAAAGGGTCCTTGGGTGCCCTGCCTCACCTCGAGTAGCGTCCCTTTGGCCCTGCCAAGCCTCGAAGAGATTCCTGAGGTGTCCCTCGTTACTAGACAGGAGTCCTGACGTCAATGAAGAAACTCGTGTTTTGAAGGGCCATCCCCGCCGTAAGTCGAGAACATACCCCAGGTCCCCGCCGCAACTCGAGAAAAACCATGAGACTTCCCCCTAGAGGCGAGATGAGGCCCCATTCCCCTGCAGTGCATGCAGAGCTATTCCGTGATCCCATTCAAACAAGTCAGGAGCTTCGGCTTGCTTAATGGATCTCGAGACAGTCCCCAAGAACACTGTCACCAGTCTAGACGGACCCTGAGGTCACCCCAGCAACGCAAAGCAGCTCCATGTGCCCCAAATCAACTCGAGATGAGGCCCGATTCCCCTGCATTGACTCCAGAGCCATTCCCCCTTCCACATTCAACACGACCGGTGGCTCGACTTCCTTCAGGCAACTCCAGAGATGCCCTGAGAACACTGTCCCAAGTCTAGAGGAACACCAACTTCAGCACAGCAACTCGAGGAATGCTCCGTGTACCCCAAATCGTCTCGAGATGCGAGCTGATTCCCTGGCTTAGGCTCAAGACGTATGCCAACTTCCCAGAAGCACCTCAGGAGGAGGCTTCTCTCAGCAATAGGTATGTGGGAGGGACCCCGAGTTTGCTGCCTCAAGGGGAATATACAGCGAGAAGCCCTAACTTGAAAGGAGGCCGGATTTCCTTGCAGTGGCTTGAATACAGGCTCGTCTTTCATCTCACAACATGAAGGGATGTCTGAATCCCCTGTGGAGACCTTAGAGAAAGCCCTAGGTCCCTGCCTCATTTTGACGGAATGCCTCACATCCCGCTGACACCTCGAGAGGCACGCGGAGTTCATTGCTTCAAAAGGTGACGATGCCTGACTCCTCTTGAATACTGATAGGAATCCCAAAATCCCTGTGGCTACTGGAAAGGGTCCTTGGGTGCCCTGCCTCACCTCGAGAAGCGTCCCTTTGGCCCTGCCAAGCCTCGAAGAGATTCCTGAGGTGTCCCTCGTTACTAGACAGGAGTCCTGACGTCACTGAAGAAACTCGTGTTTTGAAGGGCCATCCCCGCCGTAAGTCGAGAACATACCCCAGGTCCCCGCCGCAACTCGAGAAAAACCATGAGACTTCCCCCTAGAGGCGAGATGAGGCCCCATTCCCCTGCAGTGCATGCAGAGCTATTCCGTGATCCCATTCAAACAAGTCAGGAGCTTCGACTTGCTTAATGGATCTCGAGACAGTCCCCAAGAACACTGTCACCAGTCTAGACGGACCCTGAGGTCACCCCAGCAACGCAAAGCAGCTCCATGTGCCCCAAATCAACTCGAGATGAGGCCCGGTTCCCCTGCATTGACTCCAGAGCCATTCCCCGTTCCCCATTCAACACGACCGGTGGCTCGACTTCCTTCAGGCAACTCCAGAGATGCCCCGAGAACACTGTCCCAAGTCTAGAGGAACACCAACTTCAGCACAGCAACTCGAGGAATGCTCCGTGTACCCCAAATCGTCTCGAGATGCGAGCTGATTCCCTGGCTTAGGCTCAAGACGTATGCCAACTTCCCAGAAGCACCTCAGGAGGAGGCTTCTCTCAGCAATAGGTATGTGGGAGGGACCCCGAGTTTGCTGCCTCAAGGGGAATATACAGCGAGAAGCCCTAACTTGAAAGGAGGCCGGATTTCCTTGCAGTGGCTTGAATACAGGCTCGTCTTTCATCTCACAACATGAAGGGATGTCTGAATCCCCTGTGGAGACCTTAGAGAAAGCCCTAGGTCCCTGCCTCATTTTGACGGAATGCCTCACATCGCGCTGACACCTCGAGAGGCACGCGGAGTTCATTGCTTCAAAAGGTGACGATGCCTGACTCCTCTTGAATACTGATAGGAATCCCAAAATCCCTGTGGCTACTGGAAAGGGTCCTTGGGTGCCCTGCCTCACCTCGAGAAGCGTCCCTTTGGCCCTGCCAAGCCTCGAAGAGATTCCTGAGGTGTCCCTCGTTACTAGACAGGAGTCCTGACGTCACTGAAGAAACTCGTGTTTTGAAGGGCCATCCCCGCCGTAAGTCGAGAACATACCCCAGGTCCCCGCCGCAACTCGAGAAAAACCATGAGACTTCCCCCTAGAGGCGAGATGAGGCCCCATTCCCCTGCAGTGCATGCAGAGCTATTCCGTGATCCCATTCAAACAAGTCAGGAGCTTCAACTTGCTTAATGGATCTCGAGACAGTCCCCAAGAACACTGTCACCAGTCTAGACGGACCCTGAGGTCACCCCAGCAACGCAAAGCAGCTCCATGTGCCCCAAATCAACTCGAGATGAGGCCCGATTCCCGTGCATTGACTTCAGAGCCGTTCCCCGTTCCCCATTCAACAGGACCGGTGGCTCGACTTCCTTCAGGCAACTCCAGAGATGCCCCGAGAACACTGTCCCAAGTCTAGAGGAACACCAACTTCAGCACAGCAACTCGAGGAATGCTCCGTGTACCCCAAATCGTCTCGAGATGCGAGCTGATTCCCTGGCTTAGGCTCAAGACGTATGCCAACTTCCCAGAAGCACCTCAGGAGGAGGCTTCTCTCAGCAATAGGTATGTGGGAGGGACCCCGAGTTTGCTGCCTCAAGGGGAATATACAGCGAGAAGCCCTAACTTGAAAGGAGGCCGGATTTCCTTGCAGTGGCTTGAATACAGGCTCGTCTTTCATCTCACAACATGAAGGGATGTCTGAATCCCCTGTGGAGACCTTAGAGAAAGCCCTAGGTTCCTGCCTCATTTTGACGGAATGCCTCACATCCCGCTGACACCTCGAGAGGCACGCGGAGTTCATTGCTTCAAAAGGTGACGATGCCTGACTCCTCTTGAATACTGATAGGAATCCCAAAATCCCTGTGGCTACTGGACAGGGTCCTTGGGTGCCCTGCCTCACCTCGAGAAGCGTCCCTTTGGCCCTGCCAAGCCTCGAAGAGATTCCTGAGGTGTCCCTCGTTACTAGACAGGAGTCCTGACGTCACTGAAGAAACTCGTGTTTTGAAGGGCCATCCCCGCCGTAAGTCGAGAACATACCCCAGGTCCCCGCCGCAACTCGAGAAAAACCATGAGACTTCCCCCTAGAGGCGAGATGAGGCCCCATTCCCCTGCAGTGCATGCAGAGCTATTCCGTGATCCCATTCAAACAAGTCAGGAGCTTCGCCTTGCTTAATGGATCTCGAGACAGTCCCCAAGAACACTGTCACCAGTCTAGACGGACCCTGAGGTCACCCCAGCAACGCAAAGCAGCTCCATGTGCCCCAAATCAACTCGAGATGAGGCCCGATTCCCCTGCATTGACTGCAGAGCCATTCCCCGTTCCCCATTCAACACGACCGGTGGCTCGACTTCCTTCAGGCAACTCCAGAGATGCCCCGAGAACACTGTCCCAAGTCTAGAGGAACACCAACTTTAGCACAGCAACTCGAGGAATGCTCCGTGTACCCCAAATCGTCTCGAGATGCGAGCTGATTCCCTGGCTTAGGCTCAAGACGTATGCCAACTTCCCAGAAGCACCTCAGGAGGAGGCTTCTCTCAGCAATAGGTATGTGGGAGGGACCCCGAGTTTGCTGCCTCAAGGGGAATATACAGCGAGAAGCCCTAACTTGAAAGGAGGCCGGATTTCCTTGCAGTGGCTTGAATACAGGCTCGTCTTTCATCTCACAACATGAAGGGATGTCTGAATCCCCTGTGGAGACCTTAGAGAAAGCCCTAGGTCCCTGCCTCATTTTGACGGAATGCCTCTCATCCCGCTGACACCTCGAGAGGCACGCGGAGTTCATTGCTTCAAAAGGTGACGATGCCTGACTCCTCTTGAATACTGATAGGAATCCCAAAATCCCTGTGGCCTACTGGAAAGGGTCCTTGGGTGCCCTGCCTCACCTCGAGAAGTGTCCCGTTTGCCCTGCCAAGCCTCGAAGAGATTCCTGAGGTGTCCCTCGTTACTAGACAGGAGTCCTGACGTCACTGAAGAAACTCGTGTTTTCAAGGGCCATCCCCGCCGTAAGTCGAGAACATACCCCAGGTCCCCGCCGCAACTCGAGAAAAACCATGAGACTTCCCCCTAGAGGCGAGATGAGGCCCCATTCCCCTGCAGTGCATGCAGAGCTATTCCGTGATCCCATTCAAACAAGTCAGGAGCTTCGGCTTGCTTAATGGATCTCGAGACAGTCCCCAAGAACACTGTCACCAGTCTAGACGGACCCTGAGGTCACCCCAGCAACGCAAAGCAGCTCCATGTGCCCCAAATCAACTCGAGATGAGGCCCGATTCCCCTGCATTGACTCCAGTGCCATTCCCCGTTCCCCATTCAACACGACCGGTGGCTCGACTTCCTTCAGGCAACTCCAGAGATGCCCCGAGAACACTGTCCCAAGTCTAGAGGAACACCAACTTCAGCACAGCAACTCGAGGAATGCTCCGTGTACCCCAAATCGTCTCGAGATGCGAGCTGATTCCCTGGCTTAGGCTCAAGACGTATGCCAACTTCCCAGAAGCACCTCAGGAGGAGGCTTCTCTCAGCAATAGGTATGTGGGAGGGACCCCGAGTTTGCTGCCTCAAGGGGAATATACAGCGAGAAGCCCTAACTTGAAAGGAGGCCGGATTTCCTTGCAGTGGCTTGAATACAGGCTCGTCTTTCATCTCACAACATGAAGGGATGTCTGAATCCCCTGTGGAGACCTTAGAGAAAGCCCTAGGTTCCTGCCTCATTTTGACGGAATGCCTCACATCCCGCTGACACCTCGAGAGGCACGCGGAGTTCATTGCTTCAAAAGGTGACGATGCCTGACTCCTCTTGAATACTGATAGGAATCCCAAAATCCCTGTGGCTACTGGACAGGGTCCTTGGGTGCCCTGCCTCACCTCGAGAAGCGTCCCTTTGGCCCTGCCAAGCCTCGAAGAGATTCCTGAGGTGTCCCTCGTTACTAGACAGGAGTCCTGACGTCACTGAAGAAACTCGTGTTTTGAAGGGCCATCCCCGCCGTAAGTCGAGAACATACCCCAGGTCCCCGCCGCAACTCGAGAAAAACCATGAGACTTCCCCCTAGAGGCGAGATGAGGCCCCATTCCCCTGCAGTGCATGCAGAGCTATTCCGTGATCCCATTCAAACAAGTCAGGAGCTTCGGCTTGCTTAATGGATCTCGAGACAGTCCCCAAGAACACTGTCACCAGTCTAGACGGACCCTGAGGTCACCCCAGCAACGCAAAGCAGCTCCATGTGCCCCAAATCAACTCGAGATGAGGCCCGATTCCCCTGCATTGACTGCAGAGCCATTCCCCGTTCCCCATTCAACACGACCGGTGGCTCGACTTCCTTCAGGCAACTCCAGAGATGCCCCGAGAACACTGTCCCAAGTCTAGAGGAACACCAACTTTAGCACAGCAACTCGAGGAATGCTCCGTGTACCCCAAATCGTCTCGAGATGCGAGCTGATTCCCTGGCTTAGGCTCAAGACGTATGCCAACTTCCCAGAAGCACCTCAGGAGGAGGCTTCTCTCAGCAATAGGTATGTGGGAGGGACCCCGAGTTTGCTGCCTCAAGGGGAATATACAGCGAGAAGCCCTAACTTGAAAGGAGGCCGGATTTCCTTGCAGTGGCTTGAATACAGGCTCGTCTTTCATCTCACAACATGAAGGGATGTCTGAATCCCCTGTGGAGACCTTAGAGAAAGCCCTAGGTCCCTGCCTCATTTTGACGGAATGCCTCACATCCCGCTGACACCTCGAGAGGCACGCGGAGTTCATTGCTTCAAAAGGTGACGATGCCTGACTCCTCTTGAATACTGATAGGAATCCCAAAATCCCTGTGGCTACTGGAAAGGGTCCTTGGGTGCCCTGCCTCACCTCGAGAAGCGTCCCTTTTGCCCTGCCAAGCCTCGAAGTCATTCCTGAGGTGTCCCTCGTTACTAGACAGGAGTCCTGACGTCACTGAAGAAACTCGTGTTTTGAAGGGCCATCCCCGCCGTAAGTCGAGAACATACCCCAGGTCCCCGCCGCAACTCGAGAAAAACCATGAGACTTCCCCCTAGAGGCGAGATGAGGCCCCATTCCCCTGCAGTGCATGCAGAGCTATTCCGTGATCCCATTCAAACAAGTCAGGAGCTTCGGCTTGCTTAATGGATCTCGAGACAGTCCCCAAGAACACTGTCACCCGTCTAGACGGACCCTGAGGTCACCCCAGCAACGCAAAGCAGCTCCATGTGCCCCAAATCAACTCGAGATGAGGCCCGATTCCCCTGCATTGACTCCAGAGCCATTCCCCGTTCCCCATTCAACACGACCGGTGGCTCGACTTCCTTCAGGCAACTCCAGAGATGCCCCGAGAACACTGTCCCAAGTCTAGAGGAACACCAACTTCAGCACAGCAACTCGAGGAATGCTCCGTCTACCCCAAATCGTCTCGAGATGCGAGCTGATTCCCTGGCTTAGGCTCAAGACGTATGCCAACCTCCCAGAAGCACCTCAGGAGGAGGCTTCTCTCAGCAATAGGTATGTGGGAGGGACCCCGAGTTTGCTGCCTCAAGGGGAATATACAGCGAGAAGCCCTAACTTGAAAGGAGGCCGGATTTCCTTGCAGTGGCTTGAATACAGGCTCGTCTTTCATCTCACAACATGAAGGGATGTCTGAATCCCCTGTGGAGACCTTAGAGAAAGCCCTAGGTCCCTGCCTCATTTTGACGGAATGCCTCACATCCCGCTGACACCTCGAGAGGCACGCGGAGTTCATTGCTTCAAAAGGTGACGATGCCTGACTCCTCTTGAATACTGATAGGAATCCCAAAATCCCTGTGGCTACTGGAAAGGGTCCTTGGGTGCCCTGCCTCACCTCGAGAAGCGTCCCTTTGGCCCTGCCAAGCCTCGAAGAGATTCCTGAGGTGTCCCTCGTTACTAGACAGGAGTCCTGACGTCACTGAAGAAACTCGTGTTTTGAAGGGCCATCCCCGCCGTAAGTCGAGAACATACCCCAGGTCCCCGCCGCAACTCGAGAAAAACCATGAGACTTCCCCCTAGAGGCGAGATGAGGCCCCATTCCCCTGCAGTGCATGCAGAGCTATTCCGTGATCCCATTCAAACAAGTCAGGAGCTTCGGCTTGCTTAATGGATCTCGAGACAGTCCCCAAGAACACTGTCACCAGTCTAGACGGACCCTGAGGTCACCCCAGCAACGCAAAGCAGCTCCATGTGCCCCAAATCAACTCGAGATGAGGCCCGGTTCCCCTGCATTGACTCCAGAGCCATTCCCCGTTCCCCATTCAACACGACCGTTGGCTCGACTTCCTTCAGGCAACTCCAGAGATGCCCCGAGAACACTGTCCCAAGTCTAGAGGAACACCAACTTCAGCACAGCAACTCGAGGAATGCTCCGTGTACCCCAAATCGTCTCGAGATGCGAGCTGATTCCCTGGCTTAGGCTCAAGACATATGCCAACTTCCCAGAAGCACCTCAGGAGGAGGCTTCTCTCAGCAATAGGTATGTGGGAGGGACCCCGAGTTTGCTGCCTCAAGGGGAATATACAGCGAGAAGCCCTAACTTGAAAGGAGGCCGGATTTCCTTGCAGTGGCTTGAATACAGGCTCGTCTTTCATCTCACAACATGAAGGGATGTCTGAATCCCCTGTGGAGACCTTAGAGAAAGCCCTAGGTACCTGCCTCATTTTGACGGAATGCCTCACATCCCGCTGACACCTCGAGAGGCACGCGGAGTTCATTGCTTCAAAAGGTGACGATGCCTGACTCCTCTTGAATACTGATAGGAATCCCAAAATCCCTGTGGCTACTGGAAAGGGTCCTTGGGTGCCCTGCCTCACCTCGAGTAGCGTCCCTTTGGCCCTGCCAAGCCTCGAAGAGATTCCTGAGGTGTCCCTCGTTACTAGACAGGAGTCCTGACGTCACTGAAGAAACTCGTGTTTTGAAGGGCCATCCCCGCCGTAAGTCGAGAACATACCCCAGGTCCCCGCCGCAACTCGAGAAAAACCATGAGACTTCCCCCTAGAGGCGAGATGAGGCCCCATTCCCCTGCAGTGCATGCAGAGCTATTCCGTGATCCCATTCAAACAAGTCAGGAGCTTCGGCTTGCTTAATGGATCTCGAGACAGTCCCCAAGAACACTGTCACCAGTCTAGACGGACCCTGAGGTCACCCCAGCAACGCAAAGCAGCTCCATGTGCCCCAAATCAACTCGAGATGAGGCCCGATTCCCCTGCATTGACTCCAGAGCCATTCCCCCTTCCACATTCAACACGACCGGTGGCTCGACTTCCTTCAGGCAACTCCAGAGATGCCCTGAGAACACTGTCCCAAGTCTAGAGGAACACCAACTTCAGCACAGCAACTCGAGGAATGCTCCGTGTACCCCAAATCGTCTCGAGATGCGAGCTGATTCCCTGGCTTAGGCTCAAGACGTATGCCAACTTCCCAGAAGCACCTCAGGAGGAGGCTTCTCTCAGCAATAGGTATGTGGGAGGGACCCCGAGTTTGCTGCCTCAAGGGGAATATACAGCGAGAAGCCCTAACTTGAAAGGAGGCCGGATTTCCTTGCAGTGGCTTGAATACAGGCTCGTCTTTCATCTCACAACATGAAGGGATGTCTGAATCCCCTGTGGAGACCTTAGAGAAAGCCCTAGGTCCCTGCCTCATTTTGACGGAATGCCTCACATCCCGCTGACACCTCGAGAGGCACGCGGAGTTCATTGCTTCAAAAGGTGACGATGCCTGACTCCTCTTGAATACTGATAGGAATCCCAAAATCCCTGTGGCTACTGGAAAGGGTCCTTGGGTGCCCTGCCTCACCTCGAGAAGCGTCCCTTTGGCCCTGCCAAGCCTCGAAGAGATTCCTGAGGTGTCCCTCGTTACTAGACAGGAGTCCTGACGTCACTGAAGAAACTCGTGTTTTGAAGGGCCATCCCCGCCGTAAGTCGAGAACATACCCCAGGTCCCCGCCGCAACTCGAGAAAAACCATGAGACTTCCCCCTAGAGGCGAGATGAGGCCCCATTCCCCTGCAGTGCATGCAGAGCTATTCCGTGATCCCATTCAAACAAGTCAGGAGCTTCGACTTGCTTAATGGATCTCGAGACAGTCCCCAAGAACACTGTCACCAGTCTAGACGGACCCTGAGGTCACCCCAGCAACGCAAAGCAGCTCCATGTGCCCCAAATCAACTCGAGATGAGGCCCGGTTCCCCTGCATTGACTCCAGAGCCATTCCCCGTTCCCCATTCAACACGACCGGTGGCTCGACTTCCTTCAGGCAACTCCAGAGATGCCCCGAGAACACTGTCCCAAGTCTAGAGGAACACCAACTTCAGCACAGCAACTCGAGGAATGCTCCGTGTACCCCAAATCGTCTCGAGATGCGAGCTGATTCCCTGGCTTAGGCTCAAGACGTATGCCAACTTCCCAGAAGCACCTCAGGAGGAGGCTTCTCTCAGCAATAGGTATGTGGGAGGGACCCCGAGTTTGCTGCCTCAAGGGGAATATACAGCGAGAAGCCCTAACTTGAAAGGAGGCCGGATTTCCTTGCAGTGGCTTGAATACAGGCTCGTCTTTCATCTCACAACATGAAGGGATGTCTGAATCCCCTGTGGAGACCTTAGAGAAAGCCCTAGGTCCCTGCCTCATTTTGACGGAATGCCTCACATCGCGCTGACACCTCGAGAGGCACGCGGAGTTCATTGCTTCAAAAGGTGACGATGCCTGACTCCTCTTGAATACTGATAGGAATCCCAAAATCCCTGTGGCTACTGGAAAGGGTCCTTGGGTGCCCTGCCTCACCTCGAGAAGCGTCCCTTTGGCCCTGCCAAGCCTCGAAGAGATTCCTGAGGTGTCCCTCGTTACTAGACAGGAGTCCTGACGTCACTGAAGAAACTCGTGTTTTGAAGGGCCATCCCCGCCGTAAGTCGAGAACATACCCCAGGTCCCCGCCGCAACTCGAGAAAAACCATGAGACTTCCCCCTAGAGGCGAGATGAGGCCCCATTCCCCTGCAGTGCATGCAGAGCTATTCCGTGATCCCATTCAAACAAGTCAGGAGCTTCAACTTGCTTAATGGATCTCGAGACAGTCCCCAAGAACACTGTCACCAGTCTAGACGGACCCTGAGGTCACCCCAGCAACGCAAAGCAGCTCCATGTGCCCCAAATCAACTCGAGATGAGGCCCGATTCCCGTGCATTGACTTCAGAGCCGTTCCCCGTTCCCCATTCAACAGGACCGGTGGCTCGACTTCCTTCAGGCAACTCCAGAGATGCCCCGAGAACACTGTCCCAAGTCTAGAGGAACACCAACTTCAGCACAGCAACTCGAGGAATGCTCCGTGTACCCCAAATCGTCTCGAGATGCGAGCTGATTCCCTGGCTTAGGCTCAAGACGTATGCCAACTTCCCAGAAGCACCTCAGGAGGAGGCTTCTCTCAGCAATAGGTATGTGGGAGGGACCCCGAGTTTGCTGCCTCAAGGGGAATATACAGCGAGAAGCCCTAACTTGAAAGGAGGCCGGATTTCCTTGCAGTGGCTTGAATACAGGCTCGTCTTTCATCTCACAACATGAAGGGATGTCTGAATCCCCTGTGGAGACCTTAGAGAAATTCCTAGGTCCCTGCCTCATTTTGACGGAATGCCTCACATCCCGCTGACACCTCGAGAGGCACGCGGAGTTCATTGCTTCAAAAGGTGACGATGCCTGACTCCTCTTGAATACTGATAGGAATCCCAAAATCCCTGTGGCTACTGGAAAGGGTCCTTGGGTGCCCTGCCTCACCTCGAGAAGCGTCCCTTTGGCCCTGCCAAGCCTCGAAGAGATTCCTGATGTGTCCCTCGTTACTAGACAGGAGTCCTGACGTCACTGAAGAAACTCGTGTTTTGAAGGGCCATCCCCGCCGTCAGTCGAGAACATACCCCAGGTCCCCGCCGCAACTCGAGAAAAACCATGAGACTTCCCCCTAGAGGCGAAATGAGGCCCCATTCCCCTGCAGTGCATGCAGAGCTATTCCGTGATCCCATTCAAACAAGTCAGGAGCTTCGGCTTGCTTAATGGATCTCGAGACAGTCCCCAAGAACACTGTCACCAGTCTAGACGGACCCTGAGGTCACCCCAGCAACGCAAAGCAGCTCCATGTGCCCCAAATCAACTCGAGATGAGGCCCGATTCCCCTGCATTGACTGCAGAGCCATTCCCCGTTCCCCATTCAACACGACCGGTGGCTCGACTTCCTTCAGGCAACTCCAGAGATGCCCCGAGAACACTGTCCCAAGTCTAGAGGAACACCAACTTCAGCACAGCAACTCGAGGAATGCTCCGTGTACCCCAAATCGTCTCGAGATGCGAGCTGATTCCCTGGCTTAGGCTCAAGACGTATGCCAACTTCCCAGAAGCACCTCAGGAGGAGGCTTCTCTCAGCAATAGGTATGTGGGAGGGACCCCGAGTTTGCTGCCTCAAGGGGAATATACAGCGAGAAGCCCTAACTTGAAAGGAGGCCGGATTTCCTTGCAGTGGCTTGAATACAGGCTCGTCTTTCATCTCACAACATGAAGGGATGTCTGAATCCCCTGTGGAAACCTTAGAGAAAGCCCTAGGTCCCTGCCTCATTTTGACGGAATGCCTCACATCGCGCTGACACCTCGAGAGGCACTCGGAGTTCATTGCTTCAAAAGGTGACGATGCCTGACTCCTCTTGAATACTGATAGGAATCCCAAAATCCCTGTGGCTACTGGAAAGGGTCCTTGGGTGCCCTGCCTCACCTCGAGAAGCGTCCCTTTTGCCCTGCCAAGCCTCGAAGTCATTCCTGAGGTGTCCCTCGTTACTAGACAGGAGTCCTGACGTCACTGAAGAAACTCGTGTTTTGAAGGGCCATCCCCGCTGTAAGTCGAGAACATACCCCAGGTCCCCGCCGCAACTCGAGAAAAACCATGAGACTTCCCCCTAGAGGCGAGATTAGGCCCCATTCCCCTGCAGTGCATGCAGAGCTATTCCGTGATCCCATTCAAACAAGTCAGGAGCTTCGGCTTGCTTAATGGATCTCGAGACAGTCCCCAAGAACACTGTCACCCGTCTAGACGGACCCTGAGGTCACCCCAGCAACGCAAAGCAGCTCCATGTGCCCCAAATCAACTCGAGATGAGGCCTGATTCCCCTGCATTGACTCCAGAGCCATTCCCCGTTCCCCATTCAACACGACCGGTGGCTCGACTTCCTTCAGGCAACTCCAGAGATGCCCCGAGAACACTGTCCCAAGTCTAGAGGAACACCAACTTCAGCACAGCAACTCGAGGAATGCTCCGTCTACCCCAAATCGTCTCGAGATGCGAGCTGATTCCCTGGCTTAGGCTCAAGACGTATGCCAACCTCCCAGAAGCACCTCAGGAGGAGGCTTCTCTCAGCAATAGGTATGTGGGAGGGACCCCGAGTTTGCTGCCTCAAGGGGAATATACAGCGAGAAGCCCTAACTTGAAAGGAGGCCGGATTTCCTTGCAGTGGCTTGAATACAGGCTCGTCTTTCATCTCACAACATGAAGGGATGTCTGAATCCCCTGTGGAGACCTTAGAGAAAGCCCTAGGTCCCTGCCTCATTTTGACGGAATGCCTCACATCCCGCTGACACCTCGAGAGGCACGCGGAGTTCATTGCTTCAAAAGGTGACGATGCCTGACTCCTCTTGAATACTGATAGGAATCCCAAAATCCCTGTGGCTACTGGAAAGGGTCCTTGGGTGCCCTGCCTCACCTCGAGAAGCGTCCCTTTGGCCCTGCCAAGCCTCGAAGAGATTCCTGAGGTGTCCCTCGTTACTAGACAGGAGTCCTGACGTCACTGAAGAAACTCGTGTTTTGAAGGGCCATCCCCGCCGTAAGTCGAGAACATACCCCAGGTCCCCGCCGCAACTCGAGAAAAACCATGAGACTTCCCCCTAGAGGCGAGATGAGGCCCCATTCCCCTGCAGTGCATGCAGAGCTATTCCGTGATCCCATTCAAACAAGTCAGGAGCTTCGGCTTGCTTAATGGATCTCGAGACAGTCCCCAAGAACACTGTCACCAGTCTAGACGGACCCTGAGGTCACCCCAGCAACGCAAAGCAGCTCCATGTGCCCCAAATCAACTCGAGATGAGGCCCGGTTCCCCTGCATTGACTCCAGAGCCATTCCCCGTTCCCCATTCAACACGACCGGTGGCTCGACTTCCTTCAGGCAACTCCAGAGATGCCCCGAGAACACTGTCCCAAGTCTAGAGGAACACCAACTTCAGCACAGCAACTCGAGGAATGCTCCGTGTACCCCAAATCGTCTCGAGATGCGAGCTGATTCCCTGGCTTAGGCTCAAGACGTATGCCAACTTCCCAGAAGCACCTCAGGAGGAGGCTTCTCTCAGCAATAGGTATGTGGGAGGGACCCCGAGTTTGCTGCCTCAAGGGGAATATACAGCGAGAAGCCCTAACTTGAAAGGAGGCCGGATTTCCTTGCAGTGGCTTGAATACAGGCTCGTCTTTCATCTCACAACATGAAGGGATGTCTGAATCCCCTGTGGAGACCTTAGAGAAAGCCCTAGGTCCCTGCCTCATTTTGACGGAATGCCTCACATCCCGCTGACACCTCGAGAGGCACGCGGAGTTCATTGCTTCAAAAGGTGACGATGCCTGACTCCTCTTGAATACTGATAGGAATCCCAAAATCCCTGTGGCTACTGGAAAGGGTCCTTGGTTGCCCTGCCTCACCTCGAGAAGCGTCCCTTTGCCCCTGCCAAGCCTCGAAGAGATTCCTGAGGTGTCCCTCGTTACTAGACAGGAGTCCTGACGTCACTGAAGAAACTCGTGTTTTGAAGGGCCATCCCCGCCGTAAGTCGAGAACATACCCCAGGTCCCCGCCGCAACTCGAGAAAAACCATGAGACTTCCCCCTAGAGGCGAGATGAGGCCCCATTCCCCTGCAGTGCATGCAGAGCTATTCCGTGATCCCATTCAAACACGTCAGGAGCTTCGGCTTGCTTAATGGATCTCGAGACAGTCCCCAATAACACTGTCACCAGTCTAGACGGACCCTGAGGTCACCCCAGCAACGCAAAGCAGCTCCATGTGCCCCAAATCAACTCGAGATGAGGCCCGATTCCCCTGCATTGACTCCAGAGCCATTCCCCGTTCCCCATTCAACACGACCGGTGGCTCGACTTCCTTCAGGCAACTGCAGAGATGCCCCGAGAACACTGTCCCAAGTCTAGAGGAACACCAACTTCAGCACAGCAACTCGAGGAATGCTCCGTGTACCCCAAATCGTCTCGAGATGCGAGCTGATTCCCTGGCTTAGGCTCAAGACGTATGCCAACTTCCCAGAAGCACCTCAGGAGGAGGCTTCTCTCAGCAATAGGTATGTGGGAGGGACCCCGAGTTTGCTGCCTCAAGGGGAATATACAGCGAGAAGCCCTAACTTGAAAGGAGGCCGGATTTCCTTGCAGTGGCTTGAATACAGGCTCGTCTTTCATCTCACAACATGAAGGGATGTCTGAATCCCCTGTGGAGACCTTAGAGAAAGCCCTAGTTCCCTGCCTCATTTTGACGGAATGCCTCACATCCCGCTGACACCTCGAGAGGCACGCGGAGTTCATTGCTTCAAAAGGTGACGATGCCTGACTCCTCTTGAATACTGATAGGAATCCCAAAATCCCTGTGGCTACTGGAAAGGGTCCTTGGGTGCCCTGCCTCACCTCGAGAAGCGTCCCTTTGGCCCTGCCAAGCCTCGAAGAGATTCCTGAGGTGTCCCTCGTTACTAGACAGGAGTCCTGACGTCACTGAAGAAACTCGTGTTTTGAAGGGCCATCCCCGCCGTAAGTCGAGAACATACCCCAGGTCCCCGCCGCAACTCGAGAAAAACCATGAGACTTCCCCCTAGAGGCGAGATGAGGCCCCATTCCCCTGCAGTGCATGCAGAGCTATTCCGTGATCCCATTCAAACAAGTCAGGAGCTTCGGCTTGCTTAATGGATCTCGAGACAGTCCCCAAGAACACTGTCACCCGTCTAGACGGACCCTGAGGTCACCCCAGCAACGCAAAGCAGCTCCATGTGCCCCAAATCAACTCGAGATGAGGCCCGATTCCCCTGCATTGACTCCAGAGCCATTCCCCGTTCCCCATTCAACACGACCGGTGGCTCGACTTCCTTCAGGCAACTCCAGAGATGCCCCGAGAACACTGTCCCAAGTCTAGAGGAACACCAACTTCAGCACAGCAACTCGAGGAATGCTCCGTCTACCCCAAATCGTCTCGAGATGCGAGCTGATTCCCTGGCTTAGGCTCAAGACGTATGCCAACCTCCCAGAAGCACCTCAGGAGGAGGCTTCTCTCAGCAATAGGTATGTGGGAGGGACCCCGAGTTTGCTGCCTCAAGGGGAATATACAGCGAGAAGCCCTAACTTGAAAGGAGGCCGGATTTCCTTGCAGTGGCTTGAATACAGGCTCGTCTTTCATCTCACAACATGAAGGGATGTCTGAATCCCCTGTGGACACCTTAGAGAAATTCCTAGGTCCCTGCCTCATTTTGACGGAATGCCTCACATCCCGCTGACACCTCGAGAGGCACGCGGAGTTCATTGCTTCAAAAGGTGACAATGCCTGACTCCTCTTGAATACTGATAGGAATCCCAAAATCCCTGTGGCTACTGGAAAGGGTCCTTGGGTGCCCTGCCTCACCTCGAGAAGCGTCCCTTTGGCCCTGCCAAGCCTCGAAGAGATTCCTGATGTGTCCCTCGTTACTAGACAGGAGTCCTGACGTCACTGAAGAAACTCGTGTTTTGAAGGGCCATCCCCGCCGTCAGTCGAGAACATACCCCAGGTCCCCGCCGCAACTCGAGAAAAACCATGAGACTTCCCCCTAGAGGCGAAATGAGGCCCCATTCCCCTGCAGTGCATGCAGAGCTATTCCGTGATCCCATTCAAACAAGTCAGGAGCTTCGGCTTGCTTAATGGATCTCGAGACAGTCCCCAAGAACACTGTCACCAGTCTAGACGGACCCTGAGGTCACCCCAGCAACGCAAAGCAGCTCCATGTGCCCCAAATCAACTCGAGATGAGGCCCGATTCCCCTGCATTGACTGCAGAGCCATTCCCCGTTCCCCATTCAACACGACCGGTGGCTCGACTTCCTTCAGGCAACTCCAGAGATGCCCCGAGAACACTGTCCCAAGTCTAGAGGAACACCAACTTCAGCACAGCAACTCGAGGAATGCTCCGTGTACCCCAAATCGTCTCGAGATGCGAGCTGATTCCCTGGCTTAGGCTCAAGACGTATGCCAACTTCCAAGAAGCACCTCAGGAGGAGGCTTCTCTCAGCAATAGGTATGTGGGAGGGACCCCGAGTTTGCTGCCTCAAGGGGAATATACAGCGAGAAGCCCTAACTTGAAAGGAGGCCGGATTTCCTTGCAGTGGCTTGAATACAGGCTCGTCTTTCATCTCACAACATGAAGGGATGTCTGAATCCCCTGTGGAAACCTTAGAGAAAGCCCTAGGTCCCTGCCTCATTTTGACGGAATGCCTCACATCCCGCTGACACCTCGAGAGGCACGCGGAGTTCATTGCTTCAAAAGGTGACGATGCCTGACTCCTCTTGAATACTGATAGGAATCCCAAAATCCCTGTGGCTACTGGAAAGGGTCCTTGGGTGCCCTGCCTCACCTCGAGAAGCGTCCCTTTTGCCCTGCCAAGCCTCGAAGTCATTCCTGAGGTGTCCCTCGTTACTAGACAGGAGTCCTGACGTCACTGAAGAAACTCGTGTTTTGAAGGGCCATCCCCGCCGTAAGTCGAGAACATACCCCAGGTCCCCGCCGCAACTCGAGAAAAACCATGAGACTTCCCCCTAGAGGCGAGATGAGGCCCCATTCCCCTGCAGTGCATGCAGAGCTATTCCGTGATCCCATTCAAACAAGTCAGGAGCTTCGGCTTGCTTAATGGATCTCGAGACAGTCCCCAAGAACACTGTCACCCGTCTAGACGGACCCTGAGGTCACCCCAGCAACGCAAAGCAGCTCCATGTGCCCCAAATCAACTCGAGATGAGGCCCGATTCCCCTGCATTGACTCCAGAGCCATTCCCCGTTCCCCATTCAACACGACCGGTGGCTCGACTTCCTTCAGGCAACTCCAGAGATGCCCTGAGAACACTGTCCCAAGTCTAGAGGAACACCAACTTCAGCACAGCAACTCGAGGAATGCTCCGTCTACCCCAAATCGTCTCGAGATGCGAGCTGATTCCCTGGCTTAGGCTCAAGACGTATGCCAACCTCCCAGAAGCACCTCAGGAGGAGGCTTCTCTCAGCAATAGGTATGTGGGAGGGACCCCGAGTTCGCTGCCTCAAGGGGAATATACAGCGAGAAGCCCTAACTTGAAAGGAGGCCGGATTTCCTTGCAGTGGCTTGAATACAGGCTCGTCTTTCATCTCACAACATGAAGGGATGTCTGAATCCCCTGTGGAGACCTTAGAGAAAGCCCTAGGTCCCTGCCTCATTTTGACGGAATGCCTCACATCCCGCTGACACCTCGAGAGGCACGCGGAGTTCATTGCTTCAAAAGGTGACGATGCCTGACTCCTCTTGAATACTGATAGGAATCCCAAAATCCCTGTGGCTACTGGAAAGGGTCCTTGGGTGCCCTGCCTCACCTCGAGAAGCGTCCCTTTGGCCCTGCCAAGCCTCGAAGAGATTCCTGAGGTGTCCCTCGTTACTAGACAGGAGTCCTGACGTCACTGAAGAAACTCGTGTTTTGAAGGGCCATCCCCGCCGTAAGTCGAGAACATACCCCAGGTCCCCGCCGCAACTCGAGAAAAACCATGAGACTTCCCCCTAGAGGCGAGATGAGGCCCCATTCCCCTGCAGTGCATGCAGAGCTATTCCGTGATCCCATTCAAACAAGTCAGGAGCTTCGGCTTGCTTAATGGATCTCGAGACAGTCCCCAAGAACACTGTCACCAGTCTAGACGGACCCTGAGGTCACCCCATCAATGCAAAGCAGCTCCATGTGCCCCAAATCAACTCGAGATGAGGCCCGGTTCCCCTGCATTGACTCCAGAGCCATTCCCCGTTCCCCATTCAACACGACCGGTGGCTCGACTTCCTTCAGGCAACTCCAGAGATGCCCCGAGAACACTGTCCCAAGTCTAGATTAACACCAACTTCAGCACAGCAACTCGAGGAATGCTCCGTGTACCCCAAATCGTCTCGAGATGCGAGCTGATTCCCTGGCTTAGGCTCAAGACGTATGCCAACTTCCCAGAAGCACCTCAGGAGGAGGCTTCTCTCAGCAATAGGTATGTGGGAGGGACCCCGAGTTTGCTGCCTCAAGGGGAATATACAGCGAGAAGCCCTAACTTGAAAGGAGGCCGGATTTCCTTGCAGTGGCTTGAATACAGGCTCGTCTTTCATCTCACAACATGAAGGGATGTCTGAATCCCCTGTGGAGACCTTAGAGAAAGCCCTAGGTCCCTGCCTCATTTTGACGGAATGCCTCACATCCCGCTGACACCTCGAGAGGCACGCGGAGTTCATTGCTTCAAAAGGTGACGATGCCTGACTCCTCTTGAATACTGATAGGAATCCCAAAATCCCTGTGGCTACTGGAAAGGGTCCTTGGTTGCCCTGCCTCACCTCGAGAAGCGTCCCTTTGCCCCTGCCAAGCCTCGAAGAGATTCCTGAGGTGTCCCTCGTTACTAGACAGGAGTCCTGACGTCACTGAAGAAACTCGTGTTTTGAAGGGCCATCCCCGCCGTAAGTCGAGAACATACCCCAGGTCCCCGCCGCAACTCGAGAAAAACCATGAGACTTCCCCCTAGAGGCGAGATGAGGCCCCATTCCCCTGCAGTGCATGCAGAGCTATTCCGTGATCCCATTCAAACACGTCAGGAGCTTCGGCTTGCTTAATGGATCTCGAGACAGTCCCCAAGAACACTGTCACCCGTCTAGACGGACCCTGAGGTCACCCCAGCAACGCAAAGCAGCTCCATGTGCCCCAAATCAACTCGAGATGAGGCCCGATTCCCCTGCATTGACTCCAGAGCCATTCCCCGTTCCCCATTCAACACGACCGGTGGCTCGACTTCCTTCAGGCAACTCCAGAGATGCCCCGAGAACACTGTCCCAAGTCTAGAGGAACACCAACTTCAGCACAGCAACTCGAGGAATGCTCCGTCTACCCCAAATCGTCTCGAGATGCGAGCTGATCCCCTGGCTTAGGCTCAAGACGGATGCCAACTTCCCAGAAGCACCTCAGGAGGAGGCTTCTCTCAGCAATAGGTATGTGGGAGGGACCCCGAGTTTGCTGCCTCAAGGGGAATATACAGCGAGAAGCCCTAACTTGAAAGGAGGCCGGATTTCCTTGCAGTGGCTTGAATACAGGCTCGTCTTTCATCTCACAACATGAAGGGATGTCTGAATCCCCTGTGGAGACCTTAGAGAAAGCCCTAGGTCCCTGCCTCATTTTGACGGAATGCCTCACATCCCGCTGACACCTCGAGAGGCACGCGGAGTTCATTGCTTCAAAAGGTGACGATGCCTGACTCCTCTTGAATACTGATAGGAATCCCAAAATCCCTGTGGCTACTGGAAAGGGTCCTTGGGTGCCCTGCCTCACCTCGAGAAGCGTCCCTTTGGCCCTGCCAAGCCTCGAAGAGATTCCTGAGGTGTCCCTCGTTACTAGACAGGAGTCCTGACGTCACTGAAGAAACTCGTGTTTTGAAGGGCCATCCCCGCCGTAAGTCGAGAACATACCCCAGGTCCCCGCCGCAACTCGAGAAAAACCATGAGACTTCCCCCTAGAGGCGAGATGAGGCCCCATTCCCCTGCAGTGCATGCAGAGCTATTCCGTGATCCCATTCAAACAAGTCAGGAGCTTCGGCTTGCTTAATGGATCTCGAGACAGTCCCCAAGAACACTGTCACCCGTCTAGACGGACCCTGAGGTCACCCCAGCAACGCAAAGCAGCTCCATGTGCCCCAAATCAACTCGAGATGAGGCCCGATTCCCCTGCATTGACTCCAGAGCCATTCCCCGTTCCCCATTCAACACGACCGGTGGCTCGACTTCCTTCAGGCAACTCCAGAGATGCCCCGAGAACACTGTCCCAAGTCTAGAGGAACACCAACCTCAGCACAGCAACTCGAGGAATGCTCCATCTACCCCAAATCGTCTCGAGATGCGAGCTGATTCCCTGGCTTAGGCTCAAGACGTATGCCAACCTCCCAGAAGCACCTCAGGAGGAGGCTTCTCTCAGCAATATATATGTGGGAGGGACCCCGAGTTTGCTGCCTCAAGGGGAATATACAGCGAGAAGCCCTAACTTGAAAGGAGGCCGGATTTCCTTGCAGTGGCTTGAATACAGGCTCGTCTTTCATCTCACAACATGAAGGGATGTCTGAATCCCCTGTGGAGACCTTAGAGAAAGCCCTAGGTCCCTGCCTCATTTTGACGGAATGCCTCACATCCCGCTGACACCTCGAGAGGCACGCGGAGTTCATTGCTTCAAAAGGTGACGATGCCTGACTCCTCTTGAATACTGATAGGAATCCCAAAATCCCTGTGGCTACTGGAAAGGGTCCTTGGGTGCCATGCCTCACCTCGAGAAGCGTCCCTTTGGCCCTGCCAAGCCTCGAAGAGATTCCTGAGGTGTCCCTCGTTACTAGACAGGAGTCCTGACGTCACTGAAGAAACTCGTGTTTTGAAGGGCCATCCCCGCTGTAAGTCGAGAACATACCCCAGGTCCCCGCCGCAACTCGAGAAAAACCATGAGACTTCCCCCTAGAGGCGAGATGAGGCCCCATTCCCCTGCAGTGCATGCAGAGCTATTCCGTGATCCCATTCAAACAAGTCAGGAGCTTCGGCTTGCTTAATGGATCTCGAGACAGTCCCCAAGAACACTGTCACCAGTCTAGACGGACCCTGAGGTCACCCCAGCAACGCAAAGCAGCTCCATGTGCCCCAAATCAACTCGAGATGAGGCCCGATTCCCCTGCATTGACTGCAGAGCCATTCCCCGTTCCCCATTCAACACGACCGGTGGCTCGACTTCCTTCAGGCAACTCCAGAGATGCCCCGAGAACACTGTCCCAAGTCTAGAGGAACACCAACTTCAGCACAGCAACTCGAGGAATGCTCCGTGTACCCCAAATCGTCTCGAGATGCGAGCTGATTCCCTGGCTTAGGCTCAAGACGTATGCCAACTTCCAAGAAGCACCTCAGGAGGAGGCTTCTCTCAGCAATAGGTATGTGGGAGGGACCCCGAGTTTGCTGCCTCAAGGGGAATATACAGCGAGAAGCCCTAACTTGAAAGGAGGCCGGATTTCCTTGCAGTGGCTTGAATACAGGCTCGTCTTTCATCTCACAACATGAAGGGATGTCTGAATCCCCTGTGGAAACCTTAGAGAAAGCCCTAGGTCCCTGCCTCATTTTGACGGAATGCCTCACATCCCGCTGACACCTCGAGAGGCACGCGGAGTTCATTGCTTCAAAAGGTGACGATGCCTGACTCCTCTTGAATACTGATAGGAATCCCAAAATCCCTGTGGCTACTGGAAAGGGTCCTTGGGTGCCCTGCCTCACCTCGAGAAGCGTCCCTTTTGCCCTGCCAAGCCTCGAAGTCATTCCTGAGGTGTCCCTCGTTACTAGACAGGAGTCCTGACGTCACTGAAGAAACTCGTGTTTTGAAGGGCCATCCCCGCCGTAAGTCGAGAACATACCCCAGGTCCCCGCCGCAACTCGAGAAAAACCATGAGACTTCCCCCTAGAGGCGAGATGAGGCCCCATTCCCCTGCAGTGCATGCAGAGCTATTCCGTGATCCCATTCAAACAAGTCAGGAGCTTCGGCTTGCTTAATGGATCTCGAGACAGTCCCCAAGAACACTGTCACCCGTCTAGACGGACCCTGAGGTCACCCCAGCAACGCAAAGCAGCTCCATGTGCCCCAAATCAACTCGAGATGAGGCCCGATTCCCCTGCATTGACTCCAGAGCCATTCCCCGTTCCCCATTCAACACGACCGGTGGCTCGACTTCCTTCAGGCAACTCCAGAGATGCCCCGAGAACACTGTCCCAAGTCTAGAGGAACACCAACTTCAGCACAGCAACTCGAGGAATGCTCCGTCTACCCCAAATCGTCTCGAGATGCGAGCTGATTCCCTGGCTTAGGCTCAAGACGTATGCCAACCTCCCAGAAGCACCTCAGGAGGAGGCTTCTCTCAGAAATAGGTATGTGGGAGGGACCCCGAGTTTGCTGCCTCAAGGGGAATATACAGCGAGAAGCCCTAACTTGAAAGGAGGCCGGATTTCCTTGCAGTGGCTTGAATACAGGCTCGTCTTTCATCTCACAACATGAAGGGATGTCTGAATCCCCTGTGGAGACCTTAGAGAAAGCCCTAGGTCCCTGCCTCATTTTGACGGAATGCCTCACATCCCGCTGACACCTCGAGAGGCACGCGGAGTTCATTGCTTCAAAAGGTGACGATGCCTGACTCCTCTTGAATACTGATAGGAATCCCAAAATCCCTGTGGCTACTGGAAAGGGTCCTTGGGTGCCCTGCCTCACCTCGAGAAGCGTCCCTTTGGCCCTGCCAAGCCTCGAAGAGATTCCTGAGGTGTCCCTCGTTACTAGACAGGAGTCCTGACGTCACTGAAGAAACTCGTGTTTTGAAGGGCCATCCCCGCCGTAAGTCGAGAACATACCCCAGGTCCCCGCCGCAACTCGAGAAAAACCATGAGACTTCCCCCTAGAGGCGAGATGAGGCCCCATTCCCCTGCAGTGCATGCAGAGCTATTCCGTGATCCCATTCAAACAAGTCAGGAGCTTCGGCTTGCTTAATGGATCTCGAGACAGTCCCCAAGAACACTGTCACCAGTCTAGACGGACCCTGAGGTCACCCCAGCAACGCAAAGCAGCTCCATGTGCCCCAAATCAACTCGAGATGAGGCCCGGTTCCCCTGCATTGACTCCAGAGCCATTCCCCGTTCCCCATTCAACACGACCGGTGGCTCGACTTCCTTCAGGCAACTCCAGAGATGCCCCGAGAACACTGTCCCAAGTCTAGAGGAACACCAACTTCAGCACAGCAACTCGAGGAATGCTCCGTGTACCCCAAATCGTCTCGAGATGCGAGCTGATTCCCTGGCTTAGGCTCAAGACGTATGCCAACTTCCCAGAAGCACCTCAGGAGGAGGCTTCTCTCAGCAATAGGTATGTGGGAGGGACCCCGAGTTTGCTGCCTCAAGGGGAATATACAGCGAGAAGCCCTAACTTGAAAGGAGGCCGGATTTCCTTGCAGTGGCTTGAATACAGGCTCGTCTTTCATCTCACAACATGAAGGGATGTCTGAATCCCCTGTGGAGACCTTAGAGAAAGCCCTAGGTCCCTGCCTCATTTTGACGGAATGCCTCACATCCCGCTGACACCTCGAGAGGCACGCGGAGTTCATTGCTTCAAAAGGTGACGGTGCCTGACTCCTCTTGAATACTGATAGGAATCCCAAAATCCCTGTGGCTACTGGAAAGGGTCCTTGGTTGCCCTGCCTCACCTCGAGAAGCGTCCCTTTGCCCCTGCCAAGCCTCGAAGAGATTCCTGAGGTGTCCCTCGTTACTAGACAGGAGTCCTGACGTCACTGAAGAAACTCGTGTTTTGAAGGGCCATCCCCGCCGTAAGTCGAGAACATACCCCAGGTCCCCGCCGCAACTCGAGAAAAACCATGAGACTTCCCCCTAGAGGCGAGATGAGGCCCCATTCCCCTGCAGTGCATGCAGAGCTATTCCGTGATCCCATTCAAACACGTCAGGAGCTTCGGCTTGCTTAATGGATCTCGAGACAGTCCCCAAGAACACTGTCACCCGTCTAGACGGACCCTGAGGTCACCCCAGCAACGCAAAGCAGCTCCATGTGCCCCAAATCAACTCGAGATGAGGCCCGATTCCCCTGCATTGACTCCAGAGCCATTCCCCGTTCCCCATTCAACACGACCGGTGGCTCGACTTCCTTCAGGCAACTCCAGAGATGCCCCGAGAACACTGTCCCAAGTCTAGAGGAACACCAACTTCAGCACAGCAACTCGAGGAATGCTCCGTCTACCCCAAATCGTCTCGAGATGCGAGCTGATCCCCTGGCTTAGGCTCAAGACGGATGCCAACTTCCCAGAAGCACCTCAGGAGGAGGCTTCTCTCAGCAATAGGTATGTGGGAGGGACCCCGAGTTTGCTGCCTCAAGGGGAATATACAGCGAGAAGCCCTAACTTGAAAGGAGGCCGGATTTCCTTGCAGTGGCTTGAATACAGGCTCGTCTTTCATCTCACAACATGAAGGGATGTCTGAATCCCCTGTGGAGACCTTAGAGAAAGCCCTAGGTCCCTGCCTCATTTTGACGGAATGCCTCACATCCCGCTGACACCTCGAGAGGCACGCGGAGTTCATTGCTTCAAAAGGTGACGATGCCTGACTCCTCTTGAATACTGATAGGAATCCCAAAATCCCTGTGGCTACTGGAAAGGGTCCTTGGGTGCCCTGCCTCACCTCGAGAAGCGTCCCTTTGGCCCTGCCAAGCCTCGAAGAGATTCCTGAGGTGTCCCTCGTTACTAGACAGGAGTCCTGACGTCACTGAAGAAACTCGTGTTTTGAAGGGCCATCCCCGCCGTAAGTCGAGAACATACCCCAGGTCCCCGCCGCAACTCGAGAAAAACCATGAGACTTCCCCCTAGAGGCGAGATGAGGCCCCATTCCCCTGCAGTGCATGCAGAGCTATTCCGTGATCCCATTCAAACAAGTCAGGAGCTTCGGCTTGCTTAATGGATCTCGAGACAGTCCCCAAGAACACTGTCACCCGTCTAGACGGACCCTGAGGTCACCCCAGCAACGCAAAGCAGCTCCATGTGCCCCAAATCAACTCGAGATGAGGCCCGATTCCCCTGCATTGACTCCAGAGCCATTCCCCGTTCCCCATTCAACACGACCGGTGGCTCGACTTCCTTCAGGCAACTCCAGAGATGCCCCGAGAACACTGTCCCAAGTCTAGAGGAACACCAACTTCAGCACAGCAACTCGAGGAATGCTCCGTCTACCCCAAATCGTCTCGAGATGCGAGCTGATTCCCTGGCTTAGGCTCAAGACGTATGCCAACCTCCCAGAAGCACCTCAGGAGGAGGCTTCTCTCAGCAATAGGTATGTGGGAGGGACCCCGAGTTTGCTGCCTCAAGGGGAATATACAGCGAGAAGCCCTAACTTGAAAGGAGGCCGGATTTCCTTGCAGTGGCTTGAATACAGGCTCGTCTTTCATCTCACAACATGAAGGGATGTCTGAATCCCCTGTGGAGACCTTAGAGAAAGCCCTAGGTCCCTGCCTCATTTTGACGGAATGCCTCACATCCCGCTGACACCTCGAGAGGCACGCGGAGTTCATTGCTTCAAAAGGTGACGATGCCTGACTCCTCTTGAATACTGATAGGAATCCCAAAATCCCTGTGGCTACTGGAAAGGGTCCTTGGGTGCCATGCCTCACCTCGAGAAGCGTCCCTTTGGCCCTGCCAAGCCTCGAAGAGATTCCTGAGGTGTCCCTCGTTACTAGACAGGAGTCCTGACGTCACTGAAGAAACTCGTGTTTTGAAGGGCCATCCCCGCTGTAAGTCGAGAACATACCCCAGGTCCCCGCCGCAACTCGAGAAAAACCATGAGACTTCCCCCTAGAGGCGAGATGAGGCCCCATTCCCCTGCAGTGCATGCAGAGCTATTCCGTGATCCCATTCAAACAAGTCAGGAGCTTCGACTTGCTTAATGGATCTCGAGACAGTCCCCAAGAACACTGTCACCAGTCTAGACGGACCCTGAGGTCACCCCAGCAACGCAAAGCAGCTCCATGTGCCCCAAATCAACTCGAGATGAGGCCCGGTTCCCCTGCATTGACTCCAGAGCCATTCCCCGTTCCCCATTCAACACGACCGGTGGCTCGACTTCCTTCAGGCAACTCCAGAGATGCCCCGAGAACACTGTCCCAAGTCTAGAGGAACACCAACTTCAGCACAGCAACTCGAGGAATGCTCCGTGTACCCCAAATCGTCTCGAGATGCGAGCTGATTCCCTGGCTTAGGCTCAAGACGTATGCCAACTTCCCAGAAGCACCTCAGGAGGAGGCTTCTCTCAGCAATAGGTATGTGGGAGGGACCCCGAGTTTGCTGCCTCAAGGGGAATATACAGCGAGAAGCCCTAACTTGAAAGGAGGCCGGATTTCCTTGCAGTGGCTTGAATACAGGCTCGTCTTTCATCTCACAACATGAAGGGATGTCTGAATCCCCTGTGGAGACCTTAGAGAAAGCCCTAGGTCCCTGCCTCATTTTGACGGAATGCCTCACATCCCGCTGACACCTCGAGAGGCACGCGGAGTTCATTGCTTCAAAAGGTGACGATGCCTGACTCCTCTTGAATACTGATAGGAATCCCAAAATCCCTGTGGCTACTGGAAAGGGTCCTTGGGTGCCCTGCCTCACCTCGAGAAGCGTCCCTTTGGCCCTGCCAAGCCTCGAAGAGATTCCTGAGGTGTCCCTCGTTACTAGACAGGAGTCCTGACGTCAATGAAGAAACTCGTGTTTTCAAGGGCCATCCCCGCCGTAAGTCGAGAACATACCCCAGGTCCCCGCCGCAACTCGAGAAAAACCATGAGACTTCCCCCTAGAGGCGAGATGAGGCCCCATTCCCCTGCAGTGCATGCAGAGCTATTCCGTGATCCCATTCAAACAAGTCAGGAGCTTCGGCTTGCTTAATGGATCTCGAGACAGTCCCCAAGAACACTGTCACCAGTCTAGACGGACCCTGAGGTCACCCCAGCAATGCAAAGCAGCTCCATGTGCCCCAAATCAACTCGAGATGAGGCCCGATTCCCCTGCATTGACTCCAGAGCCATTCCCCGTTCCCCATTCAACACGACCGGTGGCTCGACTTCCTTCAGGCAACTCCAGAGATGCCCCGAGAACACTGTCCCAAGTCTAGAGGAACACCAACTTCAGCACAGCAACTCGAGGAATGCTCCGTGTACCCCAAATCGTCTCGAGATGCGAGCTGATTCCCTGGCTTAGGCTCAAGACGTATGCCAACTTCCCAGAAGCACCTCAGGAGGAGGCTTCTCTCAGCAATAGGTATGTGGGAGGGACCCCGAGTTTGCTGCCTCAAGGGGAATATACAGCGAGAAGCCCTAACTTGAAAGGAGGCCGGATTTCCTTGCAGTGGCTTGAATACAGGCTCGTCTTTCATCTCACAACATGAAGGGATGTCTGAATCCCCTGTGGAGACCTTAGAGAAAGCCCTAGGTCCCTGCCTCATTTTGACGGAATGCCTCACATCCCGCTGACACCTCGAGAGGCACGCGGAGTTCATTGCTTCAAAAGGTGACGATGCCTGACTCCTCTTGAATACTGATAGGAATCCCAAAATCCCTGTGGCTGCTGGAAAGGGTCCTTGGGTGCCCTGCCTCACCTCGAGAAGCGTCCCTTTGGCCCTGCCAAGCCTCGAAGAGATTCCTGAGGTGTCCCTCGTTACTAGACAGGAGTCCTGACGTCACTGAAGAAACGCGTGTTTTGAAGGGCCATCCCCGCCGTAAGTCGAGAACATACCCCAGGTCCCCGCCGCAACTCGAGAAAAACCATGAGACTTCCCCCTAGAGGCGAGATGAGGCCACATTCCCCTGCAGTGCATGCAGAGCTATTCCGTGATCCCATTCAAACAAGTCAGGAGCTTCGGCTTGCTTAATGGATCTCGAGACAGTCCCCAAGAACACTGTCACCAGTCTAGACGGACCCTGAGGTCACCCCAGCAACGCAAAGCAGCTCCATGTGCCCCAAATCAACTCGAGATGAGGCCCGATTCCCCTGCATTGACTCCAGAGCCATTCCCCATTCCCCATTCAACACGACCAGTGGCTCGACTTCCTTCAGGCAACTCCAGAGATGCCCCGAGAACACTGTCCCAGGTCTAGAGGAACACCAACTTCAGCACAGCAACTCGAGGAATGCTCCGTGTACCCCAAATCGTCTCGAGATGCGAGCTGATTCCCTGGCTTAGGCTCAAGACGTATGCCAACTTCCCAGAAGCACCACAGGAGGAGGCTTCTATCAGCAATAGGTATGTGGGAGGGACCCCCAGTTTGCTGCCTCAAGGGGAATATACAGCGAAAAGCCCTAACTTGAAAGGAGGCCGGATTTCCTTGCAGTGGCTTGAATACAGGCTCGTCTTTCATCTCACAACATGAAGGGATGTCTGAATCCCCTGTGGAGACCTTAGAGAAAGCCCTAGGTCCCTGCCTCATTTTGACGGAATGCCTCACATCCCGCTGACACCTCGAGAGGCACGCGGAGTTCATTGCTTCAAAAGGTGACGATGCCTGACTCCTCTTGAATACTGATAGGAATCCCAAAATCCCTGTGGCTACTGGAAAGGGTCCTTTTGTGCCCTGCCTCACCTCGAGAAGCGTCCCTTTTGCCCTGCCAAGCCTCGAAGAGATTCCTGAGGTGTCCCTCGTTACTAGACAGGAGTCCTGACGTCACTGAAGAAACTCGTGTTTTGAAGGGCCATCCCCGCCGTAAGTCGAGAACATACCCCAGGTCCCCGCCGCAACTCGAGAAAAACCATGAGACTTCCCCCTAGAGGCGAGATGAGGCCCCATTCCCCTGCAGTGCATGCAGAGCTATTCCGTGATCCCATTCAAACAAGTCAGGAGCTTCGGCTTGCTTAATGGATCTCGAGACAGTCCCCAAGAACACTGTCACCAGTCTAGACGGACCCTGAGGTCACCCCAGCAGTGCAAAGCAGCTCCATGTGCCCCAAATCAACTCGAGATGAGGCCCGATTCCCCTGCATTGACTCCAGAGCCATTCCCCGTTCCCCATTCAACACGACCGGTGGCTCGACTTCCTTCAGGCAACTCCAGAGATGCCCCGAGAACACTGTCCCAAGTCTAGAGGAACACCAACTTCAGCACAGCAACTCGAGGAATGCTCCGTGTACCCCAAATCGTCTCGAGATGCGAGCTGATTCCCTGGCTTAGGCTCAAGACGTATGCCAACTTCCCAGAAGCACCTCAGGAGGAGGCTTCTCTCTGCAATAGGTATGTGGGAGGGACCCCGAGTTTGCTGCCTCAAGGGGAATATACAGCAAGAAGCCCTAACTTGAAAGGAGGCCGGATTTCCTTGCAGTGGCTTGAATACAGGCTCGTCTTTCATCTCACAACATGAAGGGATGTCTGAATCCCCTGTGGAGACCTTAGAGAAAGCCCTAGGTCCCTGCCTCATTTTGACGGAATGCCTCACATCCCGCTGACACCTCGAGAGGCACGCGGAGTTCATTGCTTCAAAAGGTGACGATGCCTGACTCCTCTTGAATACTGATAGGAATCCCAAAATCCCTGTGGCTACTGGAAAGGGTCCTTGGGTGCCCTGCCTCACCTCGAGAAGCGTCCCTTTGGCCCTGCCAAGCCTCGAAGAGATTCCTGAGGTGTCCCTCGTTACTAGACAGGAGTCCTGACGTCACTGAAGAAACTCGTGTTTTGAAGGGCCATCCCCGCCGTAAGTCGAGAACATACCCCAGGTCCCCGCCGCAACTCGAGAAAAACCATGAGACTTCCCCCTAGAGGCGAGATGAGGCCCCATTCCCCTGCAGTGCATGCAGAGCTATTCCGTGATCCCATTCAAACAAGTCAGGAGCTTCGGCTTGCTTAATGGATCTCGAGAGAGTCCCCAAGAACACTGTCACCAGTCTAGACGGACCCTGAGGTCACGCCAGCAACGCAAAGCAGCTCCATGTGCCCCAAATCAACTCGAGATGAGGCCCGATTCCCCTGCATTGACTCCAGAGCCATTCCCCGTTCCCCATTCAACACGACCGGTGGCTCGACTTCCTTCAGGCAACTGCAGAGATGCCCGAGAACACTGTCCCAAGTCTAGAGGAACACCAACTTCAGCACAGCAACACGAGGAATGCTCCGTGTACCCCAAATCGTCTCGAGATGCGAGCTGATTCCCTGGCTTAGGCTCAAGACGTATGCCAACTTCCCAGAAGCACCTCAGGAGGAGGCTTCTCTCAGCAATAGGTATGTGGGAGGGACCCCGAGTTTGCTGCCTCAAGGGGAATATACAGCGAGAAGCCCTAACTTGAAAGGAGGCCGGATTTCCTTGCAGTGGCTTGAATACAGGCTCGTCTTTCATCTCACAACATGAAGGGATGTCTGAATCCCCTGTATAGACCTTAGAGAAAGCCCTAGGTCCCTGCCTCATTTTGACGGAATGCCTCACATCCCGCTGACACCTCGAGAGGAACGCGGAGTTCATTGCTTCAAAAGGTGACGATGCCTGACTCCTCTTGAATACTGATAGGAATCCCAAAATCCCTGTGGCTGCTGGAAAGGGTCCTTGGGTGCCCTGCGTCACCTCGAGAAGCGTCCCTTTGGCCCTGCCAAGCCTCGAAGAGATTCCTGAGGTGTCCCTCGTTACTAGACAGGAGTCCTGACGTCACTGAAGAAACTCGTGTTTTGAAGGGCCATCCCCGCCGTAAGTCGAGAACATACCCCAGGTCCCCGCCGCAACTCGAGAAAAACCATGAGACTTCCCCCTAGAGGCGAGATGAGGCCCCATTCCCCTGCAGTGCATGCAGAGCTATTCCGTGATCCCATTCAAACAAGTCAGGAGCTTCGACTTGCTTAATGGATCTCGAGACAGTCCCCAAGAACACTGTCACCAGTCTAGACGGACCCTGAGGTCACCCCAGCAACGCAAAGCAGCTCCATGTGCCCCAAATCAACTCGAGATGAGGCCCGATTCCCCTGCATTGACTCCAGAGCCATTCCCCGTTCCCCATTCAACACGACCGGTGGCTCGACTTCCTTCAGGCAACTCCAGAGATGCCCCGAGAACACTGTCCCAAGTCTAGAGGAACACCAACTTCAGCACAGCAACTCGAGGAATGCTCCGTCTACCCCAAATCGTCTCGAGATGCGAGCTGATTCCCTGGCTTAGGCTCAAGACGTATGCCAACCTCCCAGAAGCACCTCAGGAGGAGGCTTCTCTCAGCAATAGGTATGTGGGAGGGACCCCGAGTTTGCTGCCTCAAGGGGAATATACAGCGAGAAGCCCTAACTTGAAAGGAGGCCGGATTTCCTTGCAGTGGCTTGAATACAGGCTCGTCTTTCATCTCACAACATGAAGGGATGTCTGAATCCCCTGTGGAGACCTTAGAGAAAGCCCTAGGTCCCTGCCTCATTTTGACGGAATGCCTCACATCCCGCTGACACCTCGAGAGGCACGCGGAGTTCATTGCTTCAAAAGGTGACGATGCCTGACTCCTCTTGAATACTGATAGGAATCCCAAAATCCCTGTGGCTACTGGAAAGGGTCCTTTTGTGCCCTGCCTCACCTCGAGAAGCGTCCCTTTTGCCCTGCCAAGCCTCGAAGAGATTCCTGAGGTGTCCCTCGTTACTAGACAGGAGTCCTGACGTCACTGAAGAAACTCGTGTTTTGAAGGGCCATCCCCGCCGTAAGTCGAGAACATACCCCAGGTCCCCGCCGCAACTCGAGAAAAACCATGAGACTTCCCCCTAGAGGCGAGATGAGGCCCCATTCCCCTGCAGTGCATGCAGAGCTATTCCGTGATCCCATTCAAACAAGTCAGGAGCTTCGGCTTGCTTAATGGATCTCGAGACAGTCCCCAAGAACACTGTCACCAGTCTAGACGGACCCTGAGGTCACCCCAGCAGTGCAAAGCAGCTCCATGTGCCCCAAATCAACTCGAGATGAGGCCCGATTCCCCTGCATTGACTCCAGAGCCATTCCCCGTTCCCCATTCAACACGACCGGTGGCTCGACTTCCTTCAGGCAACTCCAGAGATGCCCCGAGAACACTGTCCCAAGTCTAGAGGAACACCAACTTCAGCACAGCAACTCGAGGAATGCTCCGTGTACCCCAAATCGTCTCGAGATGCGAGCTGATTCCCTGGCTTAGGCTCAAGACGTATGCCAACTTCCCAGAAGCACCTCAGGAGGAGGCTTCTCTCTGCAATAGGTATGTGGGAGGGACCCCGAGTTTGCTGCCTCAAGGGGAATATACAGCAAGAAGCCCTAACTTGAAAGGAGGCCGGATTTCCTTGCAGTGGCTTGAATACAGGCTCGTCTTTCATCTCACAACATGAAGGGATGTCTGAATCCCCTGTGGAGACCTTAGAGAAAGCCCTAGGTCCCTGCCTCATTTTGACGGAATGCCTCACATCCCGCTGACACCTCGAGAGGCACGCGGAGTTCATTGCTTCAAAAGGTGACGATGCCTGACTCCTCTTGAATACTGATAGGAATCCCAAAATCCCTGTGGCTACTGGAAAGGGTCCTTGGGTGCCCTGCCTCACCTCGAGAAGCGTCCCTTTGGCCCTGCCAAGCCTCGAAGAGATTCCTGAGGTGTCCCTCGTTACTAGACAGGAGTCCTGACGTCACTGAAGAAACTCGTGTTTTCAAGGGCCATCCCCGCCGTAAGTCGAGAACATACCCCAGGTCCCCGCCGCAACTCGAGAAAAACCATGAGACTTCCCCCTAGAGGCGAGATGAGGCCCCATTCCCCTGCAGTGCATGCAGAGCTATTCCGTGATCCCATTCAAACAAGTCAGGAGCTTCGGCTTGCTTAATGGATCTCGAGAGAGTCCCCAAGAACACTGTCACCAGTCTAGACGGACCCTGAGGTCACGCCAGCAACGCAAAGCAGCTCCATGTGCCCCAAATCAACTCGAGATGAGGCCCGATTCCCCTGCATTGACTCCAGAGCCATTCCCCGTTCCCCATTCAACACGACCGGTGGCTCGACTTCCTTCAGGCAACTGCAGAGATGCCCGAGAACACTGTCCCAAGTCTAGAGGAACACCAACTTCAGCACAGCAACACGAGGAATGCTCCGTGTACCCCAAATCGTCTCGAGATGCGAGCTGATTCCCTGGCTTAGGCTCAAGACGTATGCCAACTTCCCAGAAGCACCTCAGGAGGAGGCTTCTCTCAGCAATAGGTATGTGGGAGGGACCCCGAGTTTGCTGCCTCAAGGGGAATATACAGCGAGAAGCCCTAACTTGAAAGGAGGCCGGATTTCCTTGCAGTGGCTTGAATACAGGCTCGTCTTTCATCTCACAACATGAAGGGATGTCTGAATCCCCTGTATAGACCTTAGAGAAAGCCCTAGGTCCCTGCCTCATTTTGACGGAATGCCTCACATCCCGCTGACACCTCGAGAGGAACGCGGAGTTCATTGCTTCAAAAGGTGACGATGCCTGACTCCTCTTGAATACTGATAGGAATCCCAAAATCCCTGTGGCTGCTGGAAAGGGTCCTTGCGTGCCCTGCGTCACCTCGAGAAGCGTCCCTTTGGCCCTGCCAAGCCTCGAAGAGATTCCTGAGGTGTCCCTCGTTACTAGACAGGAGTCCTGACGTCACTGAAGAAACTCGTGTTTTGAAGGGCCATCCCCGCCGTAAGTCGAGAACATACCCCAGGTCCCCGCCGCAACTCGAGAAAAACCATGAGACTTCCCCCTAGAGGCGAGATGAGGCCCCATTCCCCTGCAGTGCATGCAGAGCTATTCCGTGATCCCATTCAAACAAGTCAGGAGCTTCGACTTGCTTAATGGATCTCGAGACAGTCCCCAAGAACACTGTCACCAGTCTAGACGGACCCTGAGGTCACCCCAGCAACGCAAAGCAGCTCCATGTGCCCCAAATCAACTCGAGATGAGGCCCGATTCCCCTGCATTGACTCCAGAGCCATTCCCCGTTCCCCATTCAACACGACCGGTGGCTCGACTTCCTTCAGGCAACTCCAGAGATGCCCCGAGAACACTGTCCCAAGTCTAGAGGAACACCAACTTCAGCACAGCAACTCGAGGAATGCTCCGTCTACCCCAAATCGTCTCGAGATGCGAGCTGATTCCCTGGCTTAGGCTCAAGACGTATGCCAACCTCCCAGAAGCACCTCAGGAGGAGGCTTCTCTCAGCAATAGGTATGTGGGAGGGACCCCGAGTTTGCTGCCTCAAGGGGAATATACAGCGAGAAGCCCTAACTTGAAAGGAGGCCGGATTTCCTTGCAGTGGCTTGAATACAGGCTCGTCTTTCATCTCACAACATGAAGGGATGTCTGAATCCCCTGTGGAGACCTTAGAGAAAGCCCTAGGTCCCTGCCTCATTTTGACGGAATGCCTCACATCCCGCTGACACCTCGAGAGGCACGCGGAGTTCATTGCTTCAAAAGGTGACGATGCCTGACTCCTCTTGAATACTGATAGGAATCCCAAAATCCCTGTGGCTACTGGAAAGGGTCCTTGGGTGCCCTGCCTCACCTCGAGAAGCGTCCCTTTGGCCCTGCCAAGCCTCGAAGAGATTCCTGAGGTGTCCCTCGTTACTAGACAGGAGTCCTGACGTCACTGAAGAAACTCGTGTTTTGAAGGGCCATCCCCGCCGTAAGTCGAGAACATACCCCAGGTCCCCGCCGCAACTCGAGAAAAACCATGAGACTTCCCCCTAGAGGCGAGATGAGGCCCCATTCCCCTGCAGTGCATGCAGAGCTATTCCGTGATCCCATTCAAACAAGTCAGGAGCTTCGACTTGCTTAATGGATCTCGAGACAGTCCCCAAGAACACTGTCACCAGTCTAGACGGACCCTGAGGTCACCCCAGCAACGCAAAGCAGCTCCATGTGCCCCAAATCAACTCGAGATGAGGCCCGATTCCCGTGCATTGACTTCAGAGCCGTTCCCCGTTCCCCATTCAACACGACCGGTGGCTCGACTTCCTTCAGGCAACTCCAGAGATGCCCCGAGAACACTGTCCCAAGTCTAGAGGAACACCAACTTCAGCACAGCAACTCGAGGAATGCTCCGTGTACCCCAAATCGTCTCGAGATGAGAGCTGATTCCCTGGCTTAGGCTCAAGACGTATGCCAACTTCCCAGAAGCACCTCAGGAGGAGGCTTCTCTCAGCAATAGGTATGTGGGAGGGACCCCGAGTTTGCTGCCTCAAGGGGAATATACAGCGAGAAGCCCTAACTTGAAAGGAGGCCGGATTTCCTTGCAGTGGCTTGAATACAGGCTCGTCTTTCATCTCACAACATGAAAGGATGTCTGAATCCCCTGTGGAGACCTTAGAGAAAGCCCTAGGTCCCTGCCTCATTTTGACGGAATGCCTCACATCGCGCTGACACCTCGAGAGGCACGCGGAGTTCATTGCTTCAAAAGGTGACGATGCCTGACTCCTCTTGAATACTGATAGGAATCCCAAAATCCCTGTGGCTACTGGAAAGGGTCCTTGGGTGCCCTGCCTCACCTCGAGAAGCGTCCCTTTGGCCCTGCCAAGCCTCGAAGAGATTCCTGAGGTGTCCCTCGTTACTAGACAGGAGTCCTGACGTCACTGAAGAAACTCGTGTTTTGAAGGGCCATCCCCGCCGTAAGTCGAGAACATACCCCAGGTCCCCGCCGCAACTCGAGAAAAACCATGAGACTTCCCCCTAGAGGCGAGATGAGGCCCCATTCCCCTGCAGTGCATGCAGAGCTATTCCGTGATCCCATTCAAACAAGTCAGGAGCTTCGACTTGCTTAATGGATCTCGAGACAGTCCCCAAGAACACTGTCACCAGTCTAGACGGACCCTGAGGTCACCCCAGCAACGCAAAGCAGCTCCATGTGCCCCAAATCAACTCGAGATGAGGCCCGATTCCCCTGCATTGACTCCAGAGCCATTCCCCGTTCCCCATTCAACACGACCGGTGGCTCGACTTCCTTCAGGCAACTCCAGAGATGCCCCGAGAACACTGTCCCAAGTCTAGAGGAACACCAACTTCAGCACAGCAACTCGAGGAATGCTCCGTGTACCCCAAATCGTCTCGAGATGCGAGCTGATTCCCTGGCTTAGGCTCAAGACGTATGCCAACTTCCCAGAAGCACCTCAGGAGGAGGCTTCTCTCAGCAATAGGTATGTGGGAGGGACCCCGAGTTTGCTGCCTCAAGGGGAATATACAGCGAGAAGCCCTAACTTGAAAGGAGGCCGGATTTCCTTGCAGTGGCTTGAATACAGGCTCGTCTTTCATCTCACAACATGAAGGGATGTCTGAATCCCCTGTGGAGACCTTAGAGAAAGCCCTAGGTCCCTGCTTCATTTTGACGGAATGCCTCACATCCCGCTGACACCTCGAGAGGCACGCGGAGTTCATTGCTTCAAAAGGTGACGATGCCTGACTCCTCTTGAATACTGATAGGAATCCCAAAATCCCTGTGGCTACTGGAAAGGGTCCTTGGGTGCCCTGCCTCACCTCGAGAAGCGTCCCTTTGGCCCTGCCAAGCCTCGAAGTCATTCCTGAGGTGTCCCTCGTTACTAGACAGGAGTCCTGATGTCACTGAAGAAACTCGTGTTTTGAAGGGCCATCCCCGCCGTAAGTCGAGAACATACCCCAGGTCCCCGCCGCAACTCGAGAAAAACCATGAGACTTCCCCCTAGAGGCGAGATGAGGCCCCATTCCCCTGCAGTGCATGCAGAGCTATTCCGTGATCCCATTCAAACAAGTCAGGAGCTTCGGCTTGCTTAATGGATCTCGAGACAGTCCCCAAGAACACTGTCACCCGTCTAGACGGACCCTGAGGTCACCCCAGCAACGCAAAGCAGCTCCATGTGCCCCAAATCAACTCGAGATGAGGCCCGATTCCCCTGCATTGACTCCAGAGCCATTCCCCGTTCCCCATTCAACACGACCGGTGGCTCGACTTCCTTCAGGCAACTCCAGAGATGCCCCGAGAACACTGTCCCAAGTCTAGAGGAACACCAACTTCAGCACAGCAACTCGAGGAATGCTCCGTGTACCCCAAATCGTCTCGAGATGCGAGCTGATTCCCTGGCTTAGGCTCAAGACGTATGCCAACCTCCCAGAAGCACCTCAGGAGGAGGCTTCTCTCAGCAATAGGTATGTGGGAGGGACCCCGAGTTTGCTGCCTCAAGGGGAATATACAGCGAGAAGCCCTAACTTGAAAGGAGGCCGGATTTCCTTGCAGTGGCTTGAATACAGGCTCGTCTTTCATCTCACAACATGAAGGGATGTCTGAATCCCCTGTGGAGACCTTAGAGAAAGCCCTAGGTCCCTGCCTCATTTTGACGGAATGCCTCACATCCCGCTGACACCTCGAGAGGCACGCGGAGTTCATTGCTTCAAAAGGTGACGATGCCTGACTCCTCTTGAATACTGATAGGAATCCCAAAATCCCTGTGGCTACTGGAAAGGGTCCTTGGGTGCCCTGCCTCACCTCGAGAAGCGTCCCTTTGGCCCTGCCAAGCCTCGAAGAGATTCCTGAGGTGTCCCTCGTTACTAGACAGGAGTCCTGACGTCACTGAAGAAACTCGTGTTTTGAAGGGCCATCCCCGCCGTAAGTCGAGAACATACCCCAGGTCCCCGCCGCAACTCGAGAAAAACCATGAGACTTCCCCCTAGAGGCGAGATGAGGCCCCATTCCCCTGCAGTGCATGCAGAGCTATTCCGTGATCCCATTCAAACAAGTCAGGAGCTTCGACTTGCTTAATGGATCTCGAGACAGTCCCCAAGAACACTGTCACCAGTCTACACGGACCCTGAGGTCACCCCAGCAACGCAAAGCAGCTCCATGTGCCCCAAATCAACTCGAGATGAGGCCCGATTCCCCTGCATTGACTCCAGAGCCATTCCCCGTTCCCCATTCAACACGACCGGTGGCTCGACTTCCTTCAGGCAACTCCAGAGATGCCCCGAGAACACTGTCCCAAGTCTAGAGGAACACCAACTTCAGCACAGCAACTCGAGGAATGCTCCGTGTACCCCAAATCGTCTCGAGATGCGAGCTGATTCCCTGGCTTAGGCTCAAGACGTATGCCAACTTCCCAGAAGCACCTCAGGAGGAGGCTTCTCTCAGCAATAGGTATGTGGGAGGGACCCCGAGTTTGCTGCCTCAAGGGGAATATACAGCGAGAAGCCCTAACTTGAAAGGAGGCCGGATTTCCTTGCAGTGGCTTGAATACAGGCTCGTCTTTCATCTCACAACATGAAGGGATGTCTGAATCCCCTGTGGAGACCTTAGAGAAAGCCCTAGGTCCCTGCCTCATTTTGACGGAATGCCTCACATCGCGCTCACACCTCGAGAGGCACGCGGAGTTCATTGCTTCAAAAGGTGACGATGCCTGACTCCTCTTGAATACTGATAGGAATCCCAAAATCCCTGTGGCTACTGGAAAGGGTCTTGGGTGCCCTGCCTCACCTCGAGAAGCGTCCCTTTTGCCCTGCCAAGCCTCGAAGAGATTCCTGAGGTGTCCCTTGTTACTAGACAGCAGTCCTGACGTCACTGAAGAAACTCGTGTTTTGAAGGGCCATCCCCGCCGTAAGTCGAGAACATACCCCAGGTCCCCGCCGCAACTCGAGAAAAACCATGAGACTTCCCCCTAGAGGCGAGATGAGGCCCCATTCCCCTGCAGTGCATGCAGAGCTATTCCGTGATCCCATTCAAACAAGTCAGGAGCTTCGACTTGCTTAATGGATCTCGAGACAGTCCCCAAGAACACTGTCACCAGTCTAGACGGACCCTGAGGTCACCCCAGCAACGCAAAGCAGCTCCATGTGCCCCAAATCAACTCGAGATGAGGCCCGATTCCCCTGCATTGACTCCAGAGCCTTCCCCGTTCCCCATTCAACACGACCGGTGGCTCGACTACCTTCAGGCAACTCCAGAGATGCCCCGAGAACACTGTCCCAAGTCTAGAGGAACACCAACTTCAGCACAGCAACTCGAGGAATGCTCCGTGTACCCCAAATCGTCTCGAGATGCGAGCTGATTCCCTGGCTTAGGCTCAAGACGTATGCCAACTTCCCAGAAGCACCACAGGAGGAGGCTTCTCTCAGCAATAGGTATGTGGGAGGGACCCCGAGTTTTCTGCCTCAAGGGGAATATACAGCGAGAAGCCCTAACTTGAAAGGAGGCCGGATTTCCTTGCAGTGGCTTGAATACAGGCTCGTCTTTCATCTCACAACATGAAGGGATGTCTGAATCCCCTGTGGAGACCTTAGAGAAAGCCCTAGGTCCCTGCCTCATTTTGACGGAATGCCTCACATCGCGCTGACACCTCGAGAGGCACGCGGAGTTCATTGCTTCAAAAGGTGACGATGCCTGACTCCTCTTGAATACTGATAGGAATCCCAAAATCCCTGTGGCTACTGGAAAGGGTCCTTTTGTGCCCTGCCTCACCTCGAGAAGCATCCCTTTTGCCCTGCCAAGCCTCGAAGAGATTCCTGAGGTGTCCCTCGTTACTAGACAGGAGTCCTGACGTCACTGAAGAAACTCGTGTTTTGAAGGGCCATCCCCGCCGTAAGTCGAGAACATACCCCAGGTCCCCGCCGCAACTCGAGAAAAACCATGAGACTTCCCCCTAGAGGCGAGATGAGACCCCATTCCCCTGCAGTGCATGCAGAGCTATTCCGTGATCCCATTCAAACAAGTCAGGAGCTTCGACTTGCTTAATGGATCTCGAGACAGTCCCCAAGAACACTGTCACCAGTCTAGACGGACCCTGAGGTCACCCCAGCAACGCAAAGCAGCTCCATGTGCCCCAAGTCAACTCGAGATGAGGCCCGATTCCCGTGCATTGACTTCAGAGCCGTTCCCCGTTCCCCATTCAACACGACCGGTGGCTCGACTTCCTTCAGGCAACTCCAGAGATGCCCCGAGAACACTGTCCCAAGTCTAGAGGAACACCAACTTCAGCACAGCAACTCGAGGAATGCTCCGTGTACCCCAAATCGTCTCGAGATGCGAGCTGATCCCCTGGCTTAGGCTCAAGACGTATGCCAACTTCCCAGAAGCACCTCAGGAGGAGGCTTCTCTCAGCAATAGGTATGTGGGAGGGACCCCGAGTTTGCTGCCTCAAGGGGAATATACAGCGAGAAGCCCTAACTTGAAAGGAGGCCGGATTTCCTTGCAGTGGCTTGAATACAGGCTCGTCTTTCATCTCACAACATGAAGGGATGTCTGAATCCCCTGTGGAGACCTTAGAGAAAGCCCTAGGTCCCTGCCTGATTTTGACGCAATGCCTCACATCCCGCTGACACCTCGAGAGGCACGCGGAGTTCATTGCTTCAAAAGGTGACGATGCCTGACTCCTCTTGAATACTGATAGGAATCCCAAAATCCCTGTGGCTACTGGAAAGGGTCCTTGGGTGCCCTGCCTCACCTCGAGAAGCGTCCCTTTGGCCCTGCCAAGCCTCGAAGTCATTCCTGAGGTGTCCCTCGTTACTAGACAGGAGTCCTGACGTCACTGAAGAAACTCGTGTTTTGAAGGGCCATCCCCGCCGTAAGTCGAGAACATACCCCAGGTCCCCGCCGCAACTCGAGAAAAACCATGAGACTTCCCCCTAGAGGCGAGATGAGGCCCCATTCCCCTGCAGTGCATGCAGAGCTATTCCGTGATCCCATTCAAACAAGTCAGGAGCTTCGACTTGCTTAATGGATCTCGAGACAGTCCCCAAGAACACTGTCACCAGTCTAGACGGACCCTGAGGTCACCCCAGCAACGCAAAGCAGCTCCATGTGCCCCAAATCAACTCGAGATGAGGCCCGATTCCCCTGCATTGACTCCAGAGCCATTCCCCGTTCCCCATTCAACACGACCGGTGGCTCGACTTCCTTCAGGCAACTCCAGAGATGCCCCGAGAACACTGTCCCAAGTCTAGAGGAACACCAACTTCAGCACAGCAACTCGAGGAATGCTCCGTGTACCCCAAATCGTCTCGAGATGCGAGCTGATTCCCTGGCTTAGGCTCAAGACGTATGCCAACTTCCCAGAAGCACCTCAGGAGGAGGCTTCTCTCAGCAATAGGTATGTGGGAGGGACCCCGAGTTTGCTGCCTCAAGGGGAATATACAGCGAGAAGCCCTAACTTGAAAGGAGGCCGGATTTCCTTGCAGTGGCTTGAATACAGGCTCGTCTTTCATCTCACAACATGAAGGGATGTCTGAATCCCCTGTGGAGACCTTAGAGAAAGCCCTAGGTCCCTGCCTCATTTTGACGGAATGCCTCACATCCCGCTGACACCTCGAGAGGCACGCGGAGTTCATTGCTTCAAAAGGTGACGATGCCTGACTCCTCTTGAATACTGATAGGAATCCCAAAATCCCTGTGGCTACTGGAAAGGGTCCTTGGGTGCCCTGCCTCACCTCGAGAAGCGTCCCTTTGGCCCTGCCAAGCCTCGAAGTCATTCCTGAGGTGTCCCTCGTTACTAGACAGGAGTCCTGACGTCACTGAAGAAACTCGTGTTTTGAAGAGCCATCCCCGCCGTAAGTCGAGAACATACCCCAGGTCCCCGCCGCAACTCGAGAAAAACCATGAGACTTCCCCCTAGAGGCGAGATGAGGCCCCATTCCCCTGCAGTGCATGCAGAGCTATTCCGTGATCCCATTCAAACAAGTCAGGAGCTTCGGCTTGCTTAATGGATCTCGAGACAGTCCCCAAGAACACTGTCACCCGTCTAGACGGACCCTGAGGTCACCCCAGCAACGCAAAGCAGCTCCATGTGCCCCAAATCAACTCGAGATGAGGCCCGATTCCCCTGCATTGACTCCAGAGCCATTCCCCGTTCCCCATTCAACACGACCGGTGGCTCGACTTCCTTCAGGCAACTCCAGAGATGCCCCGAGAACACTGTCCCAAGTCTAGAGGAACACCAACTTCAGCACAGCAACTCGAGGAATGCTCCGTGTACCCCAAATCGTCTCGAGATGCGAGCTGATTCCCTGGCTTAGGCTCAAGACGTATGCCAACCTCCCAGAAGCACCTCAGGAGGAGGCTTCTCTCAGCAATAGGTATGTGGGAGGGACCCCGAGTTTGCTGCCTCAAGGGGAATATACAGCGAGAAGCCCTAACTTGAAAGGAGGCCGGATTTCCTTGCAGTGGCTTGAATACAGGCTCGTCTTTCATCTCACAACATGAAGGGATGTCTGAATCCCCTGTGGAGACCTTAGAGAAAGCCCTAGGTCCCTGCCTCATTTTGACGGAATGCCTCACATCCCGCTGACACCTCGAGAGGCACGCGGAGTTCATTGCTTCAAAAGGTGACGATGCCTGACTCCTCTTGAATACTGATAGGAATCCCAAAATCCCTGTGGCTACTGGAAAGGGTCCTTGGGTGCCCTGCCTCACCTCGAGAAGCGTCCCTTTGGCCCTGCCAAGCCTCGAAGTCATTCCTGAGGTGTCCCTCGTTACTAGACAGGAGTCCTGACGTCACTGAAGAAACTCGTGTTTTGAAGGGCCATCCCCGCCGTAAATCGAAAACATACCCCAGGTCCCCGCCGCAACTCGAGAAAAACCATGAGACTTCCCCCTAGAGGCGAGATGAGGCCCCATTCCCCTGCAGTGCATGCAGAGCTATTCCGTGATCCCATTCAAACAAGTCAGGAGCTTCGGCTTGCTTAATGGATCTCGAGACAGTCCCCAAGAACACTGTCACCCGTCTAGACGGACCCTGAGGTCACCCCAGCAACGCAAAGCAGCTCCATGTGCCCCAAATCAACTCGAGATGAGGCCCGATTCCCCTGCATTGACTCCAGAGCCATTCCCCGTTCCCCATTCAACACGACCGGTGGCTCGACTTCCTTCAGGCAACTCCAGAGATGCCCCGAGAACACTGTCCCAAGTCTAGAGGAACACCAACTTCAGCACAGCAACTCGAGGAATGCTCCGTGTACCCCAAATCGTCTCGAGATGCGAGCTGATTCCCTGGCTTAGGCTCAAGACGTATGCCAACCTCCCAGAAGCACCTCAGGAGGAGGCTTCTCTCAGCAATAGGTATGTGGGAGGGACCCCGAGTTTGCTGCCTCAAGGGGAATATACAGCGAGAAGCCCTAACTTGAAAGGAGGCCGGATTTCCTTGCAGTGGCTTGAATACAGGCTCGTCTTTCATCTCACAACATGAAGGGATGTCTGAATCCCCTGTGGAGACCTTAGAGAAAGCCCTAGGTCCCTGCCTCATTTTGACGGAATGCCTCACATCGCGCTCACACCTCGAGAGGCACGCGGAGTTCATTGCTTCAAAAGGTGACGATGCCTGACTCCTCTTGAATACTGATAGGAATCCCAAAATCCCTGTGGCTACTGGAAAGGGTCCTTGGGTGCCCTGCCTCACCTCGAGAAGCGTCCCTTTTGCCCTGCCAAGCCTCGAAGTCATTCCTGAGGTGTCCCTCGTTACTAGACAGGAGTCCTGACGTCACTGAAGAAACTCGTGTTTTGAAGGGCCATCCCCGCCGTAAGTCGAGAACATACCCCAGGTCCCCGCCGCAAATCGAGAAAAACCATGAGACTTCTCCCTAGAGGCGAGATGAGGCCCCATTCCCCTGCAGTGCATGCAGAGCTATTCCGTGATTCCATTCAAACAAGTCAGGAGCTTCGGCTTGCTTAATGGATCTCGAGACAGTCCCCAAGAACACTGTCACCCGTCTAGACGGACCCTGAGGTCACCCCAGCAACGCAAAGCAGCTCCATGTGCCCCAAATCAACTCGAGATGAGGCCCGATTCCCCTGCATTGACTCCAGAGCCATTCCCCGTTCCCCATTCAACACGACCGGTGGCTCGACTTCCTTCAGGCAACTCCAGAGATGCCCCGAGAACACTGTCCCAAGTCTAGAGGAACACCAACTTCAGCACAGCAACTCGAGGAATGCTCCGTGTACCCGAAATCGTTTCGAGATGCGAGCTGATTCCCTGGCTTAGGCTCAAGACGTATGCCAACTTAACAGAAGCACCTCAGGAGGAGGCTTCTCTCAGCAATAGGTATGTGGGAGGGACCCCGAGTTTGCTGCCTCAAGGGGAATATACAGCGAGAAGCCCTAACTTGAAAGGAGGCCGGATTTCCTTGCAGTGGCTTGAATACAGGCTCGTCTTTCATCTCACAACATGAAGGGATGTCTGAATCCCCTGTGGAGACCTTAGAGAAAGCCCTAGGTCCCTGCCTGATTTTGACGCAATGCCTCACATCCCGCTGACACCTCGAGAGGCACGAGGAGTTCATTGCTTCAAAAGGTGACGATGCCTGACTCCTCTTGAATACTGATAGGAATCCCAAAATCCCTGTGGCTACTGGAAAGGGTCTTGGGTGCCCTGCCTCACCTCGAGAAGCGTCCCTTTTGCCCTGCCAAGCCTCGAAGAGATTCCTGAGGTGTCCCTCGTTACTAGACAGCAGTCCTGACGTCACTGAAGAAACTCGTGTTTTGAAGGGCCATCCCCGCCGTAAGTCGAGAACGTACCCCAGGTCCCCGCCGCAACTCGAGAAAAACCATGAGACTTCCCCCTAGAGGCGAGATGAGGCCCCATTCCCCTGCAGTGCATGCAGAGCTATTCCGTGATCCCATTCAAACAAGTCAGGAGCTTCGACTTGCTTAATGGATCTCGAGACAGTCCCCAAGAACACTGTCACCAGTCTAGACGGACCCTGAGGTCACCCCAGCAACGCAAAGCAGCTCCATGTGCCCCAAATCAACTCGAGATGAGGCCCGATTCCCCTGCATTGATTCCAGAGCCTTCCCCGTTCCCCATTCAACACGACCGGTGGCTCGACTTCCTTCAGGCAACTCCAGAGATGCCCCGAGAACACTGTCCCAAGTCTAGAGGAACACCAACTTCAGCACAGCAACTCGAGGAATGCTCCGTGTACCCCAAATCGTCTCGAGATGCGAGCTGATTCCCTGGCTTAGGCTCAAGACGTATGCCAACTTCCCAAGAGCACCACAGGAGGAGGCTTCTCTCAGCAATAGGTATGTGGGAGGGACCCCGAGTTTTCTGCCTCAAGGGGAATATACAGCGAGAAGCCCTAACTTGAAAGGAGGCCGGATTTCCTTGCAGTGGCTTGAATACAGGCTCGTCTTTCATCTCACAACATGAAGGGATGTCTGAATCCCCTGTGGAGACCTTAGAGAAAGCCCTAGGTCCCTGCCTCATTTTGACGGAATGCCTCACATCGCGCTGACACCTCGAGAGGCACGCGGAGTTCATTGCTTCAAAAGGTGACGATGCCTGACTCCTCTTGAATACTGATAGGAATCCCAAAATCCCTGTGGCTACTGGAAAGGGTCCTTTTGTGCCCTGCCTCACCTCGAGAAGCATCCCTTTTGCCCTGCCAAGCCTCGAAGAGATTCCTGAGGTGTCCCTCGTTACTAGACAGGAGTCCTGACGTCACTGAAGAAACTCGTGTTTTGAAGGGCCATCCCCGCCGTAAGTCGAGAACATACCCCAGGTCCCCGCCGCAACTCGAGAAAAACCATGAGACTTCCCCCTAGAGGCGAGATGAGACCCCATTCCCCTGCAGTGCATGCAGAGCTATTCCGTGATCCCATTCAAACAAGTCAGGAGCTTCGACTTGCTTAATGGATCTCGAGACAGTCCCCAAGAACACTGTCACCAGTCTAGACGGACCCTGAGGTCACCCCAGCAACGCAAAGCAGCTCCATGTGCCCCAAATCAACTCGAGATGAGGCCCGATTCCCGTGCATTGACTTCAGAGCCGTTCCCCGTTCCCCATTCAACACGACCGGTGGCTCGACTTCCTTCAGGCAACTCCAGAGATGCCCCGAGAACACTGTCCCAAGTCTAGAGGAACACCAACTTCAGCACAGCAACTCGAGGAATGCTCCGTGTACCCCAAATCGTCTCGAGATGCGAGCTGATCCCCTGGCTTAGGCTCAAGACGTATGCCAACTTCCCAGAAGCACCTCAGGAGGAGGCTTCTCTCAGCAATAGGTATGTGGGAGGGACCCCGAGTTTGCTGCCTCAAGGGGAATATACAGCGAGAAGCCCTAACTTGAAAGGAGGCCGGATTTCCTTGCAGTGGCTTGAATACAGGCTCGTCTTTCATCTCACAACATGAAGGGATGTCTGAATCCCCTGTGGAGACCTTAGAGAAAGCCCTAGGTCCCTGCCTGATTTTGACGCAATGCCTCACATCCCGCTGACACCTCGAGAGGCACGCGGAGTTCATTGCTTCAAAAGGTGACCATGCCTGACTCCTCTTGAATACTGATAGGAATCCCAAAATCCCTGTGGCTACTGGAAAGGGTCTTGGGTGCCCTGCCTCACCTCGAGAAGCGTCCCTTTTGCCCTGCCAAGCCTCGAAGAGATTCCTGAGGTGTCCCTCGTTACTAGACAGCAGTCCTGACGTCACTGAAGAAACTCGTGTTTTGAAGGGCCATCCCCGCCGTAAGTCGAGAACGTACCCCAGGTCCCCGCCGCAACTCGAGAAAAACCATGAGACTTCCCCCTAGAGGCGAGATGAGGCCCCATTCCCCTGCAGTGCTTGCAGAGCTATTCCGTGAACCCATTCAAACAAGTCAGGAGCTTCGGCTTGCTTAATGGATCTCGAGACAGTCCCCAAGAACACTGTCACCCGTCTAGACGGACCCTGAGGTCACCCCAGCAACGCAAAGCAGCTCCATGTGCCCCAAATCAACTCGAGATGAGGCCCGATTCCCCTGCATTGACTCCAGAGCCATTCCCCGTTCCCCATTCAACACGACCGGTGGCTCGACTTCCTTCAGGCATCTCCAGAGATGCCCAGAGAACACTGTCCCAAGTCTAGAGGAACACCAACTTCAGCACAGCAACTCGAGGAATGCTCCGTGTACCCCAAATCGTCTCGAGATGCGAGCTGATTCCCTGGCTTAGGCTCAAGACGTATGCCAACTTCCCAGAAGCACCTCAGGAGGAGGCTTCTCTCAGCAATAGGTATGTGGGAGGGACCCCGAGTTTGCTGCCTCAAGGGGAATATACAGCGAGAAGCCCTAACTTGAAAGGAGGCCGGATTTCCTTGCAGTGGCTTGAATACAGGCTCGTCTTTCATCTCACAACATGAAGGGATGTCTGAATCCCCTGTGGAGACCTTAGAGAAAGCCCTAGGTCCCTGCCTCATTTTGACGGAATGCCTCACATCCCGCTGACACCTCGAGAGGCACGCGGAGTTCATTGCTTCAAAAGGTGACGATGCCTGACTCCTCTTGAATACTGATAGGAATCCCAAAATCCCTGTGGCTACTGGAAAGGGTCCTTGGGTGCCCTGCCTCACCTCGAGAAGCGTCCCTTTGGCCCTGCCAAGCCTCGAAGAGATTCCTGAGGTGTCCCTCGTTACTAGACAGGAGTCCAGACGTCACTGAAGAAACTCGTGTTTTCAAGGGCCATCCCCGCCGTAAGTCGAGAACATACCCCAGGTCCCCGCCGCAACTCGAGAAAAACCATGAGACTTCCCCCTAGAGGCGAGATGAGGCCCCATTCCCCTGCAGTGCATGCAGAGCTATTCCGTGATCCCATTCAAACACGTCAGGAGCTTCGGCTTGCTTAATGGATCTCGAGACAGTCCCCAAGAACACTGTCACCAGTCTAGACGGACCCTGAGGTCACCCCAGCAACGCAAAGCAGCTCCATGTGCCCCAAATCAACTCGAGATGAGGCCCGATTCCCCTGCATTGACTCCAGAGCCATTCCCCGTTCCCCATTCAACACGACCGGTGGCTCGACTTCCTTCAGGCAACTCCAGAGATGCCCCGAGAACACTGTCCCAAGTCTAGAGGAACACCAACTTCAGCACAGCAACTCGAGGAATGCTCCGTTTACCCCAAATCGTCTCGAGATGAGAGCTGATTCCCTGGCTTAGGCTCAAGACGTATGCCAACTTCCCAGAAGAACCTCAGGTGGAGGCTTCTCTCAGCAATAGGTATGTGGGAGGGACCCCGAGTTTGCTGCCTCAAGGGGAATATACAGCGAGAAGCCCTAACTTGAAAGGAGGCCGGATTTCCTTGCAGTGGCTTGAATACAGGCTCGTCTTTCATCTCACAACATGAAAGGATGTCTGAATCCCCTGTGGAGACCTTAGAGAAAGCCCTAGGTCCCTGCCTCATTTTGACGGAATGCCTCACATCGCGCTGACACCTCGAGAGGCACGCGGAGTTCATTGCTTCAAAAGGTGACGATGCCTGACTCCTCTTGAATACTGATAGGAATCCCAAAATCCCTGTGGCTACTGGAAAGGGTCCTTGGGTGCCCTGCCTCACCTCGAGAAGCGTCCCTTTGGCCCTGCCAAGCCTCGAAGTCATTCCTGAGGTGTCCCTCGTTACTAGACAGGAGTCCTGACGTCACTGAAGAAACTCGTGTTTTGAAGGGCCATCGCCGCCGTAAGTCGAGAACATACCCCAGGTCCCCGCCGCAACTCGAGAAAAACCATGAGACTTCCCCCTAGAGGCGAGATGAGGCCCCATTCCCCTGCAGTGCATGCAGAGCTATTCCGTGATCCCATTCAAACAAGTCAGGAGCTTCGGCTTGCTTAATGGATCTCGAGACAGTCCCCAAGAACACTGTCACCCGTCTAGACGGACCCTGAGGTCCCCCCAGCAACGCAAAGCAGCTCCATGTGCCCCAAATCAACTCGAGATGAGGCCCGATTCCCCTGCATTGACTCCAGAGCCATTCCCCGTTCCCCATTCAACACGACCGGTGGCTCGACTTCCTTCAGGCAACTCCAGAGATGCCCCGAGAACACTGTCCCAAGTCTAGAGGAACACCAACTTCAGCACAGCAACTCGAGGAATGCTCCGTGTACCCCAAATCGTCTCGAGATGCGAGCTGATTCCCTGGCTTAGGCTCAAGACGTATGCCAACCTCCCAGAAGCACCTCAGGAGGAGGCTTCTCTCAGCAATAGGTATGTGGGAGGGACCCCGAGTTTGCTGCCTCAAGGGGAATATACAGCGAGAAGCCCTAAATTGAAAGGAGGCCGGATTTCCTTGCAGTGGCTTGAATACAGGCTCGTCTTTCATCTCACAACATGAAAGGATGTCTGAATCCCCTGTGGAGACCTTAGAGAAAGCCCTAGGTCCCTGCCTCATTTTGACGGAATGCCTCACATCGCGCTGACACCTCGAGAGGCACGCGGAGTTCATTGCTTCAAAAGGTGACGATGCCTGACTCCTCTTGAATACTGATAGGAATCCCAAAATCCCTGTGGCTACTGGAAAGGGTCCTTGGGTGCCCTGCCTCACCTCGAGAAGCGTCCCTTTGGCCCTGCCAAGCCTCGAAGAGATTCCTGAGGTGTCCCTCGTTACTAGACAGGAGTCCTGACGTCACTGAAGAAACTCGTGTTTTGAAGGGCCATCCCCGCCGTAAGTCGAGAACATACCCCAGGTCCCCGCCGCAACTCGAGAAAAACCATGAGACTTCCCCCTAGAGGCGAGATGAGGCCCCATTCCCCTGCAGTGCATGCAGAGCTATTCCGTGATCCCATTCAAACAAGTCAGGAGCTTCGACTTGCTTAATGGATCTCGAGACAGTCCCCAAGAACACTGTCACCAGTCTAGACGGACCCTGAGGTCACCCCAGCAACGCAAAGCAGCTCCATGTGCCCCAAATCAACTCGAGATGAGGCCCGATTCCCCTGCATTGACTCCAGAGCCATTCCCCGTTCCCCATTCAACACGACCGGTGGCTCGACTTCCTTCAGGCAACTCCAGAGATGCCCCGAGAACACTGTCCCAAGTCTAGAGGAACACCAACTTCAGCACAGCAACTCGAGGAATGCTCCGTGTACCCCAAATCGTCTCGAGATGCGAGCTGATTCCCTGGCTTAGGCTCAAGACGTATGCCAACTTCCCAGAAGCACCACAGGAGGAGGCTTCTCTCAGCAATAGGTATGTGGGAGGGACCCCGAGTTTGCTGCCTCAAGGGGAATATACAGCGAGAAGCCCTAACTTGAAAGGAGGCCGGATTTCCTTGCAGTGGCTTGAATACAGGCTCGTCTTTCATCTCACAACATGAAGGGATGTCTGAATCCCCTGTGGAGACCTTAGAGAAAGCCCTAGGTCCCTGCCTCATTTTGACGGAATGCCTCACATCGCGCTGACACCTCGAGAGGCACGCGGAGTTCATTGCTTCAAAAGGTGACGATGCCTGACTCCTCTTGAATACTGATAGGAATCCCAAAATCCCTGTGGCTACTGGAAAGGGTCCTTTTGTGCCCTGCCTCACCTCGAGAAGCATCCCTTTTGCCCTGCCAAGCCTCGAAGAGATTCCTGAGGTGTCCCTCGTTACTAGACAGGAGTCCTGACGTCACTGAAGAAACTCGTGTTTTGAAGGGCCATCCCCGCCGTAAGTCGAGAACATACCCCAGGTCCCCGCCGCAACTCGAGAAAAACCATGAGACTTCCCCCTAGAGGCGAGATGAGGCCCCATTCCCCTGCAGTGCATGCAGAGCTATTCCGTGATCCCATTCAAACAAGTCAGGAGCTTCGACTTGCTTAATGGATCTCGAGACAGTCCCCAAGAACACTGTCACCAGTCTAGACGGACCCTGAGGTCACCCCAGCAACGCAAAGCAGCTCCCTGTGCCCCAAATTAACTCGAGATGAGGCCCGATTCCCGTGCATTGACTTCAGAGCCGTTCCCCGTTCCCCATTCAACACGACCGGTGGCTCGACTTCCTTCAGGCAACTCCAGAGATGCCCCGAGAACACTGTCCCAAGTCTAGAGGAACACCAACTTCAGCACAGCAACTCGAGGAATGCTCCGTTTACCCCAAATCGTCTCGAGATGAGAGCTGATTCCCTGGCTTAGGCTCAAGACGTATGCCAACTTCCCAGAAGAACCTCAGGTGGAGGCTTCTCTCAGCAATAGGTATGTGGGAGGGACCCCGAGTTTGCTGCCTCAAGGGGAATATACAGCGAGAAGCCCTAACTTGAAAGGAGGCCGGATTTCCTTGCAGTGGCTTGAATACAGGCTCGTCTTTCATCTCACAACATGAAAGGATGCCTGAATCCCCTGTGGAGACCTTAGAGAAAGCCCTAGGTCCCTGCCTCATTTTGACGGAATGCCTCACATCGCGCTGACACCTCGAGAGGCACGCGGAGTTCATTGCTTCAAAAGGTGACGATGCCTGACTCCTCTTGAATACTGATAGGAATCCCAAAATCCCTGTGGCTACTGGAAAGGGTCCTTGGGTGCCCTGCCTCACCTCGAGAAGCGTCCCTTTGGCCCTGCCAAGCCTCGAAGTCATTCCTGAGGTGTCCCTCGTTACTAGACAGGAGTCCTGACGTCACTGAAGAAACTCGTGTTTTGAAGGGCCATCCCCGCCGTAAGTCGAGAACATACCCCAGGTCCCCGCCGCAACTCGAGAAAAACCATGAGACTTCCCCCTAGAGGCGAGATGAGGCCCCATTCCCCTGCAGTGCATGCAGAGCTATTCCGTGATTCCATTCAAACAAGTCAGGAGCTTCGGCTTGCTTAATGGATCTCGAGACAGTCCCCAAGAACACTGTCACCCGTCTAGACGGACCCTGAGGTCACCCCAGCAACGCAAAGCAGCTCCATGTGCCCCAAATCAACTCGAGATGAGGCCCGATTCCCCTGCATTGACTCCAGAGCCATTCCCCGTTCCCCATTCAACACGACCGGTGGCTCGACTTCCTTCAGGCAACTCCAGAGATGCCCCGAGAACACTGTCCCAAGTCTAGAGGAACACCAACTTCAGCACAGCAACTCGAGGAATGCTCCGTCTACCCCAAATCGTCTCGAGATGCGAGCTGATTCCCTGGCTTAGGCTCAAGACGTATGCCAACCTCCCAGAAGCACCTCAGGAGGAGGCTTCTCTCAGCAATAGGTATGTGGGAGGGACCCCGAGTTTGCTGCCTCAAGGGGAATATACAGCGAGAAGCCCTAACTTGAAAGGAGGCCGGATTTCCTTGCAGTGGCTTGAATACAGGCTCGTCTTTCATCTCACAACATGAAAGGATGTCTGAATCCCCTGTGGAGACCTTAGAGAAAGCCCTAGGTCCCTGCCTCATTTTGACGGAATGCCTCACATCCCGCTGACACCTCGAGAGGCACGCGGAGTTCATTGCTTCAAAAGGTGACGATGCCTGACTCCTCTTGAATACTGATAGGAATCCCAAAATCCCTGTGGCTACTGGAAAGGGTCCTTGGGTGCCCTGCCTCACCTCGAGAAGCGTCCCTTTGGCCCTGCCAAGCCTCGAAGTCATTCCTGAGGTGTCCCTCGTTACTAGACAGGAGTCCTGACGTCACTGAAGAAACTCGTGTTTTGAAGGGCCATCCCCGCCGTAAGTCGAGAACATACCCCAGGTCCCCGCCGCAACTCGAGAAAAACCATGAGACTTCCCCCTAGAGGCGAGATGAGGCCCCATTCCCCTGCAGTGCATGCAGAGCTATTCCGTGATCCCATTCAAACAAGTCAGGAGCTTCGGCTTGCTTAATGGATCTCGAGACAGTCCCCAAGAACACTGTCACCCGTCTAGACGGACCCTGAGGTCACCCCAGCAACGCATAGCAGCTCCATGTGCCCCAAATCAACTCGAGATGAGGCCCGATTCCCCTGCATTGACTCCAGAGCCATTCCCCGTTCCCCATTCAACACGACCGGTGGCTCGACTTCCTTCAGGCAACTCCAGAGATGCCCCGAGAACACTGTCCCAAGTCTAGAGGAACACCAACTTCAGCACAGCAACTCGAGGAATGCTCCCTCTACCCCAAATCGTCTCGAGATGCGAGCTGATTCCCTGGCTTAGGCTCAAGACGTATGCCAACCTCCCAGAAGCACCTCAGGAGGAGGCTTCTCTCAGCAATAGGTATGTGGGAGGGACCCCGAGTTTGCTGCCTCAAGGGGAATATACAGCGAGAAGCCCTAACTTGAAAGGAGGCCGGATTTCCTTGCAGTGGCTTGAATACAGGCTCGTCTTTCATCTCACAACATGAAGGGATGTCTGAATCCCCTGTGGAGACCTTAGAGAAAGCCCTAGGTCCCTGCCTCATTTTGACGGAATGCCTCACATCCCGCTGACACCTCGAGAGGCACGCGGAGTTCATTGCTTCAAAAGGTGACGATGCCTGACTCCTCTTGAATACTGATAGGAATCCCAAAATCCCTGTAGCTACTGGAAAGGGTCCTTGGGTGCCCTGCCTCACCTCGAGAAGCGTCCCTTTGGCCCTGCCAAGCCTCGAAGAGATTCCTGAGGTGTCCCTCGTTACTAGACAGGAGTCCTGACGTCACTGAAGAAACTCGTGTTTTGAAGGGCCATCCCCGCCGTAAGTCGAGAACATACCCCAGGTCCCCGCCGCAACTCGAGAAAAACCATGAGACTTCCCCCTAGAGGCGAGATGAGGCCCCATTCCCCTGCAGTGCATGCAGAGCTATTCCGTGATCCCATTCAAACAAGTCAGGAGCTTCGTCTTGGTTAATGGATCTCGAGACAGTCCCCAAGAACACTGTCACCAGTCTAGACGGACCCTGAGGTCACCCCAGCAGTGCAAAGCAGCTCCATGTGCCCCAAATCAACTCGAGATGAGGCCCGATTCCCCTGCATTGACTCCAGAGCCATTCCCCGTTCCCCATTCAACACGACCGGTGGCTCGACTTCCTTCAGGCAACTCCAGAGATGCCCCGAGAACACTGTCCCAAGTCTAGAGGAACACCAACTTCAGCACAGCAACTCGAGGAATGCTCCGTGTACCCCAAATCGTCTCGAGATGCGAGCTGATTCCCTGGCTTAGGCTCAAGACGTATGCCAACTTCCCAGAAGCACCTCAGGAGGAGGCTTCTCTCTGCAATAGGTATGTGGGAGGGACCCCGAGTTTGCTGCCTCAAGGGGAATATACAGTGAGAAGCCCTAACTTGAAAGGAGGCCGGATTTCCTTGCAGTGGCTTGAATACAGGCTCGTCTTTCATCTCACAACATGAAGGGATGTCTGAATCCCCTGTGGAGACCTTAGAGAAAGCCCTAGGTCCCTGCCTCATTTTGACGGAATGCCTCACATCCCGCTGACACCTCGAGAGGCACGCGGAGTTCATTGCTTCAAAAGGTGACGATGCCTGACTCCTCTTGAATACTGATAGGAATCCCAAAATCCCTGTGGCTACTGGAAAGGGTCCTTGGTTGCCCTGCCTCACCTCGAGAAGCGTCCCTTTGGCCCTGCCAAGCCTCGAAGAGATTCCTGAGGTGTCCCTCGTTACTAGACAGGAGTCCTGACGTCACTGAAGAAACTCGTGTTTTCAAGGGCCATCCCCGCCGTAAGTCGAGAACATACCCCAGGTCCCCGCCGCAACTTGAGAAAAACCATGAGACTTAACCCTAGAGGCGAGATGAGGCCCCATTCCCCTGCAGTGCATGCAGAGCTATTCCGTGATCCCATTCAAACAAGTCAGGAGCTTCGGCTTGCTTAATGGATCTCGAGAGAGTCCCCAAGAACACTGTCACCAGTCTAGACGGACCCTGAGGTCACCCCGGAAACGCAAAGCAGCTCCATGTAAACCAAATCAACTCGAGATGAGGCCCGATTCCCCTGCATTGACTCCAGAGCCATTCCCCGTTCCCCATTCAACACGACCGGTGGCTCGACTTCCTTCAGGCAACTGCAGAGATGCCCCGAGAACACTGTCCCAAGTCTAGAGGAACACCAACTTCAGCACAGCAACTCGAGGAATGCTCCGTGTACCCCAAATCGTCTCGAGATGCGAGCTGATTCCCTGGCTTAGGCTCAAGACGTATGCCAACTTCCCAGAAGCACCTCAGGAGGAGGCTTCTCTCAGCAATAGGTATGTGGGAGGGACCCCGAGTTTGCTGCCTCAAGGGGAATATACAGCGAGAAGCCCTAACTTGAAAGGAGGCCGGATTTCCTTGCAGTGGCTTGAATACAGGCTCGTCTTTCATCTCACAACATGAAGGGATGTCTGAATCCCCTGTATAGACCTTAGAGAAAGCCCTAGGTCCCTGCCTCATTTTGACGGAATGCCTCACATCCCGCTGACACCTCGAGAGGCACGCGGAGTTCATTGCTTCAAAAGGTGACGATGCCTGACTCCTCTTGAATACTGATAGGAATCCCAAAATCCCTGTGGCTGCTGGAAAGGGTCCTTGGGTGCCCTGCGTCACCTCGAGAAGCGTCCCTTTGGCCCTGCCAAGCCTCGAAGAGATTCCTGAGGTGTCCCTCGTTACTAGACAGGAGTCCTGACGTCACTGAAGAAACTCGTGTTTTGAAGGGCCATCACCGCCGTAAGTCGAGAACATACCCCAGGTCCCCGCCGCAACTCGAGAAAAACCATGAGACTTCCCCCTAGAGGCGAGATGAGGCCCCATTCCCCTGCAGTGCATGCAGAGCTATTCCGTGATCCCATTCAAACAAGTCAGGAGCTTCGACTTGCTTAATGGATCTCGAGACAGTCCCCAAGAACACTGTCACCAGTCTAAACGGACCCTGAGGTCACCCCAGCAACGCAAAGCAGCTCCATGTGCCCCAAATCAACTCGAGATGAGGCCCGATTCCCCTGCATTGACTCCAGAGCCATTCCCCATTCCCCATTCAACACGACCAGTGGCTCGACTTCCTTCAGGCAACTCCAGAGATGCCCCGAGAACACTGTCCCAGGTCTAGAGGAACACCAACTTCAGCACAGCAACTCGAGGAATGCTCCGTGTACCCCAAATCGTCTCGAGATGCGAGCTGATTCCCTGGCTTAGGCTCAAGACGTATGCCAACTTCCCAGAAGCACCTCAGGAGGAGGCTTCTCTCAGCAATAGGTATGTGGGAGGGACCCCGAGTTTGCTGCCTCAAGGGGAATATACAGCGAGAAGCCCTAACTTGAAAGGAGGCCGGATTTCCTTGCAGTGGCTTGAATACAGGCTCGTCTTTCATCTCACAACATGAAGGGATGTCTGAATCCCCTGTGGAGACCTTAGAGAAAGCCCTAGGTCCCTGCCTCATTTTGACGGAATGCCTCACAGCCCGCTGACACCTCGAGAGGCACGCGGAGTTCATTGCTTCAAAAGGTGACGATGCCTGACTCCTCTTGAATACTGATAGGAATCCCAAAATCCCTGTGGCTACTGGAAAGGGTCTTGGGTGCCCTGCCTCACCTCGAGAAGCGTCCCTTTTGCCCTGCCAAGCCTCGAAGAGATTCCTGAGGTGTCCCTCGTTACTAGACAGCAGTCCTGACGTCACTGAAGAAACTCGTGTTTTGAAGGGCCATCCCCGCCGTAAGTCGAGAACGTACCCCAGGTCCCCGCCGCAACTCGAGAAAAACCATGAGACTTCCCCCTAGAGGCGAGATGAGGCCCCATTCCCCTGCAGTGCATGCAGAGCTATTCCGTGAACCCATTCAAACAAGTCAGGAGCTTCGGCTTGCTTAATGGATCTCGAGACAGTCCCCAAGAACACTGTCACCAGTCTAGACGGACCCTGAGGTCACCCCAGCAACGCAAAGCAGCTCCATGTGCCCCAAATCAACTCGAGATGAGGCCCGATTCCCCTGCATTGACTCCAGAGCCATTCCCCGTTCCCCATTCAACACGACCGGTGGCTCGACTTCCTTCAGGCATCTCCAGAGATGCCCAGAGAACACTGTCCCAAGTCTAGAGGAACACCAACTTCAGCACAGCAACTCGAGGAATGCTCCGTGTACCCCAAATCGTCTCGAGATGCGAGCTGATTCCCTGGCTTAGGCTCAAGACGTATGCCAACTTCCCAGAAGCACCTCAGGAGGAGGCTTCTCTCAGCAATAGGTATGTGGGAGGGACCCCGAGTTTGCTGCCTCAAGGGGAATATACAGCGAGAAGCCCTAACTTGAAAGGAGGCCGGATTTCCTTGCAGTGGCTTGAATACAGGCTCGTCTTTCATCTCACAACATGAAGGGATGTCTGAATCCCCTGTGGAGACCTTAGAGAAAGCCCTAGGTCCCTGCCTCATTTTGACGGAATGCCTCACATCCCGCTGACACCTCGAGAGGCACGCGGAGTTCATTGCTTCAAAAGGTGACGATGCCTGACTCCTCTTGAATACTGATAGGAATCCCAAAATCCCTGTGGCTACTGGAAAGGGTCCTTGGGTGCCCTGCCTCACCTCGAGAAGCGTCCCTTTGGCCCTGCCAAGCCTCGAAGAGATTCCTGAGGTGTCCCTCGTTACTAGACAGGAGTCCAGACGTCACTGAAGAAACTCGTGTTTTGAAGGGCCATCCCCGCCGTAAGTCGAGAACATACCCCAGGTCCCCGCCGCAACTCGAGAAAAACCATGAGACTTCCCCCTAGAGGCGAGATGAGGCCCCATTCCCCTGCAGTGCATGCAGAGCTATTCCGTGATCCCATTCAAACACGTCAGGAGCTTCGGCTTGCTTAATGGATCTCGAGACAGTCCCCAAGAACACTGTCACCAGTCTAGACGGACCCTGAGGTCACCCCAGCAACGCAAAGCAGCTCCATGTGCCCCAAATCAACTCGAGATGAGGCCCGATTCCCCTGCATTGACTCCAGAGCCATTCCCCGTTCCCCATTCAACACGACCGGTGGCTCGACTTCCTTCAGGCAACTCCAGAGATGCCCCGAGAACACTGTCCCAAGTCTAGAGGAACACCAACTTCAGCACAGCAACTCGAGGAATGCTCCGTGTACCCCAAATCGTCTCGAGATGCGAGCTGATTCCCTGGCTTAGGCTCAAGACGTATGCCAACTTCCCAGAAGCACCACAGGAGGAGGCTTCTCTCAGCAATAGGTATGTGGGAGGGACCCCGAGTTTGCTGCCTCAAGGGGAATATACAGCGAGAAGCCCTAACTTGAAAGGAGGCCGGATTTCCTTGCAGTGGCTTGAATACAGGCTCGTCTTTCATCTCACAACATGAAGGGATGTCTGAATCCCCTGTGGAGACCTTAGAGAAAGCCCTAGGTCCCTGCCTCATTTTGACGGAATGCCTCACATCGCGCTGACACCTCGAGAGGCACGCGGAGTTCATTGCTTCAAAAGGTGACGATGCCTGACTCCTCTTGAATACTGATAGGAATCCCAAAATCCCTGTGGCTACTGGAAAGGGTCCTTTTGTGCCCTGCCTCACCTCGAGAAGCATCCCTTTTGCCCTGCCAAGCCTCGAAGAGATTCCTGAGGTGTCCCTCGTTACTAGACAGGAGTCCTGACGTCACTGAAGAAACTCGTGTTTTGAAGGGCCATCCCCGCCGTAAGTCGAGAACATACCCCAGGTCCCCGCCGCAACTCGAGAAAAACCATGAGACTTCCCCCTAGAGGCGAGATGAGGCCCCATTCCCCTGCAGTGCATGCAGAGCTATTCCGTGATCCCATTCAAACAAGTCAGGAGCTTCGACTTGCTTAATGGATCTCGAGACAGTCCCCAAGAACACTGTCACCAGTCTAGACGGACCCTGAGGTCACCCCAGCAACGCAAAGCAGCTCCCTGTGCCCCAAATTAACTCGAGATGAGGCCCGATTCCCGTGCATTGACTTCAGAGCCGTTCCCCGTTCCCCATTCAACACGACCGGTGGCTCGACTTCCTTCAGGCAACTCCAGAGATGCCCCGAGAACACTGTCCCAAGTCTAGAGGAACACCAACTTCAGCACAGCAACTCGAGGAATGCTCCGTTTACCCCAAATCGTCTCGAGATGAGAGCTGATTCCCTGGCTTAGGCTCAAGACGTATGCCAACTTCCCAGAAGAACCTCAGGTGGAGGCTTCTCTCAGCAATAGGTATGTGGGAGGGACCCCGAGTTTGCTGCCTCAAGGGGAATATACAGCGAGAAGCCCTAACTTGAAAGGAGGCCGGATTTCCTTGCAGTGGCTTGAATACAGGCTCGTCTTTCATCTCACAACATGAAAGGATGTCTGAATCCCCTGTGGAGACCTTAGAGAAAGCCCTAGGTCCCTGCCTCATTTTGACGGAATGCCTCACATCGCGCTGACACCTCGAGAGGCACGCGGAGTTCATTGCTTCAAAAGGTGACGATGCCTGACTCCTCTTGAATACTGATAGGAATCCCAAAATCCCTGTGGCTACTGGAAAGGGTCCTTGGGTGCCCTGCCTCACCTCGAGAAGCGTCCCTTTGGCCCTGCCAAGCCTCGAAGTCATTCCTGAGGTGTCCCTCGTTACTAGACAGGAGTCCTGACGTCACTGAAGAAACTCGTGTTTTGAAGGGCCATCCCCGCCGTAAGTCGAGAACATACCCCAGGTCCCCGCCGCAACTCGAGAAAAACCATGAGACTTCCCCCTAGAGGCGAGATGAGGCCCCATTCCCCTGCAGTGCATGCAGAGCTATTCCGTGATCCCATTCAAACAAGTCAGGAGCTTCGGCTTGCTTAATGGATCTCGAGACAGTCCCCAAGAACACTGTCACCCGTCTAGACGGACCCTGAGGTCACCCCAGCAACGCAAAGCAGCTCCATGTGCCCCAAATCAACTCGAGATGAGGCCCGATTCCCCTGCATTGACTCCAGAGCCATTCCCCGTTCCCCATTCAACACGACCGGTGGCTCGACTTCCTTCAGGCAACTCCAGAGATGCCCCGAGAACACTGTCCCAAGTCTAGAGGAACACCAACTTCAGCACAGCAACTCGAGGAATGCTCCGTGTACCCCAAATCGTCTCGAGATGCGAGCTGATTCCCTGGCTTAGGCTCAAGACGTATGCCAACCTCCCAGAAGCACCTCAGGAGGAGGCTTCTCTCAGCAATAGGTATGTGGGAGGGACCCCGAGTTTGCTGCCTCAAGGGGAATATACAGCGAGAAGCCCTAACTTGAAAGGAGGCCGGATTTCCTTGCAGTGGCTTGAATACAGGCTCGTCTTTCATCTCACAACATGAAAGGATGTCTGAATCCCCTGTGGAGACCTTAGAGAAAGCCCTAGGTCCCTGCCTCATTTTGACGGAATGCCTCACATCGCGCTGACACCTCGAGAGGCACGCGGAGTTCATTGCTTCAAAAGGTGACGATGCCTGACTCCTCTTGAATACTGATAGGAATCCCAAAATCCCTGTGGCTACTGGAAAGGGTCCTTGGGTGCCCTGCCTCACCTCGAGAAGCGTCCCTTTGGCCCTGCCAAGCCTCGAAGAGATTCCTGAGGTGTCCCTCGTTACTAGACAGGAGTCCTGACGTCACTGAAGAAACTCGTGTTTTGAAGGGCCATCCCCGCCGTAAGTCGAGAACATACCCCAGGTCCCCGCCGCAACTCGAGAAAAACCATGAGACTTCCCCCTAGAGGCGAGATGAGGCCCCATTCCCCTGCAGTGCATGCAGAGCTATTCCGTGATCCCATTCAAACAAGTCAGGAGCTTCGACTTGCTTAATGGATCTCGAGACAGTCCCCAAGAACACTGTCACCAGTCTAGACGGACCCTGAGGTCACCCCAGCAACGCAAAGCAGCTCCATGTGCCCCAAATCAACTCGAGATGAGGCCCGATTCCCCTGCATTGACTCCAGAGCCATTCCCCGTTCCCCATTCAACACGACCGGTGGCTCGACTTCCTTCAGGCAACTCCAGAGATGCCCCGAGAACACTGTCCCAAGTCTAGAGGAACACCAACTTCAGCACAGCAACTCGAGGAATGCTCCGTGTACCCCAAATCGTCTCGAGATGCGAGCTGATTCCCTGGCTTAGGCTCAAGACGTATGCCAACTTCCCAGAAGCACCACAGGAGGAGGCTTCTCTCAGCAATAGGTATGTGGGAGGGACCCCGAGTTTGCTGCCTCAAGGGGAATATACAGCGAGAAGCCCTAACTTGAAAGGAGGCCGGATTTCCTTGCAGTGGCTTGAATAAAGGCTCGTCTTTCATCTCACAACATGAAGGGATGTCTGAATCCCCTGTGGAGACCTTAGAGAAAGCCCTAGGTCCCTGCCTCATTTTGACGGAATGCCTCACATCGCGCTGACACCTCGAGAGGCACGCGGAGTTCATTGCTTCAAAAGGTGACGATGCCTGACTCCTCTTGAATACTGATAGGAATCCCAAAATCCCTGTGGCTACTGGAAAGGGTCCTTTTGTGCCCTGCCTCACCTCGAGAAGCATCCCTTTTGCCCTGCCAAGCCTCGAAGAGATTCCTGAGGTGTCCCTCGTTACTAGACAGGAGTCCTGACGTCACTGAAGAAACTCGTGTTTTGAAGGGCCATCCCCGCCGTAAGTCGAGAACATACCCCAGGTCCCCGCCGCAACTCGAGAAAAACCATGAGACTTCCCCCTAGAGGCGAGATGAGGCCCCATTCCCCTGCAGTGCATGCAGAGCTATTCCGTGATCCCATTCAAACAAGTCAGGAGCTTCGACTTGCTTAATGGATCTCGAGACAGTCCCCAAGAACACTGTCACCAGTCTAGACGGACCCTGAGGTCACCCCAGCAACGCAAAGCAGCTCCCTGTGCCCCAAATTAACTCGAGATGAGGCCCGATTCCCGTGCATTGACTTCAGAGCCGTTCCCCGTTCCCCATTCAACACGACCGGTGGCTCGACTTCCTTCAGGCAACTCCAGAGATGCCCCGAGAACACTGTCCCAAGTCTAGAGGAACACCAACTTCAGCACAGCAACTCGAGGAATGCTCCGTTTACCCCAAATCGTCTCGAGATGAGAGCTGATTCCCTGGCTTAGGCTCAAGACGTATGCCAACTTCCCAGAAGAACCTCAGGTGGAGGCTTCTCTCAGCAATAGGTATGTGGGAGGGACCCCGAGTTTGCTGCCTCAAGGGGAATATACAGCGAGAAGCCCTAACTTGAAAGGAGGCCGGATTTCCTTGCAGTGGCTTGAATACAGGCTCGTCTTTCATCTCACAACATGAAAGGATGCCTGAATCCCCTGTGGAGACCTTAGAGAAAGCCCTAGGTCCCTGCCTCATTTTGACGGAATGCCTCACATCGCGCTGACACCTCGAGAGGCACGCGGAGTTCATTGCTTCAAAAGGTGACGATGCCTGACTCCTCTTGAATACTGATAGGAATCCCAAAATCCCTGTGGCTACTGGAAAGGGTCCTTGGGTGCCCTGCCTCACCTCGAGAAGCGTCCCTTTGGCCCTGCCAAGCCTCGAAGTCATTCCTGAGGTGTCCCTCGTTACTAGACAGGAGTCCTGACGTCACTGAAGAAACTCGTGTTTTGAGGGGCCATCCCCGCCGTAAGTCGAGAACATACCCCAGGTCCCCGCCGCAACTCGAGAAAAACCATGAGACTTCCCCCTAGAGGCGAGATGAGGCCCCATTCCCCTGCAGTGCATGCAGAGCTATTCCGTGATTCCATTCAAACAAGTCAGGAGCTTCGGCTTGCTTAATGGATCTCGAGACAGTCCCCAAGAACACTGTCACCCGTCTAGACGGACCCTGAGGTCACCCCAGCAACGCAAAGCAGCTCCATGTGCCCCAAATCAACTCGAGATGAGGCCCGATTCCCCTGCATTGACTCCAGAGCCATTCCCCGTTCCCCATTCAACACGACCGGTGGCTCGACTTCCTTCAGGCAACTCCAGAGATGCCCCGAGAACACTGTCCCAAGTCTAGAGGAACACCAACTTCAGCACAGCAACTCGAGGAATGCTCCGTGTACCCCAAATCGTCTCGAGATGCGAGCTGATTCCCTGGCTTAGGCTCAAGACGTATGCCAACCTCCCAGAAGCACCTCAGGAGGAGGCTTCTCTCAGCAATAGGTATGTGGGAGGGACCCCGAGTTTGCTGCCTCAAGGGGAATATACAGCGAGAAGCCCTAACTTGAAAGGAGGCCGGATTTCCTTGCAGTGGCTTGAATACAGGCTCGTCTTTCATCTCACAACATGAAAGGATGTCTGAATCCCCTGTGGAGACCTTAGAGAAAGCCCTAGGTCCCTGCCTCATTTTGACGGAATGCCTCACATCGCGCTGACACCTCGAGAGGCACGCGGAGTTAATTGCTTCAAAAGGTGACGATGCCTGACTCCTCTTGAATACTGATAGGAATCCCAAAATCCCTGTGGCTACTGGAAAGGGTCCTTGGGTGCCCTGCCTCACCTCGAGAAGCGTCCCTTTGGCCCTGCCAAGCCTCGAAGTCATTCCTGAGGTGTCCCTCGTTACTAGACAGGAGTCCTGACGTCACTGAAGAAACTCGTGTTTTGAAGGGCCATCCCCGCCGTAAGTCGAGAACATACCCCAGGTCCCCGCCGCAACTCGAGAAAAACCATGAGACTTCCCCCTAGAGGCGAGATGAGGCCCCATTCCCCTGCAGTGCATGCAGAGCTATTCCGTGATCCCATTCAAACAAGTCAGGAGCTTCGGCTTGCTTAATGGATCTCGAGACAGTCCCCAAGAACACTGTCACCCGTCTAGACGGACCCTGAGGTCACCCCAGCAACGCATAGCAGCTCCATGTGCCCCAAATCAACTCGAGATGAGGCCCGATTCCCCTGCATTGACTCCAGAGCCATTCCCCGTTCCCCATTCAACACGACCGGTGGCTCGACTTCCTTCAGGCAACTCCAGAGATGCCCCGAGAACACTGTCCCAAGTCTAGAGGAACACCAACTTCAGCACAGCAACTCGAGGAATGCTCCCTCTACCCCAAATCGTCTCGAGATGCGAGCTGATTCCCTGGCTTAGGCTCAAGACGTATGCCAACCTCCCAGAAGCACCTCAGGAGGAGGCTTCTCTCAGCAATAGGTATGTGGGAGGGACCCCGAGTTTGCTGCCTCAAGGGGAATATACAGCGAGAAGCCCTAACTTGAAAGGAGGCCGGATTTCCTTGCAGTGGCTTGAATACAGGCTCGTCTTTCATCTCACAACATGAAGGGATGTCTGAATCCCCTGTGGAGACCTTAGAGAAAGCCCTAGGTCCCTGCCTCATTTTGACGGAATGCCTCACATCCCGCTGACACCTCGAGAGGCACGCGGAGTTCATTGCTTCAAAAGGTGACGATGCCTGACTCCTCTTGAATACTGATAGGAATCCCAAAATCCCTGTAGCTACTGGAAAGGGTCCTTGGGTGCCCTGCCTCACCTCGAGAAGCGTCCCTTTGGCCCTGCCAAGCCTCGAAGAGATTCCTGAGGTGTCCCTCGTTACTAGACAGGAGTCCTGACGTCACTGAAGAAACTCGTGTTTTGAAGGGCCATCCCCGCCGTAAGTCGAGAACATACCCCAGGTCCCCGCCGCAACTCGAGAAAAACCATGAGACTTCCCCCTAGAGGCGAGATGAGGCCCCATTCCCCTGCAGTGCATGCAGAGCTATTCCGTGATCCCATTCAAACAAGTCAGGAGCTTCGGCTTGCTTAATGGATCTCGAGACAGTCCCCAAGAACACTGTCACCAGTCTAGACGGACCCTGAGGTCACCCCAGCAGTGCAAAGCAGCTCCATGTGCCCCAAATCAACTCGAGATGAGGCCCGATTCCCCTGCATTGACTCCAGAGCCATTCCCCGTTCCCCATTCAACACGACCGGTGGCTCGACTTCCTTCAGGCAACTCCAGAGATGCCCCGAGAACACTGTCCCAAGTCTAGAGGAACACCAACTTCAGCACAGCAACTCGAGGAATGCTCCGTGTACCCCAAATCGTCTCGAGATGCGAGCTGATTCCCTGGCTTAGGCTCAAGACGTATGCCAACTTCCCAGAAGCACCTCAGGAGGAGGCTTCTCTCTGCAATAGGTATGTGGGAGGGACCCCGAGTTTGCTGCCTCAAGGGGAATATACAGCGAGAAGCCCTAACTTGAAAGGAGGCCGGATTTCCTTGCAGTGGCTTGAATACAGGCTCGTCTTTCATCTCACAACATGAAGGGATGTCTGAATCCCCTGTGGAGACCTTAGAGAAAGCCCTAGGTCCCTGCCTCATTTTGACGGAATGCCTCACATCCCGCTGACACCTCGAGAGGCACGCGGAGTTCATTGCTTCAAAAGGTGACGATGCCTGACTCCTCTTGAATACTGATAGGAATCCCAAAATCCCTGTGGCTACTGGAAAGGGTCCTTGGGTGCCCTGCCTCACCTCGAGAAGCGTCCCTTTGGCCCTGCCAAGCCTCGAAGAGATTCCTGAGGTGTCCCTCGTTACTAGACAGGAGTCCTGACGTCACTGAAGAAACTCGTGTTTTCAAGGGCCATCCCCGCCGTAAGTCGAGAACATACCCCAGGTCCCCGCCGCAACTCGAGAAAAACAATGAGACTTCCCCCTAGAGGCGAGATGAGGCCCCATTCCCCTGCAGTGCATGCAGAGCTATTCCGTGATCCCATTCAAACAAGTCAGGAGCTTCGGCTTGCTTAATGGATCTCGAGAGAGTCCCCAAGAACACTGTCACCAGTCTAGACGGACCCTGAGGTCACCCCGGAAACGCAAAGCAGCTCCATGTAAACCAAATCAACTCGAGATGAGGCCCGATTCCCCTGCATTGACTCCAGAGCCATTCCCCGTTCCCCATTCAACACGACCGGTGGCTCGACTTCCTTCAGGCAACTGCAGAGATGCCCCGAGAACACTGTCCCAAGTCTAGAGGAACACCAACTTCAGCACAGCAACTCGAGGAATGCTCCGTGTACCCCAAATCGTCTCGAGATGCGAGCTGATTCCCTGGCTTAGGCTCAAGACGTATGCCAACTTCCCAGAAGCACCTCAGGAGGAGGCTTCTCTCAGCAATAGGTATGTGGGAGGGACCCCGAGTTTGCTGCCTCGAGGGGAATATACAGCGAGAAGCCCTAACTTGAAAGGAGGCCGGATTTCCTTGCAGTGGCTTGAATACAGGCTCGTCTTTCATCTCACAACATGAAGGGATGTCTGAATCCCCTGTATAGACCTTAGAGAAAGCCCTAGGTCCCTGCCTCATTTTGACGGAATGCCTCACATCCCGCTGACACCTCGAGAGGCACGCGGAGTTCATTGCTTCAAAAGGTGACGATGCCTGACTCCTCTTGAATACTGATAGGAATCCCAAAATCCCTGTGGCTGCAGGAAAGGGTCCTTGGGTGCCCTGCGTCACCTCGAGAAGCGTCCCTTTGGCCCTGCCAAGCCTCGAAGAGATTCCTGAGGTGTCCCTCGTTACTAGACAGGAGTCCTGACGTCACTGAAGAAACTCGTGTTTTGAAGGGCCATCCCCGCCGTAAGTCGAGAACATACCCCAGGTCCCCGCCGCAACTCGAGAAAAACCATGAGACTTCCCCCTAGAGGCGAGATGAGGCCCCATTCCCCTGCAGTGCATGCAGAGCTATTCCGTGATCCCATTCAAACAAGTCAGGAGCTTCGACTTGCTTAATGGATCTCGAGACAGTCCCCAAGAACACTGTCACCAGTCTAAACGGACCCTGAGGTCACCCCAGCAACGCAAAGCAGCTCCATGTGCCCCAAATCAACTCGAGATGAGGCCCGATTCCCCTGCATTGACTCCAGAGCCATTCCCCATTCCCCATTCAACACGACCAGTGGCTCGACTTCCTTCAGGCAACTCCAGAGATGCCCCGAGAACACTGTCCCAGGTCTAGAGGAACACCAACTTCAGCACAGCAACTCGAGGAATGCTCCGTGTACCCCAAATCGTCTCGAGATGCGAGCTGATTCCCTGGCTTAGGCTCAAGACGTATGCCAACTTCCCAGAAGCACCACAGGAGGAGGCTTCTATCAGCAATAGGTATGTGGGAGGGACCCCGAGTTTGCTGCCTCAAGGGGAATATACAGCGAGAAGCCCTAACTTGAAAGGAGGCCGGATTTCCTTGCAGTGGCTTGAATACAGGCTCGTCTTTCATCTCACAACATGAAGGGATGTCTGAATCCCCTGTGGAGACCTTAGAGAAAGCCCTAGGTCCCTGCCTCATTTTGACGGAATGCCTCACATCGCGCTGACACCTCGAGAGGCACGCGGAGTTCATTGCTTCAAAAGGTGACGATGCCTGACTCCTCTTGAATACTGATAGGAATCCCAAAATCCCTGTGGCTACTGGAAAGGGTCCTTTTGTGCCCTGCCTCACCTCGAGAAGCGTCCCTTTGGCCCTGCCAAGCCTCGAAGAGATTCCTGAGGTGTCCCTCGTTACTAGACAGGAGTCCTGACGTCACTGAAGAAACTCGTGTTTTGAAGGGCCATCCCCGCCGTAAGTCGAGAACATACCCCAGGTCCCCGCCGCAACTCGAGAAAAACCATGAGACTTCCCCCTAGAGGCGAGATGAGGCCCCATTCCCCTGCAGTGCATGCAGAGCTATTCCGTGATCCCATTCAAACAAGTCAGGAGCTTCGACTTGGTTAATGGATCTCGAGACAGTCCCCAAGAACACTGTCACCAGTCTAGACGGACCCTGAGGTCACCCCAGCAACGCAAAGCAGTTCCATGTGCCCCAAATCAACTCGAGATGAGGCCCGATTCCCCTGCATTGACTCCAGAGCCATTCCCCGTTCCCCATTCAACACGACCGGTGGCTCGACTTCCTTCAGGCAACTCCAGAGATGCCCCGAGAACACTGTCCCAAGTCTAGAGGAACACCAACTTCAGCACAGCAACTCGAGGAATGCTCCGTGTACCCCAAATCGTCTCGAGATGCGAGCTGATTCCCTGGCTTAGGCTCAAGACGTATGCCAACTTCCCAGAAGCACCTCAGGAGGAGGCTTCTCTCAGCAATAGGTATGTGGGAGGGACCCCGAGTTTGCTGCCTCAAGGGGAATATACAGCGAGAAGCCCTAACTTGAAAGGAGGCCGGATTTCCTTGCAGTGGCTTGAATACAGGCTCGTCTTTCATCTCACAACATGAAGGGATGTCTGAATCCCCTGTGGAGACCTTAGAGAAAGCCCTAGGTCCCTGCCTCATTTTGACGGAATGCCTCACAGCCCGCTGACACCTCGAGAGGCACGCGGAGTTCATTGCTTCAAAAGGTGACGATGCCTGACTCCTCTTGAATACTGATAGGAATCCCAAAATCCCTGTGGCTACTGGAAAGGGTCCTTGGGTGCCCTGCCTCACCTCGAGAAGCGTCCCTTTGGCCCTGCCAAGCCTCGAAGAGATTCCTGAGGTGTCCCTCGTTACTAGACAGGAGTCCTGACGTCACTGAAGAAACTCGTGTTTTGAAGGGCCATCCCCGCCGTAAGTCGAGAACATACCCCAGGTCCCCGCCGCAACTCGAGAAAAACCATGAGACTTCCCCCTAGAGGCGAGATGAGGCCCCATTCCCCTGCAGTGCATGCAGAGCTATTCCGTGATCCCATTCAAACAAGTCAGGAGCTTCGACTTGCTTAATGGATCTCGAGACAGTCCCCAAGAACACTGTCACCAGTCTAGACGGACCCTGAGGTCACCCCAGCAACGCAAAGCAGCTCCATGTGCCCCAAATCAACTCGAGATGAGGCCCGATTCCCGTGCATTGACTTCAGAGCCGTTCCCCGTTCCCCATTCAACACGACCGGTGGCTCGACTTCCTTCAGGCAACTCCAGAGATGCCCCGAGAACACTGTCCCAAGTCTAGAGGAACACCAACTTCAGCACAGCAACTCGAGGAATGCTCCGTGTACCCCAAATCGTCTCGAGATGAGAGCTGATTCCCTGGCTTAGGCTCAAGACGTATGCCAACTTCCCAGAAGCACCTCAGGAGGAGGCTTCTCTCAGCAATAGGTATGTGGGAGGGACCCCGAGTTTGCTGCCTCAAGGGGAATATACAGCGAGAAGCCCTAACTTGAAAGGAGGCCGGATTTCCTTGCAGTGGCTTGAATACAGGCTCGTCTTTCATCTCACAACATGAAAGGATGTCTGAATCCCCTGTGGAGACCTTAGAGAAAGCCCTAGGTCCCTGCCTCATTTTGACGGAATGCCTCACATCGCGCTGACACCTCGAGAGGCACGCGGAGTTCATTGCTTCAAAAGGTGACGATGCCTGACTCCTCTTGAATACTGATAGGAATCCCAAAATCCCTGTGGCTACTGGAAAGGGTCCTTGGGTGCCCTGCCTCACCTCGAGAAGCGTCCCTTTGGCCCTGCCAAGCCTCGAAGAGATTCCTGAGGTGTCCCTCGTTACTAGACAGGAGTCCTGACGTCACTGAAGAAACTCGTGTTTTGAAGGGCCATCCCCGCCGTAAGTCGAGAACATACCCCAGGTCCCCGCCGCAACTCGAGAAAAACCATGAGACTTCCCCCTAGAGGCGAGATGAGGCCCCATTCCCCTGCAGTGCATGCAGAGCTATTCCGTGATCCCATTCAAACAAGTCAGGAGCTTCGACTTGCTTAATGGATCTCGAGACAGTCCCCAAGAACACTGTCACCCGTCTAGACGGACCCTGAGGTCACCCCAGCAACGCAAAGCAGCTCCATGTGCCCCAAATCAACTCGAGATGAGGCCCGATTCCCCTGCATTGACTCCAGAGCCATTCCCCGTTCCCCATTCAACACGACCGGTGGCTCGACTTCCTTCAGGCAACTCCAGAGATGCCCCGAGAACACTGTCCCAAGTCTAGAGGAACACCAACGTCAGCACAGCAACTCGAGGAATGCTCCGTGTACCCCAAATCGTCTCGAGATGCGAGCTGATTCCCTGGCTTAGGCTCAAGACGTATGCCAACTTCCCAGAAGCACCTCAGGAGGAGGCTTCTCTCAGCAATAGGTATGTGGGAGGGACCCCGAGTTTGCTGCCTCAAGGGGAATATACAGCGAGAAGCCCTAACTTGAAAGGAGGCCGGATTTCCTTGCAGTGGCTTGAATACAGGCTCGTCTTTCATCTCACAACATGAAGGGATGTCTGAATCCCCTGTGGAGACCTTAGAGAAAGCCCTAGGTCCCTGCCTCATTTTGACGGAATGCCTCACATCCCGCTGACACCTCGAGAGGCACGCGGAGTTCATTGCTTCAAAAGGTGACGATGCCTGACTCCTCTTGAATACTGATAGGAATCCCAAAATCCCTGTGGCTACTGGAAAGGGTCCTTGGGTGCCCTGCCTCACCTCGAGAAGCGTCCCTTTGGCCCTGCCAAGCCTCGAAGTCATTCCTGAGGTGTCCCTCGTTACTAGACAGGAGTCCTGACGTCACTGAAGAAACTCGTGTTTTGAAGGGCCATCCCCGCCGTAAGTCGAGAACATACCCCAGGTCCCCGCCGCAACTCGAGAAAAACCATGAGACTTCCCCCTAGAGGCGAGATGAGGCCCCATTCCCCTGCAGTGCATGCAGAGCTATTCCGTGATCCCATTCAAACAAGTCAGGAGCTTCGGCTTGCTTAATGGATCTCGAGACAGTCCCCAAGAACACTGTCACCCGTCTAGACGGACCCTGAGGTCACCCCAGCAACGCAAAGCAGCTCCATGTGCCCCAAATCAACTCGAGATGAGGCCCGATTCCCCTGCATTGACTCCAGAGCCATTCCCCGTTCCCCATTCAACACGACCGGTGGCTCGACTTCCTTCAGGCAACTCCAGAGATGCCCCGAGAACACTGTCCCAAGTCTAGAGGAACACCAACTTCAGCACAGCAACTCGAGGAATGCTCCGTGTACCCCAAATCGTCTCGAGATGCGAGCTGATTCCCTGGCTTAGGCTCAAGACGTATGCCAACCTCCCAGAAGCACCTCAGGAGGAGGCTTCTCTCAGCAATAGGTATGTGGGAGGGACCCCGAGTTTGCTGCCTCAAGGGGAATATACAGCGAGAAGCCCTAACTTGAAAGGAGGCCGGATTTCCTTGCAGTGGCTTGAATACAGGCTCGTCTTTCATCTCACAACATGAAGGGATGTCTGAATCCCCTGTGGAGACCTTAGAGAAAGCCCTAGGTCCCTGCCTCATTTTGACGGAATGCCTCACATCCCGCTGACACCTCGAGAGGCACGCGGAGTTCATTGCTTCAAAAGGTGACGATGCCTGACTCCTCTTGAATACTGATAGGAATCCCAAAATCCCTGTGGCTACTGGAAAGGGTCCTTGGGTGCCCTGCCTCACCTCGAGAAGCGTCCCTTTGGCCCTGCCAAGCCTCGAAGAGATTCCTGAGGTGTCCCTCGTTACTAGACAGGAGTCCTGACGTCACTGAAGAAACTCGTGTTTTGAAGGGCCATCCCCGCCGTAAGTCGAGAACATACCCCAGGTCCCCGCCGCAACTCGAGAAAAACCATGAGACTTCCCCCTAGAGGCGAGATGAGGCCCCATTCCCCTGCAGTGCATGCAGAGCTATTCCGTGATCCCATTCAAAAAAGTCAGGAGCTTCGACTTGCTTAATGGATCTCGAGACAGTCCCCAAGAACACTGTCACCAGTCTAGACGGACCCTGAGGTCACCCCAGCAACGCAAAGCAGCTCCATGTGCCCCAAATCAACTCGAGATGAGGCCCGATTCCCCTGCATTGACTCCAGAGCCATTCCCCGTTCCCCATTCAACACGACCGGTGGCTCGACTTCCTTCAGGCAACTCCAGAGATGCCCCGAGAACACTGTCCCAAGTCTAGAGGAACACCAACTTCAGCACAGCAACTCGAGGAATGCTCCGTGTACCCCAAATCGTCTCGAGATGCGAGCTGATTCCCTGGCTTAGGCTCAAGACGTATGCCAACCTCCCAGAAGCACCTCAGGAGGAGGCTTCTCTCAGCAATAGGTATGTGGGAGGGACCCCGAGTTTGCTGCCTCAAGGGGAATATACAGCGAGAAGCCCTAACTTGAAAGGAGGCCGGATTTCCTTGCAGTGGCTTGAATACAGGCTCGTCTTTCATCTCACAACATGAAGGGATGTCTGAATCCCCTGTGGAGACCTTAGAGAAAGCCCTAGGTCCCTGCCTCATTTTGACGGAATGCCTCACATCGCGCTCACACCTCGAGAGGCACGCGGAGTTCATTGCTTCAAAAGGTGACGATGCCTGACTCCTCTTGAATACTGATAGGAATCCCAAAATCCCTGTGGCTACTGGAAAGGGTCCTTGGGTGCCCTGCCTCACCTCGAGAAGCGTCCCTTTTGCCCTGCCAAGCCTCGAAGTCATTCCTGAGGTGTCCCTCGTTACTAGACAGGAGTCCTGACGTCACTGAAGAAACTCGTGTTTTGAAGGGCCATCCCCGCCGTAAGTCGAGAACATACCCCAGGTCCCCGCCGCAACTCGAGAAAAACCATGAGACTTCTCCCTAGAGGCGAGATGAGGCCCCATTCCCCTGCAGTGCATGCAGAGCTATTCCGTGATCCCATTCAAACAAGTCAGGAGCTTCGGCTTGCTTAATGGATCTCGAGACAGTCCCCAAGAACACTGTCACCCGTCTAGACGGACCCTGAGGTCACCCCAGCAACGCAAAGCAGCTCCATGTGCCCCAAATCAACTCGAGATGAGGCCCGATTCCCCTGCATTGACTCCAGAGCCATTCCCCGTTCCCCATTCAACACGACCGGTGGCTCGACTTCCTTCAGGCAACTCCAGAGATGCCCCGAGAACACTGTCCCAAGTCTAGAGGAACACCAACTTCAGCACAGCAACTCGAGGAATGCTCCGTGTACCCCAAATCGTCTCGAGATGCGAGCTGATTCCCTGGCTTAGGCTCAAGACGTATGCCAACTTCCCAGAAGCACCTCAGGAGGAGGCTTCTCTCAGCAATAGGTATGTGGGAGGGACCCCGAGTTTGCTGCCTCAAGGGGAATATACAGCGAGAAGCCCTAACTTGAAAGGAGGCCGGATTTCCTTGCAGTGGCTTGAATACAGGCTCGTCTTTCATCTCACAACATGAAGGGATGTCTGAATCCCCTGTGGAGACCTTAGAGAAAGCCCTAGGTCCCTGCCTGATTTTGACGCAATGCCTCACATCCCGCTGACACCTCGAGAGGCACGCGGAGTTCATTGCTTCAAAAGGTGACGATGCCTGACTCCTCTTGAATACTGATAGGAATCCCAAAATCCCTGTGGCTACTGGAAAGGGTCTTGGGTGCCCTGCCTCACCTCGAGAAGCGTCCCTTTTGCCCTGCCAAGCCTCGAAGAGATTCCTGAGGTGTCCCTCGTTACTAGACAGCAGTCCTGACGTCACTGAAGAAACTCGTGTTTTGAAGGGCCATCCCCGCCGTAAGTCGAGAACGTACCCCAGGTCCCCGCCGCAACTCGAGAAAAACCATGAGACTTCCCCCTAGAGGCGAGATGAGGCCCCATTCCCCTGCAGTGCATGCAGAGCTATTCCGTGATCCCATTCAAACAAGTCAGGAGCTTCGACTTCCTTAATGGATCTCGAGACAGTCCCCAAGAACACTGTCACCAGTCTAGACGGACCCTGAGGTCACCCCAGCAACGCAAAGCAGATCCATGTGCCCCAAATCAACTCGAGATGAGGCCCGATTCCCCTGCATTGACTCCAGAGCCATTCCCCGTTCCCCATTCAACACGACCGGTGGCTCGACTTCCTTCAGGCAACTCCAGAGATGCCCCGAGAACACTGTCCCAAGTCTAGAGGAACACCAACTTCAGCACAGCAACTCGAGGAATGCTCCGTGTACCCCAAATCGTCTCGAGATGCGAGCTGATTCCCTGGCTTAGGCTCAAGACGTATGCCAACTTCCCAGAAGCACCACAGGAGGAGGCTTCTCTCAGCAATAGGTATGTGGGAGGGACCCCGAGTTTGCTGCCTCAAGGGGAATATACAGCGAGAAGCCCTAACTTGAAAGGAGGCCGGATTTCCTTGCAGTGGCTTGAATACAGGCTCGTCTTTCATCTCACAACATGAAGGGATGTCTGAATCCCCTGTGGAGACCTTAGAGAAAGCCCTAGGTCCCTGCCTCATTTTGACGGAATGCCTCACATCGCGCTGACACCTCGAGAGGCACGCGGAGTTCATTGCTTCAAAAGGTGACGATGCCTGACTCCTCTTGAATACTGATAGGAATCCCAAAATCCCTGTGGCTACTGGAAAGGGTCCTTTTGTGCCCTGCCTCACCTCGAGAAGCATCCCTTTTGCCCTGCCAAGCCTCGAAGAGATTCCTGAGGTGTCCCTCGTTACTAGACAGGAGTCCTGACGTCACTGAAGAAACTCGTGTTTTGAAGGGCCATCCCCGCCGTAAGTCGAGAACATACCCCAGGTCCCCGCCGCAACTCGAGAAAAACCATGAGACTTCCCCCTAGAGGCGAGATGAGACCCCATTCCCCTGCAGTGCATGCAGAGCTATTCCGTGATCCCATTCAAACAAGTCAGGAGCTTCGACTTGCTTAATGGATCTCGAGACAGTCCCCAAGAACACTGTCACCAGTCTAGACGGACCCTGAGGTCACCCCAGCAACGCAAAGCAGCTCCATGTGCCCCAAATCAACTCGAGATGAGGCCCGATTCCCGTGCATTGACTTCAGAGCCGTTCCCGGTTCCCCATTCAACACGACCGGTGGCTCGACTTCCTTCAGGCAACTCCAGAGATGCCCCGAGAACACTGTCCCAAGTCTAGAGGAACACCAACTTCAGCACAGCAACTCGAGGAATGCTCCGTGTACCCCAAATCGTCTCGAGATGCGAGCTGATCCCCTGGCTTAGGCTCAAGACGTATGCCAACTTCCCAGAAGCACCTCAGGAGGAGGCTTCTCTCAGCAATAGGTATGTGGGAGGGACCCCGAGTTTGCTGCCTCAAGGGGAATATACAGCGAGAAGCCCTAACTTGAAAGGAGGCCGGATTTCCTTGCAGTGGCTTGAATACAGGCTCGTCTTTCATCTCACAACATGAAGGGATGTCTGAATCCCCTGTGGAGACCTTAGAGAAAGCCCTAGGTCCCTGCCTGATTTTGACGCAATGCCTCACATCCCGCTGACACCTCGAGAGGCACGCGGAGTTCATTGCTTCAAAAGGTGACCATGCCTGACTCCTCTTGAATACTGATAGGAATCCCAAAATCCCTGTGGCTACTGGAAAGGGTCTTGGGTGCCCTGCCTCACCTCGAGAAGCGTCCCTTTTGCCCTGCCAAGCCTCGAAGAGATTCCTGAGGTGTCCCTCGTTACTAGACAGCAGTCCTGACGTCACTGAAGAAACTCGTGTTTTGAAGGGCCATCCCCGCCGTAAGTCGAGAACGTACCCCAGGTCCCCGCCGCAACTCGAGAAAAACCATGAGACTTCCCCCTAGAGGCGAGATGAGGCCCCATTCCCCTGCAGTGCATGCAGAGCTATTCCGTGATCCCATTCAAACAAGTCAGGAGCTTCGGCTTGCTTAATGGATCTCGAGACAGTCCCCAAGAACACTGTCACCAGTCTAGACGGACCCTGAGGTCACCCCAGCAACGCAAAGCAGCTCCATGTGCCCCAAATCAACTCGAGATGAGGCCCGATTCCCCTGCATTGACTCCAGAGCCATTCCCCGTTCCCCATTCAACACGACCGGTGGCTCGACTTCCTTCAGGCATCTCCAGAGATGCCCCGAGAACACTGTCCCAAGTCTAGAGGAACACCAACTTCAGCACAGCAACTCGAGGAATGCTCCGTGTACCCCAAATCGTCTCGAGATGCGAGCTGATTCCCTGGCTTAGGCTCAAGACGTATGCCAACTTCCCAGAAGCACCTCAGGAGGAGGCTTCTCTCAGCAATAGGTATGTGGGAGGGACCCCGAGTTTGCTGCCTCAAGGGGAATATACAGCGAGAAGCCCTAACTTGAAAGGAGGCCGGATTTCCTTGCAGTGGCTTGAATACAGGCTCGTCTTTCATCTCACAACATGAAGGGATGTCTGAATCCCCTGTGGAGACCTTAGAGAAAGCCCTAGGTCCCTGCCTCATTTTGACGGAATGCCTCACATCCCGCTGACACCTCGAGAGGCACGCGGAGTTCATTGCTTCAAAAGGTGACGATGCCTGACTCCTCTTGAATACTGATAGGAATCCCAAAATCCCTGTGGCTACTGGAAAGGGTCCTTGGGTGCCCTGCCTCACCTCGAGAAGCGTCCCTTTGGCCCTGCCAAGCCTCGAAGAGATTCCTGAGGTGTCCCTCGTTACTAGACAGGAGTCCTGACGTCACTGAAGAAACTCGTGTTTTGAAGGGCCATCCCCGCCGTAAGTCGAGAACATACCCCAGGTCCCCGCCGCAACTCGAGAAAAACCATGAGACTTCCCCCTAGAGGCGAGATGAGGCCCCATTCCCCTGCAGTGCATGCAGAGCTATTCCGTGATCCCATTCAAACAAGTCAGGAGCTTCCACTTGCTTAATGGATCTCGAGACAGTCCCCAAGAACACTGTCACCAGTCTAGACGGACCCTGAGGTCACCCCAGCAACGCAAAGCAGCTCCATGTGCCCCAAATCAACTCGAGATGAGGACCGATTCCCCTGCATTGACTCCAGAGCCATTCCCCGTTCCCCATTCAACACGACCGGTGGCTCGACTTCCTTCAGGCAACTCCAGAGATGCCCCGAGAACACTGTCCCAAGTCTAGAGGAACACCAACTTCAGCACAGCAACTCGAGGAATGCTCCGTGTACCCCAAATCGTCTCGAGATGCGAGCTGATTCCCTGGCTTAGGCTCAAGACGTATGCCAACTTCCCAGAAGCACCTCAGGAGGAGGCTTCTCTCAGCAATAGGTATGTGGGAGGGACCCCGAGTTTGCTGCCTCAAGGGGAATATACAGCGAGAAGCCCTAACTTGAAAGGAGGCCGGATTTCCTTGCAGTGGCTTGAATACAGGCTCGTCTTTCATCTCACAACATGAAGGGATGTCTGAATCCCCTGTGGAGACCTTAGAGAAAGCCCTAGGTCCCTGCCTCATTTTGACGGAATGCCTCACATCGCGCTCACACCTCGAGAGGCACGCGGAGTTCATTGCTTCAAAAGGTGACGATGCCTGACTCCTCTTGAATACTGATAGGAATCCCAAAATCCCTGTGGCTACTGGAAAGGGTCCTTGGGTGCCCTGCCTCACCTCGAGAAGCGTCCCTTTGGCCCTGCCAAGCCTCGAAGTCATTCCTGAGGTGTCCCTCGTTACTAGACAGGAGTCCTGACGTCACTGAAGAAACTCGTGTTTTGAAGGGCCATCCCCGCCGTAAGTCGAGAACATACCCCAGGTCCCCGCCGCAACTCGAGAAAAACCATGAGACTTCTCCCTAGAGGCGAGATGAGGCCCCATTCCCCTGCAGTGCATGCAGAGCTATTCCGTGATCCCATTCAAACAAGTCAGGAGCTTCGGCTTGCTTAATGGATCTCGAGACAGTCCCCAAGAACACTGTCACCCGTCTAGACGGACCCTGAGGTCACCCCAGCAACGCAAAGCAGCTCCATGTGCCCCAAATCAACTCGAGATGAGGCCCGATTCCCCTGCATTGACTCCAGAGCCATTCCCCGTTCCCCATTCAACACGACCGGTGGCTCGACTTCCTTCAGGCAACTCCAGAGATGCCCCGAGAACACTGTCCCAAGTCTAGAGGAACACCAACTTCAGCACAGCAACTCGAGGAATGCTCCGTGTACCCCAAATCGTCTCGAGATGCGAGCTGATTCCCTGGCTTAGGCTCAAGACGTATGCCAACTTCCCAGAAGCACCTCAGGAGGAGGCTTCTCTCAGCAATAGGTATGTGGGAGGGACCCCGAGTTTGCTGCCTCAAGGGGAATATACAGCGAGAAGCCCTAACTTGAAAGGAGGCCGGATTTCCTTGCAGTGGCTTGAATACAGGCTCGTCTTTCATCTCACAACATGAAGGGATGTCTGAATCCCCTGTGGAGACCTTAGAGAAAGCCCTAGGTCCCTGCCTGATTTTGACGCAATGCCTCACATCCCGCTGACACCTCGAGAGGCACGCGGAGTTCATTGCTTCAAAAGGTGACGATGCCTGACTCCTCTTGAATACTGATAGGAATCCCAAAATCCCTGTGGCTACTGGAAAGGGTCTTGGGTGCCCTGCCTCACCTCGAGAAGCGTCCCTTTTGCCCTGCCAAGCCTCGAAGAGATTCCTGAGGTGTCCCTCGTTACTAGACAGCAGTCCTGACGTCACTGAAGAAACTCGTGTTTTGAAGGGCCATCCCCGCCGTAAGTCGAGAACGTACCCCAGGTCCCCGCCGCAACTCGAGAAAAACCATGAGACTTCCCCCTAGAGGCGAGATGAGGCCCCATTCCCCTGCAGTGCATGCAGAGCTATTCCGTGATCCCATTCAAACAAGTCAGGAGCTTCGACTTGCTTAATGGATCTCGAGACAGTCCCCAAGAACACTGTCACCAGTCTAGACGGACCCTGAGGTCACCCTAGCAACGCAAAGCAGATCCATGTGCCCCAAATCAACTCGAGATGAGGCCCGATTCCCCTGCATTGACTCCAGAGCCATTCCCCGTTCCCCATTCAACACGACCGGTGGCTCGACTTCCTTCAGGCAACTCCAGAGATGCCCCGAGAACACTGTCCCAAGTCTAGAGGAACAGCAACTTCAGCACAGCAACTCGAGGAATGCTCCGTGTACCCCAAATCGTCTCGAGATGCGAGCTGATTCCCTGGCTTAGGCTCAAGACGTATGCCAACTTCCCAGAAGCACCACAGGAGGAGGCTTCTCTCAGCAATAGGTATGTGGGAGGGACCCCGAGTTTGCTGCCTCAAGGGGAATATACAGCGAGAAGCCCTAACTTGAAAGGAGGCCGGATTTCCTTGCAGTGGCTTGAATACAGGCTCGTCTTTCATCTCACAACATGAAGGGATGTCTGAATCCCCTGTGGAGACCTTAGAGAAAGACCTAGGTCCCTGCCTCATTTTGACGGAATGCCTCACATCGCGCTGACACCTCGAGAGGCACGCGGAGTTCATTGCTTCAAAAGGTGACGATGCCTGACTCCTCTTGAATACTGATAGGAATCCCAAAATCCCTGTGGCTACTGGAAAGGGTCCTTTTGTGCCCTGCCTCACCTCGAGAAGCATCCCTTTTGCCCTGCCAAGCCTCGAAGAGATTCCTGAGGTGTCCCTCGTTACTAGACAGGAGTCCTGACGTCACTGAAGAAACTCGTGTTTTGAAGGGCCATCCCCGCCGTAAGTCGAGAACATACCCCAGGTCCCCGCCGCAACTCGAGAAAAACCATGAGACTTCCCCCTAGAGGCGAGATGAGACCCCATTCCCCTGCAGTGCATGCAGAGCTATTCCGTGATCCCATTCAAACAAGTCAGGAGCTTCGACTTGCTTAATGGATCTTGAGACAGTCCCCAAGAACACTGTCACCAGTCTAGACGGACCCTGAGGTCACCCCAGCAACGCAAAGCAGCTCCATGTGCCCCAAATCAACTCGAGATGAGGCCCGATTCCCGTGCATTGACTTCAGAGCCGTTCCCGGTTCCCCATTCAACACGACCGGTGGCTCGACTTCCTTCAGGCAACTCCAGAGATGCCCCGAGAACACTGTCCCAAGTCTAGAGGAACACCAACTTCAGCACAGCAACTCGAGGAATGCTCCGTGTACCCCAAATCGTCTCGAGATTCGAGCTGATCCCCTGGCTTAGGCTCAAGACGTATGCCAACTTCCCAGAAGCACCTCAGGAGGAGGCTTCTCTCAGCAATAGGTATGTGGGAGGGACCCCGAGTTTGCTGCCTCAAGGGGAATATACAGCGAGAAGCCCTAACTTGAAAGGAGGCCGGATTTCCTTGCAGTGGCTTGAATACAGGCTCGTCTTTCATCTCACAACATGAAGGGATGTCTGAATCCCCTGTGGAGACCTTAGAGAAAGCCCTAGGTCCCTGCCTGATTTTGACGCAATGCCTCACATCCCGCTGACACCTCGAGAGGCACGCGGAGTTCATTGCTTCAAAAGGTGACCATGCCTGACTCCTCTTGAATACTGATAGGAATCCCAAAATCCCTGTGGCTACTGGAAAGGGTCTTGGGTGCCCTGCCTCACCTCGAGAAGCGTCCCTTTTGCCCTGCCAAGCCTCGAAGAGATTCCTGAGGTGTCCCTCGTTACTAGACAGCAGTCCTGACGTCACTGAAGAAACTCGTGTTTTGAAAGGCCATCCCCGCCGTAAGTCGAGAACGTACCCCAGGTCCCCGCCGCAACTCGAGAAAAACCATGAGACTTCCCCCTAGAGGCGAGATGAGGCCCCATTCCCCTGCAGTGCATGCAGAGCTATTCCGTGATCCCATTCAAACAAGTCAGGAGCTTCGGCTTGCTTAATGGATCTCGAGACAGTCCCCAAGAACACTGTCACCAGTCTAGACGGACCCTGAGGTCACCCCAGCAACGCAAAGCAGCTCCATGTGCCCCAAATCAACTCGAGATGAGGCCCGATTCCCCTGCATTGACTCCAGAGCCATTCCCCGTTCCCCATTCAACACGACCGGTGGCTCGACTTCCTTCAGGCATCTCCAGAGATGCCCAGAGAACACTGTCCCAAGTCTAGAGGAACACCAACTTCAGCACAGCAACTCGAGGAATGCTCCGTGTACCCCAAATCGTCTCGAGATGCGAGCTGATTCCCTGGCTTAGGCTCAAGACGTATGCCAACTTCCCAGAAGCACCTCAGGAGGAGGCTTCTCTCAGCAATAGGTATGTGGGAGGGACCCCGAGTTTGCTGCCTCAAGGGGAATATACAGCGAGAAGCCCTAACTTGAAAGGAGGCCGGATTTCCTTGCAGTGGCTTGAATACAGGCTCGTCTTTCATCTCACAACATGAAGGGATGTCTGAATCCCCTGTGGAGACCTTAGAGAAAGCCCTAGGTCCCTGCCTCATTTTGACGGAATGCCTCACATCCCGCTGACACCTCGAGAGGCACGCGGAGTTCATTGCTTCAAAAGGTGACGATGCCTGACTCCTCTTGAATACTGATAGGAATCCCAAAATCCCTGTGGCTACTGGAAAGGGTCCTTGGGTGCCCTGCCTCACCTCGAGAAGCGTCCCTTTGGCCCTGCCAAGCCTCGAAGAGATTCCTGAGGTGTCCCTCGTTACTAGACAGGAGTCCTGACGTCACTGAAGAAACTCGTGTTTTGAAGGGCCATCCCCGCCGTAAGTCGAGAACATACCCCAGATCCCCGCCGCAACTCGAGAAAAACCATGAGACTTCCCCCTAGAGGCGAGATGAGGCCCCATTCCCCTGCAGTGCATGCAGAGCTATTCCGTGATCCCATTCAAACAAGTCAGGAGCTTCGACTTGCTTAATGGATCTCGAGACAGTCCCCAAGAACACTGTCACCAGTCTAGACGGACCCTGAGGTCACCCCAGCAACGCAAAGCAGCTCCATGTGCCCCAAATCAACTCGAGATGAGGCCCGATTCCCCTGCATTGACTCCAGAGCCATTCCCCGTTCCCCATTCAACACGACCGGTGGCTCGACTTCCTTCAGGCAACTCCAGAGATGCCCCGAGAACACTGTCCCAAGTCTAGAGGAACACCAACTTCAGCACAGCAACTCGAGGAATGCTCCGTGTACCCCAAATCGTCTCGAGATGCGAGCTGATTCCCTGGCTTAGGCTCAAGACGTATGCCAACTTCCCAGAAGCACCTCAGGAGGAGGCTTCTCTCAGCAATAGGTATGTGGGAGGGACCCCGAGTTTGCTGCCTCAAGGGGAATATACAGCGAGAAGCCCTAACTTGAAAGGAGGCCGGATTTCCTTGCAGTGGCTTGAATACAGGCTCGTCTTTCATCTCACAACATGAAGGGATGTCTGAATCCCCTGTGGAGACCTTAGAGAAAGCCCTAGGTCCCTGCCTCATTTTGACGGAATGCCTCACATCGCGCTCACACCTCGAGAGGCACGCGGAGTTCATTGCTTCAAAAGGTGACGATGCCTGACTCCTCTTGAATACTGATAGGAATCCCAAAATCCCTGTGGCTACTGGAAAGGGTCCTTGGGTGCCCTGCCTCACCTCGAGAAGCGTCCCTTTTGCCCTGCCAAGCCTCGAAGTCATTCCTGAGGTGTCCCTCGTTACTAGACAGGAGTCCTGACGTCACTGAAGAAACTCGTGTTTTGAAGGGCCATCCCCGCCGTAAGTCGAGAACATACCCCAGGTCCCCGCCGCAACTCGAGAAAAACCATGAGACTTCTCCCTAGAGGCGAGATGAGGCCCCATTCCCCTGCAGTGCATGCAGAGCTATTCCGTGATCCCATTCAAACAAGTCAGGAGCTTCGGCTTGCTTAATGGATCTCGAGACAGTCCCCAAGAACACTGTCACCCGTCTAGACGGACCCTGAGGTCACCCCAGCAACGCAAAGCAGCTCCATGTGCCCCAAATCAACTCGAGATGAGGCCCGATTCCCCTGCATTGACTCCAGAGCCATTCCCCGTTCCCCATTCAACACGACCGGTGGCTCGACTTCCTTCAGGCAACTCCAGAGATGCCCCGAGAACACTGTCCCAAGTCTAGAGGAACACCAACTTCAGCACAGCAACTCGAGGAATGCTCCGTGTACCCCAAATCGTCTCGAGATGCCAGCTGATTCCCTGGCTTAGGCTCAAGACGTATGCCAACTTCCCAGAAGCACCTCAGGAGGAGGCTTCTCTCAGCAATAGGTATGTGGGAGGGACCCCGAGTTTGCTGCCTCAAGGGGAATATACAGCGAGAAGCCCTAACTTGAAAGGAGGCCGGATTTCCTTGCAGTGGCTTGAATACAGGCTCGTCTTTCATCTCACAACATGAAGGGATGTCTGAATCCCCTGTGGAGACCTTAGAGAAAGCCCTAGGTCCCTGCCTGATTTTGACGCAATGCCTCACATCCCGCTGACACCTCGAGAGGCACGCGGAGTTCATTGCTTCAAAAGGTGACGATGCCTGACTCCTCTTGAATACTGATAGGAATCCCAAAATCCCTGTGGCTACTGGAAAGGGTCTTGGGTGCCCTGCCTCACCTCGAGAAGCGTCCCTTTTGCCCTGCCAAGCCTCGAAGAGATTCCTGAGGTGTCCCTCGTTACTAGACAGCAGTCCTGACGTCACTGAAGAAACTCGTGTTTTGAAGGGCCATCCCCGCCGTAAGTCGAGAACGTACCCCAGGTCCCCGCCGCAACTCGAGAAAAACCATGAGACTTCCCCCTAGAGGCGAGATGAGGCCCCATTCCCCTGCAGTGCATGCAGAGCTATTCCGTGATCCCATTCAAACAAGTCAGGAGCTTCGACTTGCTTAATGGATCTCGAGACAGTCCCCAAGAACACTGTCACCAGTCTAGACCGACCCTGAGGTCACCCCAGCAACGCAAAGCAGATCCATGTGCCCCAAATCAACTCGAGATGAGGCCCGATTCCCCTGCATTGACTCCAGAGCCATTCCCCGTTCCCCATTCAACACGACCGGTGGCTCGACTTCCTTCAGGCAACTCCAGAGATGCCCCGAGAACACTGTCCCAAGTCTAGAGGAACACCAACTTCAGCACAGCAACTCGAGGAATGCTCCGTGTACCCCAAATCGTCTCGAGATGCGAGCTGATTCCCTGGCTTAGGCTCAAGACGTATGCCAACTTCCCAGAAGCACCACAGGAGGAGGCTTCTCTCAGCAATAGGTATGTGGGAGGGACCCCGAGTTTGCTGCCTCAAGGGGAATATACAGCGAGAAGCCCTAACTTGAAAGGAGGCCGGATTTCCTTGCAGTGGCTTGAATACAGGCTCGTCTTTCATCTCACAACATGAAGGGATGTCTGAATCCCCTGTGGAGACCTTAGAGAAAGCCCTAGGTCCCTGCCTCATTTTGACGGAATGCCTCACATCGCGCTGACACCTCGAGAGGCACGCGGAGTTCATTGCTTCAAAAGGTGACGATGCCTGACTCCTCTTGAATACTGATAGGAATCCCAAAATCCCTGTGGCTACTGGAAAGGGTCCTTTTGTGCCCTGCCTCACCTCGAGAAGCATCCCTTTTGCCCTGCCAAGCCTCGAAGAGATTCCTGAGGTGTCCCTCGTTACTAGACAGGAGTCCTGACGTCACTGAAGAAACTCGTGTTTTGAAGGGCCATCCCCGCCGTAAGTCGAGAACATACCCCAGGTCCCCGCCGCAACTCGAGAAAAACCATGAGACTTCCCCCTAGAGGCGAGATGAGACCCCATTCCCCTGCAGTGCATGCAGAGCTATTCCGTGATCCCATTCAAACAAGTCAGGAGCTTCGACTTGCTTAATGGATCTCGAGACAGTCCCCAAGAACACTGTCACCAGTCTAGACGGACCCTGAGGTCACCCCAGCAACGCAAAGCAGCTCCATGTGCCCCAAATCAACTCGAGATGAGGCCCGATTCCCGTGCATTGACTTCAGAGCCGTTCCCGGTTCCCCATTCAACACGACCGGTGGCTCGACTTCCTTCAGGCAACTCCAGAGATGCCCCGAGAACACTGTCCCAAGTCTAGAGGAACACCAACTTCAGCACAGCAACTCGAGGAATGCTCCGTGTACCCCAAATCGTCTCGAGATGCGAGCTGATCCCCTGGCTTAGGCTCAAGACGTATGCCAACTTCCCAGAAGCACCTCAGGAGGAGGCTTCTCTCAGCAATAGGTATGTGGGAGGGACCCCGAGTTTGCTGCCTCAAGGGGAATATACAGCGAGAAGCCCTAACTTGAAAGGAGGCCGGATTTCCTTGCAGTGGCTTGAATACAGGCTCGTCTTTCATCTCACAACATGAAGGGATGTCTGAATCCCCTGTGGAGACCTTAGAGAAAGCCCTAGGTCCCTGCCTGATTTTGACGCAATGCCTCACATCCCGCTGACACCTCGAGAGGCACGCGGAGTTCATTGCTTCAAAAGGTGACCATGCCTGACTCCTCTTGAATACTGATAGGAATCCCAAAATCCCTGTGGCTACTGGAAAGGGTCTTGGGTGCCCTGCCTCACCTCGAGAAGCGTCCCTTTTGCCCTGCCAAGCCTCGAAGAGATTCCTGAGGTGTCCCTCGTTACTAGACAGCAGTCCTGACGTCACTGAAGAAACTCGTGTTTTGAAGGGCCATCCCCGCCGTAAGTCGAGAACGTACCCCAGGTCCCCGCCGCAACTCGAGAAAAACCATGAGACTTCCCCCTAGAGGCGAGATGAGGCCCCATTCCCCTGCAGTGCATGCAGAGCTATTCCGTGATCCCATTCAAACAAGTCAGGAGCTTCGGCTTGCTTAATGGATCTCGAGACAGTCCCCAAGAACACTGTCACCAGTCTAGACGGACCCTGAGGTCACCCCAGCAACGCAAAGCAGCTCCATGTGCCCCAAATCAACTCGAGATGAGGCCCGATTCCCCTGCATTGACTCCAGAGCCATTCCCCGTTCCCCATTCAACACGACCGGTGGCTCGACTTCCTTCAGGCATCTCCAGAGATGCCCAGAGAACACTGTCCCAAGTCTAGAGGAACACCAACTTCAGCACAGCAACTCGAGGAATGCTCCGTGTACCCCAAATCGTCTCGAGATGCGAGCTGATTCCCTGGCTTAGGCTCAAGACGTATGCCAACTTCCCAGAAGCACCTCAGGAGGAGGCTTCTCTCAGCAATAGGTATGTGGGAGGGACCCCGAGTTTGCTGCCTCAAGGGGAATATACAGCGAGAAGCCCTAACTTGAAAGGAGGCCGGATTTCCTTGCAGTGGCTTGAATACAGGCTCGTCTTTCATCTCACAACATGAAGGGATGTCTGAATCCCCTGTGGAGACCTTAGAGAAAGCCCTAGGTCCCTGCCTCATTTTGACGGAATGCCTCACATCCCGCTGACACCTCGAGAGGCACGCGGAGTTCATTGCTTCAAAAGGTGACGATGCCTGACTCCTCTTGAATACTGATAGGAATCCCAAAATCCCTGTGGCTACTGGAAAGGGTCCTTGGGTGCCCTGCCTCTCCTCGAGAAGCGTCCCTTTGGCCCTGCCAAGCCTCGAAGAGATTCCTGAGGTGTCCCTCGTTACTAGACAGGAGTCCTGACGTCACTGAAGAAACTCGTGTTTTGAAGGGCCATCCCCGCCGTAAGTCGAGAACATACCCCAGATCCCCGCCGCAACTCGAGAAAAACCATGAGACTTCCCCCTAGAGGCGAGATGAGGCCCCATTCCCCTTCAGTGCATGCAGAGCTATTCCGTGATCCCATTCAAACAAGTCAGGAGCTTCGACTTGCTTAATGGATCTCGAGACAGTCCCCAAGAACACTGTCACCAGTCTAGACGGACCCTGAGGTCACCCCAGCAACGCAAAGCAGCTCCATGTGCCCCAAATCAACTCGAGATGAGGCCCGATTCCCCTGCATTGACTCCAGAGCCATTCCCCGTTCCCCATTCAACACGACCGGTGGCTCGACTTCCTTCAGGCAACTCCAGAGATGCCCCGAGAACACTGTCCCAAGTCTAGAGGAACACCAACTTCAGCACAGCAACTCGAGGAATGCTCCGTGTACCCCAAATCGTCTCGAGATGCGAGCTGATTCCCTGGCTTAGGCTCAAGACGTATGCCAACTTCCCAGAAGCACCACAGGAGGAGGCTTCTCTCAGCAATAGGTATGTGGGAGGGACCCCGAGTTTGCTGCCTCAAGGGGAATATACAGCGAGAAGCCCTAACTTGAAAGGAGGCCGGATTTCCTTGCAGTGGCTTGAATACAGGCTCGTCTTTCATCTCACAACATGAAGGGATGTCTGAATCCCCTGTGGAGACCTTAGAGAAAGCCCTAGGTCCCTGCCTCATTTTGACGGAATGCCTCACATCGCGCTGACACCTCGAGAGGCACGCGGAGTTCATTGCTTCAAAAGGTGACGATGCCTGACTCCTCTTGAATACTGATAGGAATCCCAAAATCCCTGTGGCTACTGGAAAGGGTCCTTTTGTGCCCTGCCTCACCTCGAGAAGCATCCCTTTTGCCCTGCCAAGCCTCGAAGAGATTCCTGAGGTGTCCCTCGTTACTAGACAGGAGTCCTGACGTCACTGAAGAAACTCGTGTTTTGAAGGGCCATCCCCGCCGTAAGTCGAGAACATACCCCAGGTCCCCGCCGCAACTCGAGAAAAACCATGAGACTTCCCCCTAGAGGCGAGATGAGGCCCCATTCCCCTGCAGTGCATGCAGAGCTATTCCGTGATCCCATTCAAACAAGTCAGGAGCTTCGACTTGCTTAATGGATCTCGAGACAGTCCCCAAGAACACTGTCACCAGTCTAGACGGACCCTGAGGTCACCCCAGCAACGCAAAGCAGCTCCCTGTGCCCCAAATCAACTCGAGATGAGGCCCGATTCCCGTGCATTGACTTCAGAGCCGTTCCCCGTTCCCCATTCAACACGACCGGTGGCTCGACTTCCTTCAGGCAACTCCAGAGATGCCCCGAGAACACTGTCCCAAGTCTAGAGGAACACCAACTTCAGCACAGCAACTCGAGGAATGCTCCGTTTACCCCAAAACGTCTCGAGATGAGAGCTGATTCCCTGGCTTAGGCTCAAGACGTATGCCAACTTCCCAGAAGAACCTCAGGTGGAGGCTTCTCTCAGCAATAGGTATGTGGGAGGGACCCCGAGTTTGCTGCCTCAAGGGGAATATACAGCGAGAAGCCCTAACTTGAAAGGAGGCCGGATTTCCTTGCAGTGGCTTGAATACAGGCTCGTCTTTCATCTCACAACATGAAAGGATGTCTGAATCCCCTGTGGAGACCTTAGAGAAAGCCCTAGGTCCCTGCCTCATTTTGACGGAATGCCTCACATCCCGCTGACACCTCGAGAGGCACGCGGAGTTCATTGCTTCAAAAGGTGACGATGCCTGACTCCTCTTGAATACTGATAGGAATCCCAAAATCCCTGTGGCTACTGGAAAGGGTCCTTGGGTGCCCTGCCTCACCTCGAGAAGCGTCCCTTTGGCCCTGCCAAGCCTCGAAGAGATTCCTGAGGTGTCCCTCGTTACTAGACAGGAGTCCTGACGTCACTGAAGAAACTCGTGTTTTGAAGGGCCATCCCCGCCGTAAGTCGAGAACATACCCCAGGTCCCCGCCGCAACTCGAGAAAAACCATGAGACTTCCCCCTAGAGGCGAGATGAGGCCCCATTCCCCTGCAGTGCATGCAGAGCTATTCCGTGATCCCATTCAAACAAGTCAGGAGCTTCGACTTGCTTAATGGATCTCGAGACAGTCCCCAAGAACACTGTCACCAGTCTAGACGGAACCTGAGGTCACCCCAGCAACGCAAAGCAGCTCCATGTGCCCCAAATAAACTCGAGATGAGGCCCGGTTCCCCTGCATTGACTCCAGAGCCATTCCCCGTTCCCCATTCAACACGACCGGTGGCTCGACTTCCTCCAGGCAACTCCAGAGATGCCCCGAGAACACTGTCCCAAGTCTAGAGGAACACCAACTTCAGCACAGCAACTCGAGGAATGCTCCGTGTACCCCAAATCGTCTCGAGATGCGAGCTGATCCCCTGGCTTAGGCTCAAGACGTATGCCAACTTCCCAGAAGCACCTCAGGAGGAGGCTTCTCTCAGCAATAGGTATGTGGGAGGGACCCCGAGTTTGCTGCCTCAAGGGGAATATACAGCGAGAAGCCCTAACTTGAAAGGAGGCCGGATTTCCTTGCAGTGGCTTGAATACAGGCTCGTCTTTCATCTCACAACATGAAGGGATGTCTGAATCCCCTGTGGAGACCTTAGAGAAAGCCCTAGGTCCCTGCCTGATTTTGACGCAATGCCTCACATCCCGCTGACACCTCGAGAGGCACGCGGAGTTCATTGCTTCAAAAGGTGACGATGCCTGACTCCTCTTGAATACTGATAGGAATCCCAAAATCCCTGTGGCTACTGGAAAGGGTCTTGGGTGCCCTGCCTCACCTCGAGAAGCGTCCCTTTTGCCCTGCCAAGCCTCGAAGAGATTCCTGAGGTGTCCCTCGTTACTAGACAGCAGTCCTGACGTCACTGAAGAAACTCGTGTTTTGAAGGGCCATCCCCGCCGTAAGTCGAGAACATACCCCAGGTCCCCGCCGCAACTCGAGAAAAACCATGAGACTTCCCCCTAGAGGCGAGATGAGGCCCCATTCCCCTGCAGTGCATGCAGAGCTATTCCGTGATCCCATTCAAACAAGTCAGGAGCTTCGGCTTGCTTAATGGATCTCGAGACAGTCCCCAAGAACACTGTCACCAGTCTAGACGGACCCTGAGGTCACCCCAGCAACGCAAAGCAGCTCCATGTGCCCCAAATCAACTCGAGATGAGGCCCGATTCCCCTGCATTGACTCCAGAGCCATTCCCCGTTCCCCATTCAACACGACCGGTGGCTCGACTTCCTTCAGGCATCTACAGAGATGCCCAGAGAACACTGTCCCAAGTCTAGAGGAACACCAACTTCAGCACAGCAACTCGAGGAATGCTCCGTGTACCCCAAATCGTCTCGAGATGCGAGCTGATTCCCTGGCTTAGTCTCAAGACGTATGCCAACTTCCCAGAAGCACCTCAGGAGGAGGCTTCTCTCAGCAATAGGTATGTGGGAGGGACCCCGAGTTTGCTGCCTCAAGGGGAATATACAGCGAGAAGCCCTAACTTGAAAGGAGGCCGGATTTCCTTGCAGTGGCTTGAATACAGGCTCGTCTTTCATCTCACAACATGAAGGGATGTCTGAATCCCCTGTGGAGACCTTAGAGAAAGCCCTAGGTCCCTGCCTCATTTTGACGGAATGCCTCACATCCCGCTGACACCTCGAGAGGCACGCGGAGTTCATTGCTTCAAAAGGTGACGATGCCTGACTCCTCTTGAATACTGATAGGAATCCCAAAATCCCTGTGGCTACTGGAAAGGGTCCTTGGGTGCCCTGCCTCACCTCGAGAAGCGTCCCTTTGGCCCTGCCAAGCCTCGAAGAGATTCCTGAGGTGTCCCTCGTTACTAGACAGGAGTCCTGACGTCACTGAAGAAACTCGTGTTTTGAAGGGCCATCCCCGCCGTAAGTCGAGAACATACCCCAGGTCCCCGCCGCAACTCGAGAAAAACCATGAGACTTCCCCCTAGAGGCGAGATGAGGCCCCATTCCCCTGCAGTGCATGCAGAGCTATTCCGTGATCCCATTCAAACAAGTCAGGAGCTTCGACTTGCTTAATGGATCTCGAGACAGTCCCCAAGAACACTGTCACCAGTCTAGACGGACCCTGAGGTCACCCCAGCAACGCAAAGCAGCTCCATGTGCCCCAAATCAACTCGAGATGAGGCCCGATTCCCCTGCATTGACTTCAGAGCCGTTCCCCGTTCCCCATTCAACACGACCGGTGGCTCGACTTCCTTCAGGCAACTCCAGAGATGCCCCGAGAACACTGTCCCAAGTCTAGAGGAACACCAACTTCAGCACAGCAACTCGAGGAATGCTCCGTGTACCCCAAATCGTCTCGAGATGCGAGCTGATTCCCTGGCTTAGGCTCAAGACGTATGCCAACTTCCCAGAAGCACCACAGGAGGAGGCTTCTCTCAGCAATAGGTATGTGGGAGGGACCCCGAGTTTGCTGCCTCAAGGGGAATATACAGCGAGAAGCCCTAACTTGAAAGGAGGCCGGATTTCCTTGCAGTGGCTTGAATACAGGCTCGTCTTTCATCTCACAACATGAAGGGATGTCTGAATCCCCTGTGGAGACCTTAGAGAAAGCCCTAGGTCCCTGCCTCATTTTGACGGAATGCCTCACATCGCGCTCACACCTCGAGAGGCACGCGGAGTTCATTGCTTCAAAAGGTGACGATGCCTGACTCCTCTTGAATACTGATAGGAATCCCAAAATCCCTGTGGCTACTGGAAAGGGTCCTTGGGTGCCCTGCCTCACCTCGAGAAGCGTCCCTTTTGCCCTGCCAAGCCTCGAAGTCATTCCTGAGGTGTCCCTCGTTACTAGACAGGAGTCCTGACGTCACTGAAGAAACTCGTGTTTTGAAGGGCCATCCCCGCCGTAAGTCGAGAACATACCCCAGGTCCCCGCCGCAACTCGAGAAAAACCATGAGACTTCTCCCTAGAGGCGAGATGAGGCCCCATTCCCCTGCAGTGCATGCAGAGCTATTCCGTGATCCCATTCAAACAAGTCAGGAGCTTCGGCTTGCTTAATGGATCTCGAGACAGTCCCCAAGAACACTGTCACCCGTCTAGACGGACCCTGAGGTCACCCCAGCAACGCAAAGCAGCTCCATGTGCCCCAAATCAACTCGAGATGAGGCCCGATTCCCCTGCATTGACTCCAGAGCCATTCCCCGTTCCCCATTCAACACGACCGGTGGCTCGACTTCCTTCAGGCAACTCCAGAGATGCCCCGAGAACACTGTCCCAAGTCTAGAGGAACACCAACTTCAGCACAGCAACTCGAGGAATGCTCCGTGTACCCCAAATCATCTCGAGATGCGAGCTGATTCCCTGGCTTAGGCTCAAGACGTATGCCAACTTCCCAGAAGCACCTCAGGAGGAGGCTTCTCTCAGCAATAGGTATGTGGGAGGGACCCCGAGTTTGCTGCCTCAAGGGGAATATACAGCGAGAAGCCCTAACTTGAAAGGAGGCCGGATTTCCTTGCAGTGGCTTGAATACAGGCTCGTCTTTCATCTCACAACATGAAGGGATGTCTGAATCCCCTGTGGAGACCTTAGAGAAAGCCCTAGGTCCCTGCCTGATTTTGACGCAATGCCTCACATCCCGCTGACACCTCGAGAGGCACGCGGAGTTCATTGCTTCAAAAGGTGATGATGCCTGACTCCTCTTGAATACTGATAGGAATCCCAAAATCCCTGTGGCTACTGGAAAGGGTCTTGGGTGCCCTGCCTCACCTCGAGAAGCGTCCCTTTTGCCCTGCCAAGCCTCGAAGAGATTCCTGAGGTGTCCCTCGTTACTAGACAGCAGTCCTGACGTCACTGAAGAAACTCGTGTTTTGAAGGGCCATCCCCGCCGTAAGTCGAGAACGTACCCCAGGTCCCCGCCGCAACTCGAGAAAAACCATGAGACTTCCCCCTAGAGGCGAGATGAGGCCCCATTCCCCTGCAGTGCATGCAGAGCTATTCCGTGATCCCATTCAAACAAGTCAGGAGCTTCGACTTCCTTAATGGATCTCGAGACAGTCCCCAAGAACACTGTCACCAGTCTAGACGGACCCTGAGGTCACCCCAGCAACGCAAAGCAGATCCATGTGCCCCAAATCAACTCGAGATGAGGCCCGATTCCCCTGCATTGACTCCAGAGCCATTCCCCGTTCCCCATTCAACACGACCGGTGGCTCGACTTCCTTCAGGCAACTCCAGAGATGCCCCGAGAACACTGTCCCAAGTCTAGAGGAACACCAACTTCAGCACAGCAACTCGAGGAATGCTCCGTGTACCCCAAATCGTCTCGAGATGCGAGCTGATTCCCTGGCTTAGGCTCAAGACGTATGCCAACTTCCCAGAAGCACCACAGGAGGAGGCTTCTCTCAGCAATAGGTATGTGGGAGGGACCCCGAGTTTGCTGCCTCAAGGGGAATATACAGCGAGAAGCCCTAACTTGAAAGGAGGCCGGATTTCCTTGCAGTGGCTTGAATACAGGCTCGTCTTTCATCTCACAACATGAAGGGATGTCTGAATCCCCTGTGGAGACCTTAGAGAAAGCCCTAGGTCCCTGCCTCATTTTGACGGAATGCCTCACATCGCGCTGACACCTCGAGAGGCACGCGGAGTTCATTGCTTCAAAAGGTGACGATGCCTGACTCCTCTTGAATACTGATAGGAATCCCAAAATCCCTGTGGCTACTGGAAAGGGTCCTTTTGTGCCCTGCCTCACCTCGAGAAGCATCCCTTTTGCCCTGCCAAGCCTCGAAGAGATTCCTGAGGTGTCCCTCGTTACTAGACAGCAGTCCTGACGTCACTGAAGAAACTCGTGTTTTGAAGGGCCATCCCCGCCGTAAGTCGAGAACGTACCCCAGGTCCCCGCCGCAACTCGAGAAAAACCATGAGACTTCCCCCTAGAGGCGAGATGAGGCCCCATTCCCCTGCAGTGCATGCAGAGCTATTCCGTGATCCCATTCAAACAAGTCAGGAGCTTCGGCTTGCTTAATGGATCTCGAGACAGTCCCCAAGAACACTGTCACCAGTCTAGACGGACCCTGAGGTCACCCCAGCAACGCAAAGCAGCTCCATGTGCCCCAAATCAACTCGAGATGAGGCCCGATTCCCCTGCATTGACTCCAGAGCCATTCCCCGTTCCCCATTCAACACGACCGGTGGCTCGACTTCCTTCAGGCATCTCCAGAGATGCCCAGAGAACACTGTCCCAAGTCTAGAGGAACACCAACTTCAGCACAGCAACTCGAGGAATGCTCCGTGTACCCCAAATCGTCTCGAGATGCGAGCTGATTCCCTGGCTTAGGCTCAAGACGTATGCCAACTTCCCAGAAGCACCTCAGGAGGAGGCTTCTCTCAGCAATAGGTATGTGGGAGGGACCCCGAGTTTGCTGCCTCAAGGGGAATATACAGCGAGAAGCCCTAACTTGAAAGGAGGCCGGATTTCCTTGCAGTGGCTTGAATACAGGCTCGTCTTTCATCTCACAACATGAAGGGATGTCTGAATCCCCTGTGGAGACCTTAGAGAAAGCCCTAGGTCCCTGCCTCATTTTGACGGAATGCCTCACATCCCGCTGACACCTCGAGAGGCACGCGGAGTTCATTGCTTCAAAAGGTGACGATGCCTGACTCCTCTTGAATACTGATAGGAATCCCAAAATCCCTGTGGCTACTGGAAAGGGTCCTTGGGTGCCCTGCCTCACCTCGAGAAGCGTCCCTTTGGCCCTGCCAAGCCTCGAAGAGATTCCTGAGGTGTCCCTCGTTACTAGACAGGAGTCCTGACGTCACTGAAGAAACTCGTGTTTTGAAGGGCCATCCCCGCCGTAAGTCGAGAACATACCCCAGATCCCCGCCGCAACTCGAGAAAAACCATGAGACTTCCCCCTAGAGGCGAGATGAGGCCCCATTCCCCTTCAGTGCATGCAGAGCTATTCCGTGATCCCATTCAAACAAGTCAGGAGCTTCGACTTGCTTAATGGATCTCGAGACAGTCCCCAAGAACACTGTCACCAGTCTAGACGGACCCTGAGGTCACCCCAGCAACGCAAAGCAGCTCCATGTGCCCCAAATCAACTCGAGATGAGGCCCGATTCCCCTGCATTGACTCCAGAGCCATTCCCCGTTCCCCATTCAACACGACCGGTGGCTCGACTTCCTTCAGGCAACTCCAGAGATGCCCCGAGAACACTGTCCCAAGTCTAGAGGAACACCAACTTCAGCACAGCAACTCGAGGAATGCTCCGTGTACCCCAAATCGTCTCGAGATGCGAGCTGATTCCCTGGCTTAGGCTCAAGACGTATGCCAACTTCCCAGAAGCACCACAGGAGGAGGCTTCTCTCAGCAATAGGTATGTGGGAGGGACCCCGAGTTTGCTGCCTCAAGGGGAATATACAGCGAGAAGCCCTAACTTGAAAGGAGGCCGGATTTCCTTGCAGTGGCTTGAATACAGGCTCGTCTTTCATCTCACAACATGAAGGGATGTCTGAATCCCCTGTGGAGACCTTAGAGAAAGCCCTAGGTCCCTGCCTCATTTTGACGGAATGCCTCACATCGCGCTGACACCTCGAGAGGCACGCGGAGTTCATTGCTTCAAAAGGTGACGATGCCTGACTCCTCTTGAATACTGATAGGAATCCCAAAATCCCTGTGGCTACTGGAAAGGGTCCTTTTGTGCCCTGCCTCACCTCGAGAAGCATCCCTTTTGCCCTGCCAAGCCTCGAAGAGATTCCTGAGGTGTCCCTCGTTACTAGACAGGAGTCCTGACGTCACTGAAGAAACTCGTGTTTTGAAGGGCCATCCCCGCCGTAAGTCGAGAACATACCCCAGGTCCCCGCCGCAACTCGAGAAAAACCATGAGACTTCCCCCTAGAGGCGAGATGAGGTCCCATTCCCCTGCAGTGCATGCAGAGCTATTCCGTGATCCCATTCAAACAAGTCAGGAGCTTCGACTTGCTTAATGGATCTCGAGACAGTCCCCAAGAACACTGTCACCAGTCTAGACGGACCCTGAGGTCACCCCAGCAACGCAAAGCAGCTCCCTGTGCCCCAAATCAACTCGAGATGAGGCCCGATTCCCGTGCATTGACTTCAGAGCCGTTCCCCGTTCCCCATTCAACACGACCGGTGGCTCGACTTCCTTCAGGCAACTCCAGAGATGCCCCGAGAACACTGTCCCAAGTCTAGAGGAACACCAACTTCAGCACAGCAACTCGAGGAATGCTCCGTTTACCCCAAAACGTCTCGAGATGAGAGCTGATTCCCTGGCTTAGGCTCAAGACGTATGCCAACTTCCCAGAAGAACCTCAGGTGGAGGCTTCTCTCAGCAATAGGTATGTGGGAGGGACCCCGAGTTTGCTGCCTCAAGGGGAATATACAGCGAGAAGCCCTAACTTGAAAGGAGGCCGGATTTCCTTGCAGTGGCTTGAATACAGGCTCGTCTTTCATCTCACAACATGAAAGGATGTCTGAATCCCCTGTGGAGACCTTAGAGAAAGCCCTAGGTCCCTGCCTCATTTTGACGGAATGCCTCACATCCCGCTGACACCTCGAGAGGCACGCGGAGTTCATTGCTTCAAAAGGTGACGATGCCTGACTCCTCTTGAATACTGATAGGAATCCCAAAATCCCTGTGGCTACTGGAAAGGGTCCTTGGGTGCCCTGCCTCACCTCGAGAAGCGTCCCTTTGGCCCTGCCAAGCCTCGAAGAGATTCCTGAGGTGTCCCTCGTTACTAGACAGGAGTCCTGACGTCACTGAAGAAACTCGTGTTTTGAAGGGCCATCCCCGCCGTAAGTCGAGAACATACCCCAGGTCCCCGCCGCAACTCGAGAAAAACCATGAGACTTCCCCCTAGAGGCGAGATGAGGCCCCATTCCCCTGCAGTGCATGCAGAGCTATTCCGTGATCCCATTCAAACAAGTCAGGAGCTTCGACTTGCTTAATGGATCTCGAGACAGTCCCCAAGAACACTGTCACCAGTCTAGACGGAACCTGAGGTCACCCCAGCAACGCAAAGCAGCTCCATGTGCCCCAAATCAACTCGAGATGAGGCCCGGTTCCCCTGCATTGACTCCAGAGCCATTCCCCGTTCCCCATTCAACACGACCGGTGGCTCGAATTCCTTCAGGCAACTCCAGAGATGCCCCGAGAACACTGTCCCAAGTCTAGAGGAACACCAACTTCAGCACAGCAACTCGAGGAATGCTCCGTGTACCCCAAATCGTCTCGAGATGCGAGCTGATCCCCTGGCTTAGGCTCAAGACGTATGCCAACTTCCCAGAAGCACCTCAGGAGGAGGCTTCTCTCAGCAATAGGTATGTGGGAGGGACCCCGAGTTTGCTGCCTCAAGGGGAATATACAGCGAGAAGCCCTAACTTGAAAGGAGGCCAGATTTCCTTGCAGTGGCTTGAATACAGGCTCGTCTTTCATCTCACAACATGAAGGGATGTCTGAATCCCCTGTGGAGACCTTAGAGAAAGCCCTAGGTCCCTGCCTGATTTTGACGCAATGCCTCACATCCCGCTGACACCTCGAGAGGCACGCGGAGTTCATTGCTTCAAAAGGTGACGATGCCTGACTCCTCTTGAATACTGATAGGAATCCCAAAATCCCTGTGGCTACTGGAAAGGGTCTTGGGTGCCCTGCCTCACCTCGAGAAGCGTCCCTTTTGCCCTGCCAAGCCTCGAAGAGATTCCTGAGGTGTCCCTCGTTACTAGACAGCAGTCCTGACGTCACTGAAGAAACTCGTGTTTTGAAGGGCCATCCCCGCCGTAAGTCGAGAACATACCCCAGGTCCCCGCCGCAACTCGAGAAAAACCATGAGACTTCCCCCTAGAGGCGAGATGAGGCCCCATTCCCCTGCAGTGCATGCAAAGCTATTCCGTGATCCCATTCAAACAAGTCAGGAGCTTCGGCTTGCTTAATGGATCTCGAGACAGTCCCCAAGAACACTGTCACCAGTCTAGACGGACCCTGAGGTCACCCCAGCAACGCAAAGCAGCTCCATGTGCCCCAAATCAACTCGAGATGAGGCCCGATTCCCCTGCATTGACTCCAGAGCCATTCCCCGTTCCCCATTCAACACGACCGGTGGCTCGACTTCCTTCAGGCATCTCCAGAGATGCCCAGAGAACACTGTCCCAAGTCTAGAGGAACACCAACTTCAGCACAGCAACTCGAGGAATGCTCCGTGTACCCCAAATCGTCTCGAGATGCGAGCTGATTCCCTGGCTTAGGCTCAAGACGTATGCCAACTTCCCAGAAGCACCTCAGGAGGAGGCTTCTCTCAGCAATAGGTATGTGGGAGGGACCCCGAGTTTGCTGCCTCAAGGGGAATATACAGCGAGAAGCCCTAACTTGAAAGGAGGCCGGATTTCCTTGCAGTGGCTTGAATACAGGCTCGTCTTTCATCTCACAACATGAAGGGATGTCTGAATCCCCTGTGGAGACCTTAGAGAAAGCCCTAGGTCCCTGCCTCATTTTGACGGAATGCCTCACATCCCGCTGACACCTCGAGAGGCACGCGGAGTTCATTGCTTCAAAAGGTGACGATGCCTGACTCCTCTTGAATACTGATAGGAATCCCAAAATCCCTGTGGCTACTGGAAAGGGTCCTTGGGTGCCCTGCCTCACCTCGAGAAGCGTCCCTTTGGCCCTGCCAAGCCTCGAAGAGATTCCTGAGGTGTCCCTCGTTACTAGACAGGAGTCCTGACGTCACTGAAGAAACTCGTGTTTTGAAGGGCCATCCCCGCCGTAAGTCGAGAACATACCCCAGATCCCCGCCGCAACTCGAGAAAAACCATGAGACTTCCCCCTAGAGGCGAGATGAGGCCCCATTCCCCTGCAGTGCATGCAGAGCTATTCCGTGATCCCATTCAAACAAGTCAGGAGCTTCGACTTGCTTAATGGATCTCGAGACAGTCCCCAAGAACACTGTCACCAGTCTAGACGGACCCTGAGGTCACCCCAGCAACGCAAAGCAGCTCCATGTGCCCCAAATCAACTCGAGATGAGGCCCGATTCCCCTGCATTGACTCCAGAGCCATTCCCCGTTCCCCATTCAACACGACCGGTGGCTCGACTTCCTTCAGGCAACTCCAGAGATGCCCCGAGAACACTGTCCCAAGTCTAGAGGAACACCAACTTCAGCACAGCAACTCGAGGAATGCTCCGTGTACCCCAAATCGTCTCGAGATGCGAGCTGATTCCCTGGCTTAGGCTCAAGACGTATGCCAACTTCCCAGAAGCACCTCAGGAGGAGGCTTCTCTCAGCAATAGGTATGTGGGAGGGACCCCGAGTTTGCTGCCTCAAGGGGAATATACAGCGAGAAGCCCTAACTTGAAAGGAGGCCGGATTTCCTTGCAGTGGCTTGAATACAGGCTCGTCTTTCATCTCACAACATGAAGGGATGTCTGAATCCCCTGTGGAGACCTTAGAGAAAGCCCTAGGTCCCTGCCTCATTTTGACGGAATGCCTCACATCGCGCTCACACCTCGAGAGGCACGCGGAGTTCATTGCTTCAAAAGGTGACGATGCCTGACTCCTCTTGAATACTGATAGGAATCCCAAAATCCCTGTGGCTACTGGAAAGGGTCCTTGGGTGCCCTGCCTCACCTCGAGAAGCGTCCCTTTTGCCCTGCCAAGCCTCGAAGTCATTCCTGAGGTGTCCCTCGTTACTAGACAGGAGTCCTGACGTCACTGAAGAAACTCGTGTTTTGAAGGGCCATCCCCGCCGTAAGTCGAGAACATACCCCAGGTCCCCGCCGCAACTCGAGAAAAACCATGAGACTTCTCCCTAGAGGCGAGATGAGGCCCCATTCCCCTGCAGTGCATGCAGAGCTATTCCGTGATCCCATTCAAACAAGTCAGGAGCTTCGGCTTGCTTAATGGATCTCGAGACAGTCCCCAAGAACACTGTCACCCGTCTAGACGGACCCTGAGGTCACCCCAGCAACGCAAAGCAGCTCCATGTGCCCCAAATCAACTCGAGATGAGGCCCGATTCCCCTGCATTGACTCCAGAGCCATTCCCCGTTCCCCATTCAACACGACCGGTGGCTCGACTTCCTTCAGGCAACTCCAGAGATGCCCCGAGAACACTGTCCCAAGTCTAGAGGAACACCAACTTCAGCACAGCAACTCGAGGAATGCTCCGTGTACCCCAAATCGTCTCGAGATGCGAGCTGATTCCCTGGCTTAGGCTCAAGACGTATGCCAACTTCCCAGAAGCACCTCAGGAGGAGGCTTCTCTCAGCAATAGGTATGTGGGAGGGACCCCGAGTTTGCTGCCTCAAGGGGAATATACAGCGAGAAGCCCTAACTTGAAAGGAGGCCGGATTTCCTTGCAGTGGCTTGAATACAGGCTCGTCTTTCATCTCACAACATGAAGGGATGTCTGAATCCCCTGTGGAGACCTTAGAGAAAGCCCTAGGTCCCTGCCTGATTTTGACGCAATGCCTCACATCCCGCTGACACCTCGAGAGGCACGCGGAGTTCATTGCTTCAAAAGGTGACGATGCCTGACTCCTCTTGAATACTGATAGGAATCCCAAAATCCCTGTGGCTACTGGAAAGGGTCTTGGGTGCCCTGCCTCACCTCGAGAAGCGTCCCTTTTGCCCTGCCAAGCCTCGAAGAGATTCCTGAGGTGTCCCGTTACTAGACAGCAGTCCTGACGTCACTGAAGAAACTCGTGTTTTGAAGGGCCATCCCCGCCGTAAGTCGAGAACGTACCCCAGGTCCCCGCCGCAACTCGAGAAAAACCATGAGACTTCCCCCTAGAGGCGAGATGAGGCCCCATTCCCCTGCAGTGCATGCAGAGCTATTCCGTGATCCCATTCAAACAAGTCAGGAGCTTCGACTTGCTTAATGGATCTCGAGACAGTCCCCAAGAACACTGTCACCAGTCTAGACGGACCCTGAGGTCACCCCAGCAACGCAAAGCAGATCCATGTGCCCCAAATCAACTCGAGATGAGGCCCGATTCCCCTGCATTGACTCCAGAGCCATTCCCCGTTCCCCATTCAACACGACCGGTGGCTCGACTTCCTTCAGGCAACTCCAGAGATGCCCCGAGAACACTGTCCCAAGTCTAGAGGAACACCAACTTCAGCACAGCAACTCGAGGAATGCTCCGTGTACCCCAAATCGTCTCGAGATGCGAGCTGATTCCCTGGCTTAGGCTCAAGACGTAATGCCAACTTCCCAGAAGCACCACAGGAGGAGGCTTCTCTCAGCAATAGGTATGTGGGAGGGACCCCCGAGTTTGCTGCCTCAAGGGGAATATACAGCGAGAAGCCCTAACTTGAAAGGAGGCCGGATTTCCTTGCAGTGGCTTGAATACAGGCTCGTCTTTCATCTCACAACATGAAGGGATGTCTGAATCCCCTGTGGAGACCTTAGAGAAAGCCCTAGGTCCCTGCCTCATTTTGACGGAATGCCTCACATCGCGCTGACACCTCGAGAGGCACGCGGAGTTCATTGCTTCAAAAGGTGACGATGCCTGACTCCTCTTGAATACTGATAGGAATCCCAAAATCCCTGTGGCTACTGGAAAGGGTCCTTTTGTGCCCTGCCTCACCTCGAGAAGCATCCCTTTTGCCCTGCCAAGCCTCGAAGAGATTCCTGAGGTGTCCCTCGTTACTAGACAGGAGTCCTGACGTCACTGAAGAAACTCGTGTTTTGAAGGGCCATCCCCGCCGTAAGTCGAGAACATACCCCAGGTCCCCGCCGCAACTCGAGAAAAACCATGAGACTTCCCCCTAGAGGCGAGATGAGACCCCATTCCCCTGCAGTGCATGCAGAGCTATTCCGTGATCCCATTCAAACAAGTCAGGAGCTTCGACTTGCTTAATGGATCTCGAGACAGTCCCCAAGAACACTGTCACCAGTCTAGACGGACCCTGAGGTCACCCCAGCAACGCAAAGCAGCTCCATGTGCCCCAAATCAACTCGAGATGAGGCCCGATTCCCGTGCATTGACTTCAGAGCCGTTCCCGGTTCCCCATTCAACACGACCGGTGGCTCGACTTCCTTCAGGCAACTCCAGAGATGCCCCGAGAACACTGTCCCAAGTCTAGAGGAACACCAACTTCAGCACAGCAACTCGAGGAATGCTCCGTGTACCCCAAATCGTCTCGAGATGCGAGCTGATCCCCTGGCTTAGGCTCAAGACGTATGCCAACTTCCCAGAAGCACCTCAGGAGGAGGCTTCTCTCAGCAATAGGTATGTGGGAGGGACCCCGAGTTTGCTGCCTCAAGGGGAATATACAGCGAGAAGCCCTAACTTGAAAGGAGGCCGGATTTCCTTGCAGTGGCTTGAATACAGGCTCGTCTTTCATCTCACAACATGAAGGGATGTCTGAATCCCCTGTGGAGACCTTAGAGAAAGCCCTAGGTCCCTGCCTGATTTTGACGCAATGCCTCACATCCCGCTGACACCTCGAGAGGCACGCGGAGTTCATTGCTTCAAAAGGTGACCATGCCTGACTCCTCTTGAATACTGATAGGAATCCCAAAATCCCTGTGGCTACTGGAAAGGGTCTTGGGTGCCCTGCCTCACCTCGAGAAGCGTCCCTTTTGCCCTGCCAAGCCTCGAAGAGATTCCTGAGGTGTCCCTCGTTACTAGACAGCAGTCCTGACGTCACTGAAGAAACTCGTGTTTTGAAGGGCCATCCCCGCCGTAAGTCGAGAACGTACCCCAGGTCCCCGCCGCAACTCGAGAAAAACCATGAGACTTCCCCCTAGAGGCGAGATGAGGCCCCATTCCCCTGCAGTGCATGCAGAGCTATTCCGTGATCCCATTCAAACAAGTCAGGAGCTTCGGCTTGCTTAATGGATCTCGAGACAGTCCCCAAGAACACTGTCACCAGTCTAGACGGACCCTGAGGTCACCCCAGCAACGCAAAGCAGCTCCATGTGCCCCAAATCAACTCGAGATGAGGCCCGATTCCCCTGCATTGACTCCAGAGCCATTCCCCGTTCCCCATTCAACACGACCGGTGGCTCGACTTCCTTCAGGCATCTCCAGAGATGCCCAGAGAACACTGTCCCAAGTCTAGAGGAACACCAACTTCAGCACAGCAACTCGAGGAATGCTCCGTGTACCCCAAATCGTCTCGAGATGCGAGCTGATTCCCTGGCTTAGGCTCAAGACGTATGCCAACTTCCCAGAAGCACCTCAGGAGGAGGCTTCTCTCAGCAATAGGTATGTGGGAGGGACCCCGAGTTTGCTGCCTCAAGGGGAATATACAGCGAGAAGCCCTAACTTGAAAGGAGGCCGGATTTCCTTGCAGTGGCTTGAATACAGGCTCGTCTTTCATCTCACAACATGAAGGGATGTCTGAATCCCCTGTGGAGACCTTAGAGAAAGCCCTAGGTCCCTGCCTCATTTTGACGGAATGCCTCACATCCCGCTGACACCTCGAGAGGCACGCGGAGTTCATTGCTTCAAAAGGTGACGATGCCTGACTCCTCTTGAATACTGATAGGAATCCCAAAATCCCTGTGGCTACTGGAAAGGGTCCTTGGGTGCCCTGCCTCACCTCGAGAAGCGTCCCTTTGGCCCTGCCAAGCCTCGAAGAGATTCCTGAGGTGTCCCTCGTTACTAGACAGGAGTCCTGACGTCACTGAAGAAACTCGTGTTTTGAAGGGCCATCCCCGCCGTAAGTCGAGAACATACCCCAGATCCCCGCCGCAACTCGAGAAAAACCATGAGACTTCCCCCTAGAGGCGAGATGAGGCCCCATTCCCCTTCAGTGCATGCAGAGCTATTCCGTGATCCCATTCAAACAAGTCAGGAGCTTCGACTTGCTTAATGGATCTCGAGACAGTCCCCAAGAACACTGTCACCAGTCTAGACGGACCCTGAGGTCACCCCAGCAACGCAAAGCAGCTCCATGTGCCCCAAATCAACTCGAGATGAGGCCCGATTCCCCTGCATTGACTCCAGAGCCATTCCCCGTTCCCCATTCAACACGACCGGTGGCTCGACTTCCTTCAGGCAACTCCAGAGATGCCCCGAGAACACTGTCCCAAGTCTAGAGGAACACCAACTTCAGCACAGCAACTCGAGGAATGCTCCGTGTACCCCAAATCGTCTCGAGATGCGAGCTGATTCCCTGGCTTAGGCTCAAGACGTATGCCAACTTCCCAGAAGCACCACAGGAGGAGGCTTCTCTCAGCAATAGGTATGTGGGAGGGACCCCGAGTTTGCTGCCTCAAGGGGAATATACAGCGAGAAGCCCTAACTTGAAAGGAGGCCGGATTTCCTTGCAGTGGCTTGAATACAGGCTCGTCTTTCATCTCACAACATGAAGGGATGTCTGAATCCCCTGTGGAGACCTTAGAGAAAGCCCTAGGTCCCTGCCTCATTTTGACGGAATGCCTCACATCGCGCTGACACCTCGAGAGGCACGCGGAGTTCATTGCTTCAAAAGGTGACGATGCCTGACTCCTCTTGAATACTGATAGGAATCCCAAAATCCCTGTGGCTACTGGAAAGGGTCCTTTTGTGCCCTGCCTCACCTCGAGAAGCATCCCTTTTGCCCTGCCAAGCCTCGAAGAGATTCCTGAGGTGTCCCTCGTTACTAGACAGGAGTCCTGACGTCACTGAAGAAACTCGTGTTTTGAAGGGCCATCCCCGCCGTAAGTCGAGAACATACCCCAGGTCCCCGCCGCAACTCGAGAAAAACCATGAGACTTCCCCCTAGAGGCGAGATGAGGCCCCATTCCCCTGCAGTGCATGCAGAGCTATTCCGTGATCCCATTCAAACAAGTCAGGAGCTTCGACTTGCTTAATGGATCTCGAGACAGTCCCCAAGAACACTGTCACCAGTCTAGACGGACCCTGAGGTCACCCCAGCAACGCAAAGCAGCTCCCTGTGCCCCAAATCAACTCGAGATGAGGCCCGATTCCCGTGCATTGACTTCAGAGCCGTTCCCCGTTCCCCATTCAACACGACCGGTGGCTCGACTTCCTTCAGGCAACTCCAGAGATGCCCCGAGAACACTGTCCCAAGTCTAGAGGAACACCAACTTCAGCACAGCAACTCGAGGAATGCTCCGTTTACCCCAAAACGTCTCGAGATGAGAGCTGATTCCCTGGCTTAGGCTCAAGACGTATGCCAACTTCCCAGAAGAACCTCAGGTGGAGGCTTCTCTCAGCAATAGGTATGTGGGAGGGACCCCGAGTTTGCTGCCTCAAGGGGAATATACAGCGAGAAGCCCTAACTTGAAAGGAGGCCGGATTTCCTTGCAGTGGCTTGAATACAGGCTCGTCTTTCATCTCACAACATGAAAGGATGTCTGAATCCCCTGTGGAGACCTTAGAGAAAGCCCTAGGTCCCTGCCTCATTTTGACGGAATGCCTCACATCCCGCTGACACCTCGAGAGGCACGCGGAGTTCATTGCTTCAAAAGGTGACGATGCCTGACTCCTCTTGAATACTGATAGGAATCCCAAAATCCCTGTGGCTACTGGAAAGGGTCCTTGGGTGCCCTGCCTCACCTCGAGAAGCGTCCCTTTGGCCCTGCCAAGCCTCGAAGAGATTCCTGAGGTGTCCCTCGTTACTAGACAGGAGTCCTGACGTCACTGAAGAAACTCGTGTTTTGAAGGGCCATCCCCGCCGTAAGTCGAGAACATACCCCAGGTCCCCGCCGCAACTCGAGAAAAACCATGAGACTTCCCCCTAGAGGCGAGATGAGGCCCCATTCCCCTGCAGTGCATGCAGAGCTATTCCGTGATCCCATTCAAACAAGTCAGGAGCTTCGACTTGCTTAATGGATCTCGAGACAGTCCCCAAGAACACTGTCACCAGTCTAGACGGAACCTGAGGTCACCCCAGCAACGCAAAGCAGCTCCATGTGCCCCAAATAAACTCGAGATGAGGCCCGGTTCCCCTGCATTGACTCCAGAGCCATTCCCCGTTCCCCATTCAACACGACCGGTGGCTCGACTTCCTTCAGGCAACTCCAGAGATGCCCCGAGAACACTGTCCCAAGTCTAGAGGAACACCAACTTCAGCACAGCAACTCGAGGAATGCTCCGTGTACCCCAAATCGTCTCGAGATGCGAGCTGATCCCCTGGCTTAGGCTCAAGACGTATGCCAACTTCCCAGAAGCACCTCAGGAGGAGGCTTCTCTCAGCAATAGGTATGTGGGAGGGACCCCGAGTTTGCTGCCTCAAGGGGAATATACAGCGAGAAGCCCTAACTTGAAAGGAGGCCGGATTTCCTTGCAGTGGCTTGAATACAGGCTCGTCTTTCATCTCACAACATGAAGGGATGTCTGAATCCCCTGTGGAGACCTTAGAGAAAGCCCTAGGTCCCTGCCTGATTTTGACGCAATGCCTCACATCCCGCTGACACCTCGAGAGGCACGCGGAGTTCATTGCTTCAAAAGGTGACGATGCCTGACTCCTCTTGAATACTGATAGGAATCCCAAAATCCCTGTGGCTACTGGAAAGGGTCTTGGGTGCCCTGCCTCACCTCGAGAAGCGTCCCTTTTGCCCTGCCAAGCCTCGAAGAGATTCCTGAGGTGTCCCTCGTTACTAGACAGCAGTCCTGACGTCACTGAAGAAACTCGTGTTTTGAAGGGCCATCCCCGCCGTAAGTCGAGAACATACCCCAGGTCCCCGCCGCAACTCGAGAAAAACCATGAGACTTCCCCCTAGAGGCGAGATGAGGCCCCATTCCCCTGCAGTGCATGCAGAGCTATTCCGTGATCCCATTCAAACAAGTCAGGAGCTTCGGCTTGCTTAATGGATCTCGAGACAGTCCCCAAGAACACTGTCACCAGTCTAGACGGACCCTGAGGTCACCCCAGCAACGCAAAGCAGCTCCATGTGCCCCAAATCAACTCGAGATGAGGCCCGATTCCCCTGCATTGACTCCAGAGCCATTCCCCGTTCCCCATTCAACACGACCGGTGGCTCGACTTCCTTCAGGCATCTACAGAGATGCCCAGAGAACACTGTCCCAAGTCTAGAGGAACACCAACTTCAGCACAGCAACTCGAGGAATGCTCCGTGTACCCCAAATCGTCTCGAGATGCGAGCTGATTCCCTGGCTTAGTCTCAAGACGTATGCCAACTTCCCAGAAGCACCTCAGGAGGAGGCTTCTCTCAGCAATAGGTATGTGGGAGGGACCCCGAGTTTGCTGCCTCAAGGGGAATATACAGCGAGAAGCCCTAACTTGAAAGGAGGCCGGATTTCCTTGCAGTGGCTTGAATACAGGCTCGTCTTTCATCTCACAACATGAAGGGATGTCTGAATCCCCTGTGGAGACCTTAGAGAAAGCCCTAGGTCCCTGCCTCATTTTGACGGAATGCCTCACATCCCGCTGACACCTCGAGAGGCACGCGGAGTTCATTGCTTCAAAAGGTGACGATGCCTGACTCCTCTTGAATACTGATAGGAATCCCAAAATCCCTGTGGCTACTGGAAAGGGTCCTTGGGTGCCCTGCCTCACCTCGAGAAGCGTCCCTTTGGCCCTGCCAAGCCTCGAAGAGATTCCTGAGGTGTCCCTCGTTACTAGACAGGAGTCCTGACGTCACTGAAGAAACTCGTGTTTTGAAGGGCCATCCCCGCCGTAAGTCGAGAACATACCCCAGGTCCCCGCCGCAACTCGAGAAAAACCATGAGACTTCCCCCTAGAGGCGAGATGAGGCCCCATTCCCCTGCAGTGCATGCAGAGCTATTCCGTGATCCCATTCAAACAAGTCAGGAGCTTCGACTTGCTTAATGGATCTCGAGACAGTCCCCAAGAACACTGTCACCAGTCTAGACGGACCCTGAGGTCACCCCAGCAACGCAAAGCAGCTCCATGTGCCCCAAATCAACTCGAGATGAGGCCCGATTCCCCTGCATTGACTTCAGAGCCGTTCCCCGTTCCCCATTCAACACGACCGGTGGCTCGACTTCCTTCAGGCAACTCCAGAGATGCCCCGAGAACACTGTCCCAAGTCTAGAGGAACACCAACTTCAGCACAGCAACTCGAGGAATGCTCCGTGTACCCCAAATCGTCTCGAGATGCGAGCTGATTCCCTGGCTTAGGCTCAAGACGTATGCCAACTTCCCAGAAGCACCACAGGAGGAGGCTTCTCTCAGCAATAGGTATGTGGGAGGGACCCCGAGTTTGCTGCCTCAAGGGGAATATACAGCGAGAAGCCCTAACTTGAAAGGAGGCCGGATTTCCTTGCAGTGGCTTGAATACAGGCTCGTCTTTCATCTCACAACATGAAGGGATGTCTGAATCCCCTGTGGAGACCTTAGAGAAAGCCCTAGGTCCCTGCCTCATTTTGACGGAATGCCTCACATCGCGCTCACACCTCGAGAGGCACGCGGAGTTCATTGCTTCAAAAGGTGACGATGCCTGACTCCTCTTGAATACTGATAGGAATCCCAAAATCCCTGTGGCTACTGGAAAGGGTCCTTGGGTGCCCTGCCTCACCTCGAGAAGCGTCCCTTTTGCCCTGCCAAGCCTCGAAGTCATTCCTGAGGTGTCCCTCGTTACTAGACAGGAGTCCTGACGTCACTGAAGAAACTCGTGTTTTGAAGGGCCATCCCCGCCGTAAGTCGAGAACATACCCCAGGTCCCCGCCGCAACTCGAGAAAAACCATGAGACTTCTCCCTAGAGGCGAGATGAGGCCCCATTCCCCTGCAGTGCATGCAGAGCTATTCCGTGATCCCATTCAAACAAGTCAGGAGCTTCGGCTTGCTTAATGGATCTCGAGACAGTCCCCAAGAACACTGTCACCCGTCTAGACGGACCCTGAGGTCACCCCAGCAACGCAAAGCAGCTCCATGTGCCCCAAATCAACTCGAGATGAGGCCCGATTCCCCTGCATTGACTCCAGAGCCATTCCCCGTTCCCCATTCAACACGACCGGTGGCTCGACTTCCTTCAGGCAACTCCAGAGATGCCCCGAGAACACTGTCCCAAGTCTAGAGGAACACCAACTTCAGCACAGCAACTCGAGGAATGCTCCGTGTACCCCAAATCGTCTCGAGATGCGAGCTGATTCCCTGGCTTAGGCTCAAGACGTATGCCAACTTCCCAGAAGCACCTCAGGAGGAGGCTTCTCTCAGCAATAGGTATGTGGGAGGGACCCCGAGTTTGCTGCCTCAAGGGGAATATACAGCGAGAAGCCCTAACTTGAAAGGAGGCCGGATTTCCTTGCAGTGGCTTGAATACAGGCTCGTCTTTCATCTCACAACATGAAGGGATGTCTGAATCCCCTGTGGAGACCTTAGAGAAAGCCCTAGGTCCCTGCCTGATTTTGACGCAATGCCTCACATCCCGCTGACACCTCGAGAGGCACGCGGAGTTCATTGCTTCAAAAGGTGATGATGCCTGACTCCTCTTGAATACTGATAGGAATCCCAAAATCCCTGTGGCTACTGGAAAGGGTCTTGGGTGCCCTGCCTCACCTCGAGAAGCGTCCCTTTTGCCCTGCCAAGCCTCGAAGAGATTCCTGAGGTGTCCCTCGTTACTAGACAGCAGTCCTGACGTCACTGAAGAAACTCGTGTTTTGAAGGGCCATCCCCGCCGTAAGTCGAGAACGTACCCCAGGTCCCCGCCGCAACTCGAGAAAAACCATGAGACTTCCCCCTAGAGGCGAGATGAGGCCCCATTCCCCTGCAGTGCATGCAGAGCTATTCCGTGATCCCATTCAAACAAGTCAGGAGCTTCGACTTCCTTAATGGATCTCGAGACAGTCCCCAAGAACACTGTCACCAGTCTAGACGGACCCTGAGGTCACCCCAGCAACGCAAAGCAGATCCATGTGCCCCAAATCAACTCGAGATGAGGCCCGATTCCCCTGCATTGACTCCAGAGCCATTCCCCGTTCCCCATTCAACACGACCGGTGGCTCGACTTCCTTCAGGCAACTCCAGAGATGCCCCGAGAACACTGTCCCAAGTCTAGAGGAACACCAACATCAGCACAGCAACTCGAGGAATGCTCCGTGTACCCCAAATCGTCTCGAGATGCGAGCTGATTCCCTGGCTTAGGCTCAAGACGTATGCCAACTTCCCAGAAGCACCACAGGAGGAGGCTTCTCTCAGCAATAGGTATGTGGGAGGGACCCCGAGTTTGCTGCCTCAAGGGGAATATACAGCGAGAAGCCCTAACTTGAAAGGAGGCCGGATTTCCTTGCAGTGGCTTGAATACAGGCTCGTCTTTCATCTCACAACATGAAGGGATGTCTGAATCCCCTGTGGAGACCTTAGAGAAAGCCCTAGGTCCCTGCCTCATTTTGACGGAATGCCTCACATCGCGCTGACACCTCGAGAGGCACGCGGAGTTCATTGCTTCAAAAGGTGACGATGCCTGACTCCTCTTGAATACTGATAGGAATCCCAAAATCCCTGTGGCTACTGGAAAGGGTCCTTTTGTGCCCTGCCTCACCTCGAGAAGCATCCCTTTTGCCCTGCCAAGCCTCGAAGAGATTCCTGAGGTGTCCCTCGTTACTAGACAGGAGTCCTGACGTCACTGAAGAAACTCGTGTTTTGAAGGGCCATCCCCGCCGTAAGTCGAGAACATACCCCAGGTCCCCGCCGCAACTCGAGAAAAACCATGAGACTTCCCCCTAGAGGCGAGATGAGACCCCATTCCCCTGCAGTGCATGCAGAGCTATTCCGTGATCCCATTCAAACAAGTCAGGAGCTTCGACTTGCTTAATGGATCTCGAGACAGTCCCCAAGAACACTGTCACCAGTCTAGACGGACCCTGAGGTCACCCCAGCAACGCAAAGCAGCTCCATGTGCCCCAAATCAACTCGAGATGAGGCCCGATTCCCGTGCATTGACTTCAGAGCCGTTCCCGGTTCCCCATTCAACACGACCGGTGGCTCGACTTCCTTCAGGCAACTCCAGAGATGCCCCGAGAACACTGTCCCAAGTCTAGAGGAACACCAACTTCAGCACAGCAACTCGAGGAATGCTCCGTGTACCCCAAATCGTCTCGAGATGCGAGCTGATCCCCTGGCTTAGGCTCAAGACGTATGCCAACTTCCCAGAAGCACCTCAGGAGGAGGCTTCTCTCAGCAATAGGTATGTGGGAGGGACCCCGAGTTTGCTGCCTCAAGGGGAATATACAGCGAGAAGCCCTAACTTGAAAGGAGGCCGGATTTCCTTGCAGTGGCTTGAATACAGGCTCGTCTTTCATCTCACAACATGAAGGGATGTCTGAATCCCCTGTGGAGACCTTAGAGAAAGCCCTAGGTCCCTGCCTGATTTTGACGCAATGCCTCACATCCCGCTGACACCTCGAGAGGCACGCGGAGTTCATTGCTTCAAAAGGTGACCATGCCTGACTCCTCTTGAATACTGATAGGAATCCCAAAATCCCTGTGGCTACTGGAAAGGGTCTTGGGTGCCCTGCCTCACCTCGAGAAGCGTCCCTTTTGCCCTGCCAAGCCTCGAAGAGATTCCTGAGGTGTCCCTCGTTACTAGACAGCAGTCCTGACGTCACTGAAGAAACTCGTGTTTTGAAGGGCCATCCCCGCCGTAAGTCGAGAACGTACCCCAGGTCCCCGCCGCAACTCGAGAAAAACCATGAGACTTCCCCCTAGAGGCGAGATGAGGCCCCATTCCCCTGCAGTGCATGCAGAGCTATTCCGTGATCCCATTCAAACAAGTCAGGAGCTTCGGCTTGCTTAATGGATCTCGAGACAGTCCCCAAGAACACTGTCACCAGTCTAGACGGACCCTGAGGTCACCCCAGCAACGCAAAGCAGCTCCATGTGCCCCAAATCAACTCGAGATGAGGCCCGATTCCCCTGCATTGACTCCAGAGCCATTCCCCGTTCCCCATTCAACACGACCGGTGGCTCGACTTCCTTCAGGCATCTCCAGAGATGCCCAGAGAACACTGTCCCAAGTCTAGAGGAACACCAACTTCAGCACAGCAACTCGAGGAATGCTCCGTGTACCCCAAATCGTCTCGAGATGCGAGCTGATTCCCTGGCTTAGGCTCAAGACGTATGCCAACTTCCCAGAAGCACCTCAGGAGGAGGCTTCTCTCAGCAATAGGTATGTGGGAGGGACCCCGAGTTTGCTGCCTCAAGGGGAATATACAGCGAGAAGCCCTAACTTGAAAGGAGGCCGGATTTCCTTGCAGTGGCTTGAATACAGGCTCGTCTTTCATCTCACAACATGAAGGGATGTCTGAATCCCCTGTGGAGACCTTAGAGAAAGCCCTAGGTCCCTGCCTCATTTTGACGGAATGCCTCACATCCCGCTGACACCTCGAGAGGCACGCGGAGTTCATTGCTTCAAAAGGTGACGATGCCTGACTCCTCTTGAATACTGATAGGAATCCCAAAATCCCTGTGGCTACTGGAAAGGGTCCTTGGGTGCCCTGCCTCACCTCGAGAAGCGTCCCTTTGGCCCTGCCAAGCCTCGAAGAGATTCCTGAGGTGTCCCTCGTTACTAGACAGGAGTCCTGACGTCACTGAAGAAACTCGTGTTTTGAAGGGCCATCCCCGCCGTAAGTCGAGAACATACCCCAGATCCCCGCCGCAACTCGAGAAAAACCATGAGACTTCCCCCTAGAGGCGAGATGAGGCCCCATTCCCCTTCAGTGCATGCAGAGCTATTCCGTGATCCCATTCAAACAAGTCAGGAGCTTCGACTTGCTTAATGGATCTCGAGACAGTCCCCAAGAACACTGTCACCAGTCTAGACGGACCCTGAGGTCACCCCAGCAACGCAAAGCAGCTCCATGTGCCCCAAATCAACTCGAGATGAGGCCCGATTCCCCTGCATTGACTCCAGAGCCATTCCCCGTTCCCCATTCAACACGACCGGTGGCTCGACTTCCTTCAGGCAACTCCAGAGATGCCCCGAGAACACTGTCCCAAGTCTAGAGGAACACCAACTTCAGCACAGCAACTCGAGGAATGCTCCGTGTACCCCAAATCGTCTCGAGATGCGAGCTGATTCCCTGGCTTAGGCTCAAGACGTATGCCAACTTCCCAGAAGCACCACAGGAGGAGGCTTCTCTCAGCAATAGGTATGTGGGAGGGACCCCGAGTTTGCTGCCTCAAGGGGAATATACAGCGAGAAGCCCTAACTTGAAAGGAGGCCGGATTTCCTTGCAGTGGCTTGAATACAGGCTCGTCTTTCATCTCACAACATGAAGGGATGTCTGAATCCCCTGTGGAGACCTTAGAGAAAGCCCTAGGTCCCTGCCTCATTTTGACGGAATGCCTCACATCGCGCTGACACCTCGAGAGGCACGCGGAGTTCATTGCTTCAAAAGGTGACGATGCCTGACTCCTCTTGAATACTGATAGGAATCCCAAAATCCCTGTGGCTACTGGAAAGGGTCCTTTTGTGCCCTGCCTCACCTCGAGAAGCATCCCTTTTGCCCTGCCAAGCCTCGAAGAGATTCCTGAGGTGTCCCTCGTTACTAGACAGGAGTCCTGACGTCACTGAAGAAACTCGTGTTTTGAAGGGCCATCCCCGCCGTAAGTCGAGAACATACCCCAGGTCCCCGCCGCAACTCGAGAAAAACCATGAGACTTCCCCCTAGAGGCGAGATGAGGTCCCATTCCCCTGCAGTGCATGCAGAGCTATTCCGTGATCCCATTCAAACAAGTCAGGAGCTTCGACTTGCTTAATGGATCTCGAGACAGTCCCCAAGAACACTGTCACCAGTCTAGACGGACCCTGAGGTCACCCCAGCAACGCAAAGCAGCTCCCTGTGCCCCAAATCAACTCGAGATGAGGCCCGATTCCCGTGCATTGACTTCAGAGCCGTTCCCCGTTCCCCATTCAACACGACCGGTGGCTCGACTTCCTTCAGGCAACTCCAGAGATGCCCCGAGAACACTGTCCCAAGTCTAGAGGAACACCAACTTCAGCACAGCAACTCGAGGAATGCTCCGTTTACCCCAAAACGTCTCGAGATGAGAGCTGATTCCCTGGCTTAGGCTCAAGACGTATGCCAACTTCCCAGAAGAACCTCAGGTGGAGGCTTCTCTCAGCAATAGGTATGTGGGAGGGACCCCGAGTTTGCTGCCTCAAGGGGAATATACAGCGAGAAGCCCTAACTTGAAAGGAGGCCGGATTTCCTTGCAGTGGCTTGAATACAGGCTCGTCTTTCATCTCACAACATGAAAGGATGTCTGAATCCCCTGTGGAGACCTTAGAGAAAGCCCTAGGTCCCTGCCTCATTTTGACGGAATGCCTCACATCCCGCTGACACCTCGAGAGGCACGCGGAGTTCATTGCTTCAAAAGGTGACGATGCCTGACTCCTCTTGAATACTGATAGGAATCCCAAAATCCCTGTGGCTACTGGAAAGGGTCCTTGGGTGCCCTGCCTCACCTCGAGAAGCGTCCCTTTGGCCCTGCCAAGCCTCGAAGAGATTCCTGAGGTGTCCCTCGTTACTAGACAGGAGTCCTGACGTCACTGAAGAAACTCGTGTTTTGAAGGGCCATCCCCGCCGTAAGTCGAGAACATACCCCAGGTCCCCGCCGCAACTCGAGAAAAACCATGAGACTTCCCCCTAGAGGCGAGATGAGGCCCCATTCCCCTGCAGTGCATGCAGAGCTATTCCGTGATCCCATTCAAACAAGTCAGGAGCTTCGACTTGCTTAATGGATCTCGAGACAGTCCCCAAGAACACTGTCACCAGTCTAGACGGAACCTGAGGTCACCCCAGCAACGCAAAGCAGCTCCATGTGCCCCAAATCAACTCGAGATGAGGCCCGGTTCCCCTGCATTGACTCCAGAGCCATTCCCCGTTCCCCATTCAACACGACCGGTGGCTCGAATTCCTTCAGGCAACTCCAGAGATGCCCCGAGAACACTGTCCCAAGTCTAGAGGAACACCAACTTCAGCACAGCAACTCGAGGAATGCTCCGTGTACCCCAAATCGTCTCGAGATGCGAGCTGATCCCCTGGCTTAGGCTCAAGACGTATGCCAACTTCCCAGAAGCACCTCAGGAGGAGGCTTCTCTCAGCAATAGGTATGTGGGAGGGACCCCGAGTTTGCTGCCTCAAGGGGAATATACAGCGAGAAGCCCTAACTTGAAAGGAGGCCGGATTTCCTTGCAGTGGCTTGAATACAGGCTCGTCTTTCATCTCACAACATGAAGGGATGTCTGAATCCCCTGTGGAGACCTTAGAGAAAGCCCTAGGTCCCTGCCTGATTTTGACGCAATGCCTCACATCCCGCTGACACCTCGAGAGGCACGCGGAGTTCATTGCTTCAAAAGGTGACGATGCCTGACTCCTCTTGAATACTGATAGGAATCCCAAAATCCCTGTGGCTACTGGAAAGGGTCTTGGGTGCCCTGCCTCACCTCGAGAAGCGTCCCTTTTGCCCTGCCAAGCCTCGAAGAGATTCCTGAGGTGTCCCTCGTTACTAGACAGCAGTCCTGACGTCACTGAAGAAACTCGTGTTTTGAAGGGCCATCCCCGCCGTAAGTCGAGAACATACCCCAGGTCCCCGCCGCAACTCGAGAAAAACCATGAGACTTCCCCCTAGAGGCGAGATGAGGCCCCATTCCCCTGCAGTGCATGCAGAGCTATTCCGTGATCCCATTCAAACAAGTCAGGAGCTTCGGCTTGCTTAATGGATCTCGAGACAGTCCCCAAGAACACTGTCACCAGTCTAGACGGACCCTGAGGTCACCCCAGCAACGCAAAGCAGCTCCATGTGCCCCAAATCAACTCGAGATGAGGCCCGATTCCCCTGCATTGACTCCAGAGCCATTCCCCGTTCCCCATTCAACACGACCGGTGGCTCGACTTCCTTCAGGCATCTACAGAGATGCCCAGAGAACACTGTCCCAAGTCTAGAGGAACACCAACTTCAGCACAGCAACTCGAGGAATGCTCCGTGTACCCCAAATCGTCTCGAGATGCGAGCTGATTCCCTGGCTTAGTCTCAAGACGTATGCCAACTTCCCAGAAGCACCTCAGGAGGAGGCTTCTCTCAGCAATAGGTATGTGGGAGGGACCCCGAGTTTGCTGCCTCAAGGGGAATATACAGCGAGAAGCCCTAACTTGAAAGGAGGCCGGATTTCCTTGCAGTGGCTTGAATACAGGCTCGTCTTTCATCTCACAACATGAAGGAATGTCTGAATCCCCTGTGGAGACCTTAGAGAAAGCCCTAGGTCCCTGCCTCATTTTGACGGAATGCCTCACATCCCGCTGACACCTCGAGAGGCACGCGGAGTTCATTGCTTCAAAAGGTGACGATGCCTGACTCCTCTTGAATACTGATAGGAATCCCAAAATCCCTGTGGCTACTGGAAAGGGTCCTTGGGTGCCCTGCCTCACCTCGAGAAGCGTCCCTTTGGCCCTGCCAAGCCTCGAAGAGATTCCTGAGGTGTCCCTCGTTACTAGACAGGAGTCCTGACGTCACTGAAGAAACTCGTGTTTTGAAGGGCCATCCCCGCCTTAAGTCGAGAACATACCCCAGGTCCCCGCCGCAACTCGAGAAAAACCATGAGACTTCCCCCTAGAGGCGAGATGAGGCCCCATTCCCCTGCAGTGCATGCAGAGCTATTCCGTGATCCCATTCAAACAAGTCAGGAGCTTCGACTTGCTTAATGGATCTCGAGACAGTCCCCAAGAACACTGTCACCAGTCTAGACGGACCCTGAGGTCACCCCAGCAACGCAAAGCAGCTCCATGTGCCCCAAATCAACTCGAGATGAGGCCCGATTCCCCTGCATTGACTCCAGAGCCATTCCCCGTTCCCCATTCAACACGACCGGTGGCTCGACTTCCTTCAGGCAACTCCAGAGATGCCCCGAGAACACTGTCCCAAGTCTAGAGGAACACCAACTTCAGCACAGCAACTCGAGGAATGCTCCGTGTACCCCAAATCGTCTCGAGATGCGAGCTGATTCCCTGGCTTAGGCTCAAGACGTATGCCAACTTCCCAGAAGCACCACAGGAGGAGGCTTCTCTCAGCAATAGGTATGTGGGAGGGACCCCGAGTTTGCTGCCTCAAGGGGAATATACAGCGAGAAGCCCTAACTTGAAAGGAGGCCGGATTTCCTTGCAGTGGCTTGAATACAGGCTCGTCTTTCATCTCACAACATGAAGGGATGTCTGAATCCCCTGTGGAGACCTTAGAGAAAGCCCTAGGTCCCTGCCTCATTTTGACGGAATGCCTCACATCGCGCTGACACCTCGAGAGGCACGCGGAGTTCATTGCTTCAAAAGGTGACGATGCCTGACTCCTCTTGAATACTGATAGGAATCCCAAAATCCCTGTGGCTACTGGAAAGGGTCCTTTTGTGCCCTGCCTCACCTCGAGAAGCATCCCTTTTGCCCTGCCAAGCCTCGAAGAGATTCCTGAGGTGTCCCTCGTTACTAGACAGGAGTCCTGACGTCACTGAAGAAACTCGTGTTTTGAAGGGCCATCCCCGCCGTAAGTCGAGAACATACCCCAGGTCCCCGCCGCAACTCGAGAAAAACCATGAGACTTCCCCCTAGAGGCGAGATGAGGCCCCATTCCCCTGCAGTGCATGCAGAGCTATTCCGTGATCCCATTCAAACAAGTCAGGAGCTTCGACTTGCTTAATGGATCTCGAGACAGTCCCCAAGAACACTGTCACCAGTCTAGACGGACCCTGAGGTCACCCCAGCAACGCAAAGCAGCTCCATGTGCCCCAAATCAACTCGAGATGAGGCCCGGTTCCCCTGCATTGACTCCAGAGCCATTCCCCGTTCCCCATTCAACACGACCGGTGGCTCGACTTCCTTCAGGCAACTCCAGAGATGCCCCGAGAACACTGTCCCAAGTCTAGAGGAACACCAACTTCAGCACAGCAACTCGAGGAATGCTCCGTGTACCCCAAATCGTCTCGAGATGCGAGCTGATTCCCTGGCTTAGGCTCAAGACGTATGCCAACTTCCCAGAAGCACCACAGGAGGAGGCTTCTCTCAGCAATAGGTATGTGGGAGGGACCCCGAGTTTGCTGCCTCAAGGGGAATATACAGCGAGAAGCCCTAACTTGAAAGGAGGCCGGATTTCCTTGCAGTGGCTTGAATACAGGCTCGTCTTTCATCTCACAACATGAAGGGATGTCTGAATCCCCTGTGGAGACCTTAGAGAAAGCCCTAGGTCCCTGCCTCATTTTGACGGAATGCCTCACATCGCGCTGACACCTCGAGAGGCACGCGGAGTTCATTGCTTCAAAAGGTGACGATGCCTGACTCCTCTTGAATACTGATAGGAATCCCAAAATCCCTGTGGCTACTGGAAAGGGTCCTTGGGTGCCCTGCCTCACCTCGAGAAGCATCCCTTTTGCCCTGCCAAGCCTCGAAGAGATTCCTGAGGTGTCCCTCGTTACTAGACAGGAGTCCTGACGTCACTGAAGAAACTCGTGTTTTGAAGGGCCATCCCCGCCTTAAGTCGAGAACATACCCCAGGTCCCCGCCGCAACTCGAGAAAAACCATGAGACTTCCCCCTAGAGGCGAGATGAGGCCCCATTCCCCTGCAGTGCATGCAGAGCTATTCCGTGATCCCATTCAAACAAGTCAGGAGCTTCGACTTGCTTAATGGATCTCGAGACAGTCCCCAAGAACACTGTCACCAGTCTAGACGGACCCTGAGGTCACCCCAGCAACGCAAAGCAGCTCCATGTGCCCCAAATCAACTCGAGATGAGGCCCGATTCCCGTGCATTGACTTCAGAGCCGTTCCCCGTTCCCCATTCAACACGACCGGTGGCTCGACTTCCTTCAGGCAACTCCAGAGATGCCCCGAGAACACTGTCCCAAGTCTAGAGGAACACCAACTTCAGCACAGCAACTCGAGGAATGCTCCGTGTACCCCAAATCGTCTCGAGATGAGAGCTGATTCCCTGGCTTAGGCTCAAGACGTATGCCAACTTCCCAGAAGCACCTCAGGAGGAGGCTTCTCTCAGCAATAGGTATGTGGGAGGGACCCCGAGTTTGCTGCCTCAAGGGGAATATACAGCGAGAAGCCCTAACTTGAAAGGAGGCCGGATTTCCTTGCAGTGGCTTGAATACAGGCTCGTCTTTCATCTCACAACATGAAAGGATGTCTGAATCCCCTGTGGAGACCATAGAGAAAGCCCTAGGTCCCTGCCTCATTTTGACGGAATGCCTCACATCGCGCTGACACCTCGAGAGGCACGCGGAGTTCATTGCTTCAAAAGGTGACGATGCCTGACTCCTCTTGAATACTGATAGGAATCCCAAAATCCCTGTGGCTACTGGAAAGGGTCCTTGGGTGCCCTGCCTCACCTCGAGAAGCGTCCCTTTGGCCCTGCCAAGCCTCGAAGAGATTCCTGAGGTGTCCCTCGTTACTAGACAGGAGTCCTGACGTCACTGAAGAAACTCGTGTTTTGAAGGGCCATCCCCGCCGTAAGTCGAGAACATACCCCAGGTCCCCGCCGCAACTCGAGAAAAACCATGAGACTTCCCCCTAGAGCCGAGATGAGGCCCCATTCCCCTGCAGTGCATGCAGAGCTATTCCGTGATCCCATTCAAACAAGTCAGGAGCTTCGACTTGCTTAATGGATCTCGAGACAGTCCCCAAGAACACTGTCACCAGTCTAGACGGACCCTGAGGTCACCCCAGCAACGCAAAGCAGCTCCATGTGCCCCAAATCAACTCGAGATGAGGCCCGGTTCCCCTGCATTGACTCCAGAGCCATTCCCCGTTCCCCATTCAACACGACCGGTGGCTCGACTTCCTTCAGGCAACTCCAGAGATGCCCCGAGAACACTGTCCCAAGTCTAGAGGAACACCAACTTCAGCACAGCAACTCGAGGAATGCTCCGTGTACCACAAATCGTCTCGAGATGCGAGCTGATTCCCTGGCTTAGGCTCAAGACGTATGCCAACTTCCCAGAAGCACCTCAGGAGGAGGCTTCTCTCAGCAATAGGTATGTGGGAGGGACCCCGAGTTTGCTGCCTCAAGGGGAATATACAGCGAGAAGCCCTAACTTGAAAGGAGGCCGGATTTCCTTGCAGTGGCTTGAATACAGGCTCGTCTTTCATCTCACAACATGAAGGGATGTCTGAATCCCCTGTGGAGACCTTAGAGAAAGCCCTAGGTCCCTGCCTCATTTTGACGGAATGCCTCACATCCCGCTGACACCTCGAGAGGCACGCGGAGTTCATTGCTTCAAAAGGTGACGATGCCTGACTCCTCTTGAATACTGATAGGAATCCCAAAATCCCTGTGGCTACTGGAAAGGGTCCTTGGGTGCCCTGCCTCACCTCGAGAAGCGTCCCTTTTGCCCTGCCAAGCCTCGAAGAGATTCCTGAGGTGTCCCTCGTTACTAGACAGGAGTCCTGACGTCACTGAAGAAACTCGTGTTTTGAAGGGCCATCCCCGCCGTAAGTCGAGAACATACCCCAGGTCCCCGCCGCAACTCGAGAAAAACCATGAGACTTCCCCCTAGAGGCGAGATGAGGCCCCATTCCCCTGCAGTGCATGCAGAGCTATTCCGTGATCCCATTCAAACAAGTCAGGAGCTTCGGCTTGCTTAATGGATCTCGAGACAGTCCCCAAGAACACTGTCACCAGTCTAGACGGACCCTGAGGTCACCCCAGCAATGCAAAGCAGCTCCATGTGCCCCAAATCAACTCGAGATGAGGCCCGATTCCCCTGCATTGACTCCAGAGCCATTCCCCGTTCCCCATTCAACACGACCGGTGGCTCGACTTCCTTCAGGCAACTCCAGAGATGCCCCGAGAACACTGTCCCAAGTCTAGAGGAACACCAACTTCAGCACAGCAACTCGAGGAATGCTCCGTGTACCCCAAATCGTCTCGAGATGCGAGCTGATTCCCTGGCTTAGGCTCAAGACGTATGCCAACTTCCCAGAAGCACCTCAGGAGGAGGCTTCTCTCAGCAATAGGTATGTGGGAGGGACCCCGAGTTTGCTGCCTCAAGGGGAATATACAGCGAGAAGCCCTAACTTGAAAGGAGGCCGGATTTCCTTGCAGTGGCTTGAATACAGGCTCGTCTTTCATCTCACAACATGAAGGGATGTCTGAATCCCCTGTGGAGACCTTAGAGAAAGCCCTAGGTCCCTGCCTCATTTTGACGGAATGCCTCACATCGCGCTGACACCTCGAGAGGCACGCGGAGTTCATTGCTTCAAAAGGTGACGATGCCTGACTCCTCTTGAATACTGATAGGAATCCCAAAATCCCTGTGGCTACTGGAAAGGGTCCTTGGGTGCCCTGCCTCACCTCGAGAAGCGTCCCTTTGGCCCTGCCAAGCCTCGAAGAGATTCCTGAGGTGTCCCTCGTTACTAGACAGGAGTCCTGACGTCACTGAAGAAACTCGTGTTTTCAAGGGCCATCCCCGCCGTAAGTCGAGAACATACCCCAGGTCCCCACCGCAACTCGAGAAAAACCATGAGACTTCCCCCTAGAGGCGAGATGAGGCCCCATTCCCCTGCAGTGCATGCAGAGCTATTCCGTGATCCCATTCAAACAAGTCAGGAGCTTCGGCTTGCTTAATGGATCTCGAGAGAGTCCCCATGAACACTGTCACCAGTCTAGACGGACCCTGAGGTCCCCCCAGCAACGCAAGGCAGCTCCATGTGCCCCAAATCAACTCGAGCTGAGGCCCGATTCCCCTGCATTGACTCCAGAGCCATTCCCCGTTCCCCATTCAACACGACCGGTGGCTCGACTTCCTTCAGGCAACTCCAGAGATGCCCCGCGAACACTGTCCCAAGTCTAGAGGAACACCAACTTCAGCACAGCAACTCGAGGAATGCTCCGTGTACCCCAAATCGTCTCGAGATGCGAGCTGATTCCCTGGCTTAGGCTCAAGACGTATGCCAACCTCCCAGAAGCACCTCAGGAGGAGGCTTCTCTCAGCAATAGGTATGTGGGAGGGACCCCGAGTTTGCTGCCTCAAGGGGAATATACAGCGAGAAGCCCTAACTTGAAAGGAGGCCGGATTTCCTTGCAGTGGCTTGAATACAGGCTCGTCTTTCATCTCACAACATGAAGGGATGTCTGAATCCCCTGTGGAGACCTTAGAGAAAGCCCTAGGTCCCTGCCTCATTTTGACGGAATGCCTCACATCCCGCTGACACCTCGAGAGGCACGCGGAGTTCATTGCTTCAAAAGGTGACGATGCCTGACTCCTCTTGAATACTGATAGGAATCCCAAAATCCCTGTGGCTACTGGAAAGGGTCCTTGGGTGCCCTGCCTCACCTCGAGAAGCGTCCCTTTGGCCCTGCCAAGCCTCGAAGAGATTCCTGAGGTGTCCCTCGTTACTAGACAGGAGTCCTGACGTCACTGAAGAAACTCGTGTTTTGAAGGGCCATCCCCGCCGTAAGTCGAGAACATACCCCAGGTCCCCGCCGCAACTCGAGAAAAAGCATGAGACTTCCCCCTAGAGGCCTGATGAGGCCCCATTCCCCTGCAGTGCATGCAGAGCTATTCCGTGATCCCATTCAAACAAGTCAGGAGCTTCGACTTGCTTAATGGATCTCGAGACAGTCCCCAAGAACACTGTCACCAGTCTAGACGGACCCTGAGGTCACCCCAGCAACGCAAAGCAGCTCCCTGTGCCCCAAATCAACTCGAGATGAGGCCCGATTCCCGTGCATTGACTCCAGAGCCATTCCCCGTTCCCCATTCAACACGACCGGTGGCTCGACTTCCTTCAGGCAACTCCAGAGATGCCCCGAGAACACTGTCCCAAGTCTAGAGGAACACCAACTTCAGCACAGCAACTCGAGGAATGCTCCGTGTACCCCAAATCGTCTCGAGATGAGAGCTGATTCCCTGGCTTAGGCTCAAGACGTATGCCAACTTCCCAGAAGAACCTCAGGTGGAGGCTTCTCTCAGCAATAGGTATGTGGGAGGGACCCCGAGTTTGCTGCCTCAAGGGGAATATACAGCGAGAAGCCCTAACTTGAAAGGAGGCCGGATTTCCTTGCAGTGGCTTGAATACAGGCTCGTCTTTCATCTCACAACATGAAAGGATGTCTGAATCCCCTGTGGAGACCTTAGAGAAAGCCCTAGGTCCCTGCCTCATTTTGACGGAATGCCTCACATCGCGCTGACACCTCGAGAGGCACGCGGAGTTCATTGCTTCAAAAGGTGACGATGCCTGACTCCTCTTGAATACTGATAGGAATCCCAAAATCCCTGTGGCTACTGGAAAGGGTCCTTGGGTGCCCTGCCTCACCTCGAGAAGCGTCCCTTTGGCCCTGCCAAGCCTCGAAGAGATTCCTGAGGTGTCCCTCGTTACTAGACAGGAGTCCTGACGTCACTGAAGAAACTCGTGTTTTGAAGGGCCATCCCCGCCGTAAGTCGAGAACATACCCCAGGTCCCCGCCGCAACTCGAGAAAAACCATGAGACTTCCCCCTAGAGGCGAGATGAGGCCCCAATCCCCTGCAGTGCATGCAGAGCTATTCCGTGATCCCATTCAAACAAGTCAGGAGCTTCGACTTGCTTAATGGATCTCGAGACAGTCCCCAAGAACACTGTCACCAGTCTAGACGGAACCTGAGGTCACCCCAGCAACGCAAAGCAGCTCCATGTGCCCCAAATCAACTCGAGATGAGGCCCGGTTCCCCTGCATTGACTCCAGAGCCATTCCCCGTTCCCCATTCAACACGACCGGTGGCTCGACTTCCTTCAGGCAACTCCAGAGATGCCCCGAGAACACTGTCCCAAGTCTAGAGGAACACCAACTTCAGCACAGCAACTTGAGGAATGCTCCGTGTACCCCAAATCGTCTCGAGATGCGAGCTGATCCCCTGGCTTAGGCTCAAGACGTATGCCAACTTCCCAGAAGCACCTCAGGAGGAGGCTTCTCTCAGCAATAGGTATGTGGGAGGGACCCCGAGTTTGCTGCCTCAAGGGGAATATACAGCGAGAAGCCCTAACTTGAAAGGAGGCCGGATTTCCTTGCAGTGGCTTGAATACAGGCTCGTCTTTCATCTCACAACATGAAGGGATGTCTGAATCCCCTGTGGAGACCTTAGAGAAAGCCCTAGGTCCCTGCCTGATTTTGACGCAGTGCCTCACATCCCGCTGACAACTCGAGAGGCACGCGGAGTTCATTGCTTCAAAAGGTGACGATGCCTGACTCCTCTTGAATACTGATAGGAATCCCAAAATCCCTGTGGCTACAGGAAAGGGTCTTGGGTGCCCTGCCTCACCTCGAGAAGCGTCCCTTTTGCCCTGCCAAGCCTCGAAGAGATTCCTGAGGTGTCCCTCGTTACTAGACAGCAGTCCTGACGTCACTGAAGAAACTCGTGTTTTGAAGGGCCATCCCCGCCGTAAGTCGAGAACATACCCCAGGTCCCCGCCGCAACTCGAGAAAAACCATGAGACTTCCCCCTAGAGGCGAGATGAGGCCCCATTCCCCTGCAGTGCATGCAGAGCTATTCCGTGATCCCATTCAAACAAGTCAGGAGCTTCGGCTTGCTTAATGGATCTCGAGACAGTCCCCAAGAACACTGTCACCAGTCTAGACGGACCCTGAGGTCACCCCAGCAACGCAAAGCAGCTCCATGTGCCCCAAATCAACTCGAGATGAGGCCCGATTCCCCTGCATTGACTCCAGAGCCATTCCCCGTTCCCCATTCAACACGACCGGTGGCTCGACTTCCTTCAGGCATCTCCAGAGATGCCCAGAGAACACTGTCCCAAGTCTAGAGGAACACCAACTTCAGCACAGCAACTCGAGGAATGCTCCGTGTACCCCAAATCGTCTCGAGATGCGAGCTGATTCCCTGGCTTAGGCTCAAGACGTATGCCAACTTCCCAGAAGCACCACAGGAGGAGGCTTCTCTCAGCAATAGGTATGTGGGAGGGACCCCGAGTTTGCTGCCTCAAGGGGAATATACAGCGAGAAGCCCTAACTTGAAAGGAGGCCGGATTTCCTTGCAGTGGCTTGAATACAGGCTCGTCTTTCATCTCACATCATGAAGGGATGTCTGAATCCCCTGTGGAGACCTTAGAGAAAGCCCTAGGTCCCTGCCTGATTTTGACGCAATGCCTCACATCCCGCTGACACCTCGAGAGGCACGCGGAGTTCATTGCTTCAAAAGGTGACGATGCCTGACTCCTCTTGAATACTGATAGGAATCCCAAAGTCCCTGTGGCTACTGGAAAGGGTCCTTGGGTGCCCTGCCTCACCTCGAGAAGCGTCCCTTTTGCCCTGCCAAACCTCGAAGAGATTCCTGAGGTGTCCCTCGTTACTAGACAGCAGTCCTGACGTCACTGAAGAAACTCGTGTTTTGAAGGGCCATCCCCGCCGTAAGTCGAGAACATACCCCAGGTCCCCGCCGCAACTCGAGAAAAACCATGAGACTTCCCCCTAGAGGCGAGATGAGGCCCCATTCCCCTGCAGTGCATGCAGAGCTATTCCGTGATCCCATTCAAACAAGTCAGGAGCTTCGGCTTGCTTAATGGATCTCGAGACAGTCCCCAAGAACACTGTCACCAGTCTAGACGGACCCTGAGGTCACCCCAGCAACGCAAAGCAGCTCCATGTGCCCCAAATCAACTCGAGATGAGGCCCGATTCCCCTGCATTGACTCCAGAGCCATTCCCCGTTCCCCATTCAACACGACCGGTGGCTCGACTTCCTTCAGGCAACTCCAGAGATGCCCCGAGAACACTGTCCCAAGTCTAGAGGAACACCAACTTCAGCACAGCAACTCGAGGAATGCTCCGTGTACCCCAAATCGTCTCGAGATGCGAGCTGATCCCCTGGCTTAGGCTCAAGACGTATGCCAACTTCCCAGAAGCACCACAGGAGGAGGCTTCTCTCAGCAATAGGTATGTGGGAGGGACCCCGAGTTTGCTGCCTCAAGGGGAATATACAGCGAGAAGCCCTAACTTGAAAGGAGGCCGGATTTCCTTGCAGTGGCTTGAATACAGGCTCGTCTTTCATCTCACAACATGAAGGGATGTCTGAATCCCCTGTGGAGACCTTAGAGAAAGCCCTAGGTCCCTGCCTCATTTTGACGGAATGCCTCACATCGCGCTGACACCTCGAGAGGCACGCGGAGTTCATTGCTTCAAAAGGTGACGATGCCTGACTCCTCTTGAATACTGATAGGAATCCCAAAATCCCTGTGGCTACTGGAAAGGGTCCTTGGGTGCCCTGCCTCACCTCGAGAAGCATCCCTTTTGCCCTGCCAAGCCTCGAAGAGATTCCTGAGGTGTCCCTCCTTACTAGACAGGAGTCCTGACGTCACTGAAGAAACTCGTGTTTTGAAGGGCCATCCCCGCCGTAAGTCGAGAACATACCCCAGGTCCCCGCCGCAACTCGAGAAAAACCATGAGACTTCCCCCTAGAGGCGAGATGAGGCCCCATTCCCCTGCAGTGCATGCAGAGCTATTCCGTGATCCCATTCAAACAAGTCAGGAGCTTCGACTTGCTTAATGGATCTCGAGACAGTCCCCAAGAACACTGTCACCAGTCTAGACGGACCCTGAGGTCACCCCAGCAACGCAAAGCAGCTCCATGTGCCCCAAATCAACTCGAGATGAGGCCCGATTCCCGTGCATTGACTTCAGAGCCGTTCCCCGTTCCCCATTCAACACGACCGGTGGCTCGACTTCCTTCAGGCAACTCCAGAGATGCCCCGAGAACACTGTCCCAAGTCTAGAGGAACACCAACTTCAGCACAGCAACTCGAGGAATGCTCCGTGTACCCCAAATCGTCTCGAGATGAGAGCTGATTCCCTGGCTTAGGCTCAAGACGTATGCCAACTTCCCAGAAGCACCTCAGGAGGAGGCTTCTCTCAGCAATAGGTATGTGGGAGGGACCCCGAGTTTGCTGCCTCAAGGGGAATATACAGCGAGAAGCCCTAACTTGAAAGGAGGCCGGATTTCCTTGCAGTGGCTTGAATACAGGCTCGTCTTTCATCTCACAACATGAAAGGATGTCTGAATCCCCTGTGGAGACCATAGAGAAAGCCCTAGGTCCCTGCCTCATTTTGACGGAATGCCTCACATCGCGCTGACACCTCGAGAGGCACGCGGAGTTCATTGCTTCAAAAGGTGACGATGCCTGACTCCTCTTGAATACTGATAGGAATCCCAAAATCCCTGTGGCTACTGGAAAGGGTCCTTGGGTGCCCTGCCTCACCTCGAGAAGCGTCCCTTTGGCCCTGCCAAGCCTCGAAGAGATTCCTGAGGTGTCCCTCGTTACTAGACAGGAGTCCTGACGTCACTGAAGAAACTCGTGTTTTGAAGGGCCATCCCCGCCGTAAGTCGAGAACATACCCCAGGTCCCCGCCGCAACTCGAGAAAAACCATGAGACTTCCCCCTAGAGCCGAGATGAGGCCCCATTCCCCTGCAGTGCATGCAGAGCTATTCCGTGATCCCATTCAAACAAGTCAGGAGCTTCGACTTGCTTAATGGATCTCGAGACAGTCCCCAAGAACACTGTCACCAGTCTAGACGGACCCTGAGGTCACCCCAGCAACGCAAAGCAGCTCCATGTGCCCCAAATCAACTCGAGATGAGGCCCGGTTCCCCTGCATTGACTCCAGAGCCATTCCCCGTTCCCCATTCAACACGACCGGTGGCTCGACTTCCTTCAGGCAACTCCAGAGATGCCCCGAGAACACTGTCCCAAGTCTAGAGGAACACCAACTTCAGCACAGCAACTCGAGGAATGCTCCGTGTACCACAAATCGTCTCGAGATGCGAGCTGATTCCCTGGCTTAGGCTCAACACGTATGCCAACTTCCCAGAATCACCTCAGGAGGAGGCTTCTCTCAGCAATAGGTATGTGGGAGGGACCCCGAGTTTGCTGCCTCAAGGGGAATATACAGCGAGAAGCCCTAACTTGAAAGGAGGCCGGATTTCCTTGCAGTGGCTTGAATACAGGCTCGTCTTTCATCTCACAACATGAAGGGATGTCTGAATCCCCTGTGGAGACCTTAGAGAAAGCCCTAGGTCCCTGCCTCATTTTGACGGAATGCCTCACATCCCGCTGACACCTCGAGAGGCACGCGGAGTTCATTGCTTCAAAAGGTGACGATGCCTGACTCCTCTTGAATACTGATAGGAATCCCAAAATCCCTGTGGCTACTGGAAAGGGTCCTTTTGTGCCCTGCCTCACCTCGAGAAGCATCCCTTTTGCCCTGCCAAGCCTCGAAGAGATTCCTGAGGTGTCCCTCGTTACTAGACAGGAGTCCTGACGTCACTGAAGAAACTCGTGTTTTGAAGGGCCATCCCCGCCGTAAGTCGAGAACATACCCCAGGTCCCCGCCGCAACTCGAGAAAAACCATGAGACTTCCCCCTAGAGGCGAGATGAGACCCCATTCCCCTGCAGTGCATGCAGAGCTATTCCGTGATCCCATTCAAACAAGTCAGGAGCTTCGACTTGCTTAATGGATCTCGAGACAGTCCCCAAGAACACTGTCACCAGTCTAGACGGACCCTGAGGTCACCCCAGCAACGCAAAGCAGCTCCATGTGCCCCAAATCAACTCGAGATGAGGCCCGATTCCCGTGCATTGACTTCAGAGCCGTTCCCCGTTCCCCATTCAACACGACCGGTGGCTCGACTTCCTTCAGGCAACTCCAGAGATGCCCCGAGAACACTGTCCCAAGTCTAGAGGAACACCAACTTCAGCACAGCAACTCGAGGAATGCTCCGTCTACCCCAAATCGTCTCGAGATGCGAGCTGATCCCCTGGCTTAGGCTCAAGACGTATGCCAACTTCCCAGAAGCACCTCAGGAGGAGGCTTCTCTCAGCAATAGGTATGTGGGAGGGACCCCGAGTTTGCTGCCTCAAGGGGAATATACAGCGAGAAGCCCTAACTTGAAAGGAGGCCGGATTTCCTTGCAGTGGCTTGAATACAGGCTCGTCTTTCCTCTCACATCATGAAGGGATGTCTGAATCCCCTGTGGAGACCTTAGAGAAAGCCCTAGGTCCCTGCCTGATTTTGACGCAATGCCTCACATCCCGCTGACACCTCGAGAGGCACGCGGAGTTCATTGCTTCAAAAGGTGACCATGCCTGACTCCTCTTGAATACTGATAGGAATCCCAAAATCCCTGTGGCTACTGGAAAGGGTCTTGGGTGCCCTGCCTCACCTCGAGAAGCGTCCCTTTTGCCCTGCCAAGCCTCGAAGAGATTCCTGAGGTGTCCCTCGTTACTAGACAGCAGTCCTGACGTCACTGAAGAAACTCGTGTTTTGAAGGGCCATCCCCGCCGTAAGTCGAGAACGTACCCCAGGTCCCCGCCGCAACTCGAGAAAAACCATGAGACTTCCCCCTAGAGGCGAGATGAGGCCCCATTCCCCTGCAGTGCATGCAGAGCTATTCCGTGATCCCATTCAAACAAGTCAGGAGCTTCGGCTTGCTTAATGGATCTCGAGACAGTCCCCAAGAACACTGTCACCAGTCTAGACGGACCCTGAGGTCACCCCAGCAACGCAAAGCAGCTCCATGTGCCCCAAATCAACTCGAGATGAGGCCCGGTTCCCCTGCATTGACTCCAGAGCCATTCCCCGTTCCCCATTCAACACGACCGGTGGCTCGACTTCCTTCAGGCAACTCCAGAGATGCCCTGAGAACACTGTCCCAAGTCTAGAGGAACACCAACTTCAGCACAGCAACTCGAGGAATGCTCCGTGTACCCCAAATCGTCTCGAGATGCGAGCTGATCCCCTGGCTTAGGCTCAAGACGTATGCCAACTTCCCAGAAGCACCACAGGAGGAGGCTTCTCTCAGCAATAGGTATGTGGGAGGGACCCCGAGTTTGCTGCCTCAAGGGGAATATACAGCGAGAAGCCCTAACTTGAAAGGAGGCCGGATTTCCTTGCAGTGGCTTGAATACAGGCTCGTCTTTCATCTCACAACATGAAGGGATGTCTGAATCCCCTGTGGAGACCTTAGAGAAAGCCCTAGGTCCCTGCCTGATTTTGACGCAATGCCTCACATCCCGCTGACACCTCGAGAGGCACGCGGAGTTCATTGCTTCAAAAGGTGACAATGCCTGACTCCTCTTGAATACTGATAGGAATCCCAAAATCCCTGTGGCTACTGGAAAGGGTCCTTGGGTGCCCTGCCTCACCTCGAGAAGCGTCCCTTTTGCCCTGCCAAGCCTCGAAGAGATTCCTGAGGTGTCCCTCGTTACTAGACAGCAGTCCTGACGTCACTGAAGAAACTCGTGTTTTGAAGGGCCATCCCCGCCGTAAGTCGAGAACATACCCCAGGTCCCCGCCGCAACTCGAGAAAAACCATGAGACTTCCCCCTAGAGGCGAGATGAGGCCCCATTCCCCTGTAGTGCATGGAGAGCTATTCCGTGATCCCATTCAAACAAGTCAGGAGCTTCGACTTGCTTAATGGATCTCGAGACAGTCCCCAAGAACACTGTCACCAGTCTAGACGGACCCTGAGGTCACCCCAGCAACGCAAAGCAGCTCCATGTGCCCCAAATCAACTCGAGATGAGGCCCGATTCCCCTGCATTGACTCCAGAGCCATTCCCCGTTCCCCATTCAACACGACCGGTGGCTCGACTTCCTTCAGCCTACTCCAGAGATGCCCCGAGAACACTGTCCAAAGTCTAGAGGAACACCAACTTCAGCACAGCAACTCGAGGAATGCTCCGTGTACCCCAAATCGTCTCGAGATGCGAGCTGATTCCCTGGCTTAGGCTCAAGACGTATGCCAACTTCCCAGAAGCACCACAGGAGGAGGCTTCTCTCAGCAATAGGTATGTGGGAGGGACCCCGAGTTTGCTGCCTCAAGGGGAATATACAGCGAGAAGCCCTAACTTGAAAGGAGGCCGGATTTCCTTGCAGTGGCTTGAATACAGGCTCGTCTTTCATCTCACAACATGAAGGGATGTCTGAATCCCCTGTGGAGACCTTAGAGAAAGCCCTAGGTCCCTGCCTCATTTTGACGGAATGCCTCACATCGCGCTGACACCTCGAGAGGCACGCGGAGTTCATTGCTTCAAAAGGTGACGATGCCTGACTCCTCTTGAATACTGATAGGAATCCCAAAATCCCTGTGGCTACTGGAAAGGGTCCTTGGGTGCCCTGCCTCACCTCGAGAAGCATCCCTTTTGCCCTGCCAAGCCTCGAAGAGATTCCTGAGGTGTCCCTCCTTACTAGACAGGAGTCCTGACGTCACTGAAGAAACTCGTGTTTTGAAGGGCCATCCCCGCCGTAAGTCGAGAACATACCCCAGGTCCCCGCCGCAACTCGAGAAAAACCATGAGACTTCCCCCTAGAGGCGAGATGAGGCCCCATTCCCCTGCAGTGCATGCAGAGCTATTCCGTGATCCCATTCAAACAAGTCAGGAGCTTCGACTTGCTTAATGGATCTCGAGACAGTCCCCAAGAACACTGTCACCAGTCTAGACGGACCCTGAGGTCACCCCAGCAACGCAAAGCAGCTCCATGTGCCCCAAATCAACTCGAGATGAGGCCCGATTCCCGTGCATTGACTTCAGAGCCGTTCCCCGTTCCCCATTCAACACGACCGGTGGCTCGACTTCCTTCAGGCAACTCCAGAGATGCCCCGAGAACACTGTCCCAAGTCTAGAGGAACACCAACTTCAGCACAGCAACTCGAGGAATGCTCCGTGTACCCCAAATCGTCTCGAGATGAGAGCTGATTCCCTGGCTTAGGCTCAAGACGTATGCCAACTTCCCAGAAGCACCTCAGGAGGAGGCTTCTCTCAGCAATAGGTATGTGGGAGGGACCCCGAGTTTGCTGCCTCAAGGGGAATATACAGCGAGAAGCCCTAACTTGAAAGGAGGCCGGATTTCCTTGCAGTGGCTTGAATACAGGCTCGTCTTTCATCTCACAACATGAAAGGATGTCTGAATCCCCTGTGGAGACCATAGAGAAAGCCCTAGGTCCCTGCCTCATTTTGACGGAATGCCTCACATCGCGCTGACACCTCGAGAGGCACGCGGAGTTCATTGCTTCAAAAGGTGACGATGCCTGACTCCTCTTGAATACTGATAGGAATCCCAAAATCCCTGTGTCTACTGGAAAGGGTCCTTGGGTGCCCTGCCTCACCTCGAGAAGCGTCCCTTTGGCCCTGCCAAGCCTCGAAGAGATTCCTGAGGTGTCCCTCGTTACTAGACAGGAGTCCTGACGTCACTGAAGAAACTCGTGTTTTGAAGGGCCATCCCCGCCGTAAGTCGAGAACATACCCCAGGTCCCCGCCGCAACTCGAGAAAAACCATGAGACTTCCCCCTAGAGCCGAGATGAGGCCCCATTCCCCTGCAGTGCATGCAGAGCTATTCCGTGATCCCATTCAAACAAGTCAGGAGCTTCGACTTGCTTAATGGATCTCGAGACAGTCCCCAAGAACACTGTCACCAGTCTAGACGGACCCTGAGGTCACCCCAGCAACGCAAAGCAGCTCCATGTGCCCCAAATCAACTCGAGATGAGGCCCGGTTCCCCTGCATTGACTCCAGAGCCATTCCCCGTTCCCCATTCAACACGACCGGTGGCTCGACTTCCTTCAGGCAACTCCAGAGATGCCCCGAGAACACTGTCCCAAGTCTAGAGGAACACCAACTTCAGCACAGCAACTCGAGGAATGCTCCGTGTACCACAAATCGTCTCGAGATGCGAGCTGATTCCCTGGCTTAGGCTCAAGACGTATGCCAACTTCCCAGAATCACCTCAGGAGGAGGCTTCTCTCAGCAATAGGTATGTGGGAGGGACCCCGAGTTTGCTGCCTCAAGGGGAATATACAGCGAGAAGCCCTAACTTGAAAGGAGGCCGGATTTCCTTGCAGTGGCTTGAATACAGGCTCGTCTTTCATCTCACAACATGAAGGGATGTCTGAATCCCCTGTGGAGACCTTAGAGAAAGCCCTAGGTCCCTGCCTCATTTTGACGGAATGCCTCACATCCCGCTGACACCTCGAGAGGCACGCGGAGTTCATTGCTTCAAAAGGTGACGATGCCTGACTCCTCTTGAATACTGATAGGAATCCCAAAATCCCTGTGGCTACTGGAAAGGGTCCTTTTGTGCCCTGCCTCACCTCGAGAAGCATCCCTTTTGCCCTGCCAAGCCTCGAAGAGATTCCTGAGGTGTCCCTCGTTACTAGACAGGAGTCCTGACGTCACTGAAGAAACTCGTGTTTTGAAGGGCCATCCCCGCCGTAAGTCGAGAACATACCCCAGGTCCCCGCCGCAACTCGAGAAAAACCATGAGACTTCCCCCTAGAGGCGAGATGAGACCCCATTCCCCTGCAGTGCATGCAGAGCTATTCCGTGATCCCATTCAAACAAGTCAGGAGCTTCGACTTGCTTAATGGATCTCGAGACAGTCCCCAAGAACACTGTCACCAGTCTAGACGGACCCTGAGGTCACCCCAGCAACGCAAAGCAGCTCCATGTGCCCCAAATCAACTCGAGATGAGGCCCGATTCCCGTGCATTGACTTCAGAGCCGTTCCCCGTTCCCCATTCAACACGACCGGTGGCTCGACTTCCTTCAGGCAACTCCAGAGATGCCCCGAGAACACTGTCCCAAGTCTAGAAGAACACCAACTTCAGCACAGCAACTCGAGGAATGCTCCGTCTACCCCAAATCGTCTCGAGATGCGAGCTGATCCCCTGGCTTAGGCTCAAGACGTATGCCAACTTCCCAGAAGCACCTCAGGAGGAGGCTTCTCTCAGCAATAGGTATGTGGGAGGGACCCCGAGTTTGCTGCCTCAAGGGGAATATACAGCGAGAAGCCCTAACTTGAAAGGAGGCCGGATTTCCTTGCAGTGGCTTGAATACAGGCTCGTCTTTCCTCTCACATCATGAAGGGATGTCTGAATCCCCTGTGGAGACCTTAGAGAAAGCCCTAGGTCCCTGCCTGATTTTGACGCAATGCCTCACATCCCGCTGACACCTCGAGAGGCACGCGGAGTTCATTGCTTCAAAAGGTGACCATGCCTGACTCCTCTTGAATACTGATAGGAATCCCAAAATCCCTGTGGCTACTGGAAAGGGTCTTGGGTGCCCTGCCTCACCTCGAGAAGCGTCCCTTTTGCCCTGCCAAGCCTCGAAGAGATTCCTGAGGTGTCCCTCGTTACTAGACAGCAGTCCTGACGTCACTGAAGAAACTCGTGTTTTGAAGGGCCATCCCCGCCGTAAGTCGAGAACGTACCCCAGGTCCCCGCCGCAACTCGAGAAAAACCATGAGACTTCCCCCTAGAGGCGAGATGAGGCCCCATTCCCCTGCAGTGCATGCAGAGCTATTCCGTGATCCCATTCAAACAAGTCAGGAGCTTCGGCTTGCTTAATGGATCTCGAGACAGTCCCCAAGAACACTGTCACCAGTCTAGACGGACCCTGAGGTCACCCCAGCAACGCAAAGCAGCTCCATGTGCCCCAAATCAACTCGAGATGAGGCCCGGTTCCCCTGCATTGACTCCAGAGCCATTCCCCGTTCCCCATTCAACACGACCGGTGGCTCGACTTCCTTCAGGCAACTCCAGAGATGCCCTGAGAACACTGTCCCAAGTCTAGAGGAACACCAACTTCAGCACAGCAACTCGAGGAATGCTCCGTGTACCCCAAATCGTCTCGAGATGCGAGCTGATCCCCTGGCTTAGGCTCAAGACGTATGCCAACTTCCCAGAAGCACCTCAGGAGGAGGCTTCTCTCAGCAATAGGTATGTGGGAGGGACCCCGAGTTTGCTGCCTCAAGGGGAATATACAGCGAGAAGCCCTAACTTGAAAGGAGGCCGGATTTCCTTGCAGTGGCTTGAATACAGTCTCGTCTTTCATCTCACAACATGAAGGGATGTCTGAATCCCCTGTGGAGACCTTAGAGAAAGCCCTAGGTCCCTGCCTGATTTTGACGCAATGCCTCACATCCCGCTGACACCTCGAGAGGCACGCGGAGTTCATTGCTTCAAAAGGTGACAATGCCTGACTCCTCTTGAATACTGATAGGAATCCCAAAATCCCTGTGGCTACTGGAAAGGGTCCTTGGGTGCCCTGCCTCACCTCGAGAAGCGTCCCTTTTGCCCTGCCAAGCCTCGAAGAGATTCCTGAGGTGTCCCTCGTTACTAGACAGCAGTCCTGACGTCACTGAAGAAACTCGTGTTTTGAAGGGCCATCCCCGCCGTAAGTCGAGAACATACCCCAGGTCCCCGCCGCAACTCGAGAAAAACCATGAGACTTCCCCCTAGAGGCGAGATGAGGCCCCATTCCCCTGCAGTGCATGGAGAGCTATTCCGTGATCCCATTCAAACAAGTCAGGAGCTTCGACTTGCTTAATGGATCTCGAGACAGTCCCCAAGAACACTGTCACCAGTCTAGACGGAACCTGAGGTCACCCCAGCAACGCAAAGCAGCTCCATGTGCCCCAAATCAACTCGAGATGAGGCCCGATTCCCCTGCATTGACTCCAGAGCCATTCCCCGTTCCCCATTCAACACGACCGGTGGCTCGACTTCCTTCAGGCAACTCCAGAGATGCCCCGAGAACACTGTCCCAAGTCTAGAGGAACACCAACTTCAGCACAGCAACTCGAGGAATGCTCCGTGTACCCCAAATCGTCTCGAGATGCGAGCTGATTCCCTGGCTTAGGCTCAAGACGTATGCCAACTTCCCAGAAGCACCACAGGAGGAGGCTTCTCTCAGCAATAGGTATGTGGGAGGGACCCCGAGTTTGCTGCCTCAAGGGGAATATACAGCGAGAAGCCCTAACTTGAAAGGAGGCCGGATTTCCTTGCAGTGGCTTGAATACAGGCTCGTCTTTCATCTCACAACATGAAGGGATGTCTGAATCCCCTGTGGAGACCTTAGAGAAAGCCCTAGGTCCCTGCCTCATTTTGACGGAATGCCTCACATCGCGCTGACACCTCGAGAGGCACGCGGAGTTCATTGCTTCAAAAGGTGACGATGCCTGACTCCTCTTGAATACTGATAGGAATCCCAAAATCCCTGTGGCTACTGGAAAGGGTCCTTGGGTGCCCTGCCTCACCTCGAGAAGCATCCCTTTTGCCCTGCCAAGCCTCGAAGAGATTCCTGAGGTGTCCCTCGTTACTAGACAGGAGTCCTGACGTCACTGAAGAAACTCGTGTTTTGAAGGGCCATCCCCGCCGTAAGTCGAGAACATACCCCAGGTCCCCGCCGCAACTCGAGAAAAACCATGAGACTTCCCCCTAGAGGCGAGATGAGGCCCCATTCCCCTGCAGTGCATGCAGAGCTATTCCGTGATCCCATTCAAACAAGTCAGGAGCTTCGGCTTGCTTAATGGATCTCGAGACAGTCCCCAAGAACACTGTCACCAGTCTAGACGGACCCTGAGGTCACCCCAGCAACGCAAAGCAGCTCCATGTGCCCCAAATCAACTCGAGATGAGGCCCGATTCCCGTGCATTGACTTCAGAGCCGTTCCCCGTTCCCCATTCAACACGACCGGTGGCTCGACTTCCTTCAGGCAACTCCAGAGATGCCCCGAGAACACTGTCCCAAGTCTAGAGGAACACCAACTTCAGCACAGCAACTCGAGGAATGCTCCGTGTACCCCAAATCGTCTCGAGATGAGAGCTGATTCCCTGGCTTAGGCTCAAGACGTATGCCAACTTCCCAGAAGCACCTCAGGAGGAGGCTTCTCTCAGCAATAGGTATGTGGGAGGGACCCCGAGTTTGCTGCCACAAGGGGAATATACAGCGAGAAGCCCTAACTTGAAAGGAGGCCGGATTTCCTTGCAGTGGCTTGAATACAGGCTCGTCTTTCATCTCACAACATGAAAGGATGTCTGAATCCCCTGTGGAGACCATAGAGAAAGCCCTAGGTCCCTGCCTCATTTTGACGGAATGCCTCACATCGCGCTGACACCTCGAGAGGCACGCGGAGTTCATTGCTTCAAAAGGTGACGATGCCTGACTCCTCTTGAATACTGATAGGAATCCCAAAATCCCTGTGGCTACTGGAAAGGGTCCTTGGGTGCCCTGCCTCACCTCGAGAAGCGTCCCTTTGGCCCTGCCAAGCCTCGAAGAGATTCCTGAGGTGTCCCTCGTTACTAGACAGGAGTCCTGACGTCACTGAAGAAACTCGTGTTTTGAAGGGCCATCCCCGCCGTAAGTCGAGAACATACCCCAGGTCCCCGCCGCAACTCGAGAAAAACCATGAGACTTCCCCCTAGAGGCGAGATGAGGCCCCATTCCCCTGCAGTGCATGCAGAGCTATTCCGTGATCCCATTCAAACAAGTCAGGAGCTTCGACTTGCTTAATGGATCTCGAGACAGTCCCCAAGAACACTGTCACCAGTCTAGACGGACCCTGAGGTCACCCCAGCAACACAAAGCAGCTCCATGTGCCCCAAATCAACTCGAGATGAGGCCCGGTTCCCCTGCATTGACTCCAGAGCCATTCCCCGTTCCCCATTCAACACGACCGGTGGCTCGACTTCCTTCAGGCAACTCCAGAGATGCCCCGAGAACACTGTCCCAAGTCTAGAGGAACACCAACTTCAGCACAGCAACTCGAGGAATGCTCCGTGTACCACAAATCGTCTCGAGATGCGAGCTGATTCCCTGGCTTAGGCTCAAGACGTATGCCAACTTCCCAGAAGCACCTCAGGAGGAGGCTTCTCTCAGCAATAGGTATGTGGGAGGGACCCCGAGTTTGCTGCCTCAAGGGGAATATACAGCGAGAAGCCCTAACTTGAAAGGAGGCCGGATTTCCTTGCAGTGGCTTGAATACAGGCTCGTCTTTCATCTCACAACATGAAGGGATGTCTGAATCCCCTGTGGAGACCTTAGAGAAAGCCCTAGGTCCCTGCCTCATTTTGACGGAATGCCTCACATCCCGCTGACACCTCGAGAGGCACGCGGAGTTCATTGCTTCAAAAGGTGACGATGCCTGACTCCTCTTGAATACTGATAGGAATCCCAAAATCCCTGTGGCTACTGGAAAGGGTCCTTGGGTGCCCTGACTCACCTCGAGAAGCGTCCCTTTTGCCCTGCCAAGCCTCGAAGAGATTCCTGAGGTGTCCCTCGTTACTAGACAGGAGTCCTGACGTCACTGAAGAAACTCGTGTTTTGAAGGGCCATCCCCGCCGTAAGTCGAGAACATACCCCAGGTCCCCGCCGCAACTCGAGAAAAACCGTGAGACTTCCCCCTAGAGGCGAGATGAGGCCCCATTCCCCTGCAGTGCATGCAGAGCTATTCCGTGATCCCATTCAAACAAGTCAGGAGCTTCGGCTTGCTTAATGGATCTCGAGACAGTCCCCAAGAACACTGTCACCAGTCTAGACGGACCCTGAGGTCACCCCAGCAATGCAAAGCAGCTCCATGTGCCCCAAATCAACTCGAGATGAGGCCCGATTCCCCTGCATTGACTCCAGAGCCATTCCCCGTTCCCCATTCAACACGACCGGTGGCTCGACTTCCTTCAGGCAACTCCAGAGATGCCCCGAGAACACTGTCCCAAGTCTAGAGGAACACCAACTTCAGCACAGCAACTCGAGGTATGCTCCGTGTACCCCAAATCGTCTCGAGATGCGAGCTGATTCCCTGGCTTAGGCTCAAGACGTATGCCAACTTCCCAGAAGCACCTCAGGAGGAGGCTTCTCTCAGCAATAGGTATGTGGGAGGGACCCCGAGTTTGCTGCCTCAAGGGGAATATACAGCGAGAAGCCCTAACTTGAAAGGAGGCCGGATTTCCTTGCAGTGGCTTGAATACAGGCTCGTCTTTCATCTCACAACATGAAGGGATGTCTGAATCCCCTGTGGAGACCTTAGAGAAAGCCCTAGGTCCCTGCCTCATTTTGACGGAATGCCTCACATCCCGATGACACCTCGAGAGGCACGCGGAGTTCATTGCTTCAAAAGGTGACGATGCCTGACTCCTCTTGAATACTGATAGGAATCCCAAAATCCCTGTGGCTACTGGAAAGGGTCCTTGGGTGCCCTGCCTCACCTCGAGAAGCGTCCCTTTGGCCCTGCCAAGCCTCGAAGAGATTCCTGAGGTGTCCCTCGTTACTAGACAGGAGTCCTGACGTCACTGAAGAAACTCGTGTTTTGAAGGGCCATCCCCGCCGTAAGTCGAGAACATACCCCAGGTCCCCACCGCAACTCGAGAAAAACCATGAGACTTCCCCCTAGAGGCGAGATGAGGCCCCATTCCCCTGCTGTGCATGCAGAGCTATTCCGTGATCCCATTCAAACAAGTCAGGAGCTTCGGCTTGCTTAATGGATCTCGAGACAGTCCCCAAGAACACTGTCACCAGTCTAGACGGACCCTGAGGTCCCCCCAGCAACGCAAAGCGGCTCCATGTGCCCCAAATCAACTCGAGATGAGGCCCGATTCCCCTGCATTGACTCCAGAGCCATTCCCCGTTCCCCATTCAACACGACCGGTGGCTCGACTTCCTTCAGGCAACTCCAGAGATGCCCCGAGAACACTGTCCCAAGTCTAGAGGAACACCAACTTCAGCACAGCAACTCGAGGAATGCTCCGTGTACCCCAAATCGTCTCGAGATGCGAGCTGATTCCCTGGCTTAGGCTCAAGACGTATGCCAACTTCCCAGAAGCACCTCAGGAGGAGGCTTCTCTCAGCAATAGGTATGTGGGAGGGACCCCGAGTTTGCTGCCTCAAGGGGAATATACAGCGAGAAGCCCTAACTTGAAAGGAGGCCGGATTTCCTTGCAGTGGCTTGAATACAGGCTCGTCTTTCATCTCACAACATGAAGGGCTGTCTGAATCCCCTGTGGAGACCTTAGAGAAAGCCCTAGGTCCCTGCCTCATTTTGACGGAATGCCTCACATCCCGCTGACACCTCGAGAGGCAGGTGGAGTTCATTGCTTCCAAAGGTGACGATGCCTGACTCCTCTTGAATACTGATAGGAATCCCAAAATCCCTGTGGCTGCTGGAAAGGGTCCTTGCGTGCCCTGCCTCACCTCGAGAAGCGTCCCTTTGGCCCTGCCAAGCCTCGAAGAGATTCCTGAGGTGTCCCTCGTTACTAGACAGGAGTCCTGACGTCACTGAAGAAACTCGTGTTTTGAAGGGCCATCCCCGCCGTAAGTCGAGAACATACCCCAGGTCCCCGCCGCAACTCGAGAAAAACCATGAGACTTCCCCCTAGAGGCGAGATGAGGCCCCATTCCCCTGCAGTGCATGCAGAGCTATTCCGTGATCCCATTCAAACAAGTCAGGAGCTTCGACTTGCTTAATGGATCTCGAGACAGTCCCCAAGAACACTGTCACCAGTCTAGACGGACCCTGAGGTCACCCCAGCAACGCAAAGCAGCTCCATGTGCCCCATATCAACTCGAGATGAGGCCCGATTCCCCTGCATTGACTCCAGAGCCATTCCCCATTCCCCATTCAACACGACCGGTGGCTCGACTTCCTTTAGGCAACTCCAGAGATGCCCCGAGAACACTGTCCCAGGTCTAGAGGAACACCAACTTCAGCACAGCAACTCGAGGAATGCTCCGTGTACCCCAAATCGTCTCGAGATGCGAGCTGATTCCCTGGCTTAGGCTCAAGACGTATGCCAACTTCCCAGAAGCACCACAGGAGGAGGCTTCTATCAGCAATAGGTATGTGGGAGGGACCCCGAGTTTGCTGCCTCAAGGGGAATATACAGCGAGAAGCCCTAACTTGAAAGGAGGCCGGATTTCCTTGCAGCGGCTTGAATACAGGCTCGTCTTTCATCTCACAACATGAAGGGATGTCTGAATCCCCTGTGGAGACCTTAGAGAAAGCCCTAGGTCCCTGCCTCATTTTGACGGAATGCCTCACATCGCGCTGACACCTCGAGAGGCACGCGGAGTTCATTGCTTCAAAAGGTGACGATGCCTGACTCCTCTTGAATACTGATAGGAATCCCAAAATCCCTGTGGCTACTGGAAAGGGTCCTTGGGTGCCCTGCCTCACCTCGAGAAGCGTCCCTTTTGCCCTGCCAAGCCTCGAAGAGATTCCTGAGGTGTCCCTCGTTACTAGACAGGAGTCCTGACGTCACTGAAGAAACTCGTGTTTTGAAGGGCCATCCCCGCCGTAAGTCGAGAACATACCCCAGGTCCCCGCCGCAACTCGAGAAAAACCATGAGACTTCCCCCTAGACGCGAGATGAGGCCCCATTCCCCTGCAGTGCATGCAGAGCTATTCCGTGATCCCATTCAAACAAGTCAGGAGCTTCGACTTGCTTAATGGATCTCGAGACAGTCCCCAAGAACACTGTCACCAGTCTAGACGGACCCTGAGGTCACCCCAGCAACGCAAAGCAGCTCCATGTGCCCCAAATCAACTCGAGATGAGGCCCGATTCCCCTGCATTGACTCCAGAGCCATTCCCCGTTCCCCATTCAACACGACCGGTGGCTCGACTTCCTTCAGGCAACTCCAGAGATGCCCCGAGAACACTGTCCCAAGTCTAGAGGAACACCAACTTCAGCACAGCAACTCGAGGAATGCTCCGTGTACCCCAAATCGTCTCGAGATGCGAGCTGATTCCCTGGCTTAGGCTCAAGACGTATGCCAACTTCCCAGAAGCACCTCAGGAGGAGGCTTCTCTCAGCAATAGGTATGTGGGAGGGACCCCGAGTTTGCTGCCTCAAGGGGAATATACAGCGATAAGCCCTAACTTGAAAGGAGGCCGGATTTCCTTGCAGTGGCTTGAACACAGGCTCGTCTTTCATCTCAAAACATGAAGGGATGTCTGAATCCCCTGTGGAGACCTTAGAGAAAGCCCTAGGTCCCTGCCTCATTTTGACGGAATGCCTCACATCCCGCTGACACCTCGAGAGGCACGCGGAGTTCATTGCTTCAAAAGGTGACGATGCCTGACTCCTCTTGAATACTGATAGGAATCCCAAAATCCCTGTGGCTACTGGAAAGGGTCCTTGGGTGCCCTGCCTCACCTCGAGAAGCTTCCCTTTTGCCCTGCCAAGCCTCGAAGAGATTCCTGAGGTGTCCCTCGTTACTAGACAGGAGTCCTGACGTCACTGAAGAAACTCGTGTTTTGAAGGGCCATCCCCGCCGTAAGACGAGAACATACCCCAGGTTCCCGCCGCAACTCGAGAAAAACCATGAGACTTCCCCCTAGAGGCGAGATGAGGCCCCATTCCCCTGCAGTGCATGCAGAGCTATTCCGTGATCCCATTCAAACAAGTCAGGAGCTTCGACTTGCTTAATGGATCTCGAGACAGTCCCCAAGAACACTGTCACCAGTCTAGACGGACCCTGAGGTCACCCCAGCAACGCAAAGCAGCTCCATGTGCCCCAAATCAACTCGAGATGAGGCCCGGTTCCCCTGCATTGACTCCAGAGCCATTCCCCGTTCCCCATTCAACACGACCGGTGGCTCGACTTCCTTCAGGCAACTCCAGAGATGCCCCGAGAACACTGTCCCAAGTCTAGAGGAACACCAACTTCAGCACAGCAACTCGAGGAATGCTCCGTGTACCCCAAATCGTCTCGAGATGCGAGCTGATTCCCTGGCTTAGGCTCAAGACGTATGCCAACTTCCCAGAAGCACCTCAGGAGGAGGCTTCTCTCAGCAATAGGTATGTGGGAGGGACCCCGAGTTTGCTGCCTCAAGGGGAATATACAGCGAGAAGCCCTAACTTGAAAGGAGGCCGGATTTCCTTGCAGTGGCTTGAATACAGGCTCGTCTTTCATCTCACAACATGAAAGGATGTCTGAATCCCCTGTGGAGACCTTAGAGAAAGCCCTAGGTCCCTGCCTCATTTTGACGGAATGCCTCACATCGCGCTGACACCTCGAGAGGCACGCGGAGTTCATTGCTTCAAAAGGTGACGATGCCTGACTCCTCTTGAATACTGATAGGAATCCCAAAATCCCTGTGGCTACTGGAAAGGGTCCTTGGGTGCCCTGCCTCACCTCGAGAAGCGTCCCTTTTGCCCTGCCAAGCCTCGAAGAGATTCCTGAGGTGTCCCTCGTTACTAGACAGGAGTCCTGACGTCACTGAAGAAACTCGTGTTTTGAAGGGCCATCCCCGCCGTAAGTCGAGAACATACCCCAGGTCCCCGCCGCAACTCGAGAAAAACCATGAGACTTCCCCCTAGAGGCGAGATGAGGGCCCATTCCCCTGCAGTGCATGCAGAGCTATTCCGTGATCCCATTCAAACAAGTCAGGAGCTTCGACTTGCTTAATGGATCTCGAGACAGTCCCCAAGAACACTGTCACCAGTCTAGACGGACCCTGAGGTCACCCCAGCAACGCAAAGCAGCTCCATGTGCCCCAAATCAACTCGAGATGAGGCCCGATTCCCCTGCATTGACTCCAGAGCCATTCCTCGTTCCCCATTTAACACGACCGGTGGCTCGACTTCCTTCAGGCAACTCCAGAGATGCCCCGAGAACACTGTCCCAAGTCTAGAGGAACACCAACTTCAGCACAGCAACTCGAGGAATGCTCCGTGTACCCCAAATCGTCTCGAGATGCGAGCTGATGCCCTGGCTTAGGCTCAAGACGTATGCCAACTTCCCAGAAGCACCACAGGAGGAGGCTTCTCTCAGCAATAGGTATGTGGGAGGGACCCCGAGTTTGCTGCCTCAAGGGGAATATACAGCGAGAAGCCCTAACTTGAAAGGAGGCCGGATTTCCTTGCAGTGGCTTGAATACAGGCTCGTCTTTCATCTCACAACATGAAGGGATGTCTGAATCCCCTGTGGAGACCTTAGAGAAAGCCCTAGGTCCCTGCCTCATTTTGACGGAATGCCTCACATCGCGCTGATACCTCGAGAGGCACGCGGAGTTCATTGCTTCCAAAGGTGACGATGCCTGACTCCTCTTGAATACTGATAGGAATCCCAAAATCCCTGTGGCTACTGGAAAGGGTCCTTTTGTGCCCTGCCTCACCTCGAGAAGCGTCCCTTTGGCCCTGCCAAGCCTCGAAGAGATTCCTGAGGTGTCCCTCGTTACTAGACAGGAGTCCTGACGTCACTGAAGAAACTCGTGTTTTCAAGGGCCATCCCCGCCGTAAGTCGAGAACATACCCCAGGTCCCCGCCGCAACTCGAGAAAAACCATGAGACTTCCCCCTAGAGGCGAGATGAGGCCCCATTCCCCTGCAGTGCATGCAGAGCTATTCCGTGATCCCATTCAAACAAGTCAGGAGCTTCGACTTGCTTAATGGATCTCGAGACAGTCCCCAAGAACACTGACACCAGTCTAGACGGACCCTGAGGTCACCCCAGCAACGCAAAGCAGCTCCATGTGCCCCAAATCAACTCGAGATGAGGCCCGATTCCCCTGCATTGACTCCAGAGCCATTCCCCGTTCCCCATTCAACACGACCGGTGGCTCGACTTCCTTCAGGCAACTCCAGAGATGCCCCGAGAACACTGTCCCAAGTCTAGAGGAACACCAACTTCAGCACAGCAACTCGAGGAATGCTCCGTGTACCCCAATTCGTCTCGAGATGCGAGCTGATGCCCTGGCTTAGGCTCAAGACGTATGCCAACTTCCCAGAAGCACCACAGGAGGAGGCTTCTCTCAGCAATAGGTATGTGGGAGGGACCCCGAGTTTGCTGCCTCAAGGGGAATATACAGCGAGAAGCCCTAACTTGAAAGGAGGCCGGATTTCCTTGCAGTGGCTTGAATACAGGCTCGTCTTTCATCTCACAACATGAAGGGATGTCTGAATCCCCTGTGGAGACCTTAGAGAAAGCCCTAGGTCCCTGCCTCATTTTGACGGAATGCCTCACATCGCGCTGATACCTCGAGAGGCACGCGGAGTTCATTGCTTCAAAAGGTGACGATGCCTGACTCCTCTTGAATACTGATAGGAATCCCAAAATCCCTGTGGCTACTGGAAAGGGTCCTTGGGTGCCCTGCCTCACCTCGAGAAGCGTCCCTTTTGCCCTGCCAAGCCTCGAAGAGATTCCTGAGGTGTCCCTCGTTACTAGACAGGAGTCCTGACGTCACTGAAGAAACTCGTGTTTTGAAGGGCCATCCCCGCCGTAAGACGAGAACATACCCCAGGTCCCCGCCGCAACTCGAGAAAAACCATGAGACTTCCCCCTAGAGGCGAGATGAGGCCCCATTCCCCTGCAGTTCATGCAGAGCTATTCCGTGATCCCATTCAAACAAGTCAGGAGCTTCGACTTGCTTAATGGATCTCGAGACAGTCCCCAAGAACACTGTCACCAGTCTAGACGGACCCTGAGGTCACCCCAGCAACGCAAAGCAGCTCCATGTGCCCCAAATCAACTCGAGATGAGGCCCGATTCCCCTGCATTGACTCCAGAGCCATTCCCCGTTCCCCATTCAACACGACCGGTGGCTCGACTTCCTTCAGGCAACTCCAGAGATGCCCCGAGAACACTGTCCCAAGTCTAGAGGAACACCAACTTCAGCACAGCAACTCGAGGAATGCTCCGTGTACCCCAAATCGTCTCGAGATGCGAGCTGATGCCCTGGCTTAGGCTCAAGACGTATGCCAACTTCCCAGAAGCACCACAGGAGGAGGCTTCTCTCAGCAATAGGTATGTGGGAGGGACCCCGAGTTTGCTGCCTCAAGGGGAATATACAGCGAGAAGCCCTAACTTGAAAGGAGGCCGGATTTCCTTGCAGTGGCTTGAATACAGGCTCGTCTTTCATCTCACAACATGAAGGGATGTCTGAATCCCCTGTGGAGACCTTAGAGAAAGCCCTAGGTCCCTGACTCATTTTGACGGAATGCCTCACATCGCGCTGATACCTCGAGAGGCACGCGGAGTTCATTGCTTCAAAAGGTGACGATGCCTGACTCCTCTTGAATACTGATAGGAATCCCAAAATCCCTGTGGCTACTGGAAAGGGTCCTTGGGTGCCCTGCCTCACCTCGAGAAGCGTCCCTTTGGCCCTGCCAAGCCTTGAAGAGATTCCTGATGTGTCCCTCGTTACTAGACAGGAGTCCTGACGTCACTGAAGAAACTCGTGTTTTGAAGGGCCATCCCCGCCGTAAGTCGAGAACATACCCCAGGTCCCCACCGCAACTCGAGAAAAACCATGAGACTTCCCCCTAGAGGCGAGATGAGGCCCCATTCCCCTGCTGTGCATGCAGAGCTATTCCGTGATCCCATTCAAACAAGTCAGGAGCTTCGGCTTGCTTAATGGATCTCGAGAGAGTCCCCAAGAACACTGTCACCAGTCTAGACGGACCCTGAGGTCCCCCCAGCAACGCAAAGCAGCTCCATGTGCCCCAAATCAACTCGAGATGAGGCCCGATTCCCCTGCATTGACTCCAGAGCCATTCCCCGTTCCCCATTCAACACGACCGGTGGCTCGACTTCCTTCAGGCAACTCCAGAGATGCCCCGAGAACACTGTCCCAAGTCTAGAGGAACACCAACTTCAGCACAGCAACTCGAGGAATGCTCCGTGTACCCCAAATCGTCTCGAGATGCGAGCTGATTCCCTGGCTTAGGCTCAAGACGTATGCCAACTTCCCAGAAGCACCTCAGGAGGAGGCTTCTCTCAGCAATAGGTATGTGGGAGGGACCCCGAGTTTGCTGCCTCAAGGGGAATATACAGCGAGAAGCCCTAACTTGAAAGGAGGCCGGATTTCCTTGCAGTGGCTTGAATACAGGCTCGTCTTTCATCTCACAACATGAAGGGATGTCTGAATCCCCTGTGGAGACCTTAGAGAAAGCCCTAGGACCCTGCCTCATTTTGACGGAATGCCTCACATCCCGCTGACACCTCGAGAGGCAGGTGGAGTTCATTGCTTCCAAAGGTGACGATGCCTGACTCCTCTTGAATACTGATAGGAATCCCAAAATCCCTGTGGCTGCTGGAAAGGGTCCTTGGGTGCCCTGCCTCACCTCGAGAAGCGTCCCTTTGGCCCTGCCAAGCCTCGAAGAGATTCCTGAGGTGTCCCTCGTTACTAGACAGGAGTCCTGACGTCACTGAAGAAACTCGTGTTTTGAAGGGCCATCCCCGCCGTAAGTCGAGAACATACCCCAGGTCCCCGCCGCAACTCGAGAAAAACCATGAGACTTCCCCCTAGAGGCGAGATGAGGCCCCATTCCCCTGCAGTGCATGCAGAGCTATTCCGTGATCCCATTCAAACAAGTCAGGAGCTTCGACTTGCTTAATGGATCTCGAGACAGTCCCCAAGAACACTGTCACCAGTCTAGACGGACCCTGAGGTCACCCCAGCAACGCAAAGCAGCTCCATGTGCCCCATATCAACTCGAGATGAGGCCCGATTCCCCTGCATTGACTCCAGAGCCATTCCCCATTCCCCATTCAACACGACCGGTGGCTCGACTTCCTTCAGGCAACTCCAGAGATGCCCCGAGAACACTGTCCCATGTCTAGAGGAACACCAACTTCAGCACAGCAACTCGAGGAATGCTCCGTGTACCCCAAATCGTCTCGAGATGCGAGCTGATTCCCTGGCTTAGGTTCAAGACGTATGCCAACTTCCCAGAAGCACCACAGGAGGAGGCTTCTATCAGCAATAGGTATGTGGGAGGGACCCCGAGTTTGCTGCCTCAAGGGGAATATACAGCGAGAAGCCCTAACTTGAAAGGAGGCCGGATTTCCTTGCAGCGGCTTGAATACAGGCTCGTCTTTCATCTCACAACATGAAGGGATGTCTGAATCCCCTGTGGAGACCTTAGAGAAAGCCCTAGGTCCCTGCCTCATTTTGACGGAATGCCTCACATCGCGCTGACACCTCGAGAGGCACGCGGAGTTCATTGCTTCAAAAGGTGACGATGCCTGACTCCTCTTGAATACTGATAGGAATCCCAAAATCCCTGTGGCTACTGGAAAGGGTCCTTGGGTGCCCTGCCTCACCTCGAGAAGTGTCCCTTTTGCCCTGCCAAGCCTCGAAGAGATTCCTGAGGTGTCCCTCGTTACTAGACAGGAGTCCTGACGTCACTGAAGAAACTCGTGTTTTGAAGGGCCATCCCCGCCGTAAGTCGAGAACATACCCCAGGTCCCCGCCGCAACTCGAGAAAAACCATGAGACTTCCCCCTAGACGCGAGATGAGGCCCCATTCCCCTGCAGTGCATGCAGAGCTATTCCGTGATCCCATTCAAACAAGTCAGGAGCTTCGACTTGCTTAATGGATCTCGAGACAGTCCCCAAGAACACTGTCACCAGTCTAGACGGACCCTGAGGTCACCCCAGCAACGCAAAGCAGCTCCATGTGCCCCAAATCAACTCGAGATGAGGCCCGATTCCCCTGCATTGACTCCAGAGCCATTCCCCGTTCCCCATTCAACACGACCGGTGGCTCGACTTCCTTCAGGCAACTCCAGAGATGCCCCGAGAACACTGTCCCAAGTCTAGAGGAACACCAACTTCAGCACAGCAACTCGAGGAATGCTCCGTGTACCCCAAATCGTCTCGAGATGCGAGCTGATTCCCTGGCTTAGGCTCAAGACGTATGCCAACTTCCCAGAAGCACCTCAGGAGGAGGCTTCTCTCAGCAATAGGTATGTGGGAGGGACCCCGAGTTTGCTGCCTCAAGGGGAATATACAGCGAGAAGCCCTAACTTGAAAGGAGGCCGGATTTCCTTGCAGTGGCTTGAACACAGGCTCGTCTTTCATCTCAAAACATGAAGGGATGTCTGAATCCCCTGTGGAGACCTTAGAGAAAGCCCTAGGTCCCTGCCTCATTTTGACGGAATGCCTCACATCCCGCTGACACCTCGAGAGGCACGCGGAGTTCATTGCTTCAAAAGGTGACGATGCCTGACTCCTCTTGAATACTGATAGGAATCCCAAAATCCCTGTGGCTACTGGAAAGGGTCCTTGGGTGCCCTGCCTCACCTCGAGAAGCTTCCCTTTTTCCCTGCCAAGCCTCGAAGAGATTCCTGAGGTGTCCCTCGTTACTAGACAGGAGTCCTGACGTCACTGAAGAAACTCGTGTTTTGAAGGGCCATCCCCGCCGTAAGACGAGAACATACCCCAGGTTCCCGCCGCAACTCGAGAAAAACCATGAGACTTCCCCCTAGAGGCGAGATGAGGCCCCATTCCCCTGCAGTGCATGCAGAGCTATTCCGTGATCCCATTCAAACAAGTCAGGAGCTTCGACTTGCTTAATGGATCTCGAGACAGTCCCCAAGAACACTGTCACCAGTCTAGACGGACCCTGAGGTCACCCCAGCAACGCAAAGCAGCTCCATGTGCCCCAAATCAACTCGAGATGAGGCCCGGTTCCCCTGCATTGACTCCAGAGCCATTCCCCGTTCCCCATTCAACACGACCGGTGGCTCGACTTCCTTCAGGCAACTCCAGAGATGCCCCGAGAACACTGTCCCAAGTCTAGAGGAACACCAACTTCAGCACAGCAACTCGAGGAATGCTCCGTGTACCCCAAATCGTCTCGAGATGCGCGCTGATTCCCTGGCTTAGGCTCAAGACGTATGCCAACTTCCCAGAAGCACCTCAGGAGGAGGCTTCTCTCAGCAATAGGTATGTGGGAGGGACCCCGAGTTTGCTGCCTCAAGGGGAATATACAGCGAGAAGCCCTAACTTGAAAGGAGGCCGGATTTCCTTGCAGTGGCTTGAATACAGGCTCGTCTTTCATCTCACAACATGAAAGGATGTCTGAATCCCCTGTGGAGACCTTAGAGAAAGCCCTAGGTCCCTGCCTCATTTTGACGGAATGCCTCACATCGCGCTGACACCTCGAGAGGCACGCGGAGTTCATTGCTTCAAAAGGTGACGATGCCTGACTCCTCTTGAATACTGATAGGAATCCCAAAATCCCTGTGGCTACTGGAAAGGGTCCTTGGGTGCCCTGCCTCACTTCGAGAAGCGTCCCTTTTGCCCTGCCAAGCCTCGAAGAGATTCCTGAGGTGTCCCTCGTTACTAGACAGGAGTCCTGACGTCACTGAAGAAACTCGTGTTTTGAAGGGCCATCCCCGCCGTAAGTCGAGAACATACCCCAGGTCCCCGCCGCAACTCGAGAAAAACCATGAGACTTCCCCCTAGAGGCGAGATGAGGCCCCATTCCCCTGCAGTGCATGCAGAGCTATTCCGTGATCCCATTCAAACAAGTCAGGAGCTTCGACTTGCTTAATGGATCTCGAGACAGTCCCCAAGAACACTGACACCAGTCTAGACGGACCCTGAGGTCACCCCAGCAACGCAAAGCAGCTCCATGTGCCCCAAATCAACTCGAGATGAGGCCCGATTCCCCTGCATTGACTCCAGAGCCATTCCCCGTTCCCCATTCAACACGACCGGTGGCTCGACTTCCTTCAGGCAACTCCAGAGATGCCCCGAGAACACTGTCCCAAGTCTAGAGGAACACCAACTTCAGCACAGCAACTCGAGGAATGCTCCGTGTACCCCAATTCGTCTCGAGATGCGAGCTGATGCCCTGGCTTAGGCTCAAGACGTATGCCAACTTCCCAGAAGCACCACAGGAGGAGGCTTCTCTCAGCAATAGGTATGTGGGAGGGACCCCGAGTTTGCTGCCTCAAGGGGAATATACAGCGAGAAGCCCTAACTTGAAAGGAGGCCGGATTTCCTTGCAGTGGCTTGAATACAGGCTCGTCTTTCATCTCACAACATGAAGGGATGTCTGAATCCCCTGTGGAGACCTTAGAGAAAGCCCTAGGTCCCTGCCTCATTTTGACGGAATGCCTCACATCGCGCTGACACCTCGAGAGGCACGCGGAGTTCATTGCTTCAAAAGGTGACGATGCCTGACTCCTCTTGAATACTGATAGGAATCCCAAAATCCCTGTGGCTACTGGAAAGGGTCCTTGGGTGCCCTGCCTCACCTCGAGAAGCGTCCCTTTTGCCCTGCCAAGCCTCGAAGAGATTCCTGAGGTGTCCCTCGTTACTAGACAGGAGTCCTGACGTCACTGAAGAAACTCGTGTTTTGAAGGGCCATCCCCGCCGTAAGACGAGAACATACCCCAGGTCCCCGCCGCAACTCGAGAAAAACCATGAGACTTCCCCCTAGAGGCGAGATGAGGCCCCATTCCCCTGCAGTTCATGCAGAGCTATTCCGTGATCCCATTCAAACAAGTCAGGAGCTTCGACTTGCTTAATGGATCTCGAGACAGTCCCCAAGAACACTGTCACCAGTCTAGACGGACCATGAGGTCACCCCAGCAACGCAAAGCAGCTCCATGTGCCCCAAATCAACTCGAGATGAGGCCCGATTCCCCTGCATTGACTCCAGAGCCATTCCCCGTTCCCCATTCAACACGACCGGTGGCTCGACTTCCTTCAGGCAACTCCAGAGATGCCCCGAGAACACTGTCCCAAGTCTAGAGGAACACCAACTTCAGCACAGCAACTCGAGGAATGCTCCGTGTACCCCAAATCGTCTCGAGATGCGAGCTGATGCCCTGGCTTAGGCTCAAGACGTATGCCAACTTCCCAGAAGCACCACAGGAGGAGGCTTCTCTCAGCAATAGGTATGTGGGAGGGACCCCGAGTTTGCTGCCTCAAGGGGAATATACAGCGAGAAGCCCTAACTTGAAAGGAGGCCGGATTTCCTTGCAGTGGCTTGAATACAGGCTCGTCTTTCATCTCACAACATGAAGGGATGTCTGAATCCCCTGTGGAGACCTTAGAGAAAGCCCTAGGTCCCTGACTCATTTTGACGGAATGCCTCACATCGCGCTGATACCTCGAGAGGCACGCGGAGTTCATTGCTTCAAAAGGTGACGATGCCTGACTCCTCTTGAATACTGATAGGAATCCCAAAATCCCTGTGGCTACTGGAAAGGGTCCTTGGGTGCCCTGCCTCACCTCGAGAAGCGTCCCTTTGGCCCTGCCAAGCCTCGAAGAGATTCCTGAGGTGTCCCTCGTTACTAGACAGGAGTCCTGACGTCACTGAAGAAACTCGTGTTTTGAAGGGCCATCCCCGCCGTAAGTCGAGAACATACCCCAGGTCCCCGCCGCAACTCGAGAAAAACCATGAGACTTCCCCCTAGAGGCGAGATGAGTCCCCATTCCCCTGCAGTGCATGCAGAGCTATTCCGTGATCCCATTCAAACAAGTCAGGAGCTTCGACTTGCTTAATGGATCTCGAGACAGTCCCCAAGAACACTGTCACCAGTCTAGACGGACCCTGAGGTCACCCCAGCAACGCAAAGCAGCTCCATGTGCCCCAAATCAACTCGAGATGAGGCCCGATTCCCCTGCATTGACTCCAGAGCCATTCCCCGTTCCCCATTCAACAGGACCGGTGGCTCGACTTCCTTCAGGCAACTCCAGAGATGCCCCGAGAACACTGTCCCAAGTCTAGAGGAACACCAACTTCAGCACAGCAACTCGAGGAATGCTCCGTGTACCCCAAATCGTCTCGAGATGCGAGATGATTCCCTGGCTTAGGCTCAAGACGAATGCCAACTTCCCAGAAGCAACTCAGGAGGAGGCTTCTCTCAGCAATAGGTATGTGGGAGGGACCCCGAGTTTGCTGCCTCAAGGGGAATATACAGCGAGAAGCCCTAACTTGAAAGGAGGCCGGATTTCCTAGCAGTGGCTTGAACACAGGCTCGTCTTTCATCTCACAACATGAAGGGATGTCTGAATCCCCTGTGGAGACCTTAGAGAAAGCCCTAGGTCCCTGCCTCATTTTGACGGAATGCCTCACATCCCGCTGACACCTCGAGAGGCACGCGGAGTTCATTGCTTCAAAAGGTGACGATGCCTGACTCCTCTTGAATACTGATAGGAATCCCAAAATCCCTGTGGCTACTGGAAAGGGTCATTGGGTGCCCTGCCTCACCTCGAGAAGCGTCCTTTTTGCTCTGCCAAGCCTCGAAGAGATTCCTGAGGTGTCCCTCGTTACTAGACAGGAGTCCTGACGTCACTGAAGAAACTCGTGTTTTGAAGGGCCATCCCCGCCGTAAGTCGAGAACATACCCCAGGTCCCAGCCGCAACTCGAGAAAAACCATGAGACTTCCCCCTAGAGGCGAGATGAGGCCCCATTCCCCTGCAGTGCATGCAGAGCTATTCCGTGATCCCATTCAAACAAGTCAGGAGCTTCGACTTGCTTAATGGATCTCGAGACAGTCCCCAAGAACACTGTCACCAGTCTAGACGGACCCTGAGGTCACCCCAGCAAAGCAAAGCAGCTCCATGTGCCCCAAATCAACTCGAGATGAGGCCCGATTCCCCTGCATTGACTCCAGAGCCATTCCCCGTTCCCCATTCAACACGACCGGTGGCTCGACTTCCTTCAGGCAACTCCAGAGATGCCCCGAGAACACTGTCCCAAGTCTAGAGGAACACCAACTTCAGCACAGCAACTCGAGGAATGCTCCGTGTACCCCAAATCGTCTCGAGATGCGAGCTGATTCCCTGGCTTAGGCTCAAGACGTATGCCAACTTTCCAGAAGCACCTCAGGAGGAGGCTGCTCTCAGCAATAGGTATGTGGGAGGGACCCCGAGTTTGCTGCCTCAAGGGGAATATACAGCGAGAAGCCCTAACTTGAAAGGAGGCCGGATTTCCTTGCAGTGGCTTGAATACAGGCTCGTCTTTCATCTCACAACATGAAGGGATGTCTGAATCCCCTGTGGAGACCTTAGAGAAAGCCCTAGGTCCCTGCCTCATTTTGACGGAATGCCTCACATCCCGCTGACACCTCGAGAGGCACGCGGAGTTCATTGCTTCAAAAGGTGACGATGCCTGACTCCTCTTGAATACTGATAGGAATCCCAAAATCCCTGTGGCTACTGGAAAGGGTCCTTGGGTGCCCTGCCTCACCTCGAGAAGCGTCCCTTTTGCCCTGCCAAGCCTCGAAGAGATTCCTGAGGTGTCCCTCGTTACTAGACAGGAGTCCTGACGTCACTGAAGAAACTCGTGTTTTGAAGGGCCATCCCCGCCGTAAGTCGAGAACATACCCCAGGTCCCCGCCGCAACTCGAGAAAAACCATGAGACTTCCCCCTAGAGGCGAGATGAGGCCCCATTCCCCTGCAGTGCATGCAGAGCTATTCCGTGATCCCATTCAAACAAGTCAGGAGCTTCGACTTGCTTAATGGATCTCGAGACAGTCCCCAAGAACACTGTCACCAGTCTAGACGGACCCTGAGGTCACCCCAGCAACGCAAAGCAGCTCCATGTGCCCCAAATCAACTCGAGATGAGGCCCGGTTCCCCTGCATTGACTCCAGAGCCATTCCCCGTTCCCCATTCAACACGACCGGTGGCTCGACTTCCTTCAGGCAACTCCAGAGATGCCCCGAGAACACTGTCCCAAGTCTAGAGGAACACCAACTTCAGCACAGCAACTCGAGGAATGCTCCGTGTACCCCAAATCGTCTCGAGATGCGAGCTGATTCCCTGGCTTAGGCTCAAGACGTATGCCAATTTCCCAGAAGCACCTCAGGAGGAGGCTTCTCTCAGCAATAGGTATGTGGGAGGGACCCCGAGTTTGCTGCCTCAAGGGGAATATACAGCGAGAAGCCCTAACTTGAAAGGAGGCCGGATTTCCTTGCAGTGGCTTGAATACAGGCTCGTCTTTCATCTCACAACATGAAGGGATGTCTGAATCCCCTGTGGAGACCTTAGAGAAAGCCCTAGGTCCCTGCCTCATTTTGACGGAATGCCTCACATCCCGCTGACACCTCGAGAGGCACGCGGAGTTCATTGCTTCAAAAGGTGACGATGCCTGACTCCTCTTGAATACTGATAGGAATCCCAAAATCCCTGTGGCTACTGGAAAGGGTCCTTTTGTGCCCTGCCTCACCTCGAGAAGCGTCCCTTTTGCCCTGCCAAGCCTCGAAGAGATTCCTGAGGTGTCCCTCGTTACTAGACAGGAGTCCTGACGTCACTGAAGAAACTCGTGTTTTGAAGGGCCATCCCCGCCGTAAGTCGAGAACATACCCCAGGTCCCCGCCGCAACTCGAGAAAAACCATGAGACTTCCCCCTAGAGGCGAGATGAGGCCCCATTCCCCTGCAGTGCATGCAGAGCTATTCCGTGATCCCATTCAAACAAGTCAGGAGCTTCGACTTGCTTAATGGATCTCGAGACAGTCCCCAAGAACACTGTCACCAGTCTAGACGGACCCTGAGGTCACCCCAGCAACGCAAAGCAGCTCCATGTGCCCCAAATCAACTCGAGATGAGGCCCGATTCCCCTGCATTGACTCCAGAGCCATTCCCCGTTCCCCATTCAACACGACCGGTGGCTCGACTTCCTTCAGGCAACTCCAGAGATGCCCCGAGAACACTGTCCCAAGTCTAGAGGAACACCAACTTCAGCACAGCAACTCGAGGAATGCTCCATGTACCCCAAATCGTCTCGAGATGAGAGCTGATTCCCTGGCTTAGGCTCAAGACGTATGCCAACTTCCCAGAAGCACCACAGGAGGAGGCTTCTCTCAGCAATAGGTATGTGGGAGGGACCCCGAGTTTGCTGCCTCAAGGGGAATATACAGCGAGAAGCCCTAACTTGAAAGGAGGCCGGATTTCCTTGCAGTGACTTGAATACAGGCTCGTCTTTCATCTCACAACATGAAGGGATGTCTGAATCCCCTGTGGAGACCTTAGAGAAAGCCCTAGTTCCCTGCCTCATTTTGACGGAATGCCTCACATCGCGCTGATACCTCGAGAGGCACGCGGAGTTCATTGCTTCAAAAGGTGACGATGCCTGACTCCTCTTGAATACTGATAGGAATCCCAAAATCCCTGTGGCTACTGGAAAGGGTCCTTTTGTGCCCTGCCTCACCTCGAGAAGCGTCCCTTTGGCCCTGCCAAGCCTCGAAGAGATTCCTGAGGTGTCCCTCGTTACTAGACAGGAGTCCTGACGTCACTGAAGAAACTCGTGTTTTGAAGGGCCATCCCCGCCGTAAGTCGAGAACATACCCCAGGTCCCCGCCGCAACTCGAGAAAAACCATGAGACTTCCCCCTAGAGGCGAGATGAGGCCCCATTCCCCTGCAGTGCATGCAGAGCTATTCCGTGATCCCATTCAAACAAGTCAGGAGCTTCGACTTGCTTAATGGATCTCGAGACAGTCCCCAAGAACACTGTCACCAGTCTAGACGGACCCTGAGGTCACCCCAGCAACGCAAAGCAGCTCCATGTGCCCCAAATCAACTCGAGATGAGGCCCGATTCCCCTGCATTGACTCCAGAGCCATTCCCCGTTCCCCATTCAACACGACCGGTGGCTCGACTTCCTTCAGGCAACTCCAGAGATGCCCCGAGAACACTGTCCCAAGTCTAGAGGAACACCAACTTCAGCACAGCAACTCGAGGAATGCTCCGTGTACCCCAAATCGTCTCGAGATGCGAGCTGATTCCCTGGCTTAGGCTCAAGACGTATGCCAACTTCCCAGAAGCACCTCAGGAGGAGGCTTCTCTCAGCAATAGGTATGTGGGAGGGACCCCGAGTTTGCTGCCTCAAGGGGAATATACAGCGAGAAGCCCTAACTTGAAAGGAGGCCGGATTTCCTAGCAGTGGCTTGAACACAGGCTCGTCTTTCATCTCACAACATGAAGGGATGTCTGAATCCCCTGTGGAGACCTTAGAGAAAGCCCTAGGTCCCTGCCTCATTTTGACGGAATGCCTCACATCCCGCTGACACCTCGAGAGGCACGCGGAGTTCATTGCTTCAAAAGGTGACGATGCCTGACTCCTCTTGAATACTGATAAGAATCCCAAAATCCCTGTGGCTACTGGAAAGGGTCATTGGGTGCCCTGCCTCACCTCGAGAAGCGTCCCTTTTGCCCTGCCAAGCCTCGAAGAGATTCCTGAGGTGTCCCTCGTTACTAGACAGGAGTCCTGACGTCACTGAAGAAACTCGTGTTTTCAAGGGCCATCCCCGCCGTAAGTCGAGAACATACCCCAGGTCCCTGCCGCAACTCGAGAAAAACCATGAGACTTCCCCCTAGAGGCGAGATGAGGCCCCATTCCCCTGCAGTGCATGCAGAGCTATTCCGTGATCCCATTCAAACAAGTCAGGAGCTTCGACTTGCTTAATGGATCTCGAGACAGTCCCCAAGAACACTGTCACCAGTCTAGACGGACCCTGAGGTCACCCCAGCAACGCAAAGCAGCTCCATGTGCCCCAAATCAACTCGAGATGAGGCCCGGTTCCCCTGCATTGACTCCAGAGCCATTCCCCGTTCCCCATTCAACACGACCGGTGGCTCGACTTCCTTCAGGCAACTCCAGAGATGCCCCGAGAACACTGTCCCAAGTCTAGAGGAACACCAACTTCAGCACAGCAACTCGAGGAATGCTCCGTGTACCCCAAATCGTCTCGAGATGCGAGCTGATTCCCTGGCTTAGGCTCAAGACGTATGCCAATTTCCCAGAAGCACCTCAGGAGGAGGCTTCTCTCAGCAATAGGTATGTGGGAGGGACCCCGAGTTTGCTGCCTCAAGGGGAATATACAGCGAGAAGCCCTAACTTGAAAGGAGGCCGGATTTCCTTGCAGTGGCTTGAATACAGGCTCGTCTTTCATCTCACAACATGAAGGGATGTCTGAATCCCCTGTGGAGACCTTAGAGAAAGCCCTAGGTCCCTGCCTCATTTTGACGGAATGCCTCACATCGCGCTGACACCTCGAGAGGCACGCGGAGTTCATTGCTTCAAAAGGTGACGATGCCTGACTCCTCTTGAATACTGATAGGAATCCCAAAATCCCTGTGGCTACTGGAAAGGGTCCTTTTGTGCCCTGCCTCACCTCGAGAAGCGTCCCTTTTGCCCTGCCAAGCCTCGAAGAGATTCCTGAGGTGTCCCTCGTTACTAGACAGGAGTCCTGACGTCACTGAAGAAACTCGTGTTTTGAAGGGCCATCCCCGCCGTAAGTCGAGAACATACCCCAGGTCCCCGCCGCAACTCGAGAAAAACCATGAGACTTCCCCCTAGAGGCGAGATGAGGCCCCATTCCCCTGCAGTGCATGCAGAGCTATTCCGTGATCCCATTCAAACAAGTCAGGAGCTTCGACTTGCTTAATGGATCTCGAGACAGTCCCCAAGAACACTGTCACCAGTCTAGACGGACCCTGAGGTCACCCCAGCAACGCAAAGCAGCTCCATGTGCCCCAAATCAACTCGAGATGAGGCCCGATTCCCCTGCATTGACTCCAGAGCCATTCCCCGTTCCCCATTCAACACGACCGGTGGCTCGACTTCCTTCAGGCAACTCCAGAGATGCCCCGAGAACACTGTCCCAAGTCTAGAGGAACACCAACTTCAGCACAGCAACTCGAGGAATGCTCCGTGTACCCCAAATCGTCTCGAGATGCGAGCTGATGCCCTGGCTTAGGCTCAAGACGTATGCCAACTTCCCAGAAGCACCACAGGAGGAGGCTTCTCTCAGCAATAGGTATGTGGGAGGGACCCCGAGTTTGCTGCCTCAAGGGGAATATACAGCGAGAAGCCCTAACTTGAAAGGAGGCCGGATTTCCTTGCAGTGGCTTGAATACAGGCTCGTCTTTCATCTCACAACATGAAGGGATGTCTGAATCCCCTGTGGAGACCTTAGAGAAAGCCCTAGGTCCCTGCCTCATTTTGACGGAATGCCTCACATCGCGCTGATACCTCGAGAGGCACGCGGAGTTCATTGCTTCAAAAGGTGACGATGCCTGACTCCTCTTGAATACTGATAGGAATCCCAAAATCCCTGTGGCTACTGGAAAGGGTCCTTTTGTGCCCTGCCTCACCTCGAGAAGCGTCCCTTTGGCCCTGCCAAGCCTCGAAGAGATTCCTGAGGTGTCCCTCGTTACTAGACAGGAGTCCTGACGTCACTGAAGAAACACGTGTTTTCAAGGGCCATCCCCGCCGTAAGTCGAGAACATACCCCAGGTCCCCGCCGCAACTCGAGAAAAACCATGAGACTTCCCCCTAGAGGCGAGATGAGGCCCCATTCCCCTGCAGTGCATGCAGAGCTATTCCGTGATCCCATTCAAACAAGTCAGGAGCTTCGACTTGCTTAATGGATCTCGAGACAGTCCCCAAGAACACTGTCACCAGTCTAGACGGACCCTGAGGTCACCCCAGCAACGCAAAGCAGCTCCATGTGCCCCAAATCAACTCGAGATGAGGCCCGATTCCCCTGCATTGACTCCAGAGCCATTCCCCGTTCCCCATTCAACACGACCGGTGGCTCGACTTCCTTCAGGCAACTCCAGAGATGCCCCGAGAACACTGTCCCAAGTCTAGAGGAACACCAACTTCAGCACAGCAACTCGAGGAATGCTCCGTGTACCCCAAATCGTATCGAGATGCGAGCTGATTCCCTGGCTTAAGCTCAAGACGTATGCCAACTTCCCAGAAGCACCACAGGAGGAGGCTTCTATCAGCAATAGGTATGTGGGAGGGACCCCGAGTTTGCTGCCTCAAGGGGAATATACAGCGAGAAGTCCTAACTTGAAAGGAGGCTGGATTTCCTTGCAGTGGCTTGAATACAGGCTCGTCTTTCATCTCACAACATGAAGGGATGTCTGAATCCCCTGTGGAGACCTTAGAGAAAGCCCTAGGTCCCTGCCTCATTTTGACGGAATGCCTCACATCGCGCTGATACCTCGAGAGGCACGCGGAGTTCATTGCTTCAAAAGGTGACGATGCCTGACTCCTCTTGAATACTGATAGGAATCCCAAAATCCCTGTGGCTACTGGAAAGGGTCCTTTTGTGCACTGCCTCACCTCGAGAAGCGTCCCTTTTGCCCTGCCAAGCCTCGAAGAGATTCCTGAGGTGTCCCTCGTTACTAGACAGGAGTCCTGACGTCACTGAAGAAACTCGTGTTTTGAAGGGCCATCCCCGCCGTAAGTCGAGAACATACCCCAGGTCCCCGCCGCAACTCGAGAAAAACCATGAGACTTCCCCCTAGAGGCGAGATGAGGCCCCATTCCCCTGCAGTGCATGCAGAGCTATTCCGTGATCCCATTCAAACAAGTCAGGAGCTTCGACTTGCTTAATGGATCTCGAGACAGTCCCCAAGAACACTGTCACCAGTCTAGACGGACCCTGAGGTCACCCCAGCAACGCAAAGCAGCTCCATGTGCCCCAAATCAACTCGAGATGAGGCCCGATTCCCCTGCATTGACTCCAGAACCATTCCCCGTTCCCCATTCAACACGACCGGTGGCTCGACTTCCTTCAGGCAACTCCAGAGATGCCCCGAGAACACTGTCCCAAGTCTAGAGGAACACCAACTTCAGCACAGCAACTCGAGGAATGCTCCGTGTACCCCAAATCGTCTCGAGATGCGAGCTGATTCCCTGGCTTAGGCTCAAGACGTATGCCAACTTCCCAGAAGCACCTCAGGAGGAGGCTTCTCTCAGCAATAGGTATGTGGGAGGGACCCCGAGTTTGCTGCCTCAAGGGGAATATACAGCGAGAAGCCCTAACTTGAAAGGAGGCCGGATTTCCTTGCAGTGGCTTGAATACAGGCTCGTCTTTCATCTCACAACATGAAGGGATGTCTGAATTCCCTGTGGAGACCTTAGAGAAAGCCCTAGGTCCCTGCCTCATTTTGACGGAATGCCTCACATCGCGCTGACACCTCGAGAGGCACGCGGAGTTCATTGCTTCAAAAGGTGACGATGCCTGACTCCTCTTGAATACTGATAGGAATCCCAAAATCCCTGTGGCTACTGGAAAGGGTCCTTGGGTGCCCTGCCTCACCTCGAGAAGCGTCCCTTTGGCCCTGCCAAGCCTCGAAGAGATTCCTGAGGTGTCCCTCGTTACTAGACAGGAGTCCTGACGTCACTGAAGAAACTCGTGTTTTGAAGGGCCATCCCCGCCGTAAGTCGAGAACATACCCCAGGTCCCCGCCGCAACTCGAGAAAAACCATGAGACTTCCCCCTAGAGGCGAGATGAGGCCCCATTCCCCTGCAGTGCATGCAGAGCTATTCCGTGATCCCATTCAAACAAGTCAGGAGCTTCGACTTGCTTAATGGATCTCGAGACAGTCCCCAAGAACACTGTCACCAGTCTAGACGGACCCTGAGGTCACCCCAGCAACGCAAAGCAGCTCCATGTGCCCCAAATCAACTCGAGATGAGGCCCGATTCCCCTGCATTGACTCCAGAGCCATTCCCCGTTCCCCATTCAACACGACCGGTGGCTCGACTTCCTTCAGGCAACTCCAGAGATGCCCCGAGAACACTGTCCCAAGTCTAGAGGAACACCAACTTCAGCACAGCAACTCGAGGAATGCTCCGTGTACCCCAAATCGTCTCGAGATGCGAGCTGATTCCCTGGCTTAGGCTAAAGACGTATGCCAACTTTCCAGAAGCACCTCAGGAGGAGGCTGCTCTCAGCAATAGGTATGTGGGAGGGACCCCGAGTTTGCTGCCTCAAGGGGAATATACAGCGAGAAGCCCTAACTTGAAAGGAGGCCGGATTTCCTTGCAGTGGCTTGAATACAGGCTCGTCTTTCATCTCACAACATGAAGGGATGTCTGAATCCCCTGTGGAGACCTTAGAGAAAGCCCTAGGTCCCTGCCTCATTTTGACGGAATGCCTCACATCCCGCTGACACCTCGAGAGGCACGCGGAGTTCATTGCTTCAAAAGGTGACGATGCCTGACTCCTCTTGAATACTGATAGGAATCCCAAAATCCCTGTGGCTACTGGAAAGGGTCCTTGGGTGCCCTGCCTCACCTCGAGAAGCGTCCCTTTTGCCCTGCCAAGCCTCGAAGAGATTCCTGAGGTGTCCCTCGTTACTAGACAGGAGTCCTGACGTCACTGAAGAAACTCGTGTTTTGAAGGGCCATCCCCGCCGTAAGTCGAGAACATACCCCAGGTCCCCGCCGCAACTCGAGAAAAACCATGAGACTTCCCCCTAGAGGCGAGATGAGGCCCCATTCCCCTGCAGTGCATGCAGAGCTATTCCGTGATCCCATTCAAACAAGTCAGGAGCTTCGACTTGCTTAATGGATCTCGAGACAGTCCCCAAGAACACTGTCACCAGTCTAGACGGACCCTGAGGTCACCCCAGCAACGCAAAGCAGCTCCATGTGCCCCAAATCAACTCGAGATGAGGCCCGGTTCCCCTGCATTGACTCCAGAGCCATTCCCCGTTCCCCATTCAACACGACCGGTGGCTCGACTTCCTTCAGGCAACTCCAGAGATGCCCCGAGAACACTGTCCCAAGTCTAGAGGAACACCAACTTCAGCACAGCAACTCGAGGAATGCTCCGTGTACCCCAAATCGTCTCGAGATGCGAGCTGATTCCCTGGCTTAGGCTCAAGACGTATGCCAATTTCCCAGAAGCACCTCAGGAGGAGGCTTCTCTCAGCAATAGGTATGTGGGAGGGACCCCGAGTTTGCTGCCTCAAGGGGAATATACAGCGAGAAGCCCTAACTTGAAAGGAGGCCGGATTTCCTTGCAGTGGCTTGAATACAGGCTCGTCTTTCCTCTCACAACATGAAGGGATGTCTGAATCCCCTGTGGAGACCTTAGAGAAAGCCCTAGGTCCCTGCCTCATTTTGACGGAATGCCTCACATCGCGCTGACACCTCGAGAGGCACGCGGAGTTCATTGCTTCAAAAGGTGACGATGCCTGACTCCTCTTGAATACTGATAGGAATCCCAAAATCCCTGTGGCTACTGGAAAGGGTCCTTTTGTGCCCTGCCTCACCTCGAGAAGCGTCCCTTTTGCCCTGCCAAGCCTCGAAGAGATTCCTGAGGTGTCCCTCGTTACTAGACAGGAGTCCTGACGTCACTGAAGAAACTCGTGTTTTGAAGGGCCATCCCGGCCGTAAGTCGAGAACATACCCCAGGTCCCCGCCGCAACTCGAGAAAAACCATGAGACTTTTCCCTAGAGGCGAGATGAGGCCCCATTCCCCTGCAGTGCATGCAGAGCTATTCCGTGATCCCATTCAAACAAGTCAGGAGCTTCGACTTGCTTAATGGATCTCGAGACAGTCCCCAAGAACACTGTCACCAGTCTAGACGGACCCTGAGGTCACCCCAGCAACGCAAAGCAGCTCCATGTGCCCCAAATCAACTCGAGATGAGGCCCGATTCCCCTGCATTGACTCCAGAGCCATTCCCCGTTCCCCATTCAACACGACCGGTGGCTCGACTTCCTTCAGGCAACTCCAGAGATGCCCCGAGAACACTGTCCCAAGTCTAGAGGAACACCAACTTCAGCACAGCAACTCGAGGAATGCTCCATGTACCCCAAATCGTCTCGAGATGAGAGCTGATTCCCTGGCTTAGGCTCAAGACGTATGCCAACTTCCCAGAAGCACCACAGGAGGAGGCTTCTCTCAGCAATAGGTATGTGGGAGGGACCCCGAGTTTGCTGCCTCAAGGGGAATATACAGCGAGAAGCCCTAACTTGAAAGGAGGCCGGATTTCCTTGCAGTGACTTGAATACAGGCTCGTCTTTCATCTCACAACATGAAGGGATGTCTGAATCCCCTGTGGAGACCTTAGAGAAAGCCCTAGGTCCCTGCCTCATTTTGACGGAATTCCTCACATCGCGCTGATACCTCGAGAGGCACGCGGAGTTCATTGCTTCAAAAGGTGACGATGCCTGACTCCTCTTGAATACTGATAGGAATCCCAAAATCCCTGTGGCTACTGGAAAGGGTCCTTTTGTGCCCTGCCTCACCTCGAGAAGCGTCCCTTTGGCCCTGCCAAGCCTCGAAGAGATTCCTGAGGTGTCCCTCGTTACTAGACAGGAGTCCTGACGTCACTGAAGAAACTCGTGTTTTGAAGGGCCATCCCTGCCGTAAGTCGAGAACATACCCCAGGTCCCCGCCGCAACTCGAGAAAAACCATGAGACTTCCCCCTAGAGGCGAGATGAGGCCCCATTCCCCTGCAGTGCATGCAGAGCTATTCCGTGATCCCATTCAAACAAGTCAGGAGCTTCGACTTGCTTAATGGATCTCGAGACAGTCCCCAAGAACACTGTCACCAGTCTAGACGGACCCTGAGGTCACCCCAGCAACGCAAAGCAGCTCCATGTGCCCCAAATCAACTCGAGATGAGGCCCGATTCCCCTGCATTGACTCCAGAGCCATTCCCCGTTCCCCATTCAACACGACCGGTGGCTCGACTTCCTTCAGGCAACTCCAGAGATGCCCCGAGAACACTGTCCCAAGTCTAGAGGAACACCAACTTCAGCACAGCAACTCGAGGAATGCTCCGTGTACCCCAAATCGTCTCGAGATGCGAGCTGATTCCATGGCTTAGGCTCAAGACGTATGCCAACTTCCCAGAAGCACCTCAGGAGGAGGCTTCTCTCAGCAATAGGTATGTGGGAGGGACCCCGAGTTTGCTGCCTCAAGGGGAATATACAGCGAGAAGCCCTAACTTGAAAGGAGGCCGGATTTCCTAGCAGTGGCTTGAACACAGGCTCGTCTTTCATCTCACAACATGAAGGGATGTCTGAATCCCCTGTGGAGACCTTAGAGAAAGCCCTAGGTCCCTGCCTCATTTTGACGGAATGCCTCACATCCCGCTGACACCTCGAGAGGCACGCGGAGTTCATTGCTTCAAAAGGTGACGATGCCTGACTCCTCTTGAATACTGATAGGAATCCCAAAATCCCTGTGGCTACTGGAAAGGGTCATTGGGTGCCCTGCCTCACCTCGAGAAGCGTCCTTTTTGCTCTGCCAAGCCTCGAAGAGATTCCTGAGGTGTCCCTCGTTACTAGACAGGAGTCCTGACGTCACTGAAGAAACTCGTGTTTTGAAGGGCCATCCCCGCCGTAAGTCGAGAACATACCCCAGGTCCCAGCCGCAACTCGAGAAAAACCATGAGACTTCCCCCTAGAGGCGAGATGAGGCCCCATTCCCCTGCAGTGCATGCAGAGCTATTCCGTGATCCCATTCAAACAAGTCAGGAGCTTCGACTTGCTTAATGGATCTCGAGACAGTCCCCAAGAACACTGTCACCAGTCTAGACGGACCCTGAGGTCACCCCAGCAACGCAAAGCAGCTCCATGTGCCCCAAATCAACTCGAGATGAGGCCCGATTCCCCTGCATTGACTCCAGAGCCATTCCCCGTTCCCCATTCAACACGACCGGTGGCTCGACTTCCTTCACACAACTCCAGAGATGCCCCGAGAACACTGTCCCAAGTCTAGAGGAACACCAACTTCAGCACAGCAACTCGAGGAATGCTCCGTGTACCCCAAATCGTCTCGAGATGCGAGCTGATTCCCTGGCTTAGGCTCAAGACGTATGCCAACTTTCCAGAAGCACCTCAGGAGGAGGCTGCTCTCAGCAATAGGTATGTGGGAGGGACCCCGAGTTTGGTGCCTCAAGGGGAATATACAGCGAGAAGCCCTAACTTGAAAGGAGGCCGGATTTCCTTGCAGTGGCTTGAATACAGGCTCGTCTTTCATCTCACAACATGAAGGGATGTCTGAATCCCCTGTGGAGACCTTAGAGAAAGCCCTAGGTCCCTGCCTCATTTTGACGGAATGCCTCACATCCCGCTGACACCTCGAGAGGCACGCGGAGTTCATTGCTTCAAAAGGTGACGATGCCTGACTCCTCTTGAATACTGATAGGAATCCCAAAATCCCTGTGGCTACTGGAAAGGGTCCTTGGGTGCCCTGCTTCACCTTGAGAAGCGTCCCTTTTGCCCTGCCAAGCCTCGAAGAGATTCCTGAGGTGTCCCTCGTTACTAGACAGGAGTCCTGACGTCACTGAAGAAACTCGTGTTTTGAAGGGCCATCCCCGCCGTAAGTCGAGAACATACCCCAGGTCCCCGCCGCAACTCGAGAAAAACCATGAGACTTCCCCCTAGAGGCGAGATGAGGCCCCATTCCCCTGCAGTGCATGCAGAGCTATTCCGTGATCCCATTCAAACAAGTCAGGAGCTTCGACTTGCTTAATGGATCTCGAGACAGTCCCCAAGAACACTGTCACCAGTCTAGACGGACCCTGAGGTCACCCCAGCAACGCAAAGCAGCTCCATGTGCCCCAAATCAACTCGAGATGAGGCCCGGTTCCCCTGCATTGACTCCAGAGCCATTCCCCGTTCCCCATTCAACACGACCGGTGGCTCGACTTCCTTCAGGCAACTCCAGAGATGCCCCGAGAACACTGTCCCAAGTCTAGAGGAACACCAACTTCAGCACAGCAACTCGAGGAATGCTCCGTGTACCCCAAATCGTCTCGAGATGCGAGCTGATTCCCTGGCTTAGGCTCAAGACGTATGCCAATTTCCCAGAAGCACCTCAGGAGGAGGCTTCTCTCAGCAATAGGTATGTGGGAGGGACCCCGAGTTTGCTGCCTCAAGGGGAATATACAGCGAGAAGCCCTAACTTGAAAGGAGGCCGGATTTCCTTGCAGTGGCTTGAATACAGGCTCGTCTTTCATCTCACAACATGAAGGGATGTCTGAATCCCCTGTGGAGACCTTAGAGAAAGCCCTAGGTCCCTGCCTCATTTTGACGGAATGCCTCACATCGCGCTGACACCTCGAGAGGCACGCGGAGTTCATTGCTTCAAAAGGTGACGATGCCTGACTCCTCTTGAATACTGATAGGAATCCCAAAATCCCTGTGGCTACTGGAAAGGGTCCTTTTGTGCCCTGCCTCACCTCGAGAAGCGTCCCTTTTGCCCTGCCAAGCCTCGAAGAGATTCCTGAGGTGTTCCTCGTTACTAGACAGGAGTCCTGACGTCACTGAAGAAACTCGTGTTTTGAAGGGCCATCCCCGCCGTAAGTCGAGAACATACCCCAGGTCCCCGCCGCAACTCGAGAAAAACCATGAGACTTCCCCCTAGAGGCGAGATGAGGCCCCATTCCCCTGCAGTGCATGCAGAGCTATTCCGTGATCCCATTCAAACAAGTCAGGAGCTTCGACTTGCTTAATGGATCTCGAGACAGTCCCCAAGAACACTGTCACCAGTCTAGACGGACCCTGAGGTCACCCCAGCAACGCAAAGCAGCTCCATGTGCCCCAAATCAACTCGAGATGAGGCCCGATTCCCCTGCATTGACTCCAGAGCCATTCCCCGTTCCCCATTCAACACGACCGGTGGCTCGACTTCCTTCAGGCAACTCCAGAGATGCCCCGAGAACACTGTCCCAAGTCTAGAGGAACACCAACTTCAGCACAGCAACTCGAGGAATGCTCCATGTACCCCAAATCGTCTCGAGATGAGAGCTGATTCCCTGGCTTAGGCTCAAGACGTATGCCAACTTCCCAGAAGCACCACAGGAGGAGGCTTCTCTCAGCAATAGGTATGTGGGAGGGACCCCGAGTTTGCTGCCTCAAGGGGAATATACAGCGAGAAGCCCTAACTTGAAAGGAGGCCGGATTTCCTTGCAGTGACTTGAATACAGGCTCGTCTTTCATCTCACAACATGAAGGGATGTCTGAATCCCCTGTGGAGACCTTAGAGAAAGCCCTAGGTCCCTGCCTCATTTTGACGGAATGCCTCACATCCCGCTGACACCTCGAGAGGCACGCGGAGTTCATTGCTTCAAAAGGTGACGATGCCTGACTCCTCTTGAATACTGATAGGAATCCCAATATCCCTGTGGCTACTGGAAAGGGTCCTTTTGTGCCCTGCCTCACCTCGAGAAGCGTCCCTTTGGCCCTGCCAAGCCTCGAAGAGATTCCTGAGGTGTCCCTCGTTACTAGACAGGAGTCCTGACGTCACTGAAGAAACTCGTGTTTTGAAGGGCCATCCCCGCCTTAAGTCGAGAACATACCCCAGGTCCCCGCCGCAACTCGAGAAAAACCATGAGACTTCCCCCTAGAGGCGAGATGAGGCCCCATTCCCCTGCAGTGCATGCAGAGCTATTCCGTGATCCCATTCAAACAAGTCAGGAGCTTCGGCTTGCTTAATGGATCTCGAGACAGTCCCCAAGAACACTGTCACCAGTCTAGACGGACCCTGAGGTCACCCCAGCAACGCAAAGCAGCTCCATGTGCCCCAAATCAACTCGAGATGAGGCCCGATTCCCCTGCATTGACTCCAGAGCCATTCCCCGTTCCCCATTCAACACGACCGGTGGCTCGACTTCCTTCAGGCAACTCCAGAGATGCCCCGAGAACACTGTCCCAAGTCTAGAGGAACACCAACTTCAGCACAGCAACTCGAGGAATGCTCCGTGTACCCCAAATCGTCTCGAGATGCGAGCTGATGCCCTGGCTTAGGCTCAAGACGTATGCCAACTTCCCAGAAGCACCTCAGGAGGAGGCTTCTCTCAGCAATAGGTATGTGGGAGGGACCCCGAGTTTGCTGCCTCAAGGGGAATATACAGCGAGAAGCCCTAACTTGAAAGGAGGCCAGATTTCCTTGCAGTGGCTTGAATACAGGCTCGTCTTTCATCTCACAACATGAAGGGATGTCTGAATCCCCTGTGGAGACCTTAGAGAAAGCCCTAGGTCCCTGCCTGATTTTGACGGAATGCCTCACATCCCGCTGACACCTCGAGAGGCACGCGGAGTTCATTGCTTCAAAAGGTGACGATGCCTGACTCCTCTTGAATACTGATAGGAATCCCAAAATCCCTGTGGCTACTGGAAAGTGTCCTTGGGTGCCCTGCCTCACCTCGAGAAGCGTCCCTTTGGCCCTGCCAAGCCTCGAAGAGATTCCTGAGGTGTCCCTCGTTACTAGACAGGAGTCCTGACGACACTGAAGAAACTCGTGTTTTGAAGGGCCATCCCCGCCGTAAGTCGAGAACATACCCCAGGTCCCCGCCGCAACTCGAGAAAAACCATGAGACTTCCCCCTAGACGGGAGATGAGGCCCCATTCCCCTGCAGTGCATGCAGAGCTATTCCGTGATCCCATTCAAACAAGTCAGGAGCTTCGACTTGCTTAATGGATCTGGAGACAGTCCCCAAGAACACTGTCACCAGTCTAGACGGACCCTGAGGTCACCCCAGCAACGCAAAGCAGCTCCATGTGCCCCAAATCAACTCGAGATGAGGCCCGATTCCCCTGCATTGACTCCAGAGCCATTCCCCGTTCCCCATTCAACACGACCGGTGGCTCGACTTCCTTCAGGCAACTCCAGAGATGCCCCGAGAACACTGTCCCAAGTCTAGAGGAACACCAACTTCAGCACAGCAACTCGAGGAATGCTCCGTGCACCCCAAATCGTCTTGAGATGAGAGCTGATTCCCTGGCTTAGGCTCAAGACATATGCCAACTTCCCAGAAGCACCTCAGGAGGAGGCTTCTCTCAGCAATAGGTATGTGGGAGGGACCCCGAGTTTGCTGCCTCAAGGGGAATATACAGCGAGAAGCCCTAACTTGAAAGGAGACCGGGTTTCCTTGCAGTGGCTTGAATACAGGCTCGTCTTTCATCTCACAACATGAAGGGATGTCTGAATCCCCTGTGGAGACCTTAGAGAAAGCCCTAGGTCCCTGCCTCATTTTGACGGAATGCCTCACATCGCGCTGACACCTCGAGAGGCACGCGGAGTTCATTGCTTCAAAAGGTGACGATGCCTGACTCCTCTTGAATACTGATAGGAATCCCAAAATCCCTGTGGCTACTGGAAAGGGTCCTTGGGTGCCCTGCCTCACCTCGAGAAGCGTCCCTTTGGCCCTGCCAAGCCTCGAAGAGATTCCTGAGGTGTCCCTCGTTACTAGACAGGAGTCCTGACGTCACTGAAGAAACTCGTGTTTTGAAGGGCCATCCCCGCCGTAAGTCGAGAACATACCCCAGGTCCCCGCCGCAACTCGAGAAAAACCATGAGACTTCCCCCTAGAGGCGAGATGAGGCCCCATTCCCCTGCAGTGCATGCAGAGCTATTCCGTGATCCCATTCAAACAAGTCTGGAGCTTCGACTTGCTTAATGGATCTCGAGACAGTCCCCAAGAACACTGTCACCAGTCTAGACGGACCCTGAGGTCACCCCAGCAACGCAAAGCAGCTCCATGTGCCCCAAATCAACTCGAGATGAGGCCCGATTCCCCTGCATTGACTCCAGAGCCATTCCCCGTTCCCCATTCAACACGACCGGTGGCTCGACTTCCTTCAGGCAACTCAAGAGATGCCCCAAGAACACTGTCCCAAGTCTACAGGAACACCAACTTCAGCACAGCAACTCGAGGAATGCTCCGTGTACCCCAAATCGTCTCGAGATGCGAGCTGATTCCCTGGCTTAGGCTCAAGACGTATGCCAACTTCCCAGAAGCACCTCAGGAGGAGGCTTCTCTCAGCAATAGGTATGTGGGAGGGACCCCGAGTTTGCTGCCTCAAGGGGAATATACAGCGAGAAGCCCTAACTTGAAAGGAGGCCGGATTTCCTTGCAGTGGCTTGAATACAGGCTCGTCTTTCATCTCACAACATGAAGGGATGTCTGAATCCCCTGTGGAGACCTTAGAGAAAGCCCTAGGTCCCTGCCTCATTTTGACGGAATGCCTCACATCCCGCTGACACCTCGAGAGGCACGCGGAGTTCATTGCTTCAAAAGGTGACGATGCCTGACTCCTCTTGAATACTGATAGGAATCCGAAAATCCCTGTGGCTACTGGAAAGGGTCCTTGGGTGCCCTGCCTCACCTCGAGAAGCGTCCCTTTTGCCCTGCCAAGCCTCGAAGAGATTCCTGAGGTGTCCCTCGTTACTAGACAGGAGTCCTGACGTCACTGAAGAAACTCGTGTTTTGAAGGGCCATCCCCGCCGTAAGTCGAGAACATACCCCAGGTCCCCGCCGCAACTCGAGAAAAACCATGAGACTTCCCCCTAGAGGCGAGATGAGGCCCCATTCCCCTGCAGTGCATGCAGAGCTATTCCGTGATCCCATTCAAACAAGTCAGGAGCTTCGACTTGCTTAATGGATCTCGAGACAGTCCCCAAGAACACTGTCACCAGTCTAGACGGACCCTGAGGTCACCCCAAGCAACGCAAAGCAGCTCCATGTGCCCCAAATCAACTCGAGATGAGGCCCGGTTCCCCTGCATTGACTCCAGAGCCATTCCCCGTTCCCCATTCAACACGACCGGTGGCTCGACTTCCTTCAGGCAACTCCAGAGATGCCCCGAGAACACTGTCCCAAGTCTAGAGGAACACCAAATTCAGCACAGCAACTCGAGGAATGCTCCGTGTACCCCAAATCGTCTCGAGATGCGAGCTGATTCCCTGGCTTAGGCTCAAGACGTATGCCAACTTCCCAGAAGCACCACAGGAGGAGGCTTCTATCAGCAATAGGTATGTGGGAGGGACCCCGAGTTTGCTGCCTCAAGGGGAATATACAGCGAGAAGCCCTAACTTGAAAGGAGGCTGGATTTCCTTGCAGTGGCTTGAATACAGGCTCGTCTTTCATCTCACAACATGAAGGGATGTCTGAATCCCCTGTGGAGACCTTAGAGAAAGCCCTAGGTCCCTGCCTCATTTTGACGGAATGCCTCACATCGCGCTGATACCTCGAGAGGCACGCGGAGTTCATTGCTTCAAAAGGTGACGATGCCTGACTCCTCTTGAATACTGATAGGAATCCCAAAATCCCTGTGGCTACTGGAAAGGGTCCTTTTGTGCCCTGCCTCACCTCGAGAAGCGTCCCTTTTGCCCTGCCAAGCCTCGAAGAGATTCCTGAGGTGTCCCTCGTTACTAGACAGGAGTCCTGACGTCACTGAAGAAACTCGTGTTTTGAAGGGCCATCCCCGCCGTAAGTCGAGAACATACCCCAGGTCCCCGCCGCAACTCGAGAAAAACCATGAGACTTCCCCCTAGAGGCGAGATGAGGCCCCATTCCCCTGCAGTGCATGCAGAGCTATTCCGTGATCCCATTCAAACAAGTCAGGAGCTTCGACTTGCTTAATGGATCTCGAGACAGTCCCGAAGAACACTGTCACCAGTCTAGACGGACCCTGAGGTCACCCCAGCAACGCAAAGCAGCTCCATGTGCCCCAAATCAACTCGAGATGAGGCCCGATTCCCCTGCATTGACTCCAGAGCCATTCCCCGTTCCCCATTCAACACGACCGGTGGCTCGACTTCCTTCAGGCAACTCCAGAGATGCCCCGAGAACACTGTCCCAAGTCTAGAGGAACACCAACTTCAGCACAGCAACTCGAGGAATGCTCCGTGTACCCCAAATCGTCTCGAGATGCGAGCTGATTCCCTGGCTTAGGCTCAAGACGTATGCCAACTTCCCAGAAGCACCTCAGGAGGAGGCTTCTCTCAGCAATAGGTATGTGGGAGGGACCCCGAGTTTGCTGCCTCAAGGGGAATATACAGCGAGAAGCCCTAACTTGAAAGGAGGCCGGATTTCCTTGCAGTGGCTTGAATACAGTCTCGTCTTTCATCTCACAACATGAAGGGATGTCTGAATCCCCTGTGGAGACCTTAGAGAAAGCCCTAGGTCCCTGCCTCATTTTGACGGAATGCCTCACATCCCGCTGACACCTCGAGAGGCACGCGGAGTTCATTGCTTCAAAAGGTGACGATGCCTGACTCCTCTTGAATACTGATAGGAATCCCAAAATCCCTGTGGCTACTGGAAAGGGTCCTTGGGTGCCCTGCCTCACCTCGAGAAGCGTCCCTTTTGCCCTGCCAAGCCTCGAAGAGATTCCTGAGGTGTCCCTCGTTACTAGACAGGAGTCCTGACGTCACTGAAGAAACTCGTGTTTTGAAGGGCCATCCCCGCCGTAAGTCGAGAACATACCCCAGGTCCCCGCCGCAACTCGAGAAAAACCATGAGACTTCCCCCTAGAGGCGAGATGAGGCCCCATTCCCCTGCAGTGCATGCAGAGCTATTCCGTGATCCCATTCAAACAAGTCAGGAGCTTCGACTTGCTTAATGGATCTCGAGACAGTCCCCAAGAACACTGTCACCAGTCTAGACGGACCCTGAGGTCACCCCAGCAACGCAAAGCAGCTCCATGTGCCCCAAATCAACTCGAGATGAGGCCCGGTTCCCCTGCATTGACTCCAGAGCCATTCCCCGTTCCCCATTCAACACGACCGGTGGCTCGACTTCCTTCAGGCAACTCCAGAGATGCCCCGAGAACACTGTCCCAAGTCTAGAGGAACACCAACTTCAGCACAGCAACTCGAGGAATGCTCCGTGTACCCCAAATCGTCTCGAGATGCGAGCTGATTCCCTGGCTTAGGCTTAAGACGTATGCCAACTCCCCAGAAGCACCTCAGGAGGAGGCTTCTCTCAGCAATAGGTATGTGGGAGGGACCCCGAGTTTGCTGCCTCAAGGGGAATATACAGCGAGAAGCCCTAACTTGAAAGGAGGCCGGATTTCCTTGCAGTGGCTTGAATACAGGCTCGTCTTTCATCTCACAACATGAAGGGATGTCTGAATCCCCTGTGGAGACCTTAGAGAAAGCCCTAGGTCCCTGCCTCATTTTGACGGAATGCCTCACATCCCGCTGACACCTCGAGAGGCACGCGGAGTTCATTGCTTCAAAAGGTGACGATGCCTGACTCCTCTTGAATACTGATAGGAATCCCAAAATCCCTGTGGCTGCTGGAAAGGGTCCTTGGGTGCCCTGCCTCACCTCGAGAAGCGTCCCTTTGGCCCTGCCAAGCCTCGAAGAGATTCCTGAGGTGTCCCTCGTTACTAGACAGGAGTCCTGACGTCACTGAAGAAACTCGTGTTTTGAAGGGCCATCCCCGCCGTAAGTCGAGAACATACCCCAGGTCCCCGCCGCAACTCGAGAAAAACCATGAGACTTCCCCCTAGAGGCGAGATGAGGCCCCATTCCCCTGCAGTGCATGCAGAGCTATTCCGTGATCCCATTCAAACAAGTCAGGAGCTTCGACTTGCTTAATGGATCTCGAGACAGTCCCCAAGAACACTGTCACCAGTCTAGACGGACCCTGAGGTCACCCCAGCAACGCAAAGCAGCTCCATGTGCCCCATATCAACTCGAGATGAGGCCCGATTCCCCTGCATTGACTCCAGAGCCATTCCCCATTCCCCATTCAACACGACCGGTGGCTCGACTTCCTTCAGGCAACTCCAGAGATGCCCCGAGAACACTGTCCCAGGTCTAGAGGAACACCAACTTCAGCACAGCAACTCGAGGAATGTTCCGTGTACCCCAAATCGTCTCGAGATGCGAGCTGATTCCCTGGCTTAGGCTCAAGACGTATGCCAACTTCCCAGAAGCACCACAGGAGGAGGCTTCTATCAGCAATAGGTATGTGGGAGGGACCCCGAGTTTGCTGCCTCAAGGGGAATATACAGCGAGAAGCCCTAACTTGAAAGGAGGCCGGATTTCCTTGCAGTGGCTTGAATACAGGCTCGTCTTTCATCTCACAACATGAAGGGATGTCTGAATCCCCTGTGGAGACCTTAGAGAAAGCCCTAGGTCCCTGCCTCATTTTGACGGAATGCCTCACATCGCGCTGACACCTCGAGAGGCACGCGGAGTTCATTGCTTCAAAAGGTGACGATGCCTGACTCCTCTTGAATACTGATAGGAATCCCAAAATCCCTGTGGCTACTGGAAAGGGTCCTTGGGTGCCCTGCCTCACCTCGAGAAGCGTCCCTTTTGCCCTGCCAAGCCTCGAAGAGATTCCTGAGGTGTCCCTCGTTACTAGACAGGAGTCCTGACGTCACTGAAGAAACTCGTGTTTTGAAGGGCCATCACCGCCGTAAGTCGAGAACATACCCCAGGTCCCCGCCGCAACTCGAGAAAAACCATGAGACTTCCCCCTAGACGCGAGATGAGGCCCCATTCCCCTGCAGTGCATGCAGAGCTATTCCGTGATCCCATTCAAACAAGTCAGGAGCTTCGACTTGCTTAATGGATCTCGAGACAGTCCCCAAGAACACTGTCACCAGTCTAGACGGACCCTGAGGTCACCCCAGCAACGCAAAGCAGCTCCATGTGCCCCAAATCAACTCGAGATGAGGCCCGATTCCCCTGCATTGACTCCAGAGCCATTCCCCGTTCCCCATTCAACACGACCGGTGGCTCGACTTCCTTCAGGCAACTCCAGAGATGCCCCGAGAACACTGTCCCAAGTCTAGAGGAACACCAACTTCAGCACAGCAACTCGAGGAATGCTCCGTGTACCCCAAATCGTCTCGAGATGCGAGCTGATTCCCTGGCTTAGGCTCAAGACGTATGCCAACTTCCCAGAAGCACCTCAGGAGGAGGCTTCTCTCAGCAATAGGTATGTGGGAGGGACCCCGAGTTTGCTGCCTCAAGGGGAATATACAGCGAGAAGCCCTAACTTGAAAGGAGGCCGGATTTCCTTGCAGTGGCTTGAATACAGGCTCGTCTTTCATCTCACAACATGAAGGGATGTCTGAATCCCCTGTGGAGACCTTAGAGAAAGCCCTAGGTCCCTGCCTCATTTTGACGGAATGCCTCACATCGCGCTGACACCTCGAGAGGCACGCGGAGTTCATTGCTTCAAAAGGTGACGATGCCTGACTCCTCTTGAATACTGATAGGAATCCCAAAATCCCTGTGGCTACTGGAAAGGGTCCTTGGGTGCCCTGCCTCACCTCGAGAAGCGTCCCTTTGGCCCTGCCAAGCCTCGAAGAGATTCCTGAGGTGTCCCTCGTTACTAGACAGGAGTCCTGACGTCACTGAAGAAACTCGTGTTTTGAAGGGCCATCCCCGCCGTAAGTCGAGAACATACCCCAGGTCCCCGCCGCAACTCGACAAAAACCATGAGACTTCCCCCTAGAGGCGAGATGAGGCCCCATTCCCCTGCAGTGCATGCAGAGCTATTCCGTGATCCCATTCAAACAAGTCAGGAGCTTCGACTTGCTTAATGGATCTCGAGACAGTCCCCAAGAACACTGTCACCAGTCTAGACGGACCCTGAGGTAACCCCAGCAACGCAAAGCAGCTCCATGTGCCCCAAATCAACTCGAGATGAGGCCCGGTTCCCCTGCATTGACTCCAGAGCCATTCCCCGTTCCCCATTCAACATGACCGGTGGCTCGACTTCCTTCAGGCAACTCCAGAGATGCCCCGAGAACACTGTCCCAAGTCTAGAGGAACACCAACTTCAGCACAGCAACTCGAGGAATGCTCCGTGTACCCCAAATCGTCTCGAGATGCGAGCTGATTCCCTGGCTTAGGCTCAAGACGTATGCCAACTTCCCAGAAGCACCTCAGGAGGAGGCTTCTCTCAGCAATAGGTATGTGGGAGGGACCCCGAGTTTGCTGCCTCAAGGGGAATATACAGCGAGAAGCCCTAACTTGAAAGGAGGCCGGATTTCCTTGCAGTGGCTTGAATACAGGCTCGTCTTTCCTCTCACAACATGAAGGGATGTCTGAATCCCCTGTGGAGACCTTAGAGAAAGCCCTAGGTCCCTGCCTCATTTTGACGGAATGCCTCACATCCCGCTGACACCTCGAGAGGCACGCGGAGTTCATTGCTTCAAAAGGTGACGATGCCTGACTCCTCTTGAATACTGATAGGAATCCCAAAATCCCTGTGGCTACTGGAAAGGGTCCTTGGGTGCCCTGCCTCACCTCGAGAAGCGTCCCTTTGGCCCTGCCAATCCTCGAAGAGATTCCTGAGGTGTCCCTCGTTACTAGACAGGAGTCCTGACGTCACTGAAGAAACTCGTGTTTTCAAGGGCCATCCCCGCCGTAAGTCGAGAACATACCCCAGGTCCCCGCCGCAACTCGAGAAAAACCATGAGACTTCCCCCTAGAGGCGAGATGAGGCCCCATTCCCTGCAGTGCATGCAGAGCTATTCCGTGATCCCATTCAAACAAGTCAGGAGCTTCGGCTTGCTTAATGGATCTCGAGAGAGTCCCCAAGAACACTGTCACCAGTCTAGACGGACCCTGAGGTCCCCCCAGCAACGCAAAGCAGCTCCATGTGCCCCAAATCAACTCGAGATGAGGCCCGATTCCCCTGCATTGACTCCAGAGCCATTCCCCGTTCCCCATTCAACACGACCGGTGGCTCGACTTCCTTCAGGCAACTCCAGAGATGCCCCGAGAACACTGTCCCAAGTCTAGAGGAACACCAACTTCAGCACAGCAACTCGAGGAATGCTCCGTGTACCCCAAATCGTCTCGAGATGCGAGCTGATTCCCTGGCTTAGGCTCAAGACGTATGCCAACTTCCCAGAAGCACCTCAGGAGGAGGCTTCTCTCAGCAATAGGTATGTGGGAGGGACCCCGAGTTTGCTGCCTCAAGGGGAATATACAGCGAGAAGCCCTAACTTGAAAGGAGGCCGGATTTCCTTGCAGTGGCTTGAATACAGGCTCGTCTTTCATCTCACAACATGAAGGGATGTCTGAATCCCCTGTGGAGACCTTAGAGAAAGCCCTAGGTCCCTGCCTCATTTTGACGGAATGCCTCACATCCCGCTGACACCTCGAGAGGCACGCGGAGTTCATTGCTTCAAAAGGTGACGATGCCTGACTCCTCTTGAATACTGATAGGAATCCCAAAATCCCTGTGGCTGCTGGAAAGGGTCCTTGGGTGCCCTGCCTCACCTCGAGAAGCGTCCCTTTGGCCCTGCCAAGCCTCGAAGAGATTCCTGAGGTGTCCCTCGTTACTAGACAGGAGTCCTGACGTCACTGAAGAAACTCGTGTTTTGAAGGGCCATCCCCGCCGTAAGTCGAGAACATACCCCAGGTCCCCGCCGCAACTCGAGAAAAACCATGAGACTTCCCCCTAGACGCGAGATGAGGCCCCATTCCCCTGCAGTGCATGCAGAGCTATTCCGTGATCCCATTCAAACAAGTCAGGAGCTTCGACTTGCTTAATGGATCTCGAGACAGTCCCCAAGAACACTGTCACCAGTCTAGACGGACCCTGAGGTCACCCCAGCAACGCAAAGCAGCTCCATGTGCCCCAAATCAACTCGAGATGAGGCCCGATTCCCCTGCATTGACTCCAGAGCCATTCCCCGTTCCCCATTCAACACGACCGGTGGCTCGACTTCCTTCAGGCAACTCCAGAGATGCCCCGAGAACACTGTCCCAAGTCTAGAGGAACACCAACTTCAGCACAGCAACTCGAGGAATGCTCCGTGTACCCCAAATCGTCTCGAGATGCGAGCTGATTCCCTGGCTTAGGCTCAAGACGTATGCCAACTTCCCAGAAGCACCTCAGGAGGAGGCTTCTCTCAGCAATAGGTATGTGGGAGGGACCCCGAGTTTGCTGCCTCAAGGGGAATATACAGCGAGAAGCCCTAACTTGAAAGGAGGCCGGATTTCCTTGCAGTGGCTTGAACACAGGCTCGTCTTTCATCTCAAAACATGAAGGGATGTCTGAATCCCCTGTGGAGACCTTAGAGAAAGCCCTAGGTCCCTGCCTCATTTTGACGGAATGCCTCACATCCCGCTGACACCTCGAGAGGCACGCGGAGTTCATTGCTTCAAAAGGTGACGATGCCTGACTCCTCTTGAATACTGATAGGAATCCCAAAATCCCTGTGGCTACTGGAAAGGGTCCTTGGGTGCCCTGCCTCACCTCGAGAAGCTTCCCTTTTGCCCTGCCAAGCCTCGAAGAGATTCCTGAGGTGTCCCTCGTTACTAGACAGGAGTCCTGACGTCACTGAAGAAACTCGTGTTTTGAAGGGCCATCCCCGCCGTAAGACGAGAACATACCCCAGGTCCCCGCCGCAACTCGAGAAAAACCATGAGACTTCCCCCTAGAGGCGAGATGAGGCCCCATTCCCCTGCAGTGCATGCAGAGCTATTCCGTGATCCCATTCAAACAAGTCAGGAGCTTCGACTTGCTTAATGGATCTCGAGACAGTCCCCAAGAACACTGTCACCAGTCTAGACGGACCCTGAGGTCACCCCAGCAACGCAAAGCAGCTCCATGTGCCCCAAATCAACTCGAGATGAGGCCCGGTTCCCCTGCATTGACTCCAAAGCCATTCCCCGTTCCCCATTCAACACGACCGGTGGCTCGACTTCCTTCAGGCAACTCCAGAGATGCCCCGAGAACACTGTCCTAAGTCTAGAGGAACACCAACTTCAGCACAGCAACTCGAGGAATGCTCCGTGTACCCCAAATCGTCTCGAGATGCGAGCTGATTCCCTGGCTTAGGCTCAAGACGTATGCCAACTTCCCAGAAGCACCTCAGGAGGAGGCTTCTCTCAGCAATAGGTATGTGGGAGGGACCCCGAGTTTGCTGCCTCAAGGGGAATATACAGCGAGAAGCCCTAACTTGAAAGGAGGCCGGATTTCCTTGCAGTGGCTTGAATACAGGCTCGTCTTTCATCTCACAACATGAAGGGATGTCTGAATCCCCTGTGGAAACCTTAGAGAAAGCCCTAGGTCCCTGCCTCATTTTGACGGAATGCCTCACATCGCGCTGACACCTCGAGAGGCACGCGGAGTTCATTGCTTCAAAAGGTGACGATGCCTGACTCCTCTTGAATACTGATAGGAATCCCAAAATCCCTGTGGCTACTGGAAAGGGTCCTTGGGTGCCCTGCCTCACTTCGAGAAGCGTCCCTTTTGCCCTGCCAAGCCTCGAAGAGATTCCTGAGGTGTCCCTCGTTACTAGACAGGAGTCCTGACGTCACTGAAGAAACTCGTGTTTTGAAGGACCATCCCCGCCGTAAGTCGAGAACATACCCCAGGTCCCCGCCGCAACTCGAGAAAAACCATGAGACTTCCCCCTAGAGGCGAGATGAGGCCCCATTCCCCTGCAGTGCATGCAGAGCTATTCCGTGATCCCATTCAAACAAGTCAGGAGCTTCGACTTGCTTAATGGATCTCGAGACAGTCCCCAAGAACACTGTCACCAGTCTAGACGGACCCTGAGGTCACCCCAGCAATGCAAAGCAGCTCCATGTGCCCCAAATCAACTCGAGATGAGGCCCGATTCCCCTGCATTGACTCCAGAGCCATTCCCCGTTCCCCATTCAACACGACCGGTGGCTCGACTTCCTTCAGGCAACTCCAGAGATGCCCCGAGAACACTGTCCCAAGTCTAGAGGAACACCAACTTCAGCACAGCAACTCGGGGAATGCTCCGTGTACCCCAAATCGTCTCGAGATGCGAGCTGATGCCCTGGCTTAGGCTCAAGACGTATGCCAACTTCCCAGAAGCACCACAGGAGGAGGCTTCTCTCAGCAATAGGTATGTGGGAGGGACCCCGAGTTTGCTGCCTCAAGGGGAATATACAGCGAGAAGCCCTAACTTGAAAGGAGGCCGGATTTCCTTGCAGTGGCTTGAATACAGGCTCGTCTTTCATCTCACATCATGAAGGGATGTCTGAATCCCCTGTGGAGACCTTAGAGAAAGCCCTAGGTCCCTGCCTCATTTTGACGGAATGCCTCACATCGCGCTGATACCTCGAGAGGCACGCAGAGTTCATTGCTTCAAAAGGTGACGATGCCTGACTCCTCTTGAATACTGATAGGAATCCCAAAATCCCTGTGGCTACTGGAAAGGGTCCTTTTGTGCCCTGCCTCACCTCGAGAAGCGTCCCTTTTGCCCTGGAAGCCTCGAAGAGATTCCTGAGGTGTCCCTCGTTACTAGACAGGAGTCCTGACGTCACTGAAGAAACTCGTGTTTTGAAGGGCCATCCCCGCCGTAAGTCGAGAACATACCCCAGGTCCCCGCCGCAACTCGAGAAAAACCATGAGACTTCCCCCTAGAGGCGAGATGAGGCCCCATTCCCCTGCAGTGCATGCAGAGCTATTCCGTGATCCCATTCAAACAAGTCAGGAGCTTCGACTTGCTTAATGGATCTCGAGACAGTCCCCAAGAACACTGTCACCAGTCTAGACGGACCCTGAGGTCACGCCAGCAACGCAAAGCAGCTCCATGTGCCCCAAATCAACTCGAGATGAGGCCCGATTCCCCTGCATTGACTCCAGAGCCATTCCCCGTTCCCCATTCAACACGACCGGTGGCTCGACTTCCTTCAGGCAACTCCAGAGATGCCCCGAGAACACTGTCCCAAGTCTAGAGGAACACCAACTTCAGCACAGCAACTCGAGGAATGCTCCGTGTACCCCAAATCGTCTCGAGATGCGAGCTGATGCCCTGGCTTAGGCTCAAGACGTATGCCAACTTCCCAGAAGCACCACAGGAGGAGGCTTCTCTCAGCAATAGGTATGTGGGAGGGACCCCGAGTTTGCTGCCTCAAGGGGAATATACAGCGAGAAGCCCTAACTTGAAAGGAGGCCGGATTTCCTTGCAGTGGCTTGAATACAGGCTCGTCTTTCATCTCACAACATGAAGGGATGTCTGAATCCAATGTGGAGACCTTAGAGAAAGCCCTAGGTCCCTGCCTCATTTTGACGGAATGCCTCACATCGCGCTGATACCTCGAGAGGCACGCGGAGTTCATTGCTTCAAAAGGTGACGATGCCTGACTCCTCTTGAATACTGATAGGAATCCCAAAATCCCTGTGGCTACTGGAAAGGGTCCTTGGGTGCCCTGCCTCACCTCGAGAAGCGTCCCTTTTGCCCTGCCAAGCCTCGAAGAGATTCCTGAGGTGTCCCTCGTTACTAGACAGGAGTCCTGACGTCACTGAAGAAACTCGTGTTTTGAAGGGCCATCCCCGCCGTAAGACGAGAACATACCCCAGGTCCCCGCCGCAACTCGAGAAAAACCATGAGACTTCCCCCTAGAGGCGAGATGAGGCCCCATTCCCCTGCAGTGCATGCAGAGCTATTCCGTGATCCCATTCAAACAAGTCAGGAGCTTCGACTTGCTTAATGGATCTCGAGACAGTCCCCAAGAACACTGTCACCAGTCTAGACGGACCCTGAGGTCACCCCAGCAACGCAAAGCAGCTCCATGTGCCCCAAATCAACTCGAGATGAGGCCCGATTCCCCTGCATTGACTCCAGAGCCATTCCCCGTTCCCCATTCAACACGACCGGTGGCTCGACTTCCTTCAGGCAACTCCAGAGATGCCCCGAGAACACTGTCCCAAGTCTAGAGGAACACCAACTTCAGCACAGCAACTCGAGGAATGCTCCGTGTACCCCAAATCGTCTCGAGATGCGAGCTGATGCCCTGGCTTAGGCTCAAGACGTATGCCAACTTCCCAGAAGCACCACAGGAGGAGGCTTCTCTCAGCAATAGGTATGTGGGAGGGACCCCGAGTTTGCTGCCTCAAGGGGAATATACAGCGAGAAGCCCTAACTTGAAAGGAGGCCGGATTTCCTTGCAGTGGCTTGAATACAGGCTCGTCTTTCATCTCACAACATGAAGGGATGTCTGAATCCCCTGTGGAGACCTTAGAGAAAGCCCTAGGTCCCTGCCTCATTTTGACGGAATGCCTCACATCGCGCTGATACCTCGAGAGGCACGCGGAGTTCATTGCTTCAAAAGGTGACGATGCCTGACTCCTCTTGAATACTGATAGGAATCCCAAAATCCCTGTGGCTACTGGAAAGGGTCCTTGGGTGCCCTGCCTCACCTCGAGAAGCGTCCCTTTGGCCCTGCCAAGCCTCGAAGAGATTCCTGAGGTGTCCCTCGTTACTAGACAGGAGTCCTGACGTCACTGAAGAAACTCGTGTTTTGAAGGGCCATCCCCGCCGTAAGTCGAGAACATACCCCAGGTCCCCGCCGCAACTCGAGAAAAACCATGAGACTTCCCCCTAGAGGCGAGATGAGGCCCCATTCCCCTGCAGTGCATGCAGAGCTATTCCGTGATCCCATTCAAACAAGTCAGGAGCTTCGACTTGCTTAATGGATCTCGAGACAGTCCCCAAGAACACTGTCACCAGTCTAGACGGACCCTGAGGTCACCCCAGCAACGCAAAGCAGCTCCATGTGCCCCAAATCAACTCGAGATGAGGCCCGATTCCCCTGCATTGACTCCGGAGCCATTCCCCGTTCCCCATTCAACACGACCGGTGGCTCGACTTCCTTCAGGCAACTCCAGAGATGCCCCGAGAACACTGTCCCAAGTCTAGAGGAACACCAACTTCAGCACAGCAACTCGAGGAATGCTCCGTGTACCCCAAATCGTCTCGAGATGCGAGCTGATTCCCTGGCTTAGGCTCAAGACGTATGCCAACTTCCCAGAAGCACCTCAGGAGGAGGCTTCTCTCAGCAATAGGTATGTGGGAGGGACCCCGAGTTTGCTGCCTCAAGGGGAATATACAGCGAGAAGCCCTAACTTGAAAGGAGGCCGGATTTCCTTGCAGTGGCTTGAACACAGGCTCGTCTTTCATCTCACAACATGAAGGGATGTCTGAATTCCCTGTGGAGACCTTAGAGAAAGCCCTAGGTCCCTGCCTCATTTTGACGGAATGCCTCACATCCCGCTGACACCTCGATAGGCACGCAGAGTTCATTGCTTCAAAAGGTGACGATGCCTGACTCCTCTTGAATACTGATAGGAATCCCAAAATCCCTGTGGCTACTGGAAAGGGTCCTTGGGTGCCCTGCCTCACCTCGAGAAGCGTCCCTTTTGCTCTGCCAAGCCTCGAAGAGATTCCTGAGGTGTCCCTCGTTACTAGACAGGAGTCCTGACGTCACTGAAGAAACTCGTGTTTTGAAGGGCCATCCCCGCCGTAAGTCGAGAACATACCCCAGGTCCCCGCCGCAACTCGAGAAAAACCATGAGACTTCCCCCTAGAGGCGAGATGAGGCCCCATTCCCCTGCAGTGCATGCAGAGCTATTCCGTGATCCCATTCAAACAAGTCAGGAGCTTCGACTTGCTTAATGGATCTCGAGACAGTCCCCAAGAACACTGTCACCAGTCTAGACGGACCCTGAGGTCACCCCAGCAACGCAAAGCAGCTCCATGTGCCCCAAATCAACTCAAGATGAGGCCCGATTCCCCTGCATTGACTCCAGAGCCATTCCCCGTTCCCCATTCAACACGACCGGTGGCTCGACTTCCTTCAGGCAACTCCAGAGATGCCCCGAGAACACTGTCCCAAGTCTAGAGGAACACCAACTTCAGCACAGCAACTCGAGGAATGCTCCGTGTACCCCAAATCGTCTCGAGATGCGAGCTGATTCCCTGGCTTAGGCTCAAGACGTATGCCAACTTCCCAGAAGCACCTCAGGAGGAGGCTTCTCTCAGCAATAGGTATGTGGGAGGGACCCCGAGTTTGCTGCCTCAAGGGGAATATACAGCGAGAAGCCCTAACTTGAAAGGAGGCCGGATTTCCTTGCAGTGGCTTGAATACAGGCTCGTCTTTCATCTCACAACATGAAGGGATGTCTGAATCCCCTGTGGAGACCTTAGAGAAAGCCCTAGGTCCCTGCCTCATTTTGACGGAATGCCTCACATCCCGCTGACACCTCGAGAGGCACGCGGAGTTCATTGCTTCAAAAGGTGACGATGCCTGACTCCTCTTGAATACTGATAGGAATCCCAAAATCCCTGTGGCTACTGGAAAGGGTCCTTGGGTGCCCTGCCTCACCTCGAGAAGCGTCCCTTTTGCCCTGCCAAGCCTCGAAGAGATTCCTGAGGTGTCCCTCGTTACTAGACAGGAGTCCTGACGTCACTGAAGAAACTCGTGTTTTGAAGGGCCATCCCCGCCGTAAGTCGAGAACATACCCCAGGTCCCCGCCGCAACTCGAGAAAAACCATGAGACTTCCCCCTAGAGGCGAGATGAGGACCCATTCCCCTGCAGTGCATGCAGAGCTATTCCGTGATCCCATTCAAACAAGTCAGGAGCTTCGACTTGCTTAATGGATCTCGAGACAGTCCCCAAGAACACTGTCACCAGTCTAGACGGACCCTGAGGTCACCCCAGCAACGCAAAGCAGCTCCATGTGCCCCAAATCAACTCGAGATGAGGCCCGGTTCCCCTGCATTGACTCCAGAGCCATTCCCCGTTCCCCATTCAACACGACCGGTGGCTCGACTTCCTTCAGGCAACTCCAGAGATGCCCCGAGAACACTGTCCCAAGTCTAGAGGAACACCAACTTCAGCACAGCAACTCGAGGAATGCTCCGTGTACCCCAAATCGTCTCGAGATGTGAGCTGATTCCCTGGCTTAGGCTCAAGACGTATGCCAATTTCCCAGAAGCACCTCAGGAGGAGGCTTCTCTCAGCAATAGGTATGTGGGAGGGACCCCGAGTTTGCTGCCTCAAGGGGAATATACAGCGAGAAGCCCTAACTTGAAAGGAGGCCGGATTTCCTTGCAGTGGCTTGAATACAGGCTCGTCTTTCATCTCACAACATGAAGGGATGTCTGAATCCCCTGTGGAGACCTTAGAGAAAGCCCTAGGTCCCTGCCTCATTTTGACGGAATGCCTCACATCGCGCTGACACCTCGAGAGGCACGCGGAGTTCATTGCTTCAAAAGGTGACGATGCCTGACTCCTCTTGAATACTGATAGGAATCCCAAAATCCCTGTGGCTACTGGAAAGGGTCCTTTTGTGCCCTGCCTCACCTCGAGAAGCGTCCCTTTTGCCCTGCCAAGCCTCGAAGAGATTCCTGAGGTGTCCCTCGTTACTAGACAGGAGTCCTGACGTCACTGAAGAAACTCGTGTTTTGAAGGGCCATCCCCGCCGTAAGTCGAGAACATACCCCAGGTCCCCGCCGCAACTCGAGAAAAACCATGAGACTTCCCCCTAGAGGCGAGATGAGGCCCCATTCCCCTGCAGTGCATGCAGAGCTATTCCGTGATCCCATTCAAACAAGTCAGGAGCTTCGACTTGCTTAATGGATCTCGAGACAGTCCCCAAGAACACTGTCACCAGTCTAGACGGACCCTGAGGTCACCCCAGCAACGCAAAGCAGCTCCATGTGCCCCAAATCAACTCGAGATGAGGCCCGATTCCCCTGCATTGACTCCAGAGCCATTCCCCGTTCCCCATTCAACACGACCGGTGGCTCGACTTCCTTCAGGCAACTCCAGAGATGCCCCGAGAACACTGTCCCAAGTCTAGAGGAACACCAAATTCAGCACAGCAACTCGAGGAATGCTCCGTGTACCCCAAATCGTCTCGAGATGCGAGCTGATTCCCTGGCTTAGGCTCAAGACGTATGCCAACTTCCCAGAAGCACCTCAGGAGGAGGCTTCTCTCAGCAATAGGTATGTGGGAGGGACCCCGAGTTTGCTGCCTCAAGGGGAATATACAGCGAGAAGCCCTAACTTGAAAGGAGGCCGGATTTCCTTGCAGTGGCTTGAACACAGGCTCGTCTTTCATCTCACAACATGAAGGGATGTCTGAATTCCCTGTGAAGACCTTAGAGAAAGCCCTAGGTCCCTGCCTCATTTTGACGGAATGCCTCACATCCCGCTGACACCTCGAGAGGCACGCGGAGTTCATTGCTTCAAAAGGTGACGATGCCTGACTCCTCTTGAATACTGATAGGAATCCCAAAATCCCTGTGGCTACTGGAAAGGGTCCTTGGGTGCCCTGCCTCACCTCGAGAAGCGTCCCTTTTGCTCTGCCAAGCCTCGAAGAGATTCCTGAGGTGTCCCTCGTTACTAGACAGGAGTCCTGACGTCACTGAAGAAACTCGTGTTTTGAAGGGCCATCCCCGCCGTAAGTCGAGAACATACCCCAGGTCCCCGCCGCAACTCGAGAAAAACCATGAGACTTGCCCCTAGAGGCGAGATGAGGCCCCATTCCCCTGCAGTGCATGCAGAGCTATTCCGTGATCCCATTCAAACAAGTCATGAGCTTCGACTTGCTTAATGGATCTCGAGACAGTCCCCAAGAACACTGTCACCAGTCTAGACGGACCCTGAGGTCACCCCAGCAACGCAAAGCAGCTCCATGTGCCCCAAATCAACTCGAGATGAGGCCCGATTCCCCTGCATTGACTCCAGAGCCATTCCCCGTTCCCCATTCAACACGACCGGTGGCTCGACTTCCTTCAGGCAACTCCAGAGATGCCCCGAGAACACTGTCCCAAGTCTAGAGGAACACCAACTTCAGCACAGCAACTCGAGGAATGCTCCGTGTACCCCAAATCGTCTCGAGATGCGAGCTGATTCCCTGGCTTAGGCTCAAGACGTATGCCAACTTCCCAGAAGCACCTCAGGAGGAGGCTTCTCTCAGCAATAGGTATGTGGGAGGGACCCCGAGTTTGCTGCCTCAAGGGGAATATACAGCGAGAAGCCCTAACTTGAAAGGAGGCCGGATTTCCTTGCAGTGGCTTGAATACAGGCTCGTCTTTCATCTCACAACATGAAGGGATGTCTGAATCCCCTGTGGAGACCTTAGAGAAAGCCCTAGGTCCCTGCCTCATTTTGACGGAATGCCTCACATCGCGCTGACACCTCGAGAGGCACGCGGAGTTCATTGCTTCAAAAGGTGACGATGCCTGACTCCTCTTGAATACTGATAGGAATCCCAAAATCCCTGTGGCTACTGGAAAGGGTCCTTTTGTGCCCTGCCTCACCTCGAGAAGCGTCCCTTTTGCCCTGCCAAGCCTCGAAGAGATTCCTGAGGTGTCCCTCGTTACTAGACAGGAGTCCTGACGTCATTGAAGAAACTCGTGTTTTGAAGGGCCATCCCCGCCGTAAGTCGAGAACATACCCCAGGTCCCCGCCGCAACTCGAGAAAAACCATGAGACTTCCCCCTAGAGGCGAGATGAGGCCCCATTCCCCTGCAGTGCATGCAGAGCTATTCCGTGATCCCATTCAAACAAGTCAGGAGCTTCGACTTGCTTAATGGATCTCGAGACAGTCCCCAAGAACACTGTCACCAGTCTAGACGGACCCTGAGGTCACCCCAGCAACGCAAAGCAGCTCCATGTGCCCCATATCAACTCGAGATGAGGCCCGATTCCCCTGGATTGACTCCAGAGCCATTCCCCATTCCCCATTCAACACGACCGGTGGCTCGACTTCCTTCAGGCAACTCCAGAGATGCCCCGAGAACACTGTCCCAGGTCTAGAGGAACACCAACTTCAGCACAGCAACTCGAGGAATGTTCCGTGTACCCCAAATCGTCTCGAGATGCGAGCTGATTCCCTGGCTTAGGCTCAAGACGTATGCCAACTTCCCAGAAGCACCACAGGAGGAGGCTTCTATCAGCAATAGGTATGTGGGAGGGACCCCGAGTTTGCTGCCTCAAGGGGAATATACAGCGAGAAGCCCTAACTTGAAAGGAGGCCGGATTTCCTTGCAGTGGCTTGAATACAGGCTCGTCTTTCATCTCACAACATGAAGGGATATCTGAATCCCCTGTGGAGACCTTAGAGAAAGCCCTAGGTCCCTGCCTCATTTTGACGGAATGCCTCACATCGCGCTGACACCTCGAGAGGCACGCGGAGTTCATTGCTTCAAAAGGTGACGATGCCTGACTCCTCTTGAATACTGATAGGAATCCCAAAATCCCTGTGGCTACTGGAAAGGGTCCTTGGGTGCCCTGCCTCACCTCGAGAAGCGTCCCTTTTGCCCTGCCAAGCCTCGAAGAGATTCCTGAGGTGTCCCTCGTTACTAGACAGGAGTCCTGACGTCACTGAAGAAACTCGTGTTTTGAAGGGCCATCACCGCCGTAAGTCGAGAACATACCCCAGGTCCCCGCCGCAACTCGAGAAAAACCATGAGACTTCCCCCTAGACGCGAGATGAGGCCCCATTCCCCTGCAGTGCATGCAGAGCTATTCCGTGATCCCATTCAAACAAGTCAGGAGCTTCGACTTGCTTAATGGATCTCGAGACAGTCCCCAAGAACACTGTCACCAGTCTAGACGGACCCTGAGGTCACCCCAGCAACGCAAAGCAGCTCAATGTGCCCCAAATCAACTCGAGATGAGGCCCGATTCCCCTGCATTGACTCCAGAGCCATTCCCCGTTCCCCATTCAACACGACCGGTGGCTCGACTTCCTTCAGGCAACTCCAGAGATGCCCCGAGAACACTGTCCCAAGTCTAGAGGAACACCAACTTCAGCACAGCAACTCGAGGAATGCTCCGTGTACCCCAAATCGTCTCGAGATGCGAGCTGATTCCTGGCTTAGGCTCAAGACGTATGCCAACTTCCCAGAAGCACCTCAGGAGGAGGCTTCTCTCAGCAATAGGTATGTGGGAGGGACCCCGAGTTTGCTGCCTCAAGGGGAATATACAGCGAGAAGCCCTAACTTGAAAGGAGGCCGGATTTCCTTGCAGTGGCTTGAATACAGGCTCGTCTTTCATCTCACAACATGAAGGGATGTCTGAATCCCCTGTGGAGACCTTAGAGAAAGCCCTAGGTCCCTGCCTCATTTTGACGGAATGCCTCACATCGCGCTGACACCTCGAGAGGCACGCGGAGTTCATTGCTTCAAAAGGTGACGATGCCTGACTCCTCTTGAATACTGATAGGAATCCCAAAATCCCTGTGGCTACTGGAAAGGGTCCTTGGGTGCCCTGCCTCACCTCGAGAAGCGTCCCTTTGGCCCTGCCAAGCCTCGAAGAGATTCCTGAGGTGTCCCTCGTTACTAGACAGGAGTCCTGACGTCACTGAAGAAACTCGTGTTTTGAAGGGCCATCCCCGCCGTAAGTCGAGAACATACCCCAGGTCCCCGCCGCAACTCGAGAAAAACCATGAGACTTCCCCCTAGAGGCGAGATGAGGCCCCATTCCCCTGCAGTGCATGCAGAGCTATTCCGTGATCCCATTCAAACAAGTCAGGAGCTTCGACTTGCTTAATGGATCTCGAGACAGTCCCCAAGAACACTGTCACCAGTCTAGACGGACCCTGAGGTCACCCCAGCAACGCAAAGCAGCTCCATGTGCCCCAAATCAACTCGAGATGAGGCCCGGTTCCCCTGCATTGACTCCAGAGCCATTCCCCGTTCCCCATTCAACACGACCGGTGGCTCGACTTCCTTCAGGCAACTCCAGAGATGCCCCGAGAACACTGTCCCAAGTCTAGAGGAACACCAACTTCAGCACAGCAACTCGAGGAATGCTCCGTGTACCCCAAATCGTCTCGAGATGCGAGCTGATGCCCTGGCTTAGGCTCAAGACGTATGCCAACTTCCCAGAAGCACCACAGGAGGAGGCTTCTCTCAGCAATAGGTATGTGGGAGGGACCCCGAGTTTGCTGCCTCAAGGGGAATATACAGCGAGAAGCCCTAACTTGAAAGGAGGCCGGATTTCCTTGCAGTGGCTTGAATACAGGCTCGTCTTTCATCTCACAACATGAAGGGATGTCTGAATCCCCTGTGGAGACCTTAGAGAAAGCCCTAGGTCCCTGCCTCATTTTGACGGAATGCCTCACATCGCGCTGATACCTCGAGAGGCACGCGGAGTTCATTGCTTCAAAAGGTGACGATGCCTGACTCCTCTTGAATACTGATAGGAATCCCAAAATCCCTGTGGCTACTGGAAAGGGTCCTTGGGTGCCCTGCCTCACCTCGAGAAGCGTCCCTTTGGCCCTGCCAAGCCTCGAAGAGATTCCTGAGGTGTCCCTCGTTACTAGACAGGAGTCCTGACGTCACTGAAGAAACTCGTGTTTTGAAGGGCCATCCCCGCCGTAAGTCGAGAACATACCCCAGGTCCCCGCCGCAACTCGAGAAAAACCATGAGACTTCCCCCTAGAGGCGAGATGAGGCCCCATTCCCCTGCAGTGCATGCAGAGCTATTCCGTGATCCCATTCAAACAAGTCAGGAGCTTCGACTTGCTTAATGGATCTCGAGACAGTCCCCAAGAACACTGTCACCAGTCTAGACGGACCCTGAGGTCACCCCAGCAACGCAAAGCAGCTCCATGTGCCCCAAATCAACTCGAGATGAGGCCCGATTCCCCTGCATTGACTCCGGAGCCATTCCCCGTTCCCCATTCAACACGACCGGTGGCTCGACTTCCTTCAGGCAACTCCAGAGATGCCCCGAGAACACTGTCCCAAGTCTAGAGGAACACCAACTTCAGCACAGCAACTCGAGGAATGCTCCGTGTACCCCAAATCGTCTCGAGATGCGAGCTGATTCCCTGGCTTAGGCTCAAGACGTATGCCAACTTCCCAGAAGCACCTCAGGAGGAGGCTTCTCTCAGCAATAGGTATGTGGGAGGGACCCCGAGTTTGCTGCCTCAAGGGGAATATACAGCGAGAAGCCCTAACTTGAAAGGAGGCCGGATTTCCTTGCAGTGGCTTGAACACAGGCTCGTCTTTCATCTCACAACATGAAGGGATGTCTGAATTCCCTGTGGAGACCTTAGAGAAAGCCCTAGGTCCCTGCCTCATTTTGACGGAATGCCTCACATCCCGCTGACACCTCGATAGGCACGCAGAGTTCATTGCTTCAAAAGGTGACGATGCCTGACTCCTCTTGAATACTGATAGGAATCCCAAAATCCCTGTGGCTACTGGAAAGGGTCCTTGGGTGCCCTGCCTCACCTCGAGAAGCGTCCCTTTTGCTCTGCCAAGCCTCGAAGAGATTCCTGAGGTGTCCCTCGTTACTAGACAGGAGTCCTGACGTCACTGAAGAAACTCGTGTTTTGAAGGGCCATCCCCGCCGTAAGTCGAGAACATACCCCAGGTCCCCGCCGCAACTCGAGAAAAACCATGAGACTTCCCCCTAGAGGCGAGATGAGGCCCCATTCCCCTGCAGTGCATGCAGAGCTATTCCGTGATCCCATTCAAACAAGTCAGGAGCTTCGACTTGCTTAATGGATCTCGAGACAGTCCCCAAGAACACTGTCACCAGTCTAGACGGACCCTGAGGTCACCCCAGCAACGCAAAGCAGCTCCATGTGCCCCAAATCAACTCAAGATGAGGCCCGATTCCCCTGCATTGACTCCAGAGCCATTCCCCGTTCCCCATTCAACACGACCGGTGGCTCGACTTCCTTCAGGCAACTCCAGAGATGCCCCGAGAACACTGTCCCAAGTCTAGAGGAACACCAACTTCAGCACAGCAACTCGAGGAATGCTCCGTGTACCCCAAATCGTCTCGAGATGCGAGCTGATTCCCTGGCTTAGGCTCAAGACGTATGCCAACTTCCCAGAAGCACCTCAGGAGGAGGCTTCTCTCAGCAATAGGTATGTGGGAGGGACCCCGAGTTTGCTGCCTCAAGGGGAATATACAGCGAGAAGCCCTAACTTGAAAGGAGGCCGGATTTCCTTGCAGTGGCTTGAATACAGGCTCGTCTTTCATCTCACAACATGAAGGGATGTCTGAATCCCCTGTGGAGACCTTAGAGAAAGCCCTAGGTCCCTGCCTCATTTTGACGGAATGCCTCACATCCCGCTGACACCTCGAGAGGCACGCGGAGTTCATTGCTTCAAAAGGTGACGATGCCTGACTCCTCTTGAATACTGATAGGAATCCCAAAATCCCTGTGGCTACTGGAAAGGGTCCTTGGGTGCCCTGCCTCACCTCGAGAAGCGTCCCTTTTGCCCTGCCAAGCCTCGAAGAGATTCCTGAGGTGTCCCTCGTTACTAGACAGGAGTCCTGACGTCACTGAAGAAACTCGTGTTTTGAAGGGCCATCCCCGCCGTAAGTCGAGAACATACCCCAGGTCCCCGCCGCAACTCGAGAAAAACCATGAGACTTCCCCCTAGAGGCGAGATGAGGACCCATTCCCCTGCAGTGCATGCAGAGCTATTCCGTGATCCCATTCAAACAAGTCAGGAGCTTCGACTTGCTTAATGGATCTCGAGACAGTCCCCAAGAACACTGTCACCAGTCTAGACGGACCCTGAGGTCACCCCAGCAACGCAAAGCAGCTCCATGTGCCCCAAATCAACTCGAGATGAGGCCCGGTTCCCCTGCATTGACTCCAGAGCCATTCCCCGTTCCCCATTCAACACGACCGGTGGCTCGACTTCCTTCAGGCAACTCCAGAGATGCCCCGAGAACACTGTCCCAAGTCTAGAGGAACACCAACTTCAGCACAGCAACTCGAGGAATGCTCCGTGTACCCCAAATCGTCTCGAGATGTGAGCTGATTCCCTGGCTTAGGCTCAAGACGTATGCCAATTTCCCAGAAGCACCTCAGGAGGAGGCTTCTCTCAGCAATAGGTATGTGGGAGGGACCCCGAGTTTGCTGCCTCAAGGGGAATATACAGCGAGAAGCCCTAACTTGAAAGGAGGCCGGATTTCCTTGCAGTGGCTTGAATACAGGCTCGTCTTTCATCTCACAACATGAAGGGATGTCTGAATCCCCTGTGGAGACCTTAGAGAAAGCCCTAGGTCCCTGCCTCATTTTGACGGAATGCCTCACATCGCGCTGACACCTCGAGAGGCACGCGGAGTTCATTGCTTCAAAAGGTGACGATGCCTGACTCCTCTTGAATACTGATAGGAATCCCAAAATCCCTGTGGCTACTGGAAAGGGTCCTTTTGTGCCCTGCCTCACCTCGAGAAGCGTCCCTTTTGCCCTGCCAAGCCTCGAAGAGATTCCTGAGGTGTCCCTCGTTACTAGACAGGAGTCCTGACGTCACTGAAGAAACTCGTGTTTTGAAGGGCCATCCCCGCCGTAAGTCGAGAACATACCCCAGGTCCCCGCCGCAACTCGAGAAAAACCATGAGACTTCCCCCTAGAGGCGAGATGAGGCCCCATTCCCCTGCAGTGCATGCAGAGCTATTCCGTGATCCCATTCAAACAAGTCAGGAGCTTCGACTTGCTTAATGGATCTCGAGACAGTCCCCAAGAACACTGTCACCAGTCTAGACGGACCCTGAGGTCACCCCAGCAACGCAAAGCAGCTCCATGTGCCCCAAATCAACTCGAGATGAGGCCCGATTCCCCTGCATTGACTCCAGAGCCATTCCCCGTTCCCCATTCAACACGACCGGTGGCTCGACTTCCTTCAGGCAACTCCAGAGATGCCCCGAGAACACTGTCCCAAGTCTAGAGGAACACCAAATTCAGCACAGCAACTCGAGGAATGCTCCGTGTACCCCAAATCGTCTCGAGATGCGAGCTGATTCCCTGGCTTAGGCTCAAGACGTATGCCAACTTCCCAGAAGCACCTCAGGAGGAGGCTTCTCTCAGCAATAGGTATGTGGGAGGGACCCCGAGTTTGCTGCCTCAAGGGGAATATACAGCGAGAAGCCCTAACTTGAAAGGAGGCCGGATTTCCTTGCAGTGGCTTGAACACAGGCTCGTCTTTCATCTCACAACATGAAGGGATGTCTGAATTCCCTGTGAAGACCTTAGAGAAAGCCCTAGGTCCCTGCCTCATTTTAACGGAATGCCTCACATCCCGCTGACACCTCGAGAGGCACGCGGAGTTCATTGCTTCAAAAGGTGACGATGCCTGACTCCTCTTGAATACTGATAGGAATCCCAAAATCCCTGTGGCTACTGGAAAGGGTCCTTGGGTGCCCTGCCTCACCTCGAGAAGCGTCCCTTTTGCTCTGCCAAGCCTCGAAGAGATTCCTGAGGTGTCCCTCGTTACTAGACAGGAGTCCTGACGTCACTGAAGAAACTCGTGTTTTGAAGGGCCATCCCCGCCGTAAGTCGAGAACATACCCCAGGTCCCCGCCGCAACTCGAGAAAAACCATGAGACTTGCCCCTAGAGGCGAGATGAGGCCCCATTCCCCTGCAGTGCATGCAGAGCTATTCCGTGATCCCATTCAAACAAGTCATGAGCTTCGACTTGCTTAATGGATCTCGAGACAGTCCCCAAGAACACTGTCACCAGTCTAGACGGACCCTGAGGTCACCCCAGCAACGCAAAGCAGCTCCATGTGCCCCAAATCAACTCGAGATGAGGCCCGATTCCCCTGCATTGACTCCAGAGCCATTCCCCGTTCCCCATTCAACACGACCGGTGGCTCGACTTCCTTCAGGCAACTCCAGAGATGCCCCGAGAACACTGTCCCAAGTCTAGAGGAACACCAACTTCAGCACAGCAACTCGAGGAATGCTCCGTGTACCCCAAATCGTCTCGAGATGCGAGCTGATTCCCTGGCTTAGGCTCAAGACGTATGCCAACTTCCCAGAAGCACCTCAGGAGGAGGCTTCTCTCAGCAATAGGTATGTGGGAGGGACCCCGAGTTTGCTGCCTCAAGGGGAATATACAGCGAGAAGCCCTAACTTGAAAGGAGGCCGGATTTCCTTGCAGTGGCTTGAATACAGGCTCGTCTTTCATCTCACAACATGAAGGGATGTCTGAATCCCCTGTGGAGACCTTAGAGAAAGCCCTAGGTCCCTGCCTCATTTTGACGGAATGCCTCACATCGCGCTGACACCTCGAGAGGCACGCGGAGTTCATTGCTTCAAAAGGTGACGATGCCTGACTCCTCTTGAATACTGATAGGAATCCCAAAATCCCTGTGGCTACTGGAAAGGGTCCTTTTGTGCCCTGCCTCACCTCGAGAAGCGTCCCTTTTGCCCTGCCAAGCCTCGAAGAGATTCCTGAGGTGTCCCTCGTTACTAGACAGGAGTCCTGACGTCATTGAAGAAACTCGTGTTTTGAAGGGCCATCCCCGCCGTAAGTCGAGAACATACCCCAGGTCCCCGCCGCAACTCGAGAAAAACCATGAGACTTCCCCCTAGAGGCGAGATGAGGCCCCATTCCCCTGCAGTGCATGCAGAGCTATTCCGTGATCCCATTCAAACAAGTCAGGAGCTTCGACTTGCTTAATGGATCTCGAGACAGTCCCCAAGAACACTGTCACCAGTCTAGACGGACCCTGAGGTCACCCCAGCAACGCAAAGCAGCTCCATGTGCCCCATATCAACTCGAGATGAGGCCCGATTCCCCTGGATTGACTCCAGAGCCATTCCCCATTCCCCATTCAACACGACCGGTGGCTCGACTTCCTTCAGGCAACTCCAGAGATGCCCCGAGAACACTGTCCCAGGTCTAGAGGAACACCAACTTCAGCACAGCAACTCGAGGAATGTTCCGTGTACCCCAAATCGTCTCGAGATGCGAGCTGATTCCCTGGCTTAGGCTCAAGACGTATGCCAACTTCCCAGAAGCACCACAGGAGGAGGCTTCTATCAGCAATAGGTATGTGGGAGGGACCCCGAGTTTGCTGCCTCAAGGGGAATATACAGCGAGAAGCCCTAACTTGAAAGGAGGCCGGATTTCCTTGCAGTGGCTTGAATACAGGCTCGTCTTTCATCTCACAACATGAAGGGATATCTGAATCCCCTGTGGAGACCTTAGAGAAAGCCCTAGGTCCCTGCCTCATTTTGACGGAATGCCTCACATCGCGCTGACACCTCGAGAGGCACGCGGAGTTCATTGCTTCAAAAGGTGACGATGCCTGACTCCTCTTGAATACTGATAGGAATCCCAAAATCCCTGTGGCTACTGGAAAGGGTCCTTGGGTGCCCTGCCTCACCTCGAGAAGCGTCCCTTTTGCCCTGCCAAGCCTCGAAGAGATTCCTGAGGTGTCCCTCGTTACTAGACAGGAGTCCTGACGTCACTGAAGAAACTCGTGTTTTGAAGGGCCATCACCGCCGTAAGTCGAGAACATACCCCAGGTCCCCGCCGCAACTCGAGAAAAACCATGAGACTTCCCCCTAGACGCGAGATGAGGCCCCATTCCCCTGCAGTGCATGCAGAGCTATTCCGTGATCCCATTCAAACAAGTCAGGAGCTTCGACTTGCTTAATGGATCTCGAGACAGTCCCCAAGAACACTGTCACCAGTCTAGACGGACCCTGAGGTCACCCCAGCAACGCAAAGCAGCTCAATGTGCCCCAAATCAACTCGAGATGAGGCCCGATTCCCCTGCATTGACTCCAGAGCCATTCCCCGTTCCCCATTCAACACGACCGGTGGCTCGACTTCCTTCAGGCAACTCCAGAGATGCCCCGAGAACACTGTCCCAAGTCTAGAGGAACACCAACTTCAGCACAGCAACTCGAGGAATGCTCCGTGTACCCCAAATCGTCTCGAGATGCGAGCTGATTCCCTGGCTTAGGCTCAAGACGTATGCCAACTTCCCAGAAGCACCTCAGGAGGAGGCTTCTCTCAGCAATAGGTATGTGGGAGGGACCCCGAGTTTGCTGCCTCAAGGGGAATATACAGCGAGAAGCCCTAACTTGAAAGGAGGCCGGATTTCCTTGCAGTGGCTTGAATACAGGCTCGTCTTTCATCTCACAACATGAAGGGATGTCTGAATCCCCTGTGGAGACCTTAGAGAAAGCCCTAGGTCCCTGCCTCATTTTGACGGAATGCCTCACATCGCGCTGACACCTCGAGAGGCACGCGGAGTTCATTGCTTCAAAAGGTGACGATGCCTGACTCCTCTTGAATACTGATAGGAATCCCAAAATCCCTGTGGCTACTGGAAAGGGTCCTTGGGTGCCCTGCCTCACCTCGAGAAGCGTCCCTTTGGCCCTGCCAAGCCTCGAAGAGATTCCTGAGGTGTCCCTCGTTACTAGACAGGAGTCCTGACGTCACTGAAGAAACTCGTGTTTTGAAGGGCCATCCCCGCCGTAAGTCGAGAACATACCCCAGGTCCCCGCCGCAACTCGAGAAAAACCATGAGACTTCCCCCTAGAGGCGAGATGAGGCCCCATTCCCCTGCAGTGCATGCAGAGCTATTCCGTGATCCCATTCAAACAAGTCAGGAGCTTCGACTTGCTTAATGGATCTCGAGACAGTCCCCAAGAACACTGTCACCAGTCTAGACGGACCCTGAGGTCACCCCAGCAACGCAAAGCAGCTCCATGTGCCCCAAATCAACTCGAGATGAGGCCCGGTTCCCCTGCATTGACTCCAGAGCCATTCCCCGTTCCCCATTCAACACGACCGGTGGCTCGACTTCCTTCAGGCAACTCCAGAGATGCCCCGAGAACACTGTCCCAAGTCTAGAGGAACACCAACTTCAGCACAGCAACTCGAGGAATGCTCCGTGTACCCCAAATCGTCTCGAGATGCGAGCTGATTCCCTGGCTTAGGCTCAAGACGTATGCCAACTTCCCAGAAGCACCTCAGGAGGAGGCTTCTCTCAGCAATAGGTATGTGGGAGGGACCCCGAGTTTGCTGCCTCAAGGGGAATATACAGCGAGAAGCCCTAACTTGTAAGGAGGCCGGATTTCCTTGCAGTGGCTTGAATACAGGCTCGTCTTTCCTCTCACAACATGAAGGGATGTCTGAATCCCCTGTGGAGACCTTAGAGAAAGCCCTAGGTCCCTGCCTCATTTTGACGGAATGCCTCACATCCCGCTGACACCTCGAGAGGTACGCGGAGTTCATTGCTTCAAAAGGTGACGATGCCTGACTCCTCTTGAATACTGATAGGAATCCCAAAATCCCTGTGGCTACTGGAAAGGGTCCTTGGGTGCCCTGCCTCACCTCGAGAAGCGTCCCTTTGGCCCTGCCAATCCTCGAAGAGATTCCTGAGGTGTCCCTCGTTACTAGACAGGAGTCCTGACGTCACTGAAGAAACTCGTGTTTTCAAGGGCCATCCCCGCCGTAAGTCGAGAACATACCCCAGGTCCCCGCCGCAACTCGAGAAAAACCATGAGACTTCCCCCTAGAGGCGAGATGAGGCCCCATTCCCTGCAGTGCATGCAGAGCTATTCCGTGATCCCATTCAAACAAGTCAGGAGCTTCGGCTTGCTTAATGGATCTCGAGAGAGTCCCCAAGAACACTGTCACCAGTCTAGACGGACCCTGAGGTCCCCCCAGCAACGCAAAGCAGCTCCATGTGCCCCAAATCAACTCGAGATGAGGCCCGATTCCCCTGCATTGACTCCAGAGCCATTCCCCGTTCCCCATTCAACACGACCGGTGGCTCGACTTCCTTCAGGCAACTCCAGAGATGCCCCGAGAACACTGTCCCAAGTCTAGAGGAACACCAACTTCAGCACAGCAACTCGAGGAATGCTCCGTGTACCCCAAATCGTCTCGAGATGCGAGCTGATTCCCTGGCTTAGGCTCAAGACGTATGCCAACTTCCCAGAAGCACCTCAGGAGGAGGCTTCTCTCAGCAATAGGTATGTGGGAGGGACCCCGAGTTTACTGCCTCAAGGGGAATATACAGCGAGAAGCCCTAACTTGAAAGGAGGCCGGATTTCCTTGCAGTGGCTTGAATACAGGCTCGTCTTTCATCTCACAACATGAAGGGATGTCTGAATCCCCTGTGGAGACCTTAGAGAAAGCCCTAGGTCCCTGCCTCATTTTGACGGAATGCCTCACATCCCGCTGACACCTCGAGAGGCACGCGGAGTTCATTGCTTCAAAAGGTGACGATGCCTGGCTCCTCTTGAATACTGATAGGAATCCCAAAATCCCTGTGGCTGCTGGAAAGGGTCCTTGGGTGCCCTGCCTCACCTCGAGAAGCGTCCCTTTGGCCCTGCCAAGCCTCGAAGAGATTCCTGAGGTGTCCCTCGTTACTAGACAGGAGTCCTGACGTCACTGAAGAAACTCGTGTTTTGAAGGGCCATCCCCGCCGTAAGTCGAGAACATACCCCAGGTCCCCGCCGCAACTCGAGAAAAACCATGAGACTTCCCCCTAGACGCGAGATGAGGCCCCATTCCCCTGCAGTGCATGCAGAGCTATTCCGTGATCCCATTCAAACAAGTCAGGAGCTTCGACTTGCTTAATGGATCTCGAGACAGTCCCCAAGAACACTGTCACCAGTCTAGACGGACCCTGAGGTCACCCCAGCAACGCAAAGCAGCTCCATGTGCCCCAAATCAACTCGAGATGAGGCCCGATTCCCCTGCATTGACTCCAGAGCCATTCCCCGTTCCCCATTCAACACGACCGGTGGCTCGACTTCCTTCAGGCAACTCCAGAGATGCCCCGAGAACACTGTCCCAAGTCTAGAGGAACACCAACTTCAGCACAGCAACTCGAGGAATGCTCCGTGTACCCCAAATCGTCTCGAGATGCGAGCTGATTCCCTGGCTTAGGCTCAAGACGTATGCCAACTTCCCAGAAGCACCTCAGGAGGAGGCTTCTCTCAGCAATAGGTATGTGGGAGGGACCCCGAGTTTGCTGCCTCAAGGGGAATATACAGCGAGAAGCCCTAACTTGAAAGGAGGCCGGATTTCCTTGCAGTGGCTTGAACACAGGCTCGTCTTTCATCTCAAAACATGAAGGGATGTCTGAATCCCCTGTGGAGACCTTAGAGAAAGCCCTAGGTCCCTGCCTCATTTTGACGGAATGCCTCACATCCCGCTGATACCTCGAGAGGCACGCGGAGTTCATTGCTTCAAAAGGTGACGATGCCTGACTCCTCTTGAATACTGATAGGAATCCCAAAATCCCTGTGGCTACTGGAAAGGGTCCTTGGGTGCCCTGCCTCACCTCGAGAAGCGTCCCTTTGGCCCTGCCAAGCCTCGAAGAGATTCCTGAGGTGTCCCTCGTTACTAGACAGGAGTCCTGACGTCACTGAAGAAACTCGTGTTTTGAAGGGCCATCCCCGCCGTAAGTCGAGAACATACCCCAGGTCCCCGCCGCAACTCGAGAAAAACCATGAGACTTCCCCCTAGAGGCGAGATGAGGCCCCATTCCCCTGCAGTGCATGCAGAGCTATTCCGTGATCCCATTCAAACAAGTCAGGAGCTTCGACTTGCTTAATGGATCTCGAGACAGTCCCCAAGAACACTGTCACCAGTCTAGACGGACCCTGAGGTCACCCCAGCAACGCAAAGCAGCTCCATGTGCCCCAAATCAACTCGAGATGAGGCCCGATTCCCCTGCATTGACTCCAGAGCCATTCCCCGTTCCCCATTCAACACGACCGGTGGCTCGACTTCCTTCAGGCAACTCCAGAGATGCCCCGAGAACACTGTCCCAAGTCTAGAGGAACACCAACTTCAGCACAGCAACTCGAGGAATGCTCCGTGTACCCCAAATCGTCTCGAGATGCGAGCTGATTCCCTGGCTTAGGCTCAAGACGTATGCCAACTTCCCAGAAGCACCTCAGGAGGAGGCTTCTCTCAGCAATAGGTATGTGGGAGGGACCCCGAGTTTGCTGCCTCAAGGGGAATATACAGCGAGAAGCCCTAACTTGAAAGGAGGCCGGATTTCCTTGCAGTGGCTTGAACACAGGCTCGTCTTTCATCTCACAACATGAAGGGATGTCTGAATTCCCTGTGGAGACCTTAGAGAAAGCCCTAGGTCCCTGCCTCATTTTGACGGAATGCCTCACATCCCGCTGACACCTCGATAGGCACGCGGAGTTCATTGCTTCAAAAGGTGACGATGCCTGACTCCTCTTGAATACTGATAGGAATCCCAAAATCCCTGTGGCTACTGGAAAGGGTCCTTGGGTGCCCTGCCTCACCTCGAGAAGCGTCCCTTTTGCTCTGCCAAGCCTCGAAGAGATTTCTGAGGTGTCCCTCGTTACTAGACAGGAGTCCTGACGTCACTGAAGAAACTCGTGTTTTGAAGGGCCATCCCCGCCGTAAGTGGAGAACATACCCCAGGTCCCCGCCGCAACTCGAGAAAAACCATGAGACTTCCCCCTAGAGGCGAGATGAGGCCCCATTCCCCTGCAGTGCATGCAGAGCTATTCCGTGATCCCATTCAAACAAGTCAGGAGCTTCGACTTGCTTAATGGATCTCGAGACAGTCCCCAAGAACACTGTCACCAGTCTAGACGGACCCTGAGGTCACCCCAGCAACGCAAAGCAGCTCCATGTGCCCCAAATCAACTCGAGATGAGGCCCGATTCCCCTGCATTGACTCCAGAGCCATTCCCCGTTCCCCATTCAACACGACCGGTGGCTCGACTTCCTTCAGGCAACTCCAGAGATGCCCCGAGAACACTGTCCCAAGTCTAGAGGAACACCAACTTCAGCACAGCAACTCGAGGAATGCTCCGTGTACCCCAAATCGTCTCGAGATGCGAGCTGATTCCCTGGCTTAGGCTCAAGACGTATGCCAACTTCCCAGAAGCACCTCAGGAGGAGGCTTCTCTCAGCAATAGGTATGTGGGAGGGACCCCGAGTTTGCTGCCTCAAGGGGAATATACAGCGAGAAGCCCTAACTTGAAAGGAGGCCGGATTTCCTTGCAGTGGCTTGAATACAGGCTCGTCTTTCATCTCACAACATGAAGGGATGTCTGAATCCCCTGTGGAGACCTTAGAGAAAGCCCTAGGTCCCTGCCTCATTTTGACGGAATGCCTCACATCCCGCTGACACCTCGAGAGGCACGCGGAGTTCATTGCTTCAAAAGGTGACGATGCCTGACTCCTCTTGAATACTGATAGGAATCCCAAAATCCCTGTGGCTACTGGAAAGGGTCCTTGGGTGCCCTGCCTCACCTCGAGAAGCGTCCCTTTTGCCCTGCCAAGCCTCGAAGAGATTCCTGAGGTGTCCCTCGTTACTAGACAGGAGTCCTGACGTCACTGAAGAAACTCGTGTTTTGAAGGGCCATCCCCGCCGTAAGTCGAGAACATACCCCAGGTCCCCGCCGCAACTCGAGAAAAACCATGAGACTTCCCCCTAGAGGCGAGATGAGGACCCATTCCCCTGCAGTGCATGCAGAGCTATTCCGTGATCCCATTCAAACAAGTCAGGAGCTTCGACTTGCTTAATGGATCTCGAGACAGTCCCCAAGAACACTGTCACCAGTCTAGACGGACCCTGAGGTCACCCCAGCAACGCAAAGCAGCTCCATGTGCCCCAAATCAACTCGAGATGAGGCCCGGTTCCCCTGCATTGACTCCAGAGCCATTCCCCGTTCCCCATTCAACACGACCGGTGGCTCGACTTCCTTCAGGCAACTCCAGAGATGCCCCGAGAACACTGTCCCAAGTCTAGAGGAACACCAACTTCAGCACAGCAACTCGAGGAATGCTCCGTGTACCCCAAATCGTCTCGAGATGTGAGCTGATTCCCTGGCTTAGGCTCAAGACGTATGCCAATTTCCCAGAAGCACCTCAGGAGGAGGCTTCTCTCAGCAATAGGTATGTGGGAGGGACCCCGAGTTTGCTGCCTCAAGGGGAATATACAGCGAGAAGCCCTAACTTGAAAGGAGGCCGGATTTCCTTGCAGTGGCTTGAATACAGGCTCGTCTTTCATCTCACAACATGAAGGGATGTCTGAATCCCCTGTGGAGACCTTAGAGAAAGCCCTAGGTCCCTGCCTCATTTTGACGGAATGCCTCACATCGCGCTGACACCTCGAGAGGCACGCGGAGTTCATTGCTTCAAAAGGTGACGATGCCTGACTCCTCTTGAATACTGATAGGAATCCCAAAATCCCTGTGGCTACTGGAAAGGGTCCTTTTGTGCCCTGCCTCACCTCGAGAAGCGTCCCTTTTGCCCTGCCAAGCCTCGAAGAGATTCCTGAGGTGTCCCTCGTTACTAGACAGGAGTCCTGACGTCACTGAAGAAACTCGTGTTTTGAAGGGCCATCCCCGCCGTAAGTCGAGAACATACCCCAGGTCCCCGCCGCAACTCGAGAAAAACCATGAGACTTCCCCCTAGAGGCGAGATGAGGCCCCATTCCCCTGCAGTGCATGCAGAGCTATTCCGTGATCCCATTCAAACAAGTCAGGAGCTTCGACTTGCTTAATGGATCTCGAGACAGTCCCCAAGAACACTGTCACCAGTCTAGACGGACCCTGAGGTCACCCCAGCAACGCAAAGCAGCTCCATGTGCCCCAAATCAACTCGAGATGAGGCCCGATTCCCCTGCATTGACTCCAGAGCCATTCCCCGTTCCCCATTCAACACGACCGGTGGCTCGACTTCCTTCAGGCAACTCCAGAGATGCCCCGAGAACACTGTCCCAAGTCTAGAGGAACACCAACTTCAGCACAGCAACTCGAGGAATGCTCCGTGTACCCCAAATCGTCTCGAGATGAGAGCTGATTCCCTGGCTTAGGCTCAAGACGTATGCCAACTTCCCAGAAGCACCACAGGAGGAGGCTTCTCTCAGCAATAGGTATGTGGGAGGGACCCCGAGTTTGCTGCCTCAAGGGGAATATACAGCGAGAAGCCCTAACTTGAAAGGAGGCCGGATTTCCTTGCAGTGGCTTGAATACAGGCTCGTCTTTCATCTCACAACATGAAGGGATGTCTGAATCCCCTGTGGAGACCTTAGAGAAAGCCCAAGGTCCCTGCCTCATTTTGACGGAATGCCTCACATCGCGCTGATACCTCGAGAGGCACGCGGAGTTCATTGCTTCAAAAGGTGACGATGCCTGACTCCTCTTGAATACTGATAGGAATCCCAAAATCCCTGTGGCTACTGGAAAGGGTCCTTGGGTGCCCTGCCTCACCTCGAGAAGCGTCCCTTTGGCCCTGCCAAGCCTCGAAGAGATTCCTGAGGTGTCCCTCGTTACTAGACAGGAGTCCTGACGTCACTGAAGAAACTCGTGTTTTGAAGGGCCATCCCCGCCGTAAGTCGAGAACATACCCCAGGTCCCCGCCGCAACTCGAGAAAAACCATGAGACTTCCCCCTAGAGGCGAGATGAGGCCCCATTCCCCTCAGTGCATGCAGAGCTATTCCGTGATCCCATTCAAACAAGTCAGGAGCTTCGACTTGCTTAATGGATCTCGAGACAGTCCCCAAGAACACTGTCACCAGTCTAGACGGACCCTGAGGTCACCCCAGCAACGCAAAGCAGCTCCATGTGCCCCAAATCAACTCGAGATGAGGCCCGATTCCCCTGCATTGACTCCAGAGCCATTCCCCGTTCCCCATTCAACACGACCGGTGGCTCGACTTCCTTCAGGCAACTCCAGAGATGCCCCGAGAACACTGTCCCAAGTCTAGAGGAACACCAAATCCAGCACAGCAACTCGAGGAATGCTCCGTGTACCCCAAATCGTCTCGAGATGCGAGCTGATTCCCTGGCTTAGGCTCAAGACGTATGCCAACTTCCCAGAAGCACCTCAGGAGGAGGCTTCTCTCAGCAATAGGTATGTGGGAGGGACCCCGAGTTTGCTGCCTCAAGGGGAATATACAGCGAGAAGCCCTAACTTGAAAGGAGGCCGGATTTCCTTGCAGTGGCTTGAACACAGGCTCGTCTTTCATCTCACAACATGAAGGGATGTCTGAATTCCCTGTGAAGACCTTAGAGAAAGCCCTAGGTCCCTGCCTCATTTTGACGGAATGCCTCACATCCCGCTGACACCTCGAGAGGCACGCGGAGTTCATTGCTTCAAAAGGTGACGATGCCTGACTCCTCTTGAATACTGATAGGAATCCCAAAATCCCTGTGGCTACTGGAAAGGGTCCTTGGGTGCCCTGCCTCACCTCGAGAAGCGTCCCTTTTGCTCTGCCAAGCCTCGAAGAGATTCCTGAGGTGTCCCTCGTTACTAGACAGGAGTCCTGACGTCACTGAAGAAACTCGTGTTTTGAAGGGCCATCCCCGCCGTAAGTCGAGAACATACCCCAGGTCCCCGCCGCAACTCGAGAAAAACCATGAGACTTCCCCCTAGAGGCGAGATGAGGCCCCATTCCCCTGCAGTGCATGCAGAGCTATTCCGTGATCCCATTCAAACAAGTCAGGAGCTTCGACTTGCTTAATGGATCTCGAGACAGTCCCCAAGAACACTGTCACCAGTCTAGACGGACCCTGAGGTCACCCCAGCAACGCAAAGCAGCTCCATGTGCCCCAAATCAACTCGAGATGAGGCCCGATTCCCCTGCATTGACTCCAGAGCCATTCCCCGTTCCCCATTCAACACGACCGGTGGCTCGACTTCCTTCAGGCAACTCCAGAGATGCCCCGAGAACACTGTCCCAAGTCTAGAGGAACACCAACTTCAGCACAGCAACTCGAGGAATGCTCCGTGTACCCCAAATCGTCTCGAGATGTGAGCTGATTCCCTGGCTTAGGCTCAAGACGTATGCCAACTTCCCAGGAGCACCTCAGGAGGAGGCTTCTCTCAGCAATAGGTATGTGGGAGGGACCCCGAGTTTGCTGCCTCAATGGGAATATACAGCGAGAAGCCCTAACTTGAAAGGAGACCGGATTTCCTTGCAGTGGCTTGAATACAGGCTCGTCTTTCATCTCACAACATGAAGGGATGTCTGAATCCCCTGTGGAGACCTTAGAGAAAGCCCTAGGTCCCTGCCTCATTTTGACGGAATGCCTCACATCCCGCTGACACCTCGAGAGGCACGTGGAGTTCATTGCTTCAAAAGGTGACGATGCCTGACTCCTCTTGAATACTGATAGGAATCCCAAAATCCCTGTGGCTACTGGAAAGGGTCCTTGGGTGCCCTGCCTCACCTCGAGAAGCGTCCCTTTTTCCCTGCCAAGCCTCGAAGAGATTCCTGAGGTGTCCCTCGTTACTAGACAGGAGTCCTGACGTCACTGAAGAAACTCGTGTTTTGAAGGGCCATCCCCGCCGTAAGTCGAGAACATACCCCAGGTCCCCGCCGCAACTCGAGAAAAACCATGAGACTTCCCCCTAGAGGCGAGATGAGGCCCCATTCCCCTGCAGTGCATGCAGAGCTATTCCGTGATCCCATTCAAACAAGTCAGGAGCTTCGACTTGCTTAATGGATCTCGAGACAGTCCCCAAGAACACTGTCACCAGTCTAGACGGACCCTGAGGTCACCCCAGCAACGCAAAGCAGCTCCATGTGCCCCAAATCAACTCGAGATGAGGCCCGGTTCCCCTGCATTGACTCCAGAGCCATTCCCCGTTCCCCATTCAACACGACCGGTGGCTCGACTTCCTTCAGGCAACTCCAGAGATGCCCCGAGAACACTGTCCCAAGTCTAGAGGAACACCAACTTCAGCACAGCAACTCGAGGAATGCTCTGTGTACCCCAAATCGTCTCGAGATGCGAGCTGATGCCCTGGCTTAGGCTCAAAACGTATGCCAACTTCCCAGAAGCACCTCAGGAGGAGGCTTCTCTCAGCAATAGGTATGTGGGAGGGACCCCGAGTTTGCTGCCTCAAGGGGAATATACAGCGAGAAGCCCTAACTTGAAAGGAGGCCGGATTTCCTTGCAGTGGCTTGAATACAGACTCGTCTTTCATCTCACAACATGAAGGGATGTCTGAATCCCCTGTGGAGACCTTAGAAAAAGCCCTAAGTCCCTGCCTCATTTTGACTGAATGCCTCACATCGCGCTGACACCTCGAGAGGCACGCGGAGTTCATTGCTTCAAAAGGTGACGATGCCTGACTCCTCTTGAATACTGATAGGAATCCCAAAATCCCTGTGGCTACTGGAAAGGATCCTTGGGTGCCCTTCCTCACCTCGAGAAGCGTCCCTTTTGCCCTGCCAAGCCTCGAAGAGATTCCTGAGGTGTCCCTCGTTACTAGACAGGAGTCCTGACGTCACTGAAGAAACTCGTGTTTTGAAGGGCCATCCCCGCCGTAAGTCGAGAACATACCCCAGGTCCCCGCCGCAACTCGAGAAAAACCATGAGACTTCCCCCTAGAGGCGAGATGAGGCCCCATTCCCCTGCAGTGCATGCAGAGCTATTCCGTGATCCCATTCAAACAAGTCAGGAGCTTCGACTTGCTTAATGGATCTCGAGACAGTCCCCAAGAACACTGTCACCAGTCTAGACGGACCCTGAGGTCACCCCAGCAACGCAAAGCAGCTCCATGTGCCCCAAATCAACTCGAGATGAGGCCCGATTCCCCTGCATTGACTCCAGAGCCATTCCCCGTTCCCCATTCAACACGACCGGTGGCTCGACTTCCTTCAGGCAACTCCAGAGATGCCCCGAGAACACTGTCCCAAGTCTAGAGGAACACCAACTTCAGCACAGCAACTCGAGGAATGCTCCGTGTACCCCAAATCGTCTCGAGATGCGAGCTGATTCCCTGGCTTAGGCTCAAGACGTATGCCAACTTCCCAGAAGCACCTCAGGAGGAGGCTTCTCTCAGCAATAGGTATGTGGGAGGGACCCCGAGTTTGCTGCCTCAAGGGGAATATACAGCGAGAAGCCCTAACTTGAAAGGAGGCCGGATTTCCTTGCAGTGGCTTGAATACAGGCTCGTCTTTCATCTCACAACATGAAGGGATGTCTGAATCCCCTGTGGAGACCTTAGAGAAAGCCCTAGGTCCCTGCCTCATTTTGACGGAATGCCTCACATCGCGCTGACACCTCGAGAGGCACGCGGAGTTCATTGCTTCAAAAGGTGACGATGCCTGACTCCTCTTGAATACTGATAGGAATCCCAAAATACCTGTGGCTACTGGAAAGGGTCCTTTTGTGCCCTGCCTCACCTCGAGAAGCGTCCCTTTTGCCCTGCCAAGCCTCGAAGAGATTCCTGAGGTGTCCCTCGTTACTAGACAGGAGTCCTGACGTCACTGAAGAAACTCGTGTTTTGAAGGGCCATCCCCGCCGTAAGTCGAGAACATACCCCAGGTCCCCGCCGCAACTCGAGAAAAACCATGAGACTTCCCCCTAGAGGCGAGATGAGGCCCCATTCCCCTGCAGTGCATGCAGAGCTATTCCGTGATCCCATTCAAACAAGTCAGGAGCTTCGACTTGCTTAATGGATCTCGAGACAGTCCCCAAGAACACTGTCACCAGTCTAGACGGACCCTGAGGTCACCCCAGCAACGCAAAGCAGCTCCATGTGCCCCAAATCAACTCGAGATGAGGCCCGATTCCCCTGCATTGACTCCAGAGCCATTCCCCGTTCCCCATTCAACACGACCGGTGGCTCGACTTCCTTCAGGCAACTCCAGAGATGCCCCGAGAACACTGTCCCAAGTCTAGAGGAACACCAACTTCAGCACAGCAACTCGAGGAATGCTCCATGTACCCCAAATCGTCTCGAGATGCGAGCTGATTCCCTGGCTTAGGCTCAAGACGTATGCCAACTTCCCAGAAGCAACACAGGAGGAGGCTTCTCTCAGCAATAGGTATGTGGGAGGGACCCCGAGTTTGCTGCCTCAAGGGGAATATACAGCGAGAAGCCCTAACTTGAAAGGAGGCCGGATTTCCTTGCAGTGACTTGAATACAGGCTCGTCTTTCATCTCACAACATGAAGGGATGTCTGAATCCCCTGTGGAGACCTTAGAGAAAGCCCTAGGTCACTGCCTCATTTTGACGGAATGCCTCACATCGCGCTGATACCTCGAGAGGCACGCGGAGTTCATTGCTTCAAAAGGTGACGATGCCTGACTCCTCTTGAATACTGATAGGAATCCCAAAATCCCTGTGGCTACTGGAAAGGGTCCTTTTGTGCCCTGCCTCACCTCGAGAAGCGTCCCTTTGGCCCTGCCAAGCCTCGAAGAGATTCCTGAGGTGTCCCTCGTTACTAGACAGGAGTCCTGACGTCACTGAAGAAACTCGTGTTTTGAAGGGCCATCCCCGCCGTAAGTCGAGAACATACCCCAGGTCCCCGCCGCAACTCGAGAAAAACCATGAGACTTCCCCCTAGAGGCGAGATGAGGCCCCATTCCCCTGCAGTGCATGCAGAGCTATTCCGTGATCCCATTCAAACAAGTCAGGAGCTTCGACTTGCTTAATGGATCTCGAGACAGTCCCCAAGAACACTGTCACCAGTCTAGACGGACCCTGAGGTCACCCCAGCAACGCAAAGCAGCTCCATGTGCCCCAAATCAACTCGAGATGAGGCCCGATTCCCCTGCATTGACTCCAGAGCCATTCCCCGTTCCCCATTCAACACGACCGGTGGCTCGACTTCCTTCAGGCAACTCCAGAGATGCCCCGAGAACACTGTCCCAAGTCTAGAGGAACACCAACTTCAGCACAGCAACTCGAGGAATGCTCCGTGTACCCCAAATCGTCTCGAGATGCGAGCTGATTCCCTGGCTTAGGCTCAAGACGTATGCCAACTTCCCAGAAGCACCTCAGGAGGAGACTTCTCTCAGCAATAGGTATGTGGGAGGGACCCCGAGATTGCTGCCTCAAGGGGAATATACAGCGAGAAGCCCTAACTTGAAAGGAGGCCGGATTTCCTTGCAGTGGCTTGAATACAGGCTCGTCTTTCATCTCACAACATGAAGGGATGTCTGAATCCCCTGTGGAGACCTTAGAGAAAGCCCTAGGTCCCTGCCTCATTTTGACGGAATGCCTCACATCCCGCTGACACCTCGAGAGGCACGCGGAGTTCATTGCTTCAAAAGGTGACGATGCCTGACTCCTCTTGAATACTGATAGGAATCCCAAAATCCCTGTGGCTACTGGAAAGGGTCCTTGGGTGTCCTGCCTCACCTCGAGAAGCGTCCCTTTGGCCCTGCCAAGCCTCGAAGAGATTCCTGAGGTGTCCCTCGTTACTAGACAGGAGTCCTGACGTCACTGAAGAAACTCGTGTTTTGAAAGGCCATCCCCGCCGTAAGTCGAGAACATACCGCAGGTCCCCGCCGCAACTCGAGAAAAACCATGAGACTTCCCCCTAGAGGCGAGATGAGGCCCCATTCCCCTGCAGTGCATGCAGAGCTATTCCGTGATCCCATTCAAACAAGTCAGGAGCTTCGACTTGCTTAATGGATCTCGAGACAGTCCCCAAGAACACTGTCACCAGTCTAGACGGACCCTGAGGTCACCCCAGCAACGCAAAGCAGCTCCATGTGCCCCAAATCAACTCGAGATGAGGCCCGATTCCCCTGCATTGACTCCAGAGCCATTCCCCGTTCCCCATTCAACACGACCGGTGGCTCGACTTCCTTCAGGCAACTCCAGAGATGCCCCGAGAACACTGTCCCAAGTCTAGAGGAACACCAACTTCAGCACAGCAAATCGAGGAATGCTCCGTGTACCCCAAATCGTCTCGAGATGCGAGCTGATTCCCTGGCTTAGGCTCAAGACGTATGCCAACTTCCCAGAAGCACCTCAGGAGGAGGCTTCTCTCAGCAATAGGTATGTGGGAGGGACCCCGAGTTTGCTGCCTCAAGGGGAATATACAGCGAGAAGCCCTAACTTGAAAGGAGGCCGGATTTCCTTGCAGTGGCTTGAACACAGGCTCGTCTTTCATCTCACAACATGAAGGGATGTCTGAGTCCCCTGTGGAGACCTTAGAGAAAGCCCTAGGTCCCTGCCTCATTTTGACGGAATGCCTCACATCCCGCTGACACCTCGAGAGGCACGCGGAGTTCATTGCTTCAAAAGGTGACGATGCCTGACTCCTCTTGAATACTGATAGGAATCCCAAAATCCCTGTGGCTACTGGAAAGGGTCCTTGGGTGCCCTGCCTCACCTCGAGAAGCGTCCCTTTTGCCCTGCCAAGCCTCGAAGAGATTCCTGAGGTGTCCCTCGTTACTAGACAGGAGTCCTGACGTCACTGAAGAAACTCGTGTTTTGAAGGGCCATCCCCGCCGTAAGTCGAGAACATACCCCAGGTCCCCGCCGCAACTCGAGAAAAACCATGAGACTTCCCCCTAGAGGCGAGATGAGGCCCCATTCCCCTGCAGTGCATGCAGAGCTATTCCGTGATCCCATTCAAACAAGTCAGGAGCTTCGACTTGCTTAATGGATCTCGAGACAGTCCCCAAGAACACTGTCACCAGTCTAGATGGACCCTGAGGTCACCCCAGCAACGCAAAGCAGCTCCATGTGCCCCAAATCAACTCGAGATGAGGCCCGATTCCCCTGCATTGACTCCAGAGCCATTCCCCGTTCCCCATTCAACACGACCGGTGGCTCGACTTCCTTCAGGCAACTCCAGAGATGCCCCGAGAACACTGTCCCAAGTCTAGAGGAACACCAACTTCAGCACAGCAACTCGAGGAATGCTCCGTGTACCCCAAATCGTCTCGAGATGCGAGCTGATTCCCTGGCTTAGGCTCAAGACGTATGCCAACTCCCCAGAAGCACCACAGGAGGAGGCTTCTCTCAGCAATAGGTATGTGGGAGGGACCCAGAGTTTGCTGCCTCAAGGGGAATATACAGCGTGAAGCCCTAACTTGAAAGGAGGCCGGATTTCCTTGCAGTGGCTTGAATACAGGCCCGTCTTTCATCTCACAACATGAAGGGATGTCTGAATCCCCTGTGGAGAACTTAGAGAAAGCCCTAGGTCCCTGCCTCATTTTGACGGAATGCCTCACATCGCGCTGACACCTCGAGAGGCACGCGGAGTTCATTGCTTCAAAAGGTGACGATGCCTGACTCCTCTTGAATACTGATAGGAATCCCAAAATCCCTGTGGCTACTGGAAAGGGTCCTTGGGTGCCCTGCCTCACCTCGCGAAGCGTCCCTTTTGCCCTGCCAAGCCTCGAAGAGATTCCTGAGGTGTCCCTCGTTACTAGACAGGAGTCCTGACGTCACTGAAGAAACTCGTGTTTTGAAGGGCCATCCCCGCTGTAAGTCGAGAACATACCCCAGGTCCCCGCCGCAACTCGAGAAAAACCATGAGACTTCCCCCTAGACGAGAGATGAGGCCCCATTCCCCTGCAGTGCATGCAGAGCTATTCCGTGATCCCATTCAAACAAGTCAGGAGCTTCGACTTGCTTAATGGATCTGGAGACAGTCCCCAAGAACACTGTCACCAGTCTAGACGGACCCTGATGTCACCCCAGCAACGCAAAGCAGCTCCATGTGCCCCAAATCAACTCGAGATGAGGCCCGATTCCCCTGCATTGACTCCAGAGCCATTCCCCGTTCCCCATTCAACACGACCGGTGGCTCGACTTCCTTCAGGCAACTCCAGAGATGCCCCGAGAACACTGTCCCAAGTCTAGAGGAACACCAACTTCAGCACAGCAACTCGAGGAATGCTCCGTGCACCCCAAATCGTCCTGAGATGAGAGCTGATTCCCTGGCTTAGGCTCAAGACGTATGCCAACTTCCCAGAAGCACCTCAGGAGGAGGCTTCTCTCAGCAATAGGTATGTGGGAGGGACCCCGAGTTTGCTGCCTCAAGGGGAATATACAGAGAGAAGCCCTAACTTGAAAGGAGGCCGGGTTTCCTTGCAGTGGCTTGAATACAGGCTCATCTTTCATCTCACAACATGAAGGGATGTCTGAATCCCCTGTGGAGACCTTAGAGAAAGCCCTAGGTCCCTGCCTCATTTTGACGGAATGCCTCACATCGCGCTGACACCTCGAGAGGCACGCAGAGTTCATTGCTTCAAAAGGTGACGATGCCTGACTCCTCTTGAATACTGATAGGAATACCAAAATCCCTGTGGCTACTGGAAAGGGTCCTTTTGTGCCCTGCCTCACCTCGAGAAGCATCCCTTTTGCCCTGCCAAGCCTCGAAGAGATTCCTGAGGTGTCCCTCGTTACTAGACAGGAGTCCTGACGTCACTGAAGAAACTCGTGTTTTGAAGGGCCATCCCCGCCGTAAGTCGAGAACATACCCCAGGTCCCCGCCGCAACTCGAGAAAAACCATGAGACTTCCCCCTAGAGGCGAGATGAGGCCCCATTCCCCTGCAGTGCATGCAGAGCTATTCCGTGATCCCATTCAAACAAGTCAGGAGCTTCGACTTGCTTAATGGATCTCGAGACAGTCCCCAAGAACACTGTCACCAGTCTAGACGGACCCTGAGGTCACCCCATCAACGCAAAGCAGCTCCATGTGCCCCAAATCAACTCGAGATGAGGCCCGATTCCCCTGCATTGACCCCAGAGCCGTTCCCCGTTCCCCATTCAACACGACCGGTGGCTCGACTTCCTTCAGGCAACTCCAGAGATGCCCCGAGAACACTGTCCCAAGTCTAGAGGAACACCAACTTCAGCACAGCAACTCGAGGAATGCTCCGTGTACCCCAAATCGTCTCGAGATGAGAGCTGATTCCCTGGCTTAGGCTCAAGACGTATGTCAACTTCCCAGAAGCACCTCAGGAGGAGGCTTCTCTCAGCAATATGTATGTGGGAGGGACCCCGAGTTTGCTGCCTCAAGGGGAATATACAGCGAGAAGCCCTAACTTGAAAGGAGGCCGGATTTCCTTGCAGTGGATTGAATACAGGCTCGTCTTTCATCTCACAACATGAAGGGATGTCTGAATCCCCTGTGCAGACCTTAGAGAAAGCCCTAGGTCCCTGCCTCATTTTGACGGAATGCCTCACATCCCGCTGACACCTCGAGAGGCACGCGGAGTTCATTGCTTCAAAAGGTGACGATGCCTGACTCCTCTTGAATACTGATAGGAATCCCAAAATCCCTGTGGCTGCTGGAAAGGGTCCTTGGGTGCCCTGCCTCACCTCGAGAAGCGTCCCTTTGGCCCTGCCAAGCCTCGAAGAGATTCCTGAGGTGTCCCTCGTTACTAGACAGGAGTCCTGACGTCACTGAAGAAACTCGTGTTTTGAAGGGCCATCCCCGCCGTAAGTCGAGAACATACCCCAGGTCCCCGCCGCAACTCGAGAAAAACCATGAGACTTCCCCCTAGAGGCGAGATGAGGCCCCATTCCCCTGCAGTGCATGCAGAGCTATTCCGTGATCCCATTCAAACAAGTCAGGAGCTTCGACTTGCTTAATGGATCTCGAGACAGTCCCCAAGAACACTGTCACCAGTCTAGACGGACCCTGAGGTCACCCCAGCAACGCAAAGCAGCTCCATGTGCCCCATATCAACTCGAGATGAGGCCCGATTCCCCTGCATTGACTCCAGAGCCATTCCCCATTCCCCATTCAACACGACTGGTGGCTCGACTTCCTTCAGGCAATTCCAGAGATGCCCCGAGAACACTGTCCCAGGTCTAGAGGAACACCAACTTCAGCACAGCAACTCGAGGAATGCTCCGTGTACCCCAAATCGTCTCGAGATGCGAGCTGATTCCCTGGCTTAGGCTCAAGACGTATGCCAACTTCCCAGAAGCACCACAGGAGGAGGCTTCTATCAGCAATAGGTATGTGGGAGGGACCCCGAGTTTGCTGCCTCAAGGGGAATATACAGCGAGAAGCCCTAACTTGAAAGGAGGCCGGATTTCCTTGCAGTGGCTTGAATACAGGCTCGTCTTTCATCTCACAACATGAAGGGATGTCTGAATCCCCTGTGGAGACCTTAGAGAAAGCCCTAGGTCCCTGCCTCATTTTGACGGAATGCCTCACATCGCGCTGATACCTCGAGAGGCACGCGGAGTTCATTGCTTCAAAAGGTGACGATGCCTGACTCCTCTTGAATACTGATAGGAATCCCAAAATCCCTGTGGCTACTGGAAAGGGTCCTTTTGTGCCCTGCCTCACCTCGAGAAGCGTCCCTTTGGCCCTGCCAAGCCTCGAAGAGATTCCTGAGGTGTCCCTCGTTACTAGACAGGAGTCCTGACGTCACTGAAGAAACTCGTGTTTTGAAGGGCCATCCCCGCCGTAAGTCGAGAACATACCCCAGGTCCCCGCCGCAACTCGAGAAAAACCATGAGACTTCCCCCTAGAGGCGAGATGAGGCCCCATTCCCCTGCAGTGCATGCAGAGCTATTCCGTGATCCCATTCAAACAAGTCAGGAGCTTCGACTTGCTTAATGGATCTCGAGACAGTCCCCAAGAACACTGTCACCAGTCTAGACGGACCCTGAGGTCACCCCAGCAACGCAAAGCAGCTCCATGTGCCCCAAATCAACTCGAGATGAGGCCCGATTCCCCTGGATTGACTCCAGAGCCATTCCCCGTTCCCCATTCAACACGACCGGTGTCTCGACTTCCTTCAGGCAACTCCAGAGATGCCCCGAGAACACTGTCCCAAGTCTAGAGGAACACCAACTTCAGCACAGCAACTCGAGGAATGCTCCGTGTAACCCAAATCGTCTCGAGATGCGAGCTGATTCCCTGGCTTAGGCTCAAGACGTATGCCAACTTCCCAGAAGCACCTCAGGAGGAGGCTTCTCTCAGCAATAGGTATGTGGGAGGGACCCCGAGTTTGCTGCCTCAAGGGGAATATACAGCGAGAAGCCCTAACTTGAAAGGAGGCCGGATTTCCTTGCAGTGGCTTGAATACAGGCTCGTCTTTCATCTCACAACATGAAGGGATGTCTGAATCCCCTGTGGAGACCTTAGAGAAAGCCCTAGGTCCCTGCCTCATTTTGACGGAATGCCTCACATCGCGCTGACACCTCGAGAGGCACGCGGAGTTCATTGCTTCAAAAGGTGACGATGCCTGACTCCTCTTGAATACTGATAGGAATCCCAAAATCCCTGTGGCTACTGGAAAGGGTCCTTGGGTGCCCTGCCTCACTTCGAGAAGCGTCCCTTTTGCCCTGCCAAGCCTCGAAGAGATTCCTGAGGTGTCCCTCGTTACTAGACAGGAGTCCTGACGTCACTGAAGAAACTCGTGTTTTGAAGGGCCATCCCCGCCGTAAGTCGAGAACATACCCCAGGTCCCCGCCGCAACTCGAGAAAAACCATGAGACTTCCCCCTAGAGGCGAGATGAGGCCCCATTCCCCTGCAGTGCATGCAGAGCTATTCCGTGATCCCATTCAAACAAGTCAGGAGCTTCGACTTGCTTAATGGATCTCGAGACAGTCCCCAAGAACACTGTCACCAGTCTAGACGGACCCTGAGGTCACCCCAGCAACGCAAAGCAGCTCCATGTGCCCCAAATCAACTCGAGATGAGGCCCGATTCCCCTGGATTGACTCCAGAGCCATTCCCCGTTCCCCATTCAACACGACCGGTGGCTCGACTTCCTTCAGGCAACTCCAGAGATGCCCCGAGAACACTGTCCCAAGTCTAGAGGAACACCAACTTCAGCACAGCAACTCGAGGAATGCTCCGTGTACCCCAAATCGTCTCGAGATGCGAGCTGATTCCCTGGCTTAGGCTCAAGACGTATGCCAACTTCCCAGAAGCACCGCAGTAGGAGGCTTCTCTCAGCAATAGGTATGTGGGAGGGACCCCGAGTTTGCTGCCTCAAGGGGAATATACAGCGAGAAGCCCTAACTTGAAAGGAGGCCGGATTTCCTTGCAGTGGCTTGAATACAGGCTCGTCTTTCATCTCACAACATGAAGGGATGTCTGAATCCCCTGTGGAGACCTTAGAAAAAGCCCTAAGTCCCTGCCTCATTTTGACGGAATGCCTCACATCGCGCTGACACCTCGAGAGGCACGCGGAGTTCATTGCTTCAAAAGGTGACGATGCCTGACTCCTCTTGAATACTGATAGGAATCCCAAAATCCCTGTGGCTACTGGAAAGGATCCTTGGGTGCCCTGCCTCACCTCGAGAAGCGTCCCTTTTGCCCTGCCAAGCCTCGAAGAGATTCCTGAGGTGTCCCTCGTTACTAGACAGGAGTCCTGACGTCACTGAAGAAACTCGTGTTTTGAAGGGCCATCCCCGCCGTAAGTCGAGAACATACCCCAGGTCCCCGCCGCAACTCGAGAAAAACCATGAGACTTCCCCCTAGAGGCGAGATGAGGCCCCATTCCCCTGCAGTGCATGCAGAGCTATTCCGTGATCCCATTCAAACAAGTCAGGAGCTTCGACTTGCTTAATGGATCTCGAGACAGTCCCCAAGAACACTGTCACCAGTCTAGACGGACCCTGAGGTCACCCCAGCAACGCAAAGCAGCTCCATGTGCCCCAAATCAACTCGAGATGAGGCCCGATTCCCCTGCATTGACTCCAGAGCCATTCCCCGTTCCCCATTCAACACGACCGGTGGCTCGACTTCCTTCAGGCAACTCCAGAGATGCCCCGAGAACACTGTCCCAAGTCTAGAGGAACACCAACTTCAGCACAGCAACTCGAGGAATGCTCCGTGTACCCCAAATCGTCTCGAGATGCGAGCTGATTCCCTGGCTTAGGCTCAAGACGTATGCCAACTTCCCAGAAGCACCTCAGGAGGAGGCTTCTCTCAGCAATAGGTATGTGGGAGGGACCCCGAGTTTGCTGCCTCAAGGGGAATATACAGCGAGAAGCCCTAACTTGAAAGGAGGCCGGATTTCCTTGCAGTGGCTTGAATACAGGCTCGTCTTTCATCTCACAACATGAAGGAATGTCTGAATCCCCTGTGGAGACCTTAGAGAAAGCCCTAGGTCCCTGCCTCATTTTGACGGAATGCCTCACATCCCGCTGACACCTCGAGAGGCACGCGGAGTTCATTGCTTCAAAAGGTGACGATGCCTGACTCCTCTTGAATACTGATAGGAATCCCAAAATCCCTGTGGCTACTGGAAAGGGTCCTTTGGTGCCCTGCCTCACCTCGAGAAGCGTCCCTTTGGCCCTGCCAAGCCTCGAAGAGATTCCTGAGCTGTCCCTCGTTACTAGACAGGAGTCCTGACGTCACTGAAGAAACTCGTGTTTTGAAGGGCCATCCCCGCCGTAAGTCGAGAACATACCCCAGGTCCCCGCCGCAACTCGAGAAAAACCATGAGACTTCCCCCTAGAGGCGAGATGAGGCCCCATTCCCCTGCAGTGCATGCAGAGCTATTCCGTGATCCCATTCAAACAAGTCAGGAGCTTCGGCTTGCTTAATGGATCTCGAGAGAGTCCCCAAGAACACTGTCACCAGTCTAGACGGACCCTGAGGTCACCCCAGCAACGCAAAGCAGCTCCATGTGCCCCAAATCAACTCGAGATGAGGCCCGATTCCCCTGCATTGACTCCAGAGCCATTCCCCGTTCCCCATTCAACACGACCGGTGGCTCGACTTCCTTCAGGCAACTCCAGAGATGCCCCGAGAACACTGTCCCAAGTCTAGAGGAACACCAACTTCAGCACAGCAACTCGAGGAATGCTCCGTGTACCCCAAATCGTCTCGAGATGCGAGCTGATTCCCTGGCTTAGGCTCAAGACGTATGCCAACTTCCCAGAAGCACCTCAGGAGGAGGCTTCTCTCAGCAATAGGTATGTGGGAGGGACCCCGAGTTTGCTGCCTCAAGGGGAATATACAGCGAGAAGCCCTAACTTGAAAGAAGGCCGGATTTCCTTGCAGTGGCTTGAATACAGGCTCGTCTTTCATCTCACAACATGAAGGGATGTCTGAATCCCCTGTGGAGACCTTAGAGAAAGCCCTAGGTCCCTGCGTCATTTTGACGGAATGCCTCACATCGCGCTGACACCTCGAGAGGCACGCGGAGTTCATTGCTTCAAAAGGTGACGATGCCTGACTCCTCTTGAATACTGATAGGAATCCCAAAATCCCTGTGGCTACTGGAAAGGGTCCTTGGGTGCCCTGCCTCACCTCGAGAAGCGTCCCTTTGGCCCTGCCAAGCCTCGAAGAAATTCCTGAGGTGTCCCTCGTTACTAGACAGGAGTCCTGACGTCACTGAAGAAACTCGTGTTTTGAAGGGCCATCCCCGCCGTAAGTCGAGAACATACCCCAGGTCCCCGCCGCAACTCGAGAAAAACCATGAGACTTCCCCCTAGAGGCGAGATGAGGCCCCATTCCCCTGCAGTGCATGCAGAGCTATTCCGTGATCCCATTCAAACAAGTCAGGAGCTTCGACTTGCTTAATGGATCTCGAGACAGTCCCCAAGAACACTGTCACCAGTCTAGACGGACCCTGAGGTCACCCCAGCAACGCAAAGCAGCTCCATGTGCCCCAAATCAACTCGAGATGAGGCCCGGTTCCCCTGCATTGACTCCAGAGCCATTCCCCATTCCCCATTCAACACGACCGGTGGCTCGACTTCCTTCAGGCAACTCCAGAGATGCCCCGAGAACACTGTCCCACGTCTAGAGGAACACCAACTTCAGCACAGCAACTCGAGGAATGCTCCGTGTACCCCAAATCGTCTCGAGATGCGAGCTGATTCCCTGGCTTAGGCTCAAGACGTATGCCAACTTCCCAGAAGCACCACAGGAGGAGGCTTCTATCAGCAATAGGTATGTGGGAGGGACCCCGAGTTTGCTGCCTCAAGGGGAATATACAGCGAGAAGCCCTAACTTGAAAGGAGGCCGGATTTCCTTGCAGTGGCTTGAATACAGGCTCGTCTTTCATCTCACAACATGAAGGGATGTCTGAATCCCCTGTGGAGACCTTAGAGAAAGCCCTAGGTCCCTGCCTCATTTTGACGGAATGCCACACATCGCGCTGATACCTCGAGAGGCACGCGGAGTTCATTGCTTCAAAAGGTGACGATGCCTGACTCCTCTTGAATACTGATAGGAATCCCAAAATCCCTGTGGCTACTGGAAAGGGTCCTTTTGTGCCCTGACTCACCTCGAGAAGCGTCCCTTTTGCCCTGCCAAGCCTCGAAGAGATTCCTGAGGTGTCCCTCGTTACTAGACAGGAGTCCTGACGTCACTGAAGAAACTCGTGTTTTCAAGGGCCATCCCCGCCGTAAGTCGAGAACATAACCCAGGTCCCCGCCGCAACTCGAGAAAAACCATGAGACTTCCCCCTAGAGGCGAGATGAGGCCCCATTCCCCTGCAGTGCATGCAGAGCTATTCCGTGATCCCATTCAAACAAGTCAGGAGCTTCGGCTTTCTTAATGGATCTCGAGACAGTCCCCAAGAACACTGTCACCAGTCTAGACGGACCCTGAGGTCACCCCAGCAACGCAAAGCAGCTCCATGTGCCCCAAATCAACTCGAGATGAGGCCCGATTCCCCTGCATTGACTCCAGAGCCATTCCCCGTTCCCCATTCAACACGACCGGTGGCTCGACTTCATTCAGGCAACTCCAGAGATGCCCCGAGAACACTGTCCCAAGTCTAGAGGAACACCAACTTCAGCACAGCAACTCGAGGAATGCTCCGTGTACCCCAAATCGTCTCGAGATGCGAGCTGATTCCCTGGCTTAGGCTCAAGACGTATGCCAACTTCCCAGAAGCACCTCAGGAGGAGGCTTCTCTCAGCAATAGGTATGTGGGAGGGACCCCGAGTTTGCTGCCTCAAGGGGAATATACAGCGAGAAGCCCTAACTTGAAAGGAGGCCGGATTTCCTTGCAGTGGCTTGAATACAGGCTCGTCTTTCATCTCACAACATGAAGGGATGTCTGAATCCCCTGTGGAGACCTTAGAGAAAGCCCTAGGTCCCTGCCTCATTTTGACGGAATGCCTCACATCCCGCTGACACCTCGAGAGGCACGCGGAGTTCATTGCTTCAAAAGGTGACGATGCCTGACTCCTCTTGAATACTGATAGGAATCCCAAAATCCCTGTGGCTGCTGGAATGGGTCCTTGGGTGCCCTGCCTCACCTCGAGAAGCGTCCCTTTGGCCCTGCCAAGCCTTGAAGAGATTCCTGAGGTGTCCCTCGTTACTAGACAGGAGTCCTGACGTCACTGAAGAAACTCGTGTTTTGAAGGGCCATCCCCGCCGTAAGTCGAGAACATAACCCAGGTCCCCGCCGCAACTCGAGAAAAACCATGAGACTTCCCCCTAGAGGCGAGATGAGGCCCCATTCCCCTGCAGTGCATGCAGAGCTATTCCGTGATCCCATTCAAACAAGTCAGGAGCTTCGACTTGCTTAATGGATCTCGAGACAGTCCCCAAGAACACTGTCACCAGTCTAGACGGACCCTGAGGTCACCCCAGCAACGCAAAGCAGCTCCATGTGCCCCAAATCAACTCGAGATGAGGCCCGATTCCCCTGCATTGACTCCAGAGCCATTCCCCATTCCCCATTCAACAAGACCGGTGGCTCGACTTCCTTCAGGCAACTCCAGAGATGCCCCGAGAACACTGTCCCACGTCTAGAGGAACACCAACTTCAGCACAGCAACTCGAGGAATGCTCCGTGTACCCCAAATCGTCTCGAGATGCGAGCTGATTCCCTGGCTTAGGCTCAAGACGTATGCCAACTTCCCAGAAGCACCACAGGAGGAGGCTTCTATCAGCAATAGGTATGTGGGAGGGACCCCGAGTTTGCTGCCTCAAGGGGAATATACAGCGAGAAGCCCTAACTTGAAAGGAGGCCGGATTTCCTTGCAGTGGCTTGAATACAGGCTCGTCTTTCATCTCACAACATGAAGGGATGTCTGAATCCCCTGTGGAGACCTTAGAGAAAGCCCTAGGTCCCTGCCTCATTTTGACGGAATGCCTCACATCGCGCTGATACCTCGAGAGGCACACGGAGTTCATTGCTTCAAAAGGTGACGATGCCTGACTCCTCTTGAATACTGATAGGAATCCCAAAATCCCTGTGGCTACTGGAAAGGGTCTTTTTGTGCCCTGCCTCACCTCGAGAAGCGTCCCTTTTGCCCTGCCAAGCCTCGAAGAGATTCCTGAGGTGTCCCTCGTTACTAGACAGGAGTCCTGACGTCACTGAAGAAACTCGTGTTTTGAAGGGCCATCCCCGCCGTAAGTCGAGAACATACCCCAGGTCCCCGCCGCAACTCGAGAAAAACCATGAGACTTCCCCCTAGAGGCGAGATGAGGCCCCATTCCCCTGCAGTGCATGCAGAGCTATTCCGTGATCCCATTCAAACAAGTCAGGAGCTTCGACTTGCTTAATGGATCTCGAGACAGTCCCCAAGAACACTGTCACCAGTCTAGACGGACCCTGAGGTCACCCCAGCAACGCAAAGCAGCTCCATGTGCCCCAAATCAACTCGAGATGAGGCCCGATTCCCCTGCATTGACTCCAGAGCCATTCCCCGTTCCCCATTCAACACGACCGGTGTCTCGACTTCCTTCAGGCAACTCCAGAGATGCCCCGAGAACACTGTCCCAAGTCTAGAGGAACACCAACTTCAGCACAGCAACTCGAGGAATGCTCCGTGTACCCCAAATCGTCTCGAGATGCGAGCTGATTCCCTGGCTTAGGCTCAAGACGTATGCCAACTTCCCAGAAGCACCTCAGGAGGAGGCTTCTCTCAGCAATAGGTATGTGGGAGGGACCCCGAGTTTGCTGCCTCAAGGGGAATATACAGCGAGAAGCCCTAACTTGAAAGGAGGCCGGATTTCCTTGCAGTGGCTTGAATACAGGCTCGTCTTTCATCTCACAACATGAAGGGATGTCTGAACCCCTGTGGAGACCTTAGAGAAAGCCCTAGGTCCCTGCCTCATTTTGACGGAATGCCTCACATCCCGCTGACACCTCGAGAGGCACGCGGAGTTCATTGCTTCAAAAGGTGACGATGCCTGACTCCTCTTGAATACTGATAGGAATCCCAAAATCCCTGTGGCTACTGGAAAGGGTCCTTGGGTGCCCTGCCTCACCTCGAGAAGCGTCCCTTTTGCCCTGCCAAGCCTCGAAGAGATTCCTGAGGTGTCCCACGTTACTAGACAGGAGTCCTGACGTCACTGAAGAAACTCGTGTTTTGAAGGGCCATCCCCGCCGTAAGACGAGAACATACCCCAGGTCCCCGGGGCAACTCGAGAAAAACCATGAGACTTCCCCCTAGAGGCGAGATGAGGCCCCATTCCCCTGCAGTGCATGCAGAGCTATTCCGTGATCCCATTCAAACAAGTCAGGAGCTTCGACTTGCTTAATGGATCTCGAGACAGTCCCCAAGAACACTGTAACCAGTCTAGACGGACCCTGAGGTCACCCCAGCAACGCAAAGCAGCTCCATGTGCCCCAAATCAACTCGAGATGAGGCCCGGTTCCCCTGCATTGACTCCAGAGCCATTCCCCGTTCCCCATTCAACACGACCCGTGGCTCGACTTCCTTCAGGCAACTCCAGAGATGCCCCGAGAACACTGTCCCAAGTCTAGAGGAACACCAACTTCAGCACAGCAACTCGAGGAATGCTCCGTGTACCCCAAATCGTCTCGAGATGCGAGCTGATTCCCTGGCTTAGGCTCAAGACGTATGCCAACTTCCCAGAAGCACCTCAGGAGGAGGCTTCTCTCAGCAATAGGTATGTGGGAGGGACCCCGAGTTTGCTGCCTCAAGGGGAATATACAGCGAGAAGCCCTAACTTGAAAGGAGGCCGGATTTCCTTGCAGTGGCTTGAATACAGGCTCGTCTTTCATCTCACAACATGAAGGAATGTCTGAATCCCCTGTGGAGACCTTAGAGAAAGCCCTAGGTCCCTGCCTCATTTTGACGGAATGCCTCACATCCCGCTGACACCTCGAGAGGCACGCGGAGTTCATTGCTTCAAAAGGTGACGATGCCTGACTCCTCTTGAATACTGATAGGAATCCCAAAATCCCTGTGGCTACTGGAAAGGGTCCTTGGGTGCCCTGCCTCACCTCGAGAAGCGTCCCTTTTGCCCTGCCAAGCCTCGAAGAGATTCCTGAGGTGTCCCTCGTTACTAGACAGGAGTCCTGACGTCACTGAAGAAACTCGTGTTTTGAAGGGCCATCCCCTCCGTAAGTCGAGAACATACCATAGGTCCCCGCGGCAACTCGAGAAAAACCATGAGACTTCCCCCTAGAGGCGAGATGAGGCCCCATTCCCCTGCAGTGCATGCAGAGCTATTGCGTGATCCCATTCAAACAAGTCAGGAGCTTCGGCTTGCTTAATGGATCTCGAGACAGTCCCCAAGAACACTATCACCAGTCTAGACGGACCCTGAGGTCACCCCAGCAACGCAAAGCAGCTCCATGTGCCCCAAATCAACTCGAGATGAGGCCCGATTCCCCTGCATTGACTCCAGAGCCATTCCCCGTTCCCCATTCAACACGACCGGTAGCTCGACTTCCTTCAGGCAACTCCAGAGATGCCCCGAGAACACTGTCCCAAGTCTAGCGGAACACCAACTTCAGCACAGCAACTCGAGGAATGCTCCGTGTACCCCAAATCGTCTCGAGATGCGAGCTGATTCCCTGGCTTAGGCTCAAGACGTATGCCAACTTCCCAGAAGCACCTCAGGAGGAGGCTTCTCTCAGCAATAGGTATGTGGGAGGGACCCCGAGTTTGCTGCCTCAAGGGGAATATACAGCGAGAAGCCCTAACTTGAAAGGAGGCCGGATTTCCTTGCAGTGGCTTGAATACAGGCTCGTCTTTCATCTCACAACATGAAGGGATGTCTGAATCCCCTGTGGAGACCTTAGAGAAAGCCCTAGGTCCCTGCCTCATTTTGACGGAATGCCTCACATCGCGCTGACACCTCGAGAGGCACGCGGAGTTCATTGCTTCAAAAGGTGACGATGCCTGACTCCTCTTGAATACTGATAGGAATCCCAAAATCCCTGTGGCTACTGGAAAGGGTCCTTGGGTGCCCTGCCTCACTTCGAGAAGCGTCCATTTTGCCCTGCCAAGCCTCGAAGAGATTCCTGAGGTGTCCCTCGTTACTAGACAGGAGTCCTGACGTCACTGAAGAAACTCGTGTTTTGAAGGGCCATCCCCGCCGTAAGTCGAGAACATACCCCAGGTCCCCGCCGCAACTCGAGAAAAACCATGAGACTTCCCCCTAGAGGCGAGATGAGGCCCCATTCCCCTGCAGTGCATGCAGAGCTATTCCGTGATCCCATTCAAACAAGTCAGGAGCTTCGACTTGCTTAATGGATCTCGAGACAGTCCCCAAGAACACTGTCACCAGTCTAGACGGACCCTGAGGTCACCCCAGCAACGCAAAGCAGCTCCATGTGCCCCAAATCAACTCGAGATGAGGCCCGGTTCCCCTGCATTGACTCCAGAGCCATTCCCCGTTCCCCATTCAACACGACCGGTGGCTCGACTTCCTTCAGGCAACTCCAGAGATGCCCCGAGAACACTGTCCCAAGTCTAGAGGAACACCAACTTCAGCACAGCAACTCGAGGAATGCTCCGTGTACCCCAAATCGTCTCGAGATGCGAGCTGATTCCCTGGCTTAGGCTCAAGACGTATGCCAACTTCCCAGAAGCACCTCAGGAGGAGGCTTCTCTCAGCAATAGGTATGTGGGAGGGACCCCGAGTTTGCTGCCTCAAGGGGAATATACAGCGAGAAGCCCTAACTTGAAAGGAGGCCGGATTTCCTTGCAGTGGCTTGAATACAGGCTCGTCTTTCATCTCACAACATGAAGGGATGTCTGAATCCCCTGTGGAGACCTTAGAGAAAGCCCTAGGTCCCTGCCTCATTTTGACGGAATGCCTCACATCGCGCTGACACCTCGAGAGGCACGCGGAGTTCATTGCTTCAAAAGGTGACGATGCCTGACTCCTCTTGAATACTGATAGGAATCCCAAAATCCCTGTGGCTACTGGAAAGGGTCCTTTTGTGCCCTGCCTCACCTCGAGAAGCGTCCCTTTAGCCCTGCCAAGCCTCGAAGAGATTCCTGAGGTGTCCCTCGTTACTAGACAGGAGTCCTGACGTCACTGAAGAAACTCGTGTTTTGAAGGGCCATCCCCGCCGTAAGTCGAGAACATACCTCAGGTCCCCGCCGCAACTCGAGAAAAACCATGAGACTTCCCCCTAGAGGCGAGATGAGGCCCCATTCCCCTGCAGTGCATGCAGAGCTATTCCGTGATCCCATTCAAACAAGTCAGGAGCTTCGACTTGCTTAATGGATCTCGAGACAGTCCCCAAGAACACTGTCACCAGTCTAGACGGACCCTGAGGTCATCCCAGCAACGCAAAGCAGCTCCATGTGCCCCAAATCAACTCGAGATGAGGCCCGATTCCCCTGCATTGACTCCAGAGCCATTCCCCGTTCCCCATTCAACACGACCGGTGGCTCGACTTCCTTCAGGCAACTCCAGAGATGCCCCGAGAACACTGTCCCAAGTCTAGAGGAACACCAACTTCAGCACAGCAACTCGAGGAATGCTCCGTGTACCCCAAATCGTCTCGAGATGCGAGCTGATTCCCTGGCTTAGGCTCAAGACGTATGCCAACTTCCCAGAAGCACCTCAGGAGGAGGCTTCTCTCAGCAATAGGTATGTGGGAGGGACCCCGAGTTTGCTGCCTCAAGGGGAATATACAGCGAGAAGCCCTAACTTGAAAGGAGGCCGGATTTCCTTGCAGTGGCTTGAACACAGGCTCGTCTTTCATCTCACAACATGAAGGGATGTCTGAATCCCCTGTGGAGACCTTAGAGAAAGCCTTAGGTCCCTGCCTCATTTTGACGGAATGCCTCACATCCCGCTGACACCTCGAGAGGCACGCGGAGTTCATTGCTTCAAAAGGTGACGATGCCTGACTCCTCTTGAATACTGATAGGAATCCCAAAATCCCTGTGGCTACTGGAAAGGGTCCTTCGGTGCCCTGCCTCACCTCGAGAAGCGTCCCTTTTGCCCTGCCAAGCCTTGAAGAGATTCCTGAGGTGTCCCTCGTTACTAGACAGGAGTCCTGACGTCACTGAAGAAACTCGTGTTTTGAAGGGCCATCCCCGCCGTAAGTCGAGAACATACCCCAGGTCCCAGCCGCAACTCGAGAAAAACCATGAGACTTCCCCCTAGAGGCGAGATGAGGCCCCATTCCCCTGCAGTGCATGCAGAGCTATTCCGTGATCCCATTCAAACAAGTCAGGAGCTTCGACTTGCTTAATGGATCTCGAGACAGTCCCCAAGAACACTGTCACCAGTCTAGACGGACCCTGAGGTCACCCCAGCAACGCAAAGCAGCTCCATGTGCCCCAAATCAACTCGAGATGAGGCCCGATTCCCCTGCATTGACTCCAGAGCCATTCCCCATTCCCCATTCAACACGACCGGTGGCTCGACTTCCTTCAGGCAACTCCAGAGATGCCCTGAGAACACTGTCCCAGGTCTAGAGGAACACCAACTTCAGCACAGCAACTCGAGGAATGCTCCGTGTACCCCAAATCGTCTCGAGATGTGAGCTGATTCCCTGTCGTAGGCTCAAGACGTATGCCAACTTCCCAGAAGCACCACAGGAGGAGGCTTCTATCAGCAATAGGTATGTGGGAGGCACCCCGAGTTTGCTGCCTCAAGGGGAATATACAGCGAGAAGCCCTAACTTGAAAGGAGGCCGGATTTCCTTGCAGTGGCTTGAATACAGGCTCGTCTTTCATCTCACAACATGAAGGGATGTCTGAATCCCCTGTGGAGACCTTAGAGAAAGCCCTAGGTCCCTGCCTCATTTTGACGGAATGCCTCACATCGCGCTGATACCTCGAGAGGCACGCGGAGTTCATTGCTTCAAAAGGTGACGATGCCTGACTCCTCTTGAATACTGATAGGAATCCCAAAATCCCTGTGGCTACTGGAAAGGGTCCTTGGGTGCCCTGCCTCACCTCGAGAAGCGTCCCTTTTGCCCTGCCAAGCCTCAAAGAGATTCCTGAGGTGTCCCTCGTTACTAGACAGGAGTCCTGACGTCACTGAAGAAACTCGTGTTTTGAAGGGCCATCCCCGCCGTAAGACGAGAACATACCCCAGGTCCCCGCCGCAACTCGAGAAAAACCATGAGACTTCCCCCTAGAGGCGAGATGAGGCCCCATTCCCCTGCAGTGCATGCAGAGCTATTCCGTGATCCCATTCAAACAAGTCAGGAGCTTCGACTTGCTTAATGGATCTCGAGACAGTCCCCAAGAACACTGTCACCAGTCTAGACGGACCCTGAGGTCACCCCAGCAACGCAAAGCAGCTCCATGTGCCCCAAATCAACTCGAGATGAGGCCCGATTCCCCTGCATTGACTCCAGAGCCATTCCCCGTTCCCCATTCAACACGACCGGTGGCTCGACTTCCTTCAGGCAACTCCAGAGATGCCCCGAGAACACTGTCCCAAGTCTAGAGGAACACCAACTTCAGCACAGCAACTCGAGGAATGCTCCGTGTACCCCAAATCGTCTCGAGATGCGAGCTGATTCCCTGGCTTAGGCTCAAGACGTATGCCAACTTCCCAGAAGCACCACAGGAGGAGGCTTCTCTCAGCAATAGGTATGTGGGAGGGACCCCGAGTTTGCTGCCTCAAGGGGAATATACAGCGAGAAGCCCTAACTTGAAAGGAGGCCGGATTTCCTTGCAGTGGCTTGAATACAGGCTCGTCTTTCATCTCACAACATGAAGGAATGTCTGAATCCCCTGTGGAGATCTTAGAGAAAGCCCTAGGTCCCTGCCTCATTTTGACGGAATGCCTCACATCGCGCTGATACCTCGAGAGGAACGCGGAGTTCATTGCTTCAAAAGGTGACGATGCCTGACTCCTCTTGAATACTGATAGGAATCCCAAAATCCCTGTGGCTACTGGAAAGGGTCCTTTGGTGCCCTGCCTCACCTCGAGAAGCGTCCCTTTTGCCCTGCCAAGCCTCGAAGAGATTCCTGAGGTGTCCCTCGTTACTAGACAGGAGTCCTGACGTCACTGAAGAAACTCGTGTTTTGAAGGGCCATCCCCGCCGTAAGTCGAGAACATACCCCAGGTCCCCGGGGCAACTCGAGAAAAACCATGAGACTTCCCCCTAGAGGCGAGATGAGGCCCCATTCCCCTGCAGTGCATGCAGAGCTATTCCGTGATCCCATTCAAACAAGTCAGGAGCTTCGGCTTGCTTAATGGATCTCGAGACAGTCCCCAAGAACACTGTCACCAGTCTAGACGGACCCTGAGGTCACCCCAGCAACGCAAAGCAGCTCCATGTGCCCCAAATCAACTCGAGATGAGGCCCGATTCCCCTGCATTGACTCCAGAGCCATTCCCCGTTCCCCATTCAACACGACCGGTGGCTCGACTTCCTTCAGGCAACTCCAGAGATGCCCCGAGAACACTGTCCCAAGTCTAGAGGAACACCAACTTCAGCACAGCAACTCGAGGAATGCTCCGTGTACCCCAAATCGTCTCGAGATGCGAGCTGATTCCCTGGCTTAGGCTCAAGACGTATGCCAACTTCCCAGAAGCACCTCAGGAGGAGGCTTCTCTCAGCAATAGGTATGTGGGAGGGACCCCGAGTTTGCTGCCTCAAGGGGAATATACAGCGAGAAGCCCTAACTTGAAAGGAGGCCGGATTTCCTTGCAGTGGCTTGAATACAGGCTCGTCTTTCATCTCACAACATGAAGGGATGTCTGAATCCCCTGTGGAGACCTTAGAGAAAGCCCTAGGTCCCTGCCTCATTTTGACGGAATGCCTCACATCCCGCTGACAACTCGAGAGGCACGCGGAGTTCATTGCTTCAAAAGGTGACGATGCCTGACTCCTCTTGAATACTGATAGGAATCCCAAAATCCCTGTGGCTACTGGAAAGGGTCCTTGGGTGCCCTGCCTCACCTCGAGAAGCGTCCCTTTTGCCCTGCCAAGCCTCGAAGAGATTCCTGAGGTGTCCCTCGTTACTAGACAGGAGTCCTGACGTCACTGAAGAAACTCGTGTTTTGAAGGGCCATCCCCGCCGTAAGACGAGAACATACCCCAGGTCCCCGCCGCAACTCGAGAAAAACCATGAGACTTCCCCCTAGAGGCGAGATGAGGCCCCATTCCCCTGCAGTGCATGCAGAGCTATTCCGTGATCCCATTCAAACAAGTCAGGAGCTTCGACTTGCTTAATGGATCTCGAGACAGTCCCCAAGAACACTGTCACCAGTCTAGACGGACCCTGAGGTCACCCCAGCAACGCAAAGCAGCTCCATGTGCCCCAAATCAACTCGAGATGAGGCCCGGTTCCCCTGCATTGACTCCAGAGCCATTCCCCGTTCCCCATTCAACACGACCGGTGGCTCGACTTCCTTCAGGCAACTCCAGAGATGCCCCGAGAACACTGTCCCAAGTCTAGAGGAACACCAACTTCAGCACAGCAACTCGAGGAATGCTCCGTGTACCCCAAAGCGTCTCGAGATGCGAGCTGATTCCCTGGCTTAGGCTCAAGACGTATGCCAACTTCCCAGAAGCACCTCAGGAGGAGGCTTCTCTCAGCAATAGGTATGTGGGAGGGACCCCGAGTTTGCTGCCTCAAGGGGAATATACAGCGAGAAGCCCTAACTTGAAAGGAGGCCGGATTTCCTTGCAGTGGCTTGAATACAGGCTCGTCTTTCATCTCACAACATGAAGGGATGTCTGAATCCCCTGTGGAGACCTTAGAAAAAGCCCTAAGTCCCTGCCTCATTTTGACGGAATGCCTCACATCGCGCTGACACCTCGAGAGGCACGCGGAGTTCATTGCTTCAAAAGGTGACGATGCCTGACTCCTCTTGAATACTGATAGGAATCCCAAAATCCCTGTGGCTACTGGAAAGGGTCCTTTTGTGCCCTGCCTCACCTCGAGAAGCGTCCCTTTGGCCCTGCCAAGCCTCGAAGAGATTCCTGAGGTGTCCCTCGTTATTAGACAGGAGTCCTGACGTCACTGAAGAAACTCGTGTTTTGAAGGGCCATCCCCGCCGTAAGTCGAGAACATACCCCAGGTCCCCGCCGCAACTCGAGAAAAACCATGAGACTTCCCCCTAGAGGCGAGATGAGGCCCCATTCCCCTGCAGTGCATGCAGAGCTATTCCGTGATCCCATTCAAACAAGTCAGGAGCTTCGACTTGCTTAATGGATCTCGAGACAGTCCCCAAGAACACTGTCACCAGTCTAGACGGACCCTGAGGTCACCCCAGCAACGCAAAGCAGCTCCATGTGCCCCAAATCAACTCGAGATGAGGCCCGGTTCCCCTGCATTGACTCCAGAGCCATTCCCCATTCCCCATTCAACACGACCGGTGGCTCGACTTCCTTCAGGCAACTCCAGAGATGCCCCGAGAACACTGTCCCAGGTCTAGAGGAACACCAACTTCAGCACAGCAACTCGAGGAATGCTCCGTGTACCCCAAATCGTCTCGAGATGCGAGCTGATTCCCTGGCTTAGGCTCAAGACGTATGCCAACTTCCCAGAAGCACCACAGGAGGAGGCTTCTATCAGCAATAGGTATGTGGGAGGGACCCCGAGTTTGCTGCCTCAAGGGGAATATACAGCGAGAAGCCCTAACTTGAAAGGAGGCCGGATTTCCTTGCAGTGGCTTGAATACAGGCTCGTCTTTCATCTCACAACATGAAGGGATGTCTGAATCCCCTGTGGAGACCTTAGAGAAAGCCCTAGGTCCCTGCCTCATTTTGACGGAATGCCACACATCGCGCTGATACCTCGAGAGGCACGCGGAGTTCATTGCTTCAAAAGGTGACGATGCCTGACTCCTCTTGAATACTGATAGGAATCCCAAAATCCCTGTGGCTACTGGAAAGGGTCCTTTTGTGCCCTGCCTCACCTCGAGAAGCGTCCCTTTTGCCCTGCCAAGCCTCGAAGAGATTCCTGAGGTGTCCCTCGTTACTAGACAGGAGTCCTGACGTCACTGAAGAAACTCGTGTTTTCAAGGGCCATCCCCGCCGTAAGTCGAGAACATACCCCAGGTCCCCGCCGCAACTCGAGAAAAACCATGAGACTTCCCCCTAGAGGCGAGATGAGGCCCCATTCCCCTGCAGTGCATGCAGAGCTATTCCGTGATCCCATTCAAACAAGTCAGGAGCTTCGGCTTTCTTAATGGATCTCGAGACAGTCCCCAAGAACACTGTCACCAGTCTAGACGGACCCTGAGGTCACCCCAGCAACGCAAAGCAGCTCCATGTGCCCCAAATCAACTGGAGATGAGGCCCGATTCCCCTGCATTGACCCAAGAGCCATTCCCCGTTCCCCATTCAACACGACCGGTGGCTCGACTTCATTCAGGCAACTCCAGAGATGCCCCGAGAACACTGTCCCAAGTCTAGAGGAACACCAACTTCAGCACAGCAACTCGAGGAATGCTCCGTGTACCCCAAATCGTCTCGAGATGCGAGCTGATTCCCTGGCTTAGGCTCAAGACGTATGCCAACTTCCCAGAAGCACCTCAGGAGGAGGCTTCTCTCAGCAATAGGTATGTGGGAGGGACCCCGAGTTTGCTGCCTCAAGGGGAATATACAGCGAGAAGCCCTAACTTGAAAGGAGGCCGGATTTCCTTGCAGTGGCTTGAATACAGGCTCGTCTTTCATCTCACAACATGAAGGGATGTCTGAATCCCCTGTGGAGACCTTAGAGAAAGCCCTAGGTCCCTGCCTCATTTTGACGGAATGCCTCACATCCCGCTGACACCTCGAGAGGCACGCGGAGTTCATTGCTTCAAAAGGTGACGATGCCTGACTCCTCTTGAATACTGATAGGAATCCCAAAATCCCTGTGGCTGCTGGAATGGGTCCTTGGGTGCCCTGCCTCACCTCGAGAAGCGTCCCTTTGGCCCTGCCAAGCCTTGAAGAGATTCCTGAGGTGTCCCTCGTTACTAGACAGGAGTCCTGACGTCACTGAAGAAACTCGTGTTTTGAAGGGCCATCCCCGCCGTAAGTCGAGAACATAACCCAGGTCCCCGCCGCAACTCGAGAAAAACCATGAGACTTCCCCCTAGAGGCGAGATGAGGCCCCATTCCCCTGCAGTGCATGCAGAGCTATTCCGTGATCCCATTCAAACAAGTCAGGAGCTTCGACTTGCTTAATGGATCTCGAGACAGTCCCCAAGAACACTGTCACCAGTCTAGACGGACCCTGAGGTCACCCCAGCAACGCAAAGCAGCTCCATGTGCCCCAAATCAACTCGAGATGAGGCCCGATTCCCCTGCATTGACTCCAGAGCCATTCCCCATTCCCCATTCAAAACGACCGGTGGCTCGACTTCCTTCAGGCAACTCCAGAGATGCCCCGAGAACACTGTCCCACGTCTAGAGGAACACCAACTTCAGCACAGCAACTCGAGGAATGCTCCGTGTACCCCAAATCGTCTCGAGATGCGAGCTGATTCCCTGGCTTAGGCTCAAGACGTATGCCAACTTCCCAGAAGCACCACAGGAGGAGGCTTCTATCAGCAATAGGTATGTGGGAGGGACCCCGAGTTTGCTGCCTCAAGGGGAATATACAGCGAGAAGCCCTAACTTGAAAGGAGGCCGGATTTCCTTGCAGTGGCTTGAATACAGGCTCGTCTTTCATCTCACAACATGAAGGGATGTCTGAATCCCCTGTGGAGACCTTAGAGAAAGCCCTAGGTCCCTGCCTCATTTTGACGGAATGCCTCACATCGCGCTGATACCTCGAGAGGCACACGGAGTTCATTGCTTCAAAAGGTGACGATGCCTGACTCCTCTTGAATACTGATAGGAATCCCAAAATCCCTGTGGCTACTGGAAAGGGTCTTTTTGTGCCCTGCCTCACCTCGAGAAGCGTCCCTTTTGCCCTGCCAAGCCTCGAAGAGATTCCTGAGGTGTCCCTCGTTACTAGACAGGAGTCCTGACGTCACTGAAGAAACTCGTGTTTTGAAGGGCCATCCCCGCCGTAAGTCGAGAACATACCCCAGGTCCCCGCCGCAACTCGAGAAAAACCATGAGACTTCCCCCTAGAGGCGAGATGAGGCCCCATTCCCCTGCAGTGCATGCAGAGCTATTCCGTGATCCCATTCAAACAAGTCAGGAGCTTCGACTTGCTTAATGGATCTCGAGACAGTCCCCAAGAACACTGTCACCAGTCTAGACGGACCCTGAGGTCACCCCAGCAACGCAAAGCAGCTCCATGTGCCCCAAATCAACTCGAGATGAGGCCCGATTCCCCTGCATTGACTCCAGAGCCATTCCCCGTTCCCCATTCAACACGACCGGTGTCTCGACTTCCTTCAGGCAACTCCAGAGATGCCCCGAGAACACTGTCCCAAGTCTAGAGGAACACCAACTTCAGCACAGCAACTCGAGGAATGCTCCGTGTACCCCAAATCGTCTCGAGATGCGAGCTGATTCCCTGGCTTAGGCTCAAGACGTATGCCAACTTCCCAGAAGCACCTCAGGAGGAGGCTTCTCTCAGCAATAGGTATGTGGGAGGGACCCCGAGTTTGCTGCCTCAAGGGGAATATACAGCGAGAAGCCCTAACTTGAAAGGAGGCCGGATTTCCTTGCAGTGGCTTGAATACAGGCTCGTCTTTCATCTCACAACATGAAGGGATGTCTGAACCCCTGTGGAGACCTTAGAGAAAGCCCTAGGTCCCTGCCTCATTTTGACGGAATGCCTCACATCCCGCTGACACCTCGAGAGGCACGCGGAGTTCATTGCTTCAAAAGGTGACGATGCCTGACTCCTCTTGAATACTGATAGGAATCCCAAAATCCCTGTGGCTACTGGAAAGGGTCCTTGGGTGCCCTGCCTCACCTCGAGAAGCGTCCCTTTTGCCCTGCCAAGCCTCGAAGAGATTCCTGAGGTGTCCCTCGTTACTAGACAGGAGTCCTGACGTCACTGAAGAAACTCGTGTTTTGAAGGGCCATCCCCGCCGTAAGACGAGAACATACCCCAGGTCCCCGGGGCAACTCGAGAAAAACCATGAGACTTCCCCCTAGAGGCGAGATGAGGCCCCATTCCCCTGCAGTGCATGCAGAGCTATTCCGTGATCCCATTCAAACAAGTCAGGAGCTTCGACTTGCTTAATGGATCTCGAGACAGTCCCCAAGAACACTGTCACCAGTCTAGACGGACCCTGAGGTCACCCCAGCAACGCAAAGCAGCTCCATGTGCCCCAAATCAACTCGAGATGAGGCCCGGTTCCCCTGCATTGACTCCAGAGCCATTCCCCGTTCCCCATTCAACACGACCGGTGGCTCGACTTCCTTCAGGCAACTCCAGAGATGCCCCGAGAACACTGTCCCAAGTCTAGAGGAACACCAACTTCAGCACAGCAACTCGAGGAATGCTCCGTGTACCCCAAATCGTCTCGAGATGCGAGCTGATTCCCTGGCTTAGGCTCAAGACGTATGCCAACTTCCCAGAAGCACCTCAGGAGGAGGCTTCTCTCAGCAATAGGTATGTGGGAGGGACCCCGAGTTTGCTGCCTCAAGGGGAATATACGGCGAGAAGCCCTAACTTGAAAGGAGGCCGGATTTCCTTGCAGTGGCTTGAATACAGGCTCGTCTTTCATCTCACAACATGAAGGGATGTCTGAATCCCCTGTGGAGACCTTAGAAAAAGCCCTAAGTCCCTGCCTCATTTTGACGGAATGCCTCACATCGCGCTGACACCTCGAGAGGCACGCGGAGTTCATTGCTTCAAAAGGTGACGATGCCTGACTCCTCTTGAATACTGATAGGAATCCCAAAATCCCTGTGGCTACTGGAAAGGGTCCTTTTGTGCCCTGCCTCACCTCGAGAAGCGTCCCTTTGGCCCTGCCAAGCCTCGAAGAGATTCCTGAGGTGTCCCTCGTTATTAGACAGGAGTCCTGACGTCACTGAAGAAACTCGTGTTTTGAAGGGCCATCCCCGCCGTAAGTCGAGAACATACCCCAGGTCCCCGCCGCAACTCGAGAAAAACCATGAGACTTCCCCCTAGAGGCGAGATGAGGCCCCATTCCCCTGCAGTGCATGCAGAGCTATTCCGTGATCCCATTCAAACAAGTCAGGAGCTTCGACTTGCTTAATGGATCTCGAGACAGTCCCCAAGAACACTGTCACCAGTCTAGACGGACCCTGAGGTCACCCCAGCAACGCAAAGCAGCTCCATGTGCCCCAAATCAACTCGAGATGAGGCCCGGTTCCCCTGCATTGACTCCAGAGCCATTCCCCATTCCCCATTCAACACGACCGGTGGCTCGACTTCCTTCAGGCAACTCCAGAGATGCCCCGAGAACACTGTCCCAGGTCTAGAGGAACACCAACTTCAGCACAGCAACTCGAGGAATGCTCCGTGTACCCCAAATCGTCTCGAGATGCGAGCTGATTCCCTGGCTTAGGCTCAAGACGTATGACAACTTCCCAGAAGCACCACAGGAGGAGGCTTCTATCAGCAATAGGTATGTGGGAGGAACCCCGAGTTTGCTGCCTCAAGGGGAATATACAGCGAGAAGCCCTAACTTGAAAGGAGGCCGGATTTCCTTGCAGTGGCTTGAATACAGGCTCGTCTTTCATCTCACAACATGAAGGGATGTCTGAATCCCCTGTGGAGACCTTAGAGAAAGCCCTAGGTCCCTGCCTCATTTTGACGGAATGCCACACATCGCGCTGATACCTCGAGAGGCACGCGGAGTTCATTGCTTCAAAAGGTGACGATGCCTGACTCCTCTTGAATACTGATAGGAATCCCAAAATCCCTGTGGCTACTGGAAAGGGTCCTTTTGTGCCCTGCCTCACCTCGAGAAGCGTCCCTTTTGCCCTGCCAAGCCTCGAAGAGATTCCTGAGGTGTCCCTCGTTACTAGACAGGAGTCCTGACGTCACTGAAGAAACTCGTGTTTTCAAGGGCCATCCCCGCCGTAAGTCGAGAACATACCCCAGGTCCCCGCCGCAACTCGAGAAAAACCATGAGACTTCCCCCTAGAGGCGAGATGAGGCCCCATTCCCCTGCAGTGCATGCAGAGCTATTCCGTGATCCCATTCAAACAAGTCAGGAGCTTCGGCTTTCTTAATGGATCTCGAGACAGTCCCCAAGAACACTGTCACCAGTCTAGACGGACCCTGAGGTCACCCCAGCAACGCAAAGCAGCTCCATGTGCCCCAAATCAACTCGAGATGAGGCCCGATTCCCCTGCATTGACTCCAGAGCCATTCCCCGTTCCCCATTCAACACGACCGGTGGCTCGACTTCCTTCAGGCAACTCCAGAGATGCCCCGAGAACACTGTCCCAAGTCTAGCGGAACACCAACTTCAGCACAGCAACTCGAGGAATGCTCCGTGTACCCCAAATCGTCTCGAGATGCGAGCTGATTCCCTGGCTTAGGCTCAAGACGTATGCCAACTTCCCAGAAGCACCTCAGGAGGAGGCTTCTCTCAGCAATAGGTATGTGGGAGGGACCCCGAGTTTGCTGCCTCAAGGGGAATATACAGCGAGAAGCCCTAACTTGAAAGGAGGCCGGATTTCCTTGCAGTGGCTTGAATACAGGCTCGTCTTTCATCTCACAACATGAAGGGATGTCTGAATCCCCTGTGGAGACCTTAGAGAAAGCCCTAGGTCCCTGCCTCATTTTGACGGAATGCCTCACATCGCGCTGACACCTCGAGAGGCACGCGGAGTTCATTGCTTCAAAAGGTGACGATGCCTGACTCCTCTTGAATACTGATAGGAATCCCAAAATCCCTGTGGCTACTGGAAAGGGTCCTTGGGTGCCCTGCCTCACTTCGAGAAGCGTCCCTTTTGCCCTGCCAAGCCTCGAAGAGATTCCTGAGGTGTCCCTCGTTACTAGACCGGAGTCCTGACGTCACTGAAGAAACTCGTGTTTTGAAGGGCCATCCCCGCCGTAAGTCGAGAACATACCCCAGGTCCCCGCCGCAACTCGAGAAAAACCATGAGACTTCCCCCTAGAGGCGAGATGAGGCCCCATTCCCCTGCAGTGCATGCAGAGCTATTCCGTGATCCCATTCAAACAAGTCAGGAGCTTCGACTTGCTTAATGGATCTCGAGACAGTCCCCAAGAACACTGTCACCAGTCTAGACGGACCCTGAGGTCACCCCAGCAACGCAAAGCAGCTCCATGTGCCCCAAATCAACTCGAGATGAGGCCCGGTTCCCCTGCATTGACTCCAGAGCCATTCCCCGTTCCCCATTCAACACGACCGGTGGCTCGACTTCCTTCAGGCAACTCCAGAGATGCCCCGAGAACACTGTCCCAAGTCTAGAGGAACACCAACTTCAGCACAGCAACTCGAGGAATGCTCCGTGTACCCCAAATCGTCTCGAGATGCGAGCTGATTCCCTGGCTTAGGCTCAAGACGTATGCCAACTTCCCAGAAGCACCTCAGGAGGAGGCTTCTCTCAGCAATAGGTATGTGGGAGGGACCCCGAGTTTGCTGCCTCAAGGGGAATATACAGCGAGAAGCCCTAACTTGAAAGGAGGCCGGATTTCCTTGCAGTGGCTTGAATACAGGCTCGTCTTTCATCTCACAACATGAAGGGATGTCTGAATCCCCTGTGGAGACCTTAGAGAAAGCCCTAGGTCCCTGCCTCATTTTGACGGAATGCCTCACATCGCGCTGACACCTCGAGAGGCACGCGGAGTTCATTGCTTCAAAAGGTGACGATGCCTGACTCCTCTTGAATACTGATAGGAATCCCAAAATCCCTGTGGCTACTGGAAAGGGTCCTTTTGTGCCCTGCCTCACCTCGAGAAGCGTCCCTTTAGCCCTGCCAAGCCTCGAAGAGATTCCTGAGGTGTCCCTCGTTACTAGACAGGAGTCCTGACGTCACTGAAGAAACTCGTGTTTTGAAGGGCCATCCCCGCCGTAAGTCGAGAACATACCTCAGGTCCCCGCCGCAACTCGAGAAAAACCATGAGACTTCCCCCTAGAGGCGAGATGAGGCCCCATTCCCCTGCAGTGCATGCAGAGCTATTCCGTGATCCCATTCAAACAAGTCAGGAGCTTCGACTTGCTTAATGGATCTCGAGACAGTCCCCAAGAACACTGTCACCAGTCTAGACGGACCCTGAGGTCATCCCAGCAACGCAAAGCAGCTCCATGTGCCCCAAATCAACTCGAGATGAGGCCCGATTCCCCTGCATTGACTCCAGAGCCATTCCCCGTTCCCCATTCAACACGACCGGTGGCTCGACTTCCTTCAGGCAACTCCAGAGATGCCCCGAGAACACTGTCCCAAGTCTAGAGGAACACCAACTTCAGCACAGCAACTCGAGGAATGCTCCGTGTACCCCAAATCGTCTCGAGATGCGAGCTGATTCCCTGGCTTAGGCTCAAGACGTATGCCAACTTCCCAGAAGCACCTCAGGAGGAGGCTTCTCTCAGCAATAGGTATGTGGGAGGGACCCCGAGTTTGCTGCCTCAAGGGGAATATACAGCGAGAAGCCCTAACTTGAAAGGAGGCCGGATTTCCTTGCAGTGGCTTGAACACAGGCTCGTCTTTCATCTCACAACATGAAGGGATGTCTGAATCCCCTGTGGAGACCTTAGAGAAAGCCTTAGGTCCCTGCCTCATTTTGACGGAATGCCTCACATCCCGCTGACACCTCGAGAGGCACGCGGAGTTCATTGCTTCAAAAGGTGACGATGCCTGACTCCTCTTGAATACTGATAGGAATCCCAAAATCCCTGTGGCTACTGGAAAGGGTCCTTGGGTGCCCTGCCTCACCTCGAGAAGCGTCCCTTTTGCCCTGCCAAGCCTCGAAGAGATTCCTGAGGTGTCCCTCGTTACTAGACAGGAGTCCTGACGTCACTGAAGAAACTCGTGTTTTGAAGGGCCATCCCCGCCGTAAGTCGAGAACATACCTCAGGTCCCCGCCGCAACTCGAGAAAAACCATGAGACTTCCCCCTAGAGGCGAGATGAGGCCCCATTCCCCTGCAGTGCATGCAGAGCTATTCCGTGATCCCATTCAAACAAGTCAGGAGCTTCGACTTGCTTAATGGATCTCGAGACAGTCCCCAAGAACACTGTCACCAGTCTAGACGGACCCTGAGGTCATCCCAGCAACGCAAAGCAGCTCCATGTGCCCCAAATCAACTCGAGATGAGGCCCGATTCCCCTGCATTGACTCCAGAGCCATTCCCCGTTCCCCATTCAACACGACCGGTGGCTCGACTTCCTTCAGGCAACTCCAGAGATGCCCCGAGAACACTGTCCCAAGTCTAGAGGAACACCAACTTCAGCACAGCAACTCGAGGAATGCTCCGTGTACCCCAAATCGTCTCGAGATGCGAGCTGATTCCCTGGCTTAGGCTCAAGACGTATGCCAACTTCCCAGAAGCACCTCAGGAGGAGGCTTCTATCAGCAATAGGTATGTGGGAGGGACCCCGAGTTTGCTGCCTCAAGGGGAATATACAGCGAGAAGCCCTAACTTGAAAGGAGGCCGGATTTCCTTGCAGTGGCTTGAACACAGGCTCGTCTTTCATCTCACAACATGAAGGGATGTCTGAATCCCCTGTGGAGACCTTAGAGAAAGCCTTAGGTCCCTGCCTCATTTTGACGGAATGCCTCACATCCCGCTGACACCTCGAGAGGCACGCGGAGTTCATTGCTTCAAAAGGTGACGATGCCTGACTCCTCTTGAATACTGATAGGAATCCCAAAATCCCTGTGGCTACTGGAAAGGGTCCTTGGGTGCCCTGCCTCACCTCGAGAAGCGTCCCTTTTGCCCTGCCAAGCCTCGAAGAGATTCCTGAGGTGTCCCTCGTTACTAGACAGGAGTCCTGACGTCACTGAAGAAACTCGTGTTTTGAAGGGCCATCCCCGCCGTAAGACGAGAACATACCCCAGGTCCCCGCCGCAACTCGAGAAAAACCATGAGACTTCCCCCTAGAGGCGAGATGAGGCCCCATTCCCCTGCAGTGCATGCAGAGCTATTCCGTGATCCCATTCAAACAAGTCAGGAGCTTCGACTTGCTTAATGGATCTCGAGACAGTCCCCAAGAACACTGTCACCAGTCTAGACGGACCCTGAGGTCACCCCAGCAACGCAAAGCAGCTCCATGTGCCCCAAATCAACTCGAGATGAGGCCCGGTTCCCCTGCATTGACTCCAGAGCCATTCCCCGTTCCCCATTCAACACGACCGGTGGCTCGACTTCCTTCAGGCAACTCCAGAGATGCCCCGAGAACACTGTCCCAAGTCTAGAGGAACACCAACTTCAGCACAGCAACTCGAGGAATGCTCCGTGTACCCCAAAGCGTCTCGAGATGCGAGCTGATTCCCTGGCTTAGGCTCAAGACGTATGCCAACTTCCCAGAAGCACCTCAGGAGGAGGCTTCTCTCAGCAATAGGTATGTGGGAGGGACCCCGAGTTTGCTGCCTCAAGGGGAATATACAGCGAGAAGCCCTAACTTGAAAGGAGGCCGGATTTCCTTGCAGTGGCTTGAATACAGGCTCGTCTTTCATCTCACAACATGAAGGGATGTCTGAATCCCCTGTGGAGACCTTAGAAAAAGCCCTAAGTCCCTGCCTCATTTTGACGGAATGCCTCACATCGCGCTGACACCTCGAGAGGCACGCGGAGTTCATTGCTTCAAAAGGTGACGATGCCTGACTCCTCTTGAATACTGATAGGAATCCCAAAATCCCTGTGGCTACTGGAAAGGGTCCTTTTGTGCCCTGCCTCACCTCGAGAAGCGTCCCTTTGGCCCTGCCAAGCCTCGAAGAGATTCCTGAGGTGTCCCTCGTTATTAGACAGGAGTCCTGACGTCACTGAAGAAACTCGTGTTTTGAAGGGCCATCCCCGCCGTAAGTCGAGAACATACCCCAGGTCCCCGCCGCAACTCGAGAAAAACCATGAGACTTCCCCCTAGAGGCGAGATGAGGCCCCATTCCCCTGCAGTGCATGCAGAGCTATTCCGTGATCCCATTCAAACAAGTCAGGAGCTTCGACTTGCTTAATGGATCTCGAGACAGTCCCCAAGAACACTGTCACCAGTCTAGACGGACCCTGAGGTCACCCCAGCAACGCAAAGCAGCTCCATGTGCCCCAAATCAACTCGAGATGAGGCCCGGTTCCCCTGCATTGACTCCAGAGCCATTCCCCATTCCCCATTCAACACGACCGGTGGCTCGACTTCCTTCAGGCAACTCCAGAGATGCCCCGAGAACACTGTCCCAGGTCTAGAGGAACACCAACTTCAGCACAGCAACTCGAGGAATGCTCCGTGTACCCCAAATCGTCTCGAGATGCGAGCTGATTCCCTGGCTTAGGCTCAAGACGTATGCCAACTTCCCAGAAGCACCACAGGAGGAGGCTTCTATCAGCAATAGGTATGTGGGAGGGACCCCGAGTTTGCTGCCTCAAGGGGAATATACAGCGAGAAGCCCTAACTTGAAAGGAGGCCGGATTTCCTTGCAGTGGCTTGAATACAGGCTCGTCTTTCATCTCACAACATGAAGGGATGTCTGAATCCCCTGTGGAGACCTTAGAGAAAGCCCTAGGTCCCTGCCTCATTTTGACGGAATGCCTCACATCGCGCTGACACCTCGAGAGGCACGCGGAGTTCATTGCTTCAAAAGGTGACGATGCCTGACTCCTCTTGAATACTGATAGGAATCCCAAAATCCCTGTGGCTACTGGAAAGGGTCCTTTTGTGCCCTGCCTCACCTCGAGAAGCGTCCCTTTTGCCCTGCCAAGCCTCGAAGAGATTCCTGAGGTGTCCCTCGTTACTAGACAGGAGTCCTGACGTCACTGAAGAAACTCGTGTTTTCAAGGGCCATCCCCGCCGTAAGTCGAGAACATACCCCAGGTCCCCGCCGCAACTCGAGAAAAACCATGAGACTTCCCCCTAGAGGCGAGATGAGGCCCCATTCCCCTGCAGTGCATGCAGAGCTATTCCGTGATCCCATTCAAACAAGTCAGGAGCTTCGGCTTTCTTAATGGATCTCGAGACAGTCCCCAAGAACACTGTCACCAGTCTAGACGGACCCTGAGGTCACCCCAGCAACGCAAAGCAGCTCCATGTGCCCCAAATCAACTCGAGATGAGGCCCGATTCCCCTGCATTGACTCCAGAGCCATTCCCCGTTCCCCATTCAACACGACCGGTGGCTCGACTTCATTCAGGCAACTCCAGAGATGCCCCGAGAACACTGTCCCAGGTCTAGAGGAACACCAACTTCAGCACAGCAACTCGAGGAATGCTCCGTGTACCCCAAATCGTCTCGAGATGCGAGCTGATTCCCTGGCTTAGGCTCAAGACGTATGCCAACTTCCCAGAAGCACCTCAGGAGGAGGCTTCTCTCAGCAATAGGTATGTGGGAGGGACCCCGAGTTTGCTGCCTCAAGGGGAATATACAGCGAGAAGCCCTAACTTGAAAGGAGGCCGGATTTCCTTGCAGTGGCTTGAATACAGGCTCGTCTTTCATCTCACAACATGAAGGGATGTCTGAATCCCCTGTGGAGACCTTAGAGAAAGCCCTAGGTCCCTGCCTCATTTTGACGGAATGCCTCACATCCCGCTGACACCTCGAGAGGCACGCGGAGTTCATTGCTTCAAAAGGTGACGATGCCTGACTCCTCTTGAATACTGATAGGAATCCCAAAATCCCTGTGGCTGCTGGAATGGGTCCTTGGGTGCCCTGCCTCACCTCGAGAAGCGTCCCTTTGGCCCTGCCAAGCCTTGAAGAGATTCCTGAGGTGTCCCTCGTTACTAGACAGGAGTCCTGACGTCACTGAAGAAACTCGTGTTTTGAAGGGCCATCCCCGCCGTAAGTCGAGAACATAACCCAGGTCCCCGCCGCAACTCGAGAAAAACCATGAGACTTCCCCCTAGAGGCGAGATGAGGCCCCATTCCCCTGCAGTGCATGCAGAGCTATTCCGTGATCCCATTCAAACAAGTCAGGAGCTTCGACTTGCTTAATGGATCTCGAGACAGTCCCCAAGAACACTGTCACCAGTCTAGACGGACCCTGAGGTCACCCCAGCAACGCAAAGCAGCTCCATGTGCCCCAAATCAACTCGAGATGAGGCCCGATTCCCCTGCATTGACTCCAGAGCCATTCCCCGTTCCCCATTCAAAACGACCGGTGGCTCGACTTCCTTCAGGCAACTCCAGAGATGCCCCGAGAACACTGTCCCACGTCTAGAGGAACACCAACTTCAGCACAGCAACTCGAGGAATGCTCCGTGTACCCCAAATCGTCTCGAGATGCGAGCTGATTCCCTGGCTTAGGCTCAAGACGTATGCCAACTTCCCAGAAGCACCACAGGAGGAGGCTTCTATCAGCAATAGGTATGTGGGAGGGACCCCGAGTTTGCTGCCTCAAGGGGAATATACAGCGAGAAGCCCTAACTTGAAAGGAGGCCGGATTTCCTTGCAGTGGCTTGAATACAGGCTCGTCTTTCATCTCACAACATGAAGGGATGTCTGAATCCCCTGTGGAGACCTTAGAGAAAGCCCTAGGTCCCTGCCTCATTTTGACGGAATGCCTCACATCGCGCTGATACCTCGAGAGGCACACGGAGTTCATTGCTTCAAAAGGTGACGATGCCTGACTCCTCTTGAATACTGATAGGAATCCCAAAATCCCTGTGGCTACTGGAAAGGGTCTTTTTGTGCCCTGCCTCACCTCGAGAAGCGTCCCTTTTGCCCTGCCAAGCCTCGAAGAGATTCCTGAGGTGTCCCTCGTTACTAGACAGGAGTCCTGACGTCACTGAAGAAACTCGTGTTTTGAAGGGCCATCCCCGCCGTAAGTCGAGAACATACCCCAGGTCCCCGCCGCAACTCGAGAAAAACCATGAGACTTCCCCCTAGAGGCGAGATGAGGCCCCATTCCCCTGCAGTGCATGCAGAGCTATTCCGTGATCCCATTCAAACAAGTCAGGAGCTTCGACTTGCTTAATGGATCTCGAGACAGTCCCCAAGAACACTGTCACCAGTCTAGACGGACCCTGAGGTCACCCCAGCAACGCAAAGCAGCTCCATGTGCCCCAAATCAACTCGAGATGAGGCCCGATTCCCCTGCATTGACTCCAGAGCCATTCCCCGTTCCCCATTCAACACGACCGGTGTCTCGACTTCCTTCAGGCAACTCCAGAGATGCCCCGAGAACACTGTCCCAAGTCTAGAGGAACACCAACTTCAGCACAGCAACTCGAGGAATGCTCCGTGTACCCCAAATCGTCTCGAGATGCGAGCTGATTCCCTGGCTTAGGCTCAAGACGTATGCCAACTTCCCAGAAGCACCTCAGGAGGAGGCTTCTCTCAGCAATAGGTATGTGGGAGGGACCCCGAGTTTGCTGCCTCAAGGGGAATATACAGCGAGAAGCCCTAACTTGAAAGGAGGCCGGATTTCCTTGCAGTGGCTTGAATACAGGCTCGTCTTTCATCTCACAACATGAAGGGATGTCTGAATCCCCTGTGGAGACCTTAGAGAAAGCCCTAGGTCCCTGCCTCATTTTGACGGAATGCCTCACATCGCGCTGATACCTCGAGAGGCACACGGAGTTCATTGCTTCAAAAGGTGACGATGCCTGACTCCTCTTGAATACTGATAGGAATCCCAAAATCCCTGTGGCTACTGGAAAGGGTCTTTTTGTGCCCTGCCTCACCTCGAGAAGCGTCCCTTTTGCCCTGCCAAGCCTCGAAGAGATTCCTGAGGTGTCCCTCGTTACTAGACAGGAGTCCTGACGTCACTGAAGAAACTCGTGTTTTGAAGGGCCATCCCCGCCGTAAGTCGAGAACATACCCCAGGTCCCCGCCGCAACTCGAGAAAAACCATGAGACTTCCCCCTAGAGGCGAGATGAGGCCCCATTCCCCTGCAGTGCATGCAGAGCTATTCCGTGATCCCATTCAAACAAGTCAGGAGCTTCGACTTGCTTAATGGATCTCGAGACAGTCCCCAAGAACACTGTCACCAGTCTAGACGGACCCTGAGGTCACCCCAGCAACGCAAAGCAGCTCCATGTGCCCCAAATCAACTCGAGATGAGGCCCGATTCCCCTGCATTGACTCCAGAGCCATTCCCCGTTCCCCATTCAACACGACCGGTGTCTCGACTTCCTTCAGGCAACTCCAGAGATGCCCCGAGAACACTGTCCCAAGTCTAGAGGAACACCAACTTCAGCACAGCAACTCGAGGAATGCTCCGTGTACCCCAAATCGTCTCGAGATGCGAGCTGATTCCCTGGCTTAGGCTCAAGACGTATGCCAACTTCCCAGAAGCACCTCAGGAGGAGGCTTCTCTCAGCAATAGGTATGTGGGAGGGACCCCGAGTTTGCTGCCTCAAGGGGAATATACAGCGAGAAGCCCTAACTTGAAAGGAGGCCGGATTTCCTTGCAGTGGCTTGAATACAGGCTCGTCTTTCATCTCACAACATGAAGGGATGTCTGAACCCCTGTGGAGACCTTAGAGAAAGCCCTAGGTCCCTGCCTCATTTTGACGGAATGCCTCACATCCCGCTGACACCTCGAGAGGCACGCGGAGTTCATTGCTTCAAAAGGTGACGATGCCTGACTCCTCTTGAATACTGATAGGAATCCCAAAATCCCTGTGGCTACTGGAAAGGGTCCTTTTGTGCCCTGCCTCACCTCGAGAAGCGTCCCTTTGGCCCTGCCAAGCCTCGAAGAGATTCCTGAGGTGTCCCTCGTTATTAGACAGGAGTCCTGACGTCACTGAAGAAACTCGTGTTTTGAAGGGCCATCCCCGCCGTAAGTCGAGAACATACCCCAGGTCCCCGCCGCAACTCGAGAAAAACCATGAGACTTCCCCCTAGAGGCGAGATGAGGCCCCATTCCCCTGCAGTGCATGCAGAGCTATTCCGTGATCCCATTCAAACAAGTCAGGAGCTTCGACTTGCTTAATGGATCTCGAGACAGTCCCCAAGAACACTGTCACCAGTCTAGACGGACCCTGAGGTCACCCCAGCAACGCAAAGCAGCTCCATGTGCCCCAAATCAACTCGAGATGAGGCCCGGTTCCCCTGCATTGACTCCAGAGCCATTCCCCATTCCCCATTCAACACGACCGGTGGCTCGACTTCCTTCAGGCAACTCCAGAGATGCCCCGAGAACACTGTCCCAGGTCTAGAGGAACACCAACTTCAGCACAGCAACTCGAGGAATGCTCCGTGTACCCCAAATCGTCTCGAGATGCGAGCTGATTCCCTGGCTTAGGCTCAAGACGTATGCCAACTTCCCAGAAGCACCACAGGAGGAGGCTTCTATCAGCAATAGGTATGTGGGAGGGACCCCGAGTTTGCTGCCTCAAGGGGAATATACAGCGAGAAGCCCTAACTTGAAAGGAGGCCGGATTTCCTTGCAGTGGCTTGAATACAGGCTCGTCTTTCATCTCACAACATGAAGGGATGTCTGAATCCCCTGTGGAGACCTTAGAGAAAGCCCTAGGTCCCTGCCTCATTTTGACGGAATGCCACACATCGCGCTGATACCTCGAGAGGCACGCGGAGTTCATTGCTTCAAAAGGTGACGATGCCTGACTCCTCTTGAATACTGATAGGAATCCCAAAATCCCTGTGGCTACTGGAAAGGGTCCTTTTGTGCCCTGCCTCACCTCGAGAAGCGTCCCTTTTGCCCTGCCAAGCCTCGAAGAGATTCCTGAGGTGTCCCTCGTTACTAGACAGGAGTCCTGACGTCACTGAAGAAACTCGTGTTTTCAAGGGCCATCCCCGCCGTAAGTCGAGAACATAACCCAGGTCCCCGCCGCAACTCGAGAAAAACCATGAGACTTCCCCCTAGAGGCGAGATGAGGCCCCATTCCCCTGCAGTGCATGCAGAGCTATTCCGTGATCCCATTCAAACAAGTCAGGAGCTTCGGCTTTCTTAATGGATCTCGAGACAGTCCCCAAGAACACTGTCACCAGTCTAGACGGACCCTGAGGTCACCCCAGCAACGCAAAGCAGCTCCATGTGCCCCAAATCAACTCGAGATGAGGCCCGGTTCCCCTGCATTGACTCCAGAGCCATTCCCCGTTCCCCATTCAACACGACCGGTGGCTCGACTTCCTTCAGGCAACTCCAGAGATGCCCCGAGAACACTGTCCCAAGTCTAGAGGAACACCAACTTCAGCACAGCAACTCGAGGAATGCTCCGTGTACCCCAAAGCGTCTCGAGATGCGAGCTGATTCCCTGGCTTAGGCTCAAGACGTATGCCAACTTCCCAGAAGCACCTCAGGAGGAGGCTTCTCTCAGCAATAGGTATGTGGGAGGGACCCCGAGTTTGCTGCCTCAAGGGGAATATACAGCGAGAAGCCCTAACTTGAAAGGAGGCCGGATTTCCTTGCAGTGGCTTGAATACAGGCTCGTCTTTCATCTCACAACATGAAGGGATGTCTGAATCCCCTGTGGAGACCTTAGAAAAAGCCCTAAGTCCCTGCCTCATTTTGACGGAATGCCTCACATCGCGCTGACACCTCGAGAGGCACGCGGAGTTCATTGCTTCAAAAGGTGACGATGCCTGACTCCTCTTGAATACTGATAGGAATCCCAAAATCCCTGTGGCTACTGGAAAGGGTCCTTTTGTGCCCTGCCTCACCTCGAGAAGCGTCCCTTTGGCCCTGCCAAGCCTCGAAGAGATTCCTGAGGTGTCCCTCGTTATTAGACAGGAGTCCTGACGTCACTGAAGAAACTCGTGTTTTGAAGGGCCATCCCCGCCGTAAGTCGAGAACATACCCCAGGTCCCCGCCGCAACTCGAGAAAAACCATGAGACTTCCCCCTAGAGGCGAGATGAGGCCCCATTCCCCTGCAGTGCATGCAGAGCTATTCCGTGATCCCATTCAAACAAGTCAGGAGCTTCGACTTGCTTAATGGATCTCGAGACAGTCCCCAAGAACACTGTCACCAGTCTAGACGGACCCTGAGGTCACCCCAGCAACGCAAAGCAGCTCCATGTGCCCCAAATCAACTCGAGATGAGGCCCGGTTCCCCTGCATTGACTCCAGAGCCATTCCCCATTCCCCATTCAACACGACCGGTGGCTCGACTTCCTTCAGGCAACTCCAGAGATGCCCCGAGAACACTGTCCCAGGTCTAGAGGAACACCAACTTCAGCACAGCAACTCGAGGAATGCTCCGTGTACCCCAAATCGTCTCGAGATGCGAGCTGATTCCCTGGCTTAGGCTCAAGACGTATGCCAACTTCCCAGAAGCACCACAGGAGGAGGCTTCTATCAGCAATAGGTATGTGGGAGGGACCCCGAGTTTGCTGCCTCAAGGGGAATATACAGCGAGAAGCCCTAACTTGAAAGGAGGCCGGATTTCCTTGCAGTGGCTTGAATACAGGCTCGTCTTTCATCTCACAACATGAAGGGATGTCTGAATCCCCTGTGGAGACCTTAGAGAAAGCCCTAGGTCCCTGCCTCATTTTGACGGAATGCCTCACATCGCGCTGACACCTCGAGAGGCACGCGGAGTTCATTGCTTCAAAAGGTGACGATGCCTGACTCCTCTTGAATACTGATAGGAATCCCAAAATCCCTGTGGCTACTGGAAAGGGTCCTTTTGTGCCCTGCCTCACCTCGAGAAGCGTCCCTTTTGCCCTGCCAAGCCTCGAAGAGATTCCTGAGGTGTCCCTCGTTACTAGACAGGAGTCCTGACGTCACTGAAGAAACTCGTGTTTTCAAGGGCCATCCCCGCCGTAAGTCGAGAACATACCCCAGGTCCCCGCCGCAACTCGAGAAAAACCATGAGACTTCCCCCTAGAGGCGAGATGAGGCCCCATTCCCCTGCAGTGCATGCAGAGCTATTCCGTGATCCCATTCAAACAAGTCAGGAGCTTCGGCTTTCTTAATGGATCTCGAGACAGTCCCCAAGAACACTGTCACCAGTCTAGACGGACCCTGAGGTCACCCCAGCAACGCAAAGCAGCTCCATGTGCCCCAAATCAACTCGAGATGAGGCCCGATTCCCCTGCATTGACTCCAGAGCCATTCCCCGTTCCCCATTCAACACGACCGGTGGCTCGACTTCATTCAGGCAACTCCAGAGATGCCCCGAGAACACTGTCCCAGGTCTAGAGGAACACCAACTTCAGCACAGCAACTCGAGGAATGCTCCGTGTACCCCAAATCGTCTCGAGATGCGAGCTGATTCCCTGGCTTAGGCTCAAGACGTATGCCAACTTCCCAGAAGCACCTCAGGAGGAGGCTTCTCTCAGCAATAGGTATGTGGGAGGGACCCCGAGTTTGCTGCCTCAAGGGGAATATACAGCGAGAAGCCCTAACTTGAAAGGAGGCCGGATTTCCTTGCAGTGGCTTGAATACAGGCTCGTCTTTCATCTCACAACATGAAGGGATGTCTGAATCCCCTGTGGAGACCTTAGAGAAAGCCCTAGGTCCCTGCCTCATTTTGACGGAATGCCTCACATCCCGCTGACACCTCGAGAGGCACGCGGAGTTCATTGCTTCAAAAGGTGACGATGCCTGACTCCTCTTGAATACTGATAGGAATCCCAAAATCCCTGTGGCTGCTGGAATGGGTCCTTGGGTGCCCTGCCTCACCTCGAGAAGCGTCCCTTTGGCCCTGCCAAGCCTTGAAGAGATTCCTGAGGTGTCCCTCGTTACTAGACAGGAGTCCTGACGTCACTGAAGAAACTCGTGTTTTGAAGGGCCATCCCCGCCGTAAGTCGAGAACATAACCCAGGTCCCCGCCGCAACTCGAGAAAAACCATGAGACTTCCCCCTAGAGGCGAGATGAGGCCCCATTCCCCTGCAGTGCATGCAGAGCTATTCCGTGATCCCATTCAAACAAGTCAGGAGCTTCGACTTGCTTAATGGATCTCGAGACAGTCCCCAAGAACACTGTCACCAGTCTAGACGGACCCTGAGGTCACCCCAGCAACGCAAAGCAGCTCCATGTGCCCCAAATCAACTCGAGATGAGGCCCGATTCCCCTGCATTGACTCCAGAGCCATTCCCCGTTCCCCATTCAAAACGACCGGTGGCTCGACTTCCTTCAGGCAACTCCAGAGATGCCCCGAGAACACTGTCCCACGTCTAGAGGAACACCAACTTCAGCACAGCAACTCGAGGAATGCTCCGTGTACCCCAAATCGTCTCGAGATGCGAGCTGATTCCCTGGCTTAGGCTCAAGACGTATGCCAACTTCCCAGAAGCACCACAGGAGGAGGCTTCTATCAGCAATAGGTATGTGGGAGGGACCCCGAGTTTGCTGCCTCAAGGGGAATATACAGCGAGAAGCCCTAACTTGAAAGGAGGCCGGATTTCCTTGCAGTGGCTTGAATACAGGCTCGTCTTTCATCTCACAACATGAAGGGATGTCTGAATCCCCTGTGGAGACCTTAGAGAAAGCCCTAGGTCCCTGCCTCATTTTGACGGAATGCCTCACATCGCGCTGATACCTCGAGAGGCACACGGAGTTCATTGCTTCAAAAGGTGACGATGCCTGACTCCTCTTGAATACTGATAGGAATCCCAAAATCCCTGTGGCTACTGGAAAGGGTCTTTTTGTGCCCTGCCTCACCTCGAGAAGCGTCCCTTTTGCCCTGCCAAGCCTCGAAGAGATTCCTGAGGTGTCCCTCGTTACTAGACAGGAGTCCTGACGTCACTGAAGAAACTCGTGTTTTGAAGGGCCATCCCCGCCGTAAGTCGAGAACATACCCCAGGTCCCCGCCGCAACTCGAGAAAAACCATGAGACTTCCCCCTAGAGGCGAGATGAGGCCCCATTCCCCTGCAGTGCATGCAGAGCTATTCCGTGATCCCATTCAAACAAGTCAGGAGCTTCGACTTGCTTAATGGATCTCGAGACAGTCCCCAAGAACACTGTCACCAGTCTAGACGGACCCTGAGGTCACCCCAGCAACGCAAAGCAGCTCCATGTGCCCCAAATCAACTCGAGATGAGGCCCGATTCCCCTGCATTGACTCCAGAGCCATTCCCCGTTCCCCATTCAACACGACCGGTGTCTCGACTTCCTTCAGGCAACTCCAGAGATGCCCCGAGAACACTGTCCCAAGTCTAGAGGAACACCAACTTCAGCACAGCAACTCGAGGAATGCTCCGTGTACCCCAAATCGTCTCGAGATGCGAGCTGATTCCCTGGCTTAGGCTCAAGACGTATGCCAACTTCCCAGAAGCACCTCAGGAGGAGGCTTCTCTCAGCAATAGGTATGTGGGAGGGACCCCGAGTTTGCTGCCTCAAGGGGAATATACAGCGAGAAGCCCTAACTTGAAAGGAGGCCGGATTTCCTTGCAGTGGCTTGAATACAGGCTCGTCTTTCATCTCACAACATGAAGGGATGTCTGAATCCCCTGTGGAGACCTTAGAGAAAGCCCTAGGTCCCTGCCTCATTTTGACGGAATGCCTCACATCGCGCTGATACCTCGAGAGGCACACGGAGTTCATTGCTTCAAAAGGTGACGATGCCTGACTCCTCTTGAATACTGATAGGAATCCCAAAATCCCTGTGGCTACTGGAAAGGGTCTTTTTGTGCCCTGCCTCACCTCGAGAAGCGTCCCTTTTGCCCTGCCAAGCCTCGAAGAGATTCCTGAGGTGTCCCTCGTTACTAGACAGGAGTCCTGACGTCACTGAAGAAACTCGTGTTTTGAAGGGCCATCCCCGCCGTAAGTCGAGAACATACCCCAGGTCCCCGCCGCAACTCGAGAAAAACCATGAGACTTCCCCCTAGAGGCGAGATGAGGCCCCATTCCCCTGCAGTGCATGCAGAGCTATTCCGTGATCCCATTCAAACAAGTCAGGAGCTTCGACTTGCTTAATGGATCTCGAGACAGTCCCCAAGAACACTGTCACCAGTCTAGACGGACCCTGAGGTCACCCCAGCAACGCAAAGCAGCTCCATGTGCCCCAAATCAACTCGAGATGAGGCCCGATTCCCCTGCATTGACTCCAGAGCCATTCCCCGTTCCCCATTCAACACGACCGGTGTCTCGACTTCCTTCAGGCAACTCCAGAGATGCCCCGAGAACACTGTCCCAAGTCTAGAGGAACACCAACTTCAGCACAGCAACTCGAGGAATGCTCCGTGTACCCCAAATCGTCTCGAGATGCGAGCTGATTCCCTGGCTTAGGCTCAAGACGTATGCCAACTTCCCAGAAGCACCTCAGGAGGAGGCTTCTCTCAGCAATAGGTATGTGGGAGGGACCCCGAGTTTGCTGCCTCAAGGGGAATATACAGCGAGAAGCCCTAACTTGAAAGGAGGCCGGATTTCCTTGCAGTGGCTTGAATACAGGCTCGTCTTTCATCTCACAACATGAAGGGATGTCTGAACCCCTGTGGAGACCTTAGAGAAAGCCCTAGGTCCCTGCCTCATTTTGACGGAATGCCTCACATCCCGCTGACACCTCGAGAGGCACGCGGAGTTCATTGCTTCAAAAGGTGACGATGCCTGACTCCTCTTGAATACTGATAGGAATCCCAAAATCCCTGTGGCTACTGGAAAGGGTCCTTTTGTGCCCTGCCTCACCTCGAGAAGCGTCCCTTTGGCCCTGCCAAGCCTCGAAGAGATTCCTGAGGTGTCCCTCGTTATTAGACAGGAGTCCTGACGTCACTGAAGAAACTCGTGTTTTGAAGGGCCATCCCCGCCGTAAGTCGAGAACATACCCCAGGTCCCCGCCGCAACTCGAGAAAAACCATGAGACTTCCCCCTAGAGGCGAGATGAGGCCCCATTCCCCTGCAGTGCATGCAGAGCTATTCCGTGATCCCATTCAAACAAGTCAGGAGCTTCGACTTGCTTAATGGATCTCGAGACAGTCCCCAAGAACACTGTCACCAGTCTAGACGGACCCTGAGGTCACCCCAGCAACGCAAAGCAGCTCCATGTGCCCCAAATCAACTCGAGATGAGGCCCGGTTCCCCTGCATTGACTCCAGAGCCATTCCCCATTCCCCATTCAACACGACCGGTGGCTCGACTTCCTTCAGGCAACTCCAGAGATGCCCCGAGAACACTGTCCCAGGTCTAGAGGAACACCAACTTCAGCACAGCAACTCGAGGAATGCTCCGTGTACCCCAAATCGTCTCGAGATGCGAGCTGATTCCCTGGCTTAGGCTCAAGACGTATGCCAACTTCCCAGAAGCACCACAGGAGGAGGCTTCTATCAGCAATAGGTATGTGGGAGGGACCCCGAGTTTGCTGCCTCAAGGGGAATATACAGCGAGAAGCCCTAACTTGAAAGGAGGCCGGATTTCCTTGCAGTGGCTTGAATACAGGCTCGTCTTTCATCTCACAACATGAAGGGATGTCTGAATCCCCTGTGGAGACCTTAGAGAAAGCCCTAGGTCCCTGCCTCATTTTGACGGAATGCCACACATCGCGCTGATACCTCGAGAGGCACGCGGAGTTCATTGCTTCAAAAGGTGACGATGCCTGACTCCTCTTGAATACTGATAGGAATCCCAAAATCCCTGTGGCTACTGGAAAGGGTCCTTTTGTGCCCTGCCTCACCTCGAGAAGCGTCCCTTTTGCCCTGCCAAGCCTCGAAGAGATTCCTGAGGTGTCCCTCGTTACTAGACAGGAGTCCTGACGTCACTGAAGAAACTCGTGTTTTCAAGGGCCATCCCCGCCGTAAGTCGAGAACATAACCCAGGTCCCCGCCGCAACTCGAGAAAAACCATGAGACTTCCCCCTAGAGGCGAGATGAGGCCCCATTCCCCTGCAGTGCATGCAGAGCTATTCCGTGATCCCATTCAAACAAGTCAGGAGCTTCGGCTTTCTTAATGGATCTCGAGACAGTCCCCAAGAACACTGTCACCAGTCTAGACGGACCCTGAGGTCACCCCAGCAACGCAAAGCAGCTCCATGTGCCCCAAATCAACTCGAGATGAGGCCCGATTCCCCTGCATTGACTCCAGAGCCATTCCCCGTTCCCCATTCAACACGACCGGTGGCTCGACTTCATTCAGGCAACTCCAGAGATGCCCCGAGAACACTGTCCCAAGTCTAGAGGAACACCAACTTCAGCACAGCAACTCGAGGAATGCTCCGTGTACCCCAAATCGTCTCGAGATGCGAGCTGATTCCCTGGCTTAGGCTCAAGACGTATGCCAACTTCCCAGAAGCACCTCAGGAGGAGGCTTCTCTCAGCAATAGGTATGTGGGAGGGACCCCGAGTTTGCTGCCTCAAGGGGAATATACAGCGAGAAGCCCTAACTTGAAAGGAGGCCGGATTTCCTTGCAGTGGCTTGAATACAGGCTCGTCTTTCATCTCACAACATGAAGGGATGTCTGAATCCCCTGTGGAGACCTTAGAGAAAGCCCTAGGTCCCTGCCTCATTTTGACGGAATGCCTCACATCCCGCTGACACCTCGAGAGGCACGCGGAGTTCATTGCTTCAAAAGGTGACGATGCCTGACTCCTCTTGAATACTGATAGGAATCCCAAAATCCCTGTGGCTGCTGGAATGGGTCCTTGGGTGCCCTGCCTCACCTCGAGAAGCGTCCCTTTGGCCCTGCCAAGCCTTGAAGAGATTCCTGAGGTGTCCCTCGTTACTAGACAGGAGTCCTGACGTCACTGAAGAAACTCGTGTTTTGAAGGGCCATCCCCGCCGTAAGTCGAGAACATAACCCAGGTCCCCGCCGCAACTCGAGAAAAACCATGAGACTTCCCCCTAGAGGCGAGATGAGGCCCCATTCCCCTGCAGTGCATGCAGAGCTATTCCGTGATCCCATTCAAACAAGTCAGGAGCTTCGACTTGCTTAATGGATCTCGAGACAGTCCCCAAGAACACTGTCACCAGTCTAGACGGACCCTGAGGTCACCCCAGCAACGCAAAGCAGCTCCATGTGCCCCAAATCAACTCGAGATGAGGCCCGATTCCCCTGCATTGACTCCAGAGCCATTCCCCGTTCCCCATTCAAAACGACCGGTGGCTCGACTTCCTTCAGGCAACTCCAGAGATGCCCCGAGAACACTGTCCCAAGTCTAGAGGAACACCAACTTCAGCACAGCAACTCGAGGAATGCTCCGTGTACCCCAAATCGTCTCGAGATGCGAGCTGATTCCCTGGCTTAGGCTCAAGACGTATGCCAACTTCCCAGAAGCACCTCAGGAGGAGGCTTCTATCAGCAATAGGTATGTGGGAGGGACCCCGAGTTTGCTGCCTCAAGGGGAATATACAGCGAGAAGCCCTAACTTGAAAGGAGGCCGGATTTCCTTGCAGTGGCTTGAATACAGGCTCGTCTTTCATCTCACAACATGAAGGGATGTCTGAATCCCCTGTGGAGACCTTAGAAAAAGCCCTAGGTCCCTGCCTCATTTTGACGGAATGCCTCACATCGCGCTGACACCTCGAGAGGCACGCGGAGTTCATTGCTTCAAAAGGTGACGATGCCTGACTCCTCTTGAATACTGATAGGAATCCCAAAATCCCTGTGGCTACTGGAAAGGGTCCTTTTGTGCCCTGCCTCACCTCGAGAAGCGTCCCTTTTGCCCTGCCAAGCCTCGAAGAGATTCCTGAGGTGTCCCTCGTTATTAGACAGGAGTCCTGACGTCACTGAAGAAACTCGTGTTTTGAAGGGCCATCCCCGCCGTAAGTCGAGAACATACCCCAGGTCCCCGCCGCAACTCGAGAAAAACCATGAGACTTCCCCCTAGAGGCGAGATGAGGCCCCATTCCCCTGCAGTGCATGCAGAGCTATTCCGTGATCCCATTCAAACAAGTCAGGAGCTTCGACTTGCTTAATGGATCTCGAGACAGTCCCCAAGAACACTGTCACCAGTCTAGACGGACCCTGAGGTCACCCCAGCAACGCAAAGCAGCTCCATGTGCCCCAAATCAACTCGAGATGAGGCCCGGTTCCCCTGCATTGACTCCAGAGCCATTCCCCATTCCCCATTCAACACGACCGGTGGCTCGACTTCCTTCAGGCAACTCCAGAGATGCCCCGAGAACACTGTCCCAGGTCTAGAGGAACACCAACTTCAGCACAGCAACTCGAGGAATGCTCCGTGTACCCCAAATCGTCTCGAGATGCGAGCTGATTCCCTGGCTTAGGCTCAAGACGTATGCCAACTTCCCAGAAGCACCACAGGAGGAGGCTTCTATCAGCAATAGGTATGTGGGAGGGACCCCGAGTTTGCTGCCTCAAGGGGAATATACAGCGAGAAGCCCTAACTTGAAAGGAGGCCGGATTTCCTTGCAGTGGCTTGAATACAGGCTCGTCTTTCATCTCACAACATGAAGGGATGTCTGAATCCCCTGTGGAGACCTTAGAGAAAGCCCTAGGTCCCTGCCTCATTTTGACGGAATGCCACACATCGCGCTGATACCTCGAGAGGCACGCGGAGTTCATTGCTTCAAAAGGTGACGATGCCTGACTCCTCTTGAATACTGATAGGAATCCCAAAATCCCTGTGGCTACTGGAAAGGGTCCTTTTGTGCCCTGCCTCACCTCGAGAAGCGTCCCTTTTGCCCTGCCAAGCCTCGAAGAGATTCCTGAGGTGTCCCTCGTTACTAGACAGGAGTCCTGACGTCACTGAAGAAACTCGTGTTTTCAAGGGCCATCCCCGCCGTAAGTCGAGAACATACCCCAGGTCCCCGCCGCAACTCGAGAAAAACCATGAGACTTCCCCCTAGAGGCGAGATGAGGCCCCATTCCCCTGCAGTGCATGCAGAGCTATTCCGTGATCCCATTCAAACAAGTCAGGAGCTTCGGCTTTCTTAATGGATCTCGAGACAGTCCCCAAGAACACTGTCACCAGTCTAGACGGACCCTGAGGTCACCCCAGCAACGCAAAGCAGCTCCATGTGCCCCAAATCAACTCGAGATGAGGCCCGATTCCCCTGCATTGACTCCAGAGCCATTCCCCGTTCCCCATTCAACACGACCGGTGGCTCGACTTCATTCAGGCAACTCCAGAGATGCCCCGAGAACACTGTCCCAAGTCTAGAGGAACACCAACTTCAGCACAGCAACTCGAGGAATGCTCCGTGTACCCCAAATCGTCTCGAGATGCGAGCTGATTCCCTGGCTTAGGCTCAAGACGTATGCCAACTTCCCAGAAGCACCTCAGGAGGAGGCTTCTCTCAGCAATAGGTATGTGGGAGGGACCCCGAGTTTGCTGCCTCAAGGGGAATATACAGCGAGAAGCCCTAACTTGAAAGGAGGCCGGATTTCCTTGCAGTGGCTTGAATACAGGCTCGTCTTTCATCTCACAACATGAAGGGATGTCTGAATCCCCTGTGGAGACCTTAGAGAAAGCCCTAGGTCCCTGCCTCATTTTGACGGAATGCCTCACATCCCGCTGACACCTCGAGAGGCACGCGGAGTTCATTGCTTCAAAAGGTGACGATGCCTGACTCCTCTTGAATACTGATAGGAATCCCAAAATCCCTGTGGCTGCTGGAATGGGTCCTTGGGTGCCCTGCCTCACCTCGAGAAGCGTCCCTTTGGCCCTGCCAAGCCTCGAAGAGATTCCTGAGGTGTCCCTCGTTACTAGACAGGAGTCCTGACGTCACTGAAGAAACTCGTGTTTTGAAGGGCCATCCCCGCCGTAAGTCGAGAACATAACCCAGGTCCCCGCCGCAACTCGAGAAAAACCATGAGACTTCCCCCTAGAGGCGAGATGAGGCCCCATTCCCCTGCAGTGCATGCAGAGCTATTCCGTGATCCCATTCAAACAAGTCAGGAGCTTCGACTTGCTTAATGGATCTCGAGACAGTCCCCAAGAACACTGTCACCAGTCTAGACGGACCCTGAGGTCACCCCAGCAACGCAAAGCAGCTCCATGTGCCCCAAATCAACTCGAGATGAGGCCCGATTCCCCTGCATTGACTCCAGAGCCATTCCCCATTCCCCATTCAAAACGACCGGTGGCTCGACTTCCTTCAGGCAACTCCAGAGATGCCCCGAGAACACTGTCCCACGTCTAGAGGAACACCAACTTCAGCACAGCAACTCGAGGAATGCTCCGTGTACCCCAAATCGTCTCGAGATGCGAGCTGATTCCCTGGCTTAGGCTCAAGACGTATGCCAACTTCCCAGAAGCACCACAGGAGGAGGCTTCTATCAGCAATAGGTATGTGGGAGGGACCCCGAGTTTGCTGCCTCAAGGGGAATATACAGCGAGAAGCCCTAACTTGAAAGGAGGCCGGATTTCCTTGCAGTGGCTTGAATACAGGCTCGTCTTTCATCTCACAACATGAAGGGATGTCTGAATCCCCTGTGGAGACCTTAGAGAAAGCCCTAGGTCCCTGCCTCATTTTGACGGAATGCCTCACATCGCGCTGATACCTCGAGAGGCACACGGAGTTCATTGCTTCAAAAGGTGACGATGCCTGACTCCTCTTGAATACTGATAGGAATCCCAAAATCCCTGTGGCTACTGGAAAGGGTCTTTTTGTGCCCTGCCTCACCTCGAGAAGCGTCCCTTTTGCCCTGCCAAGCCTCGAAGAGATTCCTGAGGTGTCCCTCGTTACTAGACAGGAGTCCTGACGTCACTGAAGAAACTCGTGTTTTGAAGGGCCATCCCCGCCGTAAGTCGAGAACATACCCCAGGTCCCCGCCGCAACTCGAGAAAAACCATGAGACTTCCCCCTAGAGGCGAGATGAGGCCCCATTCCCCTGCAGTGCATGCAGAGCTATTCCGTGATCCCATTCAAACAAGTCAGGAGCTTCGACTTGCTTAATGGATCTCGAGACAGTCCCCAAGAACACTGTCACCAGTCTAGACGGACCCTGAGGTCACCCCAGCAACGCAAAGCAGCTCCATGTGCCCCAAATCAACTCGAGATGAGGCCCGATTCCCCTGCATTGACTCCAGAGCCATTCCCCGTTCCCCATTCAACACGACCGGTGTCTCGACTTCCTTCAGGCAACTCCAGAGATGCCCCGAGAACACTGTCCCAAGTCTAGAGGAACACCAACTTCAGCACAGCAACTCGAGGAATGCTCCGTGTACCCCAAATCGTCTCGAGATGCGAGCTGATTCCCTGGCTTAGGCTCAAGACGTATGCCAACTTCCCAGAAGCACCTCAGGAGGAGGCTTCTCTCAGCAATAGGTATGTGGGAGGGACCCCGAGTTTGCTGCCTCAAGGGGAATATACAGCGAGAAGCCCTAACTTGAAAGGAGGCCGGATTTCCTTGCAGTGGCTTGAATACAGGCTCGTCTTTCATCTCACAACATGAAGGGATGTCTGAACCCCTGTGGAGACCTTAGAGAAAGCCCTAGGTCCCTGCCTCATTTTGACGGAATGCCTCACATCCCGCTGACACCTCGAGAGGCACGCGGAGTTCATTGCTTCAAAAGGTGACGATGCCTGACTCCTCTTGAATACTGATAGGAATCCCAAAATCCCTGTGGCTACTGGAAAGGGTCCTTGGGTGCCCTGCCTCACCTCGAGAAGCGTCCCTTTTGCCCTGCCAAGCCTCGAAGAGATTCCTGAGGTGTCCCTCGTTACTAGACAGGAGTCCTGACGTCACTGAAGAAACTCGTGTTTTGAAGGGCCATCCCCGCCGTAAGACGAGAACATACCCCAGGTCCCCGCCGCAACTCGAGAAAAACCATGAGACTTCCCCCTAGAGGCGAGATGAGGCCCCATTCCCCTGCAGTGCATGCAGAGCTATTCCGTGATCCCATTCAAACAAGTCAGGAGCTTCGACTTGCTTAATGGATCTCGAGACAGTCCCCAAGAACACTGTCACCAGTCTAGACGGACCCTGAGGTCACCCCAGCAACGCAAAGCAGCTCCATGTGCCCCAAATCAACTCGAGATGAGGCCCGGTTCCCCTGCATTGACTCCAGAGCCATTCCCCGTTCCCCATTCAACACGACCGGTGGCTCGACTTCCTTCAGGCAACTCCAGAGATGCCCCGAGAACACTGTCCCAAGTCTAGAGGAACACCAACTTCAGCACAGCAACTCGAGGAATGCTCCGTGTACCCCAAATCGTCTCGAGATGCGAGCTGATTCCCTGGCTTAGGCTCAAGACGTATGCCAACTTCCCAGAAGCACCTCAGGAGGAGGCTTCTCTCAGCAATAGGTATGTGGGAGGGACCCCGAGTTTGCTGCCTCAAGGGGAATATACAGCGAGAAGCCCTAACTTGAAAGGAGGCCGGATTTCCTTGCAGTGGCTTGAATACAGGCTCGTCTTTCATCTCACAACATGAAGGGATGTCTGAATCCCCTGTGGAGACCTTAGAAAAAGCCCTAAGTCCCTGCCTCATTTTGACGGAATGCCTCACATCGCGCTGACACCTCGAGAGGCACGCGGAGTTCATTGCTTCAAAAGGTGACGATGCCTGACTCCTCTTGAATACTGATAGGAATCCCAAAATCCCTGTGGCTACTGGAAAGGGTCCTTTTGTGCCCTGCCTCACCTCGAGAAGCGTCCCTTTGGCCCTGCCAAGCCTCGAAGAGATTCCTGAGGTGTCCCTCGTTACTAGACAGGAGTCCTGACGTCACTGAAGAAACTCGTGTTTTGAAGGGCCATCCCCGCCGTAAGTCGAGAACATACCCCAGGTCCCCGCCGCAACTCGAGAAAAACCATGAGACTTCCCCCTAGAGGCGAGATGAGGCCCCATTCCCCTGCAGTGCATGCAGAGCTATTCCGTGATCCCATTCAAACAAGTCAGGAGCTTCGACTTGCTTAATGGATCTCGAGACAGTCCCCAAGAACACTGTCACCAGTCTAGACGGACCCTGAGGTCACCCCAGCAACGCAAAGCAGCTCCATGTGCCCCAAATCAACTCGAGATGAGGCCCGGTTCCCCTGCATTGACTCCAGAGCCATTCCCCATTCCCCATTCAACACGACCGGTGGCTCGACTTCCTTCAGGCAACTCCAGAGATGCCCCGAGAACACTGTCCCAGGTCTAGAGGAACACCAACTTCAGCACAGCAACTCGAGGAATGCTCCGTGTACCCCAAATCGTCTCGAGATGCGAGCTGATTCCCTGGCTTAGGCTCAAGACGTATGCCAACTTCCCAGAAGCACCACAGGAGGAGGCTTCTATCAGCAATAGGTATGTGGGAGGGACCCCGAGTTTGCTGCCTCAAGGGGAATATACAGCGAGAAGCCCTAACTTGAAAGGAGGCCGGATTTCCTTGCAGTGGCTTGAATACAGGCTCGTCTTTCATCTCACAACATGAAGGGATGTCTGAATCCCCTGTGGAGACCTTAGAGAAAGCCCTAGGTCCCTGCCTCATTTTGACGGAATGCCACACATCGCGCTGATACCTCGAGAGGCACGCGGAGTTCATTGCTTCAAAAGGTGACGATGCCTGACTCCTCTTGAATACTGATAGGAATCCCAAAATCCCTGTGGCTACTGGAAAGGGTCCTTTTGTGCCCTGCCTCACCTCGAGAAGCGTCCCTTTTGCCCTGCCAAGCCTCGAAGAGATTCCTGAGGTGTCCCTCGTTACTAGACAGGAGTCCTGACGTCACTGAAGAAACTCGTGTTTTCAAGGGCCATCCCCGCCGTAAGTCGAGAACATACCCCAGGTCCCCGCCGCAACTCGAGAAAAACCATGAGACTTCCCCCTAGAGGCGAGATGAGGCCCCATTCCCCTGCAGTGCATGCAGAGCTATTCCGTGATCCCATTCAAACAAGTCAGGAGCTTCGGCTTTCTTAATGGATCTCGAGACAGTCCCCAAGAACACTGTCACCAGTCTAGACGGACCCTGAGGTCACCCCAGCAACGCAAAGCAGCTCCATGTGCCCCAAATCAACTCGAGATGAGGCCCGATTCCCCCGCATTGACTCCAGAGCCATTCCCCGTTCCCCATTCAACACGACCGGTGGCTCGACTTCATTCAGGCAACTCCAGAGATGCCCCGAGAACACTGTCCCAAGTCTAGAGGAACACCAACTTCAGCACAGCAACTCGAGGAATGCTCCGTGTACCCCAAATCGTCTCGAGATGCGAGCTGATTCCCTGGCTTAGGCTCAAGACGTATGCCAACTTCCCAGAAGCACCTCAGGAGGAGGCTTCTCTCAGCAATAGGTATGTGGGAGGGACCCCGAGTTTGCTGCCTCAAGGGGAATATACAGCGAGAAGCCCTAACTTGAAAGGAGGCCGGATTTCCTTGCAGTGGCTTGAATACAGGCTCGTCTTTCATCTCACAACATGAAGGGATGTCTGAATCCCCTGTGGAGACCTTAGAGAAAGCCCTAGGTCCCTGCCTCATTTTGACGGAATGCCTCACATCCCGCTGACACCTCGAGAGGCACGCGGAGTTCATTGCTTCAAAAGGTGACGATGCCTGACTCCTCTTGAATACTGATAGGAATCCCAAAATCCCTGTGGCTGCTGGAATGGGTCCTTGGGTGCCCTGCCTCACCTCGAGAAGCGTCCCTTTGGCCCTGCCAAGCCTTGAAGAGATTCCTGAGGTGTCCCTCGTTACTAGACAGGAGTCCTGACGTCACTGAAGAAACTCGTGTTTTGAAGGGCCATCCCCGCCGTAAGTCGAGAACATAACCCAGGTCCCCGCCGCAACTCGAGAAAAACCATGAGACTTCCCCCTAGAGGCGAGATGAGGCCCCATTCCCCTGCAGTGCATGCAGAGCTATTCCGTGATCCCATTCAAACAAGTCAGGAGCTTCGACTTGCTTAATGGATCTCGAGACAGTCCCCAAGAACACTGTCACCAGTCTAGACGGACCCTGAGGTCACCCCAGCAACGCAAAGCAGCTCCATGTGCCCCAAATCAACTCGAGATGAGGCCCGATTCCCCTGCATTGACTCCAGAGCCATTCCCCATTCCCCATTCAAAACGACCGGTGGCTCGACTTCCTTCAGGCAACTCCAGAGATGCCCCGAGAACACTGTCCAACGTCTAGAGGAACACCAACTTCAGCACAGCAACTCGAGGAATGCTCCGTGTACCCCAAATCGTCTCGAGATGCGAGCTGATTCCCTGGCTTAGGCTCAAGACGTATGCCAACTTCCCAGAAGCACCACAGGAGGAGGCTTCTATCAGCAATAGGTATGTGGGAGGGACCCCGAGTTTGCTGCCTCAAGGGGAATATACAGCGAGAAGCCCTAACTTGAAAGGAGGCCGGATTTCCTTGCAGTGGCTTGAATACAGGCTCGTCTTTCATCTCACAACATGAAGGGATGTCTGAATCCCCTGTGGAGACCTTAGAGAAAGCCCTAGGTCCCTGCCTCATTTTGACGGAATGCCTCACATCGCGCTGATACCTCGAGAGGCACACGGAGTTCATTGCTTCAAAAGGTGACGATGCCTGACTCCTCTTGAATACTGATAGGAATCCCAAAATCCCTGTGGCTACTGGAAAGGGTCTTTTTGTGCCCTGCCTCACCTCGAGAAGCGTCCCTTTTGCCCTGCCAAGCCTCGAAGAGATTCCTGAGGTGTCCCTCGTTACTAGACAGGAGTCCTGACGTCACTGAAGAAACTCGTGTTTTGAAGGGCCATCCCCGCCGTAAGTCGAGAACATACCCCAGGTCCCCGCCGCAACTCGAGAAAAACCATGAGACTTCCCCCTAGAGGCGAGATGAGGCCCCATTCCCCTGCAGTGCATGCAGAGCTATTCCGTGATCCCATTCAAACAAGTCAGGAGCTTCGACTTGCTTAATGGATCTCGAGACAGTCCCCAAGAACACTGTCACCAGTCTAGACGGACCCTGAGGACACCCCAGCAACGCAAAGCAGCTCCATGTGCCCCAAATCAACTCGAGATGAGGCCCGATTCCCCTGCATTGACTCCAGAGCCATTCCCCGTTCCCCATTCAACACGACCGGTGTCTCGACTTCCTTCAGGCAACTCCAGAGATGCCCCGAGAACACTGTCCCAAGTCTAGAGGAACACCAACTTCAGCACAGCAACTCGAGGAATGCTCCGTGTACCCCAAATCGTCTCGAGATGCGAGCTGATTCCCTGGCTTAGGCTCAAGACGTATGCCAACTTCCCAGAAGCACCTCAGGAGGAGGCTTCTCTCAGCAATAGGTATGTGGGAGGGACCCCGAGTTTGCTGCCTCAAGGGGAATATACAGCGAGAAGCCCTAACTTGAAAGGAGGCCGGATTTCCTTGCAGTGGCTTGAATACAGGCTCGTCTTTCATCTCACAACATGAAGGGATGTCTGAACCCCTGTGGAGACCTTAGAGAAAGCCCTAGGTCCCTGCCTCATTTTGACGGAATGCCTCACATCCCGCTGACACCTCGAGAGGCACGCGGAGTTCATTGCTTCAAAAGGTGACGATGCCTGACTCCTCTTGAATACTGATAGGAATCCCAAAATCCCTGTGGCTACTGGAAAGGGTCCTTGGGTGCCCTGCCTCACCTCGAGAAGCGTCCCTTTTGCCCTGCCAAGCCTCGAAGAGATTCCTGAGGTGTCCCTCGTTACTAGACAGGAGTCCTGACGTCACTGAAGAAACTCGTGTTTTGAAGGGCCATCCCCGCCGTAAGACGAGAACATACCCCAGGTCCCCGGGGCAACTCGAGAAAAACCATGAGACTTCCCCCTAGAGGCGAGATGAGGCCCCATTCCCCTGCAGTGCATGCAGAGCTATTCCGTGATCCCATTCAAACAAGTCAGGAGCTTCGACTTGCTTAATGGATCTCGAGACAGTCCCCAAGAACACTGTCACCAGTCTAGACGGACCCTGAGGTCACCCCAGCAACGCAAAGCAGCTCCATGTGCCCCAAATCAACTCGAGATGAGGCCCGGTTCCCCTGCATTGACTCCAGAGCCATTCCCCGTTCCCCATTCAACACGACCCGTGGCTCGACTTCCTTCAGGCAACTCCAGAGATGCCCCGAGAACACTGTCCCAAGTCTAGAGGAACACCAACTTCAGCACAGCAACTCGAGGAATGCTCCGTGTACCCCAAATCGTCTCGAGATGCGAGCTGATTCCCTGGCTTAGGCTCAAGACGTATGCCAACTTCCCAGAAGCACCTCAGGAGGAGGCTTCTCTCAGCAATAGGTATGTGGGAGGGACCCCGAGTTTGCTGCCTCAAGGGGAATATACAGCGAGAAGCCCTAACTTGAAAGGAGGCCGGATTTCCTTGCAGTGGCTTGAATACAGGCTCGTCTTTCATCTCACAACATGAAGGAATGTCTGAATCCCCTGTGGAGACCTTAGAGAAAGCCCTAGGTCCCTGCCTCATTTTGACGGAATGCCTCACATCCCGCTGACACCTCGAGAGGCACGCGGAGTTCATTGCTTCAAAAGGTGACGATGCCTGACTCCTCTTGAATACTGATAGGAATCCCAAAATCCCTGTGGCTACTGGAAAGGGTCCTTGGGTGCCCTGCCTCACCTCGAGAAGCGTCCCTTTGGCCCTGCCAAGCCTCGAAGAGATTCCTGAGGTGTCCCTCGTTACTAGACAGGAGTCCTGACGTCACTGAAGAAACTCGTGTTTTGAAGGGCCATCCCCTCCGTAAGTCGAGAACATACCATAGGTCCCCGCGGCAACTCGAGAAAAACCATGAGACTTCCCCCTAGAGGCGAGATGAGGCCCCATTCCCCTGCAGTGCATGCAGAGCTATTGCGTGATCCCATTCAAACAAGTCAGGAGATTCGGCTTGCTTAATGGATCTCGAGACAGTCCCCAAGAACACTGTCACCAGTCTAGACGGACCCTGAGGTCACCCCAGCAACGCAAAGCAGCTCCATGTGCCCCAAATCAACTCGAGATGAGGCCCGATTCCCCTGCATTGACTCCAGAGCCATTCCCCGTTCCCCATTCAACACGACCGGTGGCTCGACTTCCTTCAGGCAACTCCAGAGATGCCCCGAGAACACTGTCCCAAGTCTAGCGGAACACCAACTTCAGCACAGCAACTCGAGGAATGCTCCGTGTACCCCAAATCGTCTCGAGATGCGAGCTGATTCCCTGGCTTAGGCTCAAGACGTATGCCAACTTCCCAGAAGCACCTCAGGAGGAGGCTTCTCTCAGCAATAGGTATGTGGGAGGGACCCCGAGTTTGCTGCCTCAAGGGGAATATACAGCGAGAAGCCCTAACTTGAAAGGAGGCCGGATTTCCTTGCAGTGGCTTGAATACAGGCTCGTCTTTCATCTCACAACATGAAGGGATGTCTGAATCCCCTGTGGAGACCTTAGAGAAAGCCCTAGGTCCCTGCCTCATTTTGACGGAATGCCTCACATCGCGCTGACACCTCGAGAGGCACGCGGAGTTCATTGCTTCAAAAGGTGACGATGCCTGACTCCTCTTGAATACTGATAGGAATCCCAAAATCCCTGTGGCTACTGGAAAGGGTCCTTGGGTGCCCTGCCTCACTTCGAGAAGCGTCCCTTTTGCCCTGCCAAGCCTCGAAGAGATTCCTGAGGTGTCCCTCGTTACTAGACAGGAGTCCTGACGTCACTGAAGAAACTCGTGTTTTGAAGGGCCATCCCCGCCGTAAGTCGAGAACATACCCCAGGTCCCCGCCGCAACTCGAGAAAAACCATGAGACTTCCCCCTAGAGGCGAGATGAGGCCCCATTCCCCTGCAGTGCATGCAGAGCTATTCCGTGATCCCATTCAAACAAGTCAGGAGCTTCGACTTGCTTAATGGATCTCGAGACAGTCCCCAAGAACACTGTCACCAGTCTAGACGGACCCTGAGGTCACCCCAGCAACGCAAAGCAGCTCCATGTGCCCCAAATCAACTCGAGATGAGGCCCGGTTCCCCTGCATTGACCCCAGAGCCATTCCCCGTTCCCCATTCAACACGACCGGTGGCTCGACTTCCTTCAGGCAACTCCAGAGATGCCCCGAGAACACTGTCCCAAGTCTAGAGGAACACCAACTTCAGCACAGCAACTCGAGGAATGCTCCGTGTACCCCAAATCGTCTCGAGATGCGAGCTGATTCCCTGGCTTAGGCTCAAGACGTATGCCAACTTCCCAGAAGCACCTCAGGAGGAGGCTTCTCTCAGCAATAGGTATGTGGGAGGGACCCCGAGTTTGCTGCCTCAAGGGGAATATACAGCGAGAAGCCCTAACTTGAAAGGAGGCCGGATTTCCTTGCAGTGGCTTGAATACAGGCTCGTCTTTCATCTCACAACATGAAGGGATGTCTGAATCCCCTGTGGAGACCTTAGAGAAAGCCCTAGGTCCCTGCCTCATTTTGACGGAATGCCTCACATCGCGCTGACACCTCGAGAGGCACGCGGAGTTCATTGCTTCAAAAGGTGACGATGCCTGACTCCTCTTGAATACTGATAGGAATCCCAAAATCCCTGTGGCTACTGGAAAGGGTCCTTGGGTGCCCTGCCTCACTTCGAGAAGCGTCCCTTTTGCCCTGCCAAGCCTCGAAGAGATTCCTGAGGTGTCCCTCGTTACTAGACAGGAGTCCTGACGTCACTGAAGAAACTCGTGTTTTGAAGGGCCATCCCCGCCGTAAGTCGAGAACATACCCCAGGTCCCCGCCGCAACTCGAGAAAAACCATGAGACTTCCCCCTAGAGGCGAGATGAGGCCCCATTCCCCTGCAGTGCATGCAGAGATATTCCGTGATCCCATTCAAAAAAGTCAGGAGCTTCGACTTGCTTAATGGATCTCGAGACAGTCCCCAAGAACACTGTCACCAGTCTAGACGGACCCTGAGGTCACCCCAGCAACGCAAAGCAGCTCCATGTGCCCCAAATCAACTCGAGATGAGGCCCGATTCCCCTGGATTGACTCCAGAGCCATTCCCCGTTCCCCATTCAACACGACCGGTGGCTCGACTTCCTTCAGGCAACTCCAGAGATGCCCCGAGAACACTGTCCCAAGTCTAGAGGAACACCAACTTCAGCACAGCAACTCGAGGAATGCTCCGTGTACACCAAATCGTCTCGAGATGCGAGCTGATTCCCTGGCTTAGGCTCAAGACGTATGCCAACTTCCCAGAAGCACCACAGGAGGAGGCTTCTCTCAGCAATAGGTATGTGGGAGGGACCCCGAGTTTGCTGCCTCAAGGGGAATATACAGCGAGAAGCCCTAACTTGAAAGGAGGCCGGATTTCCTTGCAGTGGCTTGAATACAGGCTCGTCTTTCATCTCACAACATGAAGGGATGTCTGAATCCCCTGTGGAGACCTTAGAGAAAGCCCTAGGTCCCTGCCTCATTTTGACGGAATGCCTCACATCGCGCTGATACCTCGAGAGGCACGCGGAGTTCATTGCTTCAAAAGGTGACGATGCCTGACTCCTCTTGAATACTGATAGGAATCCCAAAATCCCTGTGGCTACTGGAAAGGGTCCTTTTGTGCCCTGCCTCACCTCGAGAAGCGTCCCTTTAGCCCTGCCAAGCCTCGAAGAGATTCCTGAGGTGTCCCTCGTTACTAGACAGGAGTCCTGACGTCACTGAAGAAACTCGTGTTTTGAAGGGCCATCCCCGCCGTAAGTCGAGAACATACCTCAGGTCCCCGCCGCAACTCGAGAAAAACCATGAGACTTCCCCCTAGAGGCGAGATGAGGCCCGATTCCCCTGCAGTGCATGCAGAGCTATTCCGTGATCCCATTCAAACAAGTCAGGAGCTTCGACTTGCTTAATGGATCTCGAGACAGTCCCCAAGAACACTGTCACCAGTCTAGACGGACCCTGAGGTCATCCCAGCAACGCAAAGCAGCTCCATGTGCCCCAAATCAACTCGAGATGAGGCCCGATTCGCCTGCATTGACTCCAGAGCCATTCCCCGTTCCCCATTCAACACGACCGGTGGCTCGACTTCCTTCAGGCAACTCCAGAGATGCCCCGAGAACACTGTCCCAAGTCTAGAGGAACACCAACTTCAGCACAGCAACTCGAGGAATGCTCCGTGTACCCCAAATCGTCTCGAGATGCGAGCTGATTCCCTGGCTTAGGCTCAAGACGTATGCCAACTTCCCAGAAGCACCTCAGGAGGAGGCTTCTCTCAGCAATAGGTATGTGGGAGGGACCCCGAGTTTGCTGCCTCAAGGGGAATATACAGCGAGAAGCCCTAACTTGAAAGGAGGCCGGATTTCCTTGCAGTGGCTTGAACACAGGCTCGTCTTTCATCTCACAACATGAAGGGATGTCTGAATCCCCTGTGGAGACCTTAGAGAAAGCCCTAGGTCCCTGCCTCATTTTGACGGAATGCCTCACATCCCGCTGACACCTCGAGAGGCACGCGGAGTTCATTGCTTCAAAAGGTGACGATGCCTGACTCCTCTTGAATACTGATAGGAATCCCAAAATCCCTGTGGCTACTGGAAAGGGTCCTTCGGTGCCCTGCCTCACCTCGAGAAGCGTCCCTTTTGCCCTGCCAAGCCTTGAAGAGATTCCTGAGGTGTCCCTCGTTACTAGACAGGAGTCCTGACGTCACTGAAGAAACTCGTGTTTTGAAGGGCCATCCCCGCCGTAAGTCGAGAACATACCCCAGGTCCCAGCCGCAACTCGAGAAAAACCATGAGACTTCCCCCTAGAGGCGAGATGAGGCCCCATTCCCCTGCAGTGCATGCAGAGCTATTCCGTGATCCCATTCAAACAAGTCAGGAGCTTCGACTTGCTTAATGGATCTCGAGACAGTCCCCAAGAACACTGTCACCAGTCTAGACGGACCCTGAGGTCACCCCAGCAACGCAAAGCAGCTCCATGTGCCCCAAATCAACTCGAGATGAGGCCCGATTCCCCTGCATTGACTCCAGAGCCATTCCCCATTCCCCATTCAACACGACCGGTGGCTCGACTTCCTTCAGGCAACTCCAGAGATGCCCCGAGAACACTGTCCCAGGTCTAGAGGAACACCAACTTCAGCACAGCAACTCGAGGAATGCTCCGTGTACCCCAAATCGTCTCGAGATGTGAGCTGATTCCCTGTCGTAGGCTCAAGACGTATGCCAACTTCCCAGAAGCACCACAGGAGGAGGCTTCTATCAGCAATAGGTATGTGGGAGGCACCCCGAGTTTGCTGCCTCAAGGGGAATATACAGCGAGAAGCCCTAACTTGAAAGGAGGCCGGATTTCCTTGCAGTGGCTTGAATACAGGCTCGTCTTTCATCTCACAACATGAAGGGATGTCTGAATCCCCTGTGGAGACCTTAGAGAAAGCCCTAGGTCCCTGCCTCATTTTGACGGAATGCCTCACATCGCGCTGATACCTCGAGAGGCACGCGGAGTTCATTGCTTCAAAAGGTGACGATGCCTGACTCCTCTTGAATACTGATAGGAATCCCAAAATCCCTGTGGCTACTGGAAAGGGTCCTTGGGTGCCCTGCCTCACCTCGAGAAGCGTCCCTTTTGCCCTGCCAAGCCTCAAAGAGATTCCTGAGGTGTCCCTCGTTACTAGACAGGAGTCCTGACGTCACTGAAGAAACTCGTGTTTTGAAGGGCCATCCCCGCCGTAAGACGAGAACATACCCCAGGTCCCCGCCGCAACTCGAGAAAAACCATGAGACTTCCCCCTAGAGGCGAGATGAGGCCCCATTCCCCTGCAGTGCATGCAGAGCTATTCCGTGATCCCATTCAAACAAGTCAGGAGCTTCGACTTGCTTAATGGATCTCGAGACAGTCCCCAAGAACACTGTCACCAGTCTAGACGGACCCTGAGGTCACCCCAGCAACGCAAAGCAGCTCCATGTGCCCCAAATCAACTCGAGATGAGGCCCGATTCCCCTGCATTGACTCCAGAGCCATTCCCCGTTCCCCATTCAACACGACCGGTGGCTCGACTTCCTTCAGGCAACTCCAGAGATGCCCCGAGAACACTGTCCCAAGTCTAGAGGAACACCAACTTCAGCACAGCAACTCGAGGAATGCTCCGTGTACCCCAAATCGTCTCGAGATGCGAGCTGATTCCCTGGCTTAGGCTCAAGACGTATGCCAACTTCCCAGAAGCACCACAGGAGGAGGCTTCTCTCAGCAATAGGTATGTGGGAGGGACCCCGAGTTTGCTGCCTCAAGGGGAATATACAGCGAGAAGCCCTAACTTGAAAGGAGGCCGGATTTCCTTGCAGTGGCTTGAATACAGGCTCGTCTTTCATCTCACAACATGAAGGAATGTCTGAATCCCCTGTGGAGATCTTAGAGAAAGCCCTAGGTCCCTGCCTCATTTTGACGGAATGCCTCACATCGCGCTGATACCTCGAGAGGAACGCGGAGTTCATTGCTTCAAAAGGTGACGATGCCTGACTCCTCTTGAATACTGATAGGAATCCCAAAATCCCTGTGGCTACTGGAAAGGGTCCTTTGGTGCCCTGCCTCACCTCGAGAAGCGTCCCTTTTGCCCTGCCAAGCCTCGAAGAGATTCCTGAGGTGTCCCTCGTTACTAGACAGGAGTCCTGACGTCACTGAAGAAACTCGTGTTTTGAAGGGCCATCCCCGCCGTAAGTCGAGAACATACCCCAGGTCCCCACCGCAACTCGAGAAAAACCATGAGACTTCCCCCTAGAGGCGAGATGAGGCCCCATTCCCCTGCAGTGCATGCAGAGCTATTCCGTGATCCCATTCAAACAAGTCAGGAGCTTCGGCTTGCTTAATGGATCTCGAGACAGTCCCCAAGAACACTGTCACCAGTCTAGACGGACCCTGAGGTCACCCCAGCAACGCAAAGCAGCTCCATGTGCCCCAAATCAACTCGAGATGAGGCCCGATTCCCCTGCATTGACTCCAGAGCCATTCCCCGTTCCCCATTCAACACGACCGGTGGCTCGACTTCCTTCAGGCAACTCCAGAGATGCCCCGAGAACACTGTCCCAAGTCTAGAGGAACACCAACTTCAGCACAGCAACTCGAGGAATGCTCCGTGTACCCCAAATCGTCTCGAGATGCGAGCTGATTCCCTGGCTTAGGCTCAAGACGTATGCCAACTTCCCAGAAGCACCTCAGGAGGAGGCTTCTCTCAGCAATAGGTATGTGGGAGGGACCCCGAGTTTGCTGCCTCAAGGGGAATATACAGCGAGAAGCCCTAACTTGAAAGGAGGCCGGATTTCCTTGCAGTGGCTTGAATACAGGCTCGTCTTTCATCTCACAACATGAAGGGATGTCTGAATCCCCTGTGGAGACCTTAGAGAAAGCCCTAGGTCCCTGCCTCATTTTGACGGAATGCCTCACATCCCGCTGACAACTCGAGAGGCACGCGGAGTTCATTGCTTCAAAAGGTGACGATGCCTGACTCCTCTTGAATACTGATAGGAATCCCAAAATCCCTGTGGCTACTGGAAAGGGTCCTTGGGTGCCCTGCCTCACCTCGAGAAGCGTCCCTTTTGCCCTGCCAAGCCTCGAAGAGATTCCTGAGGTGTCCCTCGTTACTAGACAGGAGTCCTGACGTCACTGAAGAAACTCGTGTTTTGAAGGGCCATCCCCGCCGTAAGACGAGAACATACCCCAGGTCCCCGCCGCAACTCGAGAAAAACCATGAGACTTCCCCCTAGAGGCGAGATGAGGCCCCATTCCCCTGCAGTGCATGCAGAGCTATTCCGTGATCCCATTCAAACAAGTCAGGAGCTTCGACTTGCTTAATGGATCTCGAGACAGTCCCCAAGAACACTGTCACCAGTCTAGACGGACCCTGAGGTCATCCCAGCAACGCAAAGCAGCTCCATGTGCCCCAAATCAACTCGAGATGAGGCCCGATTCCCCTGCATTGACTCCAGAGCCATTCCCCGTTCCCCATTCAACACGACCGGTGGCTCGACTTCCTTCAGGCAACTCCAGAGATGCCCCGAGAACACTGTCCCAAGTCTAGAGGAACACCAACTTCAGCACAGCAACTCGAGGAATGCTCCGTGTACCCCAAATCGTCTCGAGATGCGAGCTGATTCCCTGGCTTAGGCTCAAGACGTATGCCAACTTCCCAGAAGCACCTCAGGAGGAGGCTTCTCTCAGCAATAGGTATGTGGGAGGGACCCCGAGTTTGCTGCCTCAAGGGGAATATACAGCGAGAAGCCCTAACTTGAAAGGAGGCCGGATTTCCTTGCAGTGGCTTGAACACAGGCTCGTCTTTCATCTCACAACATGAAGGGATGTCTGAATCCCCTGTGGAGACCTTAGAGAAAGCCCTAGGTCCCTGCCTCATTTTGACGGAATGCCTCACATCCCGCTGACACCTCGAGAGGCACGCGGAGTTCATTGCTTCAAAAGGTGACGATGCCTGACTCCTCTTGAATACTGATAGGAATCCCAAAATCCCTGTGGCTACTGGAAAGGGTCCTTCGGTGCCCTGCCTCACCTCGAGAAGCGTCCCTTTTGCCCTGCCAAGCCTTGAAGAGATTCCTGAGGTGTCCCTCGTTACTAGACAGGAGTCCTGACGTCACTGAAGAAACTCGTGTTTTGAAGGGCCATCCCCGCCGTAAGTCGAGAACATACCCCAGGTCCCAGCCGCAACTCGAGAAAAACCATGAGACTTCCCCCTAGAGGCGAGATGAGGCCCCATTCCCCTGCAGTGCATGCAGAGCTATTCCGTGATCCCATTCAAACAAGTCAGGAGCTTCGACTTGCTTAATGGATCTCGAGACAGTCCCCAAGAACACTGTCACCAGTCTAGACGGACCCTGAGGTCACCCCAGCAACGCAAAGCAGCTCCATGTGCCCCAAATCAACTCGAGATGAGGCCCGATTCCCCTGCATTGACTCCAGAGCCATTCCCCATTCCCCATTCAACACGACCGGTGGCTCGACTTCCTTCAGGCAACTCCAGAGATGCCCCGAGAACACTGTCCCAGGTCTAGAGGAACACCAACTTCAGCACAGCAACTCGAGGAATGCTCCGTGTACCCCAAATCGTCTCGAGATGTGAGCTGATTCCCTGTCGTAGGCTCAAGACGTATGCCAACTTCCCAGAAGCACCACAGGAGGAGGCTTCTATCAGCAATAGGTATGTGGGAGGCACCCCGAGTTTGCTGCCTCAAGGGGAATATACAGCGAGAAGCCCTAACTTGAAAGGAGGCCGGATTTCCTTGCAGTGGCTTGAATACAGGCTCGTCTTTCATCTCACAACATGAAGGGATGTCTGAATCCCCTGTGGAGACCTTAGAGAAAGCCCTAGGTCCCTGCCTCATTTTGACGGAATGCCTCACATCGCGCTGATACCTCGAGAGGCACGCGGAGTTCATTGCTTCAAAAGGTGACGATGCCTGACTCCTCTTGAATACTGATAGGAATCCCAAAATCCCTGTGGCTACTGGAAAGGGTCCTTGGGTGCCCTGCCTCACCTCGAGAAGCGTCCCTTTTGCCCTGCCAAGCCTCAAAGAGATTCCTGAGGTGTCCCTCGTTATTAGACAGGAGTCCTGACGTCACTGAAGAAACTCGTGTTTTGAAGGGCCATCCCCGCCGTAAGACGAGAACATACCCCAGGTCCCCGCCGCAACTCGAGAAAAACCATGAGACTTCCCCCTAGAGGCGAGATGAGGCCCCATTCCCCTGCAGTGCATGCAGAGCTATTCCGTGATCCCATTCAAACAAGTCAGGAGCTTCGACTTGCTTAATGGATCTCGAGACAGTCCCCAAGAACACTGTCACCAGTCTAGACGGACCCTGAGGTCACCCCAGCAACGCAAAGCAGCTCCATGTGCCCCAAATCAACTCGAGATGAGGCCCGATTCCCCTGCATTGACTCCAGAGCCATTCCCCGTTCCCCATTCAACACGACCGGTGGCTCGACTTCCTTCAGGCAACTCCAGAGATGCCCCGAGAACACTGTCCCAAGTCTAGAGGAACACCAACTTCAGCACAGCAACTCGAGGAATGCTCCGTGTACCCCAAATCGTCTCGAGATGCGAGCTGATTCCCTGGCTTAGGCTCAAGACGTATGCCAACTTCCCAGAAGCACCACAGGAGGAGGCTTCTCTCAGCAATAGGTATGTGGGAGGGACCCCGAGTTTGCTGCCTCAAGGGGAATATACAGCGAGAAGCCCTAACTTGAAAGGAGGCCGGATTTCCTTGCAGTGGCTTGAATACAGGCTCGTCTTTCATCTCACAACATGAAGGAATGTCTGAATCCCCTGTGGAGATCTTAGAGAAAGCCCTAGGTCCCTGCCTCATTTTGACGGAATGCCTCACATCGCGCTGATACCTCGAGAGGAACGCGGAGTTCATTGCTTCAAAAGGTGACGATGCCTGACTCCTCTTGAATACTGATAGGAATCCCAAAATCCCTGTGGCTACTGGAAAGGGTCCTTTGGTGCCCTGCCTCACCTCGAGAAGCGTCCCTTTTGCCCTGCCAAGCCTCGAAGAGATTCCTGAGGTGTCCCTCGTTACTAGACAGGAGTCCTGACGTCACTGAAGAAACTCGTGTTTTGAAGGGCCATCCCCGCCGTAAGTCGAGAACATACCCCAGGTCCCCACCGCAACTCGAGAAAAACCATGAGACTTCCCCCTAGAGGCGAGATGAGGCCCCATTCCCCTGCAGTGCATGCAGAGCTATTCCGTGATCCCATTCAAACAAGTCAGGAGCTTCGGCTTGCTTAATGGATCTCGAGACAGTCCCCAAGAACACTGTCACCAGTCTAGACGGACCCTGAGGTCACCCCAGCAACGCAAAGCAGCTCCATGTGCCCCAAATCAACTCGAGATGAGGCCCGATTCCCCTGCATTGACTCCAGAGCCATTCCCCGTTCCCCATTCAACACGACCGGGGGCTCGACTTCCTTCAGGCAACTCCAGAGATGCCCCGAGAACACTGTCCCAAGTCTAGAGGAACACCAACTTCAGCACAGCAACTCGAGGAATGCTCCGTGTACCCCAAATCGTCTCGAGATGCGAGCTGATTCCCTGGCTTAGGCTCAAGACGTATGCCAACTTCCCAGAAGCACCTCAGGAGGAGGCTTCTCTCAGCAATAGGTATGTGGGAGGGACCCCGAGTTTGCTGCCTCAAGGGGAATATACAGCGAGAAGCCCTAACTTGAAAGGAGGCCGGATTTCCTTGCAGTGGCTTGAATACAGGCTCGTCTTTCATCTCACAACATGAAGGGATGTCTGAATCCCCTGTGGAGACCTTAGAGAAAGCCCTAGGTCCCTGCCTCATTTTGACGGAATGCCTCACATCCCGCTGACAACTCGAGAGGCACGCGGAGTTCATTGCTTCAAAAGGTGACGATGCCTGACTCCTCTTGAATACTGATAGGAATCCCAAAATCCCTGTGGCTACTGGAAAGGGTCCTTGGGTGCCCTGCCTCACCTCGAGAAGCGTCCCTTTTGCCCTGCCAAGCCTCGAAGAGATTCCTGAGGTGTCCCTCGTTACTAGACAGGAGTCCTGACGTCACTGAAGAAACTCGTGTTTTGAAGGGCCATCCCCGCCGTAAGACGAGAACATACCCCAGGTCCCCGCCGCAACTCGAGAAAAACCATGAGACTTCCCCCTAGAGGCGAGATGAGGCCCCATTCCCCTGCAGTGCATGCAGAGCTATTCCGTGATCCCATTCAAACAAGTCAGGAGCTTCGACTTGCTTAATGGATCTCGAGACAGTCCCCAAGAACACTGTCACCAGTCTAGACGGACCCTGAGGTCACCCCAGCAACGCAAAGCAGCTCCATGTGCCCCAAATCAACTCGAGATGAGGCCCGGTTCCCCTGCATTGACTCCAGAGCCATTCCCCGTTCCCCATTCAACACGACCGGTGGCTCGACTTCCTTCAGGCAACTCCAGAGATGCCCCGAGAACACTGTCCCAAGTCTAGAGGAACACCAACTTCAGCACAGCAACTCGAGGAATGCTCCGTGTACCCCAAATCGTCTCGAGATGCGAGCTGATTCCCTGGCTTAGGCTCAAGACGTATGCCAACTTCCCAGAAGCACCTCAGGAGGAGGCTTCTCTCAGCAATAGGTATGTGGGAGGGACCCCGAGTTTGCTGCCTCAAGGGGAATATACAGCGAGAAGCCCTAACTTGAAAGGAGGCCGGATTTCCTTGCAGTGGCTTGAATACAGGCTCGTCTTTCATCTCACAACATGAAGGGATGTCTGAATCCCCTGTGGAGACCTTAGAAAAAGCCCTAAGTCCCTGCCTCATTTTGACGGAATGCCTCACATCGCGCTGACACCTCGAGAGGCACGCGGAGTTCATTGCTTCAAAAGGTGACGATGCCTGACTCCTCTTGAATACTGATAGGAATCCCAAAATCCCTGTGGCTACTGGAAAGGGTCCTTTTGTGCCCTGCCTCACCTCGAGAAGCGTCCCTTTGGCCCTGCCAAGCCTCGAAGAGATTCCTGAGGTGTCCCTCGTTATTAGACAGGAGTCCTGACGTCACTGAAGAAACTCGTGTTTTGAAGGGCCATCCCCGCCGTAAGTCGAGAACATACCCCAGGTCCCCGCCGCAACTCGAGAAAAACCATGAGACTTCCCCCTAGAGGCGAGATGAGGCCCCATTCCCCTGCAGTGCATGCAGAGCTATTCCGTGATCCCATTCAAACAAGTCAGGAGCTTCGACTTGCTTAATGGATCTCGAGACAGTCCCCAAGAACACTGTCACCAGTCTAGACGGACCCTGAGGTCACCCCAGCAACGCAAAGCAGCTCCATGTGCCCCAAATCAACTCGAGATGAGGCCCGATTCCCCTGCATTGACTCCAGAGCCATTCCCCGTTCCCCATTCAACACGACCGGTGGCTCGACTTCCTTCAGGCAACTCCAGAGATGCCCCGAGAACACTGTCCCAAGTCTAGAGGAACACCAACTTCAGCACAGCAACTCGAGGAATGCTCCGTGTACCCCAAATCGTCTCGAGATGCGAGCTGATTCCCTGGCTTAGGCTCAAGACGTATGCCAACTTCCCAGAAGCACCTCAGGAGGAGGCTTCTCTCAGCAATAGGTATGTGGGAGGGACCCCGAGTTTGCTGCCTCAAGGGGAATATACAGCGTGAAGCCCTAACTTGAAAGGAGGCCGGATTTCCTTGCAGTGGCTTGAATACAGGTTCGTCTTTCATCTCACAACATGAAGGGATGTCTGAATCCCCTGTGGAGACCTTAGAGAAAGCCCTAGGTCCCTGCCTCATTTTGACGGAATGCCTCACATCGCGCTGACACCTCGAGAGGCACGCGGAGTTCATTGCTTCAAAAGGTGACGATGCCTGACTCCTCTTGAATACTGATAGGAATCCCAAAATCCCTGTGGCTACTGGAAAGGGTCCTTGGGTGCCCTGCCTCACCTCGCGAAGCGTCCCTTTTGCCCTGCCAAGCCTCGAAGAGATTCCTGAGGTGTCCCTCGTTACTAGACAGGAGTCCTGACGTCACTGAAGAAACTCGTGTTTTGAAGGGCCATCCCCGCTGTAAGTCGAGAACATACCCCAGGTCCCCGCCGCAACTCGAGAAAAACCATGAGACTTCCCCCTAGAGGCGAGATGAGGCCCCATTCCCCTGCAGTGCATGCAGAGCTATTCCGTGATCCCATTCAAACAAGTCAGGAGCTTCGACTTGCTTAATGGATCTCGAGACAGTCCCCAAGAACACTGTCACCAGTCTAGACGGACCCTGAGGTCACCCCAGCAACGCAAAGCAGCTCCATGTGCCCCAAATCAACTCGAGATGAGGCCCGATTCCCCTGCATTGACTCCAGAGCCATTCCCCGTTCCCCATTCAACACGACCGGTGGCTCAACTTCCTTCAGGCAACTCCAGAGATGCCCCGAGAACACTGTCCCAAGTCTAGAGGAACACCAACTTCAGCACAGCAACTCGAGGAATGCTCCGTGTACCCCAAATCGTCTCGAGATGCGAGCTGATTCCCTGGCTTAGGCTCAAGACGTATGCCAACTTCCCAGAAGCACCTCAGGAGGAGGCTTCTCTCAGCAATAGGTATGTGGGAGGGACCCCGAGTTTGCTGCCTCAAGGGGAATATACAGCGAGAAGCCCTAACTTGAAAGGAGGCCGGATTTCCTTGCAGTGGCTTGAACACAGGCTCGTCTTTCATCTCACAACATGAAGGGATGTCTGAATCCCCTGTGGAGACCTTAGAGAAAGCCCTAGGTCCCTGCCTCATTTTGACGGAATGCCTCACATCCCGCTGACACCTCGAGAGGCACGCGGAGTTCATTGCTTCAAAAGGTGACGATGCCTGACTCCTCTTGAATACTGATAGGAATCCCAAAATCCCTGTGGCTAGTGGAAAGGGTCCTTGGGTGCCCTGCCTCACCTCGAGAAGCGTCCCTTTTGCCCTGCCAAGCCTCGAAGAGATTCCTGAGGTGTCCCTCGTTACTAGACAGGAGTCCTGACGTCACTGAAGAAACTCGTGTTTTGAAGGGCCATCCCCGCCGTAAGTCGAGAACATACCCCAGGTCCCCGCCGCAACTCGAGAAAAACCATGAGACTTCCCCCTAGAGGCGAGATGAGGCCCCATTCCCCTGCAGTGCATGCAGAGCTATTCCGTGATCCCATTCAAACAAGTCAGGAGCTTGGACTTGCTTAATGGATCTCGAGAGAGTCCCCAAGAACACTGTCACCAGTCTAGACGGACCCTGAGGTCACCCCAGCAACGCAAAGCAGCTCCATGTGCCCCAAATCAACTCGAGATGAGGCCCGATTCCCCTGCATTGACTCCAGAGCCATTGCCCGTTCCCCATTCAACACGACCGGGGGCTCGACTTCCTTCAGGCAACTCCAGAGATGCCCTGAGAACACTGTCCCAAGTCTAGAGGAACACCAACTTCAGCACAGCAACTCGAGGAATGCTCCGTGTACCCCAAATCGTCTCGAGATGCGAGCTGATTCCCTGGCTTAGGCTCAAGACGTATGCCAACTTCCCAGAAGCACCTCAGGAGGAGGCTTCTCTCAGCAATAGGTATGTGGGTGGGACCCCGAGTTTGCTGCCTCAAGGGGAATATACAGCGTGAAGCCCTAACTTGAAAGGAGGCCGGATTTCCTTGCAGTGGCTTGAATACAGGCACGTCTTTCATCTCACAACATGAAGGGATGTCTGAATCCCCTGTGGAGACCTTAGAGAAAGCCCTAGGTCCCTGCCTCATTTTGACGGAATGCCTCACATCGCGCTGACACCTCGAGAGGCACGCGGAGTTCATTGCTTCAAAAGGTGACGATGCCTGACTCCTCTTGAATACTGATAGGAATCCCAAAATCCCTGTGGCTACTTGAAAGGGTCCTTGGGTGCCCTGCCTCACCTCGCGAAGCGTCCCTTTTGCCCTGCCAAGCCTCGAAGAGATTCCTGAGGTGTCCCTCGTTACTAGACAGGAGTCCTGACGTCACTGAAGAAACTCGTGTTTTGAAGGGCCATCCCCGCTGTAAGTCGAGAACATAACCCAGGTCCCCGCCGCAACTCGAGAAAAACCATGAGACTTCCCCCTAGAGGCGAGATGAGGCCCCATTCCCCTGCAGTGCATGCAGAGCTATTCCGTGATCCCATTCAAACAAGTCAGGAGCTTCGACTTGCTTAATGGATCTCGAGACAGTCCCCAAGAACACTGTCACCAGTCTAGACGGACCCTGAGGTCACCCCAGCAACGCAAAGCAGCTCCATGTGCCCCAAATCAACTCGAGATGAGGCCCGATTCCCCTGCATTGACTCCAGAGCCATTCCCCGTTCCCCATTCAACACGACCGGTGGCTCGACTTCCTTCAGGCAACTCCAGAGATGCCCCGAGAACACTGTCCCAAGTCTAGAGGAACACCAACTTCAGCACAGCAACTCGAGGAATGCTCCGTGTACCCCAAATCGTCTCGAGATGCGAGCTGATTCCCTGGCTTAGGCTCAAGACGTATGCCAACTTCCCAGAAGCACCTCAGGAGGAGGCTTCTCTCAGCAATAGGTATGTGGGAGGGACCCCGAGTTTGCTGCCTCAAGAGGAATATACAGCGAGAAGCCCTAACTTGAAAGGAGGCCGGATTTCCTTGCAGTGGCTTGAATACAGGCTCGTCTTTCATCTCACAACATGAAGGGATGTCTGAATCCCCTGTGGAGACCTTAGAGAAAGCCCTAGGTCCCTGCCTCATTTTGACGGAATGCCTCACATCGCGCTGACACCTCGAGAGGCACGCGGAGTTAATTGCTTCAAAAGGTGACGATGCCTGACTCCTCTTGAATACTGATAGGAATCCCAAAATCCCTGTGGCTACTGGAAAGGGTCCTTGGGTGCCCTGCCTCACCTCGAGAAGCGTCCCTTTGGCCCTGCCAAGCCTCGAAGAAATTCCTGAGGTGTCCCTCGTTACTAGACAGGAGTCCTGACGTCACTGAAGAAACTCGTGTTTTGAAGGGCCATCCCCGCCGTAAGTCGAGAACATACCCCAGGTCCCCGCCGCAACTCGAGAAAAACCATGAGACTTCCCCCTAGAGGCGAGATGAGGCCCCATTCCCCTGCAGTGCATGCAGAGCTATTCCGTGATCCCATTCAAACAAGTCAGGAGCTTCGACTTGCTTAATGGATCTCGAGACAGTCCCCAAGAACACTGTCACCAGTCTAGACGGACCCTGAGGTCACCCCAGCAACGCAAAGCAGCTCCATGTGCCCCAAATCAACTCGAGATGAGGCCCGGTTCCCCTGCATTGACTCCAGAGCCATTCCCCATTCCCCATTCAACACGACCGGTGGCTCGACTTCCTTCAGGCAACTCCAGAGATGCCCCGAGAACACTGTCCCAGGTCTAGAGGAACACCAACTTCAGCACAGCAACTCGAGGAATGCTCCGTGTACCCCAAATCGTCTCGAGATGCGAGCTGATTCCCTGGCTTAGGCTCAAGACGTATGCCAACTTCCCAGAAGCACCACAGGAGGAGGCTTCTATCAGCAATAGGTATGTGGGAGGGACCCCGAGTTTGCTGCCTCAAGGGGAATATACAGCGAGAAGCCCTAACTTGAAAGGAGGCCGGATTTCCTTGCAGTGGCTTGAATACAGGCTCGTCTTTCATCTCACAACATGAAGGGATGTCTGAATCCCCTGTGGAGACCTTAGAGAAAGCCCTAGGTCCCTGCCTCATTTTGACGGAATGCCACACATCGCGCTGATACCTCGTTAGGCACGCGGAGTTCATTGCTTCAAAAGGTGACGATGCCTGACTCCTCTTGAATACTGATAGGAATCCCAAAATCCCTGTGGCTACTGGAAAGGGTCCTTTTGTGCCCTGCCTCACCTCGAGAAGCGTCCCTTTTGCCCTGCCAAGCCTCGAAGAGATTCCTGAGGTGTCCCTCGTTACTAGACAGGAGTCCTGACGTCACTGAAGAAACTCGTGTTTTCAAGGGCCATCCCCGCCGTAAGTCGAGAACATACCCCAGGTCCCCGCCGCAACTCGAGAAAAACCATGAGACTTCCCCCTAGAGGCGAGATGAGGCCCCATTCCCCTGCAGTGCATGCAGAGCTATTCCGTGATCCCATTCAAACAAGTCAGGAGCTTCGGCTTTCTTAATGGATCTCGAGACAGTCCCCAAGAACACTGTCACCAGTCTAGACGGACCCTGAGGTCACCCCAGCAACGCAAAGCAGCTCCATGTGCCCCAAATCAACTCGAGATGAGGCCCGATTCCCCTGCATTGACTCCAGAGCCATTCCCCGTTCCCCATTCAACACGACCGGTGGCTCGACTTCATTCAGGCAACTCCAGAGATGCCCCGAGAACACTGTCCCAAGTCTAGAGGAACACCAACTTCAGCACAGCAACTCGAGGAATGCTCCGTGTACCCCAAATCGTCTCGAGATGCGAGCTGATTCCCTGGCTTAGGCTCAAGACGTATGCCAACTTCCCAGAAGCACCTCAGGAGGAGGCTTCTCTCAGCAATAGGTATGTGGGAGGGACCCCGAGTTTGCTGCCTCAAGGGGAATATACAGCGAGAAGCCCTAACTTGAAAGGAGGCCGGATTTCCTTGCAGTGGCTTGAATACAGGCTCGTCTTTCATCTCACAACATGAAGGGATGTCTGAATCCCCTGTGGAGACCTTAGAGAAAGCCCTAGGTCCCTGCCTCATTTTGACGGAATGCCTCACATCCCGCTGACACCTCGAGAGGCACGCGGAGTTCATTGCTTCAAAAGGTGACGATGCCTGACTCCTCTTGAATACTGATAGGAATCCCAAAATCCCTGTGGCTGCTGGAATGGGTCCTTGGGTGCCCTGCCTCACCTCGAGAAGCGTCCCTTTGGCCCTGCCAAGCCTCGAAGAGATTCCTGAGGTGTCCCTCGTTACTAGTCAGGAGTCCTGACGTCACTGAAGAAACTCGTGTTTTGAAGGGCCATCCCCGCCGTAAGTCGAGAACATACCCCAGGTCCCCGCCGCAACTCGAGAAAAACCATGAGACTTCCCCCTAGAGGCGAGATGAGGCCCCATTCCCCTGCAGTGCATGCAGAGCTATTCCGTGATCCCATTCAAACAAGTCAGGAGCTTCGACTTGCTTAATGGATCTCGAGACAGTCCCCAAGAACACTGTCACCAGTCTAGACGGACCCTGAGGTCACCCCAGCAACGCAAAGCAGCTCCATGTGCCCCAAATCAACTCGAGATGAGGCCCGATTCCCCTGCATTGACTCCAGAGCCATTCCCCGTTCCCCATTCAACACGACCGGTGTCTCGACTTCCTTCAGGCAACTCCAGAGATGCCCCGAGAACACTGTCCCAAGTCTAGAGGAACACCAACTTCAGCACAGCAACTCGAGGAATGCTCCGTGTACCCCAAATCGTCTCGAGATGCGAGCTGATTCCCTGGCTTAGGCTCAAGACGTATGCCAACTTCCCAGAAGCACCTCAGGAGGAGGCTTCTCTCAGCAATAGGTATGTGGGAGGGACCCCGAGTTTGCTGCCTCAAGGGGAATATACAGCGAGAAGCCCTAACTTGAAAGGAGGCCGGATTTCCTTGCAGTGGCTTGAATACAGGCTCGTCTTTCATCTCACAACATGAAGGGATGTCTGAACCCCTGTGGAGACCTTAGAGAAAGCCCTAGGTCCCTGCCTCATTTTGACGGAATGCCTCACATCCCGCTGACACCTCGAGAGGCACGCGGAGTTCATTGCTTCAAAAGGTGACGATGCCTGACTCCTCTTGAATACTGATAGGAATCCCAAAATCCCTGTGGCTACTGGAAAGGGTCCTTGGGTGCCCTGCCTCACCTCGAGAAGCGTCCCTTTTGCCCTGCCAAGCCTCGAAGAGATTCCTGAGGTGTCCCTCGTTACTAGACAGGAGTCCTGACGTCACTGAAGAAACTCGTGTTTTGAAGGGCCATCCCCGCCGTAAGACGAGAACATACCCCAGGTCCCCGGGGCAACTCGAGAAAAACCATGAGACTTCCCCCTAGAGGCGAGATGAGGCCCCATTCCCCTGCAGTGCATGCAGAGCTATTCCGTGATCCCATTCAAACAAGTCAGGAGCTTCGACTTGCTTAATGGATCTCGAGACAGTCCCCAAGAACACTGTCACCAGTCTAGACGGACCCTGAGGTCACCCCAGCAACGCAAAGCAGCTCCATGTGCCCCAAATCAACTCGAGATGAGGCCCGATTCCCCTGCATTGACTCCAGAGCCATTCCCCATTCCCCATTCAAAACGACCGGTGGCTCGACTTCCTTCAGGCAACTCCAGAGATGCCCCGAGAACACTGTCCCACGTCTAGAGGAACACCAACTTCAGCACAGCAACTCGAGGAATGCTCCGTGTACCCCAAATCGTCTCGAGATGCGAGCTGATTCCCTGGCTTAGGCTCAAGACGTATGCCAACTTCCCAGAAGCACCACAGGAGGAGGCTTCTATCAGCAATAGGTATGTGGGAGGGACCCCGAGTTTGCTGCCTCAAGGGGAATATACAGCGAGAAGCCCTAACTTGAAAGGAGGCCGGATTTCCTTGCAGTGGCTTGAATACAGGCTCGTCTTTCATCTCACAACATGAAGGGATGTCTGAATCCCCTGTGGAGACCTTAGAGAAAGCCCTAGGTCCCTGCCTCATTTTGACGGAATGCCTCACATCGCGCTGATACCTCGAGAGGCACGCGGAGTTCATTGCTTCAAAAGGTGACGATGCCTGACTCCTCTTGAATACTGATAGGAATCCCAAAATCCCTGTGGCTACTGGAAAGGGTCTTTTTGTGCCCTGCCTCACCTCGAGAAGCGTCCCTTTTGCCCTGCCAAGCCTCGAAGAGATTCCTGAGGTGTCCCTCGTTACTAGACAGGAGTCCTGACGTCACTGAAGAAACTCGTGTTTTGAAGGGCCATCCCCGCCGTAAGTCGAGAACATACCCCAGGTCCCCGCCGCAACTCGAGAAAAACCATGAGACTTCCCCCTAGAGGCGAGATGAGGCCCCATTCCCCTGCAGTGCATGCAGAGCTATTCCGTGATCCCATTCAAACAAGTCAGGAGCTTCGACTTGCTTAATGGATCTCGAGACAGTCCCCAAGAACACTGTCACCAGTCTAGACGGACCCTGAGGTCACCCCAGCAACGCAAAGCAGCTCCATGTGCCCCAAATCAACTCGAGATGAGGCCCGATTCCCCTGCATTGACTCCAGAGCCATTCCCCGTTCCCCATTCAACACGACCGGTGTCTCGACTTCCTTCAGGCAACTCCAGAGATGCCCCGAGAACACTGTCCCAAGTCTAGAGGAACACCAACTTCAGCACAGCAACTCGAGGAATGCTCCGTGTACCCCAAATCGTCTCGAGATGCGAGCTGATTCCCTGGCTTAGGCTCAAGACGTATGCCAACTTCCCAGAAGCACCTCAGGAGGAGGCTTCTCTCAGCAATAGGTATGTGGGAGGGACCCCGAGTTTGCTGCCTCAAGGGGAATATACAGCGAGAAGCCCTAACTTGAAAGGAGGCCGGATTTCCTTGCAGTGGCTTGAATACAGGCTCGTCTTTCATCTCACAACATGAAGGGATGTCTGAACCCCTGTGGAGACCTTAGAGAAAGCCCTAGGTCCCTGCCTCATTTTGACGGAATGCCTCACATCCCGCTGACACCTCGAGAGGCACGCGGAGTTCATTGCTTCAAAAGGTGACGATGCCTGACTCCTCTTGAATACTGATAGGAATCCCAAAATCCCTGTGGCTACTGGAAAGGGTCCTTGTGTGCCCTGCCTCACCTCGAGAAGCGTCCCTTTTGCCCTGCCAAGCCTCGAAGAGATTCCTGAGGTGTCCCTCGTTACTAGACAGGAGTCCTGACGTCACTGAAGAAACTCGTGTTTTGAAGGGCCATCCCCGCCGTAAGACGAGAACATACCCCAGGTCCCCGGGGCAACTCGAGAAAAACCATGAGACTTCCCCCTAGAGGCGAGATGAGGCCCCATTCCCCTGCAGTGCATGCAGAGCTATTCCGTGATCCCATTCAAACAAGTCAGGAGCTTCGACTTGCTTAATGGATCTCGAGACAGTCCCCAAGAACACTGTCACCAGTCTAGACGGACCCTGAGGTCACCCCAGCAACGCAAAGCAGCTCCATGTGCCCCAAATCAACTCGAGATGAGGCCCGGTTCCCCTGCATTGACTCCAGAGCCATTCCCCGTTCCCCATTCAACACGACCCGTGGCTCGACTTCCTTCAGGCAACTCCAGAGATGCCCCGAGAACACTGTCCCAAGTCTAGAGGAACACCAACTTCAGCACAGCAACTCGAGGAATGCTCCGTGTACCCCAAATCGTCTCGAGATGAGAGCTGTTTCCCTGGCTTAGGCTCAAGACGTATGCCAACTTCCCAGAAGCACCTCAGGAGGAGGCTTCTCTCAGCAATAGGTATGTGGGAGGGACCCCGAGTTTGCTGCCTCAAGGGGAATATACAGCGAGAAGCCCTAACTTGAAAGGAGGCCGGATTTCCTTGCAGTGGCTTGAATACAGGCTCGTCTTTCATCTCACAACATGAAGGAATGTCTGAATCCCCTGTGGAGACCTTAGAGAAAGCCCTAGGTCCCTGCCTCATTTTGACGGAATGCCTCACATCCCGCTGACACCTCGAGAGGCACGCGGAGTTCATTGCTTCAAAAGGTGACGATGCCTGACTCCTCTTGAATACTGATAGGAATCCCAAAATCCCTGTGGCTACTGGAAAGGGTCCTTGGGTGCCCTGCCTCACCTCGAGAAGCGTCCCTTTTGCCCTGCCAAGCCTCGAAGAGATTCCTGAGGTGTCCCTCGTTACTAGACAGGAGTCCTGACGTCACTGAAGAAACTCGTGTTTTGAAGGGCCATCCCCGCCGTAAGTCGAGAACATACCCCAGGTCCCCGCCGCAACTCGAGAAAAACCATGAGACTTCCCCCTAGAGGCGAGATGAGGCCCCACTCCCCTGCAGTGCATGCCGAGCTATTGCGTGATCCCATTCAAACAAGTCAGGAGCTTCGGCTTGCTTAATGGATCTCGAGACAGTCCCCAAGAACACTGTCACCAGTCTAGACGGACCCTGAGGTCACCCCAGCAACGCAAAGCAGCTCCATGTGCCCCAAATCAACTCGAGATGAGGCCCGGTTCCCCTGCATTGACTCCAGAGCCATTCCCCGTTCCCCATTCAACACGACCGGTGGCTCGACTTCCTTCAGGCAACTCCAGAGATGCCCCGAGAACACTGTCCCAAGTCTAGAGGAACACCAACTTCAGCACAGCAACTCGAGGAATGCTCCGTGTACCCCAAATCGTCTCGAGATGCGAGCTGATTCCCTGGCTTAGGCTCAAGACGTATGCCAACTTCCCAGAAGCACCTCAGGAGGAGGCTTCTCTCAGCAATAGGTATGTGGGAGGGACCCCGAGTTTGCTGCCTCAAGGGGAATATACAGCGAGAAGCCCTAACTTGAAAGGAGGCCGGATTTCCTTGCAGTGGCTTGAATACAGGCTCGTCTTTCATCTCACAACATGAAGGGATGTCTGAATCCCCTGTGGAGACCTTAGAGAAAGCCCTAGGTCCCTGCCTCATTTTGACGGAATGCCTCACATCGCGCTGACACCTCGAGAGGCACGCGGAGTTCATTGCTTCAAAAGGTGACGATGCCTGACTCCTCTTGAATACTGATAGGAATCCCAAAATCCCTGTGGCTACTGGAAAGGGTCCTTGGGTGCCCTGCCTCACTTCGAGAAGCGTCCCTTTTGCCCTGCCAAGCCTCGAAGAGATTCCTGAGGTGTCCCTCGTTACTAACAGGAGTCCTGACGTCACTGAAGAAACTCGTGTTTTGAAGGGCCATCCCCGCCGTAAGTCGAGAACATACCCCAGGTCCCCGCCGCAACTCGAGAAAAACCATGAGACTTCCCCCTAGAGGCGAGATGAGGCCCCATTCCCCTGCAGTGCATGCAGAGATATTCCGTGATCCCATTCAAAAAAGTCAGGAGCTTCGACTTGCTTAATGGATCTCGAGACAGTCCCCAAGAACACTGTCACCAGTCTAGACGGACCCTGAGGTCACCCCAGCAACGCAAAGCAGCTCCATGTGCCCCAAATTAACTCGAGATGAGGCCCGATTCCCCTGGATTGACTCCAGAGCCATTCCCCGTTCCCCATTCAACACGACCGGTGGCTCGACTTCCTTCAGGCAACTCCAGAGATGCCCCGAGAACACTGTCCCAAGTCTAGAGGAAAACCAACTTCAGCACAGCAACTCGAGGAATGCTCCGTGTACACCAAATCGTCTCGAGATGCGAGCTGATTCCCTGGCTTAGGCTCAAGACGTATGCCAACTTCCCAGAAGCACCACAGGAGGAGGCTTCTCTCAGCAATAGGTATGTGGGAGGGACCCCGAGTTTGCTGCCTCAAGGGGAATATACAGCGAGAAGCCCTAACTTGAAAGGAGGCCGGATTTCCTTGCAGTGGCTTGAATACAGGCTCGTCTTTCATCTCACAACATGAAGGGATGTCTGAACCCCTGTGGAGACCTTAGAGAAAGCCCTAGGTCCCTGCCTCATTTTGACGGAATGCCTCACATCCCGCTGACACCTCGAGAGGCACGCGGAGTTCATTGCTTCAAAAGGTGACGATGCCTGACTCCTCTTGAATACTGATAGGAATCCCAAAATCCCTGTGGCTACTGGAAAGGGTCCTTGGGTGCCCTGCCTCACCTCGAGAAGCGTCCCTTTTGCCCTGCCAAGCCTCGAAGAGATTCCTGAGGTGTCCCTCGTTACTAGACAGGAGTCCTGACGTCACTGAAGAAACTCGTGTTTTGAAGGGCCATCCCCGCCGTAAGACGAGAACATACCCCAGGTCCCCGGGGCAACTCAAGAAAAACCATGAGACTTCCCCCTAGAGGCGAGATGAGGCCCCATTCCCCTGCAGTGCATGCAGAGCTATTCCGTGATCCCATTCAAACAAGTCAGGAGCTTCGACTTGCTTAATGGATCTCGAGACAGTCCCCAAGAACACTGTCACCAGTCTAGACGGAACCTGAGGTCACCCCAGCAACGCAAAGCAGCTCCATGTGCCCCAAATCAACTCGAGATGAGGCCCGATTCCCCTGCATTGACTCCAGAGCCATTCCCCATTCCCCATTCAAAACGACCGGTGGCTCGACTTCCTTCAGGCAACTCCAGAGATGCCCCGAGAACACTGTCCCACGTCTAGAGGAACACCAACTTCAGCACAGCAACTCGAGGAATGCTCCGTGTACCCCAAATCGTCTCGAGATGCGAGCTGATTCCCTGGCTTAGGCTCAAGACGTATGCCAACTTCCCAGAAGCACCACAGGAGGAGGCTTCTATCAGCAATAGGTATGTGGGAGGGACCCCGAGTTTGCTGCCTCAAGGGGAATATACAGCGAGAAGCCCTAACTTGAAAGGAGGCCGGATTTCCTTGCAGTGGCTTGAATACAGGCTCGTCTTTCATCTCACAACATGAAGGGATGTCTGAATCCCCTGTGGAGACCTTAGAGAAAGCCCTAGGTCCCTGCCTCATTTTGACGGAATGCCTCACATCGCGCTGATACCTCGAGAGGCACACGGAGTTCATTGCTTCAAAAGGTGACGATGCCTGACTCCTCTTGAATACTGATAGGAATCCCAAAATCCCTGTGGCTACTGGAAAGGGTCTTTTTGTGCCCTGCCTCACCTCGAGAAGCGTCCCTTTTGCCCTGCCAAGCCTCGAAGAGATTCCTGAGGTGTCCCTCGTTACTAGACAGGAGTCCTGACGTCACTGAAGAAACTCGTGTTTTGAAGGGCCATCCCCGCCGTAAGTCGAGAACATACCCCAGGTCCCCGCCGCAACTCGAGAAAAACCATGAGACTTCCCCCTAGAGGCGAGATGAGGCCCCATTCCCCTGCAGTGCATGCAGAGCTATTCCGTGATCCCATTCAAACAAGTCAGGAGCTTCGACTTGCTTAATGGATCTCGAGACAGTCCCCAAGAACACTGTCACCAGTCTAGACGGACCCTGAGGTCACCCCAGCAACGCAAAGCAGCTCCATGTGCCCCAAATCAACTCGAGATGAGGCCCGATTCCCCTGCATTGACTCCAGAGCCATTCCCCGTTCCCCATTCAACACGACCGGTGTCTCGACTTCCTTCAGGCAACTCCAGAGATGCCCCGAGAACACTGTCCCAAGTCTAGAGGAACACCAACTTCAGCACAGCAACTCGAGGAATGCTCCGTGTACCCCAAATCGTCTCGAGATGCGAGCTGATTCCCTGGCTTAGGCTCAAGACGTATGCCAACTTCCCAGAAGCACCTCAGGAGGAGGCTTCTCTCAGCAATAGGTATGTGGGAGGGACCCCGAGTTTGCTGCCTCAAGGGGAATATACAGCGAGAAGCCCTAACTTGAAAGGAGGCCGGATTTCCTTGCAGTGGCTTGAATACAGGCTCGTCTTTCATCTCACAACATGAAGGGATGTCTGAACCCCTGTGGAGACCTTAGAGAAAGCCCTAGGTCCCTGCCTCATTTTGACGGAATGCCTCACATCCCGCTGACACCTCGAGAGGCACGCGGAGTTCATTGCTTCAAAAGGTGACGATGCCTGACTCCTCTTGAATACTGATAGGAATCCCAAAATCCCTGTGGCTACTGGAAAGGGTCCTTGGGTGCCCTGCCTCACCTCGAGAAGCGTCCCTTTTGCCCTGCCAAGCCTCGAAGAGATTCCTGAGGTGTCCCTCGTTACTAGACAGGAGTCCTGACGTCACTGAAGAAACTCGTGTTTTGAAGGGCCATCCCCGCCGTAAGACGAGAACATACCCCAGGTCCCCGGGGCAACTCGAGAAAAACCATGAGACTTCCCCCTAGAGGCGAGATGAGGCCCCATTCCCCTGCAGTGCATGCAGAGCTATTCCGTGATCCCATTCAAACAAGTCAGGAGCTTCGACTTGCTTAATGGATCTCGAGACAGTCCCCAAGAACACTGTCACCAGTCTAGACGGACCCTGAGGTCACCCCAGCAACGCAAAGCAGCTCCATGTGCCCCAAATCAACTCGAGATGAGGCCCGGTTCCCCTGCATTGACTCCAGAGCCATTCCCCGTTCCCCATTCAACACGACCCGTGGCTCGACTTCCTTCAGGCAACTCCAGAGATGCCCCGAGAACACTGTCCCAAGTCTAGAGGAACACCAACTTCAGCACAGCAACTCGAGGAATGCTCCGTGTACCCCAAATCGTCTCGAGATGAGAGCTGTTTCCCTGGCTTAGGCTCAAGACGTATGCCAACTTCCCAGAAGCACCTCAGGAGGAGGCTTCTCTCAGCAATAGGTATGTGGGAGGGACCCCGAGTTTGCTGCCTCAAGGGGAATATACAGCGAGAAGCCCTAACTTGAAAGGAGGCCGGATTTCCTTGCAGTGGCTTGAATACAGGCTCGTCTTTCATCTCACAACATGAAGGAATGTCTGAATCCCCTGTGGAGACCTTAGAGAAAGCCCTAGGTCCCTGCCTCATTTTGACGGAATGCCTCACATCCCGCTGACACCTCGAGAGGCACGCGGAGTTCATTGCTTCAAAAGGTGACGATGCCTGACTCCTCTTGAATACTGATAGGAATCCCAAAATCCCTGTGGCTACTGTAAAGGGTCCTTGGGTGCCCTGCCTCACCTCGAGAAGCGTCCCTTTTGCCCTGCCAAGCCTCGAAGAGATTCCTGAGGTGTCCCTCGTTACTAGACAGGAGTCCTGACGTCACTGAAGAAACTCGTGTTTTGAAGGGCCATCCCCGCCGTAAGTCGAGAACATACCCCAGGTCCCCGCCGCAACTCGAGAAAAACCATGAGACTTCCCCCTAGAGGCGAGATGAGGCCCCATTCCCCTGCAGTGCATGCCGAGCTATTGCGTGATCCCATTCAAACAAGTCAGGAGCTTCGGCTTGCTTAATGGATCTCGAGACAGTCCCCAAGAACACTGTCACCAGTCTAGACGGACCCTGAGGTCACCCCAGCAACGCAAAGCAGCTCCATGTGCCCCAAATCAACTCGAGATGAGGCCCGGTTCCCCTGCATTGACTCCAGAGCCATTCCCCGTTCCCCATTCAACACGACCGGTGGCTCGACTTCCTTCAGGCAACTCCAGAGATGCCCCGAGAACACTGTCCCAAGTCTAGAGGAACACCAACTTCAGCACAGCAACTCGAGGAATGCTCCGTGTACCCCAAATCGTCTCGAGATGCGAGCTGATTCCCTGGCTTAGGCTCAAGACGTATGCCAACTTCCCAGAAGCACCTCAGGAGGAGGCTTCTCTCAGCAATAGGTATGTGGGAGGGACCCCGAGTTTGCTGCCTCAAGGGGAATATACAGCGAGAAGCCCTAACTTGAAAGGAGGCCGGATTTCCTTGCAGTGGCTTGAATACAGGCTCGTCTTTCATCTCACAACATGAAGGGATGTCTGAATCCCCTGTGGAGACCTTAGAGAAAGCCCTAGGTCCCTGCCTCATTTTGACGGAATGCCTCACATCGCGCTGACACCTCGAGAGGCACGCGGAGTTCATTGCTTCAAAAGGTGACGATGCCTGACTCCTCTTGAATACTGATAGGAATCCCAAAATCCCTGTGGCTACTGGAAAGGGTCCTTGGGTGCCCTGCCTCACTTCGAGAAGCGTCCCTTTTGCCCTGCCAAGCCTCGAAGAGATTCCTGAGGTGTCCCTCGTTACTAACAGGAGTCCTGACGTCACTGAAGAAACTCGTGTTTTGAAGGGCCATCCCCGCCGTAAGTCGAGAACATACCCCAGGTCCCCGCCGCAACTCGAGAAAAACCATGAGACTTCCCCCTAGAGGCGAGATGAGGCCCCATTCCCCTGCAGTGCATGCAGAGATATTCCGTGATCCCATTCAAAAAAGTCAGGAGCTTCGACTTGCTTAATGGATCTCGAGACAGTCCCCAAGAACACTGTCACCAGTCTAGACGGACCCTGAGGTCACCCCAGCAACGCAAAGCAGCTCCATGTGCCCCAAATTAACTCGAGATGAGGCCCGATTCCCCTGGATTGACTCCAGAGCCATTCCCCGTTCCCCATTCAACACGACCGGTGGCTCGACTTCCTTCAGGCAACTCCAGAGATGCCCCGAGAACACTGTCCCAAGTCTAGAGGAAAACCAACTTCAGCACAGCAACTCGAGGAATGCTCCGTGTACACCAAATCGTCTCGAGATGCGAGCTGATTCCCTGGCTTAGGCTCAAGACGTATGCCAACTTCCCAGAAGCACCACAGGAGGAGGCTTCTCTCAGCAATAGGTATGTGGGAGGGACCCCGAGTTTGCTGCCTCAAGGGGAATATACAGCGAGAAGCCCTAACTTGAAAGGAGGCCGGATTTCCTTGCAGTGGCTTGAATACAGGCTCGTCTTTCATCTCACAACATGAAGGGATGTCTGAATCCCCTGTGGAGACCTTAGAGAAAGCCCTAGGTCCCTGCCTCATTTTGACGGAATGCCTCACATCGCGCTGATACCTCGAGAGGCACGCTTAGTTCATTGCTTCAAAAGGTGACGATGCCTGACTCCTCTTGAATACTGATAGGAATCCCAAAATCCCTGTGGCTACTGGAAAGGGTCCTTTTGTGCCCTGCCTCACCTCGAGAAGCGTCCCTTTAGCCCTGCCAAGCCTCGAAGAGATTCCTGAGGTGTCCCTCGTTACTAGACAGGAGTCCTGACGTCACTGAAGAAACTCGTGTTTTGAAGGGCCATCCCCGCCGTAAGTCGAGAACATACCTCAGGTCCCCGCCGCAACTCGAGAAAAACCATGAGACTTCCCCCTAGAGGCGAGATGAGGCCCCATTCCCCTGCAGTGCATGCAGAGCTATTCCGTGATCCCATTCAAACAAGTCAGGAGCTTCGACTTGCTTAATGGATCTCGAGACAGTCCCCAAGAACACTGTCACCAGTCTAGACGGACCCTGAGGTCACCCCAGCAACGCAAAGCAGCTCCATGTGCCCCAAATCAACTCGAGATGAGGCCCGATTCCCCTGCATTGACTCCAGAGCCATTCCCCGTTCCCCATTCAACACGACCGGTGGCTCGACTTCCTTCAGGCAACTCCAGAGATACCCCGAGAACACTGTCCCAAGTCTAGAGGAACACCAACTTCAGCACAGCAACCCGAGGAATGCTCCGTGTACCCCAAATCGTCTCGAGATGCGAGCTGATTCCCTGGCTTAGGCTCAAGACGTATGCCAACTTCCCAGAAGCACCTCAGGAGGAGGCTTCTCTCAGCAATAGGTATGTGGGAGGGACCCCGAGTTTGCTGCCTCAAGGGGAATATACAGCGAGAAGCCCTAACTTGAAAGGAGGCCGGATTTCCTTGCAGTGGCTTGAACACAGGCTCGTCTTTCATCTCAAAACATGAAGGGATGTCTGAATCCCCTGTGGAGACCTTAGAGAAAGCCCTAGGTCCCTGCCTCATTTTGACGGAATGCCTCACATCGCGCTGATACCTCGAGAGGCACGCAGAGTTCATTGCTTCAAAAGGTGACGATGCCTGACTCCTCTTGAATACTGATAGGAATCCCAAAATCCCTGTGGCTACTGGAAAGGGTCCTTTTGTGCCCTGCCTCACCTCGAGAAGCGTCCCTTTTGCCCTGGAAGCCTCGAAGAGATTCCTGAGGTGTCCCTCGTTACTAGACAGGAGTCCTGACGTCACTGAAGAAACTCGTGTTTTGAAGGGCCATCCCCGCCGTAAGTCGAGAACATACCCCAGGTCCCCGCCGCAACTCGAGAAAAACCATGAGACTTCCCCCTAGAGGCGAGATGAGGCCCCATTCCCCTGCAGTGCATGCAGAGCTATTCCGTGATCCCATTCAAACAAGTCAGGAGCTTCGACTTGCTTAATGGATCTCGAGACAGTCCCCAAGAACACTGTCACCAGTCTAGACGGACCCTGAGGTCACGCCAGCAACGCAAAGCAGCTCCATGTGCCCCAAATCAACTCGAGATGAGGCCCGATTCCCCTGCATTGACTCCAGAGCCATTCCCCGTTCCCCATTCAACACGACCGGTGGCTCGACTTCCTTCAGGCAACTCCAGAGATGCCCCGAGAACACTGTCCCAAGTCTAGAGGAACACCAACTTCAGCACAGCAACTCGAGGAATGCTCCGTGTACCCCAAATCGTCTCGAGATGCGAGCTGATGCCCTGGCTTAGGCTCAAGACGTATGCCAACTTCCCAGAAGCACCACAGGAGGAGGCTTCTCTCAGCAATAGGTATGTGGGAGGGACCCCGAGTTTGCTGCCTCAAGGGGAATATACAGCGAGAAGCCCTAACTTGAAAGGAGGCCGGATTTCCTTGCAGTGGCTTGAATACAGGCTCGTCTTTCATCTCACAACATGAAGGGATGTCTGAATCCAATGTGGAGACCTTAGAGAAAGCCCTAGGTCCCTGCCTCATTTTGACGGAATGCCTCACATCGCGCTGATACCTCGAGAGGCACGCGGAGTTCATTGCTTCAAAAGGTGACGATGCCTGACTCCTCTTGAATACTGATAGGAATCCCAAAATCCCTGTGGCTACTGGAAAGGGTCCTTGGGTGCCCTGCCTCACCTCGAGAAGCGTCCCTTTTGCCCTGCCAAGCCTCGAAGAGATTCCTGAGGTGTCCCTCGTTACTAGACAGGAGTCCTGACGTCACTGAAGAAACTCGTGTTTTGAAGGGCCATCCCCGCCGTAAGACGAGAACATACCCCAGGTCCCCGCCGCAACTCGAGAAAAACCATGAGACTTCCCCCTAGAGGCGAGATGAGGCCCCATTCCCCTGCAGTGCATGCAGAGCTATTCCGTGATCCCATTCAAACAAGTCAGGAGCTTCGACTTGCTTAATGGATCTCGAGACAGTCCCCAAGAACACTGTCACCAGTCTAGACGGACCCTGAGGTCACCCCAGCAACGCAAAGCAGCTCCATGTGCCCCAAATCAACTCGAGATGAGGCCCGATTCCCCTGCATTGACTCCAGAGCCATTCCCCGTTCCCCATTCAACACGACCGGTGGCTCGACTTCCTTCAGGCAACTCCAGAGATGCCCCGAGAACACTGTCCCAAGTCTAGAGGAACACCAACTTCAGCACAGCAACTCGAGGAATGCTCCGTGTACCCCAAATCGTCTCGAGATGCGAGCTGATGCCCTGGCTTAGGCTCAAGACGTATGCCAACTTCCCAGAAGCACCACAGGAGGAGGCTTCTCTCAGCAATAGGTATGTGGGAGGGACCCCGAGTTTGCTGCCTCAAGGGGAATATACAGCGAGAAGCCCTAACTTGAAAGGAGGCCGGATTTCCTTGCAGTGGCTTGAATACAGGCTCGTCTTTCATCTCACAACATGAAGGGATGTCTGAATCCCCTGTGGAGACCTTAGAGAAAGCCCTAGGTCCCTGCCTCATTTTGACGGAATGCCTCACATCGCACTGATACCTCGAGAGGCACGCGGAGTTCATTGCTTCAAAAGGTGACGATGCCTGACTCCTCTTGAATACTGATAGGAATCCCAAAATCCCTGTGGCTACTGGAAAGGGTCCTTGGGTGCCCTGCCTCACCTCGAGAAGCGTCCCTTTTGCCCTGCCAAGCCTCGAAGAGATTCCTGAGGTGTCCCTCGTTACTAGACAGGAGTCCTGACGTCACTGAAGAAACTCGTGTTTTGAAGGGCCATCCCCGCCGTAAGTCGAGAACATACCCCAGGTCCCCGCCGCAACTCGAGAAAAACCATGAGACTTCCCCCTAGAGGCGAGATGAGGCCCCATTCCCCTGCAGTGCATGCAGAGCTATTCCGTGATCCCATTCAAACAAGTCAGGAGCTTCGACTTGCTTAATGGATCTCGAGACAGTCCCCAAGAACACTGTCACCAGTCTAGACGGACCCTGAGGTCACCCCAGCAACGCAAAGCAGCTCCATGTGCCCCAAATCAACTCGAGATGAGGCCCGATTCCCCTGCATTGACTCCAGAGCCATTCCCCGTTCCCCATTCAACACGACCGGTGGCTCGACTTCCTTCAGGCAACTCCAGAGATGCCCCGAGAACACTGTCCCAAGTCTAGAGGAACACCAACTTCAGCACAGCAACTCGAGGAATGCTCCGTGTACCCCAAATCGTCTCGAGATGCGAGCTGATTCCCTGGCTTAGGCTCAAGACGTATGCCAACTTCCCAGAAGCACCTCAGGAGGAGGCTTCTCTCAGCAATAGGTATGTGGGAGGGACCCCGAGTTTGCTGCCTCAAGGGGAATATACAGCGAGAAGCCCTAACTTGAAAGGAGGCCGGATTTCCTTGCAGTGGCTTGAACACAGGCTCGTCTTTCATCTCACAACATGAAGGGATGTCTGAATTCCCTGTGGAGACCTTAGAGAAAGCCCTAGGTCCCTGCCTCATTTTGACGGAATGCCTCACATCCCGCTGACACCTCGAGAGGCACGCGGAGTTCATTGCTTCAAAAGGTGACGATGCCTGACTCCTCTTGAATACTGATAGGAATCCCAAAATCCCTGTGGCTACTGGAAAGGGTCCTTGGGTGCCCTGCCTCACCTCGAGAAGCGTCCCTTTTGCTCTGCCAAGCCTCGAAGAGATTCCTGAGGTGTCCCTCGTTACTAGACAGGAGTCCTGACGTCACTGAAGAAACTCGTGTTTTGAAGGGCCATCCCCGCCGTAAGTCGAGAACATACCCCAGGTCCCCGCCGCAACTCGAGAAAAACCATGAGACTTCCCCCTAGAGGCGAGATGAGGCCCCATTCCCCTGCAGTGCATGCAGAGCTATTCCGTGATCCCATTCAAACAAGTCAGGAGCTTCGACTTGCTTAATGGATCTCGAGACAGTCCCCAAGAACACTGTCACCAGTCTAGACGGACCCTGAGGTCACCCCAGCAACGCAAAGCAGCTCCATGTGCCCCAAATCAACTCGAGATGAGGCCCGATTCCCCTGCATTGACTCCAGAGCCATTCCCCGTTCCCCATTCAACACGACCGGTGGCTCGACTTCCTTCAGGCAACTCCAGAGATGCCCCGAGAACACTGTCCCAAGTCTAGAGGAACACCAACTTCAGCACAGCAACTCGAGGAATGCTCCGTGTACCCCAAATCGTCTCGAGATGCGAGCTGATTCCCTGGCTTAGGCTCAAGACGTATGCCAACTTCCCAGAAGCACCTCAGGAGGAGGCTTCTCTCAGCAATAGGTATGTGGGAGGGACCCCGAGTTTGCTGCCTCAAGGGGAATATACAGCGAGAAGCCCTAACTTGAAAGGAGGCCGGATTTCCTTGCAGTGGCTTGAATACAGGCTCGTCTTTCATCTCACAACATGAAGGGATGTCTGAATCCCCTGTGGAGACCTTAGAGAAAGCCCTAGGTCCCTGCCTCATTTTGACGGAATGCCTCACATCCCGCTGACACCTCGAGAGGCACGCGGAGTTCATTGCTTCAAAAGGTGACGATGCCTGACTCCTCTTGAATACTGATAGGAATCCCAAAATCCCTGTGGCTACTGGAAAGGGTCCTTGGGTGCCCTGCCTCACCTCGAGAAGCGTCCCTTTTGCCCTGCCAAGCCTCGAAGAGATTCCTGAGGTGTCCCTCGTTACTAGACAGGAGTCCTGACGTCACTGAAGAAACTCGTGTTTTGAAGGGCCATCCCCGCCGTAAGTCGAGAACATACCCCAGGTCCCCGCCGCAACTCGAGAAAAACCATGAGACTTCCCCCTAGAGGCGAGATGAGGACCCATTCCCCTGCAGTGCATGCAGAGCTATTCCGTGATCCCATTCAAACAAGTCAGGAGCTTCGACTTGCTTAATGGATCTCGAGACAGTCCCCAAGAACACTGTCACCAGTCTAGACGGACCCTGAGGTCACCCCAGCAACGCAAAGCAGCTCCATGTGCCCCAAATCAACTCGAGATGAGGCCCGGTTCCCCTGCATTGACTCCAGAGCCATTCCCCGTTCCCCATTCAACACGACCGGTGGCTCGACTTCCTTCAGGCAACTCCAGAGATGCCCCGAGAACACTGTCCCAAGTCTAGAGGAACACCAACTTCAGCACAGCAACTCGAGGAATGCTCCGTGTACCCCAAATCGTCTCGAGATGTGAGCTGATTCCCTGGCTTAGGCTCAAGACGTATGCCAATTTCCCAGAAGCACCTCAGGAGGAGGCTTCTCTCAGCAATAGGTATGTGGGAGGGACCCCGAGTTTGCTGCCTCAAGGGGAATATACAGCGAGAAGCCCTAACTTGAAAGGAGGCCGGATTTCCTTGCAGTGGCTTGAATACAGGCTCGTCTTTCATCTCACAACATGAAGGGATGTCTGAATCCCCTGTGGAGACCTTAGAGAAAGCCCTAGGTCCCTGCCTCATTTTGACGGAATGCCTCACATCGCGCTGACACCTCGAGAGGCACGCGGAGTTCATTGCTTCAAAAGGTGACGATGCCTGACTCCTCTTGAATACTGATAGGAATCCCAAAATCCCTGTGGCTACTGGAAAGGGTCCTTTTGTGCCCTGCCTCACCTCGAGAAGCGTCCCTTTTGCCCTGCCAAGCCTCGAAGAGATTCCTGAGGTGTCCCTCGTTACTAGACAGGAGTCCTGACGTCACTGAAGAAACTCGTGTTTTGAAGGGCCATCCCCGCCGTAAGTCGAGAACATACCCCAGGTCCCCGCCGCAACTCGAGAAAAACCATGAGACTTCCCCCTAGAGGCGAGATGAGGCCCCATTCCCCTGCAGTGCATGCAGAGCTATTCCGTGATCCCATTCAAACAAGTCAGGAGCTTCGACTTGCTTAATGGATCTCGAGACAGTCCCCAAGAACACTGTCACCAGTCTAGACGGACCCTGAGGTCACCCCAGCAACGCAAAGCAGCTCCATGTGCCCCAAATCAACTCGAGATGAGGCCCGATTCCCCTGCATTGACTCCAGAGCCATTCCCCGTTCCCCATTCAACACGACCGGTGGCTCGACTTCCTTCAGGCAACTCCAGAGATGCCCCGAGAACACTGTCCCAAGTCTAGAGGAACACCAACTTCAGCACAGCAACTCGAGGAATGCTCCGTGTACCCCAAATCGTCTCGAGATGAGAGCTGATTCCCTGGCTTAGGCTCAAGACGTATGCCAACTTCCCAGAAGCACCACAGGAGGAGGCTTCTCTCAGCAATAGGTATGTGGGAGGGACCCCGAGTTTGCTGCCTCAAGGGGAATATACAGCGAGAAGCCCTAACTTGAAAGGAGGCCGGATTTCCTTGCAGTGGCTTGAATACAGGCTCGTCTTTCATCTCACAACATGAAGGGATGTCTGAATCCCCTGTGGAGACCTTAGAGAAAGCCCTAGGTCCCTGCCTCATTTTGACGGAATGCCTCACATCGCGCTGATACCTCGAGAGGCACGAAGAGTTCATTGCTTCAAAAGGTGACGATGCCTGACTCCTCTTGAATACTGATAGGAATCCCAAAATCCCTGTGGCTACTGGAAAGGGTCCTTGGGTGCCCTGCCTCACCTCGAGAAGCGTCCCTTTGGCCCTGCCAAGCCTCGAAGAGATTCCTGAGGTGTCCCTCGTTACTAGACAGGAGTCCTGACGTCACTGAAGAAACTCGTGTTTTGAAGGGCCATCCCCGCCGTAAGTCGAGAACATACCCCAGGTCCCCGCCGCAACTCGAGAAAAACCATGAGACTTCCCCCTAGAGGCGAGATGAGGCCCCATTCCCCTGCAGTGCATGCAGAGCTATTCCGTGATCCCATTCAAACAAGTCAGGAGCTTCGACTTGCTTAATGGATCTCGAGACAGTCCCCAAGAACACTGTCACCAGTCTAGACGGACCCTGAGGTCACCCCAGCAACGCAAAGCAGCTCCATGTGCCCCAAATCAACTCGAGATGAGGCCCGATTCCCCTGCATTGACTCCAGAGCCATTCCCCGTTCCCCATTCAACACGACCGGTGGCTCGACTTCCTTCAGGCAACTCCAGAGATGCCCCGAGAACACTGTCCCAAGTCTAGAGGAACACCAAATTCAGCACAGCAACTCGAGGAATGCTCCGTGTACCCCAAATCGTCTCGAGATGCGAGCTGATTCCCTGGCTTAGGCTCAAGACGTATGCCAACTTCCCAGAAGCACCTCAGGAGGAGGCTTCTCTCAGCAATAGGTATGTGGGAGGGACCCCGAGTTTGCTGCCTCAAGGGGAATATACAGCGAGAAGCCCTAACTTGAAAGGAGGCCGGATTTCCTTGCAGTGGCTTGAACACAGGCTCGTCTTTCATCTCACAACATGAAGGGATGTCTGAATTCCCTGTGAAGACCTTAGAGAAAGCCCTAGGTCCCTGCCTCATTTTGACGGAATGCCTCACATCCCGCTGACACCTCGAGAGGCACGCAGAGTTCATTGCTTCAAAAGGTGACGATGCCTGACTCCTCTTGAATACTGATTGGAATCCCAAAATCCCTGTGGCTACTGGAAAGGGTCCTTGGGTGCCCTGCCTCACCTCGAGAAGCGTCCCTTTTGCTCTGCCAAGCCTCGAAGAGATTCCTGAGGTGTCCCTCGTTACTAGACAGGAGTCCTGACGTCACTGAAGAAACTCGTGTTTTGAAGGGCCATCCCCGCCGTAAGTCGAGAACATACCCCAGGTCCCCGCCGCAACTCGAGAAAAACCATGAGACTTCCCCCTAGAGGCGAGATGAGGCCCCATTCCCCTGCAGTGCATGCAGAGCTATTCCGTGATCCCATTCAAACAAGTCAGGAGCTTCGACTTGCTTAATGGATCTCGAGACAGTCCCCAAGAACACTGTCACCAGTCTAGACGGACCCTGAGGTCACCCCAGCAACGCAAAGCAGCTCCATGTGCCCCAAATCAACTCGAGATGAGGCCCGATTCCCCTGCATTGACTCCAGAGCCATTCCCCGTTCCCCATTCAACACGACCGGTGGCTCGACTTCCTTCAGGCAACTCCAGAGATGCCCCGAGAACACTGTCCCAAGTCTAGAGGAACACCAACTTCAGCACAGCAACTCGAGGAATGCTCCGTGTACCCCAAATCGTCTCGAGATGCGAGCTGATTCCCTGGCTTAGGCTCAAGACGTATGCCAACTTCCCAGAAGCACCTCAGGAGGAGGCTTCTCTCAGCAATAGGTATCTGGGAGGGACCCCGAGTTTGCTGCCTCAAGGGGAATATACAGCGAGAAGCCCTAACTTGAAAGGAGGCCGGATTTCCTTGCAGTGGCTTGAATACAGGCTCGTCTTTCATCTCACAACATGAAGGGATGTCTGAATCCCCTGTGGAGACCTTAGAGAAAGCCCTAGGTCCCTGCCTCATTTTGACGGAATGCCTCACATCCCGCTGACACCTCGAGAGGCACGCGGAGTTCATTGCTTCAAAATGTGACGATGCCTGACTCCTCTTGAATACTGATAGGAATCCCAAAATCCCTGTGGCTACTGGAAAGGGTCCTTGGGTGCCCTGCCTCACCTCGAGAAGCGTCCCTTTTGCCCTGCCAAGCCTCGAAGAGATTCCTGAGGTGTCCCTCGTTACTAGACAGGAGTCCTGACGTCACTGAAGAAACTCGTGTTTTGAAGGGCCATCCCCGCCGTAAGTCGAGAACATACCCCAGGTCCCCGCCGCAACTCGAGAAAAACAATGAGACTTCCCCCTAGAGGCGAGATGAGGCCCCATTCCCCTGCAGTGCATGTAGAGCTATTCCGTGATCCCATTCAAACAAGTCAGGAGCTTCGACTTGCTTAATGGATCTCGAGACAGTCCCCAAGAACACTGTCACCAGTCTAGACGGACCCTGAGGTCACCCCAGCAACGCAAAGCAGCTCCATGTGCCCCAAATCAACTCGAGATGAGGCCCGGTTCCCCTGCATTGACTCCAGAGCCATTCCCCGTTCCCCATTCAACACGACCGGTGGCTCGACTTCCTTCAGGCAACTCCAGAGATGCCCCGAGAACACTGTCCCAAGTCTAGAGGAACACCAACTTCAGCACAGCAACTCGAGGAATGCTCCGTGTACCCCAAATCGTCTCGAGATGCGAGCTGATGCCCTTCCTTAGGCTCAAAACGTATGCCAACTTCCCAGAAGCACCTCAGGAGGAGGCTTCTCTCAGCAATAGGTATGTGGGAGGGACCCCGAGTTTGCTGCCTCAAGGGGAATATACAGCGAGAAGCCCTAACTTGAAAGGAGGCCGGATTTCCTTGCAGTGGCTTGAATACAGGCTCGTCTTTCATCTCACAACATGAAGGGATGTCTGAATCCCCTGTGGAGACCTTAGAAAAAGCCCTAAGTCCCTGCCTCATTTTGACTGAATGCCTCACATCGCGCTGACACCTCGAGAGGCACGCGGAGTTCATTGCTTCAAAAGGTGACGATGCCTGACTCCTCTTGAATACTGATAGGAATCCCAAAATCCCTGTGGCTACTGGAAAGGATCCTTGGGTGCCCTTCCTCACCTCGAGAAGCGTCCCTTTTGCCCTGCCAAGCCTCGAAGAGATTCCTGAGGTGTCCCTCGTTACTAGACAGGAGTCCTGACGTCACTGAAGAAACTCGTGTTTTGAAGGGCCATCCCCGCCGTAAGTCGAGAACATACCCCAGGTCCCCGCCGCAACTCGAGAAAAACCATGAGACTTCCCCCTAGAGGCGAGATGAGGCCCCATTCCCCTGCAGTGCATGCAGAGCTATTCCGTGATCCCATTCAAACAAGTCAGGAGCTTCGACTTGCTTAATGGATCTCGAGACAGTCCCCAAGAACACTGTCACCAGTCTAGACGGACCCTGAGGTCACCCCAGCAACGCAAAGCAGCTCCATGTGCCCCAAATCAACTCGAGATGAGGCCCGATTCCCCTGCATTGACTCCAGAGCCATTCCCCGTTCCCCATTCAACACGACCGGTGGCTCGACTTCCTTCAGGCAACTCCAGAGATGCCCCGAGAACACTGTCCCAAGTCTAGAGGAACACCAACTTCAGCACAGCAACTCGAGGAATGCTCCGTGCACCCCAAATCGTCTTGAGATGAGAGCTGATTCCCTGGCTTAGGCTCAAGACATATGCCAACTTCCCAGAAGCACCTCAGGAGGAGGCTTCTCTCAGCAATAGGTATGTGGGAGGGACCCCGAGTTTGCTGCCTCAAGGGGAATATACAGCGAGAAGCCCTAACTTGAAAGGAGGCCGGATTTCCTTGCAGTGGCTTGAATACAGGCTCGTCTTTCATCTCACAACATGAAGGGATGTCTGAATCCCCTGTGGAGACCTTAGAGAAAGCCCTAGGTCCCTGCCTCATTTTGACGGAATGCCTCACATCGCGCTGACACCTCGAGAGGCACGCGGAGTTCATTGCTTCAAAAGGTGACGATGCCTGACTCCTCTTGAATACTGATAGGAATCCCAAAATCCCTGTGGCTACTGGAAAGGGTCCTTGGGTGCCCTGCCTCACCTCGAGAAGCGTCCCTTTGGCCCTGCCAAGCCTCGAAGAGATTCCTGAGGTGTCCATCGTTACTAGACAGGAGTCCTGACGTCACTGAAGAAACTCGTGTTTTGAAGGGCCATCCCCGCCGTACGTCGAGAACATACCCCAGGTCCCCGCCGCAACTCGAGAAAAACCATGAGACTTGCCCCTAGAGGCGAGATGAGGCCCCATTCCCCTGCAGTGCATGCAGAGCTATTCCGTGATCCCATTCAAACAAGTCATGAGCTTCGACTTGCTTAATGGATCTCGAGACAGTCCCCAAGAACACTGTCACCAGTCTAGACGGACCCTGAGGTCACCCCAGCAACGCAAAGCAGCTCCATGTGCCCCAAATCAACTCGAGATGAGGCCCGATTCCCCTGCATTGACTCCAGAGCCATTCCCCGTTCCCCATTCAACACGACGGGTGGCTCGACTTCCTTCAGGCAACTCCAGAGATGCCCCGAGAACACTGTCCCAAGTCTAGAGGAACACCAACTTCAGCACAGCAACTCGAGGAATGCTCCGTCTACCCCAAATCGTCTCGAGATGCGAGCTGATTCCCTGGCTTAGGCTCAAGACTTATGCCAACTTCCCAGAAGCAACACAGGAGGAGGCTTCTCTCAGCAATAGGTATGTGGGAGGGACCCCGAGTTTGCTGCCTCAAGGGGAATATACAGCGAGAAGCCCTAACTTGAAAGGAGGCCGGATTTCCTTGCAGTGACTTGAATACAGGCTCGTCTTTCATCTCACAACATGAAGGGATGTCTGAATCCCCTGTGGAGACCTTAGAGAAAGCCCTAGGTCCCTGCCTCATTTTGACGGAATGCCTCACATCGCGCTGATACCTCGAGAGGCACGCGGAGTTCATTGCTTCAAAAGGTGACGATGCCTGACTCCTCTTGAATACTGATAGGAATCCCAAAATCCCTGTGGCTACTGGAAAGGGTCCTTTTGTGCCCTGCCTCACCTCGAGAAGCGTCCCTTTGGCCCTGCCAAGCCTCGAAGAGATTCCTGAGGTGTCCCTCGTTACTAGACAGGAGTCCTGACGTCACTGAAGAAACTCGTGTTTTGAAGGGCCATCCCCGCCGTAAGTCGAGAACATACCCCAGGTCCCCGCCGCAACTCGAGAAAAACCATGAGACTTCCCCCTAGAGGCGAGATGAGGCCCCATTCCCCTGCAGTGCATGCAGAGCTATTCCGTGATCCCATTCAAACAAGTCAGGAGCTTCGACTTGCTTAATGGATCTCGAGACAGTCCCCAAGAACACTGTCACCAGTCTAGACGGACCCTGAGGTCACCCCAGCAACGCAAAGCAGCTCCATGTGCCCCAAATCAACTCGAGATGAGGCCCGATTCCCCTGCATTGACTCCAGAGCCATTCCCCGTTCCCCATTCAACACGACCGGTGGCTCGACTTCCTTCAGGCAACTCCAGAGATGCCCCGAGAACACTGTCCCAAGTCTAGAGGAACACCAACTTCAGCACAGCAACTCGAGGAATGCTCCGTGTACCCCAAATCGTCTCGAGATGCGAGCTGATTCCCTGGCTTAGGCTCAAGACGTATGCCAACTTCCCAGAAGCACCTCAGGAGGAGACTTCTCTCAGCAATAGGTATGTGGGAGGGACCCCGAGTTTGCTGCCTCAAGGGGAATATACAGCGAGAAGCCCTAACTTGAAAGGAGGCCGGATTTCCTTGCAGTGGCTTGAATACAGGCTCGTCTTTCATCTCACAACATGAAGGGATGTCTGAATCCCCTGTGGAGACCTTAGAGAAAGCCCTAGGTCCCTGCCTCATTTTGACGGAATGCCTCACATCCCGCTGACACCTCGAGAGGCACGCGGAGTTCATTGCTTCAAAAGGTGACGATGCCTGACTCCTCTTGAATACTGATAGGAATCCCAAAATACCTGTGGCTACTGGAAAGGGTCCTTGGGTGCCCTGCCTCACCTCGAGAAGCGTCCCTTTTGCCCTGCCAAGCCTCGAAGAGATTCCTGAGGTGTCCCTCGTTACTAGACAGGAGTCCTGACGTCACTGAAGAAACTCGTGTTTTGAAGGGCCATCCCCGCCGTAAGTCGAGAACATACCCCAGGTCCCCGCCGCAACTCGAGAAAAACCATGAGACTTCCCCCTAGAGGCGAGATGAGGCCCCATTCCCCTGCAGTGCATGCAGAGCTATTCCGTGATCCCATTCAAACAAGTCAGGAGCTTCGACTTGCTTAATGGATCTCGAGACAGTCCCCAAGAACACTGTCACCAGTCTAGACGGACCCTGAGGTCACCCCAGCAACGCAAAGCAGCTCCATGTGCCCCAAATCAACTCGAGATGAGGCCCGATTCCCCTGCATTGACTCCAGAGCCATTCCCCGTTCCCCATTCAACACGACCGGTGGCTCGACTTCCTTCAGGCAACTCCAGAGATGCCCCGAGAACATTGTCCCAAGTCTAGAGGAACACCAACTTCAGCACAGCAACTCGAGGAATGCTCCGTGTACCCCAAATCGTCTCGAGATGCGAGCTGATTCCCTGGCTTAGGCTCAAGACGTATGCCAACTTCCCAGAAGCACCTCAGGAGGAGGCTTCTCTCAGCAATAGTTATGTGGGAGGGACCCCGAGTTTGCTGCCTCAAGGGGAATATACAGCGAGAAGCCCTAACTTGAAAGGAGGCCGGATTTCCTTGCAGTGGCTTGAATACAGGCTCGTCTTTCATCTCACAACATGAAGGGATGTCTGAATCCCCTGTGGAGACCTTAGAGAAAGCCCTAGGTCCCTGCCTCATTTTGACGGAATGCCTCACATCGCGCTGACACCTCGAGAGGCACGCGGAGTTCATTGCTTCAAAAGGTGAGGATGCCTGACTCCTCTTGAATACTGATAGGAATCCCAAAATCCCTGTGGCTACAGGAAAGGGTCCTTGGGTGCCCTGCCTCACCTCGAGAAGCGTCCCTTTTGCCTTGCCAAGCCTCGAAGAGATTCCTGAGGTGTCCCTCGTTACTAGACAGGAGTCCTGACGTCACTGAAGAAACTCTTGTTTTGAAAGGCCATCCCCGCCGTAAGTCGAGAACATACCGCAGGTCCCCGCCGCAACTCGAGAAAAACCATGAGACTTCCCCCTAGAGGCGAGATGAGGCCCCATTCCCCTGCAGTGCATGCAGAGCTATTCCGTGATCCCATTCAAAAAAGTCAGGAGCTTCGACTTGCTTAATGGATCTCGAGACAGTCCCCAAGATCACTGTCACCAGTCTAGACGGACCCTGAGGTCACCCCAGCAACGCAAAGCAGCTCCATGTGCCCCAAATCAACTCGAGATGAGGCCCGGTTCCCCTGCATTGACTCCAGAGCCATTCCCCGTTCCCCATTCAACACGACCGGTGGCTCGACTTCCTTCAGGCAACTCCAGAGATGCCCCGACAACACTGTCCCAAGTCTAGAGGAACACCAAATTCAGCACAGCATCTCGAGGAATGTTCCGTGTACCCCAAATCGTCTCGAGATGCGAGCTGATTCCCTGGCTTAGGCTCAAGACGTATGCCAACTTCCCAGAAGCACCTCAGGAGGAGGCTTCTCTCAGCAATAGGTATGTGGGAGGGACCCCGAGTTTGCTGCCTCAAGGGGAATATACAGCGAGAAGCCCTAACTTGAAAGGAGGCCGGATTTCCTTGCAGTGGCTTGAATACAGGCTCGTCTTCCATCTCACAACATGAAGGGATGTCTGAATCCCCTGTGGAGACCTTAGAGAAAGCCCTAGGTCCCTGCCTCATTTTGACGGAATGCCTCACATCGCGCTGATACCTCGAGAGGCACGCGGAGTTCATTGCTTCAAAAGGTGACGATGCCTGACTCCTCTTGAATACTGATAGGAATCCCAAAATCCCTGTGGCTACTGGAAAGGGTCCTTGGGTGCCCTGCCTCACCTCGAGAAGCGTCCCTTTGGCCCTGCCAAGCCTCGAAGAGATTCCTGAGGTGTCCCTCGTTACTAGACAGGAGTCCTGACGTCACTGAAGAAACTCGTGTTTTGAAAGGCCATCCCCGCCGTAAGTCGAGAACATACCGCAGGTCCCCGCCGCAACTCGAGAAAAACCATGAGACTTCCCCCTAGAGGCGAGATGAGGCCCCATTCCCCTGCAGTGCATGCAGAGCTATTCCGTGATCCCATTCAAACAAGTCAGGAGCTTCGACTTGCTTAATGGATCTCGAGACAGTCCCCAAGAACACTGTCACCAGTCTAGACGGACCCTGAGGTCACCCCAGCAACGCAAAGCAGCTCCATGTGCCCCAAATCAACTCGAGATGAGGCCCGATTCCCCTGCATTGACTCCAGAGCCATTCCCCGTTCCCCATTCAACACGACCGGTGGCTCGACTTCCTTCAGACAACTCCAGAGATGCCCCGAGAACACTGTCCCAAGTCTAGAGGAACACCAACTTCAGCACAGCAACTCGAGGAATGCTCCGTGTACCCCAAATCGTCTCGAGATGCGAGCTGATTCCCTGGCTTAGGCTCAAGACGTATGCCAACTCCCCAGAAGCACCACAGGAGGAGGCTTCTCTCAGCAATAGGTATGTGGGAGGGACCCCGAGTTTGCTGCCTCAAGGGGAATATACAGCGTGAAGCCCTAACTTGAAAGGAGGCCGGATTTCCTTGCAGTGGCTTGAATACAGGCTCGTCTTTCATCTCACAACATGAAGGGATGTCTGAATCCCCTGTGGAGAACTTAGAGAAAGCCCTAGGTCCCTGCCTCATTTTGACGGAATGCCTCACATCGCGCTGACACCTCGAGAGGCACGCAGAGTTCATTGCTTCAAAAGGTGACGATGCCTGACTCCTCTTGAATACTGATAGGAATCCCAAAATCCCTGTGGCTACTGGAAAGGGTCCTTGGGTGCCCTGCCTCACCTCGCGAAGCGTCCCTTTTGCCCTGCCAAGCTTCGAAGAGATTCCTGAGGTGTCCCTCGTTACTAGACAGGAGTCCTGACGTCACTGAAGAAACTCGTGTTTTGAAGGGCCATCCCCGCTGTAAGTCGAGAACATACCCCAGGTCCCCGCCGCAACTCGAGAAAAACCATGAGACTTCCCCCTAGACGAGAGATGAGGCCCCATTCCCCTGCAGTGCATGCAGAGCTATTCCGTGATCCCATTCAAACAAGTCAGGAGCTTCGACTTGCTTAATGGATCTGGAGACAGTCCCCAAGAACACTGTCACCAGTCTAGACGGACCCTGATGTCACCCCAGCAACGCAAAGCAGCTCCATGTGCCCCAAATCAACTCGAGATGAGGCCCGATTCCCCTGCATTGACTCCAGAGCCATTCCCCGTTCCCCATTCAACACGACCGGTGGCTCGACTTCCTTCAGGCAACTCCAGAGATGCCCCGAGAACACTGTCCCAAGTCTAGAGGAACACCAACTTCAGCACAGCAACTCGAGGAATGCTCCGTGCACCCCAAATCGTCTTGAGATGAGAGCTGATTCCCTGGCTTAGGCTCAAGACGTATGCCAACTTCCCAGAAGCACCTCAGGAGGAGGCTTCTCTCAGCAATAGGTATGTGGGAGGGACCCCGAGTTTGCTGCCTCAAGGGGAATATACAGCGAGAAGCCCTAACTTGAAAGGAGGCCGGGTTTCCTTGCAGTGGCTTGAATACAGGCTCATCTTTCATCTCACAACATGAAGGGATGTCTGAATCCCCTGTGGAGACCTTAGAGAAAGCCCTAGGTGCCTGCCTCATTTTGACGGAATGCCTCACATCGCGCTGACACCTCGAGAGGCACGCAGAGTTCATTGCTTCAAAAGGTGACGATGCCTGACTCCTCTTGAATACTGATAGGAATCCCAAAATCCCTGTGGCTACTGGAAAGGGTCCTTTTGTGCCCTGCCTCACCTCGAGAAGCATCCCTTTTGCCCTGCCAAGCCTCGAAGAGATTCCTGAGGTGTCCCTCGTTACTAGACAGGAGTCCTGACGTCACTGAAGAAACTCGTGTTTTGAAGGGCCATCCCCGCCGTAAGTCGAGAACATACCCCAGGTCCCCGCCGCAACTCGAGAAAAACCATGAGACTTCCCCCTAGAGGCGAGATGAGGCCCCATTCCCCTGCAGTGCATGCAGAGCTATTCCGTGATCCCATTCAAACAAGTCAGGAGCTTCGACTTGCTTAATGGATCTCGAGACAGTCCCCAAGAACACTGTCACCAGTCTAGACGGACCCTGAGGTCACCCCATCAACGCAAAGCAGCTCCATGTGCCCCAAATCAACTCGAGATGAGGCCCGATTCCCCTGCATTGACCCCAGAGCCGTTCCCCGTTCCCCATTCAACACGACCGGTGGCTCGACTTCCTTCAGGCAACTCCAGAGATGCCCCGAGAACACTGTCCCAAGTCTAGAGGAACACCAACTTCAGCACAGCAACTCGAGGAATGCTCCGTGTACCCCAAATCGTCTCGAGATGAGAGCTGATTCCCTGGCTTAGGCTCAAGACGTATGTCAACTTCCCAGAAGCACCTCAGGAGGAGGCTTCTCTCAGCAATATGTATGTGGGAGGGACCCCGAGTTTGCTGCCTCAAGGGGAATATACATCGAGAAGCCCTAACTTGAAAGGAGGCCGGATTTCCTTGCAGTGGCTTGAATACAGGCTCGTCTTTCATCTCACAACATGAAGGGATGTCTGAATCCCCTGTGGAGACCTTAGAGAAAGCCCTAGGTCCCTGCCTCATTTTGACGGAATGCCTCACATCCCGCTGACACCTCGAGAGGCACGCGGAGTTCATTGCTTCAAAAGGTGACGATGCCTGACTCCTCTTGAATACTGATAGGAATCCCAAAATCCCTGTGGCTACTGGAAAGGGTCCTTGGGTGCCCTGCCTCACCTCGAGAAGCGTCCCTTTGGCCCTGCCAAGCCTCGAAGAGATTCCTGAGGTGTCCCTCGTTACTAGACAGGAGTCCTGACGTCACTGAAGAAACTCGTGTTTTCAAGGGCCATCCCCGCCGTAAGTCGAGAACATACACCAGGTCCCCGCCGCAACTCGAGAAAAACCATGAGACTTCCCCCTAGAGGCGAGATGAGGCCCCATTCCCCTGCAGTGCATGCAGAGCTATTCCGTGATCCCATTCAAACAAGTCAGGAGCTTCGGCTTGCTTAATGGATCTCGAGACAGTCCCCAAGAACACTGTCACCAGTCTAGACGGACCCTGAGGTCACCCCAGCAACGCAAAGCAGCTCCATGTGCCCCAAATCAACTCGAGATGAGGCCCGATTCCCCTGCATTGACTCCAGAGCCATTCCCCGTTCCCCATTCAACACGACCGGTGGCTCGACTTCCTTCAGGCAACTCCAGAGATGCCCCGAGAACACTGTCCCAAGTCTAGAGGAACACCAACTTCAGCACAGCAACTCGAGGAATGCTCCGTGTACCCCAAATCGTCTCGAGATGCGAGCTGATTCCCTGGCTTAGGCTCAAGACGTATGCCAACTTCCCAGAAGCACCTCAGGAGGAGGCTTCTCTCAGCAATAGGTATGTGGGAGGGACCCCGAGTTTGCTGCCTCAAGGGGAATATACAGCGAGAAGCCCTAACTTGAAAGGAGGCCGGATTTCCTTGCAGTGGCTTGAATACAGGCTCGTCTTTCATCTCACAACATGAAGGGATGTCTGAATCCCCTGTGGAGACCTTAGAGAAAGCCCTAGGTCCCTGCCTCATTTTGACGGAATGCCTCACATCCCGCTGACACCTCGAGAGGCACGCGGAGTTCATTGCTTCAAAAGGTGACGATGCCTGACTCCTCTTGAATACTGATAGGAATCCCAAAATCCCTGTGGCTGCTGGAAAGGGTCCTTGGGTGCCCTGCCTCACCTCGAGAAGCGTCCCTTTGGCCCTGCCAAGCCTCGAAGAGATTCCTGAGGTGTCCCTCGTTACTAGACAGGAGTCCTGACGTCACTGAAGAAACTCGTGTTTTGAAGGGCCATCCCCGCCGTAAGTCGAGAACATACCCCAGGTCCCCGCCGCAACTCGAGAAAAACCATGAGACTTCCCCCTAGAGGCGAGATGAGGCCCCATTCCCCTGCAGTGCATGCAGAGCTATTCCGTGATCCCATTCAAACAAGTCAGGAGCTTCGACTTGCTTAATGGATCTCGAGACAGTCCCCAAGAACACTGTCACCAGTCTAGACGGACCCTGAGGTCACCCCAGCAACGCAAAGCAGCTCCATGTGCCCCATATCAACTCGAGATGAGGCCCGATTCCCCTGCATTGACTCCAGAGCCATTCCCCATTCCCCATTCAACACGACCGGTGGCTCGACTTCCTTCAGGCAACTCCAGAGATGCCCCGAGAACACTGTCCCAGGTCTAGAGGAACACCAACTTCAGCACAGCAACTCGAGGAATGCTCCGTGTACCCCAAATCGTCTCGAGATGCGAGCTGATTCCCTGGCTTAGGCTCAAGACGTATGCCAACTTCCCAGAAGCACCACAGGAGGAGGCTTCTCTCAGCAATAGGTATGTGGGAGGGACCCCGAGTTTGCTGCCTCAAGGGGAATATACAGCGAGAAGCCCTAACTTGAAAGGAGGCCGGATTTCCTTGCAGTGGCTTGAACACAGGCTCGTCTTTCATCTCACAACATGAAGGGATGTCTGAATCCCCTGTGGAGACCTTAGAGAAAGCCCTAGGTCCCTGCCTCATTTTGACGGAATGCCTCACATCGCGCTGACACCTCGAGAGGCACGCGGAGTTCATTGCTTCAAAAGGTGACGATGCCTGACTCCTCTTGAATACTGATAGGAATCCCAAAATCCCTGTGGCTACTGGAAAGGGTCCTTGGGTGCCCTGCCTCACTTCGAGAAGCGTCCCTTTTGCCCTGCCAAGCCTCGAAGAGATTCCTGAGGTGTCCCTCGTTACTAGACAGGAGTCCTGACGTCACTGAAGAAACTCGTGTTTTGAAGGGCCATCCCCGCCGTAAGTCGAGAACATACCCCAGGTCCCCGCCGCAACTCGAGAAAAACCATGAGACTTCCCCCTAGAGGCGAGATGAGGCCCCATTCCCCTGCAGTGCATGCAGAGCTATTCCGTGATCCCATTCAAACAAGTCAGGAGCTTCGACTTGCTTAATGGATCTCGAGACAGTCCCCAAGAACACTGTCACCAGTCTAGACGGACCCTGAGGTCACCCCAGCAACGCAAAGCAGCTCCATGTGCCCCAAATCAACTCGAGATGAGGCCCGATTCCCCTGGATTGACTCCAGAGCCATTCCCCGTTCCCCATTCAACACGACCGGTGGCTCGACTTCCTTCAGGCAACTCCAGAGATGCCCCGAGAACACTGTCCCAAGTCTAGAGGAACACCAACTTCAGCACAGCAACTCGAGGAATGCTCCGTGTACCCCAAATCGTCTCGAGATGCGAGCTGATTCCCTGGCTTAGGCTCAAGACGTATGCCAACTTCCCAGAAGCACCGCAGTAGGAGGCTTCTCTCAGCAATAGGTATGTGGGAGGGACCCCGAGTTTGCTGCCTCAAGGGGAATATACAGCGAGAAGCCCTAACTTGAAAGGAGGCCGGATTTCCTTGCAGTGGCTTGAATACAGGCTCGTCTTTCATCTCACAACATGAAGGGATGTCTGAATCCCCTGTGGAGACCTTAGAAAAAGCCCTAAGTCCCTGCCTCATTTTGACGGAATGCCTCACATCGCGCTGACACCTCGAGAGGCACGCGGAGTTCATTGCTTCAAAAGGTGACGATGCCTGACTCCTCTTGAATACTGATAGGAATCCCAAAATCCCTGTGGCTACTGGAAAGGATCCTTGGGTGCCCTGCCTCACCTCGAGAAGCGTCCCTTTTGCCCTGCCAAGCCTCGAAGAGATTCCTGAGGTGTCCCTCGTTACTAGACAGGAGTCCTGACGTCACTGAAGAAACTCGTGTTTTGAAGGGCCATCCCCGCCGTAAGTCGAGAACATACCCCAGGTCCCCGCCGCAACTCGAGAAAAACCATGAGACTTCCCCCTAGAGGCGAGATGAGGCCCCATTCCCCTGCAGTGCATGCAGAGCTATTCCGTGATCCCATTCAAACAAGTCAGGAGCTTCGACTTGCTTAATGGATCTCGAGACAGTCCCCAAGAACACTGTCACCAGTCTAGACGGACCCTGAGGTCACCCCAGCAACGCAAAGCAGCTCCATGTGCCCCAAATCAACTCGAGATGAGGCCCGATTCCCCTGCATTGACTCCAGAGCCATTCCCCGTTCCCCATTCAACACGACCGGTGGCTCGACTTCCTTCAGGCAACTCCAGAGATGCCCCGAGAACACTGTCCCAAGTCTAGAGGAACACCAACTTCAGCACAGCAACTCGAGGAATGCTCCGTGTACCCCAAATCGTCTCGAGATGCGAGCTGATTCCCTGGCTTAGGCTCAAGACGTATGCCAACTTCCCAGAAGCACCACAGGAGGAGGCTTCTATCAGCAATAGGTATGTGGGAGGGACCCCGAGTTTGCTGCCTCAAGGGGAATATACAGCGAGAAGCCCTAACTTGAAAGGAGGCCGGATTTCCTTGCAGTGGCTTGAATACAGGCTCGTCTTTCATCTCACAACATGAAGGGATGTCTGAATCCCCTGTGGAGACCTTAGAGAAAGCCCTAGGTCCCTGCCTCATTTTGACGGAATGCCTCACATCGCGCTGACACCTCGAGAGGCACGCGGAGTTCATTGCTTCAAAAGGTGACGATGCCTGACTCCTCTTGAATACTGATAGGAATCCCAAAATCCCTGTGGCTACTGGAAAGGGTCCTTGGGTGCCCTGCCTCACCTCGAGAAGCGTCCCTTTGGCCCTGCCAAGCCTCGAAGAAATTCCTGAGGTGTCCCTCGTTACTAGACAGGAGTCCTGACGTCACTGAAGAAACTCGTGTTTTGAAGGGCCATCCCCGCCGTAAGTCGAGAACATACCCCAGGTCCCCGCCGCAACTCGAGAAAAACCATGAGACTTCCCCCTAGAGGCGAGATGAGGCCCCATTCCCCTGCAGTGCATGCAGAGCTATTCCGTGATCCCATTCAAACAAGTCAGGAGCTTCGACTTGCTTAATGGATCTCGAGACAGTCCCCAAGAACACTGTCACCAGTCTAGACGGACCCTGAGGTCACCCCAGCAACGCAAAGCAGCTCCATGTGCCCCAAATCAACTCGAGATGAGGCCCGGTTCCCCTGCATTGACTCCAGAGCCATTCCCCATTCCCCATTCAACACGACCGGTGGCTCGACTTCTTTCAGGCAACTCCAGAGATGCCCCGAGAACACTGTCCCAGGTCTAGAGGAACACCAACTTCAGCACAGCAACTCGAGGAATGCTCCGTGTACCCCAAATCGTCTCGAGATGCGAGCTGATTCCCTGGCTTAGGCTCAAGACGTATGCCAACTTCCCAGAAGCACCACAGGAGGAGGCTTCTATCAGCAATAGGTATGTGGGAGGGACCCCGAGTTTGCTGCCTCAAGGGGAATATACAGCGAGAAGCCCTAACTTGAAAGGAGGCCGGATTTCCTTGCAGTGGCTTGAATACAGGCTCGTCTTTCATCTCACAACATGAAGGGATGTCTGAATCCCCTGTGGAGACCTTAGAGAAAGCCCTAGGTCCCTGCCTCATTTTGACGGAATGCCACACATCGCGCTGATACCTCGAGAGGCACGCGGAGTTCATTGCTTCAAAAGGTGACGATGCCTGACTCCTCTTGAATACTGATAGGAATCCCAAAATCCCTGTGGCTACTGGAAAGGGTCCTTTTGTGCCCTGCCTCACCTCGAGAAGCGTCCCTTTTGCCCTGCCAAGCCTCGAAGAGATTCCTGAGGTGTCCCTCGTTACTAGACAGGAGTCCTGACGTCACTGAAGAAACTCGTGTTTTCAAGGGCCATCCCCGCCGTAAGTCGAGAACATACCCCAGGTCCCCGCCGCAACTCGAGAAAAACCATGAGACTTCCCCCTAGAGGCGAGATGAGGCCCCATTCCCCTGCAGTGCATGCAGAGCTATTCCGTGATCCCATTCAAACAAGTCAGGAGCTTCGGCTTTCTTAATGGATCTCGAGACAGTCCCCAAGAACACTGTCACCAGTCTAGACGGACCCTGAGGTCACCCCAGCAACGCAAAGCAGCTCCATGTGCCCCAAATCAACTCGAGATGAGGCCCGATTCCCCTGCATTGACTCCAGAGCCATTCCCCGTTCCCCATTCAACACGACCGGTGGCTCGACTTCATTCAGGCAACTCCAGAGATGCCCCGAGAACACTGTCCCAAGTCTAGAGGAACACCAACTTCAGCACAGCAACTCGAGGAATGCTCCGTGTACCCCAAATCGTCTCGAGATGCGAGCTGATTCCCTGGCTTAGGCTCAAGACGTATGCCAACTTCCCAGAAGCACCTCAGGAGGAGGCTTCTCTCAGCAATAGGTATGTGGGAGGGACCCCGAGTTTGCTGCCTCAAGGGGAATATACAGCGAGAAGCCCTAACTTGAAAGGAGGCCGGATTTCCTTGCAGTGGCTTGAATACAGGCTCGTCTTTCATCTCACAACATGAAGGGATGTCTGAATCCCCTGTGGAGACCTTAGAGAAAGCCCTAGGTCCCTGCCTCATTTTGACGGAATGCCTCACATCCCGCTGACACCTCGAGAGGCACGCGGAGTTCATTGCTTCAAAAGGTGACGATGCCTGACTCCTCTTGAATACTGATAGGAATCCCAAAATCCCTGTGGCTGCTGGAATGGGTCCTTGGGTGCCCTGCCTCACCTCGAGAAGCGTCCCTTTGGCCCTGCCAAGCCTTGAAGAGATTCCTGAGGTGTCCCTCGTTACTAGACAGGAGTCCTGACGTCACTGAAGAAACTCGTGTTTTGAAGGGCCATCCCCGCCGTAAGTCGAGAACATACCCCAGGTCCCCGCCGCAACTCGAGAAAAACCATGAGACTTCCCCCTAGAGGCGAGATGAGGCCCCATTCCCCTGCAGTGCATGCAGAGCTATTCCGTGATCCCATTCAAACAAGTCAGGAGCTTCGACTTGCTTAATGGATCTCGAGACAGTCCCCAAGAACACTGTCACCAGTCTAGACGGACCCTGAGGTCACCCCAGCAACGCAAAGCAGCTCCATGTGCCTCAAATCAACTCGAGATGAGGCCCGATTCCCCTGCATTGACTCCAGAGCCATTCCCCATTCCCCATTCAAAACGACCGGTGGCTCGACTTCCTTCAGGCAACTCCAGAGATGCCCCGAGAACACTGTCCCACGTCTAGAGGAACACCAACTTCAGCACAGCAACTCGAGGAATGCTCCGTGTACCCCAAATCGTCTCGAGATGCGAGCTGATTCCCTGGCTTAGGCTCAAGACGTATGCCAACTTCCCAGAAGCACCACAGGAGGAGGCTTCTATCAGCAATAGGTATGTGGGAGGGACCCCGAGTTTGCTGCCTCAAGGGGAATATACAGCGAGAAGCCCTAACTTGAAAGGAGGCCGGATTTCCTTGCAGTGGCTTGAATACAGGCTCGTCTTTCATCTCACAACATGAAGGGATGTCTGAATCCCCTGTGGAGACCTTAGAGAAAGCCCTAGGTCCCTGCCTCATTTTGACGGAATGCCTCACATCGCGCTGATACCTCGAGAGGCACACGGAGTTCATTGCTTCAAAAGGTGACGATGCCTGACTCCTCTTGAATACTGATAGGAATCCCAAAATCCCTGTGGCTACTGGAAAGGGTCTTTTTGTGCCCTGCCTCACCTCGAGAAGCGTCCCTTTTGCCCTGCCAAGCCTCGAAGAGATTCCTGAGGTGTCCCTCGTTACTAGACAGGAGTCCTGACGTCACTGAAGAAACTCGTGTTTTGAAGGGCCATCCCCGCCGTAAGTCGAGAACATACCCCAGGTCCCCGCCGCAACTCGAGAAAAACCATGAGACTTCCCCCTAGAGGCGAGATGAGGCCCCATTCCCCTGCAGTGCATGCAGAGCTATTCCGTGATCCCATTCAAACAAGTCAGGAGCTTCGACTTGCTTAATGGATCTCGAGACAGTCCCCAAGAACACTGTCACCAGTCTAGACGGACCCTGAGGTCACCCCAGCAACGCAAAGCAGCTCCATGTGCCCCAAATCAACTCGAGATGAGGCCCGATTCCCCTGCATTGACTCCAGAGCCATTCCCCGTTCCCCATTCAACACGACCGGTGTCTCGACTTCCTTCAGGCAACTCCAGAGATGCCCCGAGAACACTGTCCCAAGTCTAGAGGAACACCAACTTCAGCACAGCAACTCGAGGAATGCTCCGTGTACCCCAAATCGTCTCGAGATGCGAGCTGATTCCCTGGCTTAGGCTCAAGACGTATGCCAACTTCCCAGAAGCACCTCAGGAGGAGGCTTCTCTCAGCAATAGGTATGTGGGAGGGACCCCGAGTTTGCTGCCTCAAGGGGAATATACAGCGAGAAGCCCTAACTTGAAAGGAGGCCGGATTTCCTTGCAGTGGCTTGAATACAGGCTCGTCTTTCATCTCACAACATGAAGGGATGTCTGAACCCCTGTGGAGACCTTAGAGAAAGCCCTAGGTCCCTGCCTCATTTTGACGGAATGCCTCACATCCCGCTGACACCTCGAGAGGCACGCGGAGTTCATTGCTTCAAAAGGTGACGATGCCTGACTCCTCTTGAATACTGATAGGAATCCCAAAATCCCTGTGGCTACTGGAAAGGGTCCTTGGGTGCCCTGCCTCACCTCGAGAAGCGTCCCTTTTGCCCTGCCAAGCCTCGAAGAGATTCCTGAGGTGTCCCTCGTTACTAGACAGGAGTCCTGACGTCACTGAAGAAACTCGTGTTTTGAAGGGCCATCCCCGCCGTAAGACGAGAACATACCCCAGGTCCCCGGGGCAACTCGAGAAAAACCATGAGACTTCCCCCTAGAGGCGAGATGAGGCCCCATTCCCCTGCAGTGCATGCAGAGCTATTCCGTGATCCCATTCAAACAAGTCAGGAGCTTCGACTTGCTTAATGGATCTCGAGACAGTCCCCAAGAACACTGTCACCAGTCTAGACGGACCCTGAGGTCACCCCAGCAACGCAAAGCAGCTCCATGTGCCCCAAATCAACTCGAGATGAGGCCCGGTTCCCCTGCATTGACTCCAGAGCCATTCCCCGTTCCCCATTCAACACGACCCGTGGCTCGACTTCCTTCAGGAAACTCCAGAGATGCCCCGAGAACACTGTCCCAAGTCTAGAGGAACACCAACTTCAGCACAGCAACTCGAGGAATGCTCCGTGTACCCCAAATCGTCTCGAGATGCGAGCTGATTCCCTGGCTTAGGCTCAAGACGTATGCCAACTTCCCAGAAGCACCTCAGGAGGAGGCTTCTCTCAGCAATAGGTATGTGGGAGGGACCCCGAGTTTGCTGCCTCAAGGGGAATATACAGCGAGAAGCCCTAACTTGAAAGGAGGCCGGATTTCCTTGCAGTGGCTTGAATACAGGCTCGTCTTTCATCTCACAACATGAAGGAATGTCTGAATCCCCTGTGGAGACCTTAGAGAAAGCCCTAGGTCCCTGCCTCATTTTGACGGAATGCCTCACATCCCGCTGACACCTCGAGAGGCACGCGGAGTTCATTGCTTCAAAAGGTGACGATGCCTGACTCCTCTTGAATACTGATAGGAATCCCAAAATCCCTGTGGCTACTGGAAAGGGTCCTTGGGTGCCCTGCCTCACCTCGAGAAGCGTCCCTTTTGCCCTGCCAAGCCTCGAAGAGATTCCTGAGGTGTCCCTCGTTACTAGACAGGAGTCCTGACGTCACTGAAGAAACTCGTGTTTTGAAGGGCCATCCCCTCCGTAAGTCGAGAACATACCCCAGGTCCCCGCCGCAACTCGAGAAAAACCATGAGACTTCCCCCTAGAGGCGAGATGAGGCCCCATTCCCCTGCAGTGCATGCAGAGCTATTGCGTGATCCCATTCAAACAAGTCAGGAGCTTCGGCTTGCTTAATGGATCTCGAGACAGTCCCCAAGAACACTGTCACCAGTCTAGACGGACCCTGAGGTCACCCCAGCAACGCAAAGCAGCTCCATGTGCCCCAAATCAACTCGAGATGAGGCCCGATTCCCCTGCATTGACTCCAGAGCCATTCCCCGTTCCCCATTCAACACGACCGGTGGCTCGATTTCCTTCAGGCAATTCCAGAGATGCCCCGAGAACACTGTCCCAAGTCTAGCGGAACACCAACTTCAGCACAGCAACTCGAGGAATGCTCCGTGTACCCCAAATCGTCTCGAGATGCGAGCTGATTCCCTGGCTTAGGCTCAAGACGTATGCCAACTTCCCAGAAGCACCTCAGGAGGAGGCTTCTCTCAGCAATAGGTATGTGGGAGGGACCCCGAGTTTGCTGCCTCAAGGGGAATATACAGCGAGAAGCCCTAACTTGAAAGGAGGCCGGATTTCCTTGCAGTGGCTTGAATACAGGCTCGTCTTTCATCTCACAACATGAAGGGATGTCTGAATCCCCTGTGGAGACCTTAGAGAAAGCCCTAGGTCCCTGCCTCATTTTGACGGAATGCCTCACATCGCGCTGACACCTCGAGAGGCACGCGGAGTTCATTGCTTCAAAAGGTGACGATGCCTGACTCCTCTTGAATACTGATAGGAATCCCAAAATCCCTGTGGCTACTGGAAAGGGTCCTTGGGTGCCCTGCCTCACTTCGAGAAGCGTCCCTTTTGCCCTGCCAAGCCTCGAAGAGATTCCTGAGGTGTCCCTCGTTACTAGACAGGAGTCCTGACGTCACTGAAGAAACTCGTGTTTTGAAGGGCCATCCCCGCCGTAAGTCGAGAACATACCCCAGGTCCCCGCCGCAACTCGAGAAAAACCATGAGACTTCCCCCTAGAGGCGAGATGAGGCCCCATTCCCCTGCAGTGCATGCAGAGCTATTCCGTGATCCCATTCAAACAAGTCAGGAGCTTCGACTTGCTTAATGGATCTCGAGACAGTCCCCAAGAACACTGTCACCAGTCTAGACGGACCCTGAGGTCACCCCAGCAACGCAAAGCAGCTCCATGTGCCCCAAATCAACTCGAGATGAGGCCCGGTTCCCCTGCATTGACTCCAGAGCCATTCCCCGTTCCCCATTCAACACGACCGGTGGCTCGACTTCCTTCAGGCAACTCCAGAGATGCCCCGAGAACACTGTCCCAAGTCTAGAGGAACACCAACTTCAGCACAGCAACTCGAGGAATGCTCCGTGTACCCCAAATCGTCTCGAGATGCGAGCTGATTCCCTGGCTTAGGCTCAAGACGTATGCCAACTTCCCAGAAGCACCTCAGGAGGAGGCTTCTCTCAGCAATAGGTATGTGGGAGGGACCCCGAGTTTGCTGCCTCAAGGGGAATATACAGCGAGAAGCCCTAACTTGAAAGGAGGCCGGATTTCCTTGCAGTGGCTTGAATACAGGCTCGTCTTTCATCTCACAACATGAAGGGATGTCTGAATCCCCTGTGGAGACCTTAGAGAAAGCCCTAGGTCCCTGCCTCATTTTGACGGAATGCCTCACATCGCGCTGACACCTCGAGAGGCACGCGGAGTTCATTGCTTCAAAAGGTGACGATGCCTGACTCCTCTTGAATACTGATAGGAATACCAAAATCCCTGTGGCTACTGGAAAGGGTCCTTGGGTGCCCTGCCTCACTTCGAGAAGCGTCCCTTTTGCCCTGCCAAGCCTCGAAGAGATTCCTGAGGTGTCCCTCGTTACTAGACAGGAGTCCTGACGTCACTGAAGAAACTCGTGTTTTGAAGGGCCATCCCCGCCGTAAGTCGAGAACATACCCCAGGTCCCCGCCGCAACTCGAGAAAAACCATGAGACTTCCCCCTAGAGGCGAGATGAGGCCCCATTCCCCTGCAGTGCATGCAGAGCTATTCCGTGATCCCATTCAAACAAGTCAGGAGCTTCGACTTGCTTAATGGATCTCGAGACAGTCCCCAAGAACACTGTCACCAGTCTAGACGGACCCTGAGGTCACCCCAGCAACGCAAAGCAGCTCCATGTGCCCCAAATCAACTCGAGATGAGGCCCGATTCCCCTGGATTGACTCCAGAGCCATTCCCCGTTCCCCATTCAACACGACCGGTGGCTCGACTTCCTTCAGGCAACTCCAGAGATGCCCCGAGAACACTGTCCCAAGTCTAGAGGAACACCAACTTCAGCACAGCAACTCGAGGAATGCTCCGTGTACACCAAATCGTCTCGAGATGCGAGCTGATTCCCTGGCTTAGGCTCAAGACGTATGCCAACTTCCCAGAAGCACCACAGGAGGAGGCTTCTCTCAGCAATAGGTATGTGGGAGGGACCCCGAGTTTGCTGCCTCAAGGGGAATATACAGCGAGAAGCCCTAACTTGAAAGGAGGCCGGATTTCCTTGCAGTGGCTTGAATACAGGCTCGTCTTTCATCTCACAACATGAAGGGATGTCTGAATCCCCTGTGGAGACCTTAGAGAAAGCCCTAGGTCCCTGCCTCATTTTGACGGAATGCCTCACATCGCGCTGATACCTCGAGAGGCACGCGGAGTTCATTGCTTCAAAAGGTGACGATGCCTGACTCCTCTTGAATACTGATAGGAATCCCAAAATCCCTGTGGCTACTGGAAAGGGTCCTTTTGTGCCCTGCCTCACCTCGAGAAGCGTCCCTTTAGCCCTGCCAAGCCTCGAAGAGATTCCTGAGGTGTCCCTCGTTACTAGACAGGAGTCCTGACGTCACTGAAGAAACTCGTGTTTTGAAGGGCCATCCCCGCCGTAAGTCGAGAACATACCTCAGGTCCCCGCCGCAACTCGAGAAAAACCATGAGACTTCCCCCTAGAGGCGAGATGAGGCCCCATTCCCCTGCAGTGCATGCAGAGCTATTCCGTGATCCCATTCAAACAAGTCAGGAGCTTCGACTTGCTTAATGGATCTCGAGACAGTCCCCAAGAACACTGTCACCAGTCTAGACGGACCCTGAGGTCATCCCAGCAACGCAAAGCAGCTCCATGTGCCCCAAATCAACTCGAGATGAGGCCCGATTCCCCTGCATTGACTCCAGAGCCATTCCCCGTTCCCCATTCAACACGACCGGTGGCTCGACTTCCTTCAGGCAACTCCAGAGATGCCCCGAGAACACTGTCCCAAGTCTAGAGGAACACCAACTTCAGCACAGCAACTCGAGGAATGCTCCGTGTACCCCAAATCGTCTCGAGATGCGAGCTGATTCCCTGGCTTAGGCTCAAGACGTATGCCAACTTCCCAGAAGCACCTCAGGAGGAGGCTTCTCTCAGCAATAGGTATGTGGGAGGGACCCCGAGTTTGCTGCCTCAAGGGGAATATACAGCGAGAAGCCCTAACTTGAAAGGAGGCCGGATTTCCTTGCAGTGGCTTGAACACAGGCTCGTCTTTCATCTCACAACATGAAGGGATGTCTGAATCCCCTGTGGAGACCTTAGAGAAAGCCCTAGGTCCCTGCCTCATTTTGACGGAATGCCTCACATCCCGCTGACACCTCGAGAGGCACGCGGAGTTCATTGCTTCAAAAGGTGACGATGCCTGACTCCTCTTGAATACTGATAGGAATCCCAAAATCCCTGTGGCTACTGGAAAGGGTCCTTCGGTGCCCTGCCTCACCTCGAGAAGCGTCCCTTTTGCCCTGCCAAGCCTTGAAGAGATTCCTGAGGTGTCCCTCGTTACTAGACAGGAGTCCTGACGTCACTGAAGAAACTCGTGTTTTGAAGGGCCATCCCCGCCGTAAGTCGAGAACATACCCCAGGTCCCAGCCGCAACTCGAGAAAAACCATGAGACTTCCCCCTAGAGGCGAGATGAGGCCCCATTCCCCTGCAGTGCATGCAGAGCTATTCCGTGATCCCATTCAAACAAGTCAGGAGCTTCGACTTGCTTAATGGATCTCGAGACAGTCCCCAAGAACACTGTCACCAGTCTAGACGGACCCTGAGGTCACCCCAGCAACGCAAAGCAGCTCCATGTGCCCCAAATCAACTCGAGATGAGGCCCGATTCCCCTGCATTGACTCCAGAGCCATTCCCCATTCCCCATTCAACACGACCGGTGGCTCGACTTCCTTCAGGCAACTCCAGAGATGCCCCGAGAACACTGTCCCAGGTCTAGAGGAACACCAACTTCAGCACAGCAACTCGAGGAATGCTCCGTGTACCCCAAATCGTCTCGAGATGTGAGCTGATTCCCTGTCGTAGGCTCAAGACGTATGCCAACTTCCCAGAAGCACCACAGGAGGAGGCTTCTATCAGCAATAGGTATGTGGGAGGCACCCCGAGTTTGCTGCCTCAAGGGGAATATACAGCGAGAAGCCCTAACTTGAAAGGAGGCCGGATTTCCTTGCAGTGGCTTGAATACAGGCTCGTCTTTCATCTCACAACATGAAGGGATGTCTGAATCCCCTGTGGAGACCTTAGAGAAAGCCCTAGGTCCCTGCCTCATTTTGACGGAATGCCTCACATCGCGCTGATACCTCGAGAGGCACGCGGAGTTCATTGCTTCAAAAGGTGACGATGCCTGACTCCTCTTGAATACTGATAGGAATCCCAAAATCCCTGTGGCTACTGGAAAGGGTCCTTGGGTGCCCTGCCTCACCTCGAGAAGCGTCCCTTTTGCCCTGCCAAGCCTCAAAGAGATTCCTGAGGTGTCCCTCGTTACTAGACAGGAGTCCTGACGTCACTGAAGAAACTCGTGTTTTGAAGGGCCATCCCCGCCGTAAGACGAGAACATACCCCAGGTCCCCGCCGCAACTCGAGAAAAACCATGAGACTTCCCCCTAGAGGCGAGATGAGGCCCCATTCCCCTGCAGTGCATGCAGAGCTATTCCGTGATCCCATTCAAACAAGTCAGGAGCTTCGACTTGCTTAATGGATCTCGAGACAGTCCCCAAGAACACTGTCACCAGTCTAGACGGACCCTGAGGTCACCCCAGCAACGCAAAGCAGCTCCATGTGCCCCAAATCAACTCGAGATGAGGCCCGATTCCCCTGCATTGACTCCAGAGCCATTCCCCGTTCCCCATTCAACACGACCGGTGGCTCGACTTCCTTCAGGCAACTCCAGAGATGCCCCGAGAACACTGTCCCAAGTCTAGAGGAACACCAACTTCAGCACAGCAACTCGAGGAATGCTCCGTGTACCCCAAATCGTCTCGAGATGCGAGCTGATTCCCTGGCTTAGGCTCAAGACGTATGCCAACTTCCCAGAAGCACCACAGGAGGAGGCTTCTCTCAGCAATAGGTATGTGGGAGGGACCCCGAGTTTGCTGCCTCAAGGGGAATATACAGCGAGAAGCCCTAACTTGAAAGGAGGCCGGATTTCCTTGCAGTGGCTTGAATACAGGCTCGTCTTTCATCTCACAACATGAAGGAATGTCTGAATCCCCTGTGGAGATCTTAGAGAAAGCCCTAGGTCCCTGCCTCATTTTGACGGAATGCCTCACATCGCGCTGATACCTCGAGAGGAACGCGGAGTTCATTGCTTCAAAAGGTGACGATGCCTGACTCCTCTTGAATACTGATAGGAATCCCAAAATCCCTGTGGCTACTGGAAAGGGTCCTTTGGTGCCCTGCCTCACCTCGAGAAGCGTCCCTTTTGCCCTGCCAAGCCTCGAAGAGATTCCTGAGGTGTCCCTCGTTACTAGACAGGAGTCCTGACGTCACTGAAGAAACTCGTGTTTTGAAGGGCCATCCCCGCCGTAAGTCGAGAACATACCCCAGGTCCCCACCGCAACTCGAGAAAAACCATGAGACTTCCCCCTAGAGGCGAGATGAGGCCCCATTCCCCTGCAGTGCATGCAGAGCTATTGCGTGATCCCATTCAAACAAGTCAGGAGCTTCGGCTTGCTTAATGGATCTCGAGACAGTCCCCAAGAACACTGTCACCAGTCTAGACGGACCCTGAGGTCACCCCAGCAACGCAAAGCAGCTCCATGTGCCCCAAATCAACTCGAGATGAGGCCCGATTCCCCTGCATTGACTCCAGAGCCATTCCCCGTTCCCCATTCAACACGACCGGTGGCTCGACTTCCTTCAGGCAACTCCAGAGATGCCCCGAGAACACTGTCCCAAGTCTAGAGGAACACCAACTTCAGCACAGCAACTCGAGGAATGCTCCGTGTACCCCAAATCGTCTCGAGATGCGAGCTGATTCCCTGGCTTAGGCTCAAGACGTATGCCAACTTCCCAGAAGCACCTCAGGAGGAGGCTTCTCTCAGCAATAGGTATGTGGGAGGGACCCCGAGTTTGCTGCCTCAAGGGGAATATACAGCGAGAAGCCCTAACTTGAAAGGAGGCCGGATTTCCTTGCAGTGGCTTGAATACAGGCTCGTCTTTCATCTCACAACATGAAGGGATGTCTGAATCCCCTGTGGAGACCTTAGAGAAAGCCCTAGGTCCCTGCCTCATTTTGACGGAATGCCTCACATCCCGCTGACACCTCGAGAGGCACGCGGAGTTCATTGCTTCAAAAGGTGACGATGCCTGACTCCTCTTGAATACTGATAGGAATCCCAAAATCCCTGTGGCTACTGGAAAGGGTCCTTGGGTGCCCTGCCTCACCTCGAGAAGCGTCCCTTTTGCCCTGCCAAGCCTCGAAGAGATTCCTGAGGTGTCCCTCGTTACTAGACAGGAGTCCTGACGTCACTGAAGAAACTCGTGTTTTGAAGGGCCATCCCCGCCGTAAGACGAGAACATACCCCAGGTCCCCGCCGCAACTCGAGAAAAACCATGAGACTTCCCCCTAGAGGCGAGATGAGGCCCCATTCCCCTGCAGTGCATGCAGAGCTATTCCGTGATCCCATTCAAACAAGTCAGGAGCTTCGACTTGCTTAATGGATCTCGAGACAGTCCCCAAGAACACTGTCACCAGTCTAGACGGACCCTGAGGTCACCCCAGCAACGCAAAGCAGCTCCATGTGCCCCAAATCAACTCGAGATGAGGCCCGGTTCCCCTGCATTGACTCCAGAGCCATTCCCCGTTCCCCATTCAACACGACCGGTGGCTCGACTTCCTTCAGGCAACTCCAGAGATGCCCCGAGAACACTGTCCCAAGTCTAGAGGAACACCAACTTCAGCACAGCAACTCGAGGAATGCTCCGTGTACCCCAAATCGTCTCGAGATGCGAGCTGATTCCCTGGCTTAGGCTCAAGACGTATGCCAACTTCCCAGAAGCACCTCAGGAGGAGGCTTCTCTCAGCAATAGGTATGTGGGAGGGACCCCGAGTTTGCTGCCTCAAGGGGAATATACAGCGAGAAGCCCTAACTTGAAAGGAGGCCGGATTTCCTTGCAGTGGCTTGAATACAGGCTCGTCTTTCATCTCACAACATGAAGGGATGTCTGAATCCCCTGTGGAGACCTTAGAAAAAGCCCTAAGTCCCTGCCTCATTTTGACGGAATGCCTCACATCGCGCTGACACCTCGAGAGGCACGCGGAGTTCATTGCTTCAAAAGGTGACGATGCCTGACTCCTCTTGAATACTGATAGGAATCCCAAAATCCCTGTGGCTACTGGAAAGGGTCCTTTTGTGCCCTGCCTCACCTCGAGAAGCGTCCCTTTGGCCCTGCCAAGCCTCGAAGAGATTCCTGAGGTGTCCCTCGTTATTAGACAGGAGTCCTGACGTCACTGAAGAAACTCGTGTTTTGAAGGGCCATCCCCGCCGTAAGTCGAGAACATACCCCAGGTCCCCGCCGCAACTCGAGAAAAACCATGAGACTTCCCCCTAGAGGCGAGATGAGGCCCCATTCCCCTGCAGTGCATGCAGAGCTATTCCGTGATCCCATTCAAACAAGTCAGGAGCTTCGACTTGCTTAATGGATCTCGAGACAGTCCCCAAGAACACTGTCACCAGTCTAGACGGACCCTGAGGTCACCCCAGCAACGCAAAGCAGCTTCATGTGCCCCAAATCAACTCGAGATGAGGCCCGATTCCCCTGCATTGACTCCAGAGCCATTCCCCGTTCCCCATTCAACACGACCGGTGGCTCGACTTCCTTCAGGCAACTCCAGAGATGCCCCGAGAACACTGTCCCAAGTCTAGAGGAACACCAACTTCAGCACAGCAACTCGAGGAATGCTCCGTGTACCCCAAATCGTCTCGAGATGCGAGCTGATTCCCTGGCTTAGGCTCAAGACGTATGCCAACTTCCCAGAAGCACCTCAGGAGGAGGCTTCTCTCAGCAATAGGTATGTGGGAGGGACCCCGAGTTTGCTGCCTCAAGGGGAATATACAGCGTGAAGCCCTAACTTGAAAGGAGGCCGGATTTCCTTGCAGTGGCTTGAATACAGGTTCGTCTTTCATCTCACAACATGAAGGGATGTCTGAATCCCCTGTGGAGACCTTAGAGAAAGCCCTAGGTCCCTGCCTCATTTTGACGGAATGCCTCACATCGCGCTGACACCTCGAGAGGCACGCGGAGTTCATTGCTTCAAAAGGTGACGATGCCTGACTCCTCTTGAATACTGATAGGAATCCCAAAATCCCTGTGGCTACTGGAAAGGGTCCTTGGGTGCCCTGCCTCACCTCGCGAAGCGTCCCTTTTGCCCTGCCAAGCCTCGAAGAGATTCCTGAGGTGTCCCTCGTTACTAGACAGGAGTCCTGACGTCACTGAAGAAACTCGTGTTTTGAAGGGCCATCCCTGCTGTAAGTCGAGAACATACCCCAGGTCCCCGCCGCAACTCGAGAAAAACCATGAGACTTCCCCCTAGAGGCGAGATGAGGCCCCATTCCCCTGCAGTGCATGCAGAGCTATTCCGTGATCCCATTCAAACAAGTCAGGAGCTTCGACTTGCTTAATGGATCTCGAGACAGTCCCCAAGAACACTGTCACCAGTCTAGACGGACCCTGAGGTCACCCCAGCAACGCAAAGCAGCTCCATGTGCCCCAAATCAACTCGAGATGAGGCCCGATTCCCCTGCATTGACTCCAGAGCCATTCCCCGTTCCCCATTCAACACGACCGGTGGCTCGACTTCCTTCAGGCAACTCCAGAGATGCCCCGAGAACACTGTCCCAAGTCTAGAGGAACACCAACTTCAGCACAGCAACTCGAGGAATGCTCCGTGTACCCCAAATCGTCTCGAGATGCGAGCTGATTCCCTGGCTTAGGCTCAAGACGTATGCCAACTTCCCAGAAGCACCTCAGGAGGAGGCTTCTCTCAGCAATAGGTATGTGGGAGGGACCCCGAGTTTGCTGCCTCAAGGGGAATATACAGCGAGAAGCCCTAACTTGAAAGGAGGCCGGATTTCCTTGCAGTGGCTTGAACACAGGCTCGTCTTTCATCTCACAACATGAAGGGATGTCTGAATCCCCTGTGGAGACCTTAGAGAAAGCCCTAGGTCCCTGCCTCATTTTGACGGAATGCCTCACATCCCGCTGACACCTCGAGAGGCACGCGGAGTTCATTGCTTCAAAAGGTGACGATGCCTGACTCCTCTTGAATACTGATAGGAATCCCAAAATCCCTGTGGCTAGTGGAAAGGGTCCTTGGGTGCCCTGCCTCACCTCGAGAAGCGTCCCTTTTGCCCTGCCAAGCCTCGAAGAGATTCCTGAGGTGTCCCTCGTTACTAGACAGGAGTCCTGACGTCACTGAAGAAACTCGTGTTTTGAAGGGCCATCCCCGCCGTAAGTCGAGAACATACCCCAGGTCCCCGCCGCAACTCGAGAAAAACCATGAGACTTCCCCCTAGAGGCGAGATGAGGCCCCATTCCCCTGCAGTGCATGCAGAGCTATTCCGTGATCCCATTCAAACAAGTCAGGAGCTTCGACTTGCTTAATGGATCTCGAGACAGTCCCCAAGAACACTGTCACCAGTCTAGACGGACCCTGAGGTCACCCCAGCAACGCAAAGCAGCTCCATGTGCCCCAAATCAACTCGAGATGAGGCCCGATTCCCCTGCATTGACTCCAGAGCCATTGCCCGTTCCCCATTCAACACGACCGGTGGCTCGACTTCCTTCAGGCAACTCCAGAGATGCCCCGAGAACACTGTCCCAAGTCTAGAGGAACACCAACTTCAGCACAGCAACTCGAGGAATGCTCCGTGTACCCCAAATCGTCTCGAGATGCGAGCTGATTCCCTGGCTTAGGCTCAAGACGTATGCCAACTTCCCAGAAGCACCTCAGGAGGAGGCTTCTCTCAGCAATAGGTATGTGGGTGGGACCCCGAGTTTGCTGCCTCAAGGGGAATATACAGCGTGAAGCCCTAACTTGAAAGGAGGCCGGATTTCCTTGCAGTGGCTTGAATACAGGCTCGTCTTTCATCTCACAACATGAAGGGATGTCTGAATCCCCTGTGGAGACCTTAGAGAAAGCCCTAGGTCCCTGCCTCATTTTGACGGAATGCCTCACATCGCGCTGACACCTCGAGAGGCACGCGGAGTTCATTGCTTCAAAAGGTGACGATGCCTGACTCCTCTTGAATACTGATAGGAATCCCAAAATCCCTGTGGCTACTGGAAAGGGTCCTTGGGTGCCCTGCCTCACCTCGCGAAGCGTCCCTTTTGCCCTGCCAAGCCTCGAAGAGATTCCTGAGGTGTCCCTCGTTACTAGACAGGAGTCCTGACGTCACTGAAGAAACTCGTGTTTTGAAGGGCCATCCCCGCTGTAAGTCGAGAACATACCCCAGGTCCCCGCCGCAACTCGAGAAAAACCATGAGACTTCCCCCTAGAGGCGAGATGAGGCCCCATTCCCCTGCAGTGCATGCAGAGCTATTCCGTGATCCCATTCAAACAAGTCAGGAGCTTCGACTTGCTTAATGGATCTCGAGACAGTCCCCAAGAACACTGTCACCAGTCTAGACGGACCCTGAGGTCACCCCAGCAACGCAAAGCAGCTCCATGTGCCCCAAATCAACTCGAGATGAGGCCCGATTCCCCTGCATTGACTCCAGAGCCATTCCCCGTTCCCCATTCAACACGACCGGTGGCTCGACTTCCTTCAGGCAACTCCAGAGATGCCCCGAGAACACTGTCCCAAGTCTAGAGGAACACCAACTTCAGCACAGCAACTCGAGGAATGCTCCGTGTACCCCAAATCGTCTCGAGATGCGAGCTGATTCCCTGGCTTAGGCTCAAGACGTATGCCAACTTCCCAGAAGCACCTCAGGAGGAGGCTTCTCTCAGCAATAGGTATGTGGGAGGGACCCCGAGTTTGCTGCCTCAAGGGGAATATACAGCGAGAAGCCCTAACTTGAAAGGAGGCCGGATTTCCTTGCAGTGGCTTGAACACAGGCTCGTCTTTCATCTCACAACATGAAGGGATGTCTGAATCCCCTGTGGAGACCTTAGAGAAAGCCCTAGGTCCCTGCCTCATTTTGACGGAATGCCTCACATCCCGCTGACACCTCGAGAGGCACGCGGAGTTCATTGCTTCAAAAGGTGACGATGCCTGACTCCTCTTGAATACTGATAGGAATCCCAAAATCCCTGTGGCTAGTGGAAAGGGTCCTTGTGTGCCCTGCCTCACCTCGAGAAGCGTCCCTTTGGCCCTGCCAAGCCTCGAAGAGATTCCTGAGGTGTCCCTCGTTACTAGACAGGAGTCCTGACGTCACTGAAGAAACTCGTGTTTTGAAGGGCCATCCCCGCCGTACGTCGAGAACATACCCCAGGTCCCCGCCGCAACTCGAGAAAAACCATGAGACTTCCCCCTAGAGGCGAGATGAGGCCCCATTCCCCTGCAGTGCATGCAGAGCTATTCCGTGATCCCATTCAAACAAGTCAGGAGCTTCGACTTGCTTAATGGATCTCGAGACAGTCCCCAAGAACACTGTCACCAGTCTAGACGGACCCTGAGGTCACCCCAGCAACGCAAAGCAGCTCCATGTGCCCCAAATCAACTCGAGATGAGGCCCGGTTCCCCTGCATTGACTCCAGAGCCATTCCCCATTCCCCATTCAACACGACCGGTGGCTCGACTTCCTTCAGGCAACTCCAGAGATGCCCCGAGAACACTGTCCCAGGTCTAGAGGAACACCAACTTCAGCACAGCAACTCGAGGAATGCTCCGTGTACCCCAAATCGTCTCGAGATGCGAGCTGATTCCCTGGCTTAGGCTCAAGACGTATGCCAACTTCCCAGAAGCACCACAGGAGGAGGCTTCTATCAGCAATAGGTATGTGGGAGGGACCCCGAGTTTGCTGCCTCAAGGGGAATATACAGCGAGAAGCCCTAACTTGAAAGGAGGCCGGATTTCCTTGCAGTGGCTTGAATACAGGCTCGTCTTTCATCTCACAACATGAAGGGATGTCTGAATCCCCTGTGGAGACCTTAGAGAAAGCCCTAGGTCCCTGCCTCATTTTGACGGAATGCCACACATCGCGCTGATACCTCGTTAGGCACGCGGAGTTCATTGCTTCAAAAGGTGACGATGCCTGACTCCTCTTGAATACTGATAGGAATCCCAAAATCCCTGTGGCTACTGGAAAGGGTCCTTTTGTGCCCTGCCTCACCTCGAGAAGCGTCCCTTTTGCCCTGCCAAGCCTCGAAGAGATTCCTGAGGTGTCCCTCGTTACTAGACAGGAGTCCTGACGTCACTGAAGAAACTCGTGTTTTCAAGGGCCATCCCCGCCGTAAGTCGAGAACATACCCCAGGTCCCCGCCGCAACTCGAGAAAAACCATGAGACTTCCCCCTAGAGGCGAGATGAGGCCCCATTCCCCTGCAGTGCATGCAGAGCTATTCCGTGATCCCATTCAAACAAGTCAGGAGCTTCGGCTTTCTTAATGGATCTCGAGACAGTCCCCAAGAACACTGTCACCAGTCTAGACGGACCCTGAGGTCACCCCAGCAACGCAAAGCAGCTCCATGTGCCCCAAATCAACTCGAGATGAGGCCCGATTCCCCTGCATTGACTCCAGAGCCATTCCCCGTTCCCCATTCAACACGACCGGTGGCTCGACTTCATTCAGGCAACTCCAGAGATGCCCCGAGAACACTGTCCCAAGTCTAGAGGAACACCAACTTCAGCACAGCAACTCGAGGAATGCTCCGTGTACCCCAAATCGTCTCGAGATGCGAGCTGATTCCCTGGCTTAGGCTCAAGACGTATGCCAACTTCCCAGAAGCACCTCAGGAGGAGGCTTCTCTCAGCAATAGGTATGTGGGAGGGACCCCGAGTTTGCTGCCTCAAGGGGAATATACAGCGAGAAGCCCTAACTTGAAAGGAGGCCGGATTTCCTTGCAGTGGCTTGAATACAGGCTCGTCTTTCATCTCACAACATGAAGGGATGTCTGAATCCCCTGTGGAGACCTTAGAGAAAGCCCTAGGTCCCTGCCTCATTTTGACGGAATGCCTCACATCCCGCTGACACCTCGAGAGGCACGCGGAGTTCATTGCTTCAAAAGGTGACGATGCCTGACTCCTCTTGAATACTGATAGGAATCCCAAAATCCCTGTGGCTGCTGGAATGGGTCCTTGGGTGCCCTGCCTCACCTCGAGAAGCGTCCCTTTGGCCCTGCCAAGCCTTGAAGAGATTCCTGAGGTGTCCCTCGTTACTAGACAGGAGTCCTGACGTCACTGAAGAAACTCGTGTTTTGAAGGGCCATCCCCGCCGTAAGTCGAGAACATACCCCAGGTCCCCGCCGCAACTCGAGAAAAACCATGAGACTTCCCCCTAGAGGCGAGATGAGGCCCCATTCCCCTGCAGTGCATGCAGAGCTATTCCGTGATCCCATTCAAACAAGTCAGGAGCTTCGGCTTGCTTAATGGATCTCGAGACAGTCCCCAAGAACACTGTCACCAGTCTAGACGGACCCTGAGGTCACCCCAGCAACGCAAAGCCGCTCCATGTGCCCCAAATCAACTCGAGATGAGGCCCGATTCCCCTGCATTGACTCCAGAGCCATTCCCCGTTCCCCATTCAACACGACCGGTGGCTCGACTTCCTTCAGGCAACTCCAGAGATGCCCCGAGAACACTGTCCCAAGTCTAGAGGAACACCAACTTCAGCACAGCAACTCGAGGAATGCTCCGTGTACCCCAAATCGTCTCGAGATGCGAGCTGATTCCCTGGCTTAGGCTCAAGACGTATGCCAACTTCCCAGAAGCACCTCAGGAGGAGGCTTCTCTCAGCAATAGGTATGTGGGAGGGACCCCGAGTTTGCTGCCTCAAGGGGAATATACAGCGAGAAGCCCTAACTTGAAAGGAGGCCGGATTTCCTTGCAGTGGCTTGAATACAGGCTCGTCTTTCATCTCACAACATGAAGGGATGTCTGAATCCCCTGTGGAGACCTTAGAGAAAGCCCTAGGTCCCTGCCTCATTTTGACGGAATGCCTCACATCCCGCTGACACCTCGAGAGGCACGCGGAGTTCATTGCTTCAAAAGGTGACGATGCCTGACTCCTCTTGAATACTGATAGGAATCCCAAAATCCCTGTGGCTACTGGAAAGGGTCCTTGGGTGCCCTGCCTCACCTCGAGAAGCGTCCCTTTTGCCCTGCCAAGCCTCGAAGAGATTCCTGAGGTGTCCCTCGTTACTAGACAGGAGTCCTGACGTCACTGAAGAAACTCGTGTTTTGAAGGGCCATCCCCGCCGTAAGACGAGAACATACCCCAGGTCCCCGCCGCAACTCGAGAAAAACCATGAGACTTCCCCCTAGAGGCGAGATGAGGCCCCATTCCCCTGCAGTGCATGCAGAGCTATTCCGTGATCCCATTCAAACAAGTCAGGAGCTTCGACTTGCTTAATGGATCTCGAGACAGTCCCCAAGAACACTGTCACCAGTCTAGACGGACCCTGAGGTCACCCCAGCAACGCAAAGCAGCTCCATGTGCCCCAAATCAACTCGAGATGAGGCCCGGTTCCCCTGCATTGACTCCAGAGCCATTCCCCGTTCCCCATTCAACATGACCGGTGGCTCGACTTCCTTCAGGCAACTCCAGAGATGCCCCGAGAACACTGTCCCAAGTCTAGAGGAACACCAACTTCAGCACAGCAACTCGAGGAATGCTCCGTGTACCCCAAATCGTCTCGAGATGCGAGCTGATTCCCTGGCTTAGGCTCAAGACGTATGCCAACTTCCCAGAAGCACCTCAGGAGGAGGCTTCTCTCAGCAATAGGTATGTGGGAGGGACCCCGAGTTTGCTGCCTCAAGGGGAATATACAGCGAGAAGCCCTAACTTGAAAGGAGGCCGGATTTCCTTGCAGTGGCTTGAATACAGGCTCGTCTTTCATCTCACAACATGAAGGGATGTCTGAATCCCCTGTGGAGACCTTAGAAAAAGCCCTAAGTCCCTGCCTCATTTTGACGGAATGCCTCACATCGCGCTGACACCTCGAGAGGCACGCGGAGTTCATTGCTTCAAAAGGTGACGATGCCTGACTCCTCTTGAATACTGATAGGAATCCCAAAATCCCTGTGGCTACTGGAAAGGGTCCTTTTGTGCCCTGCCTCACCTCGAGAAGCGTCCCTTTGGCCCTGCCAAGCCTCGAAGAGATTCCTGAGGTGTCCCTCGTTATTAGACAGGAGTCCTGACGTCACTGAAGAAACTCGTGTTTTGAAGGGCCATCCCCGCCGTAAGTCGAGAACATACCCCAGGTCCCCGCCGCAACTCGAGAAAAACCATGAGACTTCCCCCTAGAGGCGAGATGAGGCCCCATTCCCCTGCAGTGCATGCAGAGCTATTCCGTGATCCCATTCAAACAAGTCAGGAGCTTCGACTTGCTTAATGGATCTCGAGACAGTCCCCAAGAACACTGTCACCAGTCTAGACGGACCCTGAGGTCACCCCAGCAACGCAAAGCAGCTTCATGTGCCCCAAATCAACTCGAGATGAGGCCCGATTCCCCTGCATTGACTCCAGAGCCATTCCCCGTTCCCCATTCAACACGACCGGTGGCTCGACTTCCTTCAGGCAACTCCAGAGATGCCCCGAGAACACTGTCCCAAGTCTAGAGGAACACCAACTTCAGCACAGCAACTCGAGGAATGCTCCGTGTACCCCAAATCGTCTCGAGATGCGAGCTGATTCCCTGGCTTAGGCTCAAGACGTATGCCAACTTCCCAGAAGCACCTCAGGAGGAGGCTTCTCTCAGCAATAGGTATGTGGGAGGGACCCCGAGTTTGCTGCCTCAAGGGGAATATACAGCGTGAAGCCCTAACTTGAAAGGAGGCCGGATTTCCTTGCAGTGGCTTGAATACAGGTTCGTCTTTCATCTCACAACATGAAGGGATGTCTGAATCCCCTGTGGAGACCTTAGAGAAAGCCCTAGGTCCCTGCCTCATTTTGACGGAATGCCTCACATCGCGCTGACACCTCGAGAGGCACGCGGAGTTCATTGCTTCAAAAGGTGACGATGCCTGACTCCTCTTGAATACTGATAGGAATCCCAAAATCCCTGTGGCTACTGGAAAGGGTCCTTGGGTGCCCTGCCTCACCTCGCGAAGCGTCCCTTTTGCCCTGCCAAGCCTCGAAGAGATTCCTGAGGTGTCCCTCGTTACTAGACAGGAGTCCTGACGTCACTGAAGAAACTCGTGTTTTGAAGGGCCATCCCTGCTGTAAGTCGAGAACATACCCCAGGTCCCCGCCGCAACTGGAGAAAAACCATGAGACTTCCCCCTAGAGGCGAGATGAGGCCCCATTCCCCTGCAGTGCATGCAGAGCTATTCCGTGATCCCATTCAAACAAGTCAGGAGCTTCGACTTGCTTAATGGATCTCGAGACAGTCCCCAAGAACACTGTCACCAGTCTAGACGGACCCTGAGGTCACCCCAGCAACGCAAAGCAGCTCCATGTGCCCCAAATCAACTCGAGATGAGGCCCGATTCCCCTGCATTGACTCCAGAGCCATTCCCCGTTCCCCATTCAACACGACCGGTGGCTCGACTTCCTTCAGGCAACTCCAGAGATGCCCCGAGAACACTGTCCCAAGTCTAGAGGAACACCAACTTCAGCACAGCAACTCGAGGAATGCTCCGTGTACCCCAAATCGTCTCGAGATGCGAGCTGATTCCCTGGCTTAGGCTCAAGACGTATGCCAACTTCCCAGAAGCACCTCAGGAGGAGGCTTCTCTCAGCAATAGGTATGTGGGAGGGACCCCGAGTTTGCTGCCTCAAGGGGAATATACAGCGAGAAGCCCTAACTTGAAAGGAGGCCGGATTTCCTTGCAGTGGCTTGAACACAGGCTCGTCTTTCATCTCACAACATGAAGGGATGTCTGAATCCCCTGTGGAGACCTTAGAGAAAGCCCTAGGTCCCTGCCTCATTTTGACGGAATGCCTCACATCCCGCTGACACCTCGAGAGGCACGCGGAGTTCATTGCTTCAAAAGGTGACGATGCCTGACTCCTCTTGAATACTGATAGGAATCCCAAAATCCCTGTGGCTAGTGGAAAGGGTCCTTGGGTGCCCTGCCTCACCTCGAGAAGCGTCCCTTTTGCCCTGCCAAGCCTCGAAGAGATTCCTGAGGTGTCCCTCGTTACTAGACAGGAGTCCTGACGTCACTGAAGAAACTCGTGTTTTGAAGGGCCATCCCCGCCGTAAGTCGAGAACATACCCCAGGTCCCCGCCGCAACTCGAGAAAAACCATGAGACTTCCCCCTAGAGGCGAGATGATGCCCCATTCCCCTGCAGTGCATGCAGAGCTATTCCGTGATCCCATTCAAACAAGTCAGGAGCTTCGACTTGCTTAATGGATCTCGAGACAGTCCCCAAGAACACTGTCACCAGTCTAGACGGACCCTGAGGTCACCCCAGCAACGCAAAGCAGCTCCATGTGCCCCAAATCAACTCGAGATGAGGCCCGATTCCCCTGCATTGACTCCAGAGCCATTGCCCGTTCCCCATTCAACACGACCGGGGGCTCGACTTCCTTCAGGCAACTCCAGAGATGCCCCGAGAACACTGTCCCAAGTCTAGAGGAACACCAACTTCAGCACAGCAACTCGAGGAATGCTCCGTGTACCCCAAATCGTCTCGAGATGCGAGCTGATTCCCTGGCTTAGGCTCAAGACGTATGCCAACTTCCCAGAAGCACCTCAGGAGGAGGCTTCTCTCAGCAATAGGTATGTGGGTGGGACCCCGAGTTTGCTGCCTCAAGGGGAATATACAGCGTGAAGCCCTAACTTGAAAGGAGGCCGGATTTCCTTGCAGTGGCTTGAATACAGGCTCGTCTTTCATCTCACAACATGAAGGGATGTCTGAATCCCCTGTGGAGACCTTAGAGAAAGCCCTAGGTCCCTGCCTCATTTTGACGGAATGCCTCACATCGCGCTGACACCTCGAGAGGCACGCGGAGTTCATTGCTTCAAAAGGTGACGATGCCTGACTCCTCTTGAATACTGATAGGAATCCCAAAATCCCTGTGGCTACTGGAAAGGGTCCTTGGGTGCCCTGCCTCACCTCGCGAAGCGTCCCTTTTGCCCTGCCAAGCCTCGAAGAGATTCCTGAGGTGTCCCTCGTTACTAGACAGGAGTCCTGACGTCACTGAAGAAACTCGTGTTTTGAAGGGCCATCCCCGCTGTAAGTCGAGAACATACCCCAGGTCCTCGCCGCAACTCGAGAAAAACCATGAGACTTCCCCCTAGAGGCGAGATGAGGCCCCATTCCCCTGCAGTGCATGCAGAGCTATTCCGTGATCCCATTCAAACAAGTCAGGAGCTTCGACTTGCTTAATGGATCTCGAGACAGTCCCCAAGAACACTGTCACCAGTCTAGACGGACCCTGAGGTCACCCCAGCAACGCAAAGCAGCTCCATGTGCCCCAAATCAACTCGAGATGAGGCCTGATTCCCCTGCATTGACTCCAGAGCCATTCCCCGTTCCCCATTCAACACGACCGGTGGCTCGACTTCCTTCAGGCAACTCCAGAGATGCCCCGAGAACACTGTCCCAAGTCTAGAGGAACACCAACTTCAGCACAGCAACTCGAGGAATGCTCCGTGTACCCCAAATCGTCTCGAGATGCGAGCTGATTCCCTGGCTTAGGCTCAAGACGTATGCCAACTTCCCAGAAGCACCTCAGGAGGAGGCTTCTCTCAGCAATAGGTATGTGGGAGGGACCCCGAGTTTGCTGCCTCAAGGGGAATATACAGCGAGAAGCCCTAACTTGAAAGGAGGCCGGATTTCCTTGCAGTGGCTTGAACACAGGCTCGTCTTTCATCTCACAACATGAAGGGATGTCTGAATCCCCTGTGGAGACCTTAGAGAAAGCCCTAGGTCCCTGCCTCATTTTGACGGAATGCCTCACATCCCGCTGACACCTCGAGAGGCACGCGGAGTTCATTGCTTCAAAAGGTGACGATGCCTGACTCCTCTTGAATACTGATAGGAATCCCAAAATCCCTGTGGCTAGTGGAAAGGGTCCTTGTGTGCCCTGCCTCACCTCGAGAAGCGTCCCTTTGGCCCTGCCAAGCCTCGAAGAGATTCCTGAGGTGTCCCTCGTTACTAGACAGGAGTCCTGACGTCACTGAAGAAACTCGTGTTTTGAAGGGCCATCCCCGCCGTACGTCGAGAACATACCCCAGGTCCCCGCCGCAACTCGAGAAAAACCATGAGACTTCCCCCTAGAGGCGAGATGAGGCCCCATTCCCCTGCAGTGCATGCAGAGCTATTCCGTGATCCCATTCAAACAAGTCAGGAGCTTCGACTTGCTTAATGGATCTCGAGACAGTCCCCAAGAACACTGTCACCAGTCTAGACGGACCCTGAGGTCACCCCAGCAACGCAAAGCAGCTCCATGTGCCCCAAATCAACTCGAGATGAGGCCCGATTCCCCTGCATTGACTCCAGAGCCATTCCCCGTTTCCCATTCAACACGACCGGTGGCTCGACTTCCTTCAGGCAACTCCAGAGATGCCCCGAGAACACTGTCCCAAGTCTAGAGGAACACCAACTTCAGCACAGCAACTCGAGGAATGCTCCGTGTACCCCAAATCGTCTCGAGATGCGAGCTGATTCCCTGGCTTAGGCTCAAGACGTATGCCAACTTCCCAGAAGCACCTCAGGAGGAGGCTTCTCTCAGCAATAGGTATGTGGGAGGGACCCCGAGTTTGCTGCCTCAAGGGGAATATACAGCGAGAAGCCCTAACTTGAAAGGAGGCCGGATTTCCTTGCAGTGGCTTGAATACAGGCTCGTCTTTCATCTCACAACATGAAGGGATGTCTGAATCCCCTGTGGAGACCTTAGAGAAAGCCCTAGGTCCCTGCCTCATTTTGACGGAATGCCTCACATCGCGCTGACACCTCGAGAGGCACGCGGAGTTCATTGCTTCAAAAGGTGACGATGCCTGACTCCTCTTGAATACTGATAGGAATCCCAAAATCCCTGTGGCTACTGGAAAGGGTCCTTGGGTGCCCTGCCTCACCTCGAGAAGCGTCCCTTTGGCCCTGCCAAGCCTCGAAGAAATTCCTGAGGTGTCCCTCGTTACTAGACAGGAGTCCTGACGTCACTGAAGAAACTCGTGTTTTGAAGGGCCATCCCCGCCGTAAGTCGAGAACATACCCCAGGTCCCCGCCGCAACTCGAGAAAAACCATGAGACTTCCCCCTAGAGGCGAGATGAGGCCCCATTCCCCTGCAGTGCATGCAGAGCTATTCCGTGATCCCATTCAAACAAGTCAGGAGCTTCGACTTGCTTAATGGATCTCGAGACAGTCCCCAAGAACACTGTCACCAGTCTAGACGGACCCTGAGGTCACCCCAGCAACGCAAAGCAGCTCCATGTGCCCCAAATCAACTCGAGATGAGGCCCGGTTCCCCTGCATTGACTCCAGAGCCATTCCCCATTCCCCATTCAACACGACCGGTGGCTCGACTTCCTTCAGGCAACTCCAGAGATGCCCCGAGAACACTGTCCCAGGTCTAGAGGAACACCAACTTCAGCACAGCAACTCGAGGAATGCTCCGTGTACCCCAAATCGTCTCGAGATGCGAGCTGATTCCCTGGCTTAGGCTCAAGACGTATGCCAACTTCCCAGAAGCACCACAGGAGGAGGCTTCTATCAGCAATAGGTATGTGGGAGGGACCCCGAGTTTGCTGCCTCAAGGGGAATATACAGCGAGAAGCCCTAACTTGAAAGGAGGCCGGATTTCCTTGCAGTGGCTTGAATACAGGCTCGTCTTTCATCTCACAACATGAAGGGATGTCTGAATCCCCTGTGGAGACCTTAGAGAAAGCCCTAGGTCCCTGCCTCATTTTGACGGAATGCCACACATCGCGCTGATACCTCGTTAGGCACGCGGAGTTCATTGCTTCAAAAGGTGACGATGCCTGACTCCTCTTGAATACTGATAGGAATCCCAAAATCCCTGTGGCTACTGGAAAGGGTCCTTTTGTGCCCTGCCTCACCTCGAGAAGCGTCCCTTTTGCCCTGCCAAGCCTCGAAGAGATTCCTGAGGTGTCCCTCGTTACTAGACAGGAGTCCTGACGTCACTGAAGAAACTCGTGTTTTCAAGGGCCATCCCCGCCGTAAGTCGAGAACATACCCCAGGTCCCCGCCGCAACTCGAGAAAAACCATGAGACTTCCCCCTAGAGGCGAGATGAGGCCCCATTCCCCTGCAGTGCATGCAGAGCTATTCCGTGATCCCATTCAAACAAGTCAGGAGCTTCGGCTTTCTTAATGGATCTCGAGACAGTCCCCAAGAACACTGTCACCAGTCTAGACGGACCCTGAGGTCACCCCAGCAACGCAAAGCAGCTCCATGTGCCCCAAATCAACTCGAGATGAGGCCCGATTCCCCTGCATTGACTCCAGAGCCATTCCCCGTTCCCCATTCAACACGACCGGTGGCTCGACTTCATTCAGGCAACTCCAGAGATGCCCCGAGAACACTGTCCCAAGTCTAGAGGAACACCAACTTCAGCACAGCAACTCGAGGAATGCTCCGTGTACCCCAAATCGTCTCGAGATGCGAGCTGATTCCCTGGCTTAGGCTCAAGACGTATGCCAACTTCCCAGAAGCACCTCAGGAGGAGGCTTCTCTCAGCAATAGGTATGTGGGAGGGACCCCGAGTTTGCTGCCTCAAGGGGAATATACAGCGAGAAGCCCTAACTTGAAAGGAGGCCGGATTTCCTTGCAGTGGCTTGAATACAGGCTCGTCTTTCATCTCACAACATGAAGGGATGTCTGAATCCCCTGTGGAGACCTTAGAGAAAGCCCTAGGTCCCTGCCTCATTTTGACGGAATGCCTCACATCCCGCTGACACCTCGAGAGGCACGCGGAGTTCATTGCTTCAAAAGGTGACGATGCCTGACTCCTCTTGAATACTGATAGGAATCCCAAAATCCCTGTGGCTGCTGGAATGGGTCCTTGGGTGCCCTGCCTCACCTCGAGAAGCGTCCCTTTGGCCCTGCCAAGCCTTGAAGAGATTCCTGAGGTGTCCCTCGTTACTAGACAGGAGTCCTGACGTCACTGAAGAAACTCGTGTTTTGAAGGGCCATCCCCGCCGTAAGTCGAGAACATACCCCAGGTCCCCGCCGCAACTCGAGAAAAACCATGAGACTTCCCCCTAGAGGCGAGATGAGGCCCCATTCCCCTGCAGTGCATGCAGAGCTATTCCGTGATCCCATTCAAACAAGTCAGGAGCTTCGACTTGCTTAATGGATCTCGAGACAGTCCCCAAGAACACTGTCACCAGTCTAGACGGACCCTGAGGTCACCCCAGCAACGCAAAGCAGCTCCATGTGCCCCAAATCAACTCGAGATGAGGCCCGATTCCCCTGCATTGACTCCAGAGCCATTCCCCATTCCCCATTCAAAACGACCGGTGGCTCGACTTCCTTCAGGCAACTCCAGAGATGCCCCGAGAACACTGTCCCACGTCTAGAGGAACACCAACTTCAGCACAGCAACTTGAGGAATGCTCCGTGTACCCCAAATCGTCTCGAGATGCGAGCTGATTCCCTGGCTTAGGCTCAAGACGTATGCCAACTTCCCAGAAGCACCACAGGAGGAGGCTTCTATCAGCAATAGGTATGTGGGAGGGACCCCGAGTTTGCTGCCTCAAGGGGAATATACAGCGAGAAGCCCTAACTTGAAAGGAGGCCGGATTTCCTTGCAGTGGCTTGAATACAGGCTCGTCTTTCATCTCACAACATGAAGGGATGTCTGAATCCCCTGTGGAGACCTTAGAGAAAGCCCTAGGTCCCTGCCTCATTTTGACGGAATGCCTCACATCGCGCTGATACCTCGAGAGGCACACGGAGTTCATTGCTTCAAAAGGTGACGATGCCTGACTCCTCTTGAATACTGATAGGAATCCCAAAATCCCTGTGGCTACTGGAAAGGGTCTTTTTGTGCCCTGCCTCACCTCGAGAAGCGTCCCTTTTGCCCTGCCAAGCCTCGAAGAGATTCCTGAGGTGTCCCTCGTTACTAGACAGGAGTCCTGACGTCACTGAAGAAACTCGTGTTTTGAAGGGCCATCCCCGCCGTAAGTCGAGAACATACCCCAGGTCCCCGCCGCAACTCGAGAAAAACCATGAGACTTCCCCCTAGAGGCGAGATGAGGCCCCATTCCCCTGCAGTGCATGCAGAGCTATTCCGTGATCCCATTCAAACAAGTCAGGAGCTTCGACTTGCTTAATGGATCTCGAGACAGTCCCCAAGAACACTGTCACCAGTCTAGACGGACCCTGAGGTCACCCCAGCAACGCAAAGCAGCTCCATGTGCCCCAAATCAACTCGAGATGAGGCCCGATTCCCCTGCATTGACTCCAGAGCCATTCCCCGTTCCCCATTCAACACGACCGGTGTCTCGACTTCCTTCAGGCAACTCCAGAGATGCCCCGAGAACACTGTCCCAAGTCTAGAGGAACACCAACTTCAGCACAGCAACTCGAGGAATGCTCCGTGTACCCCAAATCGTCTCGAGATGCGAGCTGATTCCCTGGCTTAGGCTCAAGACGTATGCCAACTTCCCAGAAGCACCTCAGGAGGAGGCTTCTCTCAGCAATAGGTATGTGGGAGGGACCCCGAGTTTGCTGCCTCAAGGGGAATATACAGCGAGAAGCCCTAACTTGAAAGGAGGCCGGATTTCCTTGCAGTGGCTTGAATACAGGCTCGTCTTTCATCTCACAACATGAAGGGATGTCTGAATCCCCTGTGGAGACCTTAGAGAAAGCCCTAGGTCCCTGCCTCATTTTGACGGAAAGCCTCACATCCCGCTGACACCTCGAGAGGCACGCGGAGTTCATTGCTTCAAAAGGTGACGATGCCTGACTCCTCTTGAATACTGATAGGAATCCCAAAATCCCTGTGGCTGCTGGAATGGGTCCTTGGGTGCCCTGCCTCACCTCGAGAAGCGTCCCTTTTGCCCTGCCAAGCCTCGAAGAGATTCCTGAGGTGTCCCTCGTTACTAGACAGGAGTCCTGACGTCACTGAAGAAACTCGTGTTTTGAAGGGCCATCCCCGCCGTAAGACGAGAACATACCCCAGGTCCCCGGGGCAACTCGAGAAAAACCATGAGACTTCCCCCTAGAGGCGAGATGAGGCCCCATTCCCCTGCAGTGCATGCAGAGCTATTCCGTGATCCCATTCAAACAAGTCAGGAGCTTCGACTTGCTTAATGGATCTCGAGACAGTCCCCAAGAACACTGTCACCAGTCTAGACGGACCCTGAGGTCACCCCAGCAACGCAAAGCAGCTCCATGTGCCCCAAATCAACTCGAGATGAGGCCCGGTTCCCCTGCATTGACTCCAGAGCCATTCCCCGTTCCCCATTCAACACGACCGGTGGCTCGACTTCCTTCAGGCAACTCCAGAGATGCCCCGAGAACACTGTCCCAAGTCTAGAGGAACACCAACTTCAGCACAGCAACTCGAGGAATGCTCCGTGTACCCCAAATCGTCTCGAGATGCGAGCTGATTCCCTGGCTTAGGCTCAAGACGTATGCCAACTTCCCAGAAGCACCTCAGGAGGAGGCTTCTCTCAGCAATAGGTATGTGGGAGGGACCCCGAGTTTGCTGCCTCAAGGGGAATATACAGCGAGAAGCCCTAACTTGAAAGGAGGCCGGATTTCCTTGCAGTGGCTTGAATACAGGCTCGTCTTTCATCTCACAACATGAAGGAATGTCTGAATCCCCTGTGGAGACCTTAGAGAAAGCCCTAGGTCCCTGCCTCATTTTGACGGAATGCCTCACATCCCGCTGACACCTCGAGAGGCACGCGGAGTTCATTGCTTCAAAAGGTGACGATGCCTGACTCCTCTTGAATACTGATAGGAATCCCAAAATCCCTGTGGCTACTGGAAAGGGTCCTTGGGTGCCCTGCCTCACCTCGAGAAGCGTCCCTTTTGCCCTGCCAAGCCTCGAAGAGATTCCTGAGGTGTCCCTCGTTACTAGACAGGAGTCCTGACGTCACTGAAGAAACTCGTGTTTTGAAGGGCCATCCCCGCCATAAGTCGAGAACATACCCCAGGTCCCCGCCGCAACTCGAGAAAAACCATGAGACTTCCCCCTAGAGGCGAGATGAGGCCCCATTCCCCTGCAGTGCATGCAGAGCTATTGCGTGATCCCATTCAAACAAGTCAGGAGCTTCGGCTTGCTTAATGGATCTCGAGACAGTCCCCAAGAACACTGTCACCAGTCTAGACGGACCCTGAGGTCACCCCAGCAACGCAAAGCAGCTCCATGTGCCCCAAATCAACTCGAGATGAGGCCCGATTCCCCTGCATTGACTCCAGAGCCATTCCCCGTTCCCCATTCAACACGACCGGTGGCTCGACTTCCTTCAGGCAACTCCAGAGATGCCCCGAGAACACTGTCCCAAGTCTAGAGGAACACCAACTTCAGCACAGCAACTCGAGGAATGCTCCGTGTACCCCAAATCGTCTCGAGATGCGAGCTGATTCCCTGGCTTAGGCTCAAGACGTATGCCAACTTCCCAGAAGCACCTCAGGAGGAGGCTTCTCTCAGCAATAGGTATGTGGGAGGGACCCCGAGTTTGCTGCCTCAAGGGGAATATACAGCGAGAAGCCCTAACTTGAAAGGAGGCCGGATTTCCTTGCAGTGGCTTGAATACAGGCTCGTCTTTCATCTCACAACATGAAGGGATGTCTGAATCCCCTGTGGAGACCTTAGAGAAAGCCCTAGGTCCCTGCCTCATTTTGACGGAATGCCTCACATCCCGCTGACACCTCGAGAGGCACGCGGAGTTCATTGCTTCAAAAGGTGACGATGCCTGACTCCTCTTGAATACTGATAGGAATCCCAAAATCCCTGTGGCTGCTGGAATGGGTCCTTGGGTGCCCTGCCTCACCTCGAGAAGCGTCCCTTTGGCCCTGCCAAGCCTTGAAGAGATTCCTGAGGTGTCCCTCGTTACTAGACAGGAGTCCTGACGTCACTGAAGAAACTCGTGTTTTGAAGGGCCATCCCCGCCGTAAGTCGAGAACATACCCCAGGTCCCCGCCGCAACTCGAGAAAAACCATGAGACTTCCCCCTAGAGGCGAGATGAGGCCCCATTCCCCTGCAGTGCATGCAGAGCTATTCCGTGATCCCATTCAAACTAGTCAGGAGCTTCGACTTGCTTAATGGATCTCGAGACAGTCCCCAAGAACACTGTCACCAGTCTAGACGGACCCTGAGGTCACCCCAGCAACGCAAAGCAGCTCCATGTGCCCCAAATCAACTCGAGATGAGGCCCGATTCCCCTGCATTGACTCCAGAGCCATTCCCCATTCCCCATTCAAAACGACCGGTGGCTCGACTTCCTTCAGGCAACTCCAGAGATGCCCCGAGAACACTGTCCCACGTCTAGAGGAACACCAACTTCAGCACAGCAACTCGAGGAATGCTCCGTGTACCCCAAATCGTCTCGAGATGCGAGCTGATTCCCTGGCTTAGGCTCAAGACGTATGCCAACTTCCCAGAAGCACCACAGGAGGAGGCTTCTATCAGCAATAGGTATGTGGGAGGGACCCCGAGTTTGCTGCCTCAAGGGGAATATACAGCGAGAAGCCCTAACTTGAAAGGAGGCCGGATTTCCTTGCAGTGGCTTGAATACAGGCTCGTCTTTCATCTCACAACATGAAGGGATGTCTGAATCCCCTGTGGAGACCTTAGAGAAAGCCCTAGGTCCCTGCCTCATTTTGACGGAATGCCTCACATCGCGCTGATACCTCGAGAGGCACACGGAGTTCATTGCTTCAAAAGGTGACGATGCCTGACTCCTCTTGAATACTGATAGGAATCCCAAAATCCCTGTGGCTACTGGAAAGGGTCTTTTTGTGCCCTGCCTCACCTCGAGAAGCGTCCCTTTTGCCCTGCCAAGCCTCGAAGAGATTCCTGAGGTGTCCCTCGTTACTAGACAGGAGTCCTGACGTCACTGAAGAAACTCGTGTTTTGAAGGGCCATCCCCGCCGTAAGTCGAGAACATACCCCAGGTCCCCGCCGCAACTCGAGAAAAACCATGAGACTTCCCCCTAGAGGCGAGATGAGGCCCCATTCCCCTGCAGTGCATGCAGAGCTATTCCGTGATCCCATTCAAACAAGTCAGGAGCTTCGACTTGCTTAATGGATCTCGAGACAGTCCCCAAGAACACTGTCACCAGTCTAGACGGACCCTGAGGTCACCCCAGCAACGCAAAGCAGCTCCATGTGCCCCAAATCAACTCGAGATGAGGCCCGATTCCCCTGCATTGACTCCAGAGCCATTCCCCGTTCCCCATTCAACTCGACCGGTGGCTCGACTTCCTTCAGGCAACTCCAGAGATGCCCCGAGAACACTGTCCCAAGTCTAGAGGAATACCAACTTCAGCACAGCAACTCGAGGAATGCTCCGTGTACCCCAAATCGTCTCGAGATGAGAGCTGATTCCCTGGCTTAGGCTCAAGACGTATGCCAACTTTCCAGACGCACCTCAGGAGGAGGCTTCTCTCAGCAATAGATATGTGGGAAGGACCCCGAGTTTGCTGCCTCACGGGGAATATACAGCGAGAAGCCCTAACTTGAAAGGAGGCCGGATTTCTTGGCAGTGGCTTGAATACAGGCTCGTCTTTCATCTCACAACATGAAGGGATGTCTGAATCCCCTGTGGAGACCTTAGAGAAAGCCCTAGGTCCCTGCCTCATTTTGACGGAATGCCTCACATCCCGCTGACAGCTCGAGAGGCACGCAGAGTTCATTGCTTCAAAAGGTGACGATGCCTGACTACTCTTGAATACTGATAGGAATCCAAAAATCGCTGTGGCTACTGGAAAGGGTCCTTGGGTGCCCTGCCTCACCTCGAGAAGCGTCCCTTTTGCCCTGCCAAGCCTCGAAGAGATTCCTGAGGTGTCCCTCGTTACTAGACAGAAGTCGTGACGTCACTGAAGAAACTCGTGTTTTGAAGGGCCATCCCCGCCGTAAGTCGAGAACATACCCCAGGTCCCCGCCGCAACTCGAGAAAAACCATGAGACTTCCCCCTAGAGGCGAGATGAGGCCCCATTCCCCTGCAGTGCATGCAGAGCTATTCAGTGATCCCATTCAAACAATTCAGGAGTTTCGACTTGCTTAATGGGTCTCGAGACAGTCCCCAAGAACACTGTCACCAGTCTAGACGGACCCTGAGGTCACCCAGCAAAGCAAACCAGCTCCATGTGCCCCAAATCAACTCGAGATGAGGCCCGATTCCCCTGCATTGACTCCAGAGCCATTCCCCGTTCCCCATTCAACTCGACCGGTGGCTCGACTTCCTTCAGGCAACTCCAGAGATGCCCCGAGAACACTGTCCCAAGTCTAGAGGAACACCAACTTCAGCACAGCAACTCGAGGAATGCTCCGTGTACCCCAAATCGTCTCGAGATGAGAGGTGATTCCCTGGCTTAGGCTCAAGACGTATGCCAACTTTCCAGACGCACCTCAGGAGGAGGCTTCTCTCAGCAATAGGTATGTGGGAAGGACCCCGAGTTTGCTGCCTCACGGGGAATATACAGCGAGAAGCCCTAACTTGAAAGGAGGCCGGATTTCTTGGCAGTGGCTTGAATACAGGCTCGTCTTTCATCTCACAACATGAAGGGATGTCTGAATCCCCTGTGGAGACCTTAGAGAAAGCCCTAGGTCCCTGCCTCATTTTGACGGAATGCCTCACATCCCGCTGACACCTCGAGAGGCACGCAGAGTTCATTGCTTCAAAAGGTGACGATGCCTGACTCCTCTTGAATACTGATAGGAATCCCAAAATACCTGTGGCTACTGGAAAGGGTCCTTGGGTGCCCTGCCTCACCTCGAGAAGCGTCCCTTTTGCCCTGCCAAGCCTCGAAGAGATTCCTGAGGTGTCCCTCGTTACTAGACAGAAGTCGTGACGTCACTGAAGAAACTCGTGTTTTGAAGGGCCATCCCCGCCGTAAGTCGAGAACATACCCCAGGTCCCCGCCGCAACTCGAAAAAAACCATGAGACTTCCCCCTAGAGGCGAGATGAGGCCCCATTCCCCTGCAGTGCATGCAGAGCTATTCAGTGATCCCATTCAAACAATTCAGGAGCTTCGACTTGCTTAATGGGTCTCGAGACAGTCCCCAAGAACACTGTCACCAGTCTAGACGGACCCTGAGGTCACCCAGCAAAGCAAACCAGCTCCATGTGCCCCAAATCAACTCGAGATGAGGCCCGATTCCCCTGCATTGACTCCAGAGCCATTCCCCGTTCCCCATTCAACTCGACCGGTGGCTCGACTTCCTTCAGGCAACTCCAGAGATGCCCCGAGAACACTGTCCCAAGTCTAGAGGAACACCAACTTCAGCACAGCAACTCGAGGAATGCTCCGTGTACCCCAAATCGTCTCGAGATGAGAGCTGATTCCCTGGCTTAGGCTCAAGACGTATGCCAACTTTCCAGACGCACCTCAGGAGGAGGCTTCTCTCAGCAATAGGTATGTGGGAAGGACCCCGAGTTTGCTGCCTCACGGGGAATATACAGCGAGAAGCCCTAACTTGAAAGGAGGCCGGATTTCTTGGCAGTGGCTTGAATACAGGCTCGTCTTTCATCTCACAACATGAAGGGATGTCTGAATCCCCTGTGGAGACCTTAGAGAAAGCCCTAGGTCCCTGCCTCATTTTGACGGAATGCCTCACATCCCGCTGACAGCTCGAGAGGCACGCAGAGTTCATTGCTTCAAAAGGTGACGATGCCTGACTACTCTTGAATACTGATAGGAATCCCAAAATCCCTGTGGCTACTGGAAAGGGTCCTTCGGTGCCCTGCCTCACCTCGAGAAGCGTCCCTTTTGCCCTGCCAAGCCTCGAAGAGATTCCTGAGGTGTCCCTCGTTACTAGACAGAAGTCGTGACGTCACTGAAGAAACTCGTGTTTTGAAGGGCCATCCCCGCCGTAAGTCGAGAACATACCCCAGGTCCCCGCCGCAACTCGAGAAAAACCATGAGACTTCCCCCTAGAGGCGAGATGAGACCCCATTCCCCTGCAGTGCATGCAGAGCTATTCAGTGATCCCATTCAAACAATTCAGGAGTTTCGACTTGCTTAATGGGTCTCGAGACAGTCCCCAAGAACACTGTCACCAGTCTAGACGGACCTGAGGTCACCCAGCAAAGCAAACCAGCTCCATGTGCCCCAAATCAACTCGAGATGAGGCCCGATTCCCCTGCATTGACTCCAGAGCCATTCCCCGTTCCCCATTCAACTCGACCGGTGGCTCGACTTCCTTCAGGCAACTCCAGAGATGCCCCGAGAACACTGTCCCAAGTCTAGAGGAACACCAACTTCAGCACAGCAACTCGAGGAATGCTCCGTGTACCCCAAATCGTCTCGAGATGAGAGGTGATTCCCTGGCTTAGGCTCAAGACGTATGCCAACTTTCCAGACGCACCTCAGGAGGAGGCTTCTCTCAGCAATAGGTATGTGGGAAGGACCCCGAGTTTGCTGCCTCACGGGGAATATACAGCGAGAAGACCTAACTTGAAAGGAGGCCGGATTTCTTGGCAGTGGCTTGAATACAGGCTCGTCTTTCATCTCACAACATGAAGGGATGTCTGAATCCCCTGTGGAGACCTTAGAGAAAGCCCTACGTCCCTGCCTCATTTTGACGGAATGCCTCACATCCCGCTGACACCTCGAGAGGCACGCAGAGTTCATTGCTTCAAAAGGTGACGATGCCTGACTCCTCTTGAATACTGATAGGAATCCCAAAATACCTGTGGCTACTGGAAAGGGTCCTTGGGTGCCCTGCCTCACCTCGAGAAGCGTCCCTTTTGCCCTGCCAAGCCTCGAAGAGATTCCTGAGGTGTCCCTCGTTACTAGACAGAAGTCGTGACGTCACTGAAGAAACTCGTGTTTTGAAGGGCCATCCCCGCCGTAAGTTGAGAACATACCCCAGGTCCCCGCCGCAACTCGAGAAAAACCATGAGACGTCCCCCTAGAGGCGAGATGAGGCCCCATTCCCCTGCAGTGCATGCAGAGCTATTCAGTGATCCCATTCAAACAATTCAGGAGCTTCGACTTGCTTAATGGGTCTCGAGACAGTCCCCAAGAACACTGTCACCAGTCTAGACGGACCCTGAGGTCACCCCAGCAAAGCAAACCAGCTCCATGTGCCCCAAATCAACTCGAGATGAGGCCCGATTCCCCTGCATTGACTCCAGAGCCATACCCCGTTCCCCATTCAAATCGACCGGTGGCTCGACTTCCTTCAGGCAACTCCAGAGATGCCCCGAGAACACTGTCCCAAGTCTAGAGGAACACCAACTTCAGCACAGCAACTCGAGGAATGCTCTGTGTACCCCAAATCGTCTCGAGATGAGAGCTGATATCCTGGCTTAGGCTCAAGACGTATGCCAACTTTCCAGACGCACCTCAGGAGGAGGCTTCTCTCAGCAATAGGTATGTGGGAAGGACCCCGAATTTGCTGCCTCACGGGGAATATACAGCGAGAAGCCCTAACTTGAAAGGAGGCCGGATTTCTTGGCAGTGGCTTGAATACAGGCTCGTCTTTCATCTCACAACATGAAGGGATGTCTGAATCCCCTGTGGAGACCTTAGAGAAAGCCCTAGGTCCCTGCCTCATTTTGACGGAATGCCTCACATCCCGCTGACTGCTCGAGAGGCATGCAGAGTTCATTGATTCAAAAGGT